TTGCGGAGCGCCTGACCAAATATGCTGGCGGAGCCAACATCTATCTCAAGCGCGAAGACCTGAACCACACAGGAAGCCACAAGATCAACAATGCACTGGGCCAAGTTTTGCTCGCACGCCGCCTGGGCAAAACACGAATCATCGCAGAGACAGGGGCTGGCCAGCACGGCGTCGCTACAGCTACCGTCTGTGCGAAATTCGGCATGGAATGCGTCATCTACATGGGGGCTGAAGATGTCCGTCGCCAAGCCCTGAATGTATTCCGCATCAAACTCCTCGGAGCCAAGGTCGTCGCCGTCGAGGCTGGCTCGCGCACCCTGCGTGACGCCGTCAACGAAGCACTGCGCGCTTGGGTCGTCCACCTTGATACAACACACTACGTAATCGGCTCAGCCATCGGACCGCACCCCTTCCCCACCATCGTTCGCACCCTACAGTCCGTCATCGGCGAAGAGACCAAGGAGCAAATGCAAAAGCTAACAGGCAGGCTACCCGATGCCGTCGTCGCATGCGTAGGCGGCGGCAGCAACGCTGTCGGCATGTTCTACCCCTTCACTAAAGACCCCAGCGTCAGGCTTCTAGGTGTCGAAGCCGGCGGCGACGGCACCGACACGGCCCGGCACTCCGCGACTCTCTCGCACGGCTCCAAGGGCGTCCTGCACGGCGTGCGCACTTACATTTTGCAAAATGAAGATGGCCAGATTGCAGACACGCACTCCATCTCCGCAGGCCTAGACTATCCCGGTGTCGGCCCAGAGCTCTCGTCTTGGAAAGACCAGTCGCGCGCGCAGTTCATTGCTGCGACGGATGCGCAGGCGCTGCAAGGCTTCCGGCTCATTACGGAGCTGGAGGGCATCATCCCTGCGCTGGAGTCGTCGCATGCAGTGTTTGGTGCTGTGGAGCTGGCGAAGACGATGAAGAAAGGCGAGAACATCGTGCTGAATTTGAGTGGGAGGGGCGATAAGGACGTGCAGAGTGTGGCGGATGCGTTACCGGAGATAGGGCCGAAGATTGGATGGGATTTGAGGTTTTGAAGGGGACGGCGGGAGGAGATGGTGAGGTGAGGAGAGGAGACTAGTTGGTTAAAAGGATCTCTGTTTAATGAAGCAAAAAGTATCTGCGAGTAGATATTTGAAATCAATGATGCATCTGAAAAATTTTGGATCTAAAAGGACAGCGGGAAGGAAGCAATCACTTTTGTAAATCATGGATGTATGTCTCTATCATCAAAACAAAAAGGGGGAGGGAAAGGAAAAAGCGGTTTATAACATATCTAGAAATTAGTTATTACTCAGGATAATTATCATTCCTTTATTCTTAACAAACACTCTCTCTGGGTAACACACGGAAAACTACGCCCACAAAAATAACGTTGTGTGTATACTGGATGAGTTGTTACAGGGCTAATAGGGAGAGAATTGCTCAACCAGGCGGCAAATACTCTCGTTAAGAAATTTTTTACGCTTGCTTAGCTAAAATTTGTATAGTTAAGAAACGAATTAGAATGGAAACCGTGAGGCTTCAATCGGTTGGGAAAAATTATTCGTGTCTGCATAAATGTCTATAGAGAAGAGAACCCGTAAATTATATACCAGCTCCATCTTCATTCTCCGCATTCTACCAAATTAGCTATCAATCCTATGAGACTGCACATGCCCACCACCAGAGCATATGCTCTCAATCACTGCAACGTCAGCCAGAGCCTCACGGGGACTCGCAGCTTTATCCCCCTTGCGAGCAGCAACCGCCTGTACAAAGGCACTGATTTCATTCATCATCCCATCTGCCTTGAAGGCTTCCTCAGATATTGGCTTGAGATCGGGCCCATCCACACGAACCGTGGTTTCATGCACCGCACGCTTGACAGTCAACATCCCAGCGGTCCCGATGAAGATGAAATCCGCAACGAACGTTGCGGCAGCAAAGGACATGCTGAAGGTGCCCTGCGCACCCCCCGAGAACTTCAGCGCAGCGTTCACCGTGTCGACAGGCGACAGGTGTGGCGCGAACTGCGCTGTGAAGCTCGTGGTCTCGACAATCTCTTGTCCCGCAACCATGCGCATCAGCGCCACAAAATGGACGCCGGCGTCCAGGACGAACCCGCCCTGGTATCCCGGCGTCGCGCGCCATGCGGTCTTGCAGAACTTGTTGTCTGGAGCCATGGTGGTCGCGACGCGCCCGTGGACATGATGCAGCTCGCCGATCTTGCCGCCGGCGATGAGCTCGCCCGCTCTGATCAAGGCGGTTTCGTAGCGGAACTGCTCTGCGATGGAAAGTACCAGGTTGCGCGGCGCATAGGTACTTTCGTACTCGGCGATGAGGGCGCGGCCGGCTGCTACGTCCGGTCCAATGGGCTTTTCGGCCAGGACATGTTTGCCTGCAGCGAGGCATTTGCGGACGACGGCCGGCAGGACGAGGATGGGGAGAACCACAATAACTGCTTCGATGTCGGCGCGCTGGAGAAGCTCGTCAAGCCGATACCCGGGCTTCTCATCAGAATATACATCGATGGTAGCAGAGGTTCCAGCCGTGCTGGTGCTGTGTAGTGCCTCCACCACTGAGTTTGCAGATGTCTCCGAACGCGAGTACACAGCGAGAACCTTTGCTTTATCGTTATGTGCAAGAACGGGGACGTGGGCTGCACAGTGGGGCCTTGGGTTAACATTTCCACTGTGTATATAAATATATATAAAAGACATTCAGAGATGGTTGGTTCAAGTTCACCTTCTTTTGCAAAGATACCCGCTCCCAAGAGTGCAATTCCAACCATCTTAATCACCGTTTTCCTTCCAGAACAAAAGGGAAGTTTCTGCTGAGTTTCGAAGATGAGAAGTGACCCGGTCTGGATGCAAATCAGCCGTCTCTCAAGGCAAGCAAACAGCTACTTATATGATCAATAGAATGTTACATTGTCAGCATGAAATGCATCAGGACGGCAACCTGGCCAGCATTCATGGCTATTTAAACTCTCAAGCGCCCCTCCTCAATCCCCGCAATAATGCGGACTTTTCGTGCTATAACTAGTGGAGGAATACTCCTGTCATCGCTGCGGTAGCTAAAACCGATAAGGCCTTGGAAGCTCTGGAATTAGGGCTTACCTGCCACAGCGTCGGGGCGCTGTTGGCACGATTTGATTGGGCGGTTGGCAACGCAGCAGCCACCGTCACGTGCCGTAGCTGCCAGCCGCATCGGACACGGCATCATCATCATCATCATCTATACAACTCCGCTCAGTCCAACAAACGCTCTTCTCACATCCCTCCGCCCGTACAGCAAGCCAGAGCACTAGCCGTGTAGTCTAGCCCCTCTAGCCCTCCAGCTCCCCATAAGCTTTGCCATCTCGAGATAGTACCGCTGGACAGCATCCTACACACCGACAACCATGGCTCCAGGAATCAGCGACCCCAGGATGGTGTCCGTCAACCCTCGGATTCGATATAACACTATAGGAGGCATCAATGGTCCTTTGGTTATCCTTGACAATGTGCGAGCGTTGGTTTATTTTGACGCTTCTAGGATCTATATCCCGGTTTGCTGACGAGATTATCTGCACCTCATTCGCCCCGCCTAGGTTAAATTCCCCCGCTATAACGAGATCGTATCTCTGACACTCCCCGATGGATCGGAGAAGTCTGGCCAGGTTTTGGAAGCTAGAGGTATGCGCTGCATATCTTAATACACCATATATCGTGGGATGCGGGAATACTGACCTCGTATGTCATTTAGGCGACAGGGCTGTGGTCCAGGTGCGTAGTGGACGGCGCCGCCGCCATATTGCTGGAGAACATCAGGTGTTGGGGGACGTCTGAAGGGAAACATTTATTGACTTGTGGGATAGGTTTTTGAAGGCACTCACGGTATTGATGTTAAAAAGGTACAATCATCCAATCCGTGGCGGTTTGTGTTAATTCGTACCGGGCTTGCTAATTGTCAGATTAGACCAAAGTCGAGTTCACTGGTCACAGTCTCAAACTTGGTGTCTCGGAAGACATGCTTGGACGGATCTTTGATGGATCTGGACGAGCAATTGATAAAGGCCCTAAGGTGTTTGCGGAGGAATATCTGGATATTAATGGCAGTCCAATAAACCCATACTCTCGAGTGGGTTCCCACACTTCCCGGCATTGTACGTTCCTAAGACTAAGGCGGCCTACCAGGTATATCCAGAAGAAATGATCTCGACTGGTATCTCAGCCATCGACACAATGAATTCCATTGCCCGCGGACAGAAAATTCCTATTTTCTCTGCTGCTGGTCTTCCACACAATGAGATTGCTGCACAGATCTGTCGTCAAGCCAGTCTGGTGAGCAAGCCCACCAAAGACGTGCATGACGGACATGAAGACAATTTCTCCATTGTGTTCGCCGCAATGGGCGTGAACATGGAAACAAGTCGTTTCTTTACCCGTGATTTCGAGGAGAATGGCAGTATGGAACGTGTTACGCTATTCCTTAACCTTGCAAATGATCCTACGTAAGATCTTTCTCACCACAATCCCCGGAAATCAAATGGCTGACATTTCAAGCACACAGGATCGAACGAATCATCACTCCTCGCCTTGCTCTTACTACCGCAGAATATTACGCCTATCAATTGGAGAAACATGTTCTTGTCATCTTGACTGATCTTTCTGCGTATTGTGATGCTCTGCGAGAGGTTTCAGCCGCCAGAGAAGAGGTCCCGGGTAGACGTGGATATCCTGGCTACATGTACACTGATCTGTCAACCATTTATGAACGAGCTGGTCGTGTCGAGGGCCGTAATGGCTCTATTACGCAAATTCCTATCTTGACTATGCCCAACGACGGTATGTTGGTAGCCCATGTTGGAGAAGCTTCTGAAAACATTTCTGACAGGTGCTAATTGACCAATGTAGATATCACCCACCCAATTCCTGATCTAACCGGCTATATTACCGAAGGCCAAATTTTCGTGGACCGCCAGCTTCACAACAAGGGTATCTACCCCCCAATAAATGTATTGCCATCCCTTTCTCGACTCATGAAGTCTGCCATCGGTGAAGGCCGTACCCGCAAGGACCACGGTGATGTATCCAACCAACTATACGCCAAATATGCTATTGGCCGTGATGCTGGTATGATCTCCCTGGCTCACCAATTTGTGCAAGCTGCCAAGCAGAATCTTAAAATACTGATCCAATAATTCTCTAGCTGCCATGAAAGCTGTCGTCGGTGAAGAAGCACTCTCGGCCGAGGATAAGCTCTCTCTCGAATTCTTAGATAAATTCGAACGAACATTCATCTCCCAATCACCTTATGAGTCCCGCACTATCTTCGAGTCTCTTGACTTGGCGTGGAACCTCCTCCGCATTTATCCCAAGGATTTGCTTAACCGTATCCCCAGGAAAGTCATTGAGGAGTATTACCAGCGCTCTGGTAAGGGACGGACAAAGGGGAATAAAGATACGAGAGATAACACAGCCCCGGAGGCGAATTTAATTGACGTGTAAGAAGTGACCCGTCTGGGGTTGAAGAGGCAGCTTGGTATGTCACTGGAATGTTTTCCTTTCACTTGGTTTTCTTTTTTTGGGTAGAGGATTATTTTGATGTGAATGGAGCGGGGTTTTTGTTTCCAAATAATTAGGGCTCTGCCCTGCTGTGTCCTTCCTTATATGCCTTATTGCCATTACATATATGGCTTACACCTGTCACATAATTATACGACATGTTGGGCGGCGAAGAATATCTGATTTTATTTTCTCCCTTTTTATATTTCTTTATTATCCCCATTTTTTTTAAATCATTCATTCGATCAAATTAATTATTGTTATCTTTTCAACCCTTTCCCTGTAGCACCATTTAATTCGATCTTACATATATGTTACTATTGTACACCTTCATTCCCGTTGTTATGTCCAGTGCCATGTGTGGATTGTTTTTTCGTAATCTTCATTATTGAGACAGCAGGAAGAACCGTCTCCTATGCATCCCTCGAATGATGCAACTGGGGTGACACAAGAGAAGGTCTGCGGAAGTTCGCTTTAGATGAACAATTCGCCTATACCGCGGTGAAAATATCAAAATAATAATAATAATAATAATAATAATGGTCGTATCCGTTCCGTATATAACGCCAAGCCCATCGACACCCGCCCACACGTTGTTTTCACTTGTGGGACATATCGTTACTTTGGCCACATGCCCATTCAGATTCATTCTTATACAGAACTCCATTAATAATCACACCTCTCCCTTCTTTCAACATTTGCTTCTGCTCTTCCGAACATGTATCCTCCGCAGCCCGCACATAGCATGTTGCCTCCGCCATTGGCGGTGCAACATTCTTTTTTGTGGAATTCCTGGGCCCCATCGTATGAAACGTGGATAAATCGGCCTTGTCGCCGCTACCTAAGTCCCTCCCACGATCAATAATGCGGGAGAACAGCGTGAATGCAGTCTCCGGTTGAGCGGCGGGCACGAAATGGCCTGCCTCATAAACACGGGTGAAGGATAAGTTGCCGAGTTGACGCACGGCGCCGCCAACATAGGACCGCCGCCCAGATGCCTGGCTGGCAACGGTCAGGGGTGCGTATCCGGCGATATCGCTAAAGGCTTTCTTGTCTCGGTATGGCGCGGGGGAGATAGGCGAGGAGGCAATGGCTAACGAAACGGCCTCACCACCCATCCAGTTGCAGACATAATCCCGATCGCCGTGGATGAGGGCTACCCGAATGCCTGACGCCAGCAGCGAGGCCAGGTGCGGAACGTACGAGGTACGCATGTAGTCGCCTGTCGAGATGAAAGCGGACTGAACCACATTCCTATAATCTGTGTAATTTACCTGGACGCCCAGGGCGTCTTGGACTCTCGCCGTGTTGAGGTAGGTGAGATGCGTGAGCGGGGCAAAGCTGGATAGTGGCGATTGCGAAATGTCGTATGCGCTCCGGTTGGATTTCTGGAACAGGCTGAACATATCCTTGTTGCAGGTGTACATGGCCGCCAGGCACAGTGCATTGACGGTGTCGACATCGCCGTCCCCTCTTGGATCGAGAGATCGTGCTCCTGATCGGCAGGCGTTTATTCGCTGTTCGCATCCATCTGGCTTTTGAAAGGCGGCTAGCGATTCTTCCATCTCCGCGCGAGAAATTGCTTGAATACCGTAGGTATTGTTGTGGGCGAAGATTGGGTAGAAGGGTTCCTGGATGAGATCATCGATGCAGCCTTGGAGGATCCCCACGGATTGCAGGTTTATTTCAAGTGTGCTTTCCTTGGGGAGTTTACCGTCCCTGAGCGCTTCGTTTTGCGCTACCCAGTGCTCCGCGAAGGCTGGACCATACTTGCCTCCGTAACTCTCTGTGAAAAGATGGATACCGGCAGCGGAGCCATCTCTCCCATCATTACTCGGATTATACTGTGGGAATACGCTTAAAAAGCCCTGCAGCATGTGCCAAACTGCCCTGCTTGCAATAGCAGTTGAATTTGCAGTCGCACCAACATTGTGGGAACTGAATGTGCCATTCAGAAAGGTGCCTTCAGCCTGTCCAGAAGGCACAGGTGACGGCGGGAATATATAAGACGAAGATAGCAAATCCAAGGACCCATTGCGCAGGCTGTCATACGAAAACCCAGCTTGAACCGGCTGATCTATAAACAACAGATTGGAGGCTCGATCCCAACCCCATTCCCGAGCACGAGTACCGATGCGATCCGGCGAAAGCTCTACAGCTTCACAGGGCCCGACCTCCTGAAATAGGCCCATCATGCTACTTTCGCCTGGGCCTCCGTTTAGATATATAGTCAGAGGCGCCGTGTGTGCATTCTGTCTCGCCTCCACGAACCAGAAGAAGGTGTTGATGGGGTAACTCTGCCTGATGGGAGACAGGGTTTCCGGAGGCAGGTGGACGTAGCCGGTATATTGTTTTTGATGCGGGGAGGCCGTCTCGCAAACCCAAGCCGGAGGGGACTTGTATGAAATGGTGATGTTTTCGTTGATTGGAGAGCGCACAGTTTTTAAACCGGCAGCATCATTGCCTTTGATGTATATGAATTCCCTTGCGCGGAACGGGAAAGCTGTGCTGAGGGCAGCGAGAGCCCATAGCGGAAATGCCTTCCATCGTGCCTTGGGCGGGTTAGCCAGTGCCCGGCTGATTGGAAAGGAGTAGAAATCGACAGGCGAAACTTGAAAAAATAAAAAAAAATTAGAGTGTTACTTATACTTACCATCTGCATGGTATCAAATGAACATGAACGTGCATAGGCAAGAAACTCTATATTCTAAAACCGCATTTCCAGCGCCTTTCTCTAGTTTTATTTAATAAGAAACAGGTTGAATAGATCGATTTAATTATATATTTCTCCCTGGTATCTCGCATCCTTAAGTACTTTAAGCAGCCCGGCGGAAAAAGAAAAAAAAAAAAAAAGAAGAATAGAAATCTCTCAATTCAAACTCAATCGCAAGCCATCCCGTGTTTGGATCCGCGACTGTGTCACTCGGGAGGAGGAGGAGGTGAGAGAGCAAACGGCTCAGTGCAACAAAGGCCAGCCATAGCCCTAATCACGGCGCCAGACAGGCTTGACTTGCTCACTGAGAAACCGGTTTAGCATCGTGGATAGACAAAGCCCAGACGAGCGGGTTCTAGCACGGAGCCCCATGAGGAAGTCTCATCGGAATGTTATAGTCGATGGTGAGTGACCACCCCAGCCAGTTAGTTTTCTTTGAAGGAAATATCTATTGCGGCCATAAAGAACGGAAGAGGTGCCACAGGGACTGACAGACTGCATTGCCATGCATATCTAGCCTGTTTCTTCAACAAGACAAAGACAACCGAACAGTGCGGATGCGGGCGTGACATTTATATTGTTCATTTTCCGAGAGGGATTTTACTGAGAACCAGGTCGCTCTCTACAATCACACCCCTTTTTCTATTGCGGGCGGATATAGCAAGCTTTTTTTTCTTTTCTTTTTTTTACCAGAAGAGATATCTTGTTACCATGGTCTTCCATTCATTCAGGTAAGATACGCAGTAGTGACATTATCGTCCATACAAACTGCACCTTGCACGGTTAGCACTCGCTCCGACGGTCTTTGACTTCGTGAGCTGATCCAGCTCATCTGAGGTGCGGGAGCAGGACAAACGACGCCGATGCATTGGGTCAAAAAAAATATATATTCAGTGCAAGAATCCATGGACGATAAAAACCAAGTACCAATGTTCATTCAGCATAGCATGGTGTGTAATTTGTTGCATTTTTGCATCTTAAGTTGTTGTAGCTTTCATAAACTCACTATAAAACTCAATTCTGCCCATCTCTGTCCTATCCCGACAGATCCATTTATCACATCGGATAGGGGAGAGCGAGAGGGAGAAACGAAACAAAAGAGGAAGCGCTTGGAGGAAAATAGGGGAGTGAGGAGAGGTTATGCCAGGTACATGAATAAACGCTAATAAAAACAAGTATGAAAAAGCGAAATTGGACCAAACCCACCCAACCCCGATTATGCATGTGATGAAATGAAAGATATCCAGCCGGAATGAGTAACAGCCACAGGGATGGGGAAGAAAAAAAGCAAAAATAATGTAAAATAAACAAGAAAAGGAGGTAGAAGGAGCAGCCAACACCCAGTCTATGAATCAATCAATCAATCTTCGCATACACCAACTTCTTCGGCGTCGTAAGATTGTTCAGCAAGCGGACATTGGCACGTTTGAATTTAGTATGTTTCTTCAGCTTCTTCCGCGCGACCATCACAGGCACAGAGGATTTAGTAACGAGGTAGTTTGAGAAGGAACCGAGGAGGACGCTGTCGGTTTTTATGACGTGGGGGGAAGACATAAAAGTCAGCTAGTTTTCCTCTCTTTGTTCTTTATGGCGAATATAAAATAAACTAGGAAATGAGAAGAAAAATGAAAAGATAATACATAAATGGATTCGATAAAATGGACTTACCCCTTAAGAGCGCTGCGACCTCTTGAGCCCAGAATTACCAGCGTAGGTTCCAAACCATCAATCTAAATATTCTGTCAGCAAATCCCATCACGAAGATAAATTGGCAAAAAGGGCTAAGGCAAAAACATGAAGATGGGCGACGAGGAATGACTCGCTCAACAGAGAAATGAAGGGCGAATTCTGTAAAACTTACAGCTTCTGTAATCAGATGCTTCGGACTGTTACAATGGATTACCTCCACCGCAACCCGAACCTGCAGCCTAGTCTTCTTCAGCAACCGCACAACCGTCTGCGAAATCCCCTCGATAGCCCGAAACCTTTCCGCCTCGAATTTTGACACAGCCCGAGAATCAACAGAGCCGGTCTTGCTGTCCGTTCCACCGTTACCTCCTCCTCCACCACCACCGCCGCCGCTGCCGCCGTTACCGCCGCTTCCTCCACTAACCTGAGTTGACGACGTATTCGCAGAAGGCAAAGGCGACGCCCCAGTCAAGTTCTCTGCTGTCTTCTTCGTCTGCAACCCAACAACAGCAGCAGTATCCAACATCACCTTAATCCCGTCGCCGATCTGCACCGAAGATGTGGAATCAGGCTCCCCCCCTTTCCCAGATCCGTGCCCGGCGGTTTCCTCATCGATGGCATAGACGGCATAGAGCGTGTCGCCATCGCGAAGAATCGTGCCAATCGTCCATTCCAGCGCGTAGACGGACTCATCGCTGAGATCCGTAGCGACGAGGTAGGTGCGTAATCTCATCCGTCTGTTCTGCCTCGCTTCTTCCTGGACCCGTGTGAATTCGCCACGGACGATGGTGCGAATTACCCGATTTGGAACGGACTGGTCGATTGGGGACATGTAGATGCTGAGATTCTGGGCTTTTTTGAAGTCGCGGTATTGCGCTTCGTCATCCGAGCCGGCAGGGGTGTTTGGGCCTGATCCTACGTGGTCGAAGCTGGTAGTTGGATGGACGACGCCGGTCTTCTTGATCATGGGTTTTTCTGTTGCAGCTTTCCCAGTAGCAGGTTCTGGGTCGAGTAGCGATTTGACTTTGTAAGTCGCTGAGACTTTCTTGCCTATAAACAGGATATGTTAGCAGGATGCTCGCTATTTTACACGGGCAAAAGATTATTTCGTAAGATTAACATATTAAGAATAAGAACTAAGAATAATACATACGCTCTTCCTCAGCTGCAGCAAGGAGACTGCGTACTTTCTGTGGCCCATTCTTATTGAGGTCATTCTCCTCTGAATCGGATTTCTTCCTGCTGCGTCGTCGTCCACGTTGGATTTCAGCGCTCCAATCTTCCTCTGCCGAGCTCGAATAATCATTCTCCTCATCACTGCTATTCTCTCCACTAAAAGTCTCCTCGCCAGAGTAGTAGTCTTCTTGGAGCCGACTGTCACCCGATTCCGAGACAGCATCCTCCCCGCGCTCTCGACTCGTAGACGATTTCTGGAACTTAGATAACGTCCCCCCAGACCTTGACAGCGCCGCGTTGGACAATTGTCGATATGCGTGATCTAGATGAATGACTTTGCCGGTATCCGTGACAAACGTTCCCGGAACTGGTTTTGGGTTAAACGAGTTTGTATTGAGCAGGCCTCCGCCTGGAGAGCGGGATCGCGCTAGACGGGAGGAAGGCGACTTGGAATGGCGAGCAGACACCCCCGCAGTCCCGCCGTGCCGCATTGTATCCCGCCCTCTTGTGAATCCAGGCAAACTACTCAGCTCCTGTCCGGACATGACTGCAGCCATGGAGTTGGTGTGTGTGGCATTGGTCGCGTGGTTGGCGGTTTTCTTTCCGCCCTGTGACACCCGTTTTGGGCGGGCCAGGCTTGGAATGCTGGGCAGCATTTCAAATTGGTATTTTTCAATGGCCTGTTTCCTCCTGGTTGGCTCCGGCAAGGGACCAATGTGACCAGCTGGATCTGAAGAATGACGAGCATGGAGCTCCTTACGTGTGGATGATATTGGGGATTTGGGAGATAGGGGCTGCAGAGGGGACAAGGGGGGAGGGGGAGAAGATGCGGCATGCTCAAATTGTGTAGGTTGCGGCTCTGCGCTGTGGGTCAAACGGAGAGGTGAAGGTGAGATAGGATCGAGCAAGCTGCGAACTGGAGGGACTGATCGACTGGAGGAAGAGGTGGCGCCAACACCAGCACCGGGGCCAGCGGCGGAGTTGTGCTTTTGTAGAGCCGGGTCAGGAGCAACATCCAGCATGCTTCTGATTGGGCGGGAAGGGCTAGAATGGCGAGCTCTGGAATGGGACTGCTGGGAACGATTGATGCGGCCCTCGAGGATATCCATGATCTCACGCCGTTCCTCGTCGAGCGCTGATTCCAGCGACATCTTTTTGGGTGGCATTGTATAGAGAAAAGAGGAAGCAGAGAAGCAGAAGCAGAAGCAGATGCAAGAAACAGAGAATTGATTGAGGTTTGGGGTGGACTGCAGAAGGCAGGTGGGCGAGATATGACAGCGAGGTGGAGCAGCCTAACTAAATAGCAGGGCCGGGGGAAGGCTTAGTTAGTGACAGCAGACGGTGGTCGAGACCGTTAGAAGAGGTAACACAGATGAAACGCGGTACAAGGGCGGGCAGTGAGCAATTCAGCACACGGGCAGCAACCCGCAGCCAGGAGGGAGCCAGTCACAGTACTATTCCTGAAGCCGGATACCATCCACCGTCCTCGTTGTCTCCCCGCCGGCAGTGTAGTGTAGTTATTCCCACAGCTCCAGACACTCGCAGGAATAGCGGCGGTGCTCGCAGGGCGACGGTGCTGATTAGCTAAGAGGGCCCACGTTAGTTAACCAAGTTAGCTAAGTTGGTTGGTTATAGGTGGTTGGTTACTATTAGCGGTGGCGTCGGCGAACGCTGAGGCGGGGCTGAAACTGGCCACACCCCCCGTTGCCGTCGTCGCAGTCGTCGTCGTCGTCGTCGTCGTTGTCTGTCAACACATCGGACAGCCGGGAGAGTGGGCAGAAGCTGCGGAGAGAGCTGGCCGGTATGGGAAGGTTGCCCACAGTTACACCCAAAAGATGAACAACAGAACTACCTACAAGCAGAGAGGCGGCGAAACGTGTGGGACAAAGTGGCTGATGCTGGTTTATTTATGATCATGGTTCTTATAAGGCAGTCAAGAGCCAAACTAACTGACCACCCCCCCCCTTCTCCCCTTCTCCCCTTCTCCCCTCCAGCATCAGACAAAGCAGCCGCCCTAGGAGCCCTCCCAAGCCCTCCCAAGCCGTCCCTATAGGATCAAGAATCGGCAGCCAAGGCTAGGCAGGCGGTGGCCAAGCAACCTACCAAGAGATTCACGGGCCAGGATAGGCGGGCGAGGCACATGGCAGGGTGGGAGCGATGTCAGGGAGTGGATCCGCATCGGGAGAAGCATAGGAACGGGAAATGACACCTGGAGGAGCATCGTTGACCCTCAACTCACACCCGACTATTCCTCAACCGGTGCCCGACGCAAGGGCGTCTATCTCGACGATACGATACGATATGAATCAGCGCTGAACTGAGGTCAATATCAGTGAATAACCGCGATTCCTCGGGCCCATTTTTCACAAACAGAGCTGGGACTGGCAGAGTCAGTCAGCCGTAGGGTTGCGCTGGATATCGACTAGGGAGTTGAAATCTCGGCCGATTGAGATGCGATGATGCACTGTAAAAATAATAGCGCCTTGAGTGCGTGGTCGGTTAATCAAGCGATAGTCAGAACCCGGTTGGTGGTCGAATACTATCTATCGCCTTTGTTCTGAGCGTTGATTTTTGAGACAAGGGATAATGCGAATGAAATTGTCATGCAAAAGGAAAAATAGAGAGAAAAGAAGATTAAAAACCAAAAGCCGAGAAGAACTATTCCAAATGCGCCCTATCACATCAATTCTTGTTTAGCTAGTTCTATCCCTGTCCTCCCATGATGTAGAACGTACCCAGGCTATGTACACCGACGCTCTAATAAAAAGATTGAACAAAATAAAAGCAAAAGCAGCAGGGAACCTTGAGGAAAGTAGAAAAACACCACCAATGCGCCTATCACATCATGTATCCTCGCCCACGAGGCCAAAGACAATGAATCAAAATAAAACCTCACATCCATGTCATGAAGCACCCTTTTTGGCCGAGTACAGAAATAAGAAATGAGAGGAAAGAAAGCAATAAAGACAAATTGGCGGTGAGAAAGTGCATCATAGTAATGTACATTCGCACAACCTCCTTCCCCCTTGAAATGATCCACTTGTCACCTACCTTAGGTTCCCCGCCTGGCGGACCGCTTTTTAGTCTCCGTAGCTGCCGTCGCCGTATCCCGGGGCTTATCCTTCGATTCTTTGCGCTTCGCGGTGGCCAGAAAGGCCTCCTCGGGCGGCTCATTCTCATCCCGCTCCCCAGCTTTCCGTTTTCTCCCGTTCGCCTTGCCAGCAGCTTTAGAGCCAGCAGGGGCGTATTTAGCTTCAAGATCATCTAGGAACGCCGTGGCCCTGCTCTTCTGCCTCTGCTGAATCATCGCAGCCAGATCATTCAGACTATCATTGCCACGATTATGCTTCGCTTTCTTTTTCCCTTCCGTTTGCGCCTCGTTCTTCTTGCCGTTTAGTTTCTCACCGATCCCCAACTCCTCCCCAAGCTCCTCTGCCTCCTCCGCCTCCCTTCTCGCCTTCGCAACCCGCTGCGCCCGCTTCTTCTCCGTCTCCCGCGAATACTTCGGCCAATCCTTGACCTCCCCCGCCGCAATCGCCGCATTGATAACATCGCGAAACCGCCCATCATCGTCCAGCACGTTACTCAACATAACCTCCTCATACACCCTGTCCAGATCCCCCTTCCACCGCTCGTATGCACCGAGCAGATCCCTCCGCTCCTCTTCCGAACCCTGATACTCGCATTTGATCTTGTCAATAGCCTCACCGCTGATGACGGCGGAGAATTGCTCGCGGAAGAAATCAACCCAGCTGAAGTCATCGTCGTCGAGATCGAGAGATTCGGCTGTGTTTCCTGTTGTGTCGTAGCGGCGTCTGCGGCGAGGGTCGGACAGTACCGCATAGGCGAACGCGACTTCTTGGAATTTTTTGTGGGCGGTTTCTTTTGTGTCGGGTGGTGCTTTATCTGTTGAATTAATAAAAGGGTTAGCGTGTGCGTGTGTGTGTGTGTGTGCGTGTGTGTCTATGCGTGTAGCAGTAAACAGCTAACCAGTAGACTTCCTGCCTCCGGCATATATGCTTGGGTGGAGATGATGGAGGTTATTTTACCTGGGTGGTGTTTCAAGGCTTGCTTCCTGTAGGCTGATTTTATCTGATCTGCCGTCGCCTTTTCTTCCACACCAAGTACTTCATATGGGTTGATTGAGGACGGTGGCTCCTCCGGCACGACTTCATCGGTTTGCGACCCCATGGCAAGCAAGTCTATTTTCCGGCTCAAGTATCGCGATTGGACACCATCAAGGTATCTATTTCTATTTCCCTCCGGATTTGAGAGACAGATCGATCAATTCATAGCGGCTTCGTCCCCTTTTAATCCAGATCTTCTGGTCGTTCAAAGGCTCCTCTTTATTTAAATCAATTTGACACGCGACAACGCGACAGCGCTCGGAATGCGGAATATTAGTTCTTCCGCTAGCTAGCTCACTGTGCTGGTGCCAAGGCCAATGACGTCTATTGCATCTTGATCTCAACATGTAACTACAGCGTAGACAAAACTAATAGAGGAAGCAAGCTACATAAAAAGACACAACTAGCTCACTAGGTATTAAGCCACTCAATGTCCAATAACTGCTACAATCGACTACCTCTCAAATCTCTCAAAACTTGAAAGAAGAAATATATATGCCCCTCCAACGATGACCAACCCGTCCCTGCCCCTCACCCCGCTCACCTCCCACACCAATGACCACCAAGCCCACCTCCACTACCTCCGCGCCTGTCTCTCCCTAGCCCAGCAGTCCCCGCCAAAACCCACAAACTTCCGCGTCGGCGCCATTCTCCTCTCACGAACACTCCTCTCCCCAGGAAGACCACGAATGTACAACGACACAATCCTCTCAACCGGCTACACCCTGGAGCTACCAGGAAACACCCACGCCGAACAATGCGCCCTGGCAAAATACGCCGCAAGACACGGCGTGACTGACGAGCGGATTGGCGAGGTTTTGCCACCGCCTCCTTCCCCTCCTCTTCCTCCGCAAAGCTCAGGGCCAGGGACAGACAAAGCCCCAGAAGGCGAGCAGAAGAATATCATTCTTTACGTCACCATGGAGCCGTGCGGGAAGCGATTATCGGGGAACATGCCGTGCGCTGCGCGCATTGTTCAGATGAGACGTGCGGCGTCGTCGTTCGGTAATAGCGAGGAGAATCGCCATGCCGCGTCCGTCGGTCTTGAAGCTTCTCAGGGCTCCGCTGCAGGTGGCACGAGGAGAAGGTCTGGCATTGACAAAGTGTATTTTGGCGTTAAGGAGCCGGGGACTTTTGTGGGGCAGTCGGTCGGTTGTAAGATGTTAGATGAGGCAGGGGTGGAGTGGGAGGTTGTGGAGGGGATGGAGGAGGAGATTTTGAAGGTGGCGATGGCGGGGCATGAGGAGACGGGAGAAGAGAAGGGGGTGGGAGATGAGGAGCGTGGGACGAATGTTGATGATATTTCGGAGGAAGAAAAGAGGAGGCAGGCTGCGTTGCCGCGGAATCCGAAGAAGAGGATGATGGAGGCTGATATTTAGGGGTGAGCTTTCTTTTTCTTTTTCTTTTTTCCTTTTTTCTTTTTTCCTGGTGGTTAATAATAGTGGGGTTAAACGTGACGCTTTTTCATGGGATGATATATAGATTTGATGAATGAATCCCTAGAAACAAAATTCCATAAATTGAATACTCCTTTATTTTAAATAAAAGACTAGTTCTCGTGTCTTCACCAATAACACCACAACGATACTATAGAGCTAAGAATTTAAGCTGTAATATTGTTATCATTCTCAAGGATCTTCCTTCCCAAACACCTTGAGATTTAGGCTATCTTTAGTGAAGCTGTAGTGGTTTATTCAGGTGCCACAGGCATTAACCCCGATATTACAACTTAAATTCTTAGTGCTAATCAAAACTTTTGAGGATCCTCCGTAGAAATGAAAATGTTATGGAGTAGCGCCATCTCTCGTACACGGGAGGCGCCCGAATTTTGGAAAGTCGAGGTTTCTGTTTGCTGTTGTCTTTGTGGTGATCCCGACACTGCTGCTTCTGTTGCTAATACGTTGTTGAGGCTTACGAGGATGCCTATTTACCAGGCTGGGATGGACTAATATCCGATCGTTTGCAAACCAGTTTCCTAGCCGTGTTTGCGAAGTAGCAATCTGTGTCGATGGGATATGGCAAGCCTGCAACCGTTGCCGGCGCATTTGGCTGTCGGCGTACCAGAGTATGATGTGGTAATGGTGGGAATGGGGACGGCTTTGGTGGGATTTGTCGTATTTTCACTTGCGCCAGGGTGTTCGCATTTCTGGATGGAAGCGCCAGGGTCGCTATAAACTGGAGGTGCAGGAACAGCAGTAGGCCAGAGAGGTATCTTGATATTGATGATGAATTGGGAGACATTTTGCGAGGAGAGAGAGAGTGTGTAGCAAGGTATATTTTGTAATTGAGATTGTGAGACTTGGTTTGATTGGCTGGGCCACGGCCAAATGTATTTGAAAGAGAGGCTGGGAGATGAAGATGGCCTGGACGTCCTTTTTAATCAGAGAAGCAATTGGGACAAAAATGAAGGTTGGAAGGGAAAAAGGAGAAAACCAGTCTGGAATATGAAGCCGTTAACGACCAGGGGAAATTAAACGTGGTACAGGTGAGCCAGCATTCTATCAACCATCTCACAATCAAATATCGGGATATGTGTATCACTGCTTAGCTGGCTGGCTGCACGCATAGAAAGGAAGAGCAAACCCAGAAGAAATCTTAATATATGGCACAAGGTATCGCAGAGATAGGAGCAAACTATGCCCGCTAGACTGATAGCATCCATGGATCTCGACTTGAGCAGGTTCTTTGTTTGTCATCAACATCGGTTATCCGGCACCTTGCATCCTGCACCCTGGAAATCCCTAATGGGATCATGCAAGTCATGGACATGGTGGATTCGGTGTCCATTGGAATCTAGATCAAAGTGAGCTTCTGTGAACCCAATGAAAGAAAAGGAAATGCCGCGAATGAATCGCGCATACCTACAAATGAGCGCATTATCATGGGTTTATGCTCCTGCAGCCCCACGATTCCAGCAATCCGTTGGAATCCCTTCTCATCCAGCGAATGATGCAGCAATTGTTGGCGATAGCTCCAGGAAACGTTTCCTGACGTCGAAGAATGTCTGGGGTTGGGTACAAATGTCGTCACCTGACCACGCGTTTAGACGCAGATCCAACAATGCAACAAGCAAGAACACAGAAAACTTTGTATATTCATCCCCAAAATGATCCTTCAACGGATCGAGTTAAGACCTACGTGGTCAAAAGCGAGCTATACATAAACATAAATAGATAAACACCCTATGAAGCAAAAAAGCAGCTAGGAACCCTTCAAACATCCAGACGCCTACCAACCTTGGAACCAACATCGCATCTTCATCAAACCCGCATCATGAACTCATGGCAGATACTAATCATCATGACCCTCTCCCCCTCACATTCTATCCCGCCTTCTGCCACAGGATCTCACCCACCTTTTTCACCTGGGTGAAAATGGCTGCAGTCGATGTGCATCGCCTGAACCTCCGGCCAGGATTCGAGTGTATGTCTATTTTCCAAAATTGCACTGTTCATAGCTGCACATGCACATATATTTACATATACACCACAAAAAATATAAACCCGCAGGTCAGAACATCTGTTTCTATCTCAACCACCCCATCCAATTCATCTGCGCAGCTGGCATCATCGTCGCGCGAGACGAGCAGGAACGCCGCTCGATCCTCGTTCTCGACGACAGCTCCGGCGCCTGCCTTGAGGTTGTGTGTTCGAAGAATACGCAGGAAGCTCATAGCGATACCAATACCATCACCAACAGCAACAGCAACAACATCATCATGGACAACACAACACCATCCCAACCCACCCACCTAACTTCCGCCACCAAAAAGCCGCTCAACATCACTCCGCTGCTCCCAGGCGTCCGTGCAAAGCTCAAAGGCACCATCTCCTACTTCCGCGGCATGTTCCAGCTCTGTCTCGAGCGCTACGAAATGCTACACAATATGTCTGCAGAGGTGCACTTCTGGGATGAGAGGACGAGGTTTCGCTTGCAGGTTCTCTGTGTGCCGTGGGTGGTGACTCAGGAAGAGCTGGAAAAATTGAGGGGAGAGGCGGAGGGACTTACAGCTGCGTCCGCAGCGAGGATAGGCGGGGTTGGGGGTTGTGATGTTGATTTAAATGCGGATGGGCATGTTGTCGCGAGAAGAAGGAAGGAGGAAAGGGGGAGGGAGAGGGAAAGAGATAGGGAGCGGAGGAGGGTGGAAAGGGAGGAGAGGGACCGTTTGAGGATTGAGAAGAGGTATGAGAGGGAGGATGTCGTAAGGGAGATATTGGCGAAAAGATGTCGGGAGAAGAGCGTACTAGTTGGTAGGAAGCAGAAGAAAGGAAAGTGGCTCAAGATGCTTGACGTGTGAATGAGTGGGAATGAGTGGGAATGAGTGGGAATGCGGGTTGGATATGGAGATATATGGTGAGATTATCCGCAAATAATAATCAAGGAATATTTCGTCATATTGCTAACATTTCATTGCTACAAAGTGGAAGAAGGGGGAAATTGAAATATCTCGACAAGGAAGAAAAAGAAAAGCTCGCCGAAAATTGTACATATGAGAAAAGCAAACAACGTGCTTACCGCAATATATTCATCGAAACAAAGGAATAGACAGACACCTGGCAGAAGGAAACCCAAGTACTTACGAATCATCCACCGTGGTGCCAACTGCAGCTAGCCTATTCGTCAATACCCTGACCAACTTTTGCAGCCACCAGCACTCCCGTAGTCATCATCATCTTCACTGGTTGCCCGTTGAAGATATTGCTGAAGTGTTTTCTAATGGAACTTTCCTAGATCCTGGGGTGCTGGGTTGATATATGGTGGGTGTTGACCTGTGCTGCGGATTGCGTTGATGATCTTGGAGAATTCTGGGGCGTGACTACATTCTAGCTTCCACATATCAGTCTATCAATATCAAGAGGATACGCTTGGCTTGGAGACAAGAAAAGTATTCCATCAGTTAGTCGGAAGCAGGGGCGGACTGACCCAGACATTGCTGCTGGCTAGGGCCGTGCGGATGGCGATCACCATAAAAGATCATCCTGGTACAATCGATATAGGGTGACTGAGCAATAATTGGATGCTCCATGCTATGCGTTCTCGCCGTGGGGTGATAGATGGCATGAGTAGCTATTTAAGGTATTCCAGAAAACATTTCAAGAACATAGTAGGTTCTTGGTTAACTTTAAGAGAAATGCACAAAACTTAGCAGATCCAGATGTTGCCAGGCAATGCGAGAGCGCAATGCGAAAGACACCATCACCTCGGATCTATCAGGACAGATCATCTCGAAGCTCCTTAGACAGAGACGAGAACGATTCGACGGATTGGAGGTGGAGGGGAGTGCGAAGGGAAAGCTGCCCGGCGTAAAAAGGGGCCAAAGCCGTCAGATACTTTATCTTCCCTTTGTGTCGGGGAATGTGTCACCTTGAGTTCGTTGGAATCTATGGTACTTTCCTTCACCTGGGAATGTGTCAGGAATTCATTGTTGAGATGCAGAATGCTCCACCTCCATGATTGCTTGTAAAAGACTAGTGTGATATGATGGCATTCCACGAATTATTTATTTTATGAACTGCCCGAGGAAGTAAACAGGGAGAACTGATGGAAGCAATTGGAAATAGAACACTTGGAAATTAGGTCATCGCTGACAATCCGGAATTACTTGCCTCGCTCTCCTTGGGAGTAAATACAGTACAAGCAAGAAAAAAGCCAACTTCCATGTTTGAGAGATTATTCCTTTTCTTTCTTTCTTTCTTTCTTTTTTTTTTATTTTGTCATTTTTTACTCTCCTTATTTCCCGTCAGGCAAGTAATTTGTTTTTGTTCGAGTAACCACGAAGCGGTTAGTGTCACTTAGTGAAGTAGGCCCCTCTGTTTCTCCCCTAAATGTAGTTTTGCGGGTCATCGTCCTCATCGTCGTCGTCGGATTCTATCGTAGCCGCGGTCGGCTGAGGGCGACGCATGGTCGGAGCCTCACTTTTCGGAAAACGCATCCCCTATACAAATACATTGTTAGATATTATTAGAGAACTTCATTCGAAGCGTATAACAACCGGGGAGTAAGAGGACGGGGAGGTGGAAATAATAAATTCTTCGTACGGGGGCTTTCGCGAAACCACCACGGCTGCCTTTGCCTCTTGGTGGACCTGTGTTGCTGCTCGCTCTGCTCTGCGCCGTAACACCCCAACCCTCCCATCCACTACGCATAGTGGGAGCCACGGATGGTGCCTCAGCAGTACGGATATGGGGATTGCCCTGAGGGTCAAAAGCAGTGAACTTAGCACCCTCTCCTTCATGCGAAGTTTCGGTAAGCAGGCATCTCCTCGGCTGTTCCAGCCAGACACCTCCACTAGGAACAGAAAAGTTGTCCTCGTCACTATCGATGTCGTTGGTGTTGGAGGCTTCGGCAACCGAGCCTTCCTTCCAGTACATGTTGTGAGCGAGAGAATGGCCTTGAAAAGAGGGGATGGTGAAGTCGCCCCGTTGGCTCTGACCGAAAGTGGTCGAAGCTGCGAGGTTGGCTTCGTCCTCCATTGTTTCCGTCAGGTCCTCAGAGATGGGTTCCCTTTCTAAATGGCCCTGGACGCAATTTTTGCACCTCTAAAACGCCATACGGTCAGAGCTAGCCAAATAAATGCACCTAATACGGACTCAGAAGGCAAAAAAGGAGAAAGAAATCCGAAGTAGTCAGCTTACTGCATTATCCGGATCATGACGCTGGTTTTTGCTAAAGAATTCCAAAGCCATGGTCGTGTCACAAACACAGCAGGTAAGCTCGACAACCTGGCCAGATATGCAATTCATACAGCCAGCGTAAATTTGCCCACTGATGCCGTTACAGCCCGTTTTTAGCATCCCTTTGGAAAGCTCCTCAAGTTGGCGTTTCGAAAACGCAGACTGTTCCCGTATCTTTTTACACACTTTGCACTTTATCCTGTTGTGTGTGAGATAAGACAAGTATTGGTATATGATATTGACAGAGTCAGGAGTGGTTACCACTTACTTATTAGGAATTTTAATGGACGAGAGACTATTGTCCTCTTTAGCATCATTTTCCCCATCATATAAAAAACGAGATAGGAGCTTACCGCTGGTTGTAGGTAACATAGTCAAACCCTTTTCTTGGTGCCATGGTTTTGGGTCTTCAGGGTGATGGTTTGATGGACGTCGATGGATGTGGGAAAGCAGGATAGAAAAGAAAAAGGGAAGCAAAGCAGCAAATTTTGAGATCAAACGCGTATAGACCTGCAGAATCTCACTGGAATTGAGTGAATATTCATGTGGATGGAGTTCTTGTTATCGTTCTTGAGTCCAGGATAGGTGAAGTTGAGTTGCTCTTCTCCAAAAAGGGAAACAAGAGAAGCGTGCGGTAGGCCTCCAAGGGGATCTATTTATCTCTTATTAACATGTTGTTATCTGTTGACAACAGTCAAACGACTCTCACAGCATCTGATCTAATCTTCAAAGATTGTTGCTTTGCCTGGATGGCAGTCTTATGCAGGGAGCCAATATACATATTCCTTCAATGAAGAGAAGTGAGATCCATTTTTGTTCACTGCAAGAGATGTAGGAATCATCACTATTCTCTACCTTTGGTGCAGATAGGCTCCATGAAAGACAGATGATAATGGACAGACCCTGAATCCATAGCAGCCAGCAGGGAGAGATATCTATCGATACCTCTTGGAGGGGAAAAAGTTGCAGAAAACACCCCTCGGACATTCACTGTCTACTTGTCCCAAGCATCCACTGATACAGCCACAAGTTTGAAAGCTTGTCAAGTCAATAGCAGCGGCTTGATTGAAAGGTAGATATAGGAATGGAGGTGTGAAGGACCCTGCACGATAAACAGGCACAGGACACGGATAAGCTTCAAGAGTCGTTCGCTAGCATCCCGCCCTTGAACAGGATGAAGAGATTGGTTAACCATTATTTTCCCAGAAAGAAAAAATTATCTGATGACCGGGGTTGGGGATCCAGGAGCAGCTCGCAACAGGACCAGCACCATGTGTAAATAACCTAATATGGCTTTGTTTTTAAGAGGTCGAACGATGCAAAATCGTCATGGTCGAAAACTAGCTGGCGTCTTTCTTGGCCATCACTGCTCCGAGACACCGCAACAAAGAAGGCGGAATAGTAGAGTTCTGAAAAGACACGCAGACAACGGCTGTGAATGGAGTATAACAGATTATTGCTCAGATACTAACTAACTACATATATGGAGCTGACAGAATTGCTCCACGATCGTGGAACTGAGCCGCTGACAAATTTCGTTTCATCAAAATTGCTGTGGGTCTCGGATCAATTTTGGTGGCATAAGGCGCCATATGACATGCAGCAAAAGGATATGTCAAGCGCATGCTTGCAGGAACAATAGCTCCAAGAGAAATTTCTACATAGACCTGGGAAACTTTTCAGCGTGTTTCCAGACAATTACATGGATACTCCGTCCTAGTCTTTATATACAGGGACGGAGAAACAAATGTAGATTCCAACTCGACCCACGAAAATATATACATCTCACAACTGCCCAGCTCGAAAAGGAACCAGCCTTGAAGTAACCAGCAAAGATTGTATCAGAGAAACCTTTCCTAGACAAATATTTCAGCTGTGACTTGGCACACATTCAGGCTAATTTCCTAAACTTGAGGAATAACAAGCAATATCAACAGTTCCAGCGCCATCAAGTCCATTCGGCATCCGTCGTAGTGTGGCCAATCCGATCACCATTTGCGCCAGCGACTACCCCGAGGTAAATCGCATTCCAAAGCGCGCAGTTCTCACTCAACTTCAAAGTTACCCAGAAAGATGGTGATAAAACGGCCGCATAACATCATGTAGTCCAATCCACGAAAACCGCCCAGGAGCTGCTCGAGGCGAACACCTCCAGGCCTGCTTCTAGTGAAGTCACTCCAGACGCCACGGTCATTCGCTGGAGAATAAGCTCCATGTTCACAGGATCCAACAACTAACTGGTTTGAGCAGAGGAAGGGCGGGAGGAAGTGTTGATCAATTTCCCCAGCGAAATAGGATGGTGGCTATATGTATAAACCGAGATGTGTCTGTCAGGGAAGATCACTTTAACATTCCTTTTTGCTTTGAGACGCATTACCGCCTAGAAACGTATAACACTTTTGTGGCATCATTCAGTGTCACAAATATTTCCTCCTCATCAAGAGATTCTAGCCCAGCCATGCAGACAAAAGAGAAACCAACACCATGGGAAAACAGAAGCGCAATCAATCTGTTAGCTTTTAATCTGTTTAGGAGATGCAATAGATTTCAATGCTATGGCCTTTTTGTATAGAACCGTACCAATTCATATATATTGACAAAGTGTGGCAGTCTTAAAAAAGATGAAAGCTCTTTGGCCAGGTGGGAGTCATATCACTTGATATCCTAGACTCTCTATAACCAATTCCGGCCCCCAACACTTTGGTGTGAGCATTTGTATCGTCTGAATAGATCAGCTTTCAATGAAAACGCCCCTGGTATAAGAAACAGGCACCACTTAAGTGAAAGTGATTTTGCTTGCATATGTTTGTTTAAAAACAAGGCAAGTAAAAGCAAGAGTTCGAAAGGGCTTCTGGTCATCATGTGCGGGAAATTCGATTCGCATGTCAATTAGTTCTACATGGTTCGTAGTTTCAATTGCCTGAAGCTTCATCAGTAGACGCCAAATGATGACAACTCTGTACTCATGCATTTGATCCAGTCAACGTTCCGTCGCCTCTTTTTTCATACATAGTAATGCTCATAATGAGAGCCATGTGTCTGCCGTCTGACAAGACAACCAGTACAGTGTGGGGATCGTTATGGTTTTTTATTTGTGTTGAAAGTATGTGATCTCACTGAATTTTGGGGGGGGGCGGCTTCTATCTGGCTGGGGGCTATCGAATTTCTGTTGATAGCGGGATTGTCATTCGAAAATGAGGTGAGAGCCGTCGGGGGGAAAGGGCAATTCACCTCAAACAGGAGTATATATCCCGAAAGCGGCCCGAAAAAGAAAGGATATTTTGTATTCACAGGAGTGGGATTTTGGATATGGGTCCCTTTTTTGGGTTCGGGAGCGGCCCGTTTACGGCTCTGCCGCGCGGAAGAGCGGTAAAGTGAAACCTAGCCAGCGGGCGCTTGGCCTGATCCGGCGAGGATCATCTATCCATCTCACCAGGAGTCCATGACATAGGAAATAGGGGAAGAAGTTCGTTGTATCTGTGTTTGGCGACGAAATAAGAGAAAATAGAGTCTACCCACCCACCATTGCATGTTGTGACGAGCTTCGAAGGGTTGGTGGTCATCGCGAGATTTGGGCTGTACTTCCAAGATTCTTGTGTTTTCACCGAGCAGTTCCCAGCAGAGGAGAGAAGGTTTGAGGTAAAGACCTTCATGGTATGAGCTAATGAGTGGCTGCCGATGGACTGATAAACCCGCCTCTCTTCCTGTTTTTTTCAGCTTCCCCGATGTTGTGGTGGCACTGCTGGATGAGACAAAAAAATGACGGCGTCATACGTAGGAAGCGCTAGTTCCCGGGAACCAGGCAATCGTAACTTCGCTTCCGAAGAGCCACTTTGAGGGGCTGGTTAAATTCATTCGAGGAGACTTTGAGGGACCGGTCTGATATTACGGCGTGCGTATTGTGGATATATTTCATGACAATGACGAATGACTTAAAGAATGGGAAGGGCGAGAAGTACGAGGATGAGTGATCCTGAGGCGATTGCTCAATGATCAACAAGGCCGATAATCATAATCACACTGGAGCATAATAAGCACCATGAAAAGTCGGACATAAAGCAGTACAGAACATCGAGTCAAGGAAAGGTCAATGGGCATCGGGCACTGCATGAGGGACTCTGGATGCGCGCCGTTGCCGCCAGAGCTGGTCTCAGATGATTCGGAAGCTGCCTCCCAGGCTGGTCCCAGTCAGTCGGGTCGGACAAAGGGCAAGACGCTCGATGTTTTTGTTTGCTTTTTCAGATCCCCTTAAGGTGGCTTCCCATATTTTTTTCCCCCTTTCCTGATATGCCATTACGTCTCCGAGGGCCTTTGCCCCTCCCAAGCGCTCCACTCGATCGTCTGCACCATCATTCATTCATCGATAAAATGGCCGAGCTAATGGCGAAAATTAGGGTTAGGGTCAGTTTCCGAGTTTTGGGGAACCACCTGTTTTACAGGCATGCCGTTCCTCCGCCACGACAGCCAGAAATTAGTTTAATTTTATTCGACAACATTCGGCACGCGTCTGTTTGGCTCCTTTTTCTTTTCCGGCAACAAGCTCGATACTTTCCGGGAGATCGCGGCATGGGTCGAGGGAACCAGTTTGGGATGGCCCACTCAGAGATCCTGGGATCAACCGATAAAACGCGTTTGCGAGGCGTAACTGGATGAGTGAGATTCGTCTGATCTAAATTCTACCCTGAGCAGACTGAATGTTTGTTTACATTTACGAGTGGAGTGGGATCGCGGAGATAGAGATACGATCTCTCATCCATCCATTCATTCACCCATCCGTCGTTCTGCTACTGTCTCACGTCTGTCTGATTGCTCAAATATATTAAAAGGGACTAGGCGTCTCGAACCCATGTTGCCGTTTGGCAGTTCTCCACTCTGTCACCCCCCTAGACATTTGCAAAGGGGTGAGCGCTGATGAGCAGCTACCACCACGTAATAATGAAAAGGCACAGGCTAAGGGTTAGTCTAAACCCAAAGGGCAAAAAATGGAATGAGACGGGGGTCCCAAGCCGATGGCCTAGCGCAATCAAAGTTTTTCCTCGTGGCGTGTCATCGGAGGGGTGACCCTGTTTTCTCCCACAAGTTCTTGCGCCAAAGGCCCACTGAGCTCCCAAGGTTGGTTCCTTTCTTTTTTCGGGTTTTCCGCTGGCTCGCTAGAATATTCGCAGACTTTTTTTTAATCTTCCGTTATCAATTTGCAGAGTGGCGCGCAAAGCAAAAATATTACTCGCAAAAAGACGACAGCAACAACACCAAATAAGTAAGAAAAGAAAGAAAAAGGAAAAAGCCAGCGAGAAAAGGCCAAAAAATCCTTTATGCGTGACTTCCCCGCCAAAGTCGCGATAGCGTTCTGATCTCACAAAGCATAATATGATCATGATCACCGTGCATTGCAGCAGGCAAGACCCCAAGCTGCACAAAGCTGACAAAACGCTATTTTCCGCGCGAATACAAAAGGGGCTCTGGCAAAAAAAAAAAAAAAAAAAAAAGCAAAACAAGCCTGACTGGTCTTATTGGTAGATTTCCATGTCAAAAGCCATCAAAAGACAAAGAAAATGGAAAGAAACCAATCAAGCATCTGCACAACTGGAAAAAATAAGAAGCAAAGCAAAATAACGATTTATTGCACGTTATGAATAAGTATCATTGGCCAACTCTCCTACTGTCGACCATCGCTACTCATCCTCCCATTGGCTCTGAATCCCAATATTTATTTTAATCGCTTCTGTCTCTCTTGGGGAAGTTTTTTTTTTTTTTTTTTTTTTTTTTTTTTTTTTTTTTTTTGAAAAAAAAAAGAACTTTGAAAAGAAAAGTAAGCTCCATATCGTGGGCGTATTTTGACGGACAATTCGTCTGCTGTGTTTGATTTCCTCAGTTAAAAAAAAAAAAAAACACACGTCAAGTATGGAATATCATAACAAAAACTGAACCAGTCTTGTTTACGATCTCATGATGCGACACGAAGTTTCGTGTCTTGGTTTTATTACTATGATTATATTATTTTACTGTGACTGGTATTATTTCATTATTCTCGCGATTATTTCAATCGCAGGCAACAAGGCTGTTTCCTTCTCATGATCGTGGTGGTACGGCCAAGCCCGCCCGCCTTCCAAGACCCATTAAAGCCGTTATCTTCAAGGTTCTAGCTTCTACTATATTAGCACAGAGGACACACAGGCCTCGTATGAAACTCGAGCTAAGAATACATCGAGCGTGAGGTTTCGATATCATGTCGTTCTTTTCTTTGCTGGTGCTTCCTCGGCGCTTTTTCAGAATTCTGCGTGGAGGAACAAGTTTAGTGTCGTTGGGTTCAAACAGATTTGTTGCTACGTTAAAGTCTTGCGTTGAAGAATGGCAAGAAAATCGGATAATGAAAAAACTGCCGCAATCCGTTCGGTACCATGAGATCGAATCCTTACATGCGTGGAGCAGGAGCTGAAGCAAGAGTTAACATACCGCGATACCCAGCTAATACGGGCATGTACCCGTCATGTACTAGTACGACATTTTGGTGCCAAACGCTGCTGTTACGGAGAGTAACGTTCGTGTGACTCTGTGAGAGCGAATCAGAGAGCCACAAAAAAGTGAGTTCATGCAGACGTGCCTGGCGAGCAATGTTCTCCAGCTTCGATTCAGGCTCACTTTCGGCTTCACGCCCCAACCCGCATGGTTCGAGTTGTGTTGGCGGCTAGTTGCGCGGGATCAGATATACCATGGTTGATGGTTGAAAGGCAAACTTTCAGGTACAAAATCCAAAGAAGCCAAACTCAATAAATGTCAAACAATAAACAATAAAACCTAAATCCAAATCAACGAAAAAACACTGGGTTGGATATCAGAAACCTGTGCGCGCACTGCGTTAATTCTCCTTGGATGTTTTTTTCCTTGCCTCGTGGTTGAGAGCTGGGATCAGGGAGCGGAAAATGCATGGGGTTCGTTAAACGAGATGCGACAGAAGTCGCAGAAGAGAGAGATCTCGCCCATCTTCTGGGACATCCCTCCATCGGCAGGTTCCTGGATATTTTCTCAGAAAACCCGGGCAGGCCTTCAGCTTGGGCGACACCTCGCCCCGGTGAATCATCAGAAATGAAATTGGCCCTGTCAGAAAATCAACAAGGTTGCGGACAGGGAGAAGCGATTGCTGATATGCTTTCTCTCCGCCACGCGAGAGAGGTAAATATTAGAAAACACCTACAGTACAAGGGTAATGCGTAATACCAGTCAGTACACGAGTCCCTGTTGTCATAGCGCTGGCTAGGGTCAGACCAGCCCCATTTGGTGTGCATTGTCCACAACGGCAAGTCTCTTTTTTGTCTGCGGGAGGGCGAAACAAAGCATCGACTACCTTCATCGCTCTTCAAGCTGGCAGAGAGGGGGATGGTACTCAATGACAACTCCGGCCTGTGACGAGAAGCTCTCTCGTTTTGCACGACAGCCCTTTTTGTTCAAATTATCTTCTCGACGAGTCTGGAGGGAGGGTACTCAGGAAAAAAAAGCGCTAGTGGCGCCTCAACACGCGGTTGGTTTGCTAGAGCCCTCCAGGTGGAGCCCTTGTAACTTGTTGGAGTCTCGTTGAGTCTTTGGAGTCTTGGGGACGGGCAAGTGGGCACAGAGCAAGGCCATCGATAGTTGATCTCCACCGCCGGACCGAAGCCTTTCCTCGTTGGAGCTGTCACGTTTCCAGGGGCTGGTGCTGTCACAGAGCAATCCACCAGCAAGACCAGATAGATCCCTTCCCTCTCCACAACGAGAAAAGCCAGAGAAGCCAGAGAAGCCAGAGAGAGGATTCTGAGGGAAACCCACTAGAGGAGCCAGCTCTCCTTTCATTTAGCGGCTCCCCATCCAGCGGATCTGCTCCCGTTGGTCTGGTCAGTGTGAGAGCGTCTCCCTCCCTTTCCCGTCCACCACCGACCGCCCTCATTTCGCCCCATCCCATCTCACTTCATCTCACTCTACTTCGTACCTCGACACTTCTCTCTCTCCTCTTCCCTCTCCTCCTCATCCATCCCTTTCTGTCCTCGTGCGTTCTCTCCTGTGTGTGTTCGCCCTCCTCGTCCTTGTTCCTCGTCTTTATCTTCTTAGGCGTTCTTGATTCCCTCCTTTTGTCCATCTACCCCATCCTACTGCATACCTCCACCTGCAGCCATCCCACCCTCTATCTACCCTTGCGTTCTGGTTGGAAGAACATGGTATCACTTTGCCTCTCCTGCTCGTTCTCCCACCAAACTTTGCAGTCACTCATTTACTCTTTCCATCGCTGAGAGGGGAGAAAAAGAAAAGTTGCCGTTGCCAGTAGGACCAAGGGTCGGAGTCCGCATCTTGCCTTATACCGAACATACAATCGCCTTCGAGAATGCTCACATCGCACCCTTTATATTATTAATTATTTTTATCTATATTAATATCTTGACAATCCATCGCACCTACACTCATACGTCGCATTTGCTACAGCTTTGAGAACGGGAGGGTTTGAGGAAGCGTGCCCTTTGATTGAAGGTATATTCTAACCATTCCTCCACACTCCCATCCCATCCCAACTACGAGATGGAACTATCAACAAGGGTTGGGCATGTTTTGCTCCCGCTTTACTACTTGATGGGTTCCATTTACTAATCTGAATTACCTACGGAGTAATAGAGTTCGCCAAGTTGAAACTTATCGGTCTCTTTATCTATCCTCAATACAATCCATCTGCAGGCAGAAAACCGCACACGCACACATACACAATGACTGTTACGTACGATCAATCGTACCGTAACGCTAATATGGGGACTGCCACGCTCGAAGAAAAGTTCGAGGTGATGAAGGAGATTGGAGATGGAAGCTTTGGGAGTGTCGTGCTCGCTAGAACGCGGACCGCGGGCTCTCATGTCGCGAAGAGGGGGACAATGGTAAGAGGCCCCTTTCCCTTTTTTTTTTCTTCTCACGATTTGATTGATGGTTCTATCCGCGCACTGGGAGAGTTGGAAGAAAATTTGTCTGACTGTCTATGTTTTATCATTCGCACAGATTGCGATCAAGACGATGAAGAAGACCTTCGAATCCTTTTCGTCATGTCTAGAGTTGCGTGAAGTAATCTTCCTCCGAACCCTTCCGCATCATCCCCATCTCGTCCCCGCTCTCGATATATTCCTCGATCCAATGAGCAAGAAATTGCACATATGCATGGAGTATATGGATGGGAACCTTTACCAGTTGATGAAAGCTCGGGAACAGAAATGCCTCGATTCGAAGACTGTGAAGAGCATATTATTCCAGATTCTATCCGGATTGGATCATATCCACGCACACAACTTCTTCCATCGAGATATCAAGCCCGAGAACATATTGGTTTCAAGTACTGCTTCTGGCGATTCATCCGCGTTTAGTCGATTCACCCCCCCGGCCACACCTTCGACTTTCAGTGTGAAGATCGCGGATTTTGGGCTTGCCCGAGAAACTCATTCGACAGTACCATACACAACCTATGTTTCGACGCGGTGGTATCGTGCACCGGAAGTTCTATTGCGGGCAGGCGAATACTCTGCCCCAGTGGATATGTGGGCTGTTGGAGCCATGGCGGTGGAAATCGCTACCTTGAAACCTCTGTTCCCCGGTCGGAATGAAGTGGATCAAGTATGGCGCATTTGTGAAATTATGGGAAGTCCTGGTAACTGGTACAGTAAGTCAGGGAATAAAGTTGGTGGGGGAGAGTGGAGGGAGGGTGCCAGATTAGCTCAAAAATTGGGTTTTTCATTCCCCAAGGTAATGCATAAAACCATATCTGCTTGAACAAACAATGGATTGAATGAATATTTGGGGGTTGCATATTTACTAATTACGCATATAGATGGCCCCCCACTCAATGGAGAGCATTCTCCAACCTCCCCACTGGCCAGTTGCCTTTAGCAATTTTGTGACTTGGTGCCTAATGTGGGATCCCAAGAGCCGACCAACATCCTCCCAGGCTTTGAACCACGATTACTTCGTTGACGCAATTGATCCACTTCGACCGAAATCTTCCCGCCTGCTTGGCCGGAAACAATCAGACAAGAGCTTCAAGTCAGCCGGACGGGATACTAACGATTCCCCTGCTCTCTCAACGAAGGCCTCCTGGTTCCGAAGATCACTGATTGGACGGGACAGCCCTGCACCTGTGCTTGAGGAGGACGAAAGCCGTCGACTCCCAGCAATTTCTCACAATGCTTCCCCGGACCTGCAGACCACTAAGCCCAAACCGGTTGCAACCAAACGTGCTACGTGGACGAATGGCGCACCTATGCCAATTCTCCCATCCATTCGTCCAGTCTCCCCCTTATCTAATGCTGTTACCGCACAGGCTAACTCCAGTTTATCCCACGCCAACGATGGAGCGACCGCAAATCATTCCGAGAACGGTCAAAAGTCAAATAAGAAGATTGGTCGACAGCTGTCTGTGAACTCGAACGGTAATCACTATTCGGATGTCCACCGCCAAGAAGCGGAGCGAGCACTTAATGGCGGCGGGGGTTTAGCAACTCCTGCGAGTGCCACGAAGGAAAGTTTCTTTTCTCACCTTCGAAAACGTGCGCGCAGACTTTCTGGTCGGAGCCAAGGAACGTCGAACAACAGCAATAGCAACAACTGTGATGACGTCGAGGCCAACGCAGGATGCGTTCCCTGGTCGAATCGTTCCTCCATGGCACTTGATTCGGTGAATCTTGCGGACCAAAAGCCTGGTGCTGATTTTGCGGAGTTGGATAAGGCCCTACAAAATGTGCGATATAGCCTGGATATCACATCACCCAGCCTGCCCACCCACCTTGCTTCACCGACCACTACCAATGCCCCATCAAATCGACAGTTGATACCACAAGGACCATCTGTACGTAATACCGAGAATTATGCGTCTAACCCAACTTCAGGTCCGATTTCCAGCCGGACACGACGAGCGCTTCAACTCTCTACCCATCCGGTTAATCGATATGAGACGCCCGAGGAGGAAGACGAACTACTTCACGAGGTTCTCCATTCCACCACCAAGGCTGCACGACACCTTGGTCAGCGATCAGTAACCATGGACGATATGACCCGCGATGAGATATTCAAGAAGGGAAATTATCAGTCAATCCGTGCAATCAATCCTACTAGCCCTATATTGAATCCGTACCCGACACCTTCGCCGTCTTCCAAGTGTGATGGAGCATTCTTTGGACCGGAAACACTGACCCCATCGAAGCCACTGAGAATGAACAAGCCCGATAACATCGCTGATAAACACGATTCCACCCGCCAATGGCCCACTCCTCCGTACGATGAAAGCCAATGGGCTGAATCTGCCGCAGAAAGTATCTTTGCCGCCGTGGGATCTACCTTCCGGTAGATTTTTTCTCTCCGACGCATGTCTCATTTTCCTTTCTTTCATTTGGATGATAAATGGCCTAATAATTCTTTACTTTTTGCTATTGCAGCGACGTTCTGGGCTTCTCGAAAATCTCAAAAACATCCCACCTTCGGTTCGCTTCCTTCATCATTTCTCCTTCGCGGGCTAAAATTTCTTTCAATACTTTTCTCGCCTCTCCATTGCTACAACTTGTACACTGATTCTGGTTGGCGTCAGGCTAAAGGTTTTATTTTCTTTTGATTTCATCCAAACACCCAACGCCAGCCACCGCTCTTACCATCATTACCAGCAGCATTTCCCTCTTTTGTTTGCTCTTATTGCAGCTTGATATCGCTTTGGCGGATTATGGGTTTCACTCATCTTTCCTTTCTTACTAGGTCTCAACTGATTTTCACTTACATCTTTTCCCCTGCTCAACGGCCTGCTGGGATCTAATATTTGCGTTATTTCCCCCTTATTTCCAGTTTTATTATCATTTGCTTTATTCTTTCTCACTTCATACCCCCGGGCCATATTTTTATTAGACTTTTACCCTGGCCTTGCTATTTCATCTTTGTTTTGTTTTACGTTTATTATTTTTTATTTTTTTTGTTGTTTTGCTCACCCTAGTAACTTTTTAATACCCACGTCCGCATATAATCTGCATTTTCTTCGACTTTCGATCTCCGTTCATTTTAGCTAAGTCCCGTGGCTGGCTGGCTTGATTGATTACGTTTCTATTTACCTTTTCTCTTTCCTACCTTTCATCTTTTCCCTCCTAAATATGCGTTTATTTATACACATATATCATCCGCTCGACCGCGCAAGTCGCGATGTCTCCTATGTACTCACTTGTTTTCTTCTCCTTCCTTATCCCTTTTCCCTTTTATTGAACTTGTGTTTTGGCAAAACCTTTTTAAATCATCTCGTCGTTCCCGATGTACCCCCTCCTGACAACCTCTCCTGTGGGTAATCCCCAAGCCCAGTTCTGGCACCAGCACATTCTCTCTCTCCTAAATCTCCTTTGTTATATTATTTACCTTTTACCTTTTACCTTTTTCTTCTTTAAATGTTCCTGTTACTTCTTTCACTTCCCCTGTACAATTTACAGCCATTTGTGTTTTGCTTACTAGCGTCACCACCACTTTTCTCACATTATATAGATGCTATGTGTCACTAGATCCTCACTTAATCCTAACCACATCTACCTATCTCAGCCTCAATCAGAGTCTTTTCTTTTCGTAATCGATCCCCTAGTCAGTTCTTAGCTACCGCTCGTATAATCAACATACCAGACCCCATCCTAACGTTCCAAGGTCCCCTTGGTTGTTTCTCTATTCTCCTTCACAGATGTCCCATCGTCGGCCTCACATGGTCCAGTTAAAAAAGCAAGAACATGGATTTGGAGTTTGTAGCCTTTTAGAGGTTTGATATCAGAGTAAGCGCGTTAGAAATAGTTTTGAGAGTTCCGTAAATTAATAATACAAACTTATTTGTTTAATTCCCTTTTTCGTCTTTTTGTTTGTTTCATTGACGGGTTGTTTTCTTCGTCTTTGGGCTGTTTTTTTTTTTTTTTTTTTTTTTTTTTTGGATGAACTGTACGAAAAACGCCTAGTTATAGAATTTTGAGATAAAAGACAAGTCTAGTACAAAGATAAAAAAGGGTTAATAATTAATCCAATAGGGTTTACAATTTATTCAGATTTATTGAATGTGCTCCTGCGCGAAGTAACGAGTTAGTGCGGTTATACTTACTTACTTGGCCATCGAAGCCCGCAGTTGCGTATATCGGAACAATGGCTCTTCCGGTAAAACAAACCAGAGCTTCCATGGTTTCAACCGTTGAAGCTTTGCAGGATCAAAACTCAATTGTCCGCTTTAAATATTCAACCTTTATGAAATGCTGGTTAGTAACTAGCTTTGATAGCAACAGCAGAGTCGTTTCGGGTGAAGTCTAGACTCATTGACTACAAGGAGTAAAAAACAGATCGCGATTTCGATTTTTTTCATTGGGAAAAGTAATTTATCTATCTCCTTCCCAGGGCTCTGGAAAACTGCCGCCGCACCCCATCTATCTGCAAACAGCAAAGCAAAGCAACGCAACGCACGAGAAGAACGAAAAATTAACCGGTCCACCCCACCCCGCGGCGCGAAGCGTCAGCGCCGTCCCGCTTAACTGACACCCACCCACACACTCACACACACACACAATGGCAACCACCGCCACCTACTCCTCCACCGCGCAGATCCCCTTCCTCTCCCCGGCTGAGCTCTCCTACTTACACACCTCCCTCTCCTACCCGCACAACCCAATCCGCACAGATGGGCGCGCCGCAACGCAGTTCCGCCCACTCACGGCGGAGACGGATATTCTCCCAGGCGCCAACGGGAGTGCGCGTATTGGATTTGCGGATGGGACGCAGGCGATTGTCGGGGTTAAGGCGGAGGTGGAGAGGACGGTTGTTGGTGGGGTTTTGGATCGGGAGGGGGGGATTGAGGGGGAGGAAAATGGGGAGGGAGGAGGAGGAGAAGGCGGCGGGCAGGAGGGCTGGAGGGGAAAGGGGAGGGGTGGGGAGAGCTCGTGGGTGGAGATGTCGATTGAGATACCGGGGTTGAGAGACGATGATTCGTTGCCTGTGTTTTTGGCGGAGATGATGAGGGAGGCGTTGATGGTTTCTGGGTCTGGGGAGAGGGATGAGTTGAAGGGGAGATTGGTTATCAATGGAGGGTGGCATTGGAGAATCTATATCGATGTGAGACTTGGTTTCTTTCTCCTTTTCTTTCCTTTCCTTTGTCATGTGCTTGATCCGTACAGCATATACTGACATCTGCACAGATCCTCCTTGTCTCCCCACCTCTCTCGTATCCCCTCCCGCTCCTCTCGCTAACAACGCATCTTGCTCTCCTCTCCACGAAATTACCTCGCCTCATTTCCGGGGACGAAGAGGATCCCATGTTTGACGACGACTGGGCTGCTGCGGAGTATCTATACCCACGACGCCCATCACGGGCACAGGAACAGCAACAAAAAATACCAAGTTCGGCAACATCAGCTACGAAAACAACAACAGCAACAACAACAACACCGTCCATACTCCACCCCTTCCGTCCTCCCGTAACCCTCCTCGTAATCTCCGTAGGCGACAACATAATCTTCGACCCCAGCCGGGAAGAAATCGCCGTTGCAGAAGCTGTGCTTGCCGTCTCCATCGGGCGTGATACTGCCATCGCCCAGGATGAAAGCACAGCCAACAACACCCTAAAACTCCTCTCCATCCGCACCATTGACCCGCCTTCCCGGATAACAAATCCAGGCGTCCCGAATTCAGAAAATGCAGCTACGATTGGGTTTGCGGCTGGTGGCGGTGCAGGTGCAGGCGAGAACGAGATGGGCACGGCGGGGCCCGCGGGGGCAGCCGTTGATACAGGGGAAGATGTGGCTGGCGTTTGGAGGCCGAGGAGGGGCGGGGTGAAGAGGAGTGTCGTTTCGAGGATTGTGGAGATGGTTTTAAAGAAGGGCGGGGTTGGAGAGGAAGTTATGGAAGGGTTGGAGGGGGTGGAGGTTGGGTGATTTCTCCCCATCATTTTATGTCTTGGGGTTGTTTGGGTGTTGTTCCCTTTTAATAGCTTTTTTTGGGGGGGGATTGTTTCTTTCGTTCCTTGATTTATTATAGTATTCGGGTTAGTTGAAAAGGAGGCATCATGTGTGTGATTAATTTTGATTTAACTGGATTTGTATGGATGTATATACTATCATGGGGTTAACATGGGTAAAATAAACGTAGCAAAGCAAAGGCTTTGAAGGAGCTTTGGGAGTGCTAGAAATATCCAGAGGCACACCTATATACACCATACACCATATCCCAATGATTTATATTCACAACTACCATACCACGACACAATCATGTATGTATATATAATGGTATAATAAAAACAAGATAAGGCCGCAGACACCTGATAAACGTATATTATACAGTTCCCCTCCACACTGGGCCAAAAACAAAAACGTGAAATTTATCTACACACATATATCAAGCCCAGTCAATTTATGCAACAATCATCCCCTGTATTGACGACGCTAACCAGCGCTCTTACCATATACCCAACCACTTCTTAATCGGCCTCCTCCTCCCTTGAACCGCCTCTCCTTCTCCACCCGCTCCATCCACCACAACTTGCCCGTCAGCGGCAGCAACAGCAACTCTCTCCCCTTCCCCTTCCGCAGCCCTAACCCCCTCTTCCACCACCTCCTCCCCTTCCTCCTTCTCCAACCCATGCGCCCTCCTATATGCCCTCCGCTTCTCTACGTCGTCTGTCCTCTTCTTCCGCTTCTCCGCCGTCTCCAGTGTCTGGTGGTCCGCATGCATTTTCAGCACCGCCATGGCCTGCGAGACGGTGTCGATGGGGTGGGTGAGGAGCTGCGACCAGGACGGCAGCAGGTGCGCGAAGGGAGAAGTATGTTTGAAGTTTGTAGTGAAGGTGAATGTTGCGAGGGAGATGAGGACGGACTATGCACGTATGGGTATAGGTAAGTTTGGGCCTTGGTTCTTCTTCATGGACAGGTGCATGTTTGCATGTTTTTGTGTGTGCTTGCTTGGTGTGTTTGTGTGTGTGATAGGGGGGACGGGGGAAGGGTTAACCCACCATAGAGATCCAAACGTGAATACCCCTGTTCGTCAGAAACTTATGCATCACCGTCCCCTCCGGGGGGAACATGTTCGGATACCGCTTCGTCTTCTTCTCTGCCAGCTCCGCTTCAGAGAGACGGGGCCCTGGGTAGTTGCGGGGTTGTGAACTGCGTGGGTTCATCACGCGCCGTGCTGGGTGGGACGGGGGCCGGAAACGGTCTGGCTTCTCGAGGACACGGGCGGAGGAGGTCTTGGTGGGCTTTGATGAGGAGCTTGTAGATTTCAGGCGGAGGGGAGTTGCTTGTAGCGAGGCTTGCTGTTGGCCGACATTATGGGATGCGAAGCAGAGGAGAGTTCGTTTTGAGATCCCTCTCGGTAGCAAGAAGGGCGGGATCCAGCGTTGGGAGGCCATCGCGCGCTGCGCGGGATGTCCCTTTGAAATTTAGTAACGATGAAATCTGTGGTTGTGGTTGTTGTTGTTGAGGCGGTGATATTTATATTATTTTTTTTCTTTGTGTTGAAATGAAGATCTCGAATTGGGTTTGTAGATCACGTGGTATTGCATATTCGATGGGCAAGGGTACGGAGCCCACTCCGGCATTGTTGCGGATATTGCTGTGGAGGATAAAATAAGGTAGGCTGGGTATCTAAATGGTCTTGTTTTTCTATCAAAAAATAATTAAAATATTGAGAAATATGAAATGGGGGATCGGCTGGTTGATATTAGTATGGAGTTGAACCATCTGTCCTCCACCGCCATCTCACTCACAACCAGACCAGCATACTAGTACTAGCATCGACTCTGCTGTTCCACCGAATGATATGTGATTCCTTCGGAAACACAACTCGATTCATCCATGGAAGTCATTTGGACAGCAAACTACCAGTATGTCCGCCCTGGTCAATCATCTCCACGATTATCCGCCGCTGATGTCATTTCCTTCTTGCTTGTATCAGTCTTGGCATGCATACAAACACATCACGTGAATTACACGTGATTTAATGACTAAACATCCGAAATCCCCCGATGGCCACGGATAACACGGCAGCTGATTGGCCGAGGCTGGCAGCTGACCTATCACAGGTCGGGCAAAAGCGATTAGGAATCCTGTTTGGGGTTTAGTGCGTCATGTGCAGGTGCCAAGCATCCGGTTTGTTTGCGGCCTCGAATTCGGCCAGAGACACGGGGGAAAAAAAATCTTATCTTCAACCACGGTGTTTTCCACGTCTTCTTCTTTCTCTTTTCCTCTCTCTACCTCGAATTGGATCTCTCTCTCTCTCTCCTTTTGTGTATATTATCTCTTTTGTGTATTATTAGCATAGACTTTTTTTCTTCAACACCTTCACAATGAGCTTCTCTGCTGGTATGTCCTTCCCCCTTCTTCCCGCCTTCCGTCCAACCTGCTTGCCGGCCGCTCTTGCAGTCGATTCCGCTGCCGCTGCTGCTACGAATGGTGCTGGTGCTGGTGCTGCTGGCGATGATATATAATACAAGATTGCTGGCATCTCTGGCGGTGTCGGTTGTTCATCTCTGCACTCACAGCCTGCTCCTATCCTCATTGCCATTGCAACTGTTTGCGTTACATTGTGAGCGTCCCAAAACACACAAAAACAAAACAAACTCAACAGCTTTACTGCCATTCCTTTGCACAGAGTGACAAATCCCCTACACATTGCCACAACCAGCAACACAACACATCACTGCTGCGCTGGTGGCATGTATCCTTCCTTCAGCCAGTTCTCCTCTTCCCATGCACCCTATCCCTCCTTAAAACAGCTCTCCTCTCGTGCAATAACTACTGCGCTCTCCGTCATACACGACTATATCCTTCCAATTCCCCATACCATCTCCAGGCATATTCACCAGCAATTCTTTCACCCGCGCCCATCCTCCCACGGCACCAGCCGCAGAGAGAAGGCCACCAGCGGCAATGAGCATAATGACTGCGGTAGTGTGGATGTCGTACGCGATCGAGGAGCAGGAGGCAGAAAACGAGGAACGCGAACGCAGGAGACGGCAAGCAGGGCTTCAGCTTCGGGAGGATGCTAATTTCTCTCATTTTTCTTCTTGTTCAGGTGACTCTGCTAAGGGTGCTAACCTCTTCAAGGTATGTGCACTCATGCTCCTTTAAATTTATCCGCATTTACATATAGTTCTATACAAAAACACTCGCTGACCATGGGAATGTTTTTTAATCCATTGCAGACGCGCTGCGCTCAATGCCACACTCTTGAAGAAGGCGGTGCCAACAAGATCGGTCCCAATTTGCACGGACTTTTCGGCCGCAAGAGTGGTCAGGTCGAGGGCTACTCCTATACCGATGCCAACAAGTCGAAGGGCGTTGTTTGGAATGAGGAGACTCTGGTACGGGTTTTCCTCCCTTATTTTTGGCCTATATATTTATATATGTGACACGCCGCTAACTCGTACCGTGACAAATAGTTCGCTTACCTCGAGAACCCTAAGAAGTACATTCCCGGCACCAAGATGGCCTTTGGCGGTCTCAAGAAAGCCAAGGACCGCAACGATCTGATCACGTATGTTCTGTTGCAATAACTTGTCCAATTTTCCAACAAACCCCCTTCCCCTCTTTTTATTCCATTTTTATGCAAAAGCTAACAAAACCTCTCAACTACTTTTTCACAATATAGCTACCTTAAACAAGAAACCAAATAAAAACGAGAATTTATAATTTCGTCAATAATTAACGCCTCTTTACCCTTCCTCTCGTGTTCCGCCTCTTGCTTCAACTCCCTACCTAGAGGAATACCTTTTCCCTGATGACCTCCAAAATACGCCCATTTGTACATTTTTATAGAGACTTTTTTTTCTGACCAAGTTAGCGTTTGCCTGGCAACCCATAAAAATTACAACCACCCCCCTCTATCGTCCAATCTAGTTCAGCCTCGTCCTATCCAGTTCTGTCTCTAGAAACTCGAACAAGAAGCCAAATATACCCCTCCCTCATTTTTCTATTTCTTCCACTTGGTATGGTTTCTCAAATTATGCAAGAATGGTTCCGTTTGGTGTGAAAATTGCGGGGCTTTCTAAGTGGGATGTTAGCTTTTTATTGGTTTTCTTTCTGAGGAGTGAGACTAACTGACTGAACTGGCTGAACTGAACTTTGTTTTCTTTCTCATTTTCTTGAAAGAACGTGTAATAATACCAAAACAGCTTCCTTTTATTATTAATTCTTCTCCTTCTCTTCAAACTATGCTCTATTCCTTTCTATTCATGTAGAACTTGCCCTTCTCTTTTAGACCGTTTAGCTTAAATGGTGTATGAGTCTTTTTGTGAGATGTACTTATTCTGGTGTGGGTGTCAGAAGATTTAAATGGCCTCTTATTACGAATCTAACAATTTCTTATTCTTATATTGGTCCAACTTTCTTAGTGTTTGGATCTCCCTGCTTCAACTCTGTTGTGGGCTTAATTACACCACCGTCCTCCGTATTTGCTCCGTGGTTCTATTCCCCTTCAGTAGAGAGTAGTAGCTTGAACTTATCTTCTACCAAAGGCAGTGAGTGATAAACGACACTCCCAGGGTGTGTTCGAACATTCGAGCGCCGTCTAGCATTGTTCGATAGACGCAGCTTGGTCGGTATGTTCTGATAGTTGGCTAGTTAAGTATGAATATCTTTCGTTGTCTATGGACTTCGCAACATATTCTTCTCTTCAGCAGCTCTCTCTCTCTCCCCCTTCTCTGGCCCCCCCTGACTCGACTTCGACGCTTCACTACTCGTACATTTACACCGTCGCGCTGAGTGGCCATCAGTAGGTAGGTGGCTTGGTCGTATGGTGCATATGCGAGTACATTATTATGTACGTCGGTGTGTATGTCATGGTCGTCCTATGCGTGACTATCCACATTTCATCGACACCGTCTATTTCTCTCTCTCTCTCTCTTCTTCTTTTCGGGTGCGTTTGTGTATGCAGCCTTTTCTGCCAGGTCCTGTCACGCAGTGCTATGCTAGGCTTTGCTAGGCTATGCTGTGTCGCAGGGCTGTCTCCTTCCTCTCTTTCCCCATGTAACGATACTTCATTAGTGAAAGGGACATTGCTGGTGCTGTTCTCAGCATCTGTTATATTAAGGTATTTACTTAAATATTTTTATGCAGCCCGTGGTTCTAGTTGCAGAGCACATTTAGGTATTTCCCATCGTCTGTATCCTGCCTGTTCTCTCCTTGACTGTTGAGGCAAGTTAACTGAATCTTTGTTCGAAAAGCAAGGCGGGAAAAGGAAACAAAGGAGCGAGAGAGAGAGACAGAGAGATATATATCCCTGTTCTAAGCTCCAGGCTCCATGCTCCAAGCTTGCGTAACTCGCGCAGATACTGGTATCCCTCTGCGTTCACTTAAATACTACATGCGCGCTAACTATCATTGTGACAGGGCGACATCAACAACTTCATATTTTTGCACCGGCTGCAAACATTTCTCCACGGAATCCCTCTTGTGTGGTCGCGGAAATATTGTTCATCCCTTTGTTCTCTGCGCCCCCTCCCATTCTGGGAAGAAATGGATGGACTGCATATCCATAGGCATGGGTTACCATCATCGGATTGTGCCGTGGTAATTGCATTCTGGTTCTAGCAGGAGGCGTCATACGAAGAGGTGTTTGGGGACATCACCATGGCCAAATAAATATTCTTTTCAATTCTCCATTTTAACTACGATTGGATGTGCATTTCCATCCATGAAGCTTTTCTCATTATCGGATGCGAATCCCAGCAAATTCTTAACGTTGGTCATTTGACATACTGCCCACTGTGATATCCCACGCAATTCGAACTCGATCAAATTGGTAGCCCCGAATTTGAGTTACAATGGGAGTCTATCCTATAATAGGTATCAAGGAACTGGATTATTGCTACCGAGCCAAGGGTGACATGAATCGGGGATGCGAGTAGCTATATGCGGGATCCGCGAGCGGCAGAGGCAGACCTCGAGGGCTACTATAGATTTGCCGCCAGGAAGGATCGGCAAGTTTGAGACAATACAACAAGCAGGGTGATTGGAATGGATGACAGTCTAAAGACATTTGGACTCACTGGATTCGATGGGAGATACCGTGGGCAATGGGCGCCGTTTCACCGAACACGAAGAATGCGAGGTGATTTCCTGCCCGCTCATTCTGAAGGCCATTTGTTGGAGGGATGTTTTCCAACAGCGAGTTGCCTAGGTACAGGACACGCCATTTCATTGATATGCTAGCGGGATCTCCAAGATTCGGGGGTTATGGATGACAGGACTTTGTTGAGTGACGGGGTTGAGAGACGGTTGATCAATTCTCCTACTGGTGATGCTTCATTTAACGAACGAGAGATGGGAGGAATTGCTGCGAATACTTCCATACCGCTCAATTAGCCAAGACAGCTCTTTTGGTATCGGCGACGAGAGGTATGCTTGTTAATTGACAGGGAGGATTTCTGAATCAAACCTGGCGACCGCGTCGGGAGCAGTTCCGCCCGTGCAGATTTGGCATGTTCGATTTGAGATACCTACGGGTTCTTCTTATACATTTTTTTATATTATGGTGACAAGGGACAGGTCGAATATGTCAAATAAATCGTTGGGGAAGACGATAACGGAGACTGTACAGGTTGGAATAAGGTACGAGAGCTAGCGAGGTGTTCGGGAACGGGGGATTTACGCTGCATTGTCGATCTGTGAATCTCAGACAAAGAAGATGGATCATTTCGTGTCAATGAAAACGGCGAACGCCACCAGAATGGGATCCGGCGAAAGGAGACTGGGAACAGAAAGCTCCCCTGTCATTGTCCTCAAAGGTGGATGTTCTATATTGTTCGCCTTAATCCATGATGCGGGCCTTCTTCCCCGAATTCTTCCCCGTTCTATCACGGGAGGAGATGGGGTTGGGGATGATGGGCTGGACTATAAAAAGCTATCAATCTCCCTTGGATATTGCGCTGGGATTCAACTACCATCCCTAGGTTTTCAATTCTCAGACGTGGAATTTCTTGGGGAAAAAAAAGGTGAGTATGCTATATCCAACATAACCCCCGGAAGAAAGGAGTAGTGCATACCTACTCCCTCATCATGTATAGGTCGTGCACAAAACACCTAACACAATATAGCATTTTACTTATCAAAGGAAGGAAATCATATACATTGCCTACTAAATCATGAAGTTTCTCCCGATCCTCGTCATGGCACTGGTTGCCGTCGTTGCTGCCACTCCTGCGCCCGCCCCTGAAGATCAAAGAAAGAAGAAGCAAAAACACTGCGGTGAATTCGGTGACCCATGCTCTAAGCAACCGTGCTGTGGTGGGCTTAGTTGTCAAGATGGCGTACGCTAAGCCCTGAAATCTATATCTCTAAAATTTTATACATCTATTTTGCTTCTCTTCTCCGTCTATCTTCCGATTTGATGATATCTTTGTATCTGTTCTCCGTTTAAATACTGATGTGCCTGATTGATAATTAAACAGGGAAAAAAACTTGTCTGCCTTCCGAAATAGGCGTAAAATATTCGAATCATCCTCGATTCCAGCAGGTCGTGAGTCGGCAGGGTGGTAAATGGGGGGACGAATAAACTAAGTATGTTGAGTTTGGAGAAGCTGAGGCGAAAGAGGTGAAAAGGGGTATAAAGGAAACGAAGGGGTCATTAAATGAAGCCACGTGGACTGATTTCATTTCTCGTTCCCTGTTCTTTGATATATTTATGCAAGAAGGAATGAGCTGCCCACTACCAATTGATTTCACCTCCTCCTTTGTTTGGCTCATACTCATGGTTATATGTTCAGGTTACAATTTAATTAGCGAGTGTGTACGGTGAATCGAGGGGCACCCATATAAAGTGAGAATGAAATTTTCTTTAAGACGAGATCGCATATTTTTTTTTCTTTCAAAAAGTCACCTTTAGATTATCTACTTCGAGGTTAACTACCAACTCTTTGCCAGGTCGAGTGGACCTTTAAGGATTTATATCTGAACTGGTGTTGTTGCGGACACCGCTAGATCTGAATATCAGACCAAGAAGATCTAGATAATTATATTCGGCGAATAATTTTAGTTTACTGCGTTTATATCGCGCTTATGAGGTGCGAAAAGGGCTAGTTGGGTGACATGTCCTGTCATTCCATTCCTCAAACTCGATCTCCTTACTGCTTCCAATTATGCTCTATTTCTACTGTTTTCTCTACTCCCTGAAGCTAATAATAATGTCAGGCTATATATGGAAATTCTTTCAATGTGCCTTGATGCTAAACAAAACGTAAGAATGTTTGGAGTAAATTGGGAGCCGTCCATCTTTCGACTCCGCATATAGTTGTGTACCGCAAACGTACTGCGCTTAGACATACGTAAACACGTTGGTACTGTGCCGTGGAATGTGGCATGCAATTGGAAGACCTGGAGACGGCGAAGAAAGAAGCAGAGCTGAAAGAATCAAAAACCTGCGCAATGCGTGCGCAGCGCAATGGCGGGGGTATGGGCTCCTTGACCAGGATAACAGTATCTATGCACGGGACGGTTTCATCGATTAGACTCGACGATGTGAAAAAAGATCTTGAGATGAAGACAGCACGGCACTCCTCCACCTTTTAAATAAGCAGGATTTTTCCCATGGAAAACGAAACTGGGCCGGGATTGCGTTCTCTTCCAAAGGTGAAAAGAATCAGTCGAATGTTTTCCAGGCTCAAAACTTACAATCGAATATCCCAAATACACCACCATACGAGAAGTTCCAACGATGAAGTTGAGCCAAGTCTCTTTACTTGTCCTCATAGTCAGCGCAACGGGCATCATCGCCTCTCCCGCACCCAATGCGTCAGATAGGAGGAGGTTTTCAGTCGAAGGAAATCATGTTGAGGAGAAGGTAGCTGGTTTAACCTGGATGCCGGACCCGACATATGAATGCCGTCCAGGGTCATTCTGTGCGGGCCTCAGAGGAAGGAGAGGGGTAAGTGAAAACCAAGTAAAATAAACATCTTCATGTATATCGATGGAACGAAGAGAGGTAGAGAGAATAGCAAAGGAGAAATCAAGCAAGAGAAAGAATCGAGGTCAATCGCTAATTTTCATATTTTACACCCTGGTTTCATGGGTGATGATAGTTATACCAACCAACTGAAGAGAGGCAGTTTGAAAGCCCCACTGCGAGGTGTAAGGATCGATACTGTATAGATAATGCAGGTTGCCCATGCCCGGGATGGTTCTGTGTAAGTTGTTGGCACTATTGATATATATCAGTTGCTCCAATTCGAATGAGAAGAGAAGGAGGAAGTGAAACTTCAAAGAAGGCGATGGATGGCCGACATGCACTAACAACATTGGGATATGTAGGAGAGCAAGGGCGGTTTCTGCAAAATTGGGAGCGCATTACCACAGAAGCTATCACCCGAACCCACGCCTGAGCCGGAAACTCAGGTACTTGCCCCTCGTAATGACATCCAAGAGGCAATGCACCAGAATGCGAGAGACATGTCTAATGTACGTGGCGGGGCCGGCAACGACAACTGGTGTCTTGAGAAGGGAAGGAATTGCGGCCCAGCTCCGACCCGTTGCTGTAAGGGATTGAAGTGTGAACGGACTGGAGAGCCCGATGGCGTAAGTTTGATATCTAGATTGCTTTCTCCCATCTCGCTTCACCGATGTATGCAAAGAAGCGAACTAACGTTTGTGTCTCTTGACAATATGCAGTTCACCTGGCTAGAGTGTAAGCCAGCGTAATCCACACTGTTTGGCCTTTGCCAGATTGCACGGCAATTTCTTTTTGCCATGGCTTCGAAGTAACTAGGCATTGGAGCTTTGCTTTTCGGTCATCATCGAAGAAGACAGTCAGTCGGCTCTTTGCCGAACGGAAATTTTCTCTTGATTTTCATTATGAATTCATTTCGCTTCGGGCAACAGAGCTCTTTTTTATTGGACTGCAGGTTGGATTTTTAAGACGGACGGACAGAATACCGTTTTGGCTAGAATGGGAAGGGAAAAAAAAAAAAAAATCAAGCTGTCTCCACGGTTTTCGCTTCTTTCGAGAGAAGAAACGTAGTCACTCGTTAAATGGCTGATGGAGATGAATTAGAAGCAATATTGAGACGAAATTTTCTATCGAAAACTTGGTTTTAATCCGCGTAGCTCATAACAAGGTGTGCATCGGTTTTAGACTTATAACCAGCTCACCTGCGTTTGTGTGTCCAGGCAGATATGACCTGGCAATATAGTAGCCACCCAGATGAAATTTGTATGAGGTTTGTATCAGTGGTGTTTTCAAGTCGCAACTGGCTTACCGGACCAATCGGATGAATGACCGCAGGTATTTGTGTTCAAATGGCATCTTTGGTGGCTAATGGCTTGTTGTACACTGCTAGTATTTCCATTCAAGGGCTTTTGGAATTTGTTGGGGAAGAGAGTCTGACCATGAAGCTTGGATGGAGAGAGGTTGAATACTAGTATGGATGGGTGCCCTGTTGCATACATTAAGTTATGCCTTCGGCTTAGGAAGGTCTCGGGGGTCTGTGATGGGCAGGGGTTCGACAGAAGTATACCTCTACAGGAAAGAAGATATATCTTGTCGGACCTGATGCTGACAGATTATAATACTGGTCTAAAATGATAGTTAATAATCTCTTGAGTCCGTGGAAGCTATATTATTTGAGTAGGAGAAGTTAATTGAATCCATCACTATGTATAGCGTACTTATACAGCAGATATAGATAATCAACCTATATACAGGATATATGGGTATCAACGTAGCTTTTCTAATTCTAGAGGTAAGACAACCGATTTCCTTACTCAAAGGCTGTCTCATGAATTCTTGCTTTATAAAAGCCCATCCCAGTACCTCCTTTCCTTTCACTTGCTTTCTCCCCAGCCTGCACTCCAAAACTTACCCATGGGCTTACCCAGCCTCCCTTCCCCTCCTTTGTAACCCACAGATACTCCCCACTCTTATGTCTCACGAAACTCTTTATCGCCATTTCCTCTCTCAAGGTTACCCACTTCCCAGTAGGAATATCATATGCGTAAGCACCATATGAATCCGTCGCCAGCAGCACATTTTTGTTTGTATAATCCGGCTGTAAATCATGTCCCAGACCACCCTTTCCAGGGAAGGGAATCGCACTACCCTCTTGTAAAAGTCGCATTGTTTCCCCTCGGCCCATGATTTTATATTTCCTCATGTATTTATCCAGGGAAACCCACAATATCCCCCTTTCAGGGGAGTCTTGCGCGTCGTTAGGATCCCAAAGTATTCCATGAGCACCAGGAGCATCATACGTGACATCTGATTTCCTCAAGTTCTTGAAATCGTTTATATCCTTAGGATTTCCTGGGTAATAGAGCGTCAGCTTCCCCGGAGTCGAACTCGCGACGACAACCGCACCAAGATGCGGAATCCGCTCGATGGCGTGTGGGTTGCTGCCGGGCGAGCCTGTCCATAGCAAATCACCCAAGTCAGTTTTCACCTTCTGGTTGGAAACGTCGATGATGCCTGCGTTGCCGCCTGAGGCGCAGACGAGCGCAATCCAGTCATGAGAAGCCGTCTTCCGGAGCTTGACGTCGGAGAGGTTTCTCCACCCTCTGCTGCGTTTGCCGGCTGTGAAGCTCCAGTGGATGGATGTTGGAGTGAGTCCACGGTTTGTTCCGCGGAAAGACATGTATTGCATTGGGTGTCTGGTCAACCCCCGCGATGTAGTAATCTGGTGGCGCGGCGTCTAAGAGAGTTGAGAAGCCGCCCACGAGAAGAGAGATTAGAGGTATTAGAAGGTGACACCCCAACATCCTAAATTTTTGAATTCAGCTCAACACTTTTGATATGAAACGAGATAGAAATTATATCAACGTGAGAGGAGGATGGGGAGGTCACCATTTATGACGGAAAATCAAGACCAGGGCGTTAACTGGAGCGATATGGGGATCTGCATGGAGAGGGCTATGGATTTCACAGTAAAATAATCCATGATGACACGCCCATGTGGATATTTTGAGCAGATTAACCACCCAATAGCCCACACTTATTATTATACGAGACCCTCCCCCTTTCTTTTGTTAGGGGAAAGCAGGAGATACAGTCTCCTATCAGGAAATACTGGAGCGATTGTGGCTATGCACATTCCTCTTTTATCAGAACTTGAGGTAAATACTAGACAATGAGCATTCCTCAACAGCAAAACGAAATTCAAATCGGGCTGGGGAAGAGACAGAAGCAACAGCACGTATGAACCGATGGCTCTTCGCATTGCTCTCTGTTTCTATGTTGCATTATGTGGGTTACTTCGAGCCTGAGCAGATGAGAGAAAACAGATATATTTGATTCTCTATAGATCCCGCTTTGGAACCTTGTATTTACTGCCCGTTTTACGACCATATCTAGGCCGTTTTGGTAATTTGGGGTGTTGCTGAATCAGAATGAAATACGAGGTTGTCTCAATCTGGATCGTAGTTGAATATTTCCTAAAATAGACAGTCCAAGCCCTAACTAACTGTTTGCTTGGAATTGAATTCAACCCGGTTTTGATTTCAAAGGAGTATCATTCTGTGTCAAATCGTGTTGTTCGAATCCGCAATTTTCTAGTAATGGTTGCGTTTTGGTTTTGCCTAAGGGAGACGATACAGTCGTGTGATAATACCCACCTACTACCGCCAGTACGCATGTCAGAGGCGCAATCTGCTATTTCAGATACGAGAACTAGACATGAGAGTCGCGGGCCAGGATCCTGAGTTCTCAATTGGACACAGTGAATTGTGTCCAGGCTGTATTTTGTTTCCCTTGAATATGATGATACTGGATATGGAAACCTGATGTACCACCCCAGCGTTCAGTTTTGCTGAACATGAATATTATGAGGCGAAAGGATAACCCGATCGCTCCCAAGCCGATGAAAGATATCAACCTTGCTTTTCACTCAGTTGGACACGTTTTGGGGTGGCTCAATATTTTCAGTGATCATGGAGTCACGGAGCTGTCGTCTGAAAGTGGAAAGATGGGCTATACCGAAATGCCGATTCCTTTTTAGATTTCCGTGCCTCATTGCTGATATCTCAATCCAACAGTTAACAATTTATGTAATATCTTGTTCGTGTTTGGTCTGTGAAATTTCACCAGAGTACGGGAAGTGACACCCGCACACTGGAGGAAACAAAGATTGCAAGAAAAGACTCGTGTAGGATCATCAAATACAAATAAATGACAAAGAGATTCCATAGTTACCCACCTAAACTGGCCAAGAGGTGCAGTTCTTCCACGGAGGTAGAGGTTGAGCGAGGGCAGTAGTAGTCGTCATGAAACAAGAAAGTCTCTATTCAAAGTCCAATGTGAACTCTCCGTATTTAACCCCGCAGTACAACTGCAGCTAGAAATAAGGCATTCTAATAAATGATACCGGTAAAAGGAATTGATATCGTTTAGATGTTGCACCATATCCTTGTGAAAGTCTTCATCATTATGAAACTCGAAATGCAGCTGCGAGATTAGAAAGAAGCCCCTCTTCCTAAAATATAGCTTAGAACAAAACAACTACGGAATTCTCAACAACCGTCGGTCCTAACACCGCAGCAAGCTCAGCAACAATACCCTTTATCGACTGGGGATTGCGGATATCCGAATTATCCCATGGGACCAAGTCCTGTCGGTGCATACTGAGTCAGTTTCGTCCATCGAACACTTTTCCAAAATGAAAAATATACGTAGCTGGGTGAAGGAACGGAACCAGAAATAGGTAACTCACGACCATGTCGACCAGAACACCATGGGCCAGAAGTTTCCAATGATCCAGATCCACCTGCTCCTCTAACTGCTGTAACGTCAAGACGCCTGGCATGTGGACGTCAAATAATGACATATCTTCCTCACCAATAGGAGGTTTAACGTTTGATGCATCCTTTTCTTCGCCAGAAGGATGTGCTTCTACGCCACCTCCTGCCTTTGTTGTTGCCTCTAACGCGCTGTCATGGGAAAGAGACATATACGGACGTCGATCAAGTTCATATTTGTAATTATCAAATGGACTCCATGTGAAGCTTTCCGGGTCTATTGTATACATATGTCAGGAGCATTTTCAACTATATTTCAAAAACTATGAGGGAAATGTGCTACCAACCTAGAACATACTGAGGCTGGAAATTCGCCTTGTATCGCATTTTTGGACAGGAGTGTATATAGAAACCTGGATGCCATTAGACAAGTTGTGGAGGAAAAAAACAATTAATTGCGACAATCGCGAACTGGAATGTTGTCTTCGTACCCATATAGTAGTATTGGTAATTTCCCTCACTAGTTAAGGCAATTTCTCGGAGAGCACTAATTTTCCCAAATTCATAGTCGCTGTACTCTGGGTCATAGCTGCCAGCAGTCAGCTTTATCATCTACCTACCCTTCCGGGGAATCATATATATAGGGAAACGGAGGTGAAAGCATACAATAGATAAACCGAACTCACGGCATGAGGAAGCAGGTCTAGAACGGCCACTGCGATAAGCTTACCATCTAGCCGGTAACATTGATGATACGATCCGAGTCTCTGCTCTTTCGAGCCTATTTTGACGGTCTTCCTCTGAATACCAGTGCATAAGAACCGCTTAAAAGAGGGGACGTTCCATCTTGATGCAGGCTCTTTGTGTATTGTCATTTGATATTTTAGGAAGAGGTCATATCTGCAGGGATTCGAGACCAATGTCAATCAGAAAGAGGGCTGATGAATGGACCTAGAGAAAGGGAAAAGGGGGAGGAAAGGACAAACTTTGCCTGTGAGAAAGAATCTGACTCAATATTCACTTCAAACCTATGGGCCGGTTCTATAGACCTTTTCGTCTTCGGACCCTTGAGTTTCTTGACATTGGTGTATTCCACTTCATGGACTCGTTGGAGGAGATCGAACTTCGACTTTCGCAATTTCTTCTCCCTGTGTATATATATCTATATGTCAGACCCTTACTGAAATCATGAGAGCCGCTAAGCACTGGAAAGTCTAGAGGGCGTAGGGGCTCAAATTAAGTAGGGCAACATACTCTCGAGTTTTTGGACAGAGTCTTGCCGCACTTCGGATATATGACTGTCCCAGCACGAAATTATTCCAGTGATTCATGGCCAACCTCTGGTCCTTTCTTGGCTTGAAAGTAGTAGGGTCTAGCCTGTAGAGCCGAGGATTGTTAGTATGACCTCAAGGAAAATCTCTCAAGAATCAACAGAATATGCGTGGACTATACTACGCATACCTTATTGTGTAATGCGGACAGCACGAGCGTTTCAGATTTTGCTTGTAGTAAAGTGATCCGGATCTATAAAGAGAGATTTAGCTCAGACCATCCCCCTACACAGGTACATAATAGGTACAACTAGATGCCTACCGTCTCCACCCTCGATCAAGCATCTCCTGGTATTCTTCCACACGCATGGATTTAGACGAGGCATAGTAGGATACGCCTACCCAAACATATAACTGTCAGGAACCGCCTACATGCATTTGTAGGCTCATACAAACAGGGAAATTAAGGCCTGGAGAGGTAAAAAGTGAGACCAACTTCCATTCTCAGATTTGCAGTAACCGCATGAGTTCCTCTGGTATCCTATACGTCAATATGTCAGCGCTATTTAGTGGTAGATTAAATCGGTTGATAATGCTACGAAAAGATGTTAAGTAATGGGAGAGTAGTATCTTATATCGATAGCTAAATTTCCCTTGTAACAGTAGAAGATAGCTACTTGGTTCATCATCATATCAGAAGGACTTTGTCTACTTACCATTTGGCGTGATGAACGAGAGCTCTGGTTGTTTAGGTCGCTTTTCCTCCTCGTCTGATGATGACATGCTTGGCGAAGTGGGCGCGGAACGTGAAACAATAGAGGGAACTTCACACTTTTACTAATTATTATTTGGGCTTATATGTGCGAAATCATGCGGCCCATGAAGTCCAGCATCAACCATTTTCTTACAGTAAATATGGGTTGAACTGGAACAACTACAGCATATTTGTGAGGTTGGGGCTTGGGACGCCAAGACAGTCACTAGAAAGTGGAGGATCCCGTGACCAGGAGGGCAAGGCTGATAAACTACTAGAGATGCCAAAGCTCAGATCCGACACATAACACACTGTCGCGGCTGCCCCATTTTCTGCTTCAACCATTTGTACATGCACTGTACATATAACCAACCATTGCCCCTGGTAAGATGCCAAAAAATAGATAAAAGAGGGATGGAGAGAGGTACTAGTAATCTCGAATAATGACACGTCCATACTAGTCCTATCTGAGCCTGGTCCACTCTAGCAGCTCGTACCTTATTTATATCCCGTATTCATCCAACACCCCATCCCTTATCGGAGGCATCACTAATGCTTTATCTGGCCGAAGAAAAAAGGCAATGTTGATTCCTCCTGAAAGATAGGGGTATTTCCCGATCTCGTGCGTCCTCAGCAACAGAGGCGATGGTTATCCCCTTCCAGGATAGTGGAATGGCTAAGATGGCCGAAAAATATCATAGAAGGTTATTCTCTGCCCTATCAATTTGGATCCATTCATAGACAACGAGCACCATCGCCATAAGATATCTGGATATAACATAATATAACACGTCAGGGGGCTTTGACAACAACGGACATCATTTCGTTTTGGCTCCTGGAAATGTTATCTCTTAGGACTCAAGTTAGGACTTTGAAAGCTGAAGCAAATATGGAAAGGGGAAAGGGGGGATTATTTAGATACAGTCGGCAGCGACGACGGGAAGAGCCAACAGAAATGAATGTCCCCGTTTTCGTCTTTACTCCTTTAGGTTGCCATCAAGCAAGGAATTGCTAATTTCTCTCTCTTTCAGTATTGATGGGTGTCGTTGGTTCGATCCCGAAAATTTATCATCTGCGGTGGTATCAATTATCGCGTTCAAATTCCCAGCGGAGATCCCGTGACCTGGACAGGATGCAATTGCTTCTCCTTCGAACGAGGGAGGAACAGGAATTGAAGTTCTCATTAGACGGGATAATTATGGGTCACATAAGAACAAGTGTATTTGTTTCAGAGTTTTTCTCTCTCGAAATCCGATAGACGGAGACCAGCCGACGGTGTAGAAGGAACAACAGCATAGCGTGCACCCACGTCATGGACGGATGAGTGCCCAATGCCATGGCACAAAAAACAACGTGGTGATGATTTGTGGCCACCATCAACCGTCCGACAATCCAATCCCTAGTCAAAGGACTGTATGGGACAGAAAAAGGGAATAATAACTATCACCCCGCCTGCGATGGTATTTTTGGTTTACGCAGCGAGTCCCTTTCTGTCGTATAACCAGAAATTTCCGCGTCCTAAATTAGTTTCGACCAACGACCTCATGGGGCTCCACAGGTCGTAGGGATAACAGACGGCCATGGAGGAAAAGCGTGATGAAAATCATGCGGGAGCTGAGGAGAGTATGGACTACCAACCGGACAGGACAGATCCGTGGGCCGGGCCGCATATTTGCTTTTCGATTTTCTTTTTCAGGCTTGCCGCCGGGAGGGGACGCAAAATAACTGGGCCGGCCCAGTGTTTCAAGGATATTATCGAATAATGGAGAAAGACTCGGAAACACCATGCGAAGCTGTGCTGGTTTGATATGGCTGTTGTCATAGGGCCAAAGAGAGTGATTTCATAGGAAGGGGTGAAGAAGGGATGCAGAATTCTCATTGGAAATGACCAACTCTTATATCATGGACAGCAGAAAAGTGGCAGGGTGTGAAACAAGAATTAACAACAAATGGGATGTTTGGTGAGTTAGGATGGCTAAGCAAACAACTGTTTTTTTAAGAACAAAAAAATAAAAAAGACATAGAAATCGATGGACATACACCTTTCTTCTAGAAGGCTTCTTCTATCCCAGCCAAACTTCCCAGCATTCGCAGCGGTTGATTGGCTGCCCTTCCCGCTTACATGACACCACCGCGAGCAAGCTGCAGCTGCACGAAATCAACCCAATCACCAACGTGGCCCTCTCTTACACCTTTGGCAGCTTCTCTCGAAGCCGCAATAACAAGAGATCAAATCATCTTGCTAGAAAAGGAGAAGAAAAAAACAAAAAAGGGAATGGAAGGGAACATTTTCAAACTGACTCTCGAGGACAAGAAAAAAAGATCATCATCAAAATGGAGCAACGGTGTTTTGGGCTAACCGTACTTTTTATCTCCACCCTATCCGCCTCGCACTGAAGATAGCAGATGAGAAAAAGCTGTCGTTTGATGCGTCGAACTCTGCCCGCGCCAGCATTTGTTGAAGTAGTACAGCAGAAGCAACGCACTAGTTAGCTGGGTAGCAAGCAGCTGCAAGGAAGCAGCAGTACCAAGCAGCGGTCAGCTGTTATTACGACAGCATGTAACTATCTTGCTAGCCTGGCTGGTCATCTCGACGAGTCGCAGAAGCAGTGCTGAGCACGAGCCAGGATGTTGCGCTGCTCACAGGCTGATTTGATTGATTATTGGAATTTTTCTTCCTTTATTTTCCTTTCCCTTTGGTTTTCGATCTGTGTCGAGGATGGAGCCAAGACCTTCCACGATAGCGACTTGCTTTTCCCTGTTTTTTAGTTCTAGCCACGAATGAGCTGGACGGAGAGGGAAGGGAAGGGAAGGGTCCGCAATCTACCCATTTGCTGAAGCCAAATATTGAAACCCACAAGAAATTGATAATACTAGTTGCTTGAAGTAATGTTCAACATGACAAGCTGCATGCATTATGCGGAGTCAACGGATAGAAAAGGTGTTTTATTTTGGTTACTTTCTTTTCTTTTCCTTTGTTAACCGCTCATAAAGGAAAAAAAAGAGAAAGAAAGAAAGAAAAAAGAAAAAGCTGCTTGGATTTTCATCATTCTAAATTTTTATTTGTCTGTCTCCTCCTCACTAAGGAAGACTTTATTTTCTTGCTTCCTCATTCATCCATGCGTGCTTTCTCTCCATATCAAAATGATCCATGCCTTTGTTAAGGGCCGTTGATTCATTTGAGCGGATGTTGAAACAGGCCAAGATACAGATATACTGACCCGAAGATGGATGAAACCAATAAATGGATGAGAAAACGTCAGCCCCAGCATGCATCTCCCGGGCAATGACAATGACGGTGGAGGACCGACCTGCTTGTCGATGACGGAAAAAAAAAAAAAAAATAACGGTGAGATTTTCTTTTTCCTCGCCCCAGACAATTCATTCGCCGTTTTGCTTTTGCCCAATCCTGCTTGGGGTTGATGTTGATGATTTCATACATATTTTTTAAGCTTTGAAAGCAACGAGCGGTTTCAAATGTTTAACTTTAAATATCTGGGCGGTTTAGTAACATATTTAAAAGGGCAACGCTGGAGGGGTTTGAAAGGCTATGTAGAGTTTTAACAGGTTTACCGAGTACATGCCTAACAGAACAGACTGACTCGAACAGGCCGACTGGACAAAGTTGATGGAAATGCTGAGATAACTACATATCAGTACAACTCAGCACTAAGGAACCGCCATTCATGCCGCCCAGAAAATTGATACAGGTCGAGAATGGACTGTATATGCGTAGTACCCTTCGCCAAGCTAGTATGGAGATAGATCTATGGGCTCCCACAAACATTATAATTTCATAGGTCCGTAAGGAAGCTATCGATCTGTATCCGGAAACGAAGAGTAGAAGTAAGGAAGAAAAGGACAATTTAACACTAATTTGCTGGTGTTTTGTAGTTATTTTTCTATTTTTCTATTTTTCTACTTTTTTCATATATATTTTTATAATTTTTGTATTTTTTTTCCCTTCTGATCTATTGTGAGTGTGTGTGTGTGCGTGTGTGCGTGCTATTTGGAAGGTACCCTCCGTCTTCCGCGGTGCGCCGCCCTCCCGTTCCCCGGTTCCCTCTCATCCAACTATCCGCTACGGCCAACAACTCCAATCCTCCCCCCAACCTGTCCTACTCCTCTTCCTAACCTATTTATTTGCTTTATTTTATTCCCTTTCCCTCTCTACAATGTCTTCTTTCAGCCCCTCAGCTCCTACCAGGAATCATACTCTTCCCCAGCCCCAGCTTCCGCGGGACTGAAAGGGAAGAAAACCCTCTTCCCTCGTCCGTTTTCATCTCGACCGCCTCCAGCCTCTGCATCCCCGAATCCCGTAACCCCCCTATTGTATTCTCTATACACTATTGGCGTCTCATTTGTTGCTCTCATTTTGTCCTGTTTCCTCTTCTCCTCTCTGTGTTCCGCGTCGGCAACTGTAGAACCCGCCTCCTCTCATACGTTGCTACTTTTTTACCTACCTCTTTCCGCCTCGATAACGCCCCTTCGTCCGAGACAAACGCCCATAGATAGCGGTGTGTGTGCAACCCCAACACTTCGCCTAACTCCGTCTGTGAAGGGAAGAAGCATCAGAAATTCCAGTTCGAAATATTTCAGCGCACGAGGAGCAAGAGACCCATTCCCCGTTTTTTTGCCGCTCAACGGAGATTCGAGTTGTCGAGTTGTCGAGTTGTCGATCCGTTTACCGATATCGAATATATACCCTATATATATCTATATATATACATACAGATTTTGCCTACAGGGTGGTTCTGGAGACAAGCTGAGGAAGGTCCTCGCGTGAGGGATTACCCAGACAGCGATCGGCCTCGCTGTCTTCTATATATCTCTAACTTCCGGCTTGAGTCTGTGGGAAGACGGAAAGGGAATTGTGGTTACGAGGGTTATTTTCCGCATAACGAGGCAAAAACGGCGGTGGAGTGGATGTGAGCGTGTGAGCGTGTGAGTGTGGACAGGGACTAGACATTGTTCATTATTTCGGCGGAGACGACAGATCCGGGGCTGGGAGAGCCGAATACACCCGTGGAAGGGAAAAGAACAGACAACGAAGGAAGGTTATTTGAGAGAGAACGCGTCTTGGAGAGGTGATGGCCCAATCCCGCACAATGGAGTCCCGCACGGGGCGGACAAACCAGCGTGAGTAGCTGCAGGTGGCAGACAGGCAATGCTGGCCCTTTGTTGAAGCACGTGTCTCCGTCCTCTCCTTCATGTTGCTGCTGATCCTTGCCCCTCATCTCATCATGCCATCTCACCAACCTCCACTCCCGCTGCACTTCCACGTACAATTGCGGACACTTGCCACAATACATCACCATGGCACATATCTTTCTCATTTACCACCATCTCCGCTAAACGACCATCACCTTTACCCCCTTCTACTGGCTACCCTTCCCCTTGGCCCCGCCTTGCTTGACCCTGTTGTTCCTCTTCCATTGGTCTGCCAAATCTGTTTTGCTGACATGACCCTCCCTCTTCTCCCCTCTAGGCTATAGCCCAAGCGGCGAACGACTCGTCGCCGGCGTCGTCGCCATGTCCTCCGACAAGTCTAAGGTACTCTTGATCCAGTCTGCTCGCCGCGGAGGCTGGGTTCTGCCCAAGGGCGGCTGGGAATTGGATGAACCGTCCGCTCAGCAGGCAGCCTGCCGTGAAGCTTGGGAGGAGGCAGGCGTCGTCTGTACCGTCCTGCGTGATCTCGGCAAGATCTCAGACATGCGGACCCCGGCCCAGGTGTCCCAGAAGGCTCCCAGGATACTGTATCAGTTTTTTGAGGTCCGCGTCGATCGGGAGGAAGCCCAGTGGCCGGAGATGCATAAGCGGAAACGACAGTGGGTTACTTATGCGCAGGCTGCAGCGGCGTTGGCGAATCGCCCTGAGCTTCTGGATGCGCTCAATCGCAGCTCTGTCAAGAGATAGCTCTTGGCCTTTCCCCCCCGGCTCCTTTCTTGATCCGGTTCCTTTGGGCAAATTGGAACCTCAACATTTAAAACACATATGTACCTATCGCCTGTTATTTATTGGCCGCTTATTGCTAATTTGTTCCAGCATCCCGTGGAACTTCCCGTTTTATTCTTGGAGACCATCTATATAAAACCTGTCGTTTCAACCACTCTCTTCCGCTAAACGTGGGACTGAAAACACCGAATTGGGCTAATTGGGCTTTCTGATAGAATCTTTCACTTTGTTTTATTTGGCGGTATCTGTCTGGAGTGGCTGTTGTAATTGTGCGGCAAAGTTTCCTCTTCGTCTCTTTAGGCAGTTAGTTGCCCTACCCTCCAAGTCTTCTAGGGAGAAGTCCCAGAGTGAGTCCGAGGCCGCGGCCAATGCTCCCATCTAGCCACTAGCAAGATAACACCTCCCCGTGTTATACGCACATGATATATTTCAAATTTCCCTTCGCATTTGGAATCACCTATTCCCGCTTATCTTCTCTTCTCTTCCTTTTCGTATCTCCGCACCAATTATTTCAAGCACCTTTTCTTCCTCACTTATCTCCTCTCCTCTAGCAAAGATCAACTAAACTTCTCGGACGGCTCATATGTGGTTAAGGATTAAAAAACCATCACATATCTCCATGTCTTCAACTATCGTTATTGTTCCACCACTTCACCCAAGTCCCATTTCTATGCCATGGCGAGTTCGTTTTCCTGATGGCTTCGACGGAAGAAACTTTCCCTGTTTTTTTTTCCCTTCCTTCCCCCCCCTCCCCCCCCCGGGGTCCTTTTTTCCCCCTCCCCTTTGGCTGGTTGATCTTGGGACATACTGTTTGTTCTTTACAGGGTTTGATTAGAATTTGGTGTAGCTCGCAGTATTTCCTCTTTCTCTTTTCTTTTTTCTTTTTCTTTTGGATCTACTCAAAACTTCCTTTTAGACGTTGCAATTTGCGTCGGTTCATTTTTCTTTGTTATTTTATTTATATTTTTTTATTTATATTTTGTTGGGCTCTATGATAGACTTTATACTTGCGTTCTGTTTTAGTCAAAGATAACATCCAACTCTGCCTCCACCTTCTTTCTAAATGTTCTACTTTGCAATAAAAGTTATTTGGAAAAACAGTCCCAAGCAAAACAAAGCAAAACAAAAGAATAAACAGCATGATCCTTGTTACTTGTTGGTTATTCACTACCCTTGTCATTTTGTATTTTGATTTGTCTTTTGATGTTCATCTTTAGTGAGTTGGGGCTTTTGCCATGTCTCAGAGAGCTGGGAGTGAATGAGTGAGATGCAGTTGTTTATTCAGCACTAGTATTCTCCATCCAAGGATACCTTTCACAAGCCTGTTGCAAATGAACACATGAAGTGAACAGACTGGTATGTTTTTCCATTGAGCTTTTCCCCCAGGTTGCAGTATCAAAATCCTCTCTGAAAGTGTGGGATATCTTACTAAGGAGGATTGAAAACATGTTCTTGATATATTGTTGAACAAAATCTTCTATATAATTATAGGTAAGGCCGCTCTAATTCCATCTTTTATTCTGAATTCTTTATCTACAAAAATTGGATGATCTTGGTTAGTTTGCTTTACTATCTATGGATTGATAGGGAAACCATTGAAGTGTCACAAATTTCAACATCAAGATGTACAGAGGCACGGTGCGCTGTCATCTCCAAACTGAGAGAACAACATAATCCTAACTGTTGCAAATCAACTCTCACTCAACAACAGCATAATTCACATTCGCCCAGGAACGTACTGGGTGACTATATGCCTGTTCCTCACTCTGTACAAAATGTTATGCCTTGATGCCGTTTTAACTGGATTGCATAAGCTAAAAACTCACATGGAAAAATCAAGGGGGAAGGGCTTTATCTTCTGAAGTCAAAAGAGAAATAGTATAAGCACTCATTTCTCATCTTGAGTGTAGGCTAGAAAGCCTTCTCTTTTGTATATCATGAAGGAGCTGTGAGGTCATAACTTTGCAGAGCTGAAATCGACAAGGAATGCATGGTCAACATTTGATCTCATAATATTTCATGATAACAGATCACCATGCACGATGTTCATATTATGTAGGTGATCAAGCCGATCTCACAAACTCTGGGCTCCAGCGGTGGTAACCCTAGCCTTGTCAATAGTGCATCCATCAATGTATTTGAGCAAAAGTCGATGAATAGAGTCTTCTGCGGTATCTGCCCTCAGCCGTCATACTAGGGATTGGGGGAACTTCCGTTCCATATATTGTTTTTGAGCTTTGTCAAGCTTGAGCCAGCCATGGCAGCAAGGCCCAACCACGCCGCCCAGTTTGTTCTTGATCAAGTAATTGTACACTTGACATTCAACAATGAAGGGATCCTTCTCCCCTTGCAAGCCGCCAAGCGACCAGAGATCTACTTGGAGTTCCTACGAAGTATCCATAAAATGGGAATCATTATGAAGAGCGAATCACTCGGATTTTATGTATACATGTACGTTGTTGTTAACCATATTTCACCCTGTATCTGGTCAGGCTGAGTTGCAGCTTCGGCATCCTGCGCTGTAAGCTGCTACACATCTCGAGTAAGAGATTCTTTGCTATGCTCAGTAATGCAAGTAAAGAAGAGTGTTGCAAAATATTTACTGGAAATTATCCACCTTCTGCCCTCACTGTATTTGATGCCTTCGCTAAAAGGACTGACTCTCCATTGACGCTTTTTTGGTTGAATGTTGCCGATAGGTCATTTGCAGAATATTGCTTATCAGACTGCTGCAGCACATCACTCTCCAATATATACTGTATCTCCCCTATCTTGGAAGGTAATTCAAGTCGATCACGCTCCCTCATACTGACCACAGCAGAGGACCCAAGGGAGACAGCCCACCGGACGACCATCCAGTTTTGTATGAGTTCTTCCGTCATTATGTCCTGTCTTTCCACATGTTCCATCATCACTCTCATCAAGGTTTAGATATCGTTCATTTGACCTGGTTCACCCCTGGGTCCAGGGGTAGGCATTTCTTGCCTATATCCGTATTCATTCTCCACATCTTTCAAGTTCTTTTTGGAGGCATTCTCCTTTTTTTAAATCTACCAATTCAATTTCAATTCTTTTTCCTGTGATCAAAGCTTCCTTGGCCTCTCGTCAGGATCCTTTAGCCTGTCAGCGTAGCAGCTCACGAGACTTTTATACCTTAGATAATGAAAAGAAGTAGTAGCGGAAATATTTGATTAATTAAAAGAAAAACAAGAAATCTGAGCCATAAGCTGTTCGACGTTTAGGTGGTCGTATTCCGGGTTCTATGTAGTTGGACTGGGGAGAAATGGAAAACCAAAACTATTATCCAATTGAGCACCCTAGTCCTAATCGGGTATCTTCATCAAAGCTTCACCCGCCCCAACTGCTCTCCAGACATCTTGTCACCAACCCCAAAAAAGCTCTCCACCAGACCATCTTTCCGGTACGGTTTCGTACTTTTAACTACCTGCGCGCTTCCGTCACCCCTCTCATGAATACGGAGTAGACGGCGCTCAAGGACCATACCACAAGGGAGAAAGCCAGCCTTTGCACGGCGGCTTTCCCGTCCATCATGGACTATGATGAAATGGACATTGAGCCCCAGGGGCCTCAAGTCACAGTCAGAGAGGTAAATAAGAAGAGTAGAAAAGGAAGAGACCAAAAAGAAGATCCATCCTAACGAATATAAAACCACAAACCAACAGGCTGAACCACATCGTGTTGACTTCCGTCTCAGCTCCGTCGACCTCGCCTTCGCCAACTCCCTCCGCCGCACCCTCCTCGCCGAAATCCCCACCGTCGCCATCGACGTCGTCGAAATCGAATCCAATACCTCCGTTCTCCCCGATGAATTCATCTCTCACCGCCTCGGCCTCATCCCGCTCAACTCCAAAAATTGCGACGCCGACATGGAATACTCGCGCGACTGCGACTGCGAGGGCGGCTGTGCGCGCTGCGTCGTCACCCTGCAACTGCAAGCGCGCTGCACGGGCGAGGATATTATGAAAGTGTACGCGCGCGATCTGGTGGTCGTCGGGGATCGGGCGAATGAGTGGGTGGGCAACCCGGTTATCATGGATGCGGAAGGAAAAGGTCCTGTGATTTGCAAGTTGCGCAGGGGCCAGGAGATTAAAATGACGTGTATTGCGAAGAAGGGGATTGCGAAGGAGCATGCGAAGTGGGCGCCGACTGCGGCGGTGGGGTTTGAGTATGATCCGCATAACAATTTAAAGCATGTGGATTATTGGTATGAAGAGGATCCGATTAAGGAATGGTATGTCCCCCTCCCCAACCCTTCTCTTTTACTTTCATTCTATAATTATCATTGCTATTGTTTTCTATGCGAAACAAGCAATACGCAGGAATTCATCCCTTATTTTAAAATATTTTACATCGATATATCGACATCGATATTAACTACATGCGTCACCTTCAACAGGCCCATCTCTGCAAACGCAGAATGGGAAACCCCGGCCCAACCTGACATGCCCTTCGACTATGACGCGCAGCCCTCCACCTTTTACATCGATGTCGAAAGCATCGGCAACCTTGAACCAGACGCCATCGTCCAACAGGGTATCACTGTCCTCCAACGCAAGCTCGCAGAGATCATTTCTGCCCTAACCGGCGCGGGAGATACGGATCGCAACGGCGCTACGATGAACGGCATCGGTGAGGATGGTGGCCGTAGCCCCGACGCTTACGAGCCACCTGAGGGAATGGATGGTGGCTACACAGCTTATGCGGCTAATGGTGTTGGCGGGGCTGCTGGAGGTGGGAGTGTTTGGGGTGGTGCGGGCGGCGCGACGCCGTATGGGGCAACACCGTATGGGCAGGGATTTGGAGGGTTTTAGGTTATCGGTCTATTGTGTATTGGGCTTTCTTTTGAAGAAGGGGCACCTTTTTCTTTGGGATTTTTTTTTTCTTTTTTTTTTTTCAATTTTCTTTTCTTTCAATACATGTTATGACTCTCTGTGTTCTGGAGTTTGGCGGGGCTAAAAAGGGGGTTTCTATTATTGTTTCCAGCTATTTCGAGATAAGACGAGTGGGATTGATATACGATTACCCCTTGTTATTTGACTGGTGTTGGCGTGCGAATGCACAATTGGGGATGCCCTTTGACTGGAAGGACTTCAGAAAACTTCAAAATTTCAGGAAAGTGGGCCTCAGGATCTGCGTGACAAGAGAAGCGAACAGAGTGACACCATCAAGAAAGAAAAATGGACACGGTAGCAAACTGACTGGAAGGGAGGTGTTGGGGACGCCGGATCGCGTCTGTCTTGAACGGTGTCTGGCTCTACGAAAAGCGAATCTTCTACTACCAGAGGAAAAGGAAAAAGGAGGAACTGAATACCAGCATCTTAAGGTGATGAGGGGGTATAAAGGTTCGAATTTGGCTCCTCGCTGTGGATGGATGAATGGATGGATGGACGGGGCATGAAAGAGGAACGGGAATGTAAGGATAGAGCACAGGCTTCCTTTCCCCCAAAGCTATATCATATCCTCTGGCAAATCGCCCGCCTCCTGCCACTCGATCTATATTATTATGCCATGCAAAATCAACGGCGCGAAGCCGACGCGCTCGGCGTCCTCAAAAGGGGTGCATAGAAAAAAACTCAAAACGATCAGACGCCGTTGTTCACACTCGCTCCCACATGCACACCTTGCGGCGCTTTTCAAATTTCTCAGGAAAACACATCGCCTGAAGGACCAACTGCTCGGTTGGTTGGTAATTGGTGCTTCCTTTTTAAATTCAATCATAAGAGGAAGCTGGATGGAGTCTTAGGTTGGCACGGAAAATTGACGTTGATGTATATCTTTCATGATACCTGTGATCCTGTGTTTATACCCAACTTCATCGAAGCTGATTTGCTTGGTTACGTTGAAACTTGAATCCTAGGAAACTACCTGCATACGAACAAACATACCTGTATATTTTATAGCGCCAAATCATATCATCGATGTTCAATGTTCCAGCAAAAGGAAAAGAAAAAGGTTAGCTAGTTGTACTGCGCTTCATAAGCTATTTTCTGGTCATTTCCCACGTGAAAGTAATAAGGGTTCTCTATAGTTTAATCTTCGGCCGTCATTCAGGCCATCCAGGGCAAAAGGCATTCTATTCCCCTGCCCCCCTCCCCCCTTTTTTTTTCGCCCAACTAACGAGTATTGGGGGGGGACAGGAACAGACTCCATCCATACAAACGCCTCCTCCACTCACTCATTCGCTTGATCCCCTATTTTTTACTCCAAATTAAAATTTCCTACGCATTACCAGCGCCTCGTAATGACTCAAGAAAGTAAAATGCTTAAACCTCCAGTTTCTCCAGCTTCTCCTCGACACCGCCCGCGTCCTCTTTTGGTGGACCGCCACCGCCACCACCAGGGTATCTACTACCCTTATCCTTTGGCTTCTTCTTCTTCTTCTCCGGCTCCGGTGGAGGCGGGTATGCTTTCTTCTCGATCTCTTGCCAGTCAGGGTTAGCTTGGAAGGAGGCCTGGACGGGCGCGAGGAGCTTGTTGAGCGCTGTTGTCACTGCGGCTTTAAGAAGTTGTGGGGTTAACTGATTTTTTTATCAATAGGTTACTGTTAGTATGGAAATGTACTGGTACATGTGTAAATAGTGGTGACAAACGCAAAACAAAAATTATAAGGAGCAGAAGAAGAAAGGGGTCTCACTTTATCATCCCGATAATCACTCTTCACATCCTCAATATTCCAATAAACAATCGGACCGCCCTCCTCCTCCCTCCTCTCGACCACAAAGCTCCCTTTCCCATCATCCCTCTCCAACGCACTAACAGGTAGCAACACATACTCCACAAAGCCAATAATCCCATTCCCCTCCGTCTCCTTCGGCACCGCATAGGCTTTCTTCAACTTCTTTTTCACCACTTCCGGCGCATCCAGAATATCAATCTTTGAATCTGGGTCCGACGCCGACATCTTCCCGCCCGCCAGCCCGGGTACCATGGGACTCATGAGGTGTGCGCGCTCCTTATAGCCCACGCGCGGCAGCGTCTCCATCGCCAGCGTGAAGATCTTCCGCTGATCGACGCCGCCAAACTGCGCATCGACATCCAGATGCTCCTCGTCCAGCGCCTGCATGAGCGGGTATATCAGGCCGGACAGTGGCGCGTTGTCGACCTGCTTCACGACCTCCGCGCCGGCCTTCTTGGCATCGTGCTCCGTCACGACACTGCTGAGGCGGAACAGGTCCATGGTGTATCTGGAGGAGAGCTGGTAGTCGCTGCCGAGAACGAACTCGAGCTTGTCGATGGGGACGTGGATGGCTTCGAGGAGGGCGGTGATGATATAGCGGTAGTATTTGGCGCGGAAGTTGACGAGGTCGATGGGCGCCTTGAGGTTATCGAGGAAGCCATGGATGTCTGCGAGGAGGATTTTGACGTGGCAGCCTGCGCGGAGGAAGTGGGCGAGCTTTACCATGGGGCAGATGTAGCCGCAGTGTGGGCGGCCGGTTGTTGCGGTACCTGTAAAATTTTGTTAACGACGAAAATAATCCATGTAATTTTTCACTATAAATAACATAAAATCAGGCATTGGATGAGGTTCCCTTCGTTTTTCTTAAAGGGCATTGTATCCCCCCCTTTTTTTTAAAGTAGAAGTGAGTGGAGGGGTTGACAACCATACCGAAATAAACTTTCAGAGGGCGATTTTGTCGCAAGATGACATCTTCGATAATCTCTGGCTTCAGGACTTCTTGAAGATTGTGGTAGATCAGATCGATCTTCTCTTGGGGCGATAATTCTTTTGCCATCCTTGGGCTGTGGGAGTGAAGAGCGGCGGCGGACTGTGGGAAGCAAGAGGAATCGAACCCGAGTCACGGAGCAGATTGCGGGGAGAACCTGGGAGCAGGCAGACCACGTGATATGAGGTTGGCGGAACAATTCTGCTACATCTGATACATAGTACACGATCAAGGAGGTGGCTACAGGAAAACAATCTGTAAAATCACCTGAACAATGGCTTCTTTAAATATGTATATATGACTTTTAGGACGACAAAACTTGTCTTCTCGCGTTTGAATCGTCTCATATCATACTCCCTGTGAATCGGCCTATCCATACCTTCGGTTTCGGCATACGATATGCACCACATGGGACATGTGCTGTACATGGGCATATACTAAGCTAGTAGAGCGGGTTTCTATACCCATTGGTCATTCAATTATTACTACCCTTGAATACAACAGCTAGCTAGACAGCCGGGCAGGCCACCAGGAACACCTTGTCTAGCCTCATAGCAAACATTTCGTGTCGGTGGTGTCGGGGGTAACTCTTCCAACTTGACCAAAAATATGTTCACAAATATAGCCCATCCTGAGGAAGAAAGAGGAGGGCAAATCTCTACACATATAAATATGCCCATACTTCATTACTAGCGTTCTTTTCGTCCCCCAATTCGGTTTCGTTGAGTCCATTTCAATGTACATGTACTCTACAATATGGAGTATCATTCATCATCGGGCCGGCCAAAATACGCAGTTTTGGTGACTGCCGTGAAATCTTGCATTTCCATGGCGGGGCGAGGACAGGATGCAGATCTCAACATCGACGGAGCAATCCTGAGTACTGGTTCAAGTTGTTTATCGTCATACCTTCAAACATGTTATTGCGGTTCTGCAGTGAATTGACGCTTTCCTCCCCACTGCAGCTCATCAATGTTCGTGATGGCCATTAATTCTGCATCCTTGATCTAGGCACCTGGGGCAGAAGAGCTCATTTACCACCAGCGTCATGCTGGAAGGCACGAACCTTCCAATCCAATCCCTCCAACACTCGAGAATGACACTGGGGTTCTTTTCTGAGTTAGGTACCAATGCTCGCCCAAATTTTAGGCATCAGTGCGTTGAGGTCTTGCAGCCTTTTTTGTGATTAATCCTCTCTTGGTTTAGGCTTTTAGAATGGAACGCGTGGGCGCTGATACCTTGATCAAGGCGATATGCTTTTGGAAGTTTCTGTTCTCGCTAGCGTGAGTGTGCAGTGCAATTCACGTGGCTCCTCATACGGGTGCTTGGCGTTTTCGTAGCAGACTCGCACCTGCCAACTCCCCCCCGTCAAAGTCGGCAGCAATACAATTAGGCGCTTCGATCCTGCGATTCCAGCATGGCTAGTAGTTCAGCACATTTATCCGCTCAGACGAGACGGCATATGCCAACTCCGGCGAGAAAAGGTATGCCGTGGCAACTCTCACCGTACCATAACGAATCTAACTATCAAAGCCCAAACACATCGAGGTCATATCAGCAACGTCACCACGTTGCGACGAAGCCGGCGCCTCACAAAGGCGTTGGTGGTTGATGAGTGGCCAAAGGCCCAGACAAATACCGAACAGGCATGTATGCACCAAGCTATATCGTCGGCGACGTAACGTAGTTTATGGAGGGTCTCACGCATCCTCAGCAGATGCAGAAACGAAGACGAAGGACTCTACTCCTCCAAATTGCTAATTATATCCAGTCGCAGCCAAAGTCCACGCGGCGGGTGAAGACCCCAAAGCGTCCTCGAGAAGACGACGAGGCTCCATCGTCTCATGCGTCTCCTCATCGACCACGAACGTCTGCAACCCCAATCAGCGAGGCTCGGGTTGAGCACTGGACGAAGAACGGAAACTGGCCAACAGAAGAAGAAGAGCAGACAATGGATCGGTTTCGGGATATCGTTAACGATGCACTCGCAAGAAAGCGATCGAGTTCCCTTAACCGCAAACGCTCAAACGCCAGCTTAAATACAGAAACAGCTCAGGCACAGACTCCAAGCAGCCAACAATTGCGGGATCAGAAGAGTGCACCGTATAAACATCCGCTGTTTGAAGATCAATTAAAGGAGTGTGACAGCTTTATGGACGATTGCGACGAAGGCATCAGCGCTCAAAGCAAAAGGATTTGTCAAACGCTCTTGAGAGCACCGCAGACACCACCTGAGCATACTCTCTTCTCTGACGATAACCTGTTCAAGAAGACGTGCAAAAGGATCAGAGGCGAGAACGAGACCAAGGTGATCCGCGATATTGCACAGCTCATTGTTCCTTCCGCTGAGATACTAGCCGATAAGGGAGCCAAACACTTAGAAATCCTTCGAGAGACTACCAATGCGTGCTGGGTCAACGCCGTCCCCTTTATCAGACCTCCCGGTTCTCGACCTGCTCCCCGTCCGCAGCCTGACTTTGGCCTTGGATTTAAGAGAGACGCATTCAATCGGGAACAGCTTCAGAAGCTGCGACCTTATATCGGCGACCCTCTTGCTGATTGCTCGTTAATGGCAGCTACGTATAATATGTATTTTCCATTCCTCACCAGCGAGGTCAAGTGTGGAGCAACCGGTCTTGATATTGGTGATCGACAGAACGCCCACAGTCAATCCGTCATATTACGTGGTCTAACTGCACTTTTCCGCCTGGTAGGCCGGGAGAACGAACTGCATCGGGAAATTACTGGCTTTTCTATCTCTCATAGTGATGTGGATGTGAGAATTTACGGCCATTACCCTGTCATTAACAGTAGAGATATCAAATTCTACCGACATCCAATTGCCGAATTCAATATCTCGCCAACGGCAGAAGGAGATCAAAGGTGGAAGGCATACAATTTTGTCCGGAATGTCTACGATTTGTGGCTCCCAGAGCACTTCAATCGAGTCTGCTCTGCTATCGATATGTTACCTGCTGACCTAAACTTTGAAGTCTCCGATCAGTCAGAGCTTCAATTCCTAGACCAGGAACCGGCTTCATCACGCTCAGGACTGTCCCAGCAATTTGAGGATCATAATTTAGCTAATGAAGGGGTGATACGGGGCAGCCGGGAACACGCCCAGCAAATTACACCAGACACAACGATCCGGTCTGAGCCAAGCAGATCCAAGAGGAAAAAGTAGAAGTAAAAACCGGCGCCACCATCTATACAGTGCTCAGGTATGATCGTTTGACTCTTTACATGCGACTCTACTCATGTATATATATACTCTGTGCCCTATCTGGAGATACAGATAGACAACCCTACAACCAAAGGTTTTGCGTAACCTGATTAAGAATAATATCTTTGAGAACCATTAGAGACTTTTAAATGTTCTTGTAATTCCAAATTGAGGAAATTTAATCCATTGACTCCGATTTAAAAGAGATCGTTGCTGTCGGTAGTGCTGAAATAAATCGAGTATTATTTGTATAATAACTTTTATGACTCTGGATGATATAAAGCCGTATAGGATCATTATTAAGTTGATGAGGATTTATACAGTATTCACCATGGATAAAAAGATTTGAATCTGATTTTATATATCTCTTCTATGTGAACCTTGCAACCACTCTTGTACAGTGCGTATTTATTGACCTCTCATTCACTGGCTCTTCTTATGGTGTGTATGCTGTGGTCACTGGAACAAAAATCGGCAGTCCATGAAATATTTTTGCTTTTGTGATGATGTCTCTTTATACAAAACAATGGCTGCTTCTTTTGATACTCTAACTTATTGAGCTGTGTCTGAGACGCTGCCGTCGTATTTTACTCTGTAATTTTTATTAATTGTATATCGATGGCCGCGCTTTCTTGAACCACGTATAGATAATCAATAAATTTCTTTTCAGTGAAGATGATATCGCCAGATGGTCAAGTTCGGCATCAAAGCCCCTAAGTGACAACCTCTGCACATTTAAATTCCTAGCGTGGAGGACGAAAACGCCTCGCAGATGCCTGGCACCAGCCACACACATGTGTTTTTCTTTTTCTCGATAACCGAAGGCCCAAGGGGGTGAAGTGTCTTAGAAGTTACCCCAGTCACGCCTCGCTGGAGCCAATAGCAGCCATTATCTTAGTCCAAAGCCAAGCATTCGTATAGCCACGCCGTTGCATGGCAGGGGTTCAATGCATGTTGTCGAAACAGAATTTTGTTTGACCCCCTTGAGAGGCCTGAGGTTCTTGGAAACGAACAGGTTGACAGTCAGAATTTGTGTGTACGGACCGTAGAAACTACTCCGTACTTGCGTGGAAGCGAAACGGCTCGGTGACGAGGTGAGCGAATCTTTGGGACCGGCGATCAAGGTTTTGGGTCCCTGAGATCCCAGAACTTTGGAAGACCGATTAGCTCGACTTGTGGCGGGAAACGGCGAATTGTCTCGACTCCTTGCTAGTCAACTGTCAGCTGAGTGGAAGGATTTATTTTCTGGTTTCAGAAGATGTCATTGCTCCGCTGATGATGTGTTTTTATTCTTGATGTCAACCTGGTTGAACAAGGAATCGGCGAGAATAGCAGCGAAGATGACTGCTTGGCCGCTGCATGGGCTGCATGGGCTGCATGAGCAGGGATCGAATCTGTCGCCTTGTCTCATCGGGAGGTTGGGAGCAGATGCAAGGGCAGCAGCGGGCGCTGGTCTGAGTCATTAGCCTGTCGGACGGGCAACACGCTAGCCCGTGATTTCAGCACGCGAGCAGCCAAGAGCATCGCAAGAGGCCCACTCAAAACGACCAAAACAGCACTAACAGGCCGCTAAAATGCAGCAGCTAGCGCACACACTCGCAGCGTCGCTGGGCTGCAGCTCTCCTTCCTTTTTTCAGCCGCCCCCGCCACCGCTGGCGGGATTTGTTGATATTTATTGATTCCCTTCTTTCTTTCTCTTCCCTCTGCCTCTCCTCCGCTCCACATCCCATTCTCCTGTTTGTTTGCTTTCTGGGTTTTCTGCTGAACATCCCGCTCGCCCACATCATTTACCCCTCCTCATCCTTTTGCATACTGAGTGCACCGTCAGAGCAAGTAGTACCTTTGTGCACCTTCTCGTCTGCTGTGTAAAGAAGCCCCCTGTGGCTATTCTCTTTCCAGGCTTCAACTCAACATGAAGCTTTCTTCGGGCTCCATGGCCGGTTTGGCTATGTCCCTGCTCTCAGGTTCCAAATTAGTTGCTGCTCAGACTTGGACCTCCTGCAATCCCATGGAAAAGAGTAGGTTCCACGATCACGAACCCCAGGTTGACGTTTTAGTTCCCCTGACCCAGTTCCGGATTCTCAGTCCAATTCCCTTTTGGATACCCTTTGACAGTTGTGGTTTTATTTGACTTTTTTCAAGATTGTGTCAGCTCAATTCATTTATTAACTGTTTTTTGTTTATACAGCTTGCCCTCCAGATCCTGCTCTTGGAGGGACGGCTGACTTCCAGTTCCACTCCGCCTCTGAGCGATTCGACGTCCTCGGGGGTGCTCCAACATATGGCTCAAATGGGGCTTCCCTAGCCGTAGCCAAGCAGGCGATGCACCCACCCTTGTCTCGAAATTCTACATCATGTTTGGCCATGTTGACTTTGTCATCAAAGCCGCCCCTGGCCGAGGCATTGTCAGCAGTGCGGTCTTGCAATCCGACGATCTGGACGAGATTGATTGGGAATGGCTTGGTGTAGACAACGCCCAGGTGCAAACCAATTACTTTGGAAAAAATCAGCAGGGCACCTTTGACCGTGGCCAGTTCCACGCCGATCCGGGCAATCAAGATGGCTTTCATACTTACTCGATCGACTGGAATAGCGATCGGCTTATCTGGCAGATCGATGGTCAGACTGTTCGTACCCTTACTGCCGCCTCTGCTGGTGCATCGTACCCGCAAACCCCTATGCAGATCAAGGCTGGTGTCTGGGCCGGCGGTGATCCTTCCAATCCTCCTGGAACTATCGGTATGTCACCCTCACACCATACTGATATGCGGACGACAAAGTACATTACATTTGCTAAGATAAGCTGATTCATTAAATTTCCGTCCCTCCAGAATGGGCTGGTGGTAAAACTGATTACGGTGCTGGTCCTTTTGTCATGGGACTAAAGTCCATTTCTGTGACTGACTATTCTACCGGCACCCAATACCGGTATACTGACCGCAGTGGTAGTTGGCAGTCCATTGAAGCCATTGGTGGTAAGGTCAATGGCCACGGAACTCCTGGCTCGGGCCCACAGGTAGAGTCTTCAATCCCCCCTGCAGAAGCCACCCGGCCCCCAACCACCAAAGGTATAATACACCCAAGCGAGTATCCTTGGGTTCCATCTAGCACCCTCAAACCTGAGAGTACACCGTCAATAACCTCGTTTGCAGGGCTCCCCAGTGAATGGATAGTCACAGACTCTGGGAGAGCCACACCGCCGTCCACGGCTTCTGTGAGTGAGCATCACCCTTTGCGACTCATTATTTATAATAGTCACTATTCCCCTGTTATATAATAAGTCCGTCTTTGCTAATTCAACTCGTCTTCTTTCCTTTACTCCTTCCAGAGCGCATCCCAGTCTGCTTCACGATCGTCGCCTTCATCTCCGGTCTCCTCTTCCGCTGGTGGCCCTGAATCGCCCTCAGCCACTGGTACAAATTCACCAAATGCCACAGTTGCTCCCGGAACAGGTGCAGCTAATCTCAATTTCCCTATCTCATACGGGGTCTCTGCTATTTGTGGCTTGATTGCTGCCGTCGCCTTCTTCCAATAGTAGTATTAAAGGCAATCCAACAGAAATGAATCAGCTCCTTCAAGACTTGAAGGGATAGATTACTGGACCATTTAGCGAAAGCGAAGAGCCGATTATATGTATTAATATATTTCAGGCACAAGGATTACGGCCGATCCTGGGGTTGTTATATGGGGCCGTGGCAAGGCGAGGTGGCTTTGTTAAGGAACACAAATATTTCATTCCACAATTGGACTTTGTGTGGGTGACTTTTCTTCTTGACACTGAATTAATAGCTCTAGACCGTTTTCTAGGTTATTGTTTTGCTTCTTTTTTTAAAGTATTATTATTAGTATTATTCCCCGGTTTGTTGCTTGGGCTCGGTTCTGGGCTAGGTGTTTGTTTGCTCCTTTCAGCTTCAGCTTTTGCTTGTCATTTTTATTCTTTTGTGGTTTTTTTTTTGATAAGATGGGGCTTGGGTGGAGATAACTTTTTTTCGAGCATACATACAGAGTAGACATCACCGTCAATATGATATAGGTCTTATCCCTAGGAGTTGAGGATCCTTCTTGATCGCGGTTTTGTGCTTTTCTTGCATGTAAAATACAGCTGGTGAATATCCTTGATTTTCATATAATGCACAGTACTTCCTAGAGTATGGTACTGCTCTCTCCAGAGATGAGATCTGGATAGACATGGTGGTTCCCATCGTTTGAATGAAAAACTTGCAAAATATAAAGAAAGGGAAAGAAATAATAATCATAATCATAATAATAATAACATCAATTGATTGCAGTGAGACTAGTTAAAAATTGTGAAAATGGAGGGCCGTAAATGATACTATTTATTCATAACCAAAAGAGCTTCTTCATCGCTGATGACTGGAGGGATGCGGCTCCCCGTTCTGGTATCATCATCACCCATCCAACAACGCAACCAACAACTTCTCATAATCCCCACCCGTCTCCTTCTCCACAACATCCACAAGTCTCTTCTCATACAGCCGCCGATATGCCGCCTTCACCTCCGCCACCCTCCCCCTCTCACGCTGCCAATGCAACCTCACCACCCGCGCAATCAACAACGAATCCCGCGTCCCGAGCCCCTTCATGCACTTGCGCAACAACCGCGCCTCCAGCCCCTGCCCATCCAGCGCCCCGCGCACAATATGCAGCGCACTGTGGCGCAGGCCCTTCCGGTCCGCCCGCGCCCAGATGGCCTTCACCTTCTTCTCGAGCGTGAGAGTCCCGTCGCGGAAGGCTGGGCGGGTCGCGGCGAGGGCCGCTGCGACGGCGCGGAGGTGTGCGTCGCTGCGGCTCGCGAGCAGGTGGACGAGCTCGGTCTCGTGTGCACAGCCCGGGTCGATGTTCTTGGGCGCGGAGTCCAGTTTGGTCGCGTCGGCTTCGACGAGCGCGTGGTCGAGGGGCCGGGACTCATCGTCCGTGCGCTGGGCTTTGAGGACCTGGACGAAGAGGGTGTGGTGCGGCCCGCTGATGGCGGGGCAGTTGGCGAGCCGGGTGCTCAGGTCGCTTTTGTAGGTTTCTTTGAAGGCGGCTTTTATGGCGGTGATGTCTGCGTTGGACCGGCGGAGGAGGACGTCGTTGATGAGGATGGCCGGGGACGTCGGGGTGGGCCCTGTGCCGGCTAGGGCTGGGGTGGCCTGCAGGGCGTTGTGGAGGTATATTATGTCGTTCTTCAGGGGCCCGCGTACGAGGGCGAGGAGGGTTTCACCGAAGTCTCGCTTTACTTTCTCCGCGATGGTGTCCTCGAGGTTCTTACCGATGTCGTGCCGGTATGTTTTGCGCAGGAGCGCCATGTGCGCCGCGTCGGGCTTGGAGAGGACCTGGATTAGTTTGGCTTCGTCTGTGTTGAAGCTGCCGAATGCCTTTTTGATCTTGCGCGCTTCTTCGCTCATGTCGCCGGTTGCGATGTGGGACGCATCATAGCCTAGGGAGGGGAGATTGGTGTTTTGAGTTCCCACCGGTGCACGGTAGCCGGCCGGCTGTGGGTTGCTTCCTACGGCGGGAGGATATTGACCGGCAGCTGGTTGATGGGGGTACTGGCCTGTTGGAAGAGCGCCATATGGCTGCTGCTGAGGGGCAGGGTATGGCTGCGGTTGGCCTGCAGGAGGTGGCACCTGGCCTGGTGCTCCAGCGGGATATTGTACTGGAGGGGGGTAGTAGGCCGCCTGAGGAGGGTATTGGCCTGGCGGCATATAATATCCTTGTGGAGGATATTGCCCCTGAGGAGGTGCTTGACCTTGTGGCGCTGGGGGATATTGTCCTGGAGCCCCTGGAGGAGGGGGTTGGCCGTAAGGTGGGTAACCATAGCCAGGCTGCGGCACCGGCGGCTGTTGCTGCGGTTGCTGCTGATGAGGAGCCGCTGAGCGGGTGTTATAGGAGAAGGGTAAGTGAGTGAATTATATGGTGACAGGCGGTACATAAATTTGGGTATGTTTTGCTTCTGGGGCACGAAAAGACCTTTTGTCTGATGAATCATATTGAGACAAAACAGCAATGGAATTACTACACACCTACAGGCGGGTTCTGTTGTTGCTGATGCGCTGGATCCATCTTTAACCTTCCTGCGACAAAACAAGGGGGATGTGTTATGATCTGTTATCGCAATAATAACTGGGCAGATAGAGGGGTATCTCGGTTTTCGTATCTGAAAGACGAAGATGTGGGCCGAAAAAATCAAAATCCAATGACAGCACCGCAGGCAGATATCACCGAAGAAAAGGAACTAACGACGATTTATGAAGAAGGCAAAGAAGAACGGGATATCGAAGAGCAAGAGATCAGGGGGCTGAAATAGCTTCCCCTCAGTGGGGATATAGCAGGAATACCTGAGATATATCCATTGTTCTCTCAAGCCCGCAAAATGCGCCCAATCCATTTCCAACCCTTCCCTCAAGTCATCACACTTTATTGCTCACTGGTCGCAACCTGAGCTGCTCAAGAGAAACCCCTCCTTCTGCACCCCGGTCATCAATGGCCTTGGGGGTCGAAAGTTCAGCCACAATTGGTCGCCAAGGAGCTGGCATGATCCAATCAACAGTACAAGGCTGATACCCACCATTGGCCCAAGGCTGACAATTTCTGGGCAAGATGATCCCTCGCCCGTCGCAGCACTTTGCAAGTTCCCTTTCTGATCTACAGCAGCGTACCTGCTCGTATCAAACCGACAACGACAAACGATGATCTCCAAGTGCTGTGGTGGGCGGCACAATGCGCTGGTCGTTAAATACAATCCCAATGGTACTTCAATGATCCAGGGGATATATCCACAGCCACATGGTTAGAGATGCATTGACCAATGACGGGTCTTTTTTTCGTTATTTTAAGCACGATTGGATTCTCGCCTTTGCAATGTTCGATTTGAGGTCCCGCTGGTAGTCAAAGATCCTTGCATGTGCTCGTACCTGACTGATTTGGGGCTAATTTAGAGCATCGCACCTAAAGTTTAATTGCGCCCCTTTTGAATATGACTTTCCCCCCTCTGTTTTTCAACACATTGGTGATTGAAGGTTGAATCTACATGTCACATTCTTCTCTGCATGAAGATGGATGATGAGCGTATGAACAATCTAAATTGCATGGAGAGATCGTATAATACAAATGAAGGTAACTATCAATAAACACATGGGGTGTTACTCATTCTCTTTAATCTCGCCTTTGCAAGTTACATTCAAGAAAGAATATGGGGGTGTGAGAACATCAGATATCGAATATTACATTTCACAAATATCCTCTTTCCCTAACCAGTTTCTTGCCCCGCTTCCACAAACACCATATTCAGCTCCTCGCCAGGACTCAGCGTCACGTCAAACTTGAACGGCGGGTCTTGACCCGCGGGCCCTGCAGGCTCCATCGGCAATAATCTCATTGAAATTCTGCAAGATCCGCGACATCTCCAACATGGCAAACGGTTGTCCCAGACAGATGCGCGGACCGCCATTGAACGGGATGAAATGTCACGGCCTCGGTTGCCAGCCAGCCGTCCAGCGTTCCGGTATCCAGGAGAGGGGGTCGAAATAGGGGATGGGCCGCTTCTCATCGCTACCTGCGTTGCCTGGGGCCGGTGGTGGGGAGTCATATAGGTCACGCCGCCGCTGCATGTTCGTCGTCGAGTAGAAGATGCGCGTATTGTTAGGGATGCCGATGGACGAGTGGCCGTCGGGTCCACCGCTGCGTGGCAGGGTGGTGTCTGTTAGCGCGTGGCAGACATTGAGTGGCACGACAGGGCAGTGGCGCAATGCCTCGTTGAGCACAGCCGTCAGGTATTTCATCTCCTTGAGGTCCGAGCAACTGGTTTTGCGGCTGGTGCCGAGGCGGTCGAGGAATTCTGTGTGGAGCGGGGCGACTACCGTTGGGTTGTGCGAGAGCTCGAAGAGACAGAAGCAGAGGGTGGCAGCGGTGTCGCGGCCCGCGGGAAGGACGGCGACGAGCTGGTCGTGGATTACTTTGCGATCCTTGGTGAAGTGGGCGAGGGCGTGGAGGAATGTGTGCTTTTGGAAAGTTTCTTGTCGAGCTCTTCGGAGCTGAGAGGGAGGACCTCATCGATCAATGGTTGCATGAAATCGTCCATTTTCTTGAGGTTTAGGCGGAATCCCTTGCTGGACAATAGGGGGCTGATAGGTCTGCAAAGAGGGAAACATTGGTGTTAGCTAACCCACTAGACCAATTGTCTACACTTTTTTATCGGGCGTTGATGGGGAGTGCAAGGTGTGTTCCCACTTACCCAGCTCTAAACAAAATTAGACTGGTGATGGAGAACATATTGGAATGACTCCGCGACAATGGTTTTCGGGTCATCCAAACTGTCAACAATTTGACCGAGGAGGTAGTCTGTGGCAGCACTGAGAGTAAAGCAGAAGAACAGGGCTGCGACATCGACAATCGTTTCCTCCCCAGGCTTCTCATTATTCTTTTCTAGATGAGGAATGAGTTTCTGGATGTGCTTCTCGAAATTCTCCGTATCGACAATTCGGTCTCTCGCAAACATGGGCCGGATCAGGTGGCGCGATCTCGACCACAGCTCGCCGTTTGTTGCGAAGATGCTGTCGCCCAAGAACTCCTTCCATTCTTCATGGAAACGCTGGCCTTGATGATTGCGGATGGCACTCTGCACCATGGCGGCGGTGCCGGAGGCGTGACGGATGAAGTCTCTCGAATAGTATCAGCTAGTGGGCTGGCCGTATACCAGAAGGCCGAACCCCGGAGTCGATATGCCTAATTTACATAGATCCACGGAAGCCCAAAGGAGAGAGAAGACGGTTTACAAGCGGCAACATCGTGATACTAAAATAAATAAGAAGAGCGGATGGGAGAAAGCTGACATCATGATGTCCAACGGCGGGGAAAAGCACAGGGTGCGCCGACTGCAGCTCCAGAATGGACACTCGGCTTCACCGGGGCATTATCAGTTCAGATATCCACTGCTGTGCTTGGTAAGTTGGCTGCCGTCAAATTATTCATGGTACCGACGAAGCGAGGTCGGCCATGTATTTAAATGTTCCTTTTCTTCTGGGCTTCTCCCCAACTTCCAAGACGCTTCTCCAGTTCAGACACGGATCAACGGCTCCATTTAGGGTCGGGGGCTAGTGGCCATACGTACGACTCGTATTCCATTTCGTTCATGGTCATAGGCTCAAGGGCGACCCTTTTGAAAGTGCGGCTTTCATTGATGTTGTATGTCAAGCATAACATGCGTGACCCTTTTCGCGGCTACTTGTGCTGCTTTTCCTGCCCGTTTTTCAGCACTTCGAATTTTTCTTTGCTTGTGAATCTTTCATATATCAACTGACCAGCTTAAGACCCTACACACGCTGAATGCAAAAAGGGGATGGATGTGGAAGTTGGATTTGTTTTTATTTTTACTTACCAGCTTCTAGCTTCAATTTTGTTTCTTATGGCTGAAGTGCGAAATGCACCTTGACAGGGTTCAACATTGGCCTGGATCTTCGTGCTTTCGTCTCAAGTTATACCGCCATTTTTTGAACATGAAACGTGCTTGTCTTGATTACCTTACGTTCGATGATTCCACTTTAAATATTGGAAACTTTTCGCGCAATGGTTTACCCCTTGGAAAAGCTCAGCAGCCGTTCTTACTAGTACGCATCAAACAGAGTACACAATTTGAATGTGCATAGGAGAGGAATAACGACCGGTGACGGGAATTGAACGGCACAGTATTTAATGAATTTTCTCACATCATGCCGGGACCTTGGATATCAATGCACATCACTGTACGTTACAATCAGTAGAAGATGCTCCTGACAGAACGGACTGTGTATTCGGATCACTCATCTTGATGAAACCACATTGAACCATCGGACGGCAGCACTTCTACTATTTCCCTCTCGCACTCATCCCCTTTGCTTCTTCGCATCCACTTATCCTGGCCCTACCTTCCTCGCAAAAATCCTCGATTACCATGTGGCAATTGGCTAGTGTCGAACTGGTCAGTGGTATCTGGGGCGCATTTGTGGGCTTTGCTTTGCGCCAAAATGCCGTGATGCGCATGGCTGGGTCTACTTGCGTGAACCTCGGTGTCGGGTGAAGATTCTTTCTTGTCTTGGGGATTGGGAGTTTGTTGGTATCCGGAGTAATTTTGGTGGGATAAGGGTGGGAATGATGGGTATGAACATGTGTTTGTGGGTATTTTCTTTTTGTTTCGCCCCCTGCTTCTTGACCTTTTTTTAACGCATTATTTGGTTTCGAGAGCGAAAACTGCTACGTTTGTTATTCTATTATTATTCGGGGTTCCAAACGATAATTCACCCCACCCACAATCAGTTAATAGTGGCATCTTCAAACGCTACATTATTCTAACGGCATAAGTGAAAACCGATGAGAGAAATCCATCCATCCCACCCAAACCTGCCCTGGAACCAAGGGTTTACAACTCGCAGCTGCCCTCCCTCATGAGACAATACGTCATCTGCGCCAAGCTCGCTCCAACACCCAAATCGACCACAGCTCGCTCACGCCATTCACTCAAGCGATACGAAGCATCCTGAATCTGATTTGCGGTCCGCGGTCCACTCCAGAGTACCTCAGCTGCCGCAGCTGCCCGCGGCCAGACCATCATGTCCAGGGCAACTGGGTCAACATTCTCCGACCACATGTGCGTCTCGCCGCCTTCAAGCAAATGGTGCAGATCCTCTGAAATCCCTTCCAGCGGATTGTACATGTACATGTGCTTCCAGTTTTTCTTCGGGCTACACCAGTCGAGGAAGGGTTCTTTGATTGCGGTCGAGCTGCGTTTAGGGTTTACGTAGGTGCCTTGCCCGCAATCGAGGTACCAGGCGTCACCAGAGCCGAAGATCGTGCGGTATCCTCGGTCTAATAGATATTTAACAGCAGTAGAGTTGCGCCATGCTTGCACGATTATTTCGGTTTTCTCAGTTGGGGAAGGGGAGAGTGATAGGTCCCAGTCTGCCACGAGCTCTTCCCAGACAATAGGTGTGAGTCCTGCTTTGCGGATGGCGGTGTGCAGCCGAGTGACAACAGCTTGAAGTAAAGGACGGAGGACTTCTTCCTTGCTGGATCCGATTGCCTCTTCGAGAAGATATGTGTTAAGATTGAATTCATCGCCCCCCGTATGGAAATAGCGGGTAAATGGCGAGACTCGAGGGAGCAGGTCTGCCATCAACTCGTCAAGGAATTTATCCACGTCTGACGAATTTAACTTGATTTGCCCGCTGGGAGGTTGGAGTGCATACTTCTCCCACTCGTCAGCGAGGAATGCGGAAACCAGCTCGGGAAACGCGTATCCAATGGAGCCCGTGTGGCCTGGCATATCGATTTCGAGGAATACTGAAACACCCCGTTCAAGGCCATACATTTGGATATCAGACAGCTTGGAAGAGGTCAATATCAGACTGGGATGGTAGGCGCCCTTGGCAGCCAATTCAGGCATCGAGGGGATGTCCAAAGGCCAAGACTGGGAGTCCGTAGCATGGATATGAAGACGGTTCATTTTCGCGGAAGCCATTGCATCAATTGTACGTTTGATATCCTCGGGCGTGTACGCGTTTCTGGATATATCGAGGTTCAGGCCACGGTGACCCCATTTAGGGGCGTCCGATATGGAAATTGGTGCGTATGGGGTATACACCCCCGACCCCGAAGAATGCGCGTAGAAGAGCTGCTTAAAGGTTTGAAGTGCACGGATAGTTCCGATGGCGGAATTGGTCGAAATCGTCGCTTCACCGGTAGCAAGTATTTCAATGGTGTAGCTCTCATCTTCGTGGATGTAGTCTCGGACCTCCCTCTGCGACTGGTTTGCAGACATTTGCTTGATTATAACTTGGCGGATAACTGCATCCGGTCGATTCAAAGCGGGCTCATAGGAGCTGTTCCGGGGATGGAATTTCCATGGCACGAATTTGGTGCGATATATTTCCTTCCCGGTGCGCTTGATAGCCTTTTGTACTATTTTGGCAACACTTGGAATTCGTTTCTCTGGAGTCTTGTCCTTCCTCAACCAGGGCGTCTGGAAGAAATCTAACACCGCCAAATCCACATATGTAGAGAAATAATCCCTTGCTTCGGTGGCGTTGTCTGCATCACTGGGCTGGTAGGAGAATTCCGCAGAGGACGCGAGCCACACAGTTGTGTTGCCAAACTTGAACTCCTGCAGCTGAGGCCAGACAGCCAGCGAAAAAGAAACGAAGGTGAGCAAGGTCACAATAGAGGTCAGCATTGTGAGAGAAATCGCGATATCAAAGGGTAAGATGGTTTGTAGTAGTAGTACGAAAGGAAGGCGAAAACATGCAGATCACAGATGGCAGTATTTGAAAAGAACGACGTGGGAGGGTCAATTCGAACTGACGATAAACGCAAGTTACTAGCATTTCCCGTCCAAGTCGTCACAGCCTCACTTGGAAGTGTTCCAAGTAAAATCCATGAAGTGAATATATCACATTCTGTTTACCATCTCCAAGTTTGGAGCAACACTTACAGAGAGGGGAGGAGTGGGGCAAACGTTGGATAGCAAGAATGTAACTCAACAACGGAGGAATTAGGATATGTTGGGATAGGATTAGAGTCAACTAATGGGGCAATGGCCCGAGAAAATATGCGAGTTGATGTGCACAGAGAAGTTGTTACTATCAACAGAGTTCTCAGCATCCCATAGTTCCTATCGTCGTTCCTCCATGCGGGACTGAACGCCAGACCTTTCCCAAACAAATTCTAAAAAATAACGATTTTCAGATTTCAACCACATATTAATATGGGGAATGTAAAACTTATAATTTAATAGATGCTTCTAATATATATATTCAATGTTTGATTTTCACGAGGGCTATGATATACATGACTATGACTATTGAATGTGTACCTTACGAGTTACTTTAACCAAGTTAGGCAGTCAACCAAGATCTGGCGCTGACTCAGGTCTGACTCAGCGTTCCGGCCTGTGACGTTTGTGGCTTCTCTGTTGCGCCGTAGCATGTCCTAATGAGGCAAGTCTCGACTTCAGCCGTTACCTTTCATAACTAATCTTTCGTTCAACGAGTAAATTTGTCGTTTGCTGCTGTTCCTCCCACTCCCTACCTTATCGATGCTGCGGCCTTCACACGACCAGTCCATTTCATTTTTAGATATCACCTCCCCGTCGTTTATTTTGACCGGTACTTCTCCGCCGCTCCTTTGCTACTAGCATTTAACAGGCATACCTCGGCTCCGCAGCTTTCGCCACATCCTTCAGTCCTCATTAGAAGTCAGGCGCTCCCGCGACCATGTCGGTGTCCATTAAACTTGGAACTCCCCTTGCGGAGGCCCTTAACGAGGCCGTGCAGCCAAAGTTAGTGGACGTTGGTTGGAGCACAGGCGGGGGCGATGACTCCGCTCTGGCGGAATACGTCATTCTTATGCTTGTCAACGGGAAAACCCAGGATCAAATTGCTACAGAGCTTGCAAACGACCTTCTAAGTCTGGGTCCGGAAGATACAGAAGCTGCTGATTTTGCAAAATGGCTATTTGAAAAGGTTCATGAACTGAATAACAAGATCAATGGTGTTTCGGCGGAGACAGAGCAACAGAAACAGTCGCAAGTCATTCCTTCTATTTCAGAGCAGCAGAACAGCTCATCTTTACCGGCTGGGACAGGGGATTTTAGAGATTCTGAAATGAGTGGAGATGTCACCAACGAGGGACAGGATGGTAATATGTAAGCCAACATCCCTTTATCTCATGGCTAGTTTAATTTTCTTCTGCAGCTAATTAATATGAATTTGGACAGTCCTACCGGCCCCAAAGCTGCGCGAAACCTCAAACAACAGCAGCAAGGTGGACGAGGCAGGATTATGAGGCAAATAAATAAGACCATGGACCGCCAGAATGACTCAGTTCTACACCGGGTACGCAGCCACCAAGGTTCAGAACGAATCAACAGCCATTCCAGAGATCCCCCAAAAGGCCCGAGAGCATTTCCGGGGAGAAACGGACGTATGCTTCCAGGGGGCCTATCCGGACCAATGGGTATGGGCATGGGAGCAGGAATGGGGATGGGGATGGGAATGGGAATGGGTGGTGGTCCGATGCCAAATGCAGTGCCAGGAATGGTGTCGTTGAGTCCACAGCAACAAATGCAGATGATGGCTATGCTGGAAGAGCAAGCTCGAATGATGGCTCAGATTATACCCGGCATGGTTCCACCAGCGATTAACCCCGCATTTCAAAATGGCCCGCCTCCGGGCCAACAAGGGCGCTCCCTTTTTGATCGCGCTGAGATCAACCCGCACCGGAACCAGCACTTGGGTCCACAGGAACACACAAACGGCCACTCTTCGAAATTCCATGCACCAAGCGCAAATGCGGACGTGGACATGAACACATCACATAATGCCCCAGATTCTTCCATGGACGTTGATGCGGCCCACGAAACTCAATCCGCAGAACCAAGCCCACACACTGTTTGTCGATTTAACCTGAAATGCACACGGAAAGACTGCCCCTACGCGCATCAATCTCCCGCTGCCCCTGAAGGCATGGTCGTCGACGTGAATGATGAATGCCCTTTCGGAGCAGCGTGCAAGAATCGGAAATGCGCTGCCCGACACCCTTCCCCCGCCCAAAAGGTCGAACACCAATCCGAAGAACTTTGCCGATTTTTCCCACACTGCACAAACCCGAACTGCACATTCAAGCATCCGAGTATGCCGATGTGCAGAAATGGCGCGGACTGCACAGTGCCGTCTTGCAAGTACACGCATCTGCAAATCCCATGCAAATTCAAACCGTGTCTTAACAGGATGTGCCCGTTTAAGCATGCTGAGGGCCAACGTGGTGTGTTTGCGGATAAGGTGTGGAGGGCTGGAGATGGGGAGAAGAAGGAGCATGTTAGTGAACGACGATTCGTGGCAGATGAGGATGGGCAGGAGGAACTTATTAAACCCGAGACTACCGTGGCTGATCCATCTGCCGACGCGGACGAAGCGAAGGGGCACGAGATTGTGACTTGATATATCTTTTTCTTTTCCTTTCTCATATACTTTTCATGAGTTTATTTTACTCATTCATCACGAGCTGCTTATCGCACAACCCTAACCCGCACCCCTGGTCACTACGGCTGGCTGGGATGTTGATTAAAGACAGCCCACATTTGAGAATCTTGTTTCTTCTTTGCCCGGGGTTTTCCTTCTCTCAACCATGTATTAAACCTTGCTGTGCTTTTCAAGTTTCAAAGTGGGTCATGCCTGAGATGATTGGCGTTTGGATAAGGGGAGTTGCTGTTGAGGTTTGTGTTTATATCTATTTTTGTTCTTTTTTCTGTATCTAGCATCAAACAAGGGGATTATAAATGGCTGAAAATGGCGTCAACATATTATTGGAGATTTTTTATGAGACGTTTAAGATTATGTATGATTATTCTTCTTATTTACTGTTTCTCTTATTTTCATTTTCGGATATGGGTTTTTCTTAACATGGAAGCTTCACCCCATAACAACCTACCGTCGCTGGCTGATAGTTAAGAAACCCACACAAGGCTCAGCAGATGTCGACAATTCCCTTTGCTTCAGGCTTATGCTGAAATTGATGGATTCATATAAAAAGGAGAGCTGTGGAGCTTGTCGAATGATTAGATACCGTGAAACGATGGAATTTTAATCCTTTTCTCTTTGAGCTTTTACTCTGCCCCAACTTGTCTGTTCCATGCGCATTCATTTGCCATTTAAGTTCTTGGTTGGATATCTGTTCCGGGATGGTTTGATATATCAGATTCTGCGATAGATGTACTGTACATGCAGTGTTGAGAGTTGGGATCATCTCGAACAAAATACCTTCAAGTTGCAGTGTTGAACAGAAGCCTCGAACATGCTTAAAATTTAGTTTGGTTCCAAGGGTCAAGAGCACCGCCTACGAGCTTCCCAAACCGCCAACTTCAACCCACCCGACACAAACCAATTCCACTACCTCATTGCAATGCGTCCACGGTGCTCGTATCGCACCATAGACGAGCTATGGACGCATTCTTGTGGTGGAATACAGCCATTGACCTGGTCTAGACGATTAATCACAGCTCACGCCCCTCCGTTTTGCTTTCGCCGTTTCACCTCCAATCCGAGCACACATCACAAAAACATTGCAGTCATAGGGGCAGGTGTTACTGGCCTCTCAACTGCATTCCGTCTCTCTCAAGACCAAGATGCCCGCGTTACGCTCTACGAGAAGGCCCCGAAACTTGGCGGTTGGTTGCAATCGGAAATAATCAATGTCGACGGCGGGGAAGTGCTGTTTGAATACGGACCGAGAACCCTACGGGCGGGATTGGGAGGTAGCTTGTCCACGCTGGAACTGGTAAGATAGCTAGGGAGAGCTACCCATTCCGAGTTATATCCAAGTCGCTATACTCCTGAAGCTAATGTGTATGTTATCGCGTGAGCATTTCAGTTATTCGATCTAGGCCTCAAAGGTGATATTCTGCCAACCGAGACTGATTCCCCGGCTGCACGTAACCGATATATTTACTATCCAGACCACCTTGTGCGTTTGCCGGGACCATATCCCGGTGCTGGCGTTCTAGGGAACATCCTCATGAATGTCATGCAACTATTTTCAGAGCCCCTACTCTGGAAACTTGCTCTGGAAGTGATTCTCGAGCCTAGAAGGCCGGTCCGTGACCGATCGATATCTGACGAGTCCATCGGCGATTTTATGAAGCGTCGTTTTGGTCCGAATGTGGCAGATGTTGTTGCTTCCGCATTTTTCCACGGCATTTATGCTGGTGATCTGTACAAACTCAGCGCGCGGTCGATTTTGCGCATAGCCTGGGACGAGTTCGAGCTCTCTGAACGAGGCTTTGCGACGGAGTTGATGGACCAATTCAATCAACAGAAAATCTTTATGCCGTATGATATTGCCATGGCTCGTCGGTTGGTTGAGAAGGAGAAATATAAAGAGATACGCCGGTTTGCGACGGGTAATAACGTTTTAACTCTCCGGCGGGGCATGGGCCAGCTCGCTACAGCATTAGAGTCGTCGCTAAGAGGTGCATCTAATGTGGAAATCAAGACTGGTGCTGATATTAAATCCATCTCCAAGGGGGGAGATTCAGCGTCTATGACAGTACGTCAGAAGCAATATATGACTTTTCTTCATTACTTGCTCACTGTATTCCACTATTATAGGTTACCCTTGACGATGGCACCTCTTCCAACTATGACTACGTAATATCTACGACGTCTTCCACAGCCCTCGCCCAGCAACTCCTCGCCTCAGAAGCAGACCCAGCCCCAACATCCGTAACTGACCTCCTTAATGAGAATGACTACGCCGTCACCGTCATGGTCGTCAATCTCTACTACAAAAATCCAAATCTAATCCCACACCGCGGTTTCGGTTACCTAATTCCCCGCTCCGTCCCCATTGATCTCAATCCCGAGCGCGCCCTCGGCGTCATCTTTGCCTCAGATAGTAGCGCCGGCCAGGACACAGCTGAGGGTACCAAACTTACCGTAATCCTGGGCGGACACTGGTGGGATGACTGGCTCCTCTCAGACCTGCCGGATGAGGAAAACGCAATCGCCATGGCCAAATCGGTGCTCGCGCGACATCTGCGCATTGCTGATGAGCCTGTCGTTGCCAGAGCGCGGTTGCAACGGGATGCGATTCCGCAGCCGACAGTTGGGCAGGTGACGCAGATGGAACGGCTGCATGATGCCCTGGAGCGCCGGTTTGAGGGGAGATTGAAGGTTGCTGGGGCATGGTATACGGGGGTTGGGGTCAATGACTCGATACGGGCTGGGAGGATTGTGGCAGCGGCGACACTGGAGGGGCAAGAGGGCGTTACGGGATTGGAGAGATATACACCGGAAAACTTTAAGCGAAGGTTTGGTGGTTCGAGGGTGCAGGAAGGGCGGGAGTGAATGAACATGTAGGGTTGTTTTTGAGAGGGATTACCACATATGTAATATGTATTAAAATAGAAATATAGAAAGAAGGAATTTTTCAATATACCCTGTCCCGTCGTGCAAAACGTTCATCGAGTATAGGTCGTTGAGATATCGTGGTCTTGATCGTATCCGGATTGTTTGCCATGTCCCATCTGCACCATTGACCTTGAGCTTGTTTATTGACATCGAAACCATAATTTCGTTTGTGCGATGAAGGACCTTGAACGACAAGGCTTCACTCATATCACCTAGCCACCAAACTGTCTGTCTCATCGTACCCCACTCCCAAATTGGACATTGCTTCAGCACGCGATCAAAACCCTTCCCAAATCGTCACGCCAACGTTCAAGCCGGTTATGGTGGTGTTGATGTAGTTGGCCTCTTGATGGGGGCCGCAACTCAGTCCACATAACCATCGCATGAGGCTTCTGTCACTCCGTTGGAGTGCGCTACTTCGTATGATATAATAATGCTTGTCACAAAACCGCCCTCCTTTTATTTTCCCCCGCACCACTGTTTGGATGTCGTCCCGAAGTAAATCCATCATATACCATACTTCTAAAAACAGAGATTAGAAAGAAATCAGTGCACAAGAGTATCTTAGTTTTGGCGACCACGATATTCCTGTCCCACCTCCATTTCTCAGGGGTTATGATCTGCAGAATCCGCACTCGTCTTCTTCCTCTCGCCCTCTGAATCAAACCCCAAGGCATCCAGCTGTCTCACTAACTCCTGAATCTTGATAACCTTCTCAAACTGCTCTGGAAGCAGATTTTCACCATTGTCTTTCCTCTCCCTTAGCTCCCTTGCCTGCCTCAGCTTCTTGCGCAAATTGCGCAGCTTCTTCTCTTTCTCGACTTCCGCATCATGAGCGACATCTGCATCAGCACCAGGGTTTTCTTCTTCCTTCCTTTCCCTCCAGTTCTCTTTCTCCTTTGCTTTCCCTGGGGCACCTCCTTCTACCTTTCCAGAGGTAGTAGACAAATCATTCTCACCCTCCACAGCTTTCGCCCTCCGCTTCGCCTCCCGCTTCTTCGCATTCTTATTGCTTGCAGCTGTAGCTGCCGCAGAACGAGCGGATTCCTCTCCTAGACCTTCTGCACCAGGAATGCCGCCCTTGCCGCGATTTTTCCACGCCTCAGCTGTACGGTTTTTGTACACCTGTATGTCCTCCGGTGGCCGGTAGCCGGGCCGGATTTTAATTTCGCGGCGCTGGGAGCCGTCAGCGCGTGTCGAGGCGGGAATGTGGCGTTCGCCGGTTAAAGCGTTGACTGTTATCCCTGAGGAGGAGATGGGTTCCAATTCTGATTTTGGGGGCATGGTGGGCAAGATGTATATTGTGTTTTGTCTCCACGGTTGGACAAATCCTAGTGTGTTCTCTGGGTGGGCGTCAAGCAGAGGGGGCAGGATAAGAGTTCGCACGGGAGTAATTATATTAGAGAGGCATACGCGCTCAACGCTCACGAGCGGAGAGAGTAAACAGCAGGCTTACCCTGCCAGCGCAGTGTTGTTGCGGATGGATGGAGTGCAGCAAAAAAGGAATCATTAGGCAGTGTTCCTTTTCTGAGTTGGCAGAATCCAAGGCGGAACCTCGACTGGGCCAATCACCGCCTGCCTGATTCCCGACGCTGTTTCTCACCTTTCCTTCATCCTTCCTGCGAAACAACTGTTGCATAACTATCCTTCGACGCAATTGCGGGCCGCATCACCATTTCCCCGTTCAATTCCCGTACATCTCTCGCCATGGCAGGAGTATGTGACCTCCCAATCCCGCGAGCTACAGTCCTGCTCCCATTTTGTGAATTTTCTGGACTGTAACGGTCGTGCTAACGTTGACACCCAACATTTCCACAGATTACTGGAATGATATACAAGTAAGTCTCCCCGCATCCGTAGAACATGCCATTTTGGAGATAAATAAAGGTCTAACCTTCCGCTCTTACGTAGCTCCCTCTTCCGACGGAATACTACGTTCCTGAGTTCGATATTCATCGGAGCCTTCGCGTTCGAGATGTACGTGATAGCCATATGACTACATACATATATATTTTATGGATATTGGATGGAACTGAACTGAACGAATTTTTTTTCTTGGCTATTAAAACTATAGGGCATTCGACTCTATCAGCAACCGGATATTTGATTCTCTGAACAAGGGGGTATGTATACAAGGTCGCTTCGTCTTCGTTTTGAGTTGGTTTTAAGGCCTTGGTTGACTAACTTTGGCGCACCCGTGCACAGAGACAATGGAAGGATATCCGACACCAGTACATCCAGAAGGCTGAGGATGAAGAATAAAACGGGCCAGATGGAAAATGTTGATATAAAAGCGTTGCGTGTGCGGCGCTTGAAAGAAGCGTGGTGTTTTGAAGTGGGATAGAATTGTATATGTACAAGTTAGATATTGTGGAATTATGCAAAAAATTCATATCTGTTTCTGGAAAAAATCGGGTCAATATGCTTGATGATTCAAGCAGCGAAGAATATGGCGGCATCTGGAGTGAATATGCGGGTGGCGTTATAGTTGTCGTCTATCCGGATTTAACAAGGATATATCTCTCCTTCGGGCAAGCTCCGTAGCGATTTGGTTAATTCAATAATAATAGCGCCTTGACACGGAAGTAAAGTAAAGTGAATAAACGCGGGCGGTGTTATGTTGAGGCGTGGCTGTTTCCTTAGTCCAGCAGCCTTAAGTCAGTGATGATATCAGGCATCATATCGGCGGGGAAGCTGTTTACAACCAACAACGCTGGGAGCCGCCATGACTTGACATAAAACATTACAACCACTTTACTCCAACTCCCATCACATCACATCATAGTTCTCTGCATCCACTCTTCATCAAGTTGACATTTTTGAATTCATTTTCAAACTTTGTCCCATTTTCTTCATCCCTCCCAAACGTTCCCTCGAAGTCCTTCGCCCCCCACCACCAACTCAATCTCACATCGAAATCCACGGGCTCGTAACTATATAATACGAGACACGGGACAAACGGGAACAAATGATCTGAACGAATGTTAGATAAAATCAACGCATACCTGTATCATGTTATCGAATCTTGAGCGGAGACTCGGCCAGGCTCTACTCGAGCATCCATCCCGACATGGCTACCGCTATACCAAGGAAGCCCGCCAGGACCTCCTCGAGCTCCTCTTCCACTGTATGACTGGTTACAACGAAGAATACCTTCGCCTACTATTCCCCAACGGCTTTTCAGAGAGCGAATGGAAGTTGTCGGAAGCTCAGGGTGCAGTTGAAGGTGCGGAGTACACGGAATCAGCTCGGGGAAAGCGGTGCGGGCACATTTTCAAAAACGGCGAAGCTTCATACCATTGTATGACCTGCTCTACCGATGATACTTGCGCGCTTTGTACCCGCTGTTTCGATTCTTCAGATCATACGGGTCACAAGTATTCTATTTCGCTATCCAGTGGGTATAATGGGTGCTGTGACTGTGGCGATGAGGAGGCGTTTAAAATCCCTGTTCTCTGTGCTATACATACTGCGACGCCGCGGGATACTGAAGGGAAAGGGAAGTCTTCGTCGTCGTCACATGCTGCGCAGACGCCTGTTGATCTGGTAGAGAGTATTACCACGACGATTAGCAGGGCTTATGACTATTTCTGCGATGTTATCTCATGTTCACCAGAACAGTTGAGGCTTCCAAAGACTGAAGCTGGTATCAGAGAGGACGAGGCAGCGTCGAGGCTATTGGCGGAATGGTACGGTGGGAGTGACCCCGTTCAAGAAGAACCTGAGTTCGCGCTTGTCCTCTGGAATGATGAGAAGCATACTGTTACCGAGGTCGCAAATCAAGTGGTACGCGCCTGTCGAGAGGCGTCACGGTTCGGGGTAGAGAAGGCCAACGAGACCCACGAGATTGGGAGGAGTGTGGTGAAATACTCGAAGGATTTGGAGAATCTACTGGTGGTGTCGAAGATCATAGAGCAGATCAGGGTTACGGTTACAGTGAGGTCGGCAAGAGATACGTACCGAGAACAAATGTGTGGGACCATTATTGAGTGGCTTTCTGATATTGCCTCCTGTTCTATAGGAGATGACAATGACCTTCTCAGGCAGACTGTGTGCGATCAGATGATTCAACCCTGGAGACTTGGAAGTAGGGCATCAAATGCCGACATTGGGAAAAGCGGCATCTATGATAATGAGGAAGAGGATCGGTCGAGAGATTACTCCGTGCGGGTTTCAATCGGTCCCGAAGGACCATTTATAGAAGTTGCGGCAGCGCCCGACGATATAAATCCCAACGATGATGGCGAAGTGGAAGAAGGCCAAGCAATGGGGGAGGGGGAGGATGATGAAAATGGAAATGAGGATGAGGAGGATGAGGATATGGACGAAGTCGATACCATTCGGCTTACTCTGGAACAAGATGTAGAGACTATGGAAGCAAGGGCAAACACTATTGACGCGGACGTTGAAATGCCAGACAATGATTTGGAAATCGAGGAGGCTACTCTTGTTGCATATCCTTCACCACTTCCTCCACCCCCGCCATCACAGGACCCGCGACAGGGTGATAACCAAGACATTGCTACTCTAATTGTGCCTACTGGCCCTGACAGTGAGGGCCCTGCGGGTTCCTTTGCGTCTGGGAAAATCGATATCCCCAAAACGCCTGGTGCGAGATTCCAACCTTCTGCAGAAGCCCCCTCTTACTGGGTGGTGAAGCCTCAGCGATTTTATGATAATGAGGACCTTACACCCTATGAAGACTTGCGGAAGCGGACAAGACTCGATTGGATTATTTTGTTCGACTTGAGGCTATGGAAGAAAACCAGGACAGACGTTCGGGAAATGTGTCTAGGCACCGTCGTTAACGTTCCACAGTTCAAACGGATCCTTGGTTTGCGATTCTCTGCTTTATATACCGCTCTTGCCCAGCTGTATTTGATCGCGGATAGGGAACCGGACCATTCTATCATTAACCTCTCTCTACAGTTATTAACAACGCCTTCTATAACAGAAGAAGTCGTCGAACGGGGGAACTTCCTGACGAATATTATGGCTATTCTTTATACTTTCCTTACGACACGCCAGGTTGGGGAGCCCCACGATGTTCACCCTAACGCGACTCTCTCAATAGACACTGGCTCGGTAACTAACAGACGATTATACCATTTCTTCCTTGATTTGCGCTATCTCCTTCTATCAGAGCATGTTAAGCGTCGTATCCGTAGCGAGAGGCAGTATCTAATGCAATTCCTGGATCTTGTTAAACTTCCCCAGGGAATTTGCCCTAATGTTCGCGCAGTCGAGGCCCACGTTGAATACGAGACTGAAGGCTGGATTGGGGCATCTATTCTGATGCGTGAAATTAATCGATTGTGTCGTCTGTTCTGCGAGGCGTTCCGCACAATCGAGTCTGAAGAAGATGCTGACAACCTCGTTGACGCGATAGCCACCACTGCCTACTCAACCATGATTAACTCACTGGGGCTGGAGCGACTTCGCTTCGTCCACGCTGAGATTCTTGATTTCGTTCGCTTCAAGTCTGTTCCATTCGTGGAATTCGAGAAGGATGCTTTCCAAAAGGTTACCCACCATCGAATTGTCGAATTTGCGGTGGACCGTGGTTCGATTAGTTTCCACCATGCGCTCCATTATACACTGTCCTGGTTGCTGGAATATGGACGGGCTATGTCTCCTGAGAAAATGAGAGATGTACTAATTCGCGCGGCGGAGATGGTTAGATCCCAGCGGCTAGCCAATTCGCCTCACCCATACCTGAGCCCGGATGATATTTTACTCACCATGTTTGACTACCCCCTGAGGGTATGTGCATGGCTGGCGCAAATGAAAGCTGGAATGTGGGTGAGAAATGGACTCAGTCTTCGACACCAAATGAGCCAATATCGTGCAGTAACCACTCGTGAAATGGCCTTCTATCGAGATATCTTTTTGCTGCAAACAGCCTTTGTCGTCTGTGACCCTAGCAGGTTCCTTGCGAGTTTGATTGACCGCTTCGGTGTTGGCGATTGGATGCGGGGTAACTATGTGACAAGGCCTGGTTATGAAGACGCCAAACATGTGGATATTCTGGAAGAGATGGTCCATTTAATGATTGTTTTAGTCACAGATCGAACATCGCTGTCATGCATGAACGATGAAGATAGTACCCAAAACAGTATTATGGCTCGAGACATTGCGCATGCTCTATGTTTCAAGCCGCTGTCGTATACTGACCTGACCATTCGGATGAATGATAAGTCTGGAGAATCGGGTAATTTCCAGGAAGTGCTGGCAGAGGTCGCTACGTTCCGCCCACCAGAAGGCATGAATGATACAGGCACTTTTGAGCTGAAGCCTGATTATCTCGATCTAGTGGATCCATACTGCACACACTATACTAAGAACCAGAGAGAAGAGGCTGAAAACTTATACAAACAGTGGATGGCGAAGAAGACAGGCAAAGATGCTGCTTCAATTGTATTCGAGCCGAAGCTTCGCGTGATCCGGTCGGGAGCATATGTTGGGCTTTCTAACTTCACTCAAACACCATTGTTCGCTCAAGTTATTCACCATTGCCTAGACTATTGTTTAACAGCCAAGACCGTTACCAAATCCATTACTACCACGAGGATCGAGACGCTCTTGCACCTGGTTCTTCACACGATACTCTTAGCTACCCTTGAAGATCACGCATTTGAAGATGACACTCATGAAAATTTAGCGGAGCGATCTGACTCGACGCAGTCATTCGTCTATCACGCTCTGTGCAGGACCAAGTTTACTAGGACTGCGGAGATAAGCATTATCGGCTTGCTTCAGAATGTATCGACGGTGCCAGAATTTTCCTCGTGTGGACCCAAGATTCGTCATATATTGAAGAAGTTTTGGCAAATGCGACCGAAGGCCTACGCCGCAGCGACCATTGCTCTTAAGTTCCCATACGATAATATCGAGGCTCCGTCGCCTGCTGGCAAGACTGAGAGCGAGCTCGAGCTTAAAAAGAAGCAGGCCCTTGACCGACAGGCGAGAGTAATGGCACAGTTCCAGCAGCAGCAGCAAAACTTTTTGGAAGCGCAGGGTTCTATTGACTGGGGTGAAGAGGATGACATCAGTGAAGCTGAAGAGCCGAGCATTCTCAGCCCAACCGAAAAGAAGTTATGGAAGTACCCAGCCGGTCGATGTATTTTGTGCCAGGAGGACACCAACGATTCACGTATATACGGAACATTTGCATTCATGGCTGATAGCAGGATCTTCCGGCAAACTGATATGGCAGACTCAAGTTACGTTGGGGAAGTACTGAAAGTTCCCTCTAGTCTCGATCGTTCCGCCGATAATATTCGCCCATTCGGTGTTGCTGGAGAGAATCGGAAAATGGTACGGAGTCTAGATTCGACTGGCGGGGAAGTCATTACGGAAAAGCAGGGTTTGGGTAAAGGTTTTAGTCCAAAACAAGCAGCAGAAGGGCCGGTAACAACTGGTTGCGGACACATTATGCATTATCATTGCTTCGAAGATTATTACAGCGCTGCGCAAAGAAGACATCATCACCAGGTTGCTCGCAACCACCCTGAGCGGCTGCCTCTGAATGAGTTCGTGTGCCCACTATGCAAGGCACTAGGAAACGCGTTCCTTCCAATCATCTGGAAGGGTAAGGAAGAGTCCTACCCTGGGGCGTTGAACACAGCAGATTCCTTCAATGAATTCTTGGACGAAACTCTGGTCTACTCTGTGACCAGATTCCGGAATCATGCTCTGATAATGGAGAGTGATAAGCTATATTCCTCAGGGTATCAGGACTTGTTTGTCGATTACGTCTCTAAAAATTTTATAAACCCCTTGTCTCACAAGGTGAATCAGCTGGCAACGCCAGCTCTCCCGGAACTGCTTTCTTTCCCCCAGCCTACTAGGATGCAAATGCCAGGCTTATACCCTCCTGCAGATGAAATCATCTCGATGGGCCCGACTCCTACACAACCGATAACTGCTCCCGCAACAACTAACGACGCCATGGTCACTGAGCTTGTGTCTATCTACAAACAATTGAGAGAAACTATCCGCCTCAACGGAGTGCAGTCTCAATTTGGGTATCCAGGGAATGTGTCTGACGACCTTATCCATACTGACGTCTTGATCAGAACCTTGGGACTTTCCATTACAGCAGCAGAGATTGCGCAACGGGGTGTTGGATATGAAGGCAGTACCACCCTATTGGCTCAAATTCCGCAGTTGACCTTAACGCACCTTCGCGTACTTTCGGAAACTGCTTTTTCGTACTGCGCAGTCGGAGGATTAAACACAACGGCAACAAATAAAACAGTCTATGAATTTAGGGATATGCATCGACGGCGATTGTGTCAGCTGTTCGTCGGACACCCAGGCCTCTCTGGCCTATCCAACCTAGCATATGAAAACAAGTCCATCGAGCCATTACTTCGGCAGGATAGCTTTGTTTTCCTTACTGAATGCTCTCTGTGTATAGTTCCCGTGCTGAATTTGGACATTCTCCACGTCGTCCGTTTGTGTTATGTCGCTGAGATCGTCAAGACTTTCCTGGGCTATATCTTACGGCCACAAGGTTTCCTTGAAGTTCTGGAAAAGCATGGTTCAGAATCTTCTACAAATGATGATCCAATGAGTCCACATGAATCTTTGACCAAGGCTATGTTGCATTGGCTTGTAAAAACGTACAAGGCCTCTTCGGTCGAAAGTTCAGTGCCCGAGGAAGGCGGCTCCTATCTTCTTAACCACGCCGAGGACGTTTCGATCGAAACAGTTAAAAGCCTCCGGCTATTAATTGACAAATATGCCCTCCCATTCCTCCGTAAAGCGGTGATTTTACTCCATGTTAGGTTTGGCGTCGAATTCCCAAATACCGGTTCCGATTATAATGACTTGGCGGAGATCGATCGCCTTGCAACGCTGCTCAATCTGCCATCCATTGACAGCATTTTTGATTCCCTTGTCAATAGTGACGGAGAAGATAACAATAACATTATTGCCTTACTAGTTTCTGGATGGATTTCACATTTCATTTCCTGGTTTCCCGAAGATTCAGATGCTGATGACCAGCAACAGCAACAGGAGCAACATCAACAACTGGCTACCTTGTCACTTCCGCACCCTGCGATTTTCGAGCTAGTAGGACTTCCCAAGTATTTTGACACGCTTTTAGATGAGGCTACGAGGCGCCGTTGCAAGACTACTGGCAAGGAACTCACAGATCCAAGTATTTGTCTCTTTTGCGGTGACATCTTCTGCTCTCAGGCCGTTTGTTGTCGAGGTCAAGGCGATTGGAGACTGGGTGGCTGCAATCGCCATGTTGCCATGTATGTATTTATCCCTTCTCCTCTCGCCCGCATGCATCGAACTTTCATCCTTTTCTAAGTGCGTTAATTATCACCAGATGCTAATGGTTATTTTGCTAACAATAGATGCGGTAAAAACATCGGCCTCTTCATCAACATCCGCAAATGCATGGCCCTTTTCCTCCATAATAAGAATGGCTGCTGGCATCACGCCCCTTACCTGGACATCCATGGTGAAGTCGATCCGGGCTTCCGACATCATAGGCGCCTGATATTAAATCAGAAGCGGTATGATCGCCTTCTCCGCGATGTGTGGCTGTCTCATGGAATCCCTGCTGTGATTAGTAGAAGGCTGGAAGCCGAAATTAACAATGGGGGATGGGAGAGTATCTAAGGTGTTGTAGGGTATTCATGTTTAAGATTGGGAAATTGGAATTGAAACGGTTGAGCATGCTGTGTTTTCTTAACCCCTCCCCAGCCCATTTTTGTCGAATGGCGAGCGAACTACAATGCTTTATTTACTCGGTTACTCTTCACGTTTGTTTTTATGACGAAAGCGCATTTCCTGCTTTGTTTTGTGCTATCGTTCTTCCGGTATCATGTGTCCCCGCAAGTCTATCCATCAAGGAGTACTATGTTGTAGCCGCTTGCTCATCCCCATGGTGTAGCTACTACCAATTGCGATTTTACCCCCACACAAAAAGCGACATAGTTACTACAACAAATTGTAGTTTTAGGCGAATCGAAGAAAACTTGGACCAGGATGTTAACTAATGGTCGACGGGCGGGAGTGCTGATTATATAATCATGGTGGCCAGAAAGTCTCATCCGAAACGCGAGTTAACTATCACTTAACTACAGTTTAGGTACAGATCTGTACATTGAGTGATAAACTGAACTTGGCTCTTCTGCTTTTTCAGCAAAACAAAAAAAATGAAGTGGTTCACTGGAATATATTTCAAACAGATATAGAGATACAAAATCACTTCTCAAAGTGGGTGCGTCATCCATAACAGAAACCATGAACAACGAGCAATTTCGACGCTTGCTTTTCGAAGACCAATCGAAAAAAACGGGCCATGACTCTACACTTGCCAAAAAAACGTCACCTGTTGGCGGGGATGCCGCGCGTTCGAAGCCTGCAACTTTGGGTTCTAATATGCGACCGAAAATTCCGATGACTCCGTACGTATTCCCTTACTCCCACGCCTCAAGAGCTGTTGTCAAGTTTGTTTCTAGAACATTTTAGGGCTAACTCTTCTTGCTTTCTTGTTTGCTCATGCAGTCGCTCAGTCATCGGCGTAGATTTTGCTCGTCAATCAGCCGACCATCGCCGTGAATCGCAACCACCACCTGCGAAGAAATTCAGATCCTCAGCTGCTCCCAAGGGTACCAAGTTGGCCGAGGGATACCAGGACAGAACACTTCTGCGGCGGGCGGGTCAGGATGAAGAAGGGAATGTAGAAGGATATGGTAGTGACGATCGGGGAGATGATGACCTGGAGCACAGGGTTCGAGCGTTGGAGGATATGGTTAAACTTGGCCAGGTCGACCAGCCTACGTTCGAGAAACTTAGGGAGGAGATTGGGGTTGGAGGCGATGTGAAAAGCACACATTTGATCAAAGGACTGGATTGGAAACTATTGCGGAGGGTTAAGGCTGGGGAAGATATCAATGCGCCTCCTCCTAGCGTGTCCGAAAATGGGGTGTCTGGACAACCGCAGGAGAAGGTCGTTCGGGATATCGATGAAGAGTTTGACATGGTTCTTGAAGAAAAAGAGAAGGAAGTTAAGGAGCCTGCGCAAAAGGTTGAGAAGGTTAAGAAAGGGTCTATGGCTCCTCCGTCGCTGGATGGTAGTCGAAGAATGACCCGAGATGAAATTTTGAAGAAGTTAAAGGCCTCCCGGGCTGCTCCTGAGGTGCAACAACACATCTCTGAACCTCCCGCTTCGGCACTTGGCGAAAGGTTTAAAAAAATAGGATCAAAGTCTAAAAAAAAGCAGTGGATTGAAACGAATGAGCACGGCAGACGACGAGAAGTCCTTCTTACAACTGATTCAGAGGGGAAGACAAAGAGGAAAGTTCGATGGCTTGATAAACCAGACGATCAAGCACAGAGAAGTGAGGACTCTGGGCTTTTACCAGTCGACAAACATGCAAAGCCACTGGGTATGGATGTCCCTGCTGAAGTTCTGTCGCGAGCGAATGCAGCCGCGACAGTGGAGGAAGAAGACGATGATATTTTCCAGGGCGTTGGGAGGGACTATAATCCGCTTGCCGACATGGAGGATGAGGATGATCATGGATCTTCATCTTCCGACGAATCAGATAATGAAATGAAAGGGAATGCCTCGCCACCTCGTGTGGATATAGTCAATGATGGCCATGCGCAGCAGGAACAACCCCTCCCTCAGCCAGCGAAAGTCCGGGATTACTTTGCTACGTCCTCCAGTACCAGAGAAGATCGAGAAACCGTGAACAAGCCTACTTCGATTTCCAGTGACCCAGCCATACTTGCGGCACTAAAACGCGCTGCAGCGATTAGGCAGGCATCTCCGGTAGACCTCGATGGTGGCGCTGGCCTAGATCAAGAGGCGACTCTCAAACGCAAAAAGTTTCTTGAAGAGGCCAAGAGACGAGAAAGAGAAGACGCAATGGATCTGGATCTTGGGTTTGGTGGAAGTAGATTTGGAGACGAAGATGATGAGGAGGCGGGCTGGGAAGCGGAGGGCCGCGGCAGGGGGACTAAAAGGAAGCGAGGCCCTAAAAAGAAGAAAGGCGACAAGGATAGTGTAAACGATGTGATGAAGGTGCTCGAAGGGAGACGCCAAGGTGAGAAATAAGGATCATAATCCAAGAGTGATGGTTGAAAACATGGTGCTATCTCGTACTCAATGGTGTGGACGCTGCTGTGACCTTTTTATAATTCCAGCAAATCTTCAGCACTGCTCGGCATGTGCGTATCAAGCGAAGCGCCTGATTATTATTGAAAATTTTGGAATCATCCTTGCGGGGAATCGTTTCGTTCCGCGAAAAACACCAACAGCTTTCTGAACAGAGAATTATGGTACTGTTCCTGCTATACATCTCTGCGCAGGAAAAATTTTTAAACCACGGATAACTAATTTTAACCAATCCTCGTTTTCATAGTCGTCGATTGATGCTATACATACTCTCGAAAAAAGCGTTCAAGTTTCCTGCACTTGAGAGGGTGCCTAACTTGGCTCATATATGTATATACATGTACGGAGTACATATATACAAAAACCCTTGATCCATTCCCTTCAGCGTGGCAATGAAGGCACTGCTGATATATGGGCATGTATTGGCATATTCTTCAGCCTGCTAAAGTTTCCAATGCAAGGGCACCTACACTATCAAACAGGAGCCTACTTTCAAGACCCTCAACTAGCCCTACCTACGACAACTCATTTAATCCATCTTCTTTATGTTGTTGGGGCTTGCTGGTTATCCCATGGTACCCATGTTGGGAGTAAGGCCTATCTGGGTCGAACCCTGCCTTGATTTGATGGATCGGTCGATAAACGGTCTGGCGTCTTGGCACGATTAGCCTCGTGGAAGAACAAGGTCGAGAGAATAAGGTTTCGACGCTATGCCCAATTTGGACACAAGCGGGTACTTCACCCCTTGAGCCTCCCACAAATATAGCGACATTGCGAATTTTCTAATCTCGATTTCCCAAGCTATTTTTCAAGGTTTATGAGCTACCAGATTTCGAAAGGTGGATCATAAGCAGAGTTCGAAAGGTGGATCATAAGCAGAGTTCGAATGGAGTCCTCAAATACAAGGCTTTGCCCAATGTTCGTTCGAGCATTAGATAGACTTTCAGGAACGCCCAGTCATAGCTTTACATCGCCCAAGCCCCCCAGACCCTTGAAAGCATCCGAAAACGTTCAGGGTCACCAGGTCTAGGCCCTCCTTGATGTCTTCGTCAAGATACCTGTACCTTCATCAACTAACATGCTTGGCTACCGTATGCTAATAGCACTAAAAGGCCTACGTATCATTCCAGTTTTGGTCTCTAGCAACTGGGTCATTCTATCCTTAGCTTGAAGTTTCGTCTCTTCAATGGAAAAATGGTATAGCGATTTTCAGTTATGCGCCAGCATTGCGCGCATAAATACCAGCGTTATACGCTCGATTTTCATCGTTAATGTCTATCTAACACTATACCCCTAACCTCAAGTTTCCTCTCAAGAAAAATCCGCAGGTTCTCCTTGAATCAACTCTTTCTCACTTAAGGTACTCAAAGATACTCTCCGTCCACCACGAAAATAAGTTCCATTATTTAAACCTGAACTCCGCTCTAATTCGAATTCAAGTCATGGTGTCATTGAAATCCCTACTTGTCACGAGCGTGCTGGCTAGCGCTGCCTCCTGCGCGCCTTCAGCTGACTCTCACACCATTGCTGCGCGATCAGGTTCGGGAAAACGCGGTCTTGCTTACAACAATGGTGGCCTCCTTCCCATATTCCTCCGCATTGGAGAGTCCTTTTCCTGGTCCTATAATTGGAATGGCAGGTCTTCGGGCGACACTTCGAGCATTGAATTTGTGCCCATGCTTTGGGGGGCGAGGAGCTTCGGATCATGGTACGGTGATGCTGAAGCATCCCTTGCTTCTGGGAGCAAAAACCTGCTTGCGTTCAACGAACCTGATATACTCTCGCAAGCCAATATGACTCCTGAAGTTGCCGCGCAAGCTTATATGAAGTACATGAACCAGTACTCAGGCAGGGCCCGCCTAGGCTCCCCGGCCGTTTCCAATGGGGCCCCCCCGTTAGGACTTGGCTGGATGAAAAACTTCCTCGACATCTGCGGGGGGAAATGCAAGATTGACTTCCTCGCTGTCCATTGGCACGGTCCGGCTGGAAATGTGGATGACTTCAAACGCTACATTTCCAATGCAATTGCCCTTGCCAAGAATTATGGGATTGCCACTGTCTGGGTTACTGAATTTGGGGCGCAAGGGGATGAGTGGCAGCAGGTACAATTCCTGAAAGAGGTGCTCCCTTGGTTAGATAATAATGCTGGCGTGGAGCGCTATGCCTATTTCTTCGTTGATACGCTTGCACGGGGAGGTTCATTGTCTTCTGTCGGCCAAGTTTATAGCACCATCTAACATATAGCTTGAAACTTAATATCCGGGACTCTAGCAATTTAGTGTTGTGGGCCGCAACGTAACTTTTCGGTTTGTCTCGGGCAACTGCATTACATTTTGCAGTCTATTGCTGGATTATCTCTGGCTTTTGGGACCATTCATTCTTCATTTTCCGATCGAGAGTGGCAGAGTGTTAAAGTGTATCTACAGTATCATACTCTCATATACCCGCAAATGAAATGTGGCGATCGGAACTTTGTAACCAGGAAATTTTGATAAAGCTAAAACAGTAAACATCTTATGGAACAAGCTGTGACTGCAAACATACTCCTCTACACTGCTGGGGCGATTTGCAAAACATTCTTCTTGTCCCCTCACAACATGTACAGTACATCGTGCTTGGACATGGATCAAGTTTCTCAGGTGCTTATTAACCTCACCCTAGGAAGGGTGTCTAAGATTGACTTTTATAGAACCATGGTCAAACTGTAAGCTAAATCACGTATTCGGTATATGTATGTTACTAATTGGAGCTGATGAACGCTAGAGTGGAAAAATGTATCTTTTACATAGGCTGATAAACATCTTCGCCAACAGCATCTAGATGTCTGGAATATGGCTAGAAATCAGAGTACTGTTCTGTCCATTTTCTGCCGGGATTATGTTGCTTGGATACATGAGCTTGGGAAAAATGTGGTATTATGAAATAGCATAATGATGCGAATACCTAAATGCCCGCATTAAAATCGACGGGTCGCACACTGCCCAATCGTCTCAGTCAAATAAATATACCCAACTCATAGCAATTGCCGGAGAGGATGGTCAGAAGTTTAGCCTGTGCAGCAACTAAAATCTCTTTATCGACGATATGCGGCTAGTCTTATATCTTGCCAGATAGGATTTCGTAAAATATCATTATTGAAGATAACTCGAAGCAAAAACCCATCATCTCAGAATGGCATCACCATCAACATCCATGTCGAGGTCATCGTCAACTTGTACACGTGCATCAATGTTATCGTCGACACCCGATAACTCATCCTCTGGTATCTCATGTTCTGGCAGCTTGTCCCTTGTGCCAGTCTGGTGATTCGACCCTAGGAGGGGCTGTTCCTCCTCCCAAACTCGTATTGTCCTGTCCAAACCGCAACTTGCGATTAACCGGCTCTCCCCAGAACAGTACGTATCAACATCCAAAACGACATCAGAATGCCCCTCAAGCTTCTGTAGCACCTTCTTACTAACCACGTCCCAACAAAGCACCGCTCCATCCTCGCTTCCGCTGGCTGCGAAAGCCATAACCTCACCACCAAGTGCACCGTACACCCCGAAAGCGCCTGAAAGACTATACTTCCTATTTTTATGGCCTTGGTATGTCTTGATACATCGACCCTCAACGTAGTCCCACAACCTAACGCAGTCGTCATGCGTCCAAGCGAGCACGTACTTGCCATTTGGCGAGAATTTCACAGCTGAAACGGGAGGGTTGTCTTCATGAACGAGAGTCCGGAGGCATTGCCCTGTGCCAGTGTCCCAAATGCGAATGAGGCCATCACTTGCACATGAAACAATAAGCGTTCCATCGCGCACAATATCGACACCAGCAACAGGATCAGAGTGGGCAGGGAGTGAGCGCATTACCCGTGCGGATCGGACGTCCCATAGATAAACGGCTTCGTCATACGATCCACTGACAAGCATGTTTCCTTTTGGAGAGAAGGCGACGGAGTATATGTAGTTGTGGTGGCCGAGGAAAGGGTTGGGATGTGGTTTTCCCTACACAAATTTAGATTAATCAGGATATGAAGAAACACGGTGAGAAAGCGTAGCCGGGATGAAAGCTCACAGTTGAAACATGCCACAATCTAATAGACTTATCGTCAGACCCTGATGCGATTATAGCTCCGTCTGGGCTCCATGATATTGTCGAAATGCCAGCCAAATGTCCTTCGAATGTATGGATGAGTCGTCCACTAGCCGTATCCCATATTTTTATTGTAGCATCCGCAGCTGCTCCCAATTTGTTAGACCACAGACAAAGTATAGAAGAGTTCATTCGAGTTCTATCCTTACAGCAACTAGCAATCATAGATCCATCGGGAGAGAATTTGACAGTTGACACTCCCAGCTGGTGTCCTTTCAGTACATACTTTTCTCGGTAGTATAATCGTTCTGGTTTTGGCGGAGGCGATGGCGACAGCGGTGTGGGAGTTGACGATGAATCGAGTTCGACGGAGCGCTCACTAACTCCCCGGTCAAATGGGCCGTTTTCCGATCCATCCGGGCGATCGCTTTCTTGCGGGCTATCTTCTCGCGAGGAGGTCATGCTATGTATCCCGGACCTCCGTCGCCGCCAGTAAGTGCTGGCATCCTCTGCGAGCTCGTCTGGGCTCCCTGACCCGCTGTGACTGAGGCTGCGGCCGCGGCTGCGGCTGCGACTCCGGCTCACGGAGCGATCCCTTTTGTATTCCACAGAAGATCTGTAAACGATGGGGTTTTCTTCCGCCCAACTTTCTCCTCTCCGCTCGACATCCGAGTTTGCTGCAAGCTCGTCAGAGGAGGTTTCCGGTGTCGCGGTGTAACCGTTCTCCAAACGCCGTTTTTTCGAGGGATGGCTTTCTTCTGCCATTATGAAAGGAATCGCCGATATCAAACACACTAAACCCTTCGAATGGCAGAAACATGCAGCAGCTTATCCTTGCGAACCTGCTCCGAGCCTGTCTGGAAGCCGTAATTGCACGACTGGCGGGTCGCGCTTCTGACAGACGCGTTGATTGGCAGAATAAGAATAGAAGGCGGCGGTGGCGCATATCTTGGTGGCCACCACATCGTCGTCGTCGTCGTCGCCGTCGTCGTCGCCTGCGATGGAAACACCATTCATAATAACTCGACAGGTCGTCTTGACTTGACTTTGTTTTTGATTCCAGCTTGGACATTTCCGCCTGCGCTGCCTCCGTATTTGTCACATCTTGTCTGTTCTGGAATTTGACGCTGCAGCTTCCACCATGCACCCCCATAACAGCGATGAGCTTCCAGCGAAGATCAACGTACTCACCCTCAACTGCTGGGGTTTGAAATATATTTCTGAATACCGCCGCGAGCGCCTCATTGAAATTGGGAAGCGTATAGCGCTCTCCGAAAACACCCCACATATTGTCGGTCTACAAGAATGCTGGAGTCGGGAGGACTACCACAATATCCGGAGAGAGACTCGGGAGATCCTCCCATACGGCAAGTTTTATTTTAGTGGGATATTTGGCGGTGGTTTAGCTATTCTCTCAAAATGGCCTATCGAAGAAAGTACCATGCACGCATATCCGTTGAATGGTCGTCCAAGTGCAATCTTCAGGGGTGATTGGTATGTTGGAAAAGGGGTCGCATGTGCGAGGATCCGTATTGGACCTGCGGCTGCTGATATTGTGGATGTCTTCTGTACACATCTCCATGCCCCCTATGAAAGGGAGCCGCGTGATTCATATATCTGCCACAGAACTGCGCAAGCCTGGGAGATTGCCAAATTAATGAAAGCCGCTGCTGAAAAGGGGCACTTGGTCGTCGGCCTTGGAGATTTTAACATGCTTCCACAATCTTTTGCGCATCGACTCATTACTTCACATGCACCAGTCAAGGACGTTTGGGGCCATCTCCACCCAGACTCATCGATCGGCGCGGCGATAGACTCTGCCGAAATGAGCCGGAAGAAACCTGTCCCATCCGCTGATTTCAACATTTCCGAAAATGGGGCTACATGCGATAGCATCCTGAATACGTGGCGCTGGAGCAAATCGCAGCAGAAACGCCTCAAGCGCGAAGGCCCCATGCCAGTTGATGGCCAACGCCCTGATCCTCTCGCGAAACGCCTAGACTACATATTCGTCGGAGACGGCTCATTCAGCAATTTTTCCTCGCTGAGGAAATGGGACATTGAGTCTGCCCGGGTATGCATGCTGGAACGGCACCCACACCTCCACTGCTCATTAAGTGACCATTTCGGCGTTGAAGCCACAATCAAACTGGATATAGCCAAGGAAGCCGACGACGGCGATGAAGGCCCGTCTTCCTTCCTCCCCATTCAAAAGCATGTCGAATCCAGTCTCTCCAGGTCCCCTGCAGGCGAAGCCGACCTTATTACTGCTGAAAACGCTGAAAACTCGAGCCCGCCGTCGCAAGCGAATGCCGCTGTAGCACGCCAACAACAGCAAGCAACGCTCACGGCAGATACCTACGACCAGATCCTTTACATGATATCCGACTACTCCGCTCGAGAGCGATTCCACCGCCGTCTACGCTTTTTCTTCTTTTTCTTCTCCTTTCTCGTCTTCCTTGGCTGTATGATTGGTGTATGGTTTGCTGCTCGAGCGTTTATCGTGTTCATTCTCCTGATTCTTGGCTCCTTTTTCCTGCTTTGTGGGTTCGTTAATTTTTTGATTAGCTGCTTATTTGTGAGCAGTGAGCTGCGGGCACTTAATGAGTTTGAGTGGGAGATTCGGAATGCAAGGAGGATAGTGTTGGGTTTAGGTTTGGATATTGAAGAGGAGCAAAGGTCACCGAATCCTACGCAGAGAGGTTGGTTTCCTTGAGAGCTTTGGGCAGAAGGTTCTCCTTTTTCCTTCTTTTCTTTCTTTCTTTCTGTTTTGCAATAGTCCTTTTAATATTTTTCTACTAGACAGATGATTTTGTGATGAGTTTTTTTGAGGCGGTTTTTGGAGTCTTGTGGGGAGGGTTGATGTTTTGTGTTTTGTCGCGTGCGATGCATTTTCAAATGTATAAGTACTATTGTGCAATCCTTGATCAAATTTACTGAGTGTACAACCACAAGGCCTCATTCATTCCCAAGTAATCTTAGGGTTTATATAACGCTTTTCAGTGATGAGTTCCATTGCATGCCTAATTTAGATTTGAACATTAATGAGGTCAACTTTATTGAGATAATTGACAGTTGGTGGCCATTCCGAAACTAGACACTATCTTGCGTTTATATAATTTTGCATTCATATGTTCAATGGGTAATGTAGCAAGCTTTGACTGCAAATTCCCATGTGCGCAAATACATTAGTATCGCCTCCCGATGGAAGGAACCAATTTAATAACAGTAGAGGGCAATGGCAGACTGGCAGCCCATGAATAACCAGAAAAGAAATTAATTACAATTTTAGCCTCCCAGAACACGCGTGTTTGGAACATGTACTATTTCCACATTCTTTCCCGCCAACCTTTCCGGGACTGCGGGATCGGAAATTAGCATTCATTTTTTATCGGCGCACTCTCTCTTTCGTTCTTCGAAAACTTCCAAAGCAACCTCCGCTGCACGCACGCCACTAAGCATCATGGCTGAAAAGATAGGCCCCATCCGGTGCCACCCGTCAATTTCACTCAACTCCATGCCTCCAATAATCAACCCCTTAGTCACCTCCCGAGTATTCTTCACAATGGCCTCCTCAGCTGAGTTCATGTCCAGTCCACGCATACCGCCCAGTTTCTCAATGGCAGCCATGGACACGAGACGCTTGGCGCAGAAAGCACCAAACGGACCATCGTGACCGGTGGTACTGATGACCAGGGGTGCATTGATGGTGTTTGGATCCATGCAGGAGTGGTCATCGTGGTGGAGAGTCACGAGCGTCCAGTTGGTCACGACACCGGCGATGCGAATACCCTCGCCGTCGCCTGCAGCCGGGGCTGGACGGGTGATCAAATCCTCAACGCAAGTAGCATTGAAAAGCTTGATGTTTGGGAAGGAGAGTACTTTGGAGAGCAAAGTGGAAGTAAAGAGTGCCGCGTGCTTGATTACCACCATGTTGGGGTTGGAGGGTTCCTCTTCGTACGGAACCCCCAGGTCATCGAGAAAACGGTCCGCAGGCTTGCGGAGGACCATGGCGGAGAACAGCTGGCCGCCGAGCCACGCACCACCGCCTGAAAATCGTGTTAGTAGGAAACTGCGCCTAATATAGCTGAAATCCTTGCTCTTGGTTTAGAGTGTGTATGTAGGGTGTACGTACCAGGAGAGACGGAGGCCTCAATAACGGCAATTTTCAAATCCGGGCGAGCTTTGCCCAGGACGTACGCAGTGCTGAGACCGCAGGATCCAGCGCCGACAATCACGATGTCGCTTTCAGCATAGGTGTCCAAATCCTCGAAATAGCGACGCGTCATGGCGCGGGAGACCTGGCTCTCGCGGATATGGCCGAAGCTGAAGTCGTCCCATTTCCCAGCAAATTCATCCAAAATGGTGCTGGTACTAGTAAGGCTCCCATGGGCAGTGGAGGGTTTGTTAGTTTTTGCAACAGAAGTAGCTGCAGCAGCTACTACGTCGTATGTTGCTGATGGAGGAGACATTTTCAGATACTATATGCAATATGTTAGGAGTATAGTTGGGCTGACGTGGAGGGGATCTGGGGAGAGAAAGCATGATCCTTTCGCTGGTATTATCCAGATCAAGTTATGACCGTATAATTTCAGAACGATCTCTCAGAGCCTTCCCGCAAAATAGTAATATCTCTCTTTTGCATCAAATGTGGGGCAGAAGAGGTGGATGCGGCTATGTGCGGGATGGAATAAGAGATCGAACACCGGTTCATGCATATGAGTTACTCCATTGAGATACCTTGATCATTGTTGGACATTGTCCGCAGCTGAAGGGAATTCATGGCTTCCATCTTGTGTGAGAGATGTACCAGATGAACTCGGTCTGGGTGTTGACAACTAACACATATTAGCAAAAATGGCCAATGGTGGGATAATGTCACGCTGTGGGGGATCTGACCAAGTCAATAGGATAAATACGACTCAGCTTCGAATAGGCTAAGTGGGCTGGTTAGGGACTGCAATGCTCAATCGTCGGAACTTGAGGGAGCAAATGGTGTTGGAAGAAGTTCGGTGGGAATGCGGGATTTGCTGGCGAAGTGGGCGGTTTATATACCCTGGCGAAGGAGGGGTCAAGGCTTAGTCAGCTCTACAAGGTCAGAGATATATTATATTCCTTCTTTCAACGCTCTCTGGGGAGAGAGGCATGTACATGTGAGGGGAGTTTCAAAGTACTATCAATAATATGTACAGTGCAACTGGGAATATGGTGATATTTGTGGACAAAACTCCGGCGGGGAACAACAATCATGCCAGTGTCATTTGGGGCTTGACAAATACGAATAATTTCATATTTGTATCCTTCCTTCCTGTCACCCGTCGTGGGTATGAATTTGGCCGTATAAATACCAGCGACCAGCAAGGTGTTTCATTCTTTGCAAATTCTCTTGTTCTCTTCTTTTGCAACTTCTTCGCGTGTACCATTTGGGAAAACTTTTCCTTCTTGATAACCCATTGGCTGTTGCCACAATAACCCAAGGTTGACTTGTTCTCAAATTATATACATACCACCATCCATCAGAGCGTCCTGATACCCCCGTCCTGAATGCAGTGGGGCCTAAGATGGCTGAATACCAACCTACTATGCCTCCCACTATTCGCAGTACCTCTGCAGTGCAAATTCCACCAACTCCAGGAACCCACGAACCGGATGCAAGATCTTCGTGTGATAAATCCCCACCTGTAAAAACTGCTGTCGTCGAAGACGTGGTAGATGATGTCCTAGCAGAATACAATGCAGCCCTTGCGGCAGACCCATCTCTGCGATCAGCTGCACCAGACCCTGAATGGGAAGACTATGAATCGATTCTGGCCAAGAACCCTGAACTCATGGCTCCTGCCGTGGCCGATAGACCAAAGACGTTCTTCGTATCCAAAAATAAATGGGAATGCAACCACGAGGGTCCTGAGATGCCAACTGACATTGAAAATGAGACAGCTGCTGACGGCGAAGATGAGGGGCCTGCTACTCTTGTAAATGAATGTCGAGGTTTGTGTCCCAGCTGCCTAGATCCAAACACCAACCCAGCTCTGAAAAACGAAACCATCATCGACGGGAAAGTGTTCTATATATCCAAGAATAAGTGGGAGTGTGGCCATGAGGGTGATGAGACTCGAACGGATATTGAGAAAGATCCCTTGGATATCCAATCTAATAAACCTTCCGTTCTCATCAGCGAGGTGAGAGGCATCTGCCCTACATGCATGGACAGGTGGCATAAGTTGGAAACTAGGGATGTGGATGGAGGAGCCGAGGATGATGGCCCCGCTTCTTGCCCTAGCAGCCCCCCAACGTACGACGAAGCTTTAGAGGCCGACACCCAATATGATGACCAGAATGGTGACGAGGAAGAGGCAGATCGTTTGATTGCCCACGTCGGGTTGTTGGATCTAGACGATGGTCCAACCAAAGGTAGAACTATTGAGCGTGATCTTGCTGCAACTGAGGTCGACGGCGTAGACTCCACAACTAGTGGAACGGCGTCTTAAATGAAAAACTTAGGATGACGGATATGAAACTAGGCTGCCCAGGGTCCACGACCATGCTGAACATCCTGAAAACAGATCCCACATTAAGATACCAGCTGGTGAGGAGGTATATTATGACAAAGAAGAGGAAGTAAGTGGCGATGCACCCCAATTTGAAATTGAAATTGATCCAAAGGCCAAACTGGCCGTTTTAAGTGGAAGTCAATCCCCATGTAGAGAATCTCGACACGGACCCTGAACAGAAAAAACATGACCAGTGATCCAATAAATGAATGAAATCCAGCTTATGAAGATGTATAAGCCATCTTTGTTTTATTCTTTTAATTTTGCTATTAGCTTGCGGTCTGCTGCTAATTCCGTGCTGCTAAATATCTCTTCGCCTGCTGTTGCTGGTTTCATTTAATTTTCTGATTCTTCATTTTGTTTCTGTGCTATCCATTCTTGTATAGCTTTTTGGCTTGAAACTTGAATGGTTGCAAGACTTTTCGAATTTACTTTCATTTTCACTCGATTCTACTTTTCTTGTTGACGTTGCTTCCTATCAATGACCCCCTTTACCTTCCGAAACCACGACAAGCAACCATATGAACAATTTGTGGACTGGGAAGGATTTTCCATCCTCTGTCTCCCTAAACCCCCCTGATAGATTGACGGATTTACGGTACTATGGCAAAAGTTCATTCATTTGCTATGCTGGAGATAGCTTTCCAAGCAAAGACATGCGCATTCCAATTTTAAACATTACATTCTCCCTTCCGGAAGTCAACTGGGCACTTTGATACAAAAATCGCTGCGGCCAGACGGCCAGGCCCCCTGACTTAGCATACTCTTTGTAAGATAGCCCTGCCCGAGACCAACCGAAAAGCCCTTGCTTGTAGGTCCTGGGAATTCTATGATAAAATCAAACATTAAATATAAGAAATGCTAAATAAGTCGAGAAATAATCCTTACCGTAGAAAATCCGTCAGCAAAAAATACCTACCATACATAACAAGCAAATTACGTCCGCATATTTCACAAGCCCTCCACAATCTTCACCCCAACCTTAATACCAAAGCGCTCCTGCCCCTTTTCCCTCTCAAGCCAGTGCTTCCTCTTTCCAATCTTCTCAATCCGCCTGACCCCCGCGGCCAAAAAGTTCTCATCCGTAAATGCACCCTCAGTAACCCCATTACCACTCCCGGGCCCACCGCCCCTCTGAGGAATTTTAATTGTCAACTCAATCCCAGGAAGTTTTCCCTTCTTACCAAGCCCAGTATCCACGCAGCGCACTTCAAGATCAATCCGCGGGCCCTGAGGGGGAATTAACCCGGCTGGATAGATACCGCCGACAAACGCCGTCACGCGTCCGATATACCGACACCACCACGCCTCTTCAATAGAGAGAATGAGGCGTAGACGAGCGAGGAATGATTCGTGTTGAGAGGGGAGGTCGCCGGCACAGCTGTCATAGAGGACAAGCGCGAGGGCGGCGCGACGCTCGTGAGATAAGCCGTGTGTATAGCAGAGGAGGCCAGTTGCGGTGGAGTGGAGGGCGGCGGAGGAGCGAGTTTCTTTGGTCGCGGATGATTGCGTGTGCATGATGTTTGCAACGGCGGAGATGAATTGGGAGTTAAAAAGGGCCGGAGGGGTGAATTCCTTTAACGCCGAGATTGTTGAGGGCTTTGGTAGGGCGCGGAAAATAAGTTCGCCGATCTGCGACGCGGATCCTGTTTTATATGGCAACGTCGCCGTGACCAAGGGATCCTGAAGGCGGGTTTCCATGGGCAGCTTGCCGAACAGGAAGCCCTCGCGCACGCCCCCTTGGCAGAACCGGACATCTTTGATTTTTGGGAGGGCGAGGGTGAGTGCATGGATGAGGAACGCGACTGCGGGGGCTTGTGCTCTTCGTCGGTCTGACACGCGGAATATCTTCACTACCTCTTCCGTAGCCGCCAGAATCTCCGTTGGAGCAGTCTGTTTGAACGACGAGAAAGAAACCTTGAAGCCGTTGATGATCTGGATCGGGTATGGGGATATTTCTGACTGGCTCATGAGCATGTAGCCCCAGCCCCTGAACCCGCCTCCGCTGAGGTAGAGATCAAAGCCACCGTTTTTCTTTGCATCTTCCTTCATATCTTCTGGAATGTCGAGGTTGTTGTATGCCTGCCGAAAACTAGATGTTATTTCCTCCGCCAACTTCTCCAATGCCTCGTTTCCGATTTTCTTAGCCTCTTCTAACTTCTGCATCAATGCTGCTGCACCGTATGGGAAACTGAAGCCACGCTTCGCTTCCGCTTTTCGTGACACCCATGTAATCTGAACACTTCCCCCTCCCAGATCCATCACGAGACCCTCTACTACCCCAAGACTGCTTGCTATGCCGAGAGATCCGACCCTACCTTCCTCTTCTGGTGAAAGCATTTGGATTTTCCAGCCCGTGGCTTTTGTCACTGTATCTCTAAACTCCTCTGAATTTGGCGCAGTCCGAGTGGCCTCCGTAGCTATTATATGGATGTTCGATTGCGGGACTCCAAAGTCAATGCATGTTTGCTTGAATCGCAGAAGAGCTGCTACAACATCCATTTGTACTTTTTTCGAGATTGGGCGTCTTTGAATGCTTCCATTCTCATGCTGGGCGTCGTATAAGGATATGGACGCACGATCCTGGAAGAGTGTGGGTAGTATTCTAGCCGTTGGTGGGGTAAGGTCCGATATTGAGAAGCGAATGCCATTGCTTTAATCACAAATTAGCTGTTGGATGTTGCAAAATACAGCAATTTACATTTCTAGGTTCTATCTTGGTGCCGGAAAAAGAACAAAGAGAGGACGAATACACTACCTTCCCATATCCACCACGCCATGGTAATAATTGTTCGCTTCCTTTGATAGGACTTGCATATCTGCTGCCAATTAATCCCACCGTGGGACCAGTCCGTGATGCTTCTTCGTGGTGTCTTACCTATATGCAGTAAGTGGATGGGGACGCCACTTACATGTAGCAGAATGAGTTCGTCGACTGATGTCGACGGTGAGTTTGGGGCTTTCCATGGATTTCATGTCAACCTGTGTGTCCGTGCGTCGCAAGGTAGGATTTGCCGCTGCTCAAGAAAGCGCTGGATTGACAAGCTGACTGACCCGTCCTTTTTTTTACAGCAATTAAAGCTGAAAAATAGATGGTTGTTTCTCGCATATAATTCGTGCATCTCCCACTTGGCCCGAGTGGTGAGCTCCAGCAGCGATAACTCACTAAACATCTGGCCAATCAGCCCCCCGGTTAAGCCACCACGAGCCCTACGGCTAAAATTGATATCACAAAATACATTCCCAGTTTTTGGAGTCAATGCAAGAGACGGTCATCATAAAAATTTGTGCCACCCCCCGCCCCCCCACCTTGAAGAAAAATGTTCAACTGATTTTTGAGAAGGCTTACTGTATTATGGCTTTGAATTACTGGTATATCGCTTGGAGCCCAAGCTACCCCCCGTTGGATTTGGCCATCCATGCGCTGTCAAGGTAAAGCTTCAACTTCATAGAACAGCCACAGAACCGCACGAGACGAAATGGAGTATTCCCAAATTAGCAGGCTTTTCAAGATCAATTCGTTTTCATGCCTTGAAGTGTAAATGCTTCCATGGACTAATACTAGATCTTGGACAAAAACGCTGAATGTCTGGATCGTACACCCAAATACTGCTCAATTGTAGTCTCACGTTGCCCTGCTCATATTCATGTCATTATATAAATATACTGCAGGAACAGACAGAACATATTCGCTCACATGAGCTACTTTCGTGTCAGTTCATCTACGCAATGTGAACTGGCTGCGAGCAGCTTCTTCCCATTAATTTGCTTCAACTAGTAGTCCTGGGCTGCATATAAACGGAAGTAACGGCTGGAGATGCCGCAGATTTGCAGATTTTGCACAGATCCATTGAAAAACGTAGAGATTGTGATACTATTATATCAAGATATAAATAAAATATTGTATTTCTAGCCTTTTGAGGGCTATTGAAAGGTTGAAGGACATTGAATGCCAAGCGGAGTCATATGACCCATGATCTAACCTTTATGGGCTGGTGCGGTCTTGGCACGGAGCAACTACTTTCAAGTTCCATTATCGCATAAAATATCGCGTTGGCCGCGTCAAGCATCATCATCACACTATTCCCAGGTCGGTCATAAAGGATTTCTCGAATTAACATCATTACACCACAGGGCGGCTAGCGTCCAATTTATTTTGTGAGGTTGTCACAGCCGCCTGGAATGAGCAGGCAAGGTGCAGTCGCAAGGATGGCTGATCCTGCGGGAGGGGTGCCTCAACAACTGGTAGGATAATCTTGTATCTGATTGGAGATATGGTCACTCTGAGATACCGTGAAACTGACATTCTGGTCCTAGTTACCTCATATGCACCTCGTTTCGAGTTATCGGTACCCCTTGATGAACAACCTCTCCCACGAAACCGCCGTTGAATACCTCATCTCTGCCCCCAAAGTTGTTCGAGAGCTACAGACCATGCATTGGATGTTCCTTGATGGCCCGCCTGATGGAACCGTGATGCTCGTTTGGCAGCCGCTGAATCATTTGGGAACTAATTTCGCTAGCGATGGTTATGTGTGGGCTGACGCTGAGCAGATCTACAGCACAGAAATAAGAGGCTATGTAAGGTTATGCAAATTTAACACTCCTATGTCTCGATGGTTTCTTCTAATGCATTCATTTTCATACAGAATCTGGAGTTGTATCTTCAGCGCTGTGGATACCATCCCCCCAACGAACAGATTGCTACACATTGCCGAAAGAGGTACCGCCTTACGCCAACCAAAAACCCGAATGCGAACGTTCTTCCCTGTGACCCATCTTTATGGATAATTCACTACTCTAAAACGCCCGCCGGGGATCAAATACCCGCTAATCGCATTCTTGTCACCCCCCAGATGCAGAATATCCTTGCCCAACGACGTTTCCTTCAAAGCCAGGGACAGCTTGTGCGCAAGGAGTTCATGCTTCATGACCGAAACAGTTGGCCTACTATCAACCTTCCCCCGCAAGTAGGACAACAAAACTTTATGCCACACGGTGCTCCGTACGCAAACCCTATGCTGGGCCGGCAGCAATCTGGCCCATTTTACCAGCAACAACAAGGTCAGAACTTACCAGGGCCTCAAAGTAAACCCTCAAGATCGAGCCGCGCCAGTGCGACCGCCGCAGCTTTGGCCAGCGCTGCTGCAGGGGATTATTCTTTAGAAGAGGAGGAGGTCTCCACAGGAGACATGCTGGATACTATTACGCCAAGGGATATTAGCAAGATGAGATATCGGCATCACCACGAATGGATGGATGAAATTTTTGGTTCTCCTTATAGCGTGAAGCAAATTATACCAGTAGATCTAGGATTGGGTCGGAAAGGAGAACTTGAATCCTTAACGGCAGGCTTTTTTGATGCCCCTACAGGACCGTCTCTTCCACAAAAGGAACTCTCTACGCCACGCTCTATTGGGAAAATGGAAGCTGGGAAAGCAGAGGACTTTACCAATGCCGTTAATCGCAGGGTTGCTGAAGTGGCTGCAGAGATTGAAGAAATGAAGGAAAGGCACGCAAAGAGGCTGGAAAAGATGAAACGAATTACACTCATGAAGGAAGCTGAACTAGCTCTCCGTGATGCTTACGTTGACCCAGAAGATGTGGGCGACGAGTTCTGGAGAGTCGAGGGACATTTAGACACTTCTACGAGGGAGGAGTCGCCTCCGGTTGAGTATTCCGACAACCGCCCCAAGGCGAAGGTTGATGATATCATCAACAACCTCCAGAAAGCTTTGGGGAAATCGATTGTGCGCGTCACAGAAATTTCCTGTGTTGAGGAAGGAGGTCTTCAGAAAAGAGTGGTGCCGCCCGAAACTACTAGTGATTCTTCTCGCGGAGATATTGACATGGGCGAGGCCGGCATGAGCTTACGTCAAGCAGCTGACTCCAAGCAACAACCGTCAGCATCACATGCTGCTTCAGCAGGTCCGGTGCCAACCCCGGTAGCTGCTCCAACTACCCAGCAGACTGAAGTTGGAAAGGTTTCAGCTCTTCCAGCAGGCGCTACCCTTCAAACACCATCGACATCGGGGCTGCCACTTCCCACCGAGCCTTCCAAACCAGATGGTAGTGGCGATGTAGAAATGGGTGGAGTTGAGCTTGCGAATGCTGCTGCTGCCACCACCATCACAGGAAACCAAACGGGTGAATGGGTGATCGTCAGCAAGGAAGACAGCGCGGCGCCACAGGATGCTAGTATCGCTGTTGTTTCCGCTATCGAAGGAGGTTACAACCACCCTACGAGCACAGAATTGACAGGCGCAGCGGCTCCAGCACCAGTAACAGCAGCAACTGGAGCTGACATACCAGTCAGTGAGCTTCAAGGACTAAAGTCTGCCGCAAATACCGACCTGAGCGAAGCTAGCGCCCTAGAAACAAGTAATTTTGACGATGCAGCTGAATTCAGCAATTTGGATTCCGCTGCCGATGCGTTGGCGGCGTACGGTGAGCAAAATGACGACTTGGGAATGGGAGACCTCGATAATTCTGCATTTGGGGAAGCTTTTCATGCTTCGGAGGCGGAGCGTGAGCAGTTGCAGGACAATGAAAATGAGAATGAAGAGATTTCATAATTTTATTTTCTGTTTCCTTTTTTTTAAACAAAATTTAAATATTGGGAAGGGTTTGCTGGTTGTGGACTGTGATTATGCTCGTTTTGTATGAGTATGAAGAATGAAATGTGGAGTATTTCGTCCATTTTCTTTTGCTTTTTCTTGATCTCTTGTTTCCCTTTCTCTCTTTTCCTTGTAATTTATTTGATATACCTTGTGTTTTCCCGCAACAGAAGAACAGGTTGATGGTAAAGGGTGTTTAGGTCTTTTTTTTTATTTTCGTCCTATTTATTATTTTTATTATCTCTGTGGGTGATATTTTCTTCGCCTTGATAAACCATCTGCATTATCCTCCATTTTTATATCATCATTGCTGTATTATTTTACTGCACTTTCCGGCTTCTCCTGCTCGTCGTGTTCCCTCTCAGGGCTTTTTGGAATAATTCTGTGGATCCATGATGATAGGCTGTCTGGTGGTAGGTGCATGGGATTCGGCCAGTCATAAGGATGCATTCATCAGCGCGGCAGATTTAAGCGCTATCCGCATAGATCTTGGATTCTTACTTTCACACATATAACTACCATTTTATTCAAACAAAAAAAGGCTTCCCGCTGATCTCTTTTGATCTACTATTCCTAGAATTTAGATACCATTACTTTGGTTTCCTTTACTCTTATATCATCCGCCTCAAGAACTCATCGCAACCTCGTCCCTGGTGACAAGTATCATGTGACCTCCCACGAACGCCGCCTTGTCCGCATGCACCTATCACAACCCACTACTCTCAGCTGTCATCACGACGCAGCCACACCCTCCTTTATGTCATAGCAACAGAGTCCACACTGGTTTGATGGGACCTGCAGGACGGACATGACGGGGTGCCAAAGGCAGGGTGACATACTCACGGCCCAGCGAAAAGGTACAAGGGTGGTGTGGCTGGGGAGGGGCAACAAGACGACTTTCTACCGCCGGCGGCTTAAACTTACAACTCTCCGATCGATCACAGATTGATATGCTGATATCAGGAAGTAGCAAGAGATGCGACATGCTGCCCATGGCATGTGCTTATTTTGCTTACCATGAAATTCGCGAAGGACGAAGGAGGACACCTCTTGCCTACAGCTTGTGAGCAATGTGATACCAACTTCGTCCACAGCTCTATAATAAGAACATCTATAATGTTCAGCAAACAGAGCAGGCGTCCTGGTGGTGGGAGCCTCGAGTGAAACGAATGAATGGAGTGCGCACGCGGGTTTCTCTCTTCATATATAATGGCATAGCACATGGACAAGAACCGTGCTATGGTCCTTTCCACTTTCCCAACATCCTATAACTTCTCCTGTCATTACCTCTTCACCTCTTCTCGCTCATTAACTAACTACCTATTTGAACATCATAACTTACTATTTTCCTTGAGACGAAATCTTCAAGAACACACTGTGTGCCCAGTTTGGTGATTGTTTCTGCGAACTTGGTGGTTTTTTTTCTTGGTTGCTAGCCCTGGGACCGGGGCTAAACGGGTGAAACAACTCTATACCGTTGTTTCTACTTGGCTGATCACCGACAATATCATGACGCATTGACGATATTAGCTTGATTCAAGAGTGCTAGGTGAGGTTTATTGAGTTCTATATATTACATTACTCAGGATACCCTCTATCTTTTATCTACCTTCTCATTACGCCTCTCCTTTATTCTTTGGTCTGACCAGTCTGATGCGCTGGGACTTATGCATAAATTCGCAAGAATATTATCGTCCATTTTTCAGTACTAAAACTGATGCATTTACCAAGGTTCAAAGCTACAACAGCGGCCGGCGACCTATTACATACTTCAGAAGCGAACCAGACGGACGAATCTGTACTTGAAGTCGCAAATCACCCGCGAAGCTAAGCATTAAAACAGCAGAGAACCTTATCTCTCTGGAACGCAGGCGCAATGTGTTCCTGTCGCTCCTGTTCCTGCTCAAGCTCAGGCTCCAGCTCTTCCAGCTCGTCCTCCAGCTCTTCCTCCAGCTCTAGTTCAGGCTCCTCCTCCTCCAAATCCCACTCTCCCCCTTGCACTTGCCCCAAACCGAGGCCCAAACCCTGTCCGAGGCACTCTCATACATCTTGCCCTAAGTCCTGCGACTGCTATTACTACACAAATCCCTCCCGGAGCATTCGTGTCTACCCCATTTCTTCCCTTTTGTGTGAGCGCCGCATCCCGATCATATGCAGCCGGCCGTTGACCGAATGTACTATTTACCCAATTTGTCCACGTCCGATCACCATCTATCCCGGATGCCCACCACGGAGCAGACTGCCATACTATTCCAGCTACAGGTGTAGGTGCCGGCCTTCGTCTATTTTGGGGTGCAGGTGTGCATGTTGATTGGAAGCCTCGGATATGCTGGGGTTGTGTGTTAAGGCTGAGATATAAGCCTACGCTATCGGGGATAGGAGGGGGAAATGGGAGCGAATGGGAGAGTTTGTGGATTACGCTCCTACCCATGCCGGGTATTAGTTTATTCTGAGGGGGTTAGAGGTGCTGGAGATGTCGAAGTTGGTGTGCCGATTCCCGCACCGTTAAGGAACAGTGGACTGTTTGCTACCTGGTACTCGCTACACATAGCCCGGTCTTTTTTTCCCCAGAGATACTAAATTGAACGACTGGAAGGACAGGTATACACGTTTCTCGAAGGACACGACCAGCGCATTCTACATTTTGCTTCCGCCGATTCGAATTCAACATGTCGACACAAGCCAAATTTTGGAAGTCCATACCGAAAATGGAATATAAATTGCCTGGAAAGGTTGCGTTTTCCGCACGGAGATTGCGATGCTTCAATTTCGACTGATTCTAGCACTGTGAGTGCATATACTGTCATTGGTGGATACTTGTTTATGCTTGTTTTAATGAGGCGGTTTCGAGGCCAATGTTTCCTACTTGTTACGGGCGCTCTTTCTTGACAATTGATACAGGGTGGATGAACGGGGTAGCCAAATTGAACTTGGATCTGCTTTTTTTTCTGGAGAGATGTTATGTAGAGTAACTTAATTTCATTCTTTACATTTTTATTCAGGTTAGCATCATATTATGGTTGTGTGTGAATGTAAGTGGGTTGCTTTCGTATTATTTCTACTCCCATCTGCATGATGTGACGTGATAAAAGGTAATTTTTCCAAGGAGCGGAACCAGGCGGTTATTCAAAAACACCATTCTTTAGGCAAATCTAATTTCCACCCATTGAACAACTTTGCATGTATTCATACCAGTAATTCAAGGGCAAAAAAACTAAAGCCATGGAACCCATGGTCTAGTAACCCAGATTCGAATTAGGGCTTCCCGCACGATACCCCAGTTGGCAACCCATCAGCCATATGACACAATGCACTGGCAACAAATTAGCTATTTGCTAACCCAGAACCAAATGCTTCTATCCGCATCACTTTCATTAGAGTGGCATCTGTTCGTGACGTCAGCGGCCAATGCAATTGAACTCTGCCGCCGTCGAGAAGTAATCACGGGGGGGCGATATAGAGCACAAAGGGCAGCAGCCATGAAGGTGGAAAAACCGGTTGTGTTGCTCTATGACTTGTTCTTTCCCCATTCCATTTGGCAGTCTGTGGCTACAGTGGTCAATCTGCTGGTCTAAAGAGCGTCTTTCACCTCACACTACGTTTTATTCCCAGTACAATACATATCACCGGAGAAAAAGGGGTCAGATCGGGACGAAGAAAACCAACTATTTATCTCTCACCATCTCATACGTGGTATTCGGTACAATCAAAGAAGCAAGGCGACTCATATAACATATTTCGCTTGAAATGTGAGCAAAAAAAACTTAACTTCCCCCTTCTCTACTCTTGTCTACTCTACATCAGGACCTTGTGATAGGAAAAGCTGTATATGCCTGACAAAACGTTAAATAAAAACACACATACAGGCACCGCTCAAGTTCTGTTCGCAGCAAAAGAAGCACGGTCATGGATCGCCCTGTCAAGCACCGTTTCAGCATGGCCACCTTGCGTGGCACGCAGCAACCCGAACTATGCCGGAGACTCTACAAGCTTATCAAAGCCGAGAACCATGCCATCGGCTCCTATGAGAATGCAGGACGAGACCGCGTCTCCATCGCCTCGCAGCTATCTGACTGGGGCGAATCCACAGGCGATCTCGCCGTTTCTGACATAGCTGACAAGATGGGCGTGCTACTTGCGGAAATGGGTGAGCAGGAAGATCTGTACGCGCAGAATTTGGAGGACTACCGGAATGTGCTGAAGCAGATTCGCAATACGGAGGCTTCCGTGCAGCCTTCCAGGGACTATAAAACGCGTGTTGTGGACGATATCCAAAAGCTGAAGTTGAAGGATCCAAATAACCCCAAGCTGGTGACCTTGGAACAGGAGCTGGTGAGGGCAGAGGCACAGATGTTGGTGGCTGAGGCCCAGTTGACGAATATTGTATGTTTTCACAATCGAAGTCTGATATTCCCTCGCCGTTTTTCCCCCTGGAAGCTGTTCAATTTACTTGGCAGCAACTGATCAAGTGTTTTCGGCGATATAGACCCGTCAAAAGCTCAAGGAAGCATTTGACATCCATCTCGCCGCTACCATCGAAAGGGCAGAGAAGCAAATCATTCTCGCCCGCCATGGTCGTCGTCTTCTCAATATTCTAGATGACACCCCGCTCGTTCCCGGAGATACCCGGAGTGCCTATGAACAAATGGATCAGGCTCGCCAGGTCCTTAATGATGCCGAGCAGGATCTACGAGGCTGGGAGCCCAGTCTCGAGCCAATCCACTCTGCCGCAGCGAATATGGGAACAAATTTAATGCCTGTTAGCCACGTTAACGGCGATGAAGAGGAAGAATCTTCTTCTTATCACAAGGACGCCCCTCCTTCGTCTTCGATGGCTCAGCCCGTCCCCGCGTAGGAGGATGAGGGAAGATGGGGAATTTGGGAGAACCGGCTGGTAGCTAGTTGGCTCGTTTGCTCTGCGTTTCATTTGCTTATCAATGCATAGTTAGTAACTTATATCCGTGTGCGTGCTGGTGGAATTATGAGCTAGGTAATTGACTGAGATCAAAAATTGAAGAAAGGTTCGGGGGAAAGAAGTCTATACGATTAAACCGATAATGGTACGAGTGTTTTTGGCTGGTGTTTTTTTTTTCTTTGCTGGCGCGTTGGCGTGGGCATCGTATGCGATGTTTTATTCAATAATCATCCTAACTTCTCGTAGTTACGTATAATAGTCTTAATACTCCAAGTGATACTTGAGACAGGATCCTTAACAGAATGGTGTTGAAGTGTAAACATCATCCCAATGGGAAATTTCACAGATCATTAAGTCATGGCATACTTCACGCGGGTTAGGCCATGAGCGCTCAAAGGGGAAAATAATCAGTGCAGGGTGGCAGAAAGGACAACCAACCGTACAGAACAGGAGGAAGGAAAGAAGAAGAAAGAGGAAAAAAGGAAAAAAAGTATATTAAATATTGGGGGCAGCGCGGTTCGAACGCGCGCGAACTCACGTTCACTGCAGAGTTTCCTGAAAAACTTAAATGCAGCGCCTTAGACCACTCGGCCATACCCCCGAGTTTAAGGTGCTACCTGTGACACTATACAAGCTTGTTTGCGTATCGGTCACCAACACGTCACGTGATACAGGCAGCTGTGACGCGACGGCAAGCAACCTCATCTCAAAGCTCAACAAAGCTCCAACACTCAACTACCACAACTCTAGATACCTGTATACTAATTATCTCTTCTTTCTTCTCTCCTTCTCTCCTTCTCATTTCTGTGTTGCTTCGTTATTTAGAACCCTTCACTGTCTGCCCGTCATGGACACCCTCGTCGCCCAATACTCCCAGCCGAAGTTCCAGCATGAAGGCTACTCCCATGATGAAGAGCAAGAGCTTACAGAGACATTACCGCCTCTATCTCTAAAATTCGCCCTTCCTCCAGTCGATAAAGTAAGTCTCGGTGACGTTTTAGGAGAATTTGTCTCTGTCTTCAGCTCTTCATATTTTGGAGATCCGCTTTTGACAACTCCTTTATCCATATATCTAGCCTGCCGCCTTCCTTCGAGCCGTTACCGACGACCATAGCAACCCAGATTGCCCCATTAAAATTGCTCATGGCACCACTACTCTTGCTTTCAGATTTCAAGGAGGGATCATTGTGGCAACGGATTCCAGAGCTACGGCGGGCAATTGGATCGCCAGCCAGACCGTGAAGAAAGTTATCGAGATCAACAGCTGTCTGTTGGGGACTATGGCTGGTGGTGCTGCTGTATGTACTATCATGCTCTTTGCATCCCGGCCCCATATTCGCGTCATTGCCGTTGTTACTGGTTTCTACTTGTATAATTCAGCCGGCTCCTGTGCTGGACAACTCAATCCAATCCAAGGGAGAAAGGAGCAACTAACAACCCGCATTTTGTGCTTTAGGACTGTCAATACTGGCTCGCCTATCTGGGCATGCAATGCCGCCTCCACGAACTCCGCCACAAACGGCGCATATCCGTCGCTGCCGCCTCCAAGATCCTCGCCAACCTCGTCTACAATTACAAGGGTATGGGACTAAGCATGGGCACCATGTGCGCAGGTGTAACTCCCCAAGAGGGTCCCGCGCTCTACTACATCGATTCAGATGGAACACGACTGGCTGGAAACCTTTTCTGCGTCGGCTCTGGCCAAACCTTCGCATACGGCGTTCTAGATGCGGAATACAGGTATGACTTAACTGATGAAGAAGCGTTGGAGCTGGGCAGCCGGAGTATCCTTGCTGCGACGCACAGAGATGCCTACTCCGGTGGTTATATCAATCTGTACCATGTCAAGGAGGAAGGATGGAAGAAGCATGGTTTCAGCGATACCAATCCGATATTCTGGAAGACGAAGTTGGAGAAGAATGAGTTTTCGAATGTTACCGGATCGATTCAGTAAATGCGCATCGATATTTTTCGGTGACTCTTGCTCCTTTTTATTTTAATGAGATTGAGCTCTTGCTCCCTTTGCTTCTACCACTTGTGTTACATTTAGTTTGCTAGAAAATAAAATGCGGTAGAATTCAGCAACTTGTTCTTCTTTCATCTTCTCCCGTCCCAGGTTGAGGTTGCTTGAGGTTGCCTAAAAGTGGATGTACACCATCGAATTGCCACGGCTCATGACCTTTGGCAAATGTGTTCTAATGAACCTAAAATTAAGTCTTTAATTCGCCGAAAATACCCGCAATACAATGAAGAGCGACAGTATATAACAACCCGGGTCTATTTAATTCTTTTCTGCCGTTCCACTTTGATTCAAATATGTCATCAAAGGGAACAATGCGGCAAGCGCATAAAAAAGAGGAAAATGGAGAAAAATTATCTGAAGATTGATATATTCTGGAAAACTTCAACTAAGTATATGCGCCATCGTACGCAGCAAGATATATTTTCGCCAGATCTGAAGAGCGCGAAGAAGTGGTTAGAAATATAAAATTTTATTATTTCTTAGACTATCCAAACCCTTCCGTCAACTTTCACCTCAATTATTGACCTTGAATGTCATCTTGACGCCCATAGTCGCCAACTCAACATCCAAATACTTCAACACGCCCGGCACAGCAACAACCGTCGTGTCATCTCCACCAACAAACCTCCTCCCCTCTCCATCTTCCCATACTTCAGCTCGGGGGTCGTCAAAGACCGCTTCCTTCGCACAGCGACGACAGCGCACAACGCCTGCACCGCCATCTAAAGCGCCCATAGCACCACCCGGCCGTCCAAGCCCTGATGACGACTTCGCAACAGCAGCCATGGCTGGGTTTTTACTTGGCGCCATGAACTTAGAAACAGCAACCTGAGTCGACAGGAATGAGCCGCAAGTCCTACAGATCCACGAGCGGGTGGTGTCCGAGCAGTTCATCAGCCGGTCTTGCAGGAGGAAAGCGGCGCCGTGGGCGAGAAGTGAATCGCGCTCCATCTCTCCGACACGGATACCACCACCTTTCGCACGACCCTTGACGGGCTGTCCCGTCAATGCATTCACGGGACCCGTCGTCCGCACCTGGAATTTGTCGTTGACCATGTGTCTGAGTCGCTGATAGTAGACAACGCCTAGGTAGATGTCTGCGGCAAACTCACGGCCTGTGATGCCGGAATACATAGGTTCGTTGCCGTGGAAGTTGTATCCGGCTTTGCGGAGCTGTTCTCCGAAGAAGTCACTGGCAGTGTGTTCCTCCGAGAATCGGAATGGGGTGGAGTCCTGCGCGAGACCATGGAGAGCGCCAGCCTTGCCCGCCAGGGACTCGATGAACATACCGATTGTCATTCGGGAGGGGAAAGCGTGCGGGTTGATGATGATGTCAGGCTGGATGCCCGTTTCAGAGAAGGGCATGTCGGTTGCAGGCCACAGCTGGGAGCAGACACCCTTCTGTCCGTGGCGGGAGGAAAATTTATCTCCAATGACTGGTTTTCGGGGGACGCGAAATTTAACACTGATGGCTTGACAAGGGTCACCACCCGTTTCGGAGCCAAAAATGCGCACGTTGTCAATGTAGCCCTCTTCCGTGTCTTTGTACTTGAGTAGGTGGGTTTGTCCGTCAATGTTGGTGTAGGAGTTAGATACTGGGTCGAAGCGGACTGTATGCCATGCGGCAACGATGCTGCCTTCTGTCACACGAGCGCCAATGTGAGGGAGGCCATCTTCGTCCAGAGCATGTCGCCATTCTCCTTTAATCAGACTGCCCGGTGCGAATCCAAAGAGTTTGCTAACCTCTCGTCTCGCCTTTCCCCGACCACGAGATTCCTTGTCATCGAGGGAGTATATTTTTGTTTTGTAAATTGTTCCCCACCCAAATCCTCTGTCGTGAGCCGATTTATTGATAATCATAGCATCGTCCATGTCATAGCCAGTGTATGACAACACAGCCACAACAGCATTCATGCCGTTAGGGAAGTTGTCGAGTCCGTAGCTATTATAGAGAGGGGTTCGAACAACAGGTGTTTGTCCAGTTTGTAGCCGGTAAAGTTTGTTGTCGGTTCGGTATTCTATCGATGCTCCGGGAGTTCCCATGGCCTGCTTACTCATTTGGCATTGGTACATATTACGGGGAGATTGGTTGAAGTCGGAGAATGGAGTCATGTTAGCGACAATCGAGAGGATGTGGGTAGGGTCGAATTCCACATGGGTCGATATACCGGACATGATATCGGACGGAACGCAGGCAATTTCCATGAACGGCTGCTCGAACGGCCCAACATAGTCAAGCTTATCCAACGGCAAATATTTGACTGGTCGCATCATCCTCGCACACTGGGAGAATATATAGATGCCTGGATATTGCCCTCGATTCGAATTGGGAATATATCCGATTTCAAGTTCAACGGGGAGGCTTTTATTGCCCGCAACCTTCCAATATCGGAGAGTGTCAGAAATCATGCGAGCCTGCTTCGGGGAACAGTAACCAAGAATCCGGCCATCCAGCTGGACCGCCACGCTTTCATCCAGAGACACGGATGACTCATAGGTCACTCCGAGATCCGATATCACTTGAGGGACACCAGAGACATCCAAATTACTAGTTGCGATTTCACATTTATGGGCTAGATGGTTTAGAAGTCCGCACGGACTTCCGTCAGGGGTATGAACTGGGCAAAGGAATCCCCAGCTCTCAGGGAGAAGCTTACGAACTGTAGTCGTTTTGAGCTGCGCGAAAAAGCTTCCCCTGTGTATCATTCGGAAATGACTGATAAACCGGTAGAAATTGATCTTTTCGGCTATAACGGTATAACCAGATGGTTGTTGTAGGTCCAGACCAGTTGGGCTGACGAGGTTACCAGTAGAGAGGAAATATTCCAGTGCGCCACCAATGTTTTCATTCGTCCTGGACACGATTCTACTGAGGAACTCCTTCTCAAACCTTGGATCTGAGAATCGTGCATTTTGATTCCTGAAACTCCAGTCACGCGCAATGGGACCGAAGGCTCTCAGCCATTCCTCTAGACGCTCCTTCAAAAGCATCCCATACAAAGAACCGCCAAGTAGCACTTCTTGATTCGAGACAGCGTCAGGGTTATCTGGAGCGCATTCTCCTGCCACCAGGGTATAGAGTTTCCTGATCATGAAGAGTATCATGTTGAATTTATCATTGTCTTGAGATTCGGTCACATTTTGGTTACCGAGGTGTGGTAATACGACCTTTCGAAGGAATTCCGCGCCGACCATGTCATCCGGTATGTCTGCGGGCATTCCCAAAACAGGCCGAAATTTCTCTCCAAGGTAAGCTCTCGTGTCGTCCCTTCCATAAAGCTTGTATCCCTTGTACGTCCGTAGAAGTAGCTCGACCCGATCAGTGACAAAGGAGTTTTTAATTCCCTCAGACCCTTCACGACCAACTAGCCGTTCGAAAATTTCTCGATCATTCGTTTCCACGAGTGCTTTCAATATCATCACAACTGGGACAAGGTACTCGTTTTTCCTCCAAGAAAAGCGGAATGTCACATTCCCATCGCTGAGGTAATGTAAAACGTTGGTTTGGGAAGTCTGATCAATCCTAACGGAACGGATTTGAATACCGTATTTTGTATATGTCTGGCCGCGTTTCGTGAAGGAGCTACGAATGATGGCCATGGGAAAATTCCGCCTTCCGACAATCAGCATTCGAATGAGCTTCTCGTTCCCATTTACGATAAAATAGCCGCCAAGTTCCTCAGATTCCTCCTTTCGTTGGACAAGTTGTTCCGGCGAACACTTTTCGAGGTGGCACCGATTGGACTGTACCACAATTTTATTAGTTTAATTCAGTTGTTCATATCAATTTAGAAAACGAAAGAGAAAACGGCAGAAACAACAATATGCTTCTAGAAACCTAGCTTTGCAAACTCACCCTTAACATGATTGGGACCTGGCCTAGTTCTCTGACAGATTCTTTCCACTCGCCATTATTGACCCTGTACTCTAATCGCGCTCTTAATCTGCCGCGATATGTCGCATGTCTCTCTCGACACTCAGAAGGGTAAATTTCTCTGTTCCGTGTGCTAAATTTGTTTGATGCCGGAAGCATGGCTTTCTCAAGAAACAGTTCCGTAATGCGCACTGAGAGCTTGTTTCTTCGGGGGCTCCTTCTCCCATCATCCAGCCTAACCCGCTTCTGCTCCTGTGTTTCCGCATCTCCGTCTAGAAATGACTTGGTGCCAATGTCCTTTAGCGCAGCCTCTAAGATTTTGTTATTATCGAATAGGGCATTGAAGGAATCGATATGAGGCCGGATGGATGCTGCGAGAGACGGATATGCAGTGTGATCCTTGGGGGGATGCCGGAATAACCGTTCACGCCGGAGAGTGTCGTACTCGATCGACCACTCTGTATCTGCAGATGGTGCCATGGCGGGGTAGGTAGACCGCTAAACCCAAACCAAATGCAATTGAAACAGAAGGAAATATCCGAGGCGTGGAAAGGTTGGAGGAGCGCGCACATGTGCGAGCTCAAATGCGCCCCGTATTGAAACGGTTAAACTTTTTGATAGCTAGGGTGAAGCCGCCATGATGGATGGAACAACGCGAAATCAAGATTTGAGAATATAGAAGGATATGGAAAGACCATCCAATACTGAGTGCACTCTCGCTTTCCTTTTGCTCCGTTGAATTGCCTTCCCAAACTGCGTTACATCTTTTTTCCCCCTTGGGATTCTGCGGGAGCGAAATTTTTCGACGAACTAAGCTATCATCACGTGAAGATACCATCATTCCCCAACAGCCGCAAACTGAATCTACGACCAACCACCACCGACGAAGAAGAATACCAGTATGGTCGATGATGATTAAATGCATCAACCTTCTCGCCAACCACCAAGACAACCAATAACCTCCGTTATTTCCTCGGATCAGCAGCAGCGCCAGTGAACAGGAGGCATAAATATATTCTACCCCAAGCTGCCTACTTAGCGCCCGCTGGACTAGTTTCTCCGCCGTCACTGCTTCATCCTCGAACACAGGTTGATGTCTGTGTGGGTGGGCGCTGCGCTGGCGGATGCACACTGCACATTTCAATCCGAATACCCTACTACGCAAGGAACAGTAACAGGGACCAGGGACTATTCATAAGGTCAAAACGCCGCCCGCGAATCCCGGTAGCGTACCCTCGCACTCGGCGTCAAGAACATCACTTGCGGTCATGTGTACACTGGCATACTTCGCGCGGAGGTGAATGCAGCCATAAAAGTGCCAAAAACTTTGTACCCGTTAATTGATTGCCTGGAAAAAGGAAGCTCTCTCTTTTTCCTCCTCCCTCTCTTTCCCCTGCTGGTGTACGAGCTCCTTGCGACTCTACGGATTGTTGCTGGAAAAGCGGATTTTCCTGCGTGTTAGGTGTCGCTGTCCCTACCATTTATTGTTTTTATTTCTGTTCTTTTTTCTATGCATCCGTCGCATCCATTTTCTTGATCTGGTTTTGCATGCTTGCCGTATAGTTTGTTCGGGTGCCTTAATGCGTGGTGGTTTACGTTTGATTTATTAATCTTTTGGATTTCTGCCTGCCATCTGGGCTTCTATACGCCTCCATTTCGGCCTTGGATGCGGGATTATACCTTCCACTCCTGTCTCAAAAATAAAAGAAGGTATTTTCGTCATTATTTGTGTGCTCGTCCCGCAGATCCGTCTCTTACCCTTCTTCACAGACGCCACATCCCACGACTGATTTTCTGGGTGCACATATTTCTGTACACACCACCATAATATTCACGCACTACCTTTACTCATCCCGTTTCTCGGCCCCTCACATAAACTGCGCAAAATTACTGTGAGCCAGGATTTTTTACCTCCAAACCTTTCTCGTTGCGCCCTGGTTGACGGACGCTTGCCCACCTCTTGGATATTGGACATCACGGCTATCCGCACATAGCAGCTTCACGATGGCGGGCTTCTTCAAAAGTATATACGACTGGTTGCTCAGAAAGTTTTGGTTAGTTTGCGCCTCGAGCATCCCCGTGCAATAGATTCCATCCAGCGGTGTAAAATTCTGGCCATCGCTGTAGGATCACATTTCCCTGGCAAGATAGACTAATTTGCCATCCTCAAATTGTGTATGTGATTCAGGGCAACCGAAATGGATGTGACGATGATCGGATTGCAAAATGCCGGAAAGTCGTCATTGTTGCGGGTTTTAGCGGTGAGGCAATATTTTCCTATCAGCACTGACAAAGCCTCATATTACATCGCTTTATATTGTGCTGTGCTAACTGAAAGGGAGCCAGGGTGGGGAATTCACCGTAGAGTATGTATAAGGGAGCGGCTAGGGATGCCTGCCTGTAGATTTACCATACTTTCAACTAACACCACCGTTAGTTCTATTCCCACTATCGGATTTAACACCGCAAGGGTGCAGAAAGGTCATGTCACACTAAAATGGTCAGCCTGATCAAACCTCTTGGATGGAATTCCATCATTTCACCCTAGTGCAGCCTCGTTCTAACAAGAGTATATAGTTGGGATCTTGGAGGCCAGCCAAGATTTAGGCCAATGTGGGAACGGTATTGCCGGGGCGTCAACGCACTGTTGTGAGTGCTGTTCTTCTCAATATCCCAATTCCCAAGCAGTTACTCGTCCTCTTTCAGTAAGGCGGATGTTGTCAAGAATCTTCGAGAAACATAGAATTGACTCCTTCCCGAAAAAACAATAATCAAAAAACAGGTACGTCGTGGACGCAGCTGATAAGGAGAAGCTGCCAACAGCGACGGAAGAGCTTCATGATCTTGTAAGCAAACGGTCACTCGACGGAATCCCGCTGTTGGTCCTGGGCAATAAGTCCGATCTCCCCAACAGGCTCTCCGTCGATGAATTGATTGAAACCATGGATCTGAGGTCCATCATGCATCGTGAAGTGAGCTGCTATGGTATCAGTGCCAAAGAGGAGACGAACCTCGATGCTGTGCTCCACTGGTTAATCGCGCGATCAAGCAAATGAAACCGCCGCCACTCGCCCATCCGCACATCCACTCACTCATACCATTTCTTTTTCTTTTTCTTTCTTTCTTTTTCTTCCATCCGATTTCAAGTCTACACCGTTTATTTATTTAATTTTTCCATCTCATCGAATGGCTCTTTCGCCGTTGTTTTGGCTTTAACATCCAAATGCTCGGAACGCCGCCCTCCCTCGTCGTTTTCCTTACCATACATCGTTTCCGTCCCGGGGCTCCATACATTTTGTCTCTGTTTGTTTCCTTGGCTCCGTTTCCCCCTTTTTTCCGTTTCGGACCGTTTGTGACGATAGTGACGCTTTGCCCTAATCTCCTTGCTATTTTCTAGCATCCTCCTCCTATTCCAAAACGTTTGGGGTACGTTTTGGATTAATTACCCCATGTCCCGTTCTCTCTCTTTTGGTCGCCGTTTATTATTGTCTCTCGTCATCGTTTTTAATTGATATGTTAATGTTAAAGCTTTGTCATTCTAGTAAAGCAAGCGGGTGAAGGGGTCATTTTCTCCTTTACATCTTTTTTTATCTTTTTTTTCGTCGTTTTTTCCCCACTTTTTCTCTTGCTTTTGCATTTAGGGTCCTTTATTCTCTCTGTTTGGGTAGGCAATTTTTAAGGGTGGTTGGTGCGACACGTTCGTGCAGGGAGGATTGGAGGAATAGGAATGGAGGAATGGGAGTCGGAGGAGACTGTGTATGGGGAGGTGTGAGATTTAACTGCAAACATCGGATTGTTGGCTGTCTGCGTCTCTATGTGTAATTGACAGTTTCATCATTAGTTTCATCGAGATTTCCCTTTTTTCGACCCATCATTTCCTCCTATCCATCTGGGGATAATATGACGGCTACTCTAAACCATTGGGAAAAAAGGACGGAGAAGGAACAACTGCCTATTAGCAAAAAACGGTGTAATTAGCTTGGTATTTTCAATCTGGTACACTCCTCAAAGGAACGGCGTCAACGAACGATGAATTGTTCTGGAGGAGGGTGTATATTGTCGTAGTTAACGAAAGTGATAAATAAGTTCACGATCTCATATCCAGAGACGGACCTAGCTTCACAAACATCATCTTAGCAGAACGAAAACCCAACCTTTAAAAAAATTATTTCGATGCATTGTGTAATATATATGATGCAACCACAGCATTTATTTATCCCCCTTCACACCCTGTGCAAACAACTCATCGGCAGCCATCCCACGCCAGCAGCCGAGCACAGACCAAGTGATGCGTTGGCAGTGCAGAAAAGGTTAGTTACATCCATGGCTGGAATGTGGAATGGAATCATCTTGGGCCTATGGGATTTGGGGCCCTTCCCTAAACCTAGCCAGCCAGTTTGATCTGATGGCCCGTACATCTAAGTAAGTACCTGTAATCAAATCATAGTACTCCGTAGTTATTTATGATAAAAAGGTTGTGCGTGCGCATCAAGCAACATGCGCCATTCTCGACACATCACAAACATAGTGCAAAGTACTAGCTAGCAATGGCCAGGGCTGTACATCTATGTGAGTGTGCATGGGCCAGGCGAGCGGGTGACCTTTCCTTCCTTCCTGAATGTCGGTGTGATCCTCAAATTCTTCACAGAGGACTGTGCTAGACCATAAGTATTGGCAAACCCCACTACCTTTCTATCACCAAAAAGGCACCATGATTGCACCATGATTGTAGTGGGGGTTGCCAACACTTATGGTGATCTCTGCATGGTCAGTGGCGCCCTGAACCTTGGATGGTGCATTGGAATCCACAGATAAGATTTGATCAACGTTATTTTGGGTAGCTTCAGATCCGGGTGATGGAAGGATATTTCGGGATCAGCCCAGATCCTGACTCCCATCTTGGCTGTTGTAAGTCGCTGTAAGACAACTCCGTCTTTCGAAGCCCTCCCCAAGTCGGGCAAAAGAGCGAGACGATAACTGATACGAATGCTGAGCCTCCTGTAGCTAACTAGTTAGCACTGCTGACTAACGCGCAGATTCCAGGCCAGAGAACTTCAGCCTTGGCGCTTGCTGGCGAGTGGCTAAGCGTTGATCGAGGATTAGTCACCATGTCTGAGAGCTTCGGCATTTTCATTGGCTGACAAGGCGTTCGGCGCTTGCCATGATCCCGGAAGGTTTCGCACGTTGCCCAATATGGAATGGGGTTGTCGTCATTGCCCGCCAAAGCTCAATGCGGGCCACCGGAGATACATTGGTCCGGTCTCGGCTCGGCGTGCTCAGCCACGCTCCATCCGTGTCTGGCCATCGTCATAAATCGAACCTCTCCACGACCATCACCACCATCACCCTTTGCCAACAGACCCTGTCATCAACAATTCTACTTCTCCGCCCTCTCTGATTGCGGCCTCACCCTCACCAGTGAAGCCCCTATAAACAATCTGCCAGTCACATTCCCTCCTCAAGCAACTCATCACAAGCTCCCGTCTCGTCCCACCTGACAAGCAACATCTATTGAGCAATCGGACACAACAAGCAAGTCTCTTCCGCTTCATCGTCCCTTTCAGAGAAGGACCTCCCTTTCTCTCCCCTCCTCTAAGAGTGTTCCCTCGCCAAAATGCCTCTTCTCCGTAGATATGTGTGAGTCTTTACAAACTCCCCTCCCAAACCCCACCATATAACAACGCCTATCGAATAATAGTATCATTACAATTCAAATTCTAACACAAACCCCATTAGTTGCTATGAGCGGCTCGGACGTGAATACTGCAGAACAACCTGGAGAGACTGGGGCCGTTGGGTCGCCCTAGCAATCCTCGTTTTCGGCGCTTTCTTCATCTTCTTCATCTTTGCGTGCGTCCTCCCTTCATATGAACCCCAAACACACACACACACACACACACACACACACACACACACATATATATATATATCTATATATAAAAGACAAAAAGCTAACTATCAACAAACAGCTGCATTTCCTCCCGCCGTCGTCGCCGTCGCGGTCTGCAACCGTTCCGCGGCACCGGCTGGGCCGCGCAGAACACATTCTGGCCACAACAGCAGCAGTATCCGCCACCACCCCCCAACGGACCCCCGCCACAATACACGCCAAACTCTGGCTACTACGGCCCCAAGCCCACTTACTATGGCGGCCAGCCGCAGCAACCACCATACCCATATCCGCCGCCGCAAGAACAAGGCGTCGAGCTGCAACAGCCGCAGAATGTCCATCGGGCTGGGGAGCGGGTGTATTCACCGCCGCCTGGACCACCTCCAGCGCCTGTGAAGTGAGTCATGGGGTGTAGGATGGAGAATAGAATGCAGCGAAAGAGAGGGAAAAAAAATAACGAAAAAATGCAGCAGTAAATAATGATTTTTTGGTTGAGAAAGGTGGAAGAAGGGTTGAACACAAGTGGAAAACATGATACCCTCCTTTTTTTCCAAGTTAGGGGTGTTTTTTTTTATTTTTATTTTTATTTTCTTTTTAAAATCTTATGTTTTTCCCTTTTCCCTTTCCTGCTTTTGCCTTCTTTGTACTGTATTTTGTATATGTCACCCTTCTTTTTTTCTCCTTTTCTGTTTTTAACAAAGTTATGTTTGGTTTTTAATTCCTTGGGGCTTGGGAGGTTATTATTACTATAGCATCTGGCAGCTATTTTTGTCGCATGACCATGAATGACATCATGTTTTCTCTGTTTCTTTTTGCCAATTGATGGATGGATGGATTTATTTTGAATGAGAGAGAGGAGTAAAAACTAAATTTGAATTGAACCTGTGAACTTAGTTACTTGGTTTTATTTTACTTTTCTGGTTAATTTATTACTATTGTTATTACCATTACCATTATTATTATCCTGTATTATCCCGTAAATTCAAGTCGCATGGAGCAGGGAAGGGCTGCAGAACCCACTTCTTCTTTTTTTTTTTTTTTTTTTTTTGAATATATATACATATATATATTAAATAGGTTACTGCCTTCTTACATACAACTCTTCTCCGCTGATAGCCAGCCAAGATACTTTCTCCTTCTCACAACTCTGGTAGATCATCAAAAAGAGAGAGAGCGCTTCCTGGATATTCTGAACGATGTCACTCGCCTGTTGAAAGTTGAGGGCTGGACGAGAGTTGAAATATAAATATATATGTATAGTTATGTATATATGTATATATGTAAAATGTGATACCACAAAAACCGTCGAACCGAACATTGTTAGCAAAATTTCAAATCTGGAAAGTGCTAACTAAATGTTGAGTGTTGAGTTGTTCTGAGTGTGTGGGGTGCTGTGTTGGTGCGTGCAATGCATAAACAAGGAAAGAAAGTAAATAACTACCTCCCACAACGGTTTTTTGATCCCCTTTTGATCCTTTTCTGCTTTATTCATTTACTTTTACCATTTACTTGTTGCTTACTTACCTATGATATCAAGAGCTTGGGAGAAAGAAAAAAGTAACTTTCCAAAGCGCAAAGGAAGTTTAGACGAGTCGCAATGCGCATACGCCATACCCTCATGCCCGTACGTAGTATATGACGACTCCAGCATCACATCTTTCGGTTTCGGTTCCGTGGCCCACGCATACTGCGTGTGTTCGTCAGCGTAGGTGGAACTGATGCCCGCATGTGCAGGTTCCCCGCCCAGGACAGCAGACATCCATCACTCCATAGGGAGATGTACTGATGCTGAAGGGTTGTTGGACGACATCGCTAGAGTCGGAACTGCCAGGAATGCCAGCTAGGGTGTGGAGGGTTGCTCATCGGGACCTTTTTATCGAGAGCGAGCGAGCCCCTGCATTGTCGATGAGATATTCCATTGCTGAAACAATCGGGGCTTGTCCATTATTGCCCTACACTCTCTTGGTGCAGCCTGCAGGACTGTACCGGTGCTCGCAACATCGTCGGGTGGAGTCCCCTCACCACTGATCTGCGACGTCGATCATAAGTGGATGTGCCAAGAGCAGTGGGGATAGGTTGGGTGAGGCTGAGTACAGCTGGGTTCGGAGGAAGCACTTCCTCCACAGAGTGTAGGGGCAGTTTTTAACCGGAGCCTCCCAGAGTACAGGCATGGTTGGGCACAGTAACCCCCTACATGTTAGTTAAAGCAGCCCCTGTGAGGGAAGGGTTTTATATATATCCCTCCCCCAAAACCGCGCCAACTGCCCGGATGCAGCATGGCGATCGCAATCAGGCTGGAGTCAGGGAGCTGTCAGCAGATGGGCGATGGGCAACGGTCAAGTGCTTTTTCTTTTGCAGTGCTATCACGGCTTAGTTTCTGGAGCTGGTAATACGCTGTAGTAATGGCCTGTCGGAGAGGACTGACAGAGTCAGAGGATTCCCCGCTGAATACTCAGCGTTCCGTCGTCAGCGCACGTCCCCTGGCTGGCCTATACAACTGCACTCCACTGCCACCAAGTGATACGGTCTCTGGCAGACAATAATCTGCCCTTTTTTTTGGCGATGGAGAGTCACTGAGCAAGGTAGAGGACGCGCTAGGAGGGAAATGGCAAAAGAGGGGAAGCAACACGACGGTCGCACGCAGTCAAGACGAAGATCTCGGGGCCAAATTGACAGGGCAGAAAGGAAAAAATCATCCACGGTCAGGGGCCAGGTGCCTGGGACCCCTTAGACGGACGCGGTTCCAAGGTTCGGTCTTTATTTACAATGTGTTCGACCCGGAAACTGAGACGAGGAAACAAAACAATCCTTCGTTTCGCCGCTTGCGATGCTGTGTTGTGGTTCGGACTTCAGCTTTCCAATTTTGCGCTTCTCGTCTCCACTGTATCTCTCCGTCAAATCTGCTGGTGATTGTGATTGCTGGCTGTGTGGCTGCGTTCTTACGTTCTCGCTTTGCACCCGTCTCGCCGTCTGGCCACACTCTGCGATCAACCACCACACGACCGCCAACCCTTTTTTCCTCACTTATCCCTTCTAACTTATCCGCATTACAGTCTCTACCCTTCGTTTTTGTTCTTATCCAACCTTGCTTCTGGCCTTCAATCCATTCATTCTTTGACATTCCGGCGATAGGGCGCTCACCCTCCTTCATCCTAGCGCTAGTCTCCACTTACCCAACGCTATCCGCCTCCATGACGAGTCCTGCGCCTTTCCGCTTAGCATGCTATTCTTGTCTATAGATAGATCGATAGACACACACGCTTTCTTTTCATGAGCAGACATATCTCACTGCGACAACGTTCATTATATTCCACGTCTCTCGTTAGACCGCATATCTCGTCCTTAAGTCGTTTTGTACTCTTGTCGATTCTCCACCGGATCTCCACGACCAACCGCTCTGCGCCAAAAGCAATTGATCAATGGTTTCTCGAGTTTGATATCGGCGAGATCTATCATCTGCATCGTACACTCATTCCGAGAGGCTCGATTAGTACATAGATACACAAAGGAATACGCTCCCTCGACCGTGTAGCCATCGCCATGGCTGTCATGGACCAAATGGGCTTCACCCCGTTCCGCCGGGACGAAATCCTCCAGCCTCGAGATTTCAGAACTACATTCTCCACGTGGGATAATTGCATGGCCAAGACCTACTGCAAGTACGATCTCCTGCTGCTTTTCAATCAAATCCCTAAAAGAAAAAGAGTGGGACAAATAGAACTAATGATCAATCAATCGACGCAGATGGCCCGTCGTCATCGGCATTGCCATTGGCAGCATCATCCTGATTGGTGTCATCTGGGGTATAGTCGCCTGCGCCTGCTGCGGCTACACCTGCTGCAAGGGATGTTGTGCATGCTGTAGCTGCTGCTGCCCTTCCAGAGACAAGTCTCACAACCGCACCAAGTTCGCCGATGAGCCCTCCGCCTACAATGCTCGAAACCGACGTCACTCCACGGGCTACCAGCGGCCCCCGGCGCCCCCCGTCTACGACTCCCACCATTCCACTCCAGCCAAATTCGCCCAATTCGACACAGTTCATCCCCGTTCGAAGTCCAACGATGACGCCCTCCCACAAATGCCAACCTGGGATTCGGCCAAAACCCGTCGTGTCGAAGAAGTTTCCCCGCCGAGCGACGTGGAAATGAACCGCCTGGACCCTGCCACGGGCCAGAACTTCAAACCCCAGAGCTTCAGCCGTCCCGTACGCTACAACAACAACACTAACAGCGGCGGCAATAGTTACTACGACAGAACCCCGACGTCCTCCGCCTATTCCCCCACCTTCGACGGCTACCGCGGCCCAGAAGCTACCACTCACCAGTCCCGCTCCCCTTCCCCAGGAAACCCCTTCGGTCATGCCGACGCTATAGGTATCGCAACAAGCCATCCCCCCACCCACCAGCATCACCAATACTTCCCGCCCAGAAGCCCAAGCCCGGAACCTGTTACTCCATACCCTCCCTACACCGAAGTACCCACAGCAACAACCGCAATAATGCCAAACGCCATGACAACACACACAACTATGTCCCCGCCCCCAACACACCCCAGGGAAGCACTACAACGATACCCACCAGCCCCGATGCCCCATCCCCCCTCCCCACCCGCCACCCGCTCATACTCGCCCTACCCGCCCCCGCAACCCGTGCCGCAACTCCAACACCTACGCCAGCATTCACCAACACAGTCGCCAACACATCAATCTCCGCGTTACCTCCCGCAACAGCAGGGTCAAAATCAGGCATACGCGCCCTACTCACCCGCTTCATCTGTGCCCAACACCCCACCGCCACCCTTCTCGTCGACCCTGGGTGATTACGATCAAATATTGCCCGGCGCGCAGCATGGGCAGTATGGGACTGGCATTGATGCACCGCCACGGGAGCAGGCCCCGCCGAGTGCGTTACAGGTTGGGAGGGCGCCTCCGGGACCTAAGTCGTGGAGGGATGTTTGAGTTGGATTTTGTTTGAAAGGTGGACCAGGGATGAAGTTGGTAAATTGAGAAAAATCTTGAGGTTTTGGTTTCGGTTTTGGTTTCTGGTCTCTGGCTTTTTCGTTTGGATGAAATGTTCGATGTTACATTGAGGATATGTTTTTATTCCCCTACGTCCATGCATGCATGTGCATAGTAAAATATTTTCAATATTTTCTCCTTCCCTCTCATCTTCCTTTTTTTTGTACACCATATTCTGACCTTCCCTTTTCTGCTTTCTTTCTTTGTTTGACATATTAAAAAAAAAAATTATTTTTACGTCTCTCATGAGGGTGAAGTGATTTGATCATTTTTTTCTGAAGAAAGTTTGCTCGCCTGGTGGTAATTTATACTGTGCCTTTCATCTATCTATACCTTGCTCCCCTTCCCGCCTTTCCTTGATTTTATTTTATTTTATTTATTTATTTAGGTATGAAAAATGGACGTTGTAATGTTTATTTTTACCTCGTCTTATATATTATCTCCGCCACAGTCTTGTCTGCACTAAAAATAAGCTATGCAAGAAGGTTGAAACTTTTGTGACTTCTCGTCAATATACACTAGTTCCAAAGCAGTTTAACACATAGTAGTTAGTGGTAATTATAGTGTCATCTCATTTACCTCAAACTATTCTCCCATTTTCTATCAGCTTTCTCACGTGTTTTCTTCAGAGCGGTAAGTTTGTATATTCTTTTCATATTCTTTTCTTATAGTGCTGTCATCTTACTAGTTACATTTATTTCTTCATCTTCATCATCCACTATGGCCCAAGACAGAGAATTAAGCCCTCGAATGTGATATCTTCACAGCATGTAATTAATTAATAGCTAGTGGCATAGCAATAAACTGTGCAAACACTAAACTACCTTGGAACTAGTGTATTGTTTCGAAGTCACAAACTTCTTGCATAGCACTCACTGTATGTGGGATGGTTAATCTTCTCATTGTGTGATCACTAGCTAACTTATTTACTAAGGAACTCTAGTCTGAGTCTTCTGCCACATTAACAGCCAGGTAAACATGCCAGCAACTGAAAGGCCTAGAACTATGCTCATTTGAAAATTAAAACTTCGAACGAAGGTCTTTTCTCACAAACGCTTCCAGGTCTTCAGGGAGGTCATTGATGGCTTCTGTTGACCTAAATATTGCTGATAGCTGAACTGGCGTCAGATGATCCAGAAAGACATTTTTGGCGGCCCAACTGTTTCCTATCGCTGTGATGATAGCGACAACTATTGTACTGCCTAAAAAGCGGAATTGAGTCACGGCAGCCGATCCGACCGCTGTCAATTTGACCTAGTCAGCCAAAAGCCCATAACTACAGAAGTAGTCAAAGCCACATAGTCGGCCGTATGTTGCGGAACTTACCAATATCTCTCTTTTCCACGGTCCACGGAGTCAGAAGAGCAGCCGTTCCAATATTGCAGCCCGTTCCCAGTCCTATAACCACCTCAATGCCATTAAGACCCCGCCAATCGGGGTTACTGGGCGATCCACGAGATAAGAAAACAAGGCCTACGATTTGGAACAACTGGCCGATAAAAGAAAGGTAAAGAGGTGGCACACGACGATTTTTAAGCAGGAGTGCAGTGATCATGGTGGTGTACTCAATGCAAGAGGGATGAGCTTAATGCCAGCTTGGAGAGGGGTGCCGCCAACCGCTGTCTGATAGCGAATGGGAATTTGGATTATGCATGTAATGCTGACAGCTCCCGTCATAAACGAGCTTCTATAGATACTTTAATAACGTGCCACCACGAACGGATCTTTACCATGCTACTTACAATGAAAGACCCACGATGAGTTTGCTCTGGCAAAAGTGCCATGGCAGCACAGGCTCCACGACGGAGCTTAGCCGGCTAGCATACCATTGGCTTATCATAAATGCCGCCAATGTAATGACTGCGGCACACAGGGGCCCGATAAAGGTAGGAATCGTCCAAGATAAGTTGGAAGCGGCTTCTTCAAATGCCACGATGAGTAATGCCAACGTTGATACCATAAGTATAGCACCCGTGAAGTCAGCTGCTGCCAATCCCGGTTTCGGTGATTGACTCCGGCTTCTCCCTTGGTTAGGGAAGTCCCGCGGGACGGCGAAGAGAATGATTCCCGTTGCTATAGCAGAAGCTGGTACACTATAGTTCAGATTTAATGAGCCAGTCTGCATAAACTCCTGCCTTTGAGATACGATATCTTGTACTAAGAGCCGTACTTACTTCAAGAGAAATACCCATCTCCAAGAAGCTCCTCTTAGTATAAGACCCCCAAATACCGGCCCAAGTGCAAAGGATGAAGCAACCATCGTGGTCAATAAAGCTGCATACGCTGGATACCGAGGCGGTGGTACTAGCTCGTAGAGCATGACCATTATTAGTGCGTAAATCCCACCACCTCCTATTCCCTGGAAAGCACGGCAAACAATTCTGATCAGTATATTAGTATAAGCGATCAAATCCCAGAATGAAATGGATTGGTACAGTTGGGTCATTGTCTGCGCTGCTCCACAGCCTCCTGAAAATGCGGCAAATATTAATAGGGATGCAACGAATATCGGTTTGCGTCCCAAAAGGTCACTAAGCTTCGCCCAGATAACGAGCCCACCTGCAAGCTTGATAAGCTAATACCAAGTCAGGTAAACGACAGCACAACAGTCCTCACCAGTGTATGTGATCAAATAGGCTGTCACTATCCAGCTCGTGGGGCCAAAGTCGTCAAGATCGTTGGCAATTGAAACAAGACTAGTGCTAACAATGGTAATTTCAAGATTGACGAGGAAAGTGCTCAGGGCCATCCTGTAAACAATTAGTTAGCAATACCATCAAGATGTTCTGCTTCGATAGTCTGGGGATGCTTACCCGATCGAAATGAAGCTCAAACCCCAGCCGGTAATATAATTCAATTCGCCATCTCTAGATAGCTCCTTTTGCTGATCTGGCTCGCCGGCTTCATCAACATCGATGGCCGGAAGGACATGCTCTTTGGTGTTTGAGGTCATTGAATTCCTGCGTCGAAGCCTGTATAGGGCATCGATATACACCTTATAAGGTCAAAGGTAGTGCGAAGATGGGCTGGATTGTCCACAGAGGCAGTGCTGCCGTACCAAAGAAAAATGAATAAGTAGAAGAAGAACAAGAAGAAAAAAGCGGACGTTGCCGGTACTTCGAGGCACGTAAACTCCCTTGAGCCGTCTACCGGCTGCTCAATATTACTTCAACCAATAAGACCTGATGCACTGGTAAATCGATTATGAAGTTGATAGCGTTAAGATGCAACCACTTTGAACGCCGGTATAAACCTCAATGCTTTAAAGTAAACTTGGACATGTACATGTACATACATGCCACTGTTTACGCTCCAATTCGCTCAGTACGTGTCTATAAGTGACCTTACTTAGCTACTTAGTTAGTAGTACTTTCATGTTGACACCTGGCTCACACCAGGTGGTGGTGGTTGGGACATAACTATCCGGCGCAGGGTTTGTCGAAATAACTTGACCAGCAACAGTCATTTCATTTACCCTGCATATGTAGCAGGGTGCATCGAGGTGGGTTGTCGGGGACTGAACTTCGATCCTTGTTTGCGGCATATTGACGGCCATTTAGGGCCTGTTCGGTGATTTTGTCTGTACAGTGCCAGGGCTGTACAGAAAGTGGATATTTGCCCCCCTGACAGTGCAAATCTTTATTACTAGTAAGCTGTTTGATATTTTGACATTACTTTTATTACATACAAGCTGTTTTTATGATGAGGATTAACTATTGATCCTACTATATTGTCACTTTCTCACATCAAATATCAATGAAAAATGAATCAAAATATATGAACTGAGTGTTAGATGAGATAGTTGAGATACTCTATTTGATCACTGATAAGTTTGATTAATTATTATCTATATCATTATTTTCTGAGTTGCATTATCATCATTATTCATGATTTCTTGATTTTTGATGATATTTGTTAGGTTTCAAGCTGATCAGCTCTGGAGCAAGTCAGCAGAAATCATGACTTGCTTCAGATTACAGATGGCCCTGCAAAAAGTTTTGACTCACACTAAGAATTTAAGCTGAAATATTGATACCGGTATTAAGTATTGCCGTTCCATCGAATTAAGAGAATAGGGACTCTTCAGGTGGAAAAATAGAGGTCATGCCCCTAGCCTTCCCCCTAGCTCACCGCCAAAATCCCAGGCAGTGTGGGCATAACATTCAGTACACTAGTAAAAATATTTCACTGTAAATTCCTAGTGTGAGACAAAACTTTTTGCAGGGGCATCTGTATACAGTACAGATTTAACTCAAATAGATTTAAATCAGTCACTTTTTCAACCAATTACACTGTTGAACTCTATAAAGTGGATTTTGAAGTCAGCTTGACACTCTTGACAAGTTATACAGAGCTATCCACAGAATCTACCAAACAACAGGTCTTTTTCAGCCAGATTAGCGCGTACAGAGCTGAATAAGTCTGTATAGCTGGCACTGTACGGGCTGAAATAGCCCTGGACAGGGTCACCGAACAGGCCCTTACTGATCAGGGGTATCGCCGTTTCGCCATGGTCCGAACCAAATTCATGTGTCTCCTCTGAGGGAGCATCTATCATCTTCCCATCCTCCAAATCAACAATCCAGTTTCTAGACACCTGCCACTGCTACTGCTCCATAGTTCTGAGCCAAAAACCAAGTCATTTAGTTTGCCCCAGATGGTGCCTAAACGCAACACTCCGCTTTCCTTCATGGAAAAGCTGTCGTTTGCAGTCTATCTCTACCGCCCTCCCACGTCTATACCCTCGCCTCCGACTACTGATCCTGAGCTTGTGCTTATTCTAGGCTGGATGGATGCGCGCGTTGCCCACTTAGCGACATACATTAAACAGTATCAGACTATGTACCCTTCTTCGCCCATACTCCTGGTGAAGGGCCGCCTTGCAAGCCTTGTATTTCCCAACATAGGACTGCGTGATACAGCAGCAGCTGTCGCTCCGATTCTCGCTGCCTTGACAAATGACGAGCATAGCGGAGCGCCCCAGCTTACGCCGCTGCGCCCTCGCCTGCTTATCCACTCACTGTCGGGGGGAGGGTCTTGCTCCCTGTATCATCTCTACAACAATTTCTTGCAGCGGCACGGAACCGACAATATTCAACCAGTATCATCCGTTCCCCGACATGTTACCATTTTTGACTCCAGTCCCGGTGCCTGGAGTTACCAGTTCAATGTCGATCTCCTCACTGCTGCTATTAAGCCGGGTTGGCAGCGAATAGTGGCGCTGCCCTTGGCGCATATGATTGCGATGACCTTCTGGGTTTTGATTCGAGGTTTTGGTCTATCCGATAATCAAAAAACATATGCAACGGCACATAACGACCCAGAAAAGAATGACGAAGCCTCTCGAACGTACATATATGGCAGTGCTGACAAAATCTGCCCGGCAAAGTTCGTTGAGCTTGACTCGGTTGAGGCGAGGAAAAAAGGCTTCAATGTGCAACTGGAACATTTTGAAGGGACTGGACATGTTGCGCATGTTCGGGCAGACCCGGATCGATACTGGCGTATTGTCAAGAAGGCATGGGATGATGCTACTAGAGTGTGAACATCATTTACAGGCTTATGCTGTTCTCTTATCATTATCCAACGTAGCTAGCGTGCGATATTTATGTGAGTGTCATGGAGCCTTCATGATGTTATCCTGATGCTTAATAAAATGTATTTGCCATGTACAGAACCTTTCTGGCCATCGCCCTAATAGTCTTCATTTAATTGAAAGACTGTCAACGGTGTAGACTTCTTCAGTCGATATATCTATCTGCCACTGCCTCTAGTGAGCTTAGCTTTTCGTGAGTTGCGGAATGCTAGGAGGGATGGACTTTATATTCATTCCCTTGAAATTACACGGGGGAATCTAAGCCTTCAAGTTCCTATCTTAATTCGGCCTAATATGTCGCTTGACTTCGCTTGGTCGAGCTCGTTCGCTTGACGGCTAACCAGAGTGCCCAAACTTGCAGCCCCGGCATCGATTTGCTCAATTGTCCCGTCGGGGATATATTGTGTCTAGACATGGCTGAAGCACTAGTAAGCCTATACTAGTGTATCTCGACGAAAACTGGTCAGGGCCAATGGGGATTCCAAGTTCATCATGGCCAGGCTAGGCTTCTTCTCGAGAGCCTTCGGGGTTTTGTTTCTGTTTGTTCACATGTTAGTCTCTGTAAATTTGAGCTTTTTGGTTCTTGAGGCTATGGCTTCGGCTCGACATCTATCTTGCCTGTGCCTTATGGTACCCCGAAGGATAGATAAAGAGAGGGGCTGTTGACTGGTTGCTCCCTGCGACTTGTTTATTTCTACTATTTTCCTTTTCTTTCTTTCTTTCTTTTTTCATTCTTTCAATCCACTTATCATTCTTTTTAATCTTGTGGCTTTCCTCTACCCCAGTTTGACAATGTTGATCGAGTTTTAAGTTGACCAAATTCGATGCGATCTAATTCGGAACAGCAAAAAAAAACAAATCGCCAATCAAGTTATCTCCTCTGCATCCTCCCCCTTATTCCTCCCCCTTTCCCCTCCCACCACTCCTTTCCGTCTTATGCCCCATCCTTTGCTCTCCTGTCTCTGAACCTTAACCTGGGTCGCCAACCCATTTATCCTCTCCAACAACAATTTCTTTTATCCCCTCTTTTCGCCCCTATCTTCTTCAACCACCCCATAGTCATTTCAATTGATATCCTCTCCCTCGTCACCTTCAACACCTCGGCTATAACAGACTTCGATAGTAGTGCCGTTATTGAAGCCTGTCTTCAACGATCGAGCCTTCGCTGTGGCGCAGGTCGGCCCAACGGTTGCTGATTCCTACAACAACGTTTTTCTGAGTCTGAATGTGTAAAAAGGGGCCTTAGTATGCCCGAGCTAGGTGGGGTCTTCGCGGATGGGTTGGACGACAGGATGTAACAAATCAAAAGTTGGGAAGAGGCAGTAACGGAGCGTACGGGCAGAAGTAAAAGAAACGCTGAAACGCCAAACAAGTTTCCCAATCAAGCGATCGTGTTGACGAGTCAAGCATGTATGTACCTATTTCAAAGAATGAATTGGTTTATTTCTTGGATTCTTCATTGGCCCGTTTCCATTTTCTCCGCACATGCCATATAATTTCGTCGTATCTTGCGACGTCCGATGCGGGCCGGTCTGAAGGATATGTCATCGCCTGATGATACGCTCCGTGTCATATATGATTAGAGAGGTAAATATTTAGTTTCGAATTGGGTATATCAAGCTACTTATGACAGCTGTTTTCCCCCAACATATATATTCCCTCTTAACCGCCTTTCTCTCTCTTCAAATCAACTCTACGTTTTGATAAAATGATTGAAACGCGCTGTTCCCGAATATTCCCAATACTACCAAGGGATCAATGTAATAAATAATATTCAAAATAACGATTGTAAAGCTTTTCGCATTCGTAGGAAGCGCATCGAGAACCCATCGTCGACGACAGAATGATGTGGGTCCCAACTGACTAAAACGGTTGGTAAAGCACAAAGCTTCCACTAACCGCCATTGGCTGTGCTGGCTACTACCTCATGGTTCCTCCTTCATTTTCTTCAACGGCCTTGGTCTTATCTTGATAGCCTTCTCTTGATAGCCTAAGTCGGGCCCCCTTCCCCATCACACATTCCCAACGACAGCTCCCCAGCAGGAGAAGTGACCAATATCAGAATACCGGCTCGAAACACCGGCTCAAATGGCAAATCCGGGAACCCATGGTTGTTCTTATCTCTGTTAAAGCTCATTTTGGCCAGCGAAGTTGTTGTTGTAGCCGACAAAGCGTTGTCCTCTGATTTAACTCTCTTTTTGGCCAGACCGTCGGATAGGGATGTGGATTTGAGTTGTTCGCTGAGACTTTCAGACGCTGATGTAAGCCTGCTTTTGAGGTTGTTACGTCTGCGATATTGGAGGAGGCTCATCCTTCGCCTTATCTTGGATCTGCCCGTAACTGATAATCTAGCGGGTTCAAGAACTTTTGAGAGATCTGAAGGGGAGCCACCCGATGGTCGCGGAGCTGGCGAAGCCATATTCGATAGCAGAAGAGCAGTTATAGGAGACCCTCTGGCAAATTGCAAATATTTTGGACATTGATTCAATAGGGGTTGAGCGAAGCGAGTGTTGGTTTGAAAGGCTAAATTTTACACACTCAATCCCGAATTATATTGTAGAAAGAAGATGACGCCATCGGGCGATGCATTCAAAACAATAATAGGAATAATGGACAGGTGAGAAAAGTGACAAAATTCTACAGATTATATTGTGAGTGGAAAGGCATATCATTTGGTTCAATAGGAGTGAAGATTACCTACTAAGTAGTTCTCGTATGTGTAGCCTCTTAAAAGGGAGTGGCCTACGTATACGGCGGATCAAAACGATAACGGAACGATTTGGAGGAAAGATCATTGATTCCTGTTCAAATGTATGGAACGGTGATTGAGCCAAGCAAGTAGAGAAACTAGATATAGAAGAACAGTTTTCGTGGTTGTATTATTAAATTTTGCCATCATCTAGTTCAATTCACGGGAAAGAACAGGCTTCAGCAGGGCGGTGGTAACCTAAATTGCGAGAAGGATCGATGGATTCATGCAATTGGGTAGATTTGGGAATCGCGGATCCAAACAAATTGGAAGGAGAATCCATGTAGACATCTTGCATCCGCGATTTCGTCTATAGAAGCAACATATTTGACATCTGCAGCCATGAGAAATGTGTGGTATGAGTAGTTGGGGAATCAATGCTTTAAAGGGGTAATATCCTTGAAATTCGCCCATTTTAATTATGCACAACAGATCAACCAGTGAAAGCTGGAAGGAGACAGTTAAATCGAAATATTGCTGTAGCAAAGCTAAGACAGTGGAACGTAACTGTTGCTTGAATGATAACAGAAGCTATGTAGTAAAGGGCTGCAGATCAAACATCATTTGTTTCCCCCCCCCAAGCTGCCCTACTCTTCTGCTGAAAAATCAAACTTTTCGAATGCCTTCTTGAATGCTTCCGCATCAGCAGCTTCTTCGTCCTGTGATTGCACATCGTCTCTCCAATTCATCCGCTTCTCAAGTTGGAGAAGTTTAGCCATCACTCTTCGGCCAAACTGAAGATCGAACCGGAAATCTGGCGATAATGGAAGGATCAAGTTGGTATCCAGGCCTACTTTATTCGTTGTTCTTTCTTCCTTTTCACCTTTCGAGGTATTTTTTGACGACTCCCAGATCATCACCCGAAAGTAATCGCCCTTTTCCAATGCTTTGCTATCCTCTTTTCTAAACTTGGGATAATTAAGGTTTTCGGCTTCAACCCTGAAAGCTGCCTCCACCAACCCACGAGATATTAGGTCTGATGGCACGGGAAGAAATTGCCAGTGGATATGTATTCCCTTGGCACGGCTGACTTCCCAGGTAACTGCACCAAGCTCCCCATTGGATTTTTCATCCAGCATTGCATGCAAAGCAGTTCGATATCTTTGCATCTCCTTGGTGGTGGCCGTTTGTGAATCAGACTCGGTTATTGCGTCGAAAGTAGGTGCGTGAGTCAGGGGGATAATTAACATGTGTCCCGGAAATCCAAGAGAGCGAAACGTGGTGGATGTGGGTAACGGGCCCTTTGCAGTTGTAAGGTAACATTCCGATCCAATGGAGGTAATGAGATGGGTGGCAATATTCGGATTCGATAAGCAAAAAAAGCACTCTGAAGGTCCAGGTGGGGGGGGCCTCCGAGCCCGCTTGCTAGGCCGATGATAGTCATCGCCTTGGGCGAAGCGACTGAAAGCTTGCGCCTGGTCAGGATGAGGGTCGCGCTTCCTCGAAGTTAGAAGTGGCGATGCCGTCGCCCCTGCGGGAATAGATGTTGACGGAGTGACATGTGGATCTAGGGTGAAGGCAGAAAGCCATTTTTGATTCGACGATTTGCTGAACGGGGCCAGGTTGATGAATCGAGTAATATGTTTTACGTCGGGAGATTCTTCGGTGGGGAGATGGAAGAAAGGTTCACGTTCATAAAAGAAGGGTGCCTCTGACGAAAAGTGATATCGGGGTTTTAGAGTCGTACAGAGGTCTGCCACGCATTGTGATCCTTCGGGAGCGTTGGCGCCCTCAGGCAATGAGACTTTTGAACCATCGCGAATCGACTTTGGCCATTGATTAGTTATTAAAATATCGGCATTGTGGGCTCCGAATAACGATCGGGCGTCGGATTGCGTGTATCTGGGCAGGTATTTATCGCTCACATCAGACGCAAAGGTCTTAGAGCTTCTTTCTAGATTTCCCCCCAATGTAACGATTCTGATGCCTTCAGAGGTTTTGAGGGTGCTACGCCGACCAAGGAAATAAAGATTTGTGCAAACCTCATCATCCGATTCAATTTTTTCAATGATACGGGCTGGAATCGGGTGGTTTCCAACGGTGAAATATGTGGGCAATGGCACAGTGATAGTCCCATCCAGCAAGGCAACAATGTCGCTGAGCTCTTCCTCATCTGAGACATCACCAAAAAGGTCTCCAGAAATAATAGCAAAAGCGAAATTTTGTTTCGCCTGGAGCTTTGCTAATTTTGCGAACACTTCTTTGATTGAGCATTTGACACTCCCCAGGACAATTCTGCAACTATTTGTAAGCTCTAATGTCCAGCGGAATTACGCGCAAGCAATAAATCACTTACATTTTAGATGCCATAGCATTATTCTACGTAGGAATACTTGTCCAATAGACCTAGACAACCGCTGGCTATGTAGCTGGGAGGGAAGATCATGCAGGAAGCTACTTAATACCGGTGAAATGAAAATAATCACGTGACATATCAAAACTTTTCAGCCAGTTAAATGTGATTCAAAACTGACACACGTCATTTTGGTCTCTGTTCAACTTAGTGTTACTAAAATAACATACACATGATCATTAATCATCCCCTGCGGGTTTGTATTGGCCACTGGGGCAAAAGAGCTCAATCACCACCAGCGCCATGGTGGTATAGAGGGACCCTTCCAACAGGCTGGGATTTTCGGAGTGAGTGCATTTTAGATGGGTTAAATCACCTGACAAAAAGCTGACCATGGCTGCAAGTTGGCAGTTCGTCATGGTTCCAAACTCAAATCAATTCCGCGTTCAAAACCTGTTGTTTTATAACTTTTCAGTTGATGTTACGCTTGCGATCTTGTCGATATAATGATACCAGGTTATGCATAGACTGCTCACGTTAAGTCAATGCTAGCAAATTCCTCATCACTCATCACTCAACTGCGTTCGTATTGGCCTGATCAAACCGACCTCATTCTAAACATTGAGAATTAAGCTTTAGTATCAGATCAATTTGTGATCTTGACTTTCAAACGTCATTGCTTTGCCATAGCAATTGCTGAAAATGCCGTTTCTCGAGTTGCTCACAAATGCCACCCTCTCACGCGAGCAGAGTAAGGAGCTCGCCCTTTCGCTGTCCAAGACAGCGTCGGAGATCCTACGGAAGCCCGAGGCTCTAATTTCAGTTAGAGTGCAGGCTAATGAGGTCTTGACATTTGCGGGTACCCATGATCCATGTATTAACCCATCGGTAGCTACTAGTAAATCTCTGAACTTCCCATTTCACAAAGCTGACTGCTTGAGAATAATTAGGCTTCCAGTTACGGATAACATCTCTGGGAAATCTCAAACCGGACAATAACATTCTCTTCTCTAAGGCCTTTGCGGATTTCCTTAAGATCAAGATTGGAGTTGAAAACGATCGAGGCTATATCGTTTTCAGTGACCCAGGTCGGTTGTGCCAATTTATCGAGGTTCAAGAATTTCAGTGTCCGAGCAAATTCTAACTTAACTATTAGACTATCCAAATATAGGATATAAGGGAACAACCGGAGCCGAACTGTGGGGCTCAAAGCATCTATCAAATGCGAGTCAAAAATAGCAAGAATTTGTAGTGGGTATAGGAGTTTCTTGAGAATACCCCGATATTGTGATGAGCTCTCCTTTCACTTGGAATGTTCAAAAGTATTGCCACGTTCGATCAAAAATTTAACTAATGGTTGTATTGTGGATTTATGGAAAGAGTTTGTTGTTTGTTCCCACTTCGGCTTGGATGTGCATTGGTAGAAGTGAAATGTGGTCCTCAAAGGCTATATTGAGATTGAAAAGAAATCCAACCCAATACTCCCCACATCCTGACTTAGGCATTGTAGCGAAAATATTGTATAGCTCAGCAGGATAAATAAATTGTCAAATTGTCATCAAGGGTTTCAACAACTTGAATACTGCTCGAAGAAATTCCGTTTGAGGTCAATTATCACGTGATATATATTGATAAGATATGGCCGGATTATCGTTTGACCGCTATGCATGGCGTGCCTTTTTTTGTGCGCAAAGCTTCAAAATATTTTTGGGGGTTAATCAACGGCTCTCGAGGAGACCTTTGATTCCAATTCGGCGGCCCACAACATGGCGACCGTACATTCTGGACGCCAGGGCAAGCCTGCCAATCTCTTAAAGAAAGGCACAGTGACGACAAAAACCCACCGATTTGAATCTTTCTCCCAGCGCGTCGTTAAATTAAAAATTGATCCTATCCATCGTGTGCGGCGAACCAGCGTTGGTGATGACAGCGACTCGGACTCGGACACGTACTTCAGGGCTTCCCTAGAGCACTGGATGGAACTTAACCTGTCGGAAAATTTTACTCAGTTCTCCCAACGAGTTAATCGACTGTGCGAAAGCTTACCGCAGATTCTTCATCATGAGGATCGAATAATGGGATTGTTGGCCGAGTATATCGCAAAAGGAGATGAGATGAGCATGGAACCCCTGCTGAGTCTTGTAGCTCAGTTTGCGCGGGACTTGGGCCAGCGATTCGAAAGACACTTTGCGTCGGCCGTCACGTTGGTGGCTTCCGTCGCCGCTACACACTCAAATATCGAGGTGATAGAATGGAGTTTTACATGTCTGGCATGGATTTTCAAGTTCCTATCCCGTCTCCTTGTCCCGGACCTACGCCAACTGCTGGGAATAATGTCTCCGTACCTTGGGAAGGAAAAACAAAAACACTTCGTGACAAGATTTGCTGCGGAGTCTATGTCATTCTTGGTCCGGAAGGCCGCTCTTGTCTACTACAAAAACAAGGCACCGCTTGACAGAGCCGTTACCTTCCTTTTCGAGGATCTCGCTAGCACTGATGGAGCGCGCCAAATTTCAATGTATCAACAGGGCCTTATGTCAATGTTTGCAGATGCGATTAAGGGGGTTAATGGTGGTATTCATTCAAGTGGAGCAGATATCTTGCGTTGCCTAATCAGTGCCGCTGTTGTGCAAGATGAAACCCAGAGTGCCCTCGCAGGGCAGGTTCTTAGCGGGGTTGTCACTAATCTGGTTCATCATACTTCTGTAAACACCTTTGGTTCAGTGCTTGATGTGATCTGTGATCATGTTGAATCCATTAAACACAATGGCAACATTGCAGCGATGAAGATTGACATCCGCTTGGTTTTTGTTAGCGTAACCGCGCGCAAGGGTTCTAGGGTTAAAAACTGGAGAAGAGCACATGAAGCTCTCATGATCCTTCTCACTCGCGTCGTTAAGTCATCTAATACCCCGGGGTATTCCGTTCAACTGCTCCTAGCTGCTGTGGTCGTTGCAGTGCAGACGTCCCCTATGGATGAATTGCTGTCGTTTATGCGCCCTATTATGGAATTAATCAGCGATGATCAACTGAGGGACTACTTCCTCCCATTTTGCTCTTTTTTCTCTAATTTCGGGGCTGAACGCTTCCAGAGTGTTGTGCTCCCATACTTTCAGCGGTATGTGATTGGTGCCAAATGAGATTTGTACGATTTGTATACGAGTCCTGACATTCGGTTTAGGTTCATTACTTCGCTCTGGGGCGATTACGAATCCGGACTTTGCCATATATTACCACAACTTCAAACTGCCCGTTGTGTCACTTCGGAGCCCAACAGACCCGGGTATTTGACTTGTCCTAGTGGCTGGAAGGATGCAATCGTCGAAAGGCTGCGCAAACCCAATCCAAGTGCCCAGGATATCTCATTCCTAAATTCTTATACTAAGCTTCACAACGCTATATCCCTCTCTTCTGAGCCTTCGATTCTTCCACAATTAGTCCGCTGCCTCCACGGTAAACTAACGGCTGCTTTGGCACAAGCTCCCAACCTTGGAGAAAGCCAAATTATATTTGCTCGAGGCCAAGGTTTTTTGGCTTACGTCCACCTCGCTTCTGTATTGGGCTTACTTGATTTACAGCTTTGGAGATTGATAGTTTCCAACGGACCTGACTGCGCAAATTGCCCGGTTTTCCTTGAAGCTACCTTAGCTTATTTGTCCGTTTGTCACAAATGCGATCAGGCAACCGATGTCAACCTTGAGCCGTTTGCTACAATTCTGATCCACAATCTTTCTAGTCCATCACACGAAATTAGACTGTTTTCCCTTAAAATTCTACAAATTTTGTTGTCTCAGGAGAACGATGGCAACAATACTTACATAGAAATAGCAATCGAAATTGAACAAAGCGAGCTAACCCTCCATGCAGCGAGGGCTCTATCAATGCAAGTACGCAAACTTGCCATCGCATACCCAACATTGTCTTCCCAGAAGTGGATGGATCGGATTATTCCGAATTTCTGTTTTGGCTTGCTATCGAAAAGGCTAGCATCTCTGTGGGATGACGCATGTGAAGCAATTAAGGCAATTTGCGAGGTGCGAAATGGAGAGACCGTTGTTGCGGAGCTTGCTATGCGCTGGCTGCAAGAGCCTGGCTCGCTTAGAACCGATGCCAGTACGCCTGGGGAAGAGCCGCAGGAATCGCATATCTCGTCGGACTTCGAATGCTTTAACGTTTCAAATATCGAGAAAACCTCCTTACTAAATTTCATTGATTCCCACAACTACGATTCTTTGCTTGCAGAAGCTTTCAAGTCTACACATTCGACGGAAGTAAAACTCTCTACTTCTCCTCGAACACAAGCTCTCAAGGTCCTTGGATCTGTGCCTCAGGTGGCAGAGAAACGATCTCGACTATTTGTTCCTCTATTTCTAACATGGGCAGCTTATGATGATGACATCACTACCGTTAACGAGTCCAATGCTTCAGGTGCAGGTGGAGGAGAATATGGCTCCCCTTCTTCCTGGAATTTGCGCGACCGGAAAGCTATGCTCGACATCTTTGGAAAATTCGTGAACCCCAAGGTTTTATACAAGGCAGCAGAGGTCCATGAAGCGTTACTTGGCCTTCTTGGTAACGGTGATACGGAAGTTCAGAAATCTGCACTGAAGGCTATATTCACATGGAAGTCGCCAGCAATTCAACCATATGAGACGAACATATTGAATCTTGTGGATGATGCAAGGTTCCGAGATGAATTATCTGTTTTCTTAAATGTTAGCCAAGAGGCTAATACGATTAAGGAAGATCACCGTGCAGATTTATTGCCGGTTTTGCTAAGACTTCTGTATGGCAAAATTGTTGCTCGCGGGGGCTCTCGTGGTGGACAAGGGACCCAGGAGGCACGCAGAAAAACCATTTTAAGAACGATATCCCAGCTTTCTGAAAATGATTTTGACAACTTTATTCAAATATCGTTTGGTCCTTTGAACGATGTTAGTGTCCTCGAAACCGACGCCAAGCATGTCCAACCTCTAGAACAAGAGATAATTGGCGTCAGAAAGCAGTATGGTCTTCTGAAAATGGTGGAAACGATGTTCGAAACTTTGAAGACGAAGATGTCACCCTTTGTTGAACGTTCCATGAATGCGATTCTATACTGTCTTGTCCGAGCAGGTAGGAAGTTGAAGGAGGACAGTTCAGAAAACCACCACTCATCTCTCATTCGCAGCATCCGGCAGACAGGTGTTCATTGCCTTGATTTGGTATTTTCTATTTCACCCTATTATGATTGGACTCCATACATGCCCCTGATTTTCAACGAGATTATCAGCCCAAGGTTAAGCAATTTCTCCGTGGAAACGGCGCAAAGCGTATCCGGCCTTCTTCACCTATTCCATACTTGGGCATCCAGCCCTAAATCAGCACTCTACTTCCTTTACGGAAACCAACAGATCATTCAACGAATAGTTGATTGTCTGGCTGTGGAATCTGCCCGTGAGGAAGTCAAGATATTCGTTCTAAATGAGATCCTGAACAGCCTCATTAGTCGCGCGGATGGAGAGATAAACGATCCGGAGAATTTACCAGATGCGGCAACAACAGATCTAATTCGGTGCAAAGTACTGGCACCTCATGTCGAATACATATTGACTCATGTCGAATTTCTCCTTAGAAGTCAATCTACCCGTCAACTTACGATGGCTGCAATTGAGACGCTGTCTAAGCTCGCACCGTTTGTCCAATCATCACAAGAGACCACGAAGTTAATTAGTACAGTAACGTTTCTTCTTAATGAACCTGCAGATCGAGTACCTCCCAAAGCCAAAAGCGGACTTCTACGTGTCATGCAATATTTCCTACCCTTATATGATCCACGCGATAATGCGGACCTCAGCCGGCGAATCTTTGAAGTCATCTCCTCTCTATTCGATTACTTCAAGGATAATCCGAACCGTGGAGTGCTCTCTTCCGTATTTTCTGCATTTGCAAACCATGAAGTCGACCTTAAAGCTGTTGCCGAATTATGTGCAGACCTAAATGCTATTTCAGACAAAAGACTTGACGAATTAGATTTCGATCGACGACTTGGGGCGTTTAACAAAATAAATGAACAGAAATATAAGGAGTTTACGTCTAGACAATGGAATCCATTGCTATTCAATCTTCTCTATCATGTGAAAAACGAAGAGGAGCTTGCAATTCGATCTAGTTCATCATTTGGATTGAAGAGGTTTATCGAGAGCGTTGTTTCAAAGCTAGAGGATGATAATGGAGAGTACGCTTTCTTACTCGAGAAAATTTTGCTGCCTGCGTTGCGGAATGGAGCCAAACACCCTGTCGAGATGGTTCGGGCGGAGTTCGTGTCTATCATGGGCTATTTCATAAAGCATAACCCGAACCACCCGGCTGTTCGTGGCATGGTGGACTTACTAGCTGGTGGTGATGAAGAGGCATCGTTCTTCAATAATATTCTCCATATTCAACAACATCGTCGTCTTCGAGCTTTGCGGCGTCTCGCTGCTGAAGCTAAACGAGGAAAATTTGAGTCTTCAAATATTAGCTCCTTTTTCCTACCTCTCATTGAACATTTTGTGTTTGATCAAGAGGAAAATGATAGTGCCCATAACCTGGCGGCGGAGGCAGTTACAACTATCGGGGTTCTGTCTGAATGGTTAGAGTGGAACCAATTCAGAGCAATATTCCGTAGGTATAGGGGATACGTGCGAAGTCGCCTCGGAATGGAAAAGAACGTCATACGTCTTCTAGGACAGCTGACCGATGGTTTGTCTCGAGCGATGAATATTATTGGCAAAAAAGAACAACCTGTTACGGAGGATGAAAAAGTGGAAAGCATTGAGGGAAAACCTGCAATTAAGACCAATCTCTCCAAGACTTTGCCTGCGGAAACTCGCATTTACACGGAACTGAAAAGCAACTTCATCCCTTTCTTATCCGAATTTGTGCATCAGAAGGATGAATCTGAAGTTCATCTTCGCATTCCAGTCGCAGTTATAACTGTCAAGTTACTGAGGCTTCTTCCTGAGGAAGACATGGCTCTTCTCCTCCCCTCCCTACTTCTAGACCTAGCTAATGTTCTTAAAAGTCGGTCTCAGGATGCTAGAGATTTGACCAGAAGAACACTCGCTGATGTCGCACTTATTCTTGGGCCATCTTATTTTGGATATATACTAAAAGAATTGCGGAGCACGTTGACAAAGGGATACCAACTTCACGTGTTATCCTTTACAGTACATTCTATTCTCGTGGCGACCAGTGATCATTTTGAGCCGGGCGACTTGGATCAGAATCTTGACGCCCTCGCAGCGGTAGTGATGGATGATATTTTCGGCACCGTTGGCCAGGAAAAGGACGCTGAAGAGTATGTGAGCAAAATGAAGGAGGTAAAAAGTAGCAAAAGCTATGATTCCATGGAGCTTCTCGCGAAAATCTCCACAATTCGCCATCTCTCGGCTCTTATCAACCCAGTGCAAGCGCTTTTGCGAGAGAAACTCACGGCCGCTATCATCAGAAAAGTCGATGAACTGCTTAGACGAATTGGCATCGGCCTGCTGCGGAACCCTGGTGCTGAAAGCCGCGATCTTCTAGTTTTCTGTTACGAGGTGATAAAGGAGTCATACAAAACTGAAGCGCTGCAGATTGAAACCCATGAGCAAGGAAACAGAGCCCGTTTCATCGTCAATTTGCTCAATCCGAGGAACCGCATGAATCGAGGAAGCACATCCTCATATATTTACAAGCTTTCTCGCTTTGCGCTTGATGTTCTCCGCGCCGTACTAAATAAGCACCAATCGCTCATGACTGCCGCCAACGTTGCCGGATTTCTTCCCGTTATTGGAGACGCCATGTTACAGAGCTATGAAGAGGTCAAACTGTCTGCCATTAGGCTCCTATCCACGATCATTAAAATCCCACTCCCCGAACTCGATAGAAACTCTGAGGTATATCTAATGGAAGCCATTAAAATGATCAAGGAAGCCCCGAACACAAATACAGAAGCTGCGCAAGCCGCCTTGAAACTTATCGCTTCCATTCTACGCGAACTCAAGAGCACAAAGCTGAAGGACTCTCACCTTGGTTATTTGTTGAAGCGAATAACTGCCGATATCGAGGAACCTGATCGCCAAGGGGTTGCTTTCAATTTCATTCGGGCAGTGATGTCTCGTAAATTTATCGTTCCTGAGATATATGAGCTTGTTGACAATGTTGCGGCGATGATGGTAACAAATCATACAAGGAGCGCTCGCGACCTCGCAAGAGGCGTCTTCGTACACTTTATGATTGAATACCCTCAAGCCAAGAGCAGATGGACAAAACAACTTGGGTTCCTCGCCAAAAACCTTGACTATCAGCATAAAGAAGGCCGTCAGTGTGTTATGGAAGCGATTCATCTTCTTCTCTCAAAGACCAATGGCGACCCTGCTCAGGATATTGTTAGCACTTTTTTTATACCAGTGGTAATGGTTATGTCTAACGATGACGCAGTTGAATGTCGGGAGATGGCTGGAGTTCTTCTTCATGATATCTTCAGCCGTGCTGATTCAGAACAGCTACAGTCTATGCTCTCTCCTCTCCGGTCCTGGTTGGAACAATCCCAAAACCCATTGCTCACAACCACTGGGTTACAAGCAATCAGGATATTCTTGGAATCAGATCGGAAGAATAAGGATGATGAAGTGCGGTTTGTTGCCCACCGATTGCCTCGAATCATTGGCCCTGCAGTGAAGAATCGCGAAGGGGAAGGATGGGAAGTGCTATATCATTCGCTACAGCTCTTCACAAAAGTATGCCAACTCTTTCCAGGCATCGCATTGTCGGGGGATTGCGAGAATATTTGGCGCTATGTTTGCGAAAGCCTTTTCTATCCACATGTCTGGATAAAGTCATGCGCAGCAAATTTAATTGGAATATGGCTTGCAGACGAAGCGAAAGGAAATGCCTCCATCGGTTATGGTTCCGTTCCGCTCATCAGCGCATCTGGTCTTAAACTCGAAGGCAGCACGATGCTGGACATTATGCGAGCCAGTCTGCTATGTCTAAGGTCAACAACCGTTTCTGAAGATCTCGCAACCCAAACGATCAGAAACCTGGTGTTCCTTGGACGCTGCTTCAGCCAGAATAACCTCGAGCTTTCAAAGAAGGTAGAAGATTTGCCTGACGATGTTAGCAACGATAGCGACGAAAGCGACAACATTGACCCAGCTGCGGCGAAACCCATGAAACAAAACAAGCCAGCAATCGAATTTATCTTCGAACGAGCAGCTGCCATCCTTCGGCAAGAACCAAGAACCACCCGTGCAGATTCTTTGATCAGTAAAAAGGCTTCCATGAAACTTCTCGCAGCCCTTTGCACTCATCTTGACGTCGCTCAAATAACCCCATCTCTCCAGACAATTCTTCTTCCGTTACTACATCTAACTGATCCATCCATCCCTGCGCCTCGCTCCCTCGACGAGCAGTTCCAGGATACTTACAAGTCCCTTGTTAGTAGCAGCCAGGAGATCCTCGATTTGTTGCAAAAGAGGTTAGGCACGACTGATTTCGTAACACAATTGACGGTTGCTCGTGAGAGTGTTAGGTCCAGACGGGAGGCCAGAAGAGTCAAGAGGCGCGTCGAAGCTGTTACTGATCCTGAGAAGTTTGGCAGAGAAAAGAAGCGGAAGAATGACTGCAAGCGGGAGAAGAGGAAGGAAAAGGGCATAGAATATCAAGAGCGGAGACGTGGTTGGTAGACGGTTTTTCTCACCATTTTCTTCTATTTACATTTATTGAGGTTATTGCATTGCCCAATGGTGATATTTCGGAAATAAATGGCGTTCGGGGGGGAAATAATTCAAATTTCTAGTCTGAATTTCATCAACTGGCAAGATGACACAGCATTTTATGTCTCTATCATTCATGTGTAATATAGTATACAGTGATTAAAGCCGCGAAGAAAATTCCAATGCCGGTATCATATGAAGAGAAGTGTCCAAGCAACGCCCCTATTATAACCCATATCTGCAAATATAGATATCCACGGAAGTGAAACTCTCGAAAGAAATAAAATAACACCACGATTGGTCAAGGTTGCCCTCTATGTCCGGGTTGCTTGATCTCATCCGTCTGCTCCTTGGTCTGTTCCTGTTCCCGTGGAACACCAGCATTTTGTTGTTGCTGAGCCGTCTGGCCCATCTGCCCTTGCCCCTCACGCTCAGAGGCTCCTGCAACAGCCCTCACTGTGCCATCTTCCCACCACTCCACATCACCGTCCAACTTCCCTTTCAACAGGGTCTGGCCATGTTCCGACAAGATATCTTCCAGCGTAGACTTTTTATCCATGAAGATGTTAAGATGGTCGCTGATTACGTGCCTATTCCTGCAGCCAGGACAAGAGATAAGTACGGTTCCTTTATAGTAGCCATGTTGCGAGATTCGATGTGATGAGCGGTGACCGCATGGCTTGCAGGTAAATGTAATTTGAAAGGCGCGCTCTTCTGCGCGACGCCGGGCATTCTGCGCAGCATCTTCGGGGGTCACAGGTTTGCTGTCTGTAAGAGACGAATGGGTCCTGATGGAGGCTGGGCTATATCTGCAAAATTGGGAGGAGAGGAGCGGCGAGGGATTTGGGCGGGTCGTGGATGAAGGTGAAATGAAATATCGAGTTCTAGATGAGCGCGATACGAGCGAAACATGGTTTGCGCGAGTTGCCAAGCTCTGGACTAATCGTCGGGAGGAAGCCATGATTCTGGATAAGGGAATAAAATAGTCAACTATTGAGCTATGGAATATCTCACTTTATATCTCAGGAGGTATTTCTTCTTCCAGTTTTTTTCCTGGCATGACATAATTACAGCGAATTAACGGATAAATAATTATTCCGGAAACTAATCCGGAAATACATTATTCCAGGGCTTCGTTTATATTACATGCTTCGTCGCATCAAATGTGTTATGCACGTCTTTCAGGTCTCTGTCGCCGTCACAGAGAAAAGAAGGTGAATTCCATGCGCTGCTCCGTGTTATTGGACTATGGAGAATCGGTATCCATCCTGTTTTCATTTGTATTGTTTTAATTTTAAGTCGCTGCCTACACTCCTTTTTGGCTTTTTTTGCCGTGATTTCCCCCGCCTAGGTAACAGCGGCCTTATACAGTGAACTCCGGCGGTTCACCCTTTTTTCTCCAGCTCCAGGGGAGATTTCGCTTCTCATGGGAAATGGTAACATGTTATTTTGTAAATGAGGAATGGCGATGAAACAGAAAACCAAAGTTCGTGTTCCGCGAATGGTAAGTTTTGCATCTGTCACCCCACCAGGCCTCCGTTCCCTCCTCGCTTTGCACCTTCATCAGCAAAATATTTCCACCACGGGATGAAACGAAACATTAGAGAATTTCAGTTAACCCTTGGTTATTTAAATTAGAGCATAGCTGCAAGAGACAGCTCTGCCAATTTCCAAACTTCATGGGCTGTGCTGGCTGCTTCCATTCGTGAAATCCATACAAAAAACGCCTCGCACCTATCCTTCGAAGAATTGTACCGAAATGCATACCAGCTCGTTCTTATAAAAAAGGGTCTAGACCTCTACGATCACGTAGTCGAACTGGAAAGGAACTGGCTTCAAAATGAGGTGCTGGCAAAAGTTACCGCGGTTATTGCCCCATCGCTTGCTTTGGCAGGGGACACGGTAGACACCCTGGATCAGACAAACGAAAGAAAATTAGCTGGCGAACGCTTCTTGTTGAGGCTCAAAGAAGTCTGGGAAGATCATCAGCTTTGTATGGGCATGATTACAGATGTGCTTATGTACTTGGTAAGATTCTCAAAATCCCAACGTAGCCATTCCTTCCAGAGCCGCAAGGTTACCAGCTTCTTGTATGTACTAATATCTCCGAAAGAATAAATTAATCCTTCAGGATAAACAACGCCCGTCGATCTACTCCATGGCAATGTTATTATTCAGTGATTACATCCTGAAGGCATATGTCGGAGGTGATAGACCGATAACGGTTGCCGAGGTCTTTGAGGACACTGTTCTACTCATGATCCGTCTAGAACGAGAAGGAAATATTATTGATCGAGCTCTAATACGGCATTGCATGTACATTCTTGAAGGCCTGTATGAAACAGACAAGGAAGAGGAGTCGGGGAAGCTTTATGTTACTTCTTTTGAACCCGCTTTTCTGGAGTCGAGCCGACTTTTCTACCTCGCAGAAGGCCAGCACCTCCTCGCCACAGCAGACGCCTCCACTTTCTGTAAACGGGTAGCGGAAAGGCTACAAGAGGAGGAAGATCGCTGTCGACACACGTTGTCTCCTATGACAGAACACAAGATCAAACAGGTTATTGATGAAAACTTGATTGAACAACACATCGGAGATGTCATGGCTTTGCCAGATAGCGGGGTCAAATACATGCTAGACAACGATCGATTAGGAGACTTGAAAAACGTCTACGAGTTGAATTCAAGGGTCGACGTCAAAAAACGGGCATTGACATCCGCTGTACAGGGTCGGATTGCTGAACTAGGATCAGAGATAAATAAAGCAGCCAATGAAATTCCCCAAGGGCCTCCACCGATCCAAAAACCACCAGAACAAGCCCAAAATGGAACCAAGGTTAAGGGCACTGATGACAAGGGCCCAGTAAACCTGCAGACTGCAGCTGCAATAAAATGGGTAAATGATGTTCTGCAGTTGAAGGCCGTGTTTGATAAAGTTTGGGAGCAGGCTTTCATGCGGGATCAAGCAATGCAAACATCTATTACAACAAGCTTTGCTGATTTTATCAATGTGAATTCTCGAAGTTCGGAATATCTGTCACTGTTCTTTGATGAAAATTTGAAAAAAGGAATTCGAGGTAAAACAGAGGAAGAAATAGACACTCTTTTGGAGAATGGAATCACCCTACTCAGGTATATTCGCGACAAGGATTGCTTCGAGAGCTATTATAAGAAACACCTTTCCCGGAGACTCCTCATGAAGCGATCCGCAAGCACAGAGGCAGAGCGGCAGATGATCGAAAAAATGAAAATGGAAGTCGGTAACACTTTTACTCAAAAATTAGAAGCGATGTTCAAGGATATGGAGCTGTCCAGTGGTCTCACATCCAAGTATGCGAACTATGTATCGCAACAAGGAGACCCGAATCCAAAACGTATTGACCTCGAAATAAGCGTGCTCACAAGCACCATGTGGCCGATGGAAATGGTTACCAGCTCCAATAAAGACGGCACTCCTTCTGCTCATTGCAATTACCCGAAGCACATCGAACAGCTCAAGCAAAGCTTCGAACAATTCTACCTAGGACAACACAACGGACGCAAACTTTCATGGCAGTCTGGTATGGGTACTGCCGATATTCGTGCTACGTTTCCGCGACCCAATGGGAAAGTCGCTCGTCACGATTTGAATGTATCCACCTACGCTATGGTCATTCTCCTCCTCTTCAATGATCTACCTGCAGATAAATCTCTCACTTTCGAGGAAATCCAAGCGCGGACAAATATCCCAACCAGCGAGCTCTCGAGAAACTTGCAATCACTCGCTGTAGTGCGGAAAACTCAAGTTTTAATGAAGGAACCTATGAGTAAAGACGTGAAGCCGACAGACCGATTCTTCTTCAACGAAAAATTCCAAAGCCCGTATACTAAAATTAAGATTGGTGTTGTCAGCAGTGCAGGCAACAAAGTTGAAAATAAGGACGAGCGGCAGGAAACAGAAAAGAAGATGAGTGAGGAGCGCGGTGGCAGCATCGAAGCAGCAATTGTTCGAATTATGAAGTAAGTGTATACTCTCCACCCTGGTTTTCCAAGGTTTAACTTTCTCGTCCCTTCCTAATCCACCCCAGCAACATGCCGCCTCTTCTCCAAAGCATAAGTAAGGAAAGGAACGCTGACCATAAATTTCCCAAAACCCATCACCAGACAAAGAAAAACGCTTTCTCACTCCCAATTGATGGCAGAAGTAATCTCTCAGCTGGCCTCCCGGTTCAACCCCGAAGTGAACATGGTCAAGAAGAGAATCGAAAGTCTGATCGACCGCGAATACATCGATCGAATTCCCGATTCTGACCCACCAGCTTATGTATATCACGCATAGACAAGACAATCACTTACGCTTACACACGCCGCGCGCGGAAGACGAAAGCGACACCTTTTTTTCACGTAGCTAGATGACATTAGATGGCTCCCCCTACATTTTCCCTCTATTTTTCTTGATTTCTGGGCTCCTTATGGCTCCTTATCCTTGCCTTACTCTCCTCTAGGTATCCAGTTAGTTCTTTCGAAGCGAGCTTTTCCTCATAGCTCAGCTCAGCGATTTCCTTTCCAAGCTCATTTTCTCAGCGACATGCGCTCATTTTCCATTTCTTTCCTTGCTTCTCCGCCGGCTTTGGGTCACGTCGCCTGCGCTTACAAATTGGAGCGGTATCATATGGGAAATTTGGAAAAGGAGCGAACAATATGGGTTTGCTGTCTTTAGCTCTTCTATTTCCTTCCTGCACACCATGATGAGTTTACGGCATGTACGAGAAGCGGACATTGAATACCATAATATCTTATCTTGGCGTGGAGTTCTTCAATGGATATGTGGAATACATCGCGAATTTTCGTTTCTCTCTGCTTTGATAATCTCCAGGTCTAGCTCTTGTAATGTTTACTACCGCTTCCTGTTGCTAGAACTGGTGGTCACATCGTCAGTGACCGTTAACTTAATATACGGTGACAAAACTCACCCTGATGGAGGTAGAAGGTTGGTTCATTGTAACTATCTAGCGGGCGCAGCACTGCTTCAATAGGTGTGGTCGCATGGCCTTCTAGCGAGCGATAATGATTCCAACACATCCCCTTTTATACCAGAATATACGTGCAGTGTGTGAACCAGGCATAAACACTCTCAAGCTTCGTTCTCTTACAAAAAATACAAATACCCCAAGGATACCCGGAGATCTTCCTCACTGCCAGGAACCTCCTTCACCTCCACTTCTCCGCCCTTTTTGTACTTAGATTTACTTTGCGAGCCTGAGCTTAGACGTCTCCCATTTCAACAGATTACAATTAATTTATGTCATTTTCTTTTAGGAATGGTCCATCGAGTCTCGCATCCTCTTATTCATCAATCATTGAATATGCCGAAACGCAATGCGGTGTTAAGTGCGCAAGTCTAAGAACACGATCGCCATGTGATAAGAAACAAAATAGAAAAGATGACGCCCAACCTTTAAACGGCTCAGAGCCATATGGTAGTTAAAACATAAATCAACCAAAAAATTGGAATCCAACCATGGACACATCCACCCTATGAAACCGGATAAAAAAAAGAAAAAGAAAAAAAAGAAAAAAAAAAAAGAAAAAAAAAAGCGCCATATATCCTAAACCCTTCTCCAAAACCCTGAGATTAAAGAACCTCCACTTCCCCCCTCCGCCACGCCTCCTTAACCCCTTCCCACCTCGCAACCCAAACCTCTCCCCACCTCATCCTGCGACCATAAATATCCCCGTCGGCCCCCATCTCATCACCCGCGCCAGCGGGGATAACAATTCTCACCTCCTCCACCAAACAGCGCACAAACACCACCTCCTTCGTCTCGGGGCCTTGAATCATACTTGTCCCGCCCGCATTGTCGTCTAATCGTCGCAGCTGTGCGGGGAAGGTCGAGAGGAAAGAGCTGTTGTAGTGTGCTGTTAGGAGGGATTGATGGGTGTGGAGGAACGCGGACTCTTGTGGGGAAAGGAGGGGCTGTTTTCCTGTGGATGCGTTTGTGGATGATTTATAGGCGTTTGTGGCTGAAGGGGGATGCGTTGGGGTGGGGGTGTTGAAGGTTGCTTGGGAGGATTGCCGTTGGTGGTGAGATTGTGAGGAGGGTGAGGACGAGGAGGGAGGTGGGGACGAGAGGAGCAGGTAGTGCAAACTGTGCTTCGTGAGTTTTGAGAGGCGTTGGCGTAGCAAGGAGCGAATTACATATTGGGTGCGCGAAAGGTCTGTTTGAAGGATGGAGAGCTTGAGGTTTGTGTTTGGATTTTTGCTTGTTGAGGGATCGGAGGCCGCGGCGGTGAGGTCCTCAATTTTTTCGACCTGGAGAAATATATAATATATGTTCTTTAGTTATTGTAGTTTGAAAACTTTGCTGGTTCAATTGATGCTAGATGGAACATTTCCTGGGTCACCACCTCCCTGCATCCTTAATCTCTGCGAACCCCAGCACCACTCTCACGCAAACAACAAAACACAAAACACTCAATCCATATGTGATATCCACTCACCTGCTTCCGAACCCTCTCCATAACCCTCTCCATCAGCGCGCCGGGCCACGGCAGTAGCTCCGGCACGCCCCTCTCTGTAACCCAAAGCCGTGTTAGTAGCTGCGCATCGAGTACAGTGGCCTCAGGAGATGAAAGGTCCGGCTGATCAACGGAGGCGAGAATGTCATCGATGTTCATCTTGTTTTATTTGTATTAATATCTGCAATTGGAGTTCGGTATAATTGGAATTTTTTTAGGTCTTGTCCTTTGGGATTGTATAACACCTAACATGTGTGAGGTTGAAATTTCCAAAAAGGGTTAAATTGAATCGCGTGTTTGGATATGGGACGCGTTTGGCGATTGGAATGAACGACCTTAGACTACGAGGATCAACAATAGTTACAAAAAAGCAATTCTTAATAATTTATGAATATTTTTATTTGTTTCTTTTGCTTTCTTTTTTTTTCTTTTTTTTTTTTCTCTAATTCGATTTCTACATGGCATTGTCGTAATACCTTTTGTTGTTAAAGAGATGGGAAAAAAGGAAAGACGGTTAAAAGGAAGGACAAAGCAAAAGGGGACATCACGTCAATCCTCCCACCCATCATTTTTAGCAGTCCGTCGTCCGCCAACACATGATTCTTTCACTTCTCATAACCTTCAATAATCCAGCAACTATTCTCCAATATCATAAGTCCTGATTGAAGGTTCCAGCAAACACGCAGCCGCACAATCAACCGACTAATTATCTCCCTGTTTTCTGTTCAGGCATAAACACAGTGTATCCCGACCATTCAAAAATACCTCCCGAAAACCCACATCTCTTTTCGCATCTCTGGCTAGGTCACACATGCAAGCCCTGGGCAAAAAAAGTGAAAAGGGAGAGAGGGGGGAAGGGGGGAGAGGGAGAAAGCGGACGGGGTTATAAAGAACGGGAGACAATGCTGGATGATAAAAAAAGGATGAGTAGATTTAAAGAGGTGGTTCACAGAAGGTAGTTGTTGGAACAGAACTTCATTCAAACAGAAAGAAGTCGAGGTGATTATGGATTGAGAAATGTAATGTGAGTGAGTACTGAAGCCGGCGTAACGCAATTTAGAGGAAATAAACCCAGGGCAGAACAAGAACCGAGGAATAAATGGCTTCAGCAACTCATAAAATCGGATATGTTCCTGCTGCGGAGAAGGTTCCGGCACGAGTGATGGGATGGATGGATTGGTGAATGGATCAATTTGTTCCTCGAACTGTGGGCCGAAAGTATGGCTGCGCTTAGATATGCAGATGTAAACATAGGAAATAAGGTTCGATGAGGATGAAAGTTGTTAAAGTATGTGTTTTTGTCGAAACTTTAGAAAAAGGAAATATATAAGTCAATTCCGGTGAGGTAATAGCTAAACCACTCATAGAGCGATATGTCGCAAGATGTGGATAAAGTGTCGGATAATTATTAGCGGAAGCTCAATACTTGCTGAGCCGATAATTGTATCTCTCCAAGTATCCTATAATGGAGTAAATGTATGTTGCCCGCAGTAAATTGTTCTATCACAGCAAAGAGTGTTTGCTTGGTCGACCTCGATGGTGGCGGCAGGGTCAAAAGAATGATGAAGTAAGTCTCACAAGTATGTTAGCGATTTCGTTTTGTTCGAAAGCTGTTGAAATGTCAAAAAAGGTCGGCGTGGAGCCGAGATTGAAAGGCTAAATGGAATTGGTCCAAGATTCAAAAACGCAGGGACTGGTAGTGCCAGACTGGCGGAGCAGAATAGAAAAAATTAACAAGGGAACGTAACTCCATAAAAGCGTTCAGCGCCATAATTCAAAGATCATTGATAAAGTTATCAGTGGCTGAACATACGCCGTCCAGGCAAGCGTCCAGGTTCCGGGATTTCCAGAGACAGGTTGCGGTCACTGCTAGCATTCCGACAGCGCCCAGTAGGACTGTCTTCCATTTGGGTAGCATGTTGTCCGAAAGCAAATGTCTGAGCTCTGGCAAGCTTTGACCGTTGTTTTACTTTCCCGAGGCCTCTTTCACAGGCAAAGGCATGCTCCTTTGCGGCCATCTCAACATAGTTTTGCGGAATGCAGAGAGATCGGTACACGGAAAAGAAAGCACTGTAACCACCATCCAGGATATACATTTCGGGGTATGTAAGTTTGGGGTACTCGTCGATATTGACTGCGCGATCTTTGTGTCGAATAAACTTGGCCCTAAATCGATATGTAAGAAAGACATTTCGCAAAAGATGTGAAAAGGTGGTTGTTGGGAATACGACTCACATAATAGGAGCACGGTGAGCAGAGTACTCGCAATGGAAGACCAACATGGTGTTTGGCTTCATGTCCTCAGAGAACAACCTCGATGCAAGATGCTCCTTGTCATTGTAATTGACAGCACCATTTATATGGCCACCTTCATACTCGTACTCAAATCGACAGTCAATAATGATTATGTCGTTATATTTATCATTATATTTCCCATCAAGAATATCAACCAAAACAGTGCTCTCAATCCTGGGGAGGCTGTCGGGTTGATCTTCTGGGATGAAATGAGGTAAATGTAGAGTAGGTGCCTCTTCCATATCGCTTAAAGATAGGATATTCACACTGGTATCGTTGTCTTGATTCATTACATCGTCGGGGTGCTCAAACATGCTTAGCGATCTTCTACACTGTTTCCTAGGTCGAGAAAATGGATTGGAACCCTTGCGCACAGCACCATGCCCTGGAGACCCGTTTCCGCGAGATTGTCCGACGAAACTTGAAAAGGGAGCTCGTGGACGAGAGAGTCCCATTTGTTCATTTGAAGGATTGGTCCGTGAGGCTGGTCTTTCCGGTGATCCCTCAAATATCTCAGATAATGAAAGCGATGTCGACGTAGAGAGCTTACTATTTCCATTTCCAAATTTCACGAATGGTTGAGAATTGCTCACTGATGGACTTTTAGAGATTCCACCATGAGCCTTAGCTCGCATCAATGAAGGACGGAGGAAAGCGGCCCGTTTTCTCCTAAAATAATATCAATATTAGGACTACTTTTGCATAACGTAGCGAATGTTTACGGCAGCTTACTCTGGCGGAATGTTGGGATGAGTTGACCCAATTGGTGAATCTTGAAGAGGACTAGGGATGTATATCTTAGGTTTAGGGTTAGACAGATCAGCCGTAGGAGACTCCAAGTCACTATCTGATTGGTGAGAGTAGGGAATTTTGTGCGGTAACGGGGACATGTCCATCATATCAACAGAAATGGCCGGTGAAGATGAGGATAGAGGAGGTGTTGTCATTATATCTAAAAAATTGTGATTAGCTTCACTGGAATGTCCATGTCCATCAGCTGGCCAATTAAAGGGGGACATATTACCTCGACCATTTTCCGAACCAAACAAATTCGCTGAAAACAGCGATCTCCGCGGTGTTACTAACTGAGGACTGTGGACAAGTCAGTAGCAAACCTAGGCAAGAAAATCCAAAGGAAAAAAAAAAAAAACAATTGACAGCGAATAATACACCGCAAGATAGGCAATTACCTTTGGTCAATGTGGAAGTTCTGTGAAAGATCCGCAGCTAAGCTTGCGGTAGGAGAGGAGCCTCCAACATGCTTCACACTGAAGTAATCTGGACTTCCTTTCGTCTTGGAGAGTTCCTTAAAATTGAAACTGTTCGGGCCAAAATTTCCTACTGCAGGGAAGGATTTGAATGAAGCAGCCGTCTCCGCCCGAAAACAGTGACCGAAGAGCACAGAGGGGGGCTGCATAGCAGCAAGAGGAGACGAATGTTCCATCCCCCCAAGTTCCTAGCTCAGAAAATCAGGAACTATTATCCTTTGACTGTGTATGTGTTCCTCCACTCAGTCGACCGGCAGACACAACGCCAGCCAGTTCCAACTCAAACGTAGGATTGTCCGGGAGTGGGGGCGGAGAGGATGGAGGGCGGAATGGATAGACGGTAGCAGTCAGGTCGGGGTCAATTCCTTGTGCAAAATGTAGGCATACAGGCACGTCCAATGCACTCTGCAAGGCCAGCCCTCGGAGCTTGTATTCTGGGTTGTCGGCTTTTCGTCTGGAAACCGAAATCTTCTACCGCAGTTGCTTCGAGAAGCAGGCAGGCGTAGGATGCCGAATTTCAAGTTATAACAACATCATCCAAATTTAAGAGGAGAAAGGCAAACGGTATAGTAAAACGGTGGGAACAGGAGGTCCAAGACGAGGTGCTGGCCGAGCAAAAGGACCGACGTGGGGGAAGACCGTCGACAAGGCTGTAACGGGGAACGGGGGAGAAGGGCACTTCTGGACTGGGAGAAGAGTGAACACAAAAGTAGAGAAGAGAAGGGGAGCAGGATGAAGAAAAGGAAAAGAAGAGGAGGAGGAGAGAGAAAGCGGAATCGTGGGTTGGGGATGGTTTGGAGCTGGCGGCTGAGCGTGTTGCAATGGGCAACGGTACGCCGGAGTGGGGAGGTGAAAGAAGTCTTTGCAGGTCCCGCACCCGCCAACAATGTGTGGCGCGGTACTCCCGGGTACCTGGCCAACCTTAGCGACTGTCTCCAACTTTCCTTCCCTTGCTCCCATGACAAAGGGCAACCCAGGCCGCTGAGGTCAGGTCCTGGAACATTGGCTGCAGGCTTCATTCCGGCTTCATACTTGACTGGGAAAGGTTCTGCTACATCGGACAAAGTCAGCTTCCCTGATCCCAGGATCTTACATTCCTACATTTCTGTTGGCTGGGTCTGCTTCGTATCCCCTTCTACTGCCGCTGTGACTGGTCCGTCTGCCTGCTCTTGTAGCGCCCAGTCCAATAAACTACTGCACAGTCCTGACCAGACCCTTGTTAGCAGCTCGTCCTATCATTCTGACTGGCAGAGCCGCGATCTGGTTGCTGAAGCAATACCATGACGTGCAGCTTCAGGGCGGATTTCTTGCTCAATGGACAACGCATACATACACAGCAAAATTCGAAAGCTCACACAGAGTTCGAAAATAAGCAAACCCCTTTTCTCCTTCGAAGAGGCTCATGAGGAAGTAAAATAACTCCATTCCACATTAATCTTATTGTAAATGATACAACATTCTATCGCACGGAGAGTGTTCAAAATCCCAAATATGCCTGAGCGTGCTTGTTCCTAAACACCGTGGTGCTTGGAGTTTCAGCATCAAACACAGGCTAGGACGCCTGGAAGAGCGGCATCCGGAACTCTCTCCTGGATTTCCGATATCACATTCCAAGGTTCTTATGCAGGCCGCCAATGAGCGCTTCGAATATCCGCTGCGTCCCATGGATATATCAAACTCCCTCCAAATGCTGTCAACATCATAGATAGAACAAGAAAACAAGGAAATCATTCTTCATCAAGCTTGGTTAACCCTCGTTGAAACGCTTCCACCTGCTCTGGCAAAGCAAATTACAAGAGATCTCATTGCAAACCACCTTGGGCACCAATTCCTCCAAGCATGTTGTAGAGATGGTGGTCAATCTGGGGCTGTCAAGCACGTCTCTTTACAAAGTTCAGGAACCAAACGATATCCGCGTTCAGCTCCAAATCTTATTCCCTTCAATCGGATGGATGGAAGCCCACAACCCTCTTTTGGGTGGTATAGCCGCCAGTTCAAAGCAAAACACCTTTCCTTCCAATTATAGATCCAGCTTTACAGCGTACGATCCCAAGTATCTCTTCCCTGTTTAAAAGGTGCTTCTACTCTTCATGGCGCAAGGGTCAACCCTAGGAATTTACTCCATTTCCGAAAGCAGGGAAACACGGGGACATAGACAAGGATGTTGCGATGGAAAATAGCTCTTCCTTTGAACCAGAAATAGCCTGTCAATGGCCACAGAAAAGACCCTCAAATTCAGCCAGCCTGCACCGATGGTTCCTCGTTACTTGATCCATTTCGTACGCGTACCACCTAGGCAAAAATTCTCCTCTGGAATGTCTCCATTCATACTAAGCAGCTCAAGCTTCAGCCTCTGCAAAAGGTAATCCTTAAGTTCCTTTCCGCAACAAGGCGAGCAATAAGAGAGTAAACAAAAGCAGCACCAACCACTGTCAACTTGTTACTGCTGTGCCACGACCCTCGGTGCCACCCCTGGCCGACCCCCAGAGGGCTTCCAAGGTTCTGAACGAGAATATTAACCGAGAGACGAATGAGATTAGCCAATCAGCAGCAGTAAGCCTGTGCAGAGTTATTCCACCCCAATCATGAACAACAGCAAAAATCACTGATTGAGCCATCTTTCGCTAGCTCCTTTCTGGTATCGCGCCATATTTGTCGCCGAACTTGATCGTGACGAAATCTTCCGCTGGCCGTGTTCAAATACATCAGTGGGGTCAATCATGATGCATTTACATGTGTTCTCCGGCTTACCTTGATGTCATGACAATCGCCACCGAGAGATTGGGAAGCTTAAGCCAACAAGCTCACGCGAGTTCTCCGAAATTTAAGCCGTTTACTTCTCTTCACAGACTGCCGTGGGATGACGAGTTGATATCCAACAATGCAACAAACAATATGAACTCCGGAATATGTGAGACAAACCACAAACTCTACAGTCCGTTCACAGTCGACAGAACCAAACTGCCAGAGCTAAAGACCGAACAGGAGGCAAGATCACACGAACACCCAATCGCTAATTGGTAATTGGTGGGGTTAGAATCGGTCGTGCTGGCCAGTGAACATCCCACCTCCTTCCCCTCCTTCAACCTTGTCGGTTTTGTGCCTTGGTTTCTTCCTCCTCTCTCTTCTCCAAACCAACCATGTCGCACCAACGCAAAGCCAACTCACTGGCAAAAAGCAAATCACACTCGTGACTAAAATAACCAAAGAAAAGCAAAGAAAACTAAAAGGGAACGAAAGAATTCGATGTCACTCTCTTGACGTCTACGGCTGTAGACTTGTAGATTGGTCAATCACGCCACTCAATGCCAATCTCGCAAGCGCCCATCCCCTCGATCCTGATGGCATTCTGTTTTTAGCTTGCTTTGATGATTCCTTACACCAGCGAAACCCCGCACCGTTGCTTCCAGCGCTCTGTTTCATGTTTTCGTTTCCGTTGGCATCATTGTCAGCCACGGCCAGGGCCCCACGCAGAGCCTGGGGCCCGCGTCGTGCCAAGAAGTAAACAATGCGGGCGAGCCACGAAACCCCGTGACCACCAGCCAGCCTCCATTCCACAACCCTCGGGCGAATCCAGGAACAGCGAAATCGAACTAACAAAAGTTCAAGGATCTGGTTGCCAGCAGTAAAATTGCCACAGATGCCCCCAGAATTGCAAATCGCAGAGTCAAGGAAAACAGAAAAACGGACAAGGCTGCAAAGGGAATCAAGAAAATATAGGAACAGCCGACAAGACAATATGAAAATAACCGGAATACAGGAAGGATATATATCCGCAGCATGAAGCCATCGTTAAGAGTGGACGGTTGTTTTGGGTTTAGCTTCTTCCCGATATTATTTGATCATCCATCGACTAACAAACATAGCGAACTCGATTTTCTCCAGGCTCTGGGTTTTTGGGTTTTCTTTTCTTTTCTTTTTTTCGCCTCACTTCAGGATGCCACTTCAGGATGCCACTTCAGGAGGCCACTTGGATGCGTATTCATATGCATGCGTTCCCAGAAGCGGCCCGGTTATTTTCGAGAAGTCAATAGTTTGAGTTTGTCGGGAAATTGAGAGCTTTCCCAATGAAGCAAGCCTGGGGGTGCACGATCTCTGTTGTCATGGTGAACAGCAAAAATTTTCTCTCACAAAGACGATGATTGAACAGCCCCAGAATCCTTTTCTCGTCACACATGATTTCTTTTCATACAACCTCAGCAATCCTGACGATTGTTGAAAGAAAAAAGAAAACCAATCAATCAATCAATCAATCCTTCGAGCGCCCACTTCGGGTCGAAGCCTCCTATTCGTTCAGGCGACACTGCATCAGGATATCGTGGGCATGAAATTCTCCGTGTTGCGTGCCGAATTTGTTCATGACCTCAGCTGACGTGAAGTCTCATAGATATTTTATTTCTTCAATTGCCTCTTGTTCTCATTATTGTTTCATATTAACGCCTGGTATCAATCTTGTTGTGGCGTTTTTGAGTTGTGCTTTTCATTCTCGGAAGCCTTTCTTTCCTCTCTCACTTGATTATTTTACTTCATGATGCAGTCAGTCATTCTTCGAGTTTCCCCGGGAGATGAGATTACTCTAGTTCTTCCTTCTCCAGCTCCCAGAAACATCGACGGGCTTCTCGTCAAGTGTTGAGGCCGGCCCGAAACATATAACTCGATTGGAAGACATATTTTCATCTTATCACAATTCACCCCCGCGACCTAAGGCCTGTAGTGTAGGTGATGTTGGTGTGGCCGCATTCTGACTTTGCTTTTGGGTTAACATTTTTCAGTTACTTGCCTACAGAAAGCAAATGGCAACAAAATTGACAATCTATTAATATATAAGCTAATGAAGGCTATCATTTGTCGACATATTCATGATATGATGCATCTCGTCAGAACTTTTCACATGATGTACTTGGCCCATCACAAACTGGCTAATCCGAGGGCTCAGCATAGAGAAAACCAATAACCATCAAAGTCGCCCACTACAATCGTTTGAGATGAAGAATCGGCCTGAGAGTTTCCACTGGCTCCAAATACCTTTGGTCTGGCTGCAGATAACAGCCATCTGTGGTTTACATCTCGTCGCCATTGGCTCTTATGGATCGTATTTTAAAAGGTGACTTTTCGAAACTTCATGTTAAAATTTTCATTCGACAGTCATTCAACTTCCTTCCAAGTTATCTGATGCTCTTTTGATGTTGTCTCCATTTTCTTTCGGTGTGTTGGAATAGTGAAATGACGGCGGCAAACTGGCAGATGCCGGACGATTTGATGGAATTGTTTTCCCGTTTCATTAAAAACGCCCCAAGCTGTCAATCTATTTGGTTAGGTTCCCACCTCTTATTTTGGCAATCGATCAAAATGCACAGACTGTCACGCACGCTCCAGACGTTGAATGAGGAGATCGCCTATCTTCAAAAACCACGTCCTCATTATCCAACCAGTCCACCTGACTGTCCACCATCTTGGTATCCCCAGTTCGACAATCCATCGCCACGAGATCAAACGGGTAAACATGATACAGAACCGTGGCCTTGAGATTAGGCATCTGCATCGCCGCCACATTCGCCCCTTCAATCATCTTATTTATCAACACATCCCTCCGACAGGGTGTGTCGAATGAACAAAGCCCCGCAGACTTTGCTCTCGTCATCCCCTTCAGTGGATCATACAGGCTCAGATGAAATACAAACTCCTTCCGCGCTGTTGTATACTGCAAATTATTCTTGTTACCAACTCCAAAAACCTCCGGGCAGATCCGATGCATCCTCACCCTCAGTTGCTGCAAGTACGGCACATACCTCCCGATAAGCGGGCAGATATGCTCACTATCCGAAGCATGTCCTGGCTTAGCACCATCCACACCTCGCGCCAGAAACGCCGATCCGCATGTGTCCAATTCCAGAACCCTCAAACGCTCGACAGGGATACTCCTGCACATAAGCGCAATTGCATCCGCGTGTAAGTAACTCTTCATATGCTCAAATAGATTCGCCGGAATGGTGCGCACACTCGGTTCTCCTTCGGCTTGGAAACGGAATCTGGTCAAGGTTTTCAATGTGCCCAACCAACTAGAAAGACGGTGCATATCTGCTCTTGTCTTTTCGGTCCAGTCGGCGAGGATCTTGAATCTCTCCGGGATAATCTGCTGCGTCTCGGGGTCGATATGGGTGGCCCATCCTGAGTAACCGGTCAGACAGATAGCGAGACTCGATGTTCGAGTTGATATTGGGCTAATGGGCCCATCCACCAGTTCTGATTCCGATTCTGATATCGTTCTTGCTCGTGTACACGTAACCTCCTTATGTTGAGGTTGATGCTCCGGTCCACTATTTCCCGGTGTAGCCTTCTGCAGTGCGAGAAATTTCGTCAAGCCAGTCGCGGAGAGTTTGACATCTTCCAGCAACACTGCTGATGCAATGCAGTACCAGTATTTGCTTATGAGTAGCCTGTCCAGATTGTTGGCTCTGAGTTCGTCGGCGCCTACATATTGGAGAATTTCTCGCAGGATCTCAGGGGGAAGGGTCGTTAGGTAGCCCGTGTCATTGCGACTGCACTTGCTGGAGATGGCATGGTTGTCGTCGCTCACTTCCACTCGCGACGGCATGGGTTCAATGAATACTGATGTTTATAAATCCAATTTAATATGGTGTTATTTCCTTTTTTTTTTTTTTTTTTTGTCTAAGGTTGGTTGGCACTGTGGGACGCCGGTTTATTAGGAGGTGGTGGTTTTATCGAGATGAATTAATATCAGTAAGGAGGAGGGTAAATATTTTGCTTTTTATCTTCCCATGCATATATCAACTGAACGAAAAGCGGAGGTCATGAGAAAGAAATTTACAAAAAGACGGGAAAATGAACTATTGACTCATATCTGAAGATTTCGAAGGATTCTTCGTTTAGCTTAGCTCGCGACTTAGAATCTTACATATATATGTATGCCGTTTCGCGAAGTCATCATTACGGTGTGTTAATCAAACCGGCATTCTATACATAGATTAAGGTAAATTAGCCCCATACCTCCAGCAGAAAATGCCACGAGCTAAAAATACAAACCACTAACAGAATCCCTCTGATTCAATTGAATTTGAAAGCTTTTTTTTCACATCCTGTGCTGTGCACTACCCTTGCTAGTGGTCCAGTTTCACAGATGGGAAACACTCAGAACAGAATTTTAATCATCTGCTCATGTCATCAGTATCGCGGTCTCGGATCTGTGCGAATGTGTGGATAACCCAAGGGAGATCATGGGATGGATGGATTCATACTGATTTCCGCGACACGTTTCGTCGTCCAAGAGAGTGCAGGGATCACTGGGAGGAAAGGCATATTTTGACAGGGGTGACAGAAATATGTAGTCCTCGGCCGGTGTAACCGTCCATTGAACCGTTAAGACCTCAGAAGTTATTCGGCGCTTTGTCTAGGATATGGAGAGAGATGGCAAGAATATGTTCGAGAGGAATACACGCATGAGACCGGATGCTCAAAAAGGCTTCTCGGCTCGGCTCTTTGACTGAATTAACTATGAATGACCATGTCTGTGATTATCTATGTACTTCCAGCTTTGCCAGGACCAAATTGTTCTTACTTGCTGTGCAACTAGCATGTGGTGGGAGGGCTATTCAACCGTGGCCTACTTGATTGACACATCCGCTGAGAACGGAGCCAAAGTATGAATTGCTAATGGCCGATGATACATATGTACTTTACCTACACTCCAAAGCCAACCACGCATCAATACCCGGTGAAGGCATTAGCCCCGAGATTCTAGAGGCTAGGATCATAGTGCTCAACAACTCGCCATGATATTGAACACCTTCAAGCCGGCCCCGGGAACCTCGGGGGGGAGCAGTGACTATTTTCAAGAAACACCGCAGATGCCTGTCTGTAGGAGTCCTTGATGTTTGAAGAACCTTGGTGCATATTTACTTGGTTCAGTCGGAGCCCCTGGTGCTTGCATGGAAAATACAAACATTAATCCGTATCTATCACCAATAGATGCCATTGGGGTATATCCAGCACATGAACCTAACGGAGCTGGGGCTAACTGATTTCCAATAGCCCTCTCGTCCTTTCTTCCTAATTGCGATACTCCAGACGTACCTGACGATATCTTGCTCTGGGGTCTTTCTTCAACTAGTAGTATGCCGACCACGAGAGCAATATACAAACTCCAACCAGCAGCAACCAAGATCTTCGCTCCGCGGCTGCCAACCCAGAGGATTCAATTGGGTAATTGTCCCCGAAAACCCTGATGGGGAGTATGCAGGGTACAGTTGGACGCAGCCATGCCAGCAAGCTGTGGGAAATGGTAAGGGATGTTTCCATCTTTACCCGACATGGAGCTGGCTAGAAGCTGAAATTGTATTTTGCTCACCATCTTCTCCCGTAGCATCGTATGCATGTAACGGAGTTATGGACTGTGTGCAACGGGCTTTGCCAGGAATGAAGAGACCTGGAAACGCCCTTTTGCGGATGGCTACCATTGCACCGACAAGGATAGTTGATACAATCTAGCTTATCACATCAGGGTTATCAAAAATCGCATATCAACTACTTCGGGGACCGGAGAAGCATATCGCTATTGTCACGAAGAGCAATGCGCAGAGGAATGGGTTGGTTATCTGGAATGAAGCTGCGGCAGAGGGTCTCAGCTCAGTGCGATAATATATGTTGGTGGATGTATGACGACGAGAATGATGCTGAAAGCCAAAAGTTTGATACGATTGTTACAACAAGTTTGAACATGTCGTTTTGCATATTCACATTTTATCATACAAGCTTTTGAAAACAACCGGGAGAAGGGCTGGTGAGATCCGCGCAGGACTCCACTCTACTCAAGCCATTCTCAAGTCGCCGATATATTCTTTCTGATATTGCAGCAACGCCTGCAGGATCAGCTGGCATAGCCCCCAACGGGGAATCTTGCTTGCACGCGCGAGAACGCATCCATATTCAAGCCAATTCACGATTCTGCTTTCAATGGGTATCCCCTTGGTTTTTTTTTTTTTACTTCCCCTTTACTGTATTTTCCAATGTCCGTTGACAGAAAGAAATCTTTTTTAAAACACATCGTCAATCCCTTAGCCCACTTTTGACAGCAGCTGACATGCTTTAGTGGCTGGGAGAGAAAGATTTTACGGCCGAACTGGTAAACTCTGTAGAATTCGTCGTGAGCGACGGGTAGGGATCGCGGACTTGGCCGGCAAAAGCACAACAGTTGAAGTGACGAATGCGGTGTGCCATAAACTTGAGTGGTGACTAAAAGCCAGCAAGGGTATGGGATAAGGATCATAGAAGCGTAGAAATAACGGTGGAGCCTCGTTGTTAAAACACTATTTTGGGAAATACACCTCAGCCGCAACATTTAAAATCGATTTTCACAACTAGCTATCTACGGAGGGCGCTATCAAAAGAATTGCGCCGGCAAAAAGACAACTAGACAGCGCCACAAATCTTGGCAGAAATTCACACTGTATTTTATACTGAATACTCAGCTCTTGATTATTCCTTGTCTCCGCTGCTATTCAACATGGAATCTGCCTGCCAATCTGCCTGCCAACCTGCGTGCCAATCTGCCTGCCAACCTGTGTGCCAATCTGCCTGCCAACCTGCGTGCCAATCTGCCAACCAGATGAGTATCCTATTCCTCCACCTGCCCGTGCCGTCTTCCTTCTCTATACTCATTGCCACCTTCTAACTCTATAATCTTTTCAATATGTACAGGAATCCGCTCAATCCATGCCTGTATCTTCTCTTGTGGCAGATCCTTCCATGCCTGCTCCCATACTCTAACAGCTTCTGTACAGTTCTTAGGAGCTCCTTTTCTTGTTGTTCTGCGCTTCATCCAGGGCCAAGCTGCCTCAATTGCATTGAGATCAGGTGAATTCCCACACCAAAGCAGCTGTTGAATCCCATGAATATCGTACATATAATGTTGGATATAGTGATTGTGTGAAGGGGCCTTATCCTCTTGCACAATAGTATTCAGACGATTGATTTGACACTCTTTTGCAAAGGGAAATAGCTTTGGTAAGAGAATTTGAACTTGATAGTGATACCAATCAATTCCACCACCTTTGCCATGAGATAGCTTGCCTGTGGCCTGTTTGAACTTCCATATTGGTTTTTGATCTGGTTGCTGATGATCAATCTGTAATCTTTGAATACCATTTGACAGCTCCCATTCTTACCTCTTTATAGGTTCCATTTCAGCATTTAAAGTCTCAATATACTCAAGGGATTGAGCATGCTCCTGCAAGGTTTCTCTGGCCCAACAATGAAATGGGCCCTTCTTATTGTATGAGAAGCAGGCCCAGAACATGAATTCAGATGATTCCTTCCATTGTTCATGTATACAGCTTTGAGAATAGGCCTCATGAGGTGCATGCCATATTCTATATCCACCTTGTTGATGAAGAAGAATAACAGAGGTTTCATCTGACCAGATAACATTCTTCCAATCCTCCAAGGTCCAATCTTTATGCTTCAGACAGAATTGAAGTTGATCTAGTTGCATCTTCTTGGTGAGTTCTGGCTTCTGTGTAGGCTTTGTTTTTCACAGGCCTGCTTTGCAAAGAATCCTTCATATAGTCATAGAAGATATCTCAATTCCTTCATTACTGAATTCATTGGCAAGATCAGTACATGTCTTTTCTTGTCCATATCAATCATGTTGAATCTTTGCAAGAATAGTGTCCTTAATACTATCATTTCTCTGAGTTGGTCAGCCAGATTTGGGGGCATCTTGAAGCCATTCATCACGAAGTATAATATGAGGCAGTTCAGGATCAAATCCGCGTTCAATTGCATGTTTATATATACAGTTGATTTGACTCTTTGAGATCTGGGTGATTTCTGTGATTTCAGCATTTGACTTGCCAAAATAGGGTGATTTAAGAGCCACCACAAGAGCTCTTGTGACAATATCAGTATTGGGTGCCATATGAATCAGCAGATGAAATATTAGAGATGAGATATTTGAGAAAAAAGAGGAATCAATTCAGAATACATGGCATTCTCATATAAATAGAATGTGGGGTCATTTGAAGCTAAATGTAATTACTCATTAAAACATTGTGGCGCTTCTTAGTTGTATAAATTGAATCTGAGCGGCGCAATTCTTTTGATAGCGCCCTCCGTAGTTGCGCAGCAATCGGTATTAAACGGTATAACTCCGGCCAACACTACAGATCTGTGCAGCGTATCCTGAATCCATCTAGACTATATACATAGTGTTGAACACTGCTCCACCTTGCAGTGGCAGTTGCCAATAGAAATGAGATAAGAAAGGGTACCATCAAGATCCACCAAGATGTGGTAATATCCTTTTGGAGAGGGTGGGATTTGAATCCACCACCTTCCTGGTCTTAGCAGTGGTGATGAACAGCGCTTACCACTGCGCCATCCACCCCCCTGACATGGACGATGCGTAGAAAATTCATTGATCTGTTCCCCGTTGAGCGCTGGGAGTATGCGGAAATTTTAAAAAATAATTAACTTGAATAAACTAGAAGAATGAAAAGCATTCAAGGCATCAAGAATAAAAAATATAGAAGAAAAATTAACCGTCCCTGGGAAGGCTCGAACTTCCAACCTCTCGATTAACAGTCGAACGCGCTAACCAATTGCGCCACAGAGACTGCTTGGTGCTGGCGAATCGCCGCAGAATTAACATTCCTTGACTGAAATGTTTTGTTAAGTCATCTTGGCTTCGCTCCTTCATTCCAAGCTACACGTTATGATAGAAAATATTGAATTCTGAGCCCGAGTAACTAAATCCTACCTGCTACTCATCTAGCCTTTCTAATGCTGGGCGAAGAGAGAAAAATATTCCCATCCGCGCCCCTTACGTTACATTGTGTCATCTCTATCTGTTTCCCTTTTTCCCGAGCTTTCGTTTGAAATTGATGGAGTTTTTAGGCTGACAAGTTCGTATTGAACTTCACAGGGCCGAGTTGATAGTAGTCTGCCGATGCTGATACCAAAAGTGAGGCAATCCGATATATGGATGGGCGATTTTTTTTTTTTTTTTTTAAGTCAACGTAGCTACCTCGCAAGGCTTGCATGGACTTTGACGTGACGCATAGTACCTGAAATAGCACCTGAAATAGCACCTGAACCGCACCTACTTTTTGCTAGCATCCGCTGGACTCACGACGGAGGATATTCAGCTGGCCAGAAACAATAAGCAAATGAGTAGCCAATTTCGATCAAGAATAAATTAGGAAGACGGTATTCAAACGATATTGAAAACAAGCGTAACATATTTAAAATGGTACCCTGCAGCAGCGGATCGGGGGTGAAACCAAGCGAGCACATGTACCCAATTGCCTTTTGAGTAATTGAAACTGTTAAATAAATGGGGCCAGAATATATACGGCTCTCTTCCAATACCGCCGCGGTGTGTTCGTTCTACTTCCATACTACCCTACTCCCAGCGATGTTAATACACTCAATCAACCCATTCCTCACTTTGCGCTGTCGCTCTGGTGCAAGCTCCTGTTTAGGGCCTATCTGTAAGTCACTGTCACGGGCTTGTACGGCTGGTCAACACTTTATGTATCGGCTGCTGCAGGGAGCCGGAAGTACACAACGCGGCAGCAGGTCCAACTGATAAAAGCAGACGTGTTTGCCAAGCGGGCAAGTCACTGGAAGCTATTCGAGCCGCCATTTGCAACGGCGAGATAGATGAGGGGAGAGAAGAGGGCACTGGCGATTAATGCCACATAGGGGATGTAATAGTTACAAGCTTTGAAGATGCTCGGCGCAAGCTGGCTACAGCAAAGAAACCAAGGAATAGGGAACACATGTAAGGTAGGGGGTTTCCAGGACTCCTGGCAGATATTATGAGGATTTCCCCGTTTATATATTTTGATGCTCAGATCAAATAGCGGTGAGATAACAAAGTACGGCTATCCTAGAAGGTCTGTAAGGTAGATGGTGATTTAATCCAGCGTGCCAATGGTGTATGGGATGAATTGAGGCAGGCGTAAAAGTCTGAGGACAAGCCGACTTAGCGCACTAGTGAGGATGTCTGAGGGAGAAAAGACAGGGCCGAAATGTTGAAAGATATTCGTAAGACGATCAAATGGGACAATCTTGAAATATGAACGGCAAGGCTTGGGAAATTCTTTACATCCAGAGGCCAGCTTCTAGCCTAGTGCAGATTCATGGTATCTTCTGACCAAAGGTTCTCAATGAATACTCCTGTTGGACTTCAAGGCATGAAATGAAAATTATGAACTTAAGACTGTGTTAACTGGGGAATTCTCCTTTTAGCCGGTTGGTGAAAGTCCAATTTTACAACTCCGGCAACGTAAATTCGAGAAAGCTCCTTTGCCATTGAGGTTTTTGAATAATGTTGTAGAGTGTAGGCGGCTCCTGCGTAGCAGAGGAACCCCTTTAATTATTTTCATTACCGGACGAGTATTGCCGCGGTGTCACCGGGAGAGTATCTCCGATCCCATCAATGGATGTAGCTATGAAAAGCGAAATAATGTACCGTATATTCGTTGTCAACCATGAATCCTGAGACTTTGGGTTGAAGCTTTCGGCGGAAACTAGTCTAAACTGCCCAGGCCTTCCTACTGAGGACTAGCGTCATATGTCACAGTCATACGCGAAAATATCTCGTCCTCCCCTCTTGAGGAATAGGGAACCCCTGGACAAGTGCAATGCTCATCCTTCGTTGATACAAATGGGTGTCTCTACCTTTCCCTAACGTGTCGATCAACCCAATTGTCAACATATGAGCCTCAGCTTCCCAAATCTTTTCTTCTACGGAAACCATGGGGATATACTTCTTAAATTTCGTGTCCATCCGCATTGCTATAGCGGGAGAGAATACAAGTATGATCGATAGGGCTCTGGGGTATTTCTAACATGTCTTTCTGCCGGTTCTTGGTATCTCATCCTATTCGGGCTGATTTCTTCTGGTTCTACGTGGTTCAACACTCGTCGAGGAAATTCGAGCCATCTCTTCCATAAACACACCTAGATGCATAAGAAAGGGAGAAAGAACAAACACTGGAAGAAAAAGGGACAAACAATATGAGTTATATTGAATGGGAAATATAAATATTTAACCAATATAAGCGGCGCTTGTGTATCATTCATCGTCAAAAAACACATAAATGCTAAGAAAAATATTGGAAATTGATTTGGCCCGAGAACAACACGAAACATATGAAGATTTAATTTAGTTCAACCCTAATCCTCCACCCAAAACCAAGCCCAAACCAATTCAAATCCGCACCCCGCGTTCTCCTCTCCCCCCGGGAGGCCCCCTGGCTCCAATTTCTCCCCACCAAGGTCCCAATCAAACAACCCAACAAGCCGCCAGACACCTCACCAGCCCCGCCGCAACCTCCTTCCCAAGCTGAATGGCCTCATCATCCGCCCGGCCCGGCACATGCAGGAATACGACGCTCCGATTGCGCCGTTCCAGGTATGCATGCATCAGGCTGGTGTAGTAGATGAACTCGCAGAGGTAGCGGCCGGCATCGTCGGAGAGGCGCACGTCAGCAGTGCGCGGGACGAATGATTGCCAGGTTTTGAGGAAGTGGGCGTCGGGCGGGGAGGGGCAGGTGGGGGTGTGTGAGGCCGTGGTGGTTATGGTTGTGGTGATTTCGTTGAGCGGGGTTTGCGGGGGTGCGGGAGTTTGGTCTTGTTGTTCGGGTTGAGGTTGCTTGTCTATGTCTGGCGACGGCGACGGTGATGATGTGGGACGAACAGTCGTTGTCGTCGTCGTGGCGTTGGCGTTGGAAGCGGTGGCCGTGGTATCAGTAGCGACAGTAGCTGATATCCCCGTTGTAGTGTATACGGTTGTAGACGACTTTCTCAGTGACGGACTTCCATCACCATCAATGCCACCGGCACCGCCACTACCCTCCATCTCATCATCGCCGGGCACGGTACATGGCCCTGGCCTGAGGACCTCTGGCAATCCCATCGCTTTCCAGATCGCTTCGCCATCCTCAAAGCCAACCTGCCCGTCAACATCCGTGTAGCCGTAGTCGTCGCGGTGAGCCATAGTTTCTACGGCGTAGTAGTCCCGTGTGTTCGCCATGCCGATGTGGATGACGAAGTCTGGCGGGCGGCCATCGTGGCCGTTCTTGAAGGCATCTATTATAGCGGGGATGGCAAAGCGGACGGCATGGTAGGAGACGCGGATTGGGACGGGATGGGTGTGGATGAGGATACGGCGGGGAGTGGAGGTGGGGGTGGTCTGGGGGATGGTGATTATTTTTGGGAGGGCGGAGGCGATTAGGAAGGAAGGGTTTACGAGGTTGGATTTGAAAGGCTGTTGACGTTGGTTAGCTGGGTGGTTTTCCATTGGCATGTACGCTGGCTGTCGATTGGGTGTCTCGGTGCCAAACCTCCACCACCCGCTGTACACGATATACATGTGGCATTGGCAGGGAGCAGGTTCTACATGAAGTGTGATAATATTGGGCTAAATTTTGAAACTCCCACATACGCCGAAGCCAGTAACGAGTACATGGATATCCTGGACAGACTCCTTGATCGCCACAAGGCTATCCCCAAGCTGCTCTCGCTCCTCAGACGCTGCGGGGCCAAAATCACCCATGATGGATACGGATCCGAGTGGGTTATGTGGGCACGAGGGATAAGTAGAGAAGAGTGATATAGAGGTGCCGCAGCCAGATTCCCGTGCCCTAGAACGGCGCAAGATAGAGAGCAACAGGCAGCTATGTTAGGATTAAGGATGTGTGGTTCGGAAAGTTGTTGTCAACTACGAAGCTCACTGGCTGCTGAGAAGCGAGCCGATGAAGATGGACTCCAACAGACAAACAAGACAAACAAACAGCAGAAGTATCTCCCCGTACATATCGGACATCGGAAGGATAATATGGACCATTGTTTTCCGATGACCTGACAATGGAGGAGTAGTGAAAAGACGATCCACTACGGCGGACTGTTACAGCATCCTCACTATTCTTTCCCCGTCCGTTCTTCAATATCCTTGATTGGAGAGCTCGAAATACCAGCAGCTTGTCGAAGGTGGACGGCCCGGGACTAGGAGGGGTCTGTCTCTGGGGCCTAACCCTGTTCCCCCAGACAAGGGATCAATCCTCAGGGTGACGACATCCTTAAGTAAGATAGCATGTTTAAACAATTCCCATCGTCCTTCGTCAAGAAAAGTTTGCCAGCCAGGGAATGTACCGAATACACCCGCACCTCCCTCCTCCACAGGATAAGCAAGCACACTCATACATTTTGGCGGAACACCTGGCGGGAGAGCTCACTCTATAGGATATCAGAAATTGTGATTATTTTGTTACTGACAGGAGATGGAGATATTAGCAAGAACGGGATTATAAAGTAGCAGAAGTTAGGTTCTAGGCTGGATTGGTTTGGGAAGCTCCAGGTGAGGTGGTTCCATCCGTAGCATCAAGCATACAAGCAACATGTAACCCACAGACGCCTTGACGGAGTTGACACTTCACTTCAGCATACAACTACAACTACAATGCCCACGGCAACGTCACAGCGACGGTGGAGCAGACAATGGGTCGAAAGACGGACCGGGCTTCAATCAATCTGCCACTGATGTGTTGTAACTACTGTATATTAGTATTTTATTTAATCAGTCTCCATGGTTGTTTGACACTGATAGATTGCATGCATGCATGCATGCAGCTGCAGGTTAGTGAAAGTTGAAACTGATTGACCGACTCTAAACCTTGCCTCTTTTTGTATGTATGTACAGTTACAATAACTATGTTATTAACTACACATAGGGAGAGTATTCATCAGCCTTTTCAAAGAACTCAAGCAAAGAACAAGAACATTGTTTGCCTGGCTGCAGATTAGATGGAACAAAATCAGCTGCTTTGTGGCGGACGGTGTGTTCTGTGTGTATATTATCAGATATAATCATAGAATGCGAAGATGCAGCAGGCCCACAGAGAGAGGAGGAATAGAGGCATTCTAAGCACAATCCTGGATAGCTGTGCATGGCACTGTTTTGCACTTCTGCACTGTAGTTACCAGTACACAAGTCAGGCTGATGATTGTCTGCAGATCGGGCAGCGGCTTGTCCCTCAAGATCTCTGTGCTGGGACAGTGGACAGCTATAACATGCATACATACAGGGCCTCGTCATAATTATCAGTGCAGCTTTCTGGATCCATGGGACGGATGAAGGCACAGGACATTGCAGTAGCAATTGCAATGGAAATAAGCTTCTTTCTATTTTATTTTATTTCATTTTTAATATACCACCATCAGTTGTCAGTATTATTTCTTCCATCGGGCTAAAGACAGATGCAGTATGCATGAGGCAACCAGGGGGTGGCGTGGAACAAGTTGATTGACGGTGGTTTAGGATGATATCCCCTGGCATGGGCTCTGTTGGTTGGTGAAAGCAACCAGAGTGTTGATGATGCAGACGGAGCCGAGCTGCGGAAGCTCACAGAGATTTGAATGAGCCTTTTTTTTCTTTTCTTTTCTTTCTTTTCTTTTCTTTTTTTTTTTTTTTTGCGAACCTGGACAGGAACAAGCTGCGCCTGCATGCGCATCCCTGTAGCTGTAGCCCAGTATCTCGACGGGAACGGAATGCGCGAGTATAGTTCACCTTTATGGTTTGGGTCTTGCCGTCGGTTGACAGAGGAACCCGGCCATCCATTGATTCATGGACTCGATGTTTGGCTTTCAGAGAAATTAAAAAAAAGAGAAGGTTATATTCGAGGAATTTTCCCCATTGCCTGGGGCCCTCGCAACCGAACCTTCGTAGAAGGACAATTTCAATCGACCAATGTTATGTGACTCCGTCCTGTATCCACACCTACGTTACTTTACCGCCAGCAGACCGGCAGACCAGCAAACCAGCTCATCCATTCATCTCCTCTCTGAGAATGAGATCTCCGCCACACACTGGCATCCGTTGGTACCGTAACGGTAACGTATTAACGCTGCGTAAGAAACCAAAAATGAAGGAGGAGGAGCAGGGAAAAGAAAAAGAAAAATACCGAGCCATGTCACGCGCCACAAACGCGCGAACGCGACGCGTCCAAACCAACCAATCATATTTCACAAGCTGACCGAAATTTTCGCGTTTCGAGCCGCGCTCTGACGCCAGGGACACGCGCGCGCGCATTCCCGACGTGTGTTTTTCGCGCAAAAAGCACCCGTTTGAGGAGAAGAATAGAACAGGAAAAACAAAAACCAAGCGGATTGTTTTCGGCGAGGGAACTAGTATTCGATACAGTACATATGCGCACGGAAACCCTGCGACGACATAACGTACGGTAAAAAACAACTTTTTAAAAGACGGGCGGAATAGAGGACTGCCTTGGTGGATTGTAGGGGCGATTTCGAGGCAGGAAGTTCGAAGAAGGGCGTTTCTTTCCTTTGGGCATCAAAGAGTAAACCAGGCCCGCTGAGATTTCTTCTTTTTCTTTCGCTTCCTTTTCTTGGGTGAGGAATCAAGATGGAATCTGCTGCGGAAACTTTACGTCATGGAAAGCCGGCTCTGGGAAGCTTCGTATCTGCGGGGATGGTACCGAAGAACTCTGTAATTGGTACGGATTACCGTTGTTGTTGATTCCCTTGCCCGATAATCAGCATGCAGAACACAATGTTCTTTCAACAGCTTTTTTTTTCTTTCTTGTCTTCACGCTAGCACCGTTGTTGGCCCGACATGGGGCTTGGTAAATGCAAGGTAAACTACGCCAGGACGGGGCTGTCTGTCGAGCACACAAGACAGCGCAAGATGCGTCCATGGAAGCAACCTCAGACACCTTCGAAGGGAAAACCTCCCGCTCGCTTTTGCATGAAACAATTCATGGAGAAGAACTTTGAAGAAGGAATGAAGTTCCTGTTTGATGTGTGGCTGGTTGGATAGATAGTCTTTTTATGACGATGAGAGAATCCGGGTGTCTGGGAAAGTGGGAAACCTGTGCTTGGATTGGGGTTTCAGCCAGAATGGCGGAATCAATGGACAGAGGCAATGGGCAGCAACTTGGATTCTTGCAGAGAAAGCACAGATAGCGCATTGGGACAGATCATAACGACCTGCACGGAGTAATTGAGAGGGATATTTCACTGGATTTCGCTGCCCGATATTTGGAGATGTCGAGATGTCCGATTCATGACACTGGAGCACTCCGCAGTACGTACGGCGTAAAGACACTGTAAAGACGCTGAAATGCACCGGGTGGTACCTGTTCGCACCGCCAAACCTTGGTGTGGCCACTGGTCACGCCCGGTTGATGCCCTTTTCCTGCCCGCTGTTCCCAGCCATCGCCCGGCCCATGCCAAGGCACGAAGGCGGCTCCTCCACGACCTCCACGACGCCCAATTCCACATCCACCTCCCACCTCCCACCGACATCCCACACCCCATTTGATATTCCTTTCTTCCTAGTCGTATTATTTAATTTTCCTGAATTCTCATTAGCTGAGCAGGGCGGTGTCTGTTCCCTCGAGACGGCCGCCTCATCTCAGAGGGTGTTCCCGTCCACGCCGCTTACCCCGTCCTCCTGACTAACTTACCTCCACGATCTGTCGCTATCCCCAAGTCCTCGCCTGCTGCTGCCCTTACATAGATTGACTCCTGTGCTGGACCTTCTTCACCTTCTCCTCCGTTCGTTCAACACTCCAAATATCCCTTTCTTCATCCGATTCAGTTCTCCAGTTCTCGCTCCCGGTCAATCAATCACGCACCCCAAAATCATCAATCAACCTGCGCCAAGTGGTCTCTATCTAGGACCTTGTTCGCTTCGGTCCGTTCAAGCGCGAACGAACGATTTTTAGTTCTTATTTCTGAACGTGCCGTCATTCCAGCGGTGTGAGGGGACCCTGAAGAACGTCGCAGGCCTGTTTAGCCCTTTTCTAGTCCTTTTCATCCATTTTTAATCCTTTCCTCTGCCTCCCCAGCCATCCATTTCTCCCCTGCTCTCTGCATCCCACGAGCCCACTCCCGCCCGAAGGAGGACTCGACAACTGGGCCAGCGGGCACGATCCTCCTCTTTTCTCCTCGTCAACCGCTGCACTCCCCCGCCGCCCTCCTATACTGGGCCCCTCTTATCCCCCAGTGCTCGACTCCTTTCTGGCTCTCTCTCTCTCTCTCTCTCGCGCGCGCGCTCCCTCCCCTCTTGGTCGCATTTTGGCTTCGAGTTATTTGTCCCCCCTCGCCCTGGACAAGCCAATTCAACTTTTGCGGTCAATTTGCCAATTGATCTGGATCCAACCGGCTATTTTCAGACCTTCTCGTCGTTTCCGTCGCTGCGACATTGGAGTCCGTTCGTTTTAAAACAAACGCTCTTTTTTGGAACAGTCAATTCCCATAAACGAACGTCCGACGCGATACCCTCCCCCCTCCTCTTTTCGTCCCAACCTTTACTTTTTTGGTTCTCCTTTTTTGTCGCTGGCCACGATGCTTGCCAATTACTGCGATTCCTGATAGCGAAACCATATGCGGGTGCGACTTGGCCGTCTCTCATCCACAATAACACACCCGTTCTAACACCCACACACCACGACACTCACAACTAGTCGGCCCTATTAAATTCTCCCGATTCTTATCATCCAGACATTATTATAACGAGAACCACGACTGCCAAACTGGCGACACTGCGGATCTATATTTCTTATTAACACGACTACATGTTCTTTTCCTTTGTTCAACCCAATCCCTTGCCATTGCCATCTTTGGTCGGATTTTGAACCCGGGAAAACCACGTTGTGATGTGTTTTTTTTCTTGCGTTCTGCTGGACAATGTACAATTGAGAGCTTAGGGATTTTTTTTAAAAATTTTTTAATTTTATACCTCACGCATCAACGACGATCGCACTTCGACATCTTTATAATAGTCATATCTTTTGCTATTTTGAGATGTACATGGACTGAAAAACGAGGACTACGAAATAACGCGACTACGATTTGATCTTCTGGGCAAACTTATTCACTGCTACTTTCGTTGAATAGGTTTTTTCTTCTCCATTCAGCTATCAATTGCCGAACCATTCACCATTTGTTTGGACGTCCATCACCCTGAGAAAAATCAATAAAAAGATAAAAAAGATATTAAAAACAGTTTTAAAAAGGAAACGAACCATGGCCTACAGGCAACCAGGGTTGTCCCGGACGCTTCCCAAGGACTTCACATTTTACGCTGGAGATGAAGAAAATCGACCTAGGACTCCAGATCGACCGACCAAAGAGCTGACTATCCCGCCCCCGCCCCACCATTCTTCCTGCCGGTTCCGCAGACCTCGACTCACCATCTCAACCCAGCGCGAACTTTTCTGCTCACCAGACGTTCCATTGCCGTCAATCGAGCTCTCGCACGATCCGTCGGCCTCTGTAGCTGGCATTTTTGACGGTGCCGTGACTCAACCGATGACTGAGAATGCACTTCAAGTTCCACCGCGAGGCAGGGTCGATCCTAGAACGCCTCCAGCTCAAATCCGGGGCACCCCTGTTGACGAAAGGCCTTGCTGGACTTATGGCGATACTGGAGACTGCAGTCATCCCATACAACGACCATCGTCTGCTTGTTCCGATTTCTCGGATTCTTCTGCTGCGTCTTCTACATCTTGCATGTCGTACCCGTCGATGGGAGGAAGTTGCACGAGCCCGGAAAGCGAAATCCAGGATCCTTTCATTTCGTATCCCTTCACCAGCTGCAAGCAAGAGCCGGAGACTCCTTCCAAGCCAAATATCGTCCACGGGAAACCTGGTAAGATACCAACTACCAGACCGAGATGGACTTCCGAGATGGACAACCACCTGTGGAATACGTATCAAATATATCTACAGGATCCCAGAATCACCCCTTTCAAAATGGTTCCGGGGAGTTTACCCCCTTTGGGAGTCTCTCATCGCGTTGCCCGCGAAGCTAGGAAATCTTGGTCGAGAAAAAAAGGTCCTGTTCAAAGGAAAGGTCCTTCAACAGTAACTTCCGTTTCTGGTCCTGTTATATTTATGGATGGACGTGGTGGTAACAGAAAATACCAACAAGCAACCCACGACTCCGCGACACGAAGTGGAAGTACTACGCCAACTGCCAAGGTCGCACCTCCCAAACCAGCGTGGCCCAGGTCTGACTCCTTTGCGAGAAGACGTTTAAAGGATCTATGCAAACGGAAATTTTCAATCGGGCCCCATTATCAACGACTGCTTCAATCCCGTAGCCCGTCTCCTTTCTTGGAAACGTCCCCCGAATCGGCTACTAGAATTCCGTTACAATTGGGAGTATCTCATCGGAAAGCCGCCTCGTTCGCAACCCGAGATCTTGGAGTCTCACTGGTGTCCAGTTTCCTGCCAACTCAGGTCGCAGAATTGGGACCGCCAACGAGTGATCTCAATAACGGGCCCCAAAATGATTGGTTCAACAATATTTCGCGTGACCACGAACAACCAGCCCGGACCCCTAAACATTTTCACAGCCACTCGTCATCGTCTCTCGGCGACTACAGCAGCCACATCACAACTAGTTCCCTTTGCGACGAAATTCCTCGCCTGGGATCTCCATTTATGTACCATACCTGGGGCCCTGATAGCTCCCGCCGTCGTCTCCGTTCCGCCACACCGGCTAGTCAGTTTGACACAATCCACACAACTAGCTTAAAAACCCGATCACCTGGAGGACGCATAGATCAGTTTGGAAACGCCCACAAACGACGAGCCCTGCACCAGTTGGAAGATGAGTTGGACTCGAGCGGCAGCAGCCTCCAACGTCCCTTCCCTGACCTCATCCGCCAACCCAGGTACAATGATAATATGGGCCAACGGCGTGTTCGCGTGCGGAACAGGGGCATCACCACTGGCGCAATTGGTGGTTCACGAGGACGGTTGGACCAGCTTTTCAACCCTCCAGCGCATTTTGCGGAGTTTCGCGGCTCTTCCACTTCAATTTCTACTGGAACGGCTTCCACGACTAGTGCTACTACCGTTACGGCTCCTACGACGGGGGCTTCCGATGACGGACAGAAAATGCAGCAACAGGATAATAATATCAATAATATTAATAATACTAGCCACCATTTGCGACACGGTGATGATATCAAGCGACTGGGTTCCCCTTTCCACTCTGACCCCTTCGATAAGTACAACAACCGGAAACATCTTACTCCATCCCATCCCCCGCGACACGCGCCTTCGCTCTCTGATCCGTTTACCGCAACTTCCTTTGCCAGCATGCCCTCTGCTACTGCTAGGAATCTAGAACAACGTCACCCCGTACTAATGTCGAATTGTCAGGAAACCCCCAACAGTGAGAGTGCCATGACCACGCCCCGTGCGTACTTTGACGAAGAACGGGGAGGGAAAGGAGGTTCGGGTGTTGGCATGAGCATGAGTGCTGGGCTGGCAAATGGCGATGGTCTTAAGCTTGATACGCTTGATACGCCCAACACACCTTTCTCCTAACCCCCTTTCCCTTCCCTTCTCCCAAACTCCCATGCGCAAAAAGGCGTTTTCGATTGGGCGGACCTTTGTTTTAACCAAAACGCTTGTTTAAAATATACTCTTCTGTACGACAACAATGACAACGACAACGACAACGAAAAAGGACTATACTACAGGCATAGATCTCTTTTTTTTATTCATGACGGCGACGAACTTGTGTAAAACATGCGACCACATTCATTGAAATACCTACTCTTTTTCTTGCTTCTGTGCTTTTTTAAGTTTTAACATTACTTTCTTTACCTTATTTCCTTTTATTTTCTCCCACCATCTTCACTTGTGTTGTTCTGGGATTATCCCTTTTGCGCCATGTTGGGATATATCTCTGGGCTCGAATAGGGTTTTGGCATGTGTCGCAGTTGGAACATGTCTGCTTGTCCGATCGCCTACTGGATTACTGCGCCCACAACGATACACGCAACAGCATCTTTCTTATTCTGGGTCGACATGTGGACTTTATTTTATCATAACGTTACCGGCAGCGTGACTTGACTATCGACGATATTAGCCAACTATAACCCGTTTCGCACTGCGCCCCTTCCCTCCAATGGCTTTATGCAATTTTGCTCATATAAATGATGGGGAAAGAAAACAGCTCGAATTCGGAAGACAATATCTATCCTCGACAAACACCCCACAAACCCCCCTGGCCGCCCAAAGAACAGCTATCTGTCTGAGCAACGATACGTTGTAATTGTACTGCACTCACTCCACACACTCTCTCTTTTACTTTTTCTCATTTTTTCCATTGCTATCATTTCTATTTTATACTTTCTTCCCTTCCACTCCTCCCAATGAATAGATCCCTGCTTGCCTCCCTCCTTACTTTCCCAACCACGAAGCCTGGTACACAGAACAGAACAACGGACATAGTCGAAGAAAATAAAACGCAACGATAGAAATGGCCGTGAAACGAGCACCAAAATGAAGGCAAGGGGAAATAACATCAAGTTTCCACTAGAAAAACATGCTCAAAAATAATGACGTTGCCTAACGTTTTGTGACAAGTCATGGAATAGGATGTTTTCTGTTTTGGGGGGATGATCCATGGGGATTGGCTGGGAGATATCATTTCGAGGCATTTATTATTATTTATTATTACTCTTTTCAATCTTTGCAAGCTTACGCAATCTTCATTTGCAATGCATGATAGATGGAACTTGTTCGCTTTATTTTTCGCTCTTCCTCTCTTTTCTTACTTTTTATTTTTCTACTATTTTATCTATCTATTCCAGCGACTTCGCACAGAAATGAAACGGACGGACGAACCATGATACGAATTATGACGAAGAGGGGAAAAAAATATGAAAAAAAGGGAAAAAAAGAGCAAGATGATAATTGTAAACCCAAAAAAAACGGGGGCGGAGGTGGGGGAAGGGTCTCATCATTTGATTTGATTATCTTTTTTGTCATTTTTTTTTTCATCTTCGTTCTACACATTCACACATATGGTCCATAACGATACACGCGATACATACACACAACCAACATATCTCCAGCTCATTTTCTGTTTCTTATTTCTTGCTTTCTAGCTTCTTGTTTCCATCATCGTATTAATCTTGTGTGTCTTGTTCTTGGTGCTCTCAATGCTACGACTGTGCTAGGTTTGCAGTGTCTGATCATGAATGAATTACCTTATCTAGAATACTGTATGGAATGAACTGAGATGAAATTGTGAAATTGTGATTCGCTCTCTCTCTCTCTCTCTCTCTCTCTCATGTTTAGGTGTTTAGCCTTTCTTATCTTCTGTCTGCTCTCCCATTCTTTTTCTCAATGTTGATGAGAGGAAATCTTGAAGTTTGGTTTCCATTGTGTTTCGCACCTTTGATTCCGTGCCTGTTTATACAAGATATGAAAATAGATATAAAAAAAAAACATAAACAACACAGAGAACATAGCAACACACCATACCACATCACATCACACTTACCTCCTGCAGTAATCCGATTGTCTTTTCTTCTTAGCAGAGAATAAAGAGAAGAGAATAAACCAAGAACAAAAGAAGCTTATACATCCTCTAAAAAGCTCACGCTAATTATTTTATTACTTAAGGTATTCAAAAGAAGAAGGAAAACGGAAAATAAATAGAGGATATTAGATAAAGAACAAAAAACCAAACGAACAAAAGCACATAGAGAAGAGAAAGAAGCGGGAGGTATTTATTCTTTGATCATACACACATAAATAAAACGAGAGGAGGGGGGAGGAGAGAGAAGAGAAGTAGCACCAACTGATGGGTGCATGCTAGGGGGTCTTGAGTGCGGGAGGCCCTCGATCTATGGTCCATATCACACCGTTCCCCAACGCGAGCAGTTGCACAACACAAATGCACGCATCCAGTGTCATACCTATTATATACACGTGGTGACAACACAATGGAGCTGGTGGGGTGGGGGGGGGGGGGGGTGGGGGGGGAAGGGGGGAAGAAACGCATTTTAATCGAGCTCATCATTGGTGTATTATTGCTGTACAGTTCTGTGTGCTGTGCGCTGGCTCCGGTTGCGAGGGGTGTTATGTATGCAAGGTCTTGACTGAGCGGGGTCATCGGAATTGTTGGTTGGTCATTTTGGTTCGGGATTGAAGGAGCTTTTTTGCTGAAGAAAGGGGTGCCTTGATCAATGGAAATGATGGAATTGGGACGGGGATGACAAGAAATATCAAAATTCGAGGTTGGAGTTTAGGCCGAGCGGGATAGACGAAACATGAGCACAGGTGCTGTCACTCATGGTTTGCATGCAGAAGCATTTTAATTTTGATAAAGGATCCTCCACACATCCGCGCGCCTTACTTGGCAACTAGCTTCTCCAGTTTCGCTAGCTGTGCCAATAACCCCTTCTTTTCCGCATTCGCCACAAGCCACCCCTCCATCTTCTCCCGAATATACTTCATTGAATTCAGAACTGGCAGCGTGGGAGTACGATCGTCATTATCAGCAGTAAGACTTCCATTTTCCCCATCAATATCCGATCCTGGCGGTGTGACAATCCCTCTCTCCATCCGCATCCACTTTTCGCCTTGAGGGTTAAGACATAGGTCAAAAACCTCAGCCCAGAGCTCCCGCTCCCAATAACGTTTTAGAGACTCCTTGATACGATATAACTTTTTGGCTCCAAGTCCTCCAGCACCAGGCATACTCATATTTCCGTTCTCCCCACAAGAGGTCCGATTAGCAGTGGCGGGCGTAACCTCCATATACTTGCCAAATAGGAGAATATGAATGGTACCCGCGAGCCCGTACAGATCGACTTGGTATGTCCAAGGCCGGCATTCTCGCATCTCCGAACACTCATGTGCACCGATTTTCCAGTCTGCAATGAACTGGACATTTCTTGGGAAGACTTGCATATCAATCGCGCGGCCAAAGTCAATCAAGGTTATTCCCCTATTTAGCCAGCCACCTGCGCCTGTAGGCGAATAGCCTGTCTGGGAGTTCAAATAAGAGCCGTCTTCTAGGGCGGATGCGCGGGAGGCGAGATGTTTGCCTAACCTGACAAGACAATTGTCCGCTTTCAGGTCGCCATGGAGGATACCGCAGGCATGCAGAGCTTCCACGGTACGAAATAGCTCCACAGCGAAAAACATAACCACAGTCTCATCGAGTCCTTGCTCCATCGATACGGAAGAGCCATTACTAGTAACATTAACAAGGTCAATCAGGGTCCCTTGGTTTTGATAATCTTCCACAAGGTAGCCTTCGTCTTTGAAAATATGCATTTCATGTGCCCTTACAATGCTGTCCGTTGCCCGACTATAAATCGGGGATGAGCCAATGCGTGCATGCGCAATTCGAAGCATGTAGAACTCCCAAGCAGAAGGGGTCTCTGATTCCACCTTAATTGCCTCCAGGCCCCGACGGTCAGCATCCCGTTGAGGTTTAAAGGGGCTCCCACTCGAAGAATGTTGACGTTTATTATTCGCAATTCTGTCACCATTTTCTCGCTCAGAATCGGAGGTGAAAGTGTCTGGTGAGTCAACACTTTCAACCAGGTATACAGGAGCAAAGCCACCTTCCCCCAACTCTTGATTGATAGCGTAACTCCGGTTTGCACCTGGAAAACAGAGAACCGGGGGTGTTATGGCTGAGCGGTCGGTTCCGGCCACCTTAGAGTGTTTCGAGATACTTTTGATGTATTTCCGTATGTCAGAGGCGCGGCATGCTTTTTGGCTACCATGGTCATGGTAGCCCGGATATGTATGAAGGGAGGGATATATGCTTTTGAGAATTTTCTCTCTAATTTTCGGTTCTATTGGATTGCATTGACATTCGTCAATGATCAGCTTCGATTTGCAGGGTGACTTTGTCTTCATTGGTGAGGCCTTCAGCTTCTTCGCAAGACGGCTCGGAGAACTCTCCTCAGGCAAAGACGAAAACAGAGTATCGTTCGATTGGGTGAATTCATGGAATGGGCTACTCAGGAGCAAGTCGTCCATCTCCGGTATCATAGGGGTTGAAGGCACAACCTTTCTCGAGGGAGTTTTCGTATTCGCAAACTGCTTTCCTTTGAATGTCGTTGAACCAAACGACGATTCCGTCATTTCCACAATTGGCGTCATAAATGGTAGTCGGTTCTGGGCCATTATCGCTGCGTCCCTGTAGGGACCTGAAGGCGCATTGAAGTCTTCAGGAGGAACAGGCACAAACTTATTCCTACTTTGAGAGTTTCCAGCTGCTGGGGTGGAAATACCATGTGGAGCAGGGTTAGTTATGGAGGAGTCAGGATGAGTTCCGGCTGTCATGGATTCAGTATTTAGAGTGTGTGGTTGTGTTATATCTTGGGTTTGTTCATTGAATTCTTCATGGTAAACGCTTGGGATGTGTCGGCTGGCGGTGAATTCTGTCCAGTCACTAACACCAACACTCTCAGCTCGTGTCTCATCTTCCTCGAAATTATCGTCATCCCTTGTCTTTCTGAAAGTAGTTGTCTCGTCCTCTCCAATCTCGCTGGGGGTTCCTGATATCCTCCCTGTACATGTGCTCTCCCCAGCACTTGTGTAGTCATCGTCTTCGTAGTCACTACCACAAAGACTCTCTGCCTGTTCTCGAGCAGTTTCCGACTTAAGTGGCTGGTTGAAAATGCTATATATTTCGTCCGTAGCAGCTCGAGTATGGAACGTCATGGTGGGTTCGGATGTATTTTTGCGTTTTATTTTTGGGCCAGTCGGCGATTCCAGGTTGGTTCTTACTGTATTTTTGATCAGTTCAGTCACTTCTTAAAGCCCTAAAGGAATGATAATAGCAAAAGAACTTGCCTATCTTCGTTTCTCCCTTGATTTCTCGAACTTTGAGACGTCTCGATTTCGATCCTTTTCCATCACAGCTGATTTCCGTGCCATGGGTATCATCTGGTTGCGTGGATTGTTCGTGAACTACAAGCTTCTCCTTCAATTTGGTTGATATGTTTTTAACCACCTCATCTTCCCCGTGGGCAAAAGGATCCCTGTATGGAACATTGCCAGATATCTCCATCAAAGGTTCCTTTTCTTCTTTCGACCAATTTTTGTCCATCCATCCCCGACTGTATGCTCGGAGCTCTTCAAGACTCATTTCAACGAGCGGGTTATCAGGGTCAGGATATATAGCCTCAAGGTTGACATATACTCGTTCAACTTTACCAGTTCTGGGATTGACTGTTTCTTTCTCATTGCGAGGGAGAGGTATATTGTTTAATATTATTGCTTGAAGACGTCCAGGTGAGGACGGTGATGTAGATGTCTGAAATACACCAAAAATCATGGAAAAAACGCCATATGGATACATGACAGAAATTAGTCCTATGATCGTGAATATGGGACATCAGATTTGCTTTTGAATAATGGGGACGTCGAAAAAAAATATGCAACTCACCTTATCCTTAAACACCTCCATCTTTTGTACTGTTCCAACCCGTTTCCCTGATTTCAATGTTTCCCCGACCCAAGGTTTCGCCTCCACTGTATTCTCCTTCCTGCGATCATGCAGCGACCCAATACTCTCCCAACCCTTTGCTTCACTACCGGCCAGCGGTTTTCCACCATCTTGCGTGCTATCGGCATCGGAGAAAATCGCCATCTTTGGCTTTCCAGACCTCTTGGATGTCGGACCTCTGGCGGCTGCTGGTGTTGGTGCTTGGGGGTCAACGGGCGACGGCGCAGTGGAAGCGAAGGGGTCGATTTTCGCTGCCAAGGCTGGCCGCACCTTGGGCAAAGCAGGTGAGGATGGTCCGTCTGAGGGCCGTGGCTGATGTTCAAGCCGGGCTCGAAATTCATTGAATTTTCGTAGTAATCGTTCAGTGGGTCGCGCCTCTCGTTCTAGCCCTAGTATATAAATCTCCTCTGCCTGTGTAAACCGCCCAGCACTTTCTAACCAGGAAGCAAATTCTTCGTAAAATAGGGCAAGATTCTCTCCGACACCATGTCGCGCCAAAAACGCAAATGTCTCTCGTGGTGCATCGGAGAAAATTCGAATATAATGTAGCCAGAGTTTCAGATATCGTGGGTCGTTCTTATAATGGGTCGACGACAAAAACGCTTTCGTCGCACGCTCCAGTAGTGGAAGAAGACCAGATTGTGGTGTAGCCTGTGATGATGGATATGCATCCAAAGTCCACTTCACGTAGCGGTCATATATATCCAGCGGGTCGTCAGATTCGGCGATGGATTGAAGTTCGACTTCGTATTCTCGGCGGATTGAATCATTAAAAGATCTGGTTTCATCTAGTCCTAGTGATGAAGCACCACCAGGGCCTCCAGAGAGAACAGCAGCAAGTGCCCTCGCTGACCGTCCACCAGGAAGGGATTGAACATTTTCCTTTTGTGCCTCTATCAAATCAAAGTCAATCAAATCCCCTGGCGCCATTGTGGATTTGGGACAGCGACTATGGGACCATGTAAGACCGAAAGTAACAAGAACAGCGAGTTACCTGCTCATTAATGGGAGAGTTGTAGACCAAAGAGTTCAAATGGCAAAGAGGGTCTGAGGATGTCGAGTCCGAGTATTAATCTTGCTCTTCTCTGTTGTTTTGCTGGTTCTTTTTTGATTCGTCAACAGCAGGAACGACTGTTGCCGTGGCAACAGTCACATGATTATATTAGTCAAGTGTTAGCTAATACAGACCGGTGGCCTGTGCACGTCTAACTAAGTTAGCTAAAATGACATCACCCACCCAAAGCTTTGGTTTAACTTTCCCCGAAAATAACCTATTGCTCGCTGGAAGTCCATAGTTACAATAAACCAACCTTCCACCTCCATCGTTTAGTTCTTTTATGTTAATGAAGTTTGCCTCTGGGCATTCGTTTTCGAGCCAAAGAGTTTTTAGATGGTGTGTCAACGGTAGACCGGGACCCAATTGACCATAAATGTTTTATGCGCTCGCTTCATTTCCAGCATACACGAGAACGCTGCTACTCCTTCCTACCAGTGGCTGACTGGCATTCCATATAACAAACACTCTCTCATTACAAGAAAACCCAAGAAGGGAAATAAAGTTATAGCGATGCAACGTTATATTCCCTTGCCCTAGCTCTATTCTTGCTCGAACACCATCTGCAAGCTAGTACGGCTTGGCCATCACCACCGATGTATCAGCAGCATCCACAATTCCCATATTGTGCAAGCGTGCCACGCGAGTAGGAGCGTGGCCGTCCAGTGCCAATGCCCTGCATCTAGATTCGGGGGTCTGCGAGGTCATACTTGGGTTGCCCAAGATTTGGTCGATTTGGGCAAGCCCGTCTGCTTTCAAAGCTTAATGCCAACACTTTCGAGCGTAGAAGCCTGTCAGTGGTGAATTGACAACGCTGGGGACAATAAGACATATGTATGTAGCTCCAATTGGCTAACATGATCTCGAAATATCCGTTCCACTTTCAGTTCATCAGGGTATAGGAAATACTTTTGCCATCGTTTCCAACCAAAGGCGTCATTTGAACACAAATGTAGCATGCCTTGGTATATTCCCAATGCTCAGGGTACCAACCAGCAAATTCCCAATCCACAAAGCCGGATAATCTACCATTATGTATCAACACGTTTGCTGGGTTAAGATCTGCATGTGCAAAAAATACAAAGTACATCGAGAATGTACTGTTCATCTGCCATCACATCTCTATCAATGGTGTCTGGAATTGGGCCACACATAGCTGCCAGTCGTTTGTGTTCAAATCTGCAACTTTGTCATATGGGTCCTGTGCTGTCATTATCATTGTCAATTTTCTATAGGGTCAGGTGACCTACACTAGCGTAGGTCAGTCACCCGAGGGGTCAGCCGACGTGTAACCTGGGCAGCACAGATATGAAGGTGAGAGATGCTGACTTGAATTAGGCGGGCAGGCAGTAAGCGGAGACTTCCTATACAAATTGCATGGACAGCCAGTCAGATGTAACACCTTGTATCCGCGTATCGGACATACTGTATCGATCTTGTTGTTGAATGATCGCATCTTAACCCATTTCTCTGCATTTCGAACCAGGATGTTGATCCCTCCGTACGGCCCTGCTGCTGCTGCTGATTTGAAATCCAGATGATTTGGTTCTGTATACGGAGTAGTAGATACTAGTATCCTTTTATGTTTACTGGGGTGCTCCCGGATCCCCCGGCCCACCTACGCAGTAAGCAGTATATATATACAGTACATTCAACTTCTCTGTCCAGCAAAGGGCATATCCAGCAATTCTGCAAATATATTTTTGTGCCAATATCTTTCCACCGGCCAAAATGTCAGCGTCAGACTGCTGCCTCAAGGGGTTCGAATGGGACGGTACGCCAACCGGACGGGTTGGGAAACTTGGCAATAACGACGTCTACATTGCTGGTGACAACTCTGATGTCGCCGTGATGCTCATTCATGATCTGTTTGGCTGGACATTTCCCAACCTGCGCATATTAGCCGACCACTACGCACGTGAGGCTAATGTAACTGTCTACCTCCCCGACTTCTTTGGGGGAGCCATATTATCGTTCGAAAACATCATCGCCGGCAGGTTTGACCTACTTGACCTCCCGAACTTCATGAAAGAAAACGGCCGCGAAATGCGTGAACCCGAAATCTTCGAGTGCGCCAGGGCGCTGCGCCTGAGTTATAAGAAGGTTGGTGCCATAGGCTTTTGCTATGGGGGCTGGGCCGTTTTCAGATTGGGAGCGAAGGAACACCAGCCGCGTCTCGTTGATTGCATCTCGATGGGGCATCCAACGTACTTGACAAAGAAAGACATCGACGAGGTGGCAGTTCCCGTGCAGGTTCTGGCCCCCGAAACCGATGGGATGTATTCCCCCGAGCTCAAATTGCACACGTTTGAGACGATCCAGAAACTGGGATTGCCGTTGGACTATCACCACTTTCCCGGTGTGGAGCATGGTTGCCTCGTTCGTGGTGACGCTAGGAATCAAGGAGAACGAGAAGCTATGACGAGAGCGAAGAATGCGGCTGTTGGCTGGTTTAAACAGTGTTTGTTCGATTCGGAGGCATGAGATATTATTGCCCTTTGGGTCCCTTCTCTGGGTGATTAATTGGCGTTCGCCTCCTGGCGTACAATGCCGGATGATTGGGGTTTCTTGAGCCGGATATATCTTGATGTTGGAATTGCTCAATCAGATTTACCACTATGTGCTACTTGCTGCCAGTTGGATACTACGGTACTATAAAATGATGCAATTGAGTACTAGTAACTATTGAAATCTTTTACCGCGCATCCCTAAAATATGATAATTTTAACGGTAAACCCGTTGCAATACAGTAGAAGTTATCTCATGCATCATATATAATCCATCGAAACTTGAATTGATAGATCTTGATGTTCACCCCAGGGGTCAAGATCTTGCCTATTGAGGCTAGCGTTGACACGGTTTCTGGTGCAGCGTCAAGTTCAACTTTAAATATCAAGGACGACGCTTTTCAAAACACCTCCGAGCATATCCCGCCAATTGTTTCAACCACTGATTTAGAGATGCTCGTCGATATTACCTTGTAGTTGCCATCAACAAAATTCAGCCGCCATAACATTAGACACTCAGTAATGGCGACAAGAGCCACCCGCAGCTCTCGATTCGTTCCGAACATTCCCTCGTGTGATCAATCGCCAAAGCCGAAAGTATCAATTAACCATTCGGGCAGTCCCCCAGCGCATACGTCGAAACCTTCTGAACCTGCACCGCCTAATCCTAATATCACCATTAAAACGAACGGCTCAAAGGCTGTGGGAACGTTCAGTGGAGCTGAGGGCGATGCGGGAGTATCAAAAATAGGACATACGAAAAAAGTTATGGTAGAGAAAGGGACGGCTGAAATCTTACAACGCGGTACGAAAAGGAAAGCGACGGTATCGAACTCAGAAGGAGAACGCTCTAGTGAGGAAGAAGTTGAAGCAGAATATAAAGTCAAAGCGGAAAAGCGGCCGAAAAAGAACAAAGTAAAGGAGGAGGCTACGATAGAAATGAACCCACTAGCATCTCGAACTACAAATCTGCGAATGTTTGTTGGAGCTCATATTAGCGCCGCAAAAGGTTTGTATCTCCATTCCCTTCGCTCGCGACAGGAGATATATCCAAAAGCTAATACTCATCATAGGGGTTCAAAATGCTGTTACAAACAGCCTTTACATCGGGTTAGCGTTTCGACTGGAAAATCTCATATCTGTTTTCTCGATTTTGTACCCCAAATCAGATTTTTGTATCTAACAAGAGATAGAGGAAATGCCTTTGCGCTATTTTTAAAATCGCAGAGAAAATGGGACAACCCACCATTACAGAGCGAGCATCGAGACCAATTTCGGCAACTTTGTTTAGATCATAACTACGATGCTTCGAAGTAAGTGACTAGCTGATTTCGATCTCCTAAAGGGAATACACAAACTGATTCCGATCCAGGCACGTTCTTCCTCATGGCTCGTATTTGGTGAATCTGGCTCAAGAAGACCCAACAAAAGCAAAGCAGGCATACGATTCTTTTCTTGATGATCTGAAACGTTGTGAAGAGCTTGGTATCAAGCTCTATAATTTCCAGTACGTTTCACTTCATCATCTGGCTCCCCCTTGATGCTCTGTTAAACACTCCACGCAATGGCGGATCGTTGATTTTTTCAAAACAGCCCGGGCGCAACCAACAAAGCCTCCCTAGAGTCTTCATTATCACGATTGGCGCAAGCTCTCGTTTCCGCTCTCAAAGCTACGACGACAGTTGTTCCAGTCCTCGAAACTATGTGTGGTCATGGTACCACGATAGGAGGGCCATTATCACACTTCAAATCACTCCTTGCTCTTATTCCAGACACTTACCGTTCTCGCATTGGTATATGCGTGGACACTTGCCACAGTTTCGCTGCTGGATACGACCTCCGTAGCCCCAGCAGCTGGAATAGTTTCATGGAAGAATTTGATAAAGAAATAGGCTTGCAGTACCTACGAGCTTTCCACCTGAACGACTCCAAAACCCCATTGGGTAGCCGACGAGATTTACACGCAAATATAGGAACTGGGTTTCTCGGTCTGAGGGCTTTTCATAATTTAATGAATGACAAGAGATTAGAAGGCATTCCGATGATCTTAGAAACACCTATTGACCGACCTGCGAAATCGGAGGCAGAGATGGCTACTGGGAAACCAGACGACGAGAACGGCGTTTGTAAGGGCGATCACTCGAACGAAACGGATTCCAAGAAAAAAAATAACTCTGCCAAAAAAGGCCCAACGAAGAAAGCAAAACCAGGCAAGTCGGTTATGATTGAGGATAAGTCTATATGGGCGAAGGAGATCAAGATTCTCGAATCGCTTATTGGCATGGATACTGAAAGCGACGAATTTCTTAGACTGGAGGCGGAATTGGCGGAGCAGGGGAAGGAAGAAAGAGAGAAACATCAGACAATGTTTGATAAAAAGCAAGAGAAGGAGTCGAAGCAAAGGGATCTACGGGATATGTTTTCCACAAACGGTAAAGTGAAGGGGAAGTCTAAAGCTAGCACCACTAGTGCAGGAAAAAGGAAGAAATCAAAAGAGGACAACACTGATTATTCAGACTGAGAAAATAAATTATGGAGGCGGTTTCCCTTTTTGATATCAAGGTATCTTGTCTTTGTGTCATACATTTTTCTGCCGATCTCTTGTTCCTGATTATTCGGTCTCTACGAGACGGCTGGCTCGTTCAGATTTTCAGATCACTTTCTGATCGGCTCGGACTAGGGCCATTCTCTCTTGTATAAACGGGAAATGAAGCTCCCGTCAACTCGCCCTTAGCGGAAGTCGCGAATCGGATTTCAAGCCAACATGGTACGCTGACGGACAAGGTGCATTCTTTCCTTACATATCGACGTTGTCATTGAAGTGGTCCTATTGAGAGCATACCTAATTACCACAACGAAATGCCGTTGTTGACCTAACCGCGAAATAGCAACATGGAGTTGTGGGAGAAGTATATATCTTTGTCAATGCTAGACTGCAGCACTCTTCGATTCCTGTTATGTCATCTGTTTGGGCCTAGCAATCATGTCCTTCCAATACCCCAGTACTACAAGGGGTCCATTCACAAGGGTGCCTCCGCAGCGCAATTGGATAGCGCGTTCGATTGCTATCGAGAAGTACGAAGTTCGAGCCTCCCAGGGACGGTTGGCTTGGTTGCCGTCATTTACCCCTTTGCTTCTGAGGTGTGACATTTTAGCCGTTCTAGCCTGGCACAAAATAATCGAACTTGCTGGAAGTTGGTAGCTAGCTGTGATGTTTAATCGAAGGCTCAGGTTAAATATTATTTTAGAGTTTAACCGTCATTGAGATAATGGGGGAGTATACATGCAAATCAAGCATTTGCCTTGCGTCAGCATAAAATTATGGGGCAGATTAGGACAAATGTATTATAAATGGAATTGAAATCCCGGGAAAAGCAAAACTAGCAAGAGTACGACACAAATACATTGGCGAGGACTGAAATCAAAAGAGGGTAGATGTTCCCCTCAAAAAGCACAAAGGGAGAAAGAAGGGATCTAGAGATATGACCGCCAGGAAATAACACTCCTCCTTTGACTTCAGAGATATCCGATCGCTCAACTATTCCTTGCTCTGTTTACTTGCCGAAACACACCAATTATTCCAATCCGAGAAGAATGACGGCTGGATATGACACTTCTTGCTTGTAAGTTGCTTCTTGCGTGTCTCGCCATAAATATCGACAATATCCGACAAACTATCCTTTCCATGCGCCACAAGAATCTTCACCAGCAGCAGACTCGCCTGACTACAGGCCGATGCATGAATAGCCGGCCCGCTATGCGTGGCTTCCTGATGAACAGCCTTCAATAGTTCCCAGACTGGCTCCGCAGATTCGATGGCGGGGATGCTAGCTGTTCCTTTGCATTGTTTGGTATATTCCCTGAGCACATTACCGGCGCGAGTAGCGATTTGTTTGGTCCTTGACTTGCGACTGAGTTGTAATAAGGGCATAAGAAGGTTGAGGGCAAGGATGCTGGAATGACATTTCTTCACATAGATTTCGAGCAGGTCGAGCACGCGGTTTTTGAAATTGAGCATGGTCTCTTTGGCGTCTCTTTGCTCTTTCTTTTTGCTATGGACTTGCTTGCGTGCGCGGAAGACCTTTGCGATTTGATCGTCAAGGGCTTCCATTTCGTCGTCATCCATGGAGGCGTCATCGGAGCCAGACGAGGAGGCATCCAGGTCCTTGTCGGCTCGGTGGGTTCCTAATGCTGAAGCGAGTTTCGCTTCGAAGGATTCGAGTTCGCCATCGTCTTCCTCTTCGGAGTTACTGTCTTTTGACTCTTCATCGGATTTGTCGCCGGTTTCCCCAGAAGAGGCTTGGCTGATTACTTCAACATCATCCACCTCGTCATCATCGGTGTTTTCAGCATCAACCATTTCTACATCACTGCCCACTTCTTGGGTTTCAAATATTTCCTCCTGACCTGCCAAAGTGTCCTTAGCTTCAAGGATCTTGGTTGGAAAGAGAGTCAGCATATATCGAGATTTCTAATTAAAAATGATAGTGACATGCATACATCAATCAAAGATTGAAGACCAGTCGCAGTGACTTGATCTGCAAAAGCTCCAAACACTTGCTCGCTCATCCGACGAAAAAGTTGCGATTGCTTCGATGCGAAACTGAGAAGGATTTCCACAAGCGCATCCGACCCCTCTTCTGCCTCGTCACGCTCTGATTTGTGGCCAAGGAATGTAGAATAACAGAATTTTAGCTCGTCAAGCATCGAAACAGCATCAGCATCTCCGTTATACACTTGCAAGATGGTCATCGAGTACAGAAGTATAAGTGCCTGGATACTGGATGCTTCCTTCTTCTCAGCGCGTTTTTCCTGTTAAGAGTTGAAAAGTTAGCCTTAATATACCGAAGGCAAATGCATCAGTTATTTTACCTTATGGGTAAGCTTTTTTAGCGTTTTGAAAGCAGACGTAACAGATTCTTTGATGTCTTCGCCCATTTCAATGACAAATTTGCCCCAGGTCCCTTCCACATCCATTTCATGGATCTTGCGAACCACAGTGTAAGGGACGGCAGCTGGACTCTTCCGGCCACTGATGACGATATGCAAACAGGACATCATCCTATTACGAAATAACTCCTGGGTAGCTTCCGTGATTGGAGGTTTTACTGGAGTTAGCTTGCTGCTTCTGTTACTTTCATTGTGTACAAAATAAGCAAAGCGAGCTAGGAGGAGCAAAACACTCTCGATTGATGACTGTAACTCGTCAGAGGCAGTGGCGTTAATGACAGACGACGCCTGTGTCCTCACGGCCGAGAGCAAATATCCAGCAAGTTGTTGTCGAGTCGATGCTGCAGCTTTAACATCTTCAATGCCGGGAGCCGCAATCATTTTTTCAAATAACGGGATGATCTCCTTCAAAGTGTCCACGCTGAGGGTAGATATCATTTTTTCAATAGTTCTGGTCTTCGTAATGTGATCAAAGTTTACCGCACCATTTGGGCCCATTAGTCCGCTTATAGCATCCACAATAAATTCTGGCTCCCTTGCTATGCGCGCTTGGATGGACCTGAGTGCCTTCGCAGCTATCCGGTGAAGGTACCGATCTTCAACAGCTAGCTGATTCATGAAACACCGCAAGAGGTTTCTCGTGAAGACCAATGCAGCAAGATGTGGCGGGGCCTCGTTCATAGTCTTTATAAAAAGGAGGAAACCCCAATATTTCCGCTCCTCAGAGGATGCAGCTGCAAATAGCCCGTCTAAATGAAATTAGTATACAAATCACAAGTGCGTGCATAATCGCTAAAAACTTACTATCAACAACATCAGTCCAAATATCCGTGAAACTAGCTTGCGTTGCATTTAAATCCTGGGTTCTTGACGATCCATTTTGATTAGATGGCCGTGTATACAGCTTCTGCAGAACAATGTCCCACGTGAAATGTAATTTTGGATTCCAAACACCAGAATTCTGTGCTTTGTCATTCTCCTTGCCATGTTCAGACTGTGATTCGGGCGTCTCTTTCATTATTTTCGCAAGGGCAGCCCTTTCCCGTACATGGAGGGGACTACCATGCTTCCATACGCCTTCAGGGAATTTCATTGTTGAAAACAGGTCTATTGCCGCAATCCATATAGCGACACCTTCCGGGGTTTTAGCGAGGCCATTTTGGCATAGGACATCCAACGCCGACTCGGCATATTTAACGTCAAATCCGTGGGTCTGGATATCTCTCAAGGAACAAAAGATTATCCATCCGCACTCCTCACGCAGCCACGGTTTCTTCTTGGCCAGTGCGAACAAGGTAGTGAGGATCTTTACCCATTCTTCGAATGGCACCCGGGATTGAAATAACACTGAAGATTTTATGAGAGCTTCCGCTCCAAAAAGTCGACCAAAGTGGTGATCCCTTTCCTCCTGTTGTCGTAATGAGCAATAATGAATCATTTTATATACCCGGGAAAATTACAGAACGATCTATGCTTACCTGGCCTGATACGGCACCTCCAGGAGTTGATTGCGCTTCCCAAATCTCAATCGCTCTCGCAACGCCCAAACTCGAAGATGTCGTATCTCTATGTGAGGAGAAAACTTGAGAGAGGGTTTCCGTCAAAGCGATTGAAAACCCGATTCTGGCGGCTTTTCGACCGCTACATAGCCCGCGAAACAGGCGCTGTAATGTCTTTTCGATTTGATCATCCGAAGGTTTCTGATCAGGAGTAAATCGAGACACAAGCTGCTGGGCAGCTTTTAATCTAATTTCTCCATTCTCGTTTGCCAGATCTTCGTAGAGTTCTACGAGTTTGACATCCACATTGACGGGCTCACGGCGCCTTTTTCTGGACGTAGGTGGAAAGGGAGCCATGCCTTTCTTTCCCCTTGCGAAAGTGAAAGTGAGGGATAAGAAAGGAATATTACAGCCTCTTGCTCCCCAAAATTTTTGGAGAATTCCCTTGGTATTGTATATAAAGTTGATATTTTGAGTTTGGTTTGAGTACAATATTTCCATCAAAAAATTATTTTGATTCTGGACATATTTGGTCTAGCGCGGCGAGATATGTAAAAACTTTCTTGAATGGGATTAGTCAAGTCGATACGCTTTGGCACATAGGCAAACTAATGTCTAGCTTCAGTTTCTCATGGCCAGTCTCTGTGGCGCAATTGGTTAGCGCGTTCGACTGTTAATCGAGAGGTTGGAAGTTCGAGCCTTCCCAGGGACGACTACGGAGTATATATTTCTTGCATTCGTTTTTTTACTGCATAGATCATCGCATAACTATGAGCAAGGACAGTACGGTGTCATGGAGGTTCTAGTCCCTCACCGATATACCTTAGATCCATCCAGAGGCGACTTTTGACAAAATCTATGGTGTGTAGTTCCATAACCCATAATCAAATATATTTCAACCCTTCCTACAGAAACGGACAAAAAAAAGGAATACCAAAAAAATTACTCGTCCCTGGGAAGGCTCGAACTTCCAACCTCTCGATTAACAGTCGAACGCGCTAACCAATTGCGCCACAGAGACTTGTTACTGGACAGTTCTAGCCCCCAGAGGTTATTATTAATAAGTTATCTTAAAATGAGCACGTCAAACTCGACCACACCACCAACATGCAATTTAAAATTCTTCACTTCAACGAAAAACCAAACATGAGTTTCAGCGCCAAACCTTATTGGAAGGGGTTCCCTGCAGTGTATAAATCCTCGAGCAAAGCTAGTATTTATCAGCGAAGTTCAGGCACGTTACGGCTTCGTCGCCTCCAATTCGACACCACGAACAAAAGATAGTATGAATGGGCTACATATTGCTCATCCCCGGCCCTCTGTCGCGATTTTGCCACTACCACACAGCCAAATCAATAAACGAGCCTTTAATTGACTTCAAGTTCCCAAGCTTAAACTGCGGGGAATAATAGCATCGCACCATAGACGAACACGATGGCTGGCTGAGTTCGGCCGTACTATTCATCATTGGGTTAAATGGCATCACCGCCCCCCAAGGACTGAATGAATTAACCCACATGACTTCAAGACTACCTGCTCCCGCCATCACCTCAGCCATTTTCTGGCCATTTGGAATTGCTGGACTGGGGATGTGCCATGAAGAAACGTGTTAGCTTAAAAGAGATTATTTGCTTGGCGGAGCGGGGAGTGACGAGGGGTTTCCGGAGCGATTTATTCCTCTGATCGGTGGCGAATATGAGATTGGGCTTTTGGAAAGGCCAAAGAAGATGGGAGATCTCTGATAGTTGCTAGTGGTGGATGAAGACTGGAACTGGACGGGAAAACAATGGAGTGCGGCGGTCCAGTTTGTTTCGCTCTGCCAACTTTTCCCTGTAGGTTGCAGAATCTTTATTGGATTGATCAAAGAACGATATTTCGCCTCCGTCCAGTTCTTTGTAGTATATTGACAGGCCCTTGTAGTTGTCAGCTTCGTTATGAAAGTAGGAGAGCAGATTCCACGCCACCATCTTCCCTCCCAAGATATTCACCCCGCGATCAAGCTCCCTGCTATATAAGCCTCAATCAACCCCACATTTTCCCGGACTTCCAACACGCTCTACATCCATACTCTCGCCGATTTTGAATCTTAGAATCCCCCAAGCCAGTAAATAAATAAATCAACAATGGACTTCGTCAACAAATTAACCAGCGGCCACAGCCAGAGCCACCAGAACGAGCAATCGTCCTCAACCGACCACAAGAAAGAAAGCGGAGGATTCCTCTCCGGCATTAGCGACAAGCTCAACCATGCTGCTGGCGGCGGCAGGGAAAGCGAGAAAAATGAAGATTTGCTTGATAAGGGTACGTTGAGTACATTTTTTGCAACCTTTTTATTAATTATTTTAACTTCACCTTCTTTCCTTAGCAGAGCATTCATATCTTCTCAACTACTTGCCCCTTTCTCTTCTTGCATCACCACACCTCGATCCACGTCGTTTTCTTTTTGTTTGTTTCAAATCATTAGCTAATGTATGGGTGTGATTTGTAACAGGGGTCGACTTCGTCCAGGAACACGTCCTGGGCCAAGGTCCACAGGACAACGAGAGCGCGATAGAGCAGGCTAAGGATGAGAAGATCTCGGACTTTATTCGTGAACAATATAAGAATAAGACTGGTACGTGCGGCATGGCCCGCTTATGCATAATCATATATATATCAATTTCTGACATACATGGGTGTTGCTTCTAGGAAAGGAGTTTCCCATCAAGGATAAGGAGACGCGGTTTGACTGAAAGGAACTTGAAAGGACCTCCTCCCTATATTCACCGGGTCTAGGCAAGATGAGAGAGGGAGGAGCACACGCGGCCTTGGGAAGAGGTAGCTGTGCACATGTCTGGGGATCGCGTTGGAAAGGCCTATTTTCTCTTTTTTTTTGATGTGAAATGAGGACGGGTATGATTTACATTTCCAAGGGATGCAGACCTCCCTATACATCTGGCATTGGAAGGTGATATTATATAAGATATATTTAAAGAGCCTTTTTCCGTGACCTTTCCCATAACTATTCATTTGGGAGAGACTATGTTGTCTTATCGGATACCCCGTTGATGACGAACCTGACTTTTATGACAAACCCCTCGGAGGATACTATTTATTTTCGATTGTTTCTTGGATCCAAGTTTGCAAGGGCAAGCTGATGTCAACAAGTACTGCGTTTTGTACGTCGACACACGACGGATCTCATTTACGGGGTCGCCGCACGGGAGCCGCCTTCTGCTGGAGATATAAGACGTGGACTTCAAGAGCACTGGAGGAGGCATGCATTAACAAGCGTGTGATATTCCTGCTGTGCATCCGGACCAGCATATGGCAGATCCATGGCCGGGATATCAGATAAGAGCATTGTTGCTGAGGTTCTGCTGATGAAGGTACTGCGTACAAAAGGTACTAACAACAAATCAAAGAGTTCCGTGGTGATGGATGTAAAGTGACTCGACCCAGGCCCAAGTTATTAAATACTCTGGCTGTGAAACGAGCCCAAAATCTGGATGTTTCCACAGAATCGAGGTTCCGGAGTTCAACCTTAAGTTTATTTTTATAACCAACACAGCCGTATGTTGCCAGTTCCAGCATGCAGCGTCAACTGTTTATCCGCGCGACTTCTCAGCACCCCAAAGGCCTTGCTTGTACCTTTGTGGGTGCTGGCCACTGCTGTAACCCGTGCCAGCGTTATAACCCTAACTACCAAAAAATTTCAGCCACATTTCCAAGATTTGTCTCTAAATCACCACACAACTTGATATTATATTCAATGACCTCCTCAGAGTATTGCCCGGGGTCCCCTGAATCATCTGCCATTTTTAAAAACATAAAAATGTGATCAATGATGAGTTTATTGTAAAATGGGTTACAGCGGTGGCCAGCTCCCACAGAGGTGACCGGGTCTTGTGGTGGGTGGCACGAGCAGGCGTGGGCTAGTGCCAGCTCCTGCTCCACTCTCCTGACCACCGCCAAGCCCAATTCGACGTTGAAACTCCGCTGCCATTTCGACTAGCGGCCTGCAGACCACCAACATTCCCCGGCGAGCAACCCTTCCCCTGTATCAGCAGTCTCTCTCGCCATTCCACGATTGACGGAGAGGAGTGTTTGATACTGAACCTCTGAACCTCTCGGGCCAGCTCAGTGCACACGCTCCCTCAATGGACTGAAGCTGAGCATAACCTCTCCCCGCCATTCGAAACCGCCCTTCCACCGTTGCATCAAATGGGCGAGGGGCTTCCGGACTCCAAGTTGAGACGCAGGACCTCCTCGATATCGATCTACAGCGGTACAGCACTCTCGCCACCTACTTCTCACGATCTTGGTCCCCTTGGCACTCGCGAAGTCGAATCCCTCACTCCAAACAAGAAGAATAGGAGTAGAGACGGAGAGGAGCAGCGCGTTGAAGGAGAACACAGGCATCCACAAGACGAGGAACAGGAGGAGGAACAGGACCATCTCCTGACGGGGACTGGCCCCAAATCGGATCGATCCCGCAACTCATCTTTTGCTGAGAGTGAGGTGCTGGAAATGGATTTCCTCGCATCAGATGACGATCTCAATGATGACGAAGAAACTGGGTTGACCGCTAAGGAACGTCGACAGAGATGGAAACAACGCAGACGACATCGCCGGGAACTAGATGCTAGAATAGTCGAGGTTAAAATCTCCGAGGATGGCCGCCGGCTGGCGGATAGAGCAGTCGTCAAAAGACTAGGCGTGAATGCTATATTGATTGTATCATGGTATATATTTTCGTTGTCGATATCAATTGTATGGACGACCCCCCAACGCTGATATTTTCCATGTATGCAATTGTTTTTCTCTCTTCTTGAGCTGACTCTATCATGACTTTTGCCTGCAGTACAATAAATGGATGTTCTCATCCAACCACCTTAATTTTCAATTTCCCCTCTTCACCACAGGCCTACATATGGTTGTACAGTTTATCCTATCCTCCACTGTGCTCTACTTTGTCCCTTCGTTACGACCGCATGACGCATCCTTATCTTCCCACTCCGTTGCTGGCCAGCAGCCGAAGCCCCTGATGTCGAAGCAATTCTACTTATCAAGACTGGTTCCTTGTGGCGCTGCCACGTCTCTGGATGTTGGATTGGGGAACATGTCTCTCCGATTCATCACCCTCACATTCCTAACCATGTGCAAGTCGTCCTCCCTTGCATTCGTCCTCCTCTTTGCGTTTCTCTTCCGTCTGGAGACCCCCTCTCTAAAGCTCATCCTCATCATCGGCACCATGACCATAGGGGTTGTAATGATGGTTGCAGGAGAGGCAGCCTTCAACGCCCTCGGCTTCAGCCTCATCATTGCATCTGCATTTTTCTCGGGATTCAGATGGGGCCTGACCCAGATCCTCCTCCTCCGACATCCTGCAACCGCAAACCCTTTCTCCATGCTCTTCTTCCTCACCCCGATAATGTTTGTGTGCCTCACAGCCCTCGCATTTGCCGTCGAAGGACCCCTGGCTATCATCAAGGGTATTTCTAACCTGGCAGCCGATGGAATTTTGCGTGGTGTCGGCATCCTCGTCTTCCCCGGTTGCCTGGCTTTTTGCATGATCGCGTCGGAATTCGCGCTCCTCAAGCGCTCCTCCGTTGTCACCCTAAGCATCTGCGGCATCTTCAAAGAAGTCATCACCATCAGCGCCGCCGGCATCGTCTTCCACGATCCATTGACCCCAATCAACGTTTCTGGCCTCATCATCACTATAGGCGCCATTGCCTCTTACAACTATATTAAAATCACGAAAATGCGCCGCGAAGCCCGTCTCGATATTGTCGAGAGCGTCAATCCCACCGACGTCGACTCAGACGAGGAGGAGTCAATAATACCCTCCGCCAGCAGCAATCCGTTCGTCAGTAATGACACCAATAGCAACACTACTACTTCCACTACTACTAATCATCATCATAAAAATAATATCGGCAACACTAATCTATCAACTCGCCTCGGCCTCTCTCGCAACACATCACCAACCAGCAAGGATGGGAAATATATCCCCGTAGACACCAACATCCCAACAGACGAAACTACCCACCTCGGCCCCAGCGAAGATCGTGGGCGCCACTCCATCCGCGCCAGGGTCGGTGGAACAACAGGTGCATCTTCGTCCCTGGTAGCCGCCGCAGCAGGAGCATCTGGCGCGGGGTCTCCGCCCGCGCTCCGCTCTCCTCTTCGAAGCAATATGCCCCCAGGTGGCAGCGCTGTCGATGACAGTACCCTCAGTGTTAACGGCTCATCGTTGTCCTCGTCGTCGTTGGCATCGGCAGCCCGCGTGCCGTCGCCAGGGAATCTGCAGCGGAGTTTGAGTTGGAAGGGTAGATCGGTTTCTCCGAAGACGCCGTTGCCGGACAAGATGAATCGGGATTGAGGACTTTTCGTCTATATTTTTCAGTTCCTTTGTGTCTCCCCTTCTTCTTCTTTTCTTTTCTTTTCTTCTTCTTTTTTTTTTTTTTAAATAACTCTCCTTTCTGGATAGGCTTGGGTTTGTTCTCGTACCTTGTGGCCGCAGCGTCTGTCTTCTGTTTTTGAGAGGTGGGCTCTGGCCTGGTTCCTGATTTCTTGGTTCCTGTTTCTTATTTTCTTGTTCATTTTCCATTTCTTCCTTACTTACTTGGGGATTTAAGTTAGTTCCCATGGTACGGGACTGGACAATAAAGCGATACATCAGTGAGACCGCGTGCAATTGATTGATTGAATTCCCTCTTCGTCCATTATTTGTCGGGGTAGGGTTTATCTAGAGCATGGGGATTTTGGATTTTGGGTCTTGGTGGGTTGGATGTATGTATCTTGCTTTTACCGGCATGCAACCCCCTTTTATAACTTTTTCTTAAGAAAAGAAAAGGAATAAACGGGGTAGACAGGAGGAGGAGGAGGAGGAGGAGGAGGTGGTGGTGGTGGTGGTGGTGGTGGCGGAAAGCAGATGTTTTGGTTGCTGCTTGTCTTCTTCCTCGTATCTTCTTTCCTCGCCTCACCCCTTTTCCAAACTCTAGACTTCATCGCCCCCTCGCTCCACATGTTCTCCTACTGTTTTTGTTATCTCTCCAGTCTGTAGCTTTTCAATTCCTCTGGTTCTCATTTCCTTTGTCTTATATATATATATGTGTGTGTGTGTGTGTGTGTGTGTATTTATACAATATTTAGCTATCTACATAACCCACTAGATCAAACAAACCCGCTCTGATCAATCGCCATTACCTTCCCTCCCTCCTTGAACCGGAACTTAATTGTATATCAAACAAGGTGTGGTTGGATGTCTCACATTGAAACTTTGACATTGCCGAGGAGTCATTGATCTTCTTTATGACAGTTGCTAGAATATAGTCAATACAAAGCTTTGAGATCTCTCTGCTGATCAAAGTCTTCACTCACCAGCTCAGCTAGACAGAGAGACTTCTGAGCACTCTACTTCAACTAATCCTCTATCAAAACCCACACATATTCCTTCTTCTTTGCATGGAAATCAATGTCCAGTTTTTGTATCACCTGTTGGAGTGTAAATTTTGAAAGGTGGGTATGGTGGTTCAATAGAAGGGCTCGAAATATGTGAAACTGCAGATGCAATGGATTGAAGGAATGGCCATCATCACAGGCACATTGTCGTCTGAAAGATGACCCTCTTCAAGGATTGCCTCCAAGGCTTTTAAAGAAGTCTGGAAAGGTTGACATGGCATCTCTTAGGTTATAATTATCTTGCGAGACTTAGCAGACATATCGCGGTGATCGCCGTGCAGGAGCCCGGTGGTAAAAACGATGGAAAGGTTGTCAGAGACTGAGTTGACTTTGTCCATAAGGCTGTTCGGGAATTGGAGGTGGAGGTTGGGGGGGAAAAATTGTACAAGGCAAGGATGCTTGGATTTGTCTATTTCGCCAGTCTGTTGGGGCGGTTCGTTGTTCTTAGATTTATTTTCTCGTGGTTTCCTTTCTGGCATTTTCCACGCTCGGTCTGGATTTGTGCCTGTGTTAAGTTGATTTTGGCTTAATCGGGGAGCCTTCAGTTGAAGCTTGTGGTACGGTCCGCCTTATATATACCCAACGACGGCTGCCACGGCTTCGGGTCGAGCCACGAAGCGGGGTGTGTGCCGCGAGGGGCTCCACGGCGTTGTCTGCGTGGGCTGGAACCAGAAAATCCTCGCGGAGGATTGCTTTTACTCTAAGATGACCATCAATTGGAAACCCATTACCGTTACCGCTGGAGATATCTGGACAGATGAAGAGGGCGGAGAATAGTATTGAGCGATCAAATACATACTACGTACTCGCACAAGGGTCAAGCGTTCCGATGGCATGCTCTGTTTCGAGCCCCGTATCCAGGGTTATGACTGAAGTAGAGGATGTTAAAGTTTATGGTGTCAAGGTTCCAGGAAAAAGCTTGCTTCCAGGTTTGGATCTCCAACGCATATTGTATTGATTAACGAAGTAAATACTGATTAAAAGATTTAATAGAAATGACAATCTACCGATTATATAGACTATATTATAAAAAGCAAAAGAGTCTAAGTATTTGACTATTCTATTTAGACTTTCTCTGCATCTCTGCACATCCTCAGCATGGATAGACAAGGAATCGAAGCCCCCCCCGGCGCAAAAAAAAAAAAAAGAAGAAGAAAAACAAAACAAAATCCAACTTGTAAGGAGCGTCGAATGCGTGGTCTCAAATTGGAGAACATTTTCGGCGGTAAAAAGCAATTTATCACCATCCTTCCTCATCACAACGCCTTGTAAAAAACCCTAACAGAAAATCTTCGAAGAACCCAAAAAAAAAAAAAGTTAATACATGCAAAACAATTGGGGGAATAAAAAAAATCGTGACATGTTCCTCTAGATAGAGTGACGGATATCTCTCAATGGGTTTACCAACACGCCTCAATCTACTTCTCCCCAAACCCAGCCTTCAGGTTGTCATACTGACTCTCGGGGAAGGACAGAGCATTTTCATGTTTCTCCAACCCCCCACCAACCCCTTCAACGAAGGTGCCAATAAGGCTTCCTTTGGCCTTCTCTGCGGTCCTGGGGTCACGGTCACCACTTGCCTCCCACCACATGCCGCCACCAAGCCCCTTATCAATGATATATTTCGTCTTCTTCTCCACCATCGGCACGGTATCATATGAAATCATCGAGCGAGACGATTTGTCATAGCTCCATGACGCACCACAACCGCCGTTGGTACCTAATTCCAAGTGCTCCTCTGCTCCCTCCTTCGGGAGTACTTTGTAGTCCCAAATACCTGGCTCATAGCTGCCGCTACCACCAGTTCCAGTGAAGGGAGTACCAGGGCCATCAGTGTCAGCGAACTCACGTCCGTATAGTGGCATTCCCAAGATCATTTTGGAGGCTGGCACTTCACCAACTCCAATGTAATAGTCTAAGGCTGCCTCGGTGGAATAGGGGGTGGATTCTGGATCGGATTTGGAAACCTCGAGGTTTGCTTGATGTCCAGCGACTGTGTCCCAACTTCCAGCGTAGTCGTATGCCATTAAATTGTAGAAATCCAGATAAGGGGTCATTTCTTTGAGGCGGAGCTTCTGGAAATTTTTCGGACCTGATCAAGTACCGAACATTAGTCATGTATGGGGAGATTGTATAGCAACTGAGTAGAAATAGTACATACCCGCTGGGCAAGCGACGGTTAGATAGAACTTGCGATTCTTTGATAATGCATCAAGTTTCTAGAAAAAGAAACACATTGTTTAGCATGGTATTAGAATAGCTGATGCCATAGAAAGTATTGAAGTATCATACCTCTCTCGTAACTTTAAGAAGCTCTACGAAGTTTTTCGCTTCCTCGTCATCTAATATTTGTGATTAGTAAACGTTATCCAGTTCTGAGAAATGGAAAGTGGATACTACATACCATTGGGATATTCCCAATCAATGTCAAGTCCTGTCGGCCGCAAGAAGCCAGGTTAGCCCCTGCACATGAGTTCCCTTTGATATATATTCACCTTCGTTTCTGTACATAACGGTGGCACTTACCATCAAATCCCATATCAAGCATCAACTTCGTGGCAGTGTCCGCAAAGTGGGCCCTGTTAGCTGCTGTACTCGCGGCCCCGGGGAAATTGGAAGAATAGGTCCATCCACCAATGGAAAGTAGGACCTTCAGATTTCGATTCTGCTTTTTGAGCAAGAAAAGTTGCTTGACACAGCCATAGACGTTGTTTCCCACGTCCTCCCAGGAATCAGTTGGGTAGTGCTTGTCGGTATCAGCATAGTTATCGGTCAGGTAGCTAAAGGAAAAGGTGATCAAATGTCAGGCAAGATATAACTTTAAGCAATAGAACAAAAAAGAATAAACGAGTAACCATGATAGAGAAAACATACACTTCTCCGGTGTCGCCGTGAACATTGGCAAATGCGTAGAGAACGTGGGTCAGCTTTGCTGCTGGGAGATCTTGGGGTTGGTAATTACGCCCATAGATGGCCTATACCATGCAGTTAGTTAGTTAAAAGCCAAAAAAGTAAAGGAAAATTACAGGGAATCACAAATCACATACCCAATTGACAAAGTATACAACAGATTTAAAACCATCAACATGCGGCATGTTGCCTGTCGGGCTAGGGCTGGGCGGTTCCGTGGCAGACGAGCTGGGGCTTTGATTAGACTCCGGCGGAGAGGAGCAAGCGCCTTCAGTAGCAGCGGCAGGTACAGTAACAGTTTCCGTAACTGTTCTCCAAGCGGTAGTTGTGTCCTTGCCAGGAAGGAAATCCACGCCCTGACGATATCCAGAGCCAAATTCGGGGGGTCCGTGGTTGACTGCACCAACAGTACCGAACAGCAACGCGCCAATGTAGAGGAAAAAGGGCCCCATGATTCTCGAGAAACGACCAAAAAAAAGGAAAAACAAAGGGAAAAACAAAGGAAAAAACAAAGGAAAAATGACACGAAAGACTGTGATGCTCAGGCAGGAGTTGTGTTGTTTGATAGTAAGTAACTTATAGTAAAAGAGACTTCAAGTGGCGGTTTAAAGTGATAATAAGCTTGAAACTGATTTGATCTTTCAGAACACATCTGTTCAAATTGGATATTCTTCTGAATAAATATTAGAGCCAGGTGGATAGGCGCCTCAATTGAGATGAGGAATTTGCTAATTTTGAGTCGTAATAACCTTATAAAAATATATCTGACAATATAGTAAGGATAAATATGTTAAATTAGTATCTAATATCAACAAGCTTACAAGTAAAATGAAGATTATCTGGTGGAATACAGGGGAGCCTTCTTCTAACTAAAGCTAAATATAATATAAGCAAGAGTGTCTAGCACTGTGAGGGATAGGCATGGCAGGCCTGGATCTCCCAGAGGGGTTAACTATATATAGGGTTCGCGCGCTGGTAAAATGGTGGTGGCTTATGATCTTTTTGGTCCAGGGGTTCGGGTTCTGGGCCCGAGCTTCCTACGAACTACAAGGTAGAAAGAGTAGTTTTATAAGCAGCTCAAAAAACAAAATTAAATAATACAAGGGGATTTTGTTAGGTCACTGGGGCAAAAGAGCTCTCTCACACCAGCGCCATGCTGGTAGTAGAGGGGACGAACCAATCCAAACCCCCCCAACAGATTTTCTGCACAATGGGCTAGCAAGTTAAATTGGATGTCAGCAAATAAACGTTGTTTGCCGAGATGAACCATCGTTGAAAAGAAGGGGATAAGCAGCTAAATTTAGACTCGAAAGCTAGCCTAAGCAGCGAACCCGGGTAAGGACCAACGGTTCCCACACTCATTGTGAGATAGCGGCTCCTGTTAGTGTGGCCAAGCCGGCTACCAACCCAGAAGCAGCTTTTAGTCCAGTGTGAAAGTTCTTCAGCTTCCTATCTGATGAACTACCAGGAACACCCGACTTTGCCGAAGTAATTTATTAGCACTTATGCGAAAAGCATTTGACCTCTCGCAATCTCACGCCGAGATATATCACCCAGCCAAGACGAACACACAGATGATCAGCTTGTGGCGCTGCGGATCCGTGGGTTGAAGTCTGGAAGCAGCAGCTCACGGGCCAAGTGGATCCTCTGCGGATGTGGGGTAGGTTGGCACAGTTCCTCATCACAAAGGGATATATATAATATACAGAGAGCATGCGATCCTCCCACCTTTCAGCGCTCAAGAAAAACAGGTGGTGGGTGGGCTTCGACGAAATGGTGGAAAGGAAGAGAACCTCCATGGTGATCTGATATTCGTGGGATAAAGTAAACAGAGAACTAGATCACTCAAAGAAATTTTATGCATGCACCAATTCCCCAAGTGCAGTGCCCATGTAGCATTCGATTCCAGTGTAGATGAAGGATCTGGGACTTGGTTACTTGGTTATGGGGAGTCTCATTTTATAGTTACGAGCGAGTGTTGTGCAAAGTCGCTTTTTAAAGTGTATTTCTGTGTGCTTCCATGCTTGGGCCACGAATTCCACCACATTGGAGGCCAGCACCATTTTGATTCGTGATCGGCCACGCGATCCAATCATTTATGCTAAAAGAGAATACTGAAATCAAGAAGAGAAAAATTCAAAATTCAAAAATAAAATCAAAAGGTTAAAATATAAAAATAAATTATAGACTAATGACTGAATTGATTAACGCGATTCTGTTTATTCTCACAAAACTTAGAGCATGCAAGAACCTAGCGCAAAGATATCGTTCTGGGTCTTTAGGATAATTCTCAGGACAAACAACTTCCGTGCTGGCTGCTACTTCCATGCTGGGGCAACTTCTGTGCTAGGACTACTTCCGTGTCGGACGACGAGCTCTCACCGCCACATGGTGTCCGCTGGGAACTCTCAGAGAAACAGTATGGCTGTCTGTCTCTTGAGTGCCAGAAGTAGCTCAACAACGCGATTATCCACCATCAATGACATGTTGAAGCAGTGGAAAACAATCTTGGGACCTTAGGAAACATCAAACATACAGCCACAGTATGCCTCTTGAATGAAATGTGGACTTGATTCCTTCACTTTCTTATTTTGGCAAGAGTTTACAGAATTGGAGTCAGATACATATAATGAGACATAGACCAGAAGAAATAGATACAACTGAAACAGTAATGGAAACAAGAATCTATCTTCGAGAATACAATACTCCGTCAACAATAATGTTGTGAACCCCATGTCACCCTGGAACCCGACCCGACCCGACCCGTGAAAAAAACATGTCTGCGCTTAGGGGACCCACGCCCAGGCTTATCGAGGCTTAACTAAACTTAGTTAAGTAGTTTAGGCGCGACACCCGTTATATACGCCCATAAGCGCCCCCCAAAACACGGGTCGGGTTTGCTGGTTGAACCCGTTCATTCGGGGAACCCCCAGCAATGAAGATTGACAATTACATGATAGAAAGCAAGAATAGAAGAGATGGATATGATCAACAACAAAACCATCAACAGCTTTAAATATATATCTTTAAGAACACATTATTAAACAGAGCGAAGCAAAGTTTAATTGAAATCTTTGTTACAGTGAGATTTTTCATTCAAAATTAGGGTTTCTTAGATCACGTGCAGTGGAGAACTGATCTTCCAATACTGGGCCGCAATTGGCTACGGTCGATAGCCCCTTATTCTTACCCCTGAATTATCTGCCTACCTGCATACCAACCTACCTACCTACCTACCTGCTCCATATCCGATCGATTGCTGATAGAATAGAGAATGCTAGATATCTGCCTACATACCTGCGTGATATCTGATTAATTGCCAATGGAATATAGAATGCCTCCTAGATAGCTTGCTACCTATCTACATCCCTGTCTATCAATCAACCTTTCTGCTCAACATCCAATCATTCTCTACGAGAATAAATACCACCATCTAGCTACCCATCTATCTATCAATGCTAGCTTACTAGCTGACTATCTAACTACCTGTCTATCTATCTACTGACCTGCTTGAATGAATGATATTCACCAAGGACAGATATCTACGATAATATCTAGCGATGATATCTACTGATGATACTAATATGACTTCTCACTTTTGCTCCGTCCTGCCCGGCTGCACGTTACATGAAGCTCCTGCTATAGAGTGTTGTGTGCCTGAGCTGGCCAACCCTTTGAAGCAATTAATGATGCCTCTTCATCCCCTGGGACTTAGAGGATCGGTTTGCCCACCACCAGAAGGGGGGGGAGGGGGCCGGGGGTTTACTAGGGGCCGGCTGCGCCCTAGTATTTCTTCTCTTTCTTGAAATTCAATCTCATCAAAGTTATGATAGTATATATTGCATCTGGAGGGATGGTATTGATGGACGATGATAGCTTTGTATTAAGTAAATTAGTTAATAATGAAGTATAACTATAGTTTACAGCAAGCTTCAATAACTATATGCAATTTATATAAGAAAGTAATTGAAATTAATCCTCATCTAACGAATTCGTATCTTAAATAGTCTTGTTCTAACTTGTTATCCAACACTCAACTGAGTGAAACTCTTATAACTAGTGCTTGATTTCCTGTCATTAAGTCTTTTTATATAAGATGATGTATGTAAGTTAATATGAAACTTTGAATTCTGGCAATAGAAAGATAATTTTGAATTTTGAATTTTTTCCAAATACATCAATGAACATTTTGCAATTGCTTTTCAGTGTAATTGAAAGATTTAACTAGACATGATGGTGATGATTAATGGATATTAAAGAATGAAGATTAATGACAGTGTGGTTTTTCATATGCTGTGGTAGTGAGTAAGTAGTGCTTGGCACAGTTAGTAGTGAACATCATTTCTTCTCTTTTCCTTCCTGTTTCTAATATGATAAAACGAAGGAATTTGCTGTTTAGAAAGAAAAAAAAAGAAAAAAAAAGAAAAAAAAAGGAAAGTAACGGCCCCGTCTTGATTACTGCCTACCCCTTAAAGGAGAGTGGAACCTTTCAGAATTATTTCTTGCTTTTTGTGTCTCTCTCCTCTCCTCTCCTCTCCTCTCTTAAACCCCTCGCTTCCTCTCTCTCTTTCTCCATGTGTGTGTGTGTGTATGAGTGATCACCCCAACGCCGACGCCCTCGTGCCCGTGGCCCATACTCCATTGCTCCATGTCCATGCCTGTCTCATGCCCATCTCGCCACCAACAAGTTCCGTCATCATACAATACTAGGAATAGACAGAAAGAATAAATAAAATATAACTGCGATATGGTAGGATTGGAAGAGAAAAAAAGAGAGAGACTAAGTAGGTATAGTATAATGGCCCTGAATTCCCCCTTCCCCCCTTTGCTTCATATTAAATAAATAAAAAAAAAAGGAAGAAGAAACGCCGTTGTCTCTCCCGCCTTCCTTTCTCCGCATTTTTATCTCACCGTTTCACTATCGAGACATAATACAGTGTGTTTTTGTCCTAACCGCCTTTCCTCTGGTTGGCGGTAGCAGCAGTAGCAGACGTTCCGGGTGTCGAAGAACGCGCTGCATTATTGCTTGCGTTATTATTATTAGTGATGGGAAGCGCTACGGCGGCCGCTTTTGCATTTCGATCGCGATCCCTGGATGTGGACGGGGAGGAGTTATTCACATTCGCATTCGCATTCGTGTGATGGTTGTTATTGCCGTGGTTACTATTGCGAGCTTGATGGGAAGAGAAATGGCTGGAGTTGGCAATTGCGGCACTGGCGCTGCGGAGTTCGATCTTCTTGCGTTCCATTTCCAGCTAAGGGGGGGAAAAAATAACCAAATATTAGTTTGACCAAGCTAAGGAAAAAAAGGTGATTAATTATGCCACTTACAACTTTCCTAACTCTCGTCAATGCTGGGCTCACCCCTCCGTTATCAGGCGATAGAGAGCGGCAATTATCGATATGGTACGGCTTCGAAATGATTACAGTATCGGCTACGACAATGCTCGTGCCATCCCAGCGCGCTGGCATGGTCCTGCTAAATGCATCAAACAGGTCCTGTGCTTCCTTGCTAACCCCCTTTCCACGCCGCTGTTCGCGCTCGTGGAGTTTGGAAACTGCAGCAGCTTCGCGATTTTTCAGCGCGCGAATGTCGAGAGGGTAGATGGACGGGTACGCATTGGCGAAGGATGGGGTTTGTTCGGTGGGGCTTGATGACGCGGAGTGTGGGGGTAGGGACAACAGTTGGAAATTGTGGATGCGGGATATGGGGATTATGTGATAGTCGCCGGGGTGAGAGAGGGCGGGTGTGCCGGAGGTCATTGGCGTTGGTGGAGGCGGAGATGTATTGATTGCGATAAGATTGGTGATGGGGCAGGCTGCGAAGAGAGTCCCCTCGTGCGTTGTGGAGGTGGGAGAAGTAGTATTGACGCGGATACTATGACGAAACAATTTCATGTTATTAGAAGTGGGAAATATATTTGGTTTGTAGAATCAAACTAGCTCGCAATCAATCAGCAGTGTGATGGCCCGTCCACTTCCTTCATCAACTGAGCTCTAGGCAAGGTTGGCAAGATCGGCGGCATAGGATATATAAGCTTACCGGGCGCCAATGGCTCCACACAAAGCCATTTCCATCGCGACAGCACCTGACGGCCCAACACCCGGCGGGGCCATACCGACGGGGCCTTTCCCTCCAGTGCTCTGTCGCTTGTTCTCCGTTGCCATCATGAACAGCGTTCCTGAAAACGCAACCCTCGACACCAAGGTACGGGTGCAACGTGTAACAACAAGCGCAAAGCGGGGGAAAACAATGTGTTGGGTATGATAGATATTACCGCCTCACGGAGACCATGGAGAGACGAGTGGGTGTCTTATTGAACGACTCCTCTTATTTTCGCTGGGACGCGGTTCGTGTAGATGCTCTGTTGCGGCTGCGCTAATGCAGCCTGCGACGAATCGAAGAGGGAGGGGGAAATGGTATCGCGTTATTTGAGTATAGCTATGGGCCGTCGTGGTCGTGCTTCGTGAAGTACTGGCGGTCAGATCATTGACAGCAAGCCGAAGCAAAATATAACAACTAAAAAAAATTGTCGGGCGGGTTGGATGGTAGCGGCTAGCGGCGAAGGAAATAGCAACCCAGGCTTTGAAACAGAAGGCTGGAGAGGAAATAGACGGGAAATATCGAAAAGAAGAAGACGACCTGATATTCAAGCGAAGGAGGAAAGAAGAAAAAAAAAAAACAAGGACACAAAAAGGGGTAGAAATTAAAAGAGCAGTCAGGATGATAAAAAAAAGAAGGCAAGTAACAAAATCAATCAATCAATTCAGGTAACAGCAGCTCGTCCTTCACCGCCCGGGAGAATACTCGAAAACAGGACGGTCTGAGAGAGCCTCCTGCGCACGACGGCCGGAGAAGGGTGGACGGCCACGAAGCAATTGAATGGGGGGATTGAGACGCTGGGGCGACGGTGGAGATGGGTTTGGAGATGTTTTGAGGACTTCAAGCATGGATGTTGCAGCAGCGGCGGGTGAGTCAGCCGGGGCTTGGCGGATTAGTCAGCAACATGTGGAGGTCCAACGGCACTGCTTCTTGCTGACGGCTTCCAGTCTGTAAAGAAGAAATGTTTTACAGTGGCAGGTAGCTAGCTATTGCGTCTTCGTCTAATATTAACTTAACGAGGAATATTCAATTTGGATTATGTAGGTGGGTTGGCTTAAAATCCATCTCCAGACGCTCCAACCCTGATATGATTATCTTCTTCTACTGTACGAGTACTTATTGGCTTTCCCTTCCTGCCCGCTTTTCCCTTGCTGTCCATTCTGTTGATAGTTTTGTTGATATTGCTGTTTTGTTTGATCTTTGGTTTGCTGTCCCCCATCCTCCCTGTCTTCCGCATTCGACTTCCACATCACCTTGAGGCCAGTTGCCCATAATCTGATTTCGGCGGTATCGTCGACATCCCTTTCCATTCGCGTGAAAATATCCACAATGATAAATTGATGAACTCATACACAATAATAACTTCCGAGGCATCCTGGCTGCTTTTATACTTTGATATTTATGAAATGCACACTTTGATCCCACCTTCTCAGGCCTCCTTCTCGTTCTCGCTTCATCTCCCTACATGGGCTATGCTTGGTACGTAGAAGCAGAGACATTACCACCACGCCCCAGTCCAGTTGACATGATGGTACTGGCCCTCAGGATACTTCTCATTAGCACACTCTGGCTTGATAAGGAACGTATGCGCGCCAAAGTAATCTCGCTGAGCCTGGAGCAGGTTGGCCGGTAGATCGTGCGCGCGGTAGCCATCGTAGAAACTTAGAGCCGTGCTGAAGGCTGGCGTGGGGATTCCCCCATAGTGCACCCTTGCTGACGACATCGCGCCAGCCCGACTGGGCCTTGTGGATGGCCTTGTTGAAGAAGTCGTCGAAGAGAAGGTTTTCCAAGTCTGGGTTGTTACGGTAGGCGTTGGTGATGTCCTTGAGGAAGACGGAGCGGATGATGCAGCCGCCTCGCCACATTAGAGCGATGGAGGGCTTGTTTAGTTTCCAGCCGTATTCTTTTGCGGCCTGGGATTTTGGAATTTGAGTTAGTTGATATACTTGGTGGAGACGGCGTGTTGACATTAATTGACACTTAAATCAAAAAGGAAAGCGGATGGGGAATGATCAAAAACTCACGTTCTGGATCAGCATGAACCCCTGGGCGTAGGAAATGATCTTGGATGCATAGAGGGCCTGTTCCAGGTTATCGATGAACTCCTCCCTGTTGCCGGTGAAGTTTGGGGTGGGTCCCTGGAGAATCTTGCTGGCCCGAACACGCTCTGGTTTCAAAGAGCTGAGGCAGCGGGCGAAAACTGCCTCTCCGATCAAAGTCACAGGCATGCCGAGATCGAGGGCGTTAATGGCGGTCCATTTGCCAGTACCCTTTTGTCCCGCAGAGTCAAGGATCTTTTCGACTAGGGGTACACCATCGTCGGAATTGTAGCGCAGGACATCGCGGGTGATTTCGATCAGGAAGGAGTCCAAGACGCCCTTGTTCCATTTTTCGAAGACGTCGCCCATTTCCTTTCCGGTCATGCCTAGACCACGCTTCATGATATCATATGCCTAGAAGATAACAAGACCCCGATCCCCGTTCAGTGACAAATTCCCTCAGGATGGTATCGCGATGGGAGATCGGACGACAAGACTTTAACCGTCTCTGATTGCTCACCTCTGTGATCAGCTGCATATCACCATATTCGATACCATTATGAACCATCTTCACATAGTGGCCAGCGCCCTCATCACCAACCCAGTCACAGCAGGGCTCGCCATCACTCTTAGCAGCAATGCTCTGGAAGACATCCTTAATGTATGGCCAGGCCTCCTCGTTTCCACCAGGCATCAAGCTGGGTCCGTATCGGGCGCCTTCCTCACCACCAGAGACACCTGATCCCACAAAGCGGATGTTCTTGCTGGCTAAGTATTTCGTGCGGCGGTTCGAGTCCGGGAAGTGGGAGTTCCCGCCATCAATGATGATGTCACCGGCTTCGAGATGGGGTAGGAGGGATTCGATGAAATCGTCAACTGGCTTTCCGGCCATGACTAGGAGCATGATTCTGCGCGGTCTTTTGAGCTTTGCGCAGAACTCCTCGATGGAGTGGGCGCCGACGATCGACTTGCCTGAAAATATGACACAGATTAGAATTGACGCTTTTTCCAATGGGTGAGGGGGCCTGATACGTTTAAGAAGAGGAGAGGTAAAAGTAAAAATCAACAGGAAAAAATGAAGAACCGATATGAAGTTGCAATCTCAAAGGCTGAACGCCTTACCTTTAGCTTCATTTGCTAGGAAACGATCGACCTTAGATACAGTGCGGTTAAACGCTACGACTGTGAAGCCATGATCTGCCGCATTCAAGATGAGGTTCTGGCCCATGACGGCCAGACCAATGAGGCCAAAATCACCACTGGGAGCAGGAGGCACGGGTGAGCCGACATTGATGCCGGCCAGACGAGCGCTGCAAGTCAGCAATCAAATTTTGTTAGGCGAATCCTGGTGTATTTTTTTGGGGAGTGGGGCAAGGTTGAGGAGTGACGAGAGAGTTGACAGTCTTCCTGCTTGAGTTGGGAGCCGGAAAACCGAGGCAGTGAGGGTCGGAGCCAAACTCGTGGTCAGCAGAGTGAAGAGCACTTACACTGCCTGATCTGCCATGGCAAAGGAAGGATATAGAAGATTGATTCGTTTTGGGGATTGATTGGCGGATTGAAAGGCGGGTTCGTACGATTCTGAACAAACGGGCGGACCTCTGGTTAGTTTGCAACGATATCACGGAGTGATTGCGAGGAAATTTTTGCTGACCGGACTGCTTCGGAAGCGATGAGACAGGAATTGGAGGCGCAAAAGGGGGAGGGGAGAAAGTGGGATGCTGGGGATGTCGAGGGATTGAGAGAAGTTGAAGGCGGGAAAGCCGACGAGAGACAAGGGATGTAAGTTAAGTACTAAATAGGATGGATGGATGATGCTAGAAATCAATTGCGCCGTTTGCCAATTTTTACGGACCGACATCTCCCACGATTCAACAGTCCTATATCAGTGTACTGTAACATTAATTGATATCATATACATACAGTACTCCGTACCCGTACGTGAAATTCATCTAAGCATCGTGCATTAACTACTTACTGGTGACCCCACTGTTTTGTGAGACGGCATCGTGATGCCCGGCACGAGTCTGTTTTGGCGGGGTATTTTCCAACTGGACTATTTAGTAGCGGAGGGGCATTTTTATCCAATTTTCCACACAGGTTACATACGGCCTTGACAGCCGCCAGGTGGGATATACTAACTAACCAAGCTGACTGGAACGAGAATTCCACTGACAAAGCATCCTGCATAGCCCATTTTGCGTCTATTTCTTTGCCACACGCCCCGGAGCACTATCTGCCGGATCCTATCATCGATGGGTCGATTGGCCATTTCCTAACCCATACCATGCTAAGATTCCGGTAGACATCTCACACCCGCCACGGGCCCACGACTGGCTTATTATGGCTGTCATTTTCGCGGCCACAGTACGGAGTAGAGGTTGAAATAATCCGTTCAAACCACGACTATCCCTACCATGCATGCTGCCATTCAAGAATTCTCTGTTTATCAAACACCCATGGCTAGTTACCAAGTACCATAGTCTCTAACCTCACCTAATAGTATCCAACACGGCATTCTTGTGCCCAGTATTGGTGGCATTGCTATTGATATCGCAAATGTTCCCGGCCCATTCCTGCTCTCTCTCTCTGTGTGGGCAATGACAACATTTTGCATTCATCCTGATCGGTCCGAATGCTGATTGATCCTGATTGGTGGATTTTGGGGGGTTGGCCAAGTCTGTAAAATATACACAATACCACTAGTATTTAACGATGCTAATGCCAACCCACCATCGGCACGTGATATAAACAAGGTTGGAAAATTCCCAGCCTTCAACCTTCGCCTGCACAGTTTGATATAAGACAGCAGTCTCTGTCAGGAATAGCAAGACTCCATCTTCTGCCAGGGAGAGTGAAAAAAGGGCAGTGTGCGTCGATACTTATCTCTATCGGGAAGAATAACGTGGAATCAAGCAACTTAACGTGCTCGCGCTCCAAGATCTCCCACCACGTTTCCACACTCCATCCGGACAGCTATCGCCATCATCCACTGCTCGCCCACCCATCACTCCCCAGTGCGAGTTTTTGAAGCGCCACTTGCGCTGCTCTAGATCGCAACGTACATACGGAGCCTCTTTTTCGTTCCTTGGACGTGCGCAAGGTACGTGTGTCTTTTGTTACTGCACAACTTCGGCCAAAGAAACAGGCTTTCCTGTGCAATCAACATAAAACCCATTTCGACGAGTCTCCGTTCATCATGTCCCTTCCGCCACCTCCAGGTCTCCAACAGCAACCGTCTCAACCCCTGTCCTCGAAACCACCTCCGTCCACGTCTCTCCCCGCACGACCGCCCCCTACTGCTTCTTACCAGCCAACCGGTGCGCCGGGGGTAGCCAATACTGCTTCGACTACTTCTGCTCCTAGACCCGGCGCCGGATACAATTCGCTCACAGCTTTTCAACCCCGTACCGTAACTACCGGCCAATCTTTCCGCACTCACAGCCCTAATGTCTCTGCGTCTCCAGCTGGCTACCAGCACCATCACCAACCCCATGTCCAGCAATACTCGCGACCGCCCTATGGGCAACCCAACATAACCTACTACGGACAGCAACAGCAGCACTATCAAAATCAACACCAACCTTCACAGCAACACCAAGCGGTAGGCGCTTACGGTCAGCCGGGTGTCCCCCTCATTCAAAATCCCTTCCCTTATCCATCCCAGCCACCAAACAATGCTTACAGCGGAGCTGGAAGAGGGTATCACCGCCAAACCGCGGGCTCAGGCCTCGACCCGGACACCGAAGCGCAAATAGCTCAATGGCAGAGCGCGTACATGGGTAAGGAGAGCATCGAAGCCGCACAAGCCGCAGCAAATACCGCCAGCGGCAAAGGCGCATCGGGCGCCACTGGCGCCAACGCGGGGCCACTGGGAACCGTCCAACGCACACACGACGCTGCAGCGTCAGCGGCGCCATCCAGCGGTCCGCAGACGACTTCATCCACGCCTATACCGCCAGGTGCAACCGCAGCGATAGGCACAGCTGCAGGCGCAACCGCAGGTGCAGCCGAACCGGCCAAAACTGTCGTCCGCTCCGGCGGCGGCCAGAGCTGGACAGACTCCACGCTTCTCGAATGGGACCCCGCACACTTCCGCCTCTTCGCGGGCAACCTCGCCGGCGAAGTGACGGACGACTCTCTCCTGAAGGCGTTCTCGAAGTACCCCTCCGTGCAGAAGGCGCGGGTGATTCGCGATAAGCGCACGGAGAAGAGTAAAGGGTATGGTTTTGTGAGTTTTAGCGATGGGGAGGATTATTTCCGGGCTGCGAGGGAGATGCAAGGGAAGTATATTGGATCGCATCCCGTTTTGCTGAGGAGAGCTATGACAGAGATCCGACCCGTGGCGGCGTCGAAGGTTGGGGGGGTGGGGGGCAAGGGGGGTGGGAAGAAACGTGGAGGGGGGAGTGCTGGAGGTGGAAAGGGTGTTGGCAGTGCTGGAGGCGGCGGCGGCGGAGGCGGTGGTGGTTCGAAAGTCATCGATGGTGGGATACAGAAAAAGCAAGGGAGGACGAAGGGTGGCTTGAGGGTTCTTGGATAATACGCCCGTACTTACTTGTTTTCTGTGTTTCTTCCTTGTGCTGTGTTTTGTCGTTGATATTTTGGCGAGTCAATTCAAGTTTTGGATGGTTTATGTATTCATCTATTCCCCTTTCCCTCGCTCGTGGTTTCCTTTTATTCGTGGGTATAAGCTCTCTAGAATACTCGATACAAAGCGCATGGAATTTTGTGTGCTGTTTAACTAATAAATTGTCTTCGAGACCTTTCCCCCCCCCTTCCCTCATGTTACCCGTAAACGTTTCGGAGATAAGCAGTTTTACAAACTTGGCGGGTGGATGAATGAACCGTCCATACCAAGCCCAGAGAAGGGCGGGAGCCTACCAGCATTCTCGCGGGAAATCTCAAAAATTCAGCGGAAAACCACACACACACACACACACACACAGGAAAATTGAATCAAGGCTCATTTGGGTTTGAGTGGTTATATTTATTTATTTACCTATTTATTTATTGGGAGTACATTTGAGAGGAAAGGGAAAATTCCGACTTATAATATATCAATAACGGTGCAGTTTGATCTCTCTCCCACTCATACATTTCCAATTTCGAACCTTTTTAGTGAAATTCTCCGGGCCTTCCCTTCCTTCCTTTTTATTTTTATTTTTTTTTAGAAGGTTAAATAAATAAGCATCAAAAGCAATCTGTTTCTTCCACTCTCCGTTTGGGTTGGCTTCCTGGTAAGCTGGGGCATGAACAAAACAACTAAAACATGACAATGTCTGTTACGTGGCTGTTGATCTCGGGCTGTCTTTGTTAATAAAATAAGCTGAGGACAAAGGAGAGTTGACCAGTCCCCAAGGGGGAAAAAAAAAAAAAAAAAAAAAAAAACCTTCGTGGGTGTCGGGAAAAGCATTCTAAGAAAGGCATTCTAGGTAACCAAGTAGATAGAACTCTTGTGATCTGTGGCATTAGCTGTAGATAATTCATCATCAAAATGGAAAACGCATATGGGGCGCAGACGCATGAAATAAACCATGGAAACGATACATAGAAGTTTGAAATAATAGATACTTAGCGGAATGGAAACTGGATATTGCAGTGGGCGGTGTTCAAATGTCCAAACAAATGGGCGGTCGGCTGCTTCACCGAACTCTGAAGGGGCCGAAATTCTGGTCAGATATCTGCCAAATTCGACGTTGCTGCCGTCATTTTGATACCTGTAGCTGTGACAGATCAGGATAATTTGATCATGCGCGCCGAGAGGTGGTGTCAGCTTTGCCCTGCGAATCGCTATACCATGCGCAATCGATCGCGTCGAGGAATGTTGTTTGGTAGCAATGGACCAACCGTAACCTGCTACAGATCAGTGGCGGCCGATTGTAAAATTGTTCTGCCGATATATTAGCCACACGTGTAGAAACCCTAGACCCGGTGAAAGTTTGTATTTACTTTGTTTATGCTTATCCAAGAGTTCGAATGTGAGTATGCGTCGTTTTGCAGGCGGCGCTTCTGGAGGGATGTCTTCTTTTTTTGACCTTGCTCGTTTTGAGCCGGCTCGTACTTCTTCACTATCAAACTACCATAGCACTTTAGTTCATGCATTCTGCGGATATACAATTCTCCAATAGGGGGCGTGTCGGGAAGAATCTTTATACGCACCTGGTCCTCTGAAGATGCCGCTTTATCAATTGCTTTATCAATTACGGCAGTTGCGGAGAGCCAACCTTGACCAAACGTAGCAGGAGGAGTAGCCAATACAGAACTACAATAATAAGGGCGTTTACAATCATTCATGCACCCAGATTCCCACTCACCCTCTTTACCATGTGCAAGCCTCACTTTTTTTTGCCAAGCTTTGAACTTTTCCCAGCCGGTAGAATCGAAGATAGATTTACAGATTCGATAGTCTTTCTGCTTCATATCGTCGCGCAATCTATTTCTCTTCGAATTAGGTGTTTGGCAAAAGTAGTGGCCGTCGTCGAGGCAGCGAGTGGTCGCTTCAAATTTGTACTTTTTGAGACATTTGTGGCATTTCCACATCCAAGGGTCTGGTGTTGGCGGCGTTGCAGGTAGATGATCTCCGTCGGTGTCTTCTGGAAACTTCGGAGTAAGGCAAGGTGTTGTAGTAGGGCTTTGTTGTGGAGATGTACTAATGCTTGTGTCAGAGGAAGGGGTGTCAATTATCGGTTGAATATCATCGATGTCGACCGGAGAGTCCTGGGAGTTTGAATCCATGATTACCACAGTGGAAAGGCAGGCAAATACCTTCACTGAGAAAATATGTTCTCAGTGTTTGCTGAGGAAACCCCAGTGCTTTATATAATAAAGACTTCTATAGAAAAGAGAGTTTCTGGCACATGCCGATGTTAGGCAGGGTGTTGCCGAGAGGGAGTGTTTTACAAAGTTCAAAATGCCAAAACTGCGTTTTATGGAAAAACCAAATCCTCTACTTCAAGCGGAAGAAAAGCGCCTTAGTAGCCTATTGAAAATAGGGCTCTCAGCGGACTGATCACAAGCTGCTTTCATAGAATGAAAGTAGTCAATGAAACTGCTAAATATAAGAATCAAAAATAAAAGCGAGGAAAGTAAAGAGCTTGTGGGGAATCTGGAATGTAAATGGTTCACCAACATTGCGTACCATCCCGATGGTAGAAACCGGGCTTGACGAGGAGAACGTGGAAGCTCATTGTTCAAAGCCTAGACAGAAAAATCATAAAACAAAAAAGACGAACACAGTGGCCAAGACAACGGGAGCTAAAATAGATCCCAGGGTCTCTCCTGTTTCCATTCCCAGGGTGAACGGAGGCAGCCGCTTTGCATAGTATGTGCTACAAACGCTGGAAGGGGCAAATCTTCCGCTGTGTTTGCAATTAGCTTTTATGCAAAAACGGTTAAAAGTCGGTTCCTGTTAGGGAATATCCGGACGCGGGGATATCCCACGATCTGTTGGAACGTTTGAATATGGATTCCCATGTCGAGGAGCCTCATGTCCTTGACAAAAGCGGTAGAGATATTTTGATATCAACGCTTTGAGAGAACGAGAAACGAAAAAGAGAGCGTTTGACTTTTTGATAGACCTTATCACACGTGACTTGGCCCCCGCCTAGAAAAGTATGAGAGCTGCAAAGCGATGAATGACTCAGGGCCTGTTTTTTCTGTACCGCATGACGAATATCTTTATCGCAGTTTATTTGGATCCTACGAGACAAGAATTTGAGTGGCGTTCATATTTGATCTGCTATTTTCATTCACATTTGCACGTCTTGTCAAAATGACTACCCCGCCTCCTGGCGCGGCGGAGGTCGTAGTTCCAGTGCACGATGGAGAGCGGAAGGTGGCCACGGAACAACAGATTGACCCTTGGAATGTTGAAGCTGGACATGACGCCCAAGGGAATGCCATTGCCATTGACTATGTTGCACTTTCGCAGTAGGTTTTGGACTCCTCTACTTCGGTCGGGTGATTTGGGCCTCACACATGTCGGACAGGAAATGGGCGACCAAATTAATCGACGATGAGCTCCTCCAACGTTTCGAGCGTCTTACAGGCCACAAACCCCACCGTTGGCTGAGGCGCGGCCTTTTCTTTTCGCATCGCGATTTCGACAATATCCTCAACAAGTACGAGCGGGGGGAGCCCTTCTTCATGTACACGGGAAGAGGACCTTCAACCGATGCGCTACATCTGGGCCACACAATCCCTTTCTCGTTCACAAAGTGGCTACAGGATGTATTTGATGTCCCATTGGGTATGTTGAAAGAGATGGTCGACGTTATTCGACGCTGGGGTTTTGTTGTTTTCGGCTAGGCTGACTCTGTGTAGTTATTATGCTTACAGGTGAGCCGCGCGATTAGTTCAAAATATCTAAAGTCTATGTTGACAATCGAAGACGACGAAAAGGCCCTTTTTAAGGACAATCTCACATTCGAAGATACCTATAAGTTCGGGTTGCAGAATGCGAAGGATATCATCGCTTGTGGGTTTGACCTGAAGAAGACTTTCATATTTAGCGATCTGGATTATGTAAAGGGTCACTTTTTGATGAATGTTTGGGAATTCTCGAAACTCGTAACGTTTAACCAGGTTCGAGGAGCGTTTGGGTTTAATGAGAGGTTAGTACTGTTAAGCACTGTTCTCAGGTCATGCAGGAGCGCTGAGAGAACAGGAGAGAGCCCTAATCAGAGCGAGGAGTTTTTTTCGTCAGGTGGTGGTGACATGAATAAACTAGTGGCTCTCGCTCCTGATATTCTTCTGCTCTTGTCTCCTGTCTTTGTACTTCTCTACTTGCTCGATCGATCTGATGGTTTCTAACATTGTACAGCACAAATATCGGCCGGATAATGTTCCCAGCTGTGCAATGGTATGGTATTCGCTCCTAAAAGTCGTGTATTCCGCTGACCGTGAGGTAGTGCCGCTGCATTTGCAACGTCCTACCCAGAGATCTGGGCTGATTACCCACCCGCCCTGAGGACTAAAGATATAGGCAAAATTCCTTGTTTAATTCCTATGGCTATTGATCAAGATCCGTATTTCCGACTCGTTCGTGACAATGCTTCGCGTATGCGATTCCCAGGGCCAAAGCCGGCCCTAATACATTCCAAATTCCTTACAGCTCTGCAAGGTATCGGAGGGAAAATGAGTGCAAGTGACCCGAAGTAAGAATACGGACCTCCCCTAAAAACGACACAGATTTAGTAGCTTACGCCCTTGCTCATAGTTCTGCAATTTTCATGACGGATACTCCAAATCAAATTAAGGTTCGATTAGCCTTTACCCTATCACACCTGATCATCACTGCTTACTCGTTCACCTTGCAGAAAAAAATTATGAAGCATGCATTTAGTGGAGGGAGAGACAGTATAGAAGAGCACAGACGGCTAGGCGGTAATCCTGATGTTGATGTTTCGTTCCAATGTAAGTGACCATTCCTTAAAAGTTATTGTTTTACTGAATCATAACATCTGACCACACCACATGAATAGACCTCACGTACTTTGAAGAGGACGACGAGAAGATCAAGCAGATCGAAGAAGGCTACCGGAAGGGGGAAATCCTCACCGGGGAGCTGAAGATGATGGCGATCACTTTACTTCAAGAATATGTGGCAGAATTCCAGGCTCGGAGAAAGCTTGTTTCGGACGAGCTCTTGAAACAGTACATGACTCCCCGGAAGCTGGAATGGAGAGGAAATCCCAACCCTAAGCCCAAGGAGGTCAAGCCGAAGGAATCGAAACCGAAGGAACCTAAGGTAAAGGAGACGAAACAACGTCAGGATGAAAATTGAGAGCAAACTAGCGTCAGATATAGATATCGATGTTCAGCAGATTAGATATAGATTCTAGGTTTGGAAACAGATACTAGGGTTTGTACCCGATAACTGCGCCTCTTCATGGCTAGGAATACCGAAGTAGATTATGGATAGAAGGGAATACGTTGAACATAAGGATATTTTTTTCATCTTTCGACTACGTCCTATAACTAATGATTTTGCTTGTCCATCCCAAGGCGCTGCGATGTTTACAGGCTAGGACTCAACAGGGTAATGACATAACGCTGCCAATTACGGAGTATTCAAGAAACAGCAGAGATGGGATATCCCCTTGTCAGAAATGGCGTGCCATACTCGTATGAAGCACTCCAGCTTTCAAGACCGTCTCACTTACTCATATGCCCGTGTTTCGCCCCGGTAGGGCTTTTGGCACCATTATGAGAGAGTACGAATTAATATAAATTTGGAGGCATTCTATTTTCCTGCAAACCACGGACATCGCCAAACATGGTCAATGCATGTACTAGTTAAACTCCCTTCTCAAGGGATGGTCCCTTTTCCGATAGAAATCACAGTTATGCACTGGGGGCAAGGTCATTGAATTCCACAAGCTGCCTATTCACCAGCCTTGGGAATAATCCAAGAGTATTTCTACAAGAACTGGAGTGCCGCTTTTGAAAAATGCAGAGAATCAGCTGTGTGTGCTCTGAAATGATTATTCACAACATGATTGATATTGTCCAGGTGAGTGCTAGGAACCCTATGAAGAGTTGCATCAGATCACAATCTGATCATGTTTGTCTTCACTGTTTGTCTTGGATGTGGTGAAGTACGACTGCCGGTCTCGCTATCTGCCTTCTGTATCTTACACTGTATTCATGAAACGACAAAACACACTAGTGACAGTTACTTGTGGCTGGGAAATTTCTCGCCGGGCCATCTTCAATGTTATTCGACCAGCCACTTCTATTTCCTATGTGCAGTGGCGTGGGGGATACTAGTTCGGTGCTTGCACACGCTAGAAATGTATTTGGAAATCTCAATACCGCGCCTCGGGCAAATCCAGTCCTCGCTGTCGAACTTATTGGGCCTTGGTGCCTGACTTGACAGCCAAAGCTGATGATTCTTGTATCATGCTTACCATATAAATTTCTAGCTTGCACAAGGGACGACTTTCCACGCCTCCGTACGGATTACTTCTATATGATTGTTGATCTGGCAGCAGTCAATGAATTAAAGGCAGGGCTGGGGAATGAGGCAGGTTGATGATATATTATGCTGGAGGGTATATTTTTTTTTTCTTTCCCTTCTCTTATTTTTGCTTTCTTATCTCCTTTTCGCTTTTCCCCTTGCATAGTGTTTTGGCAGGCGGCTCCTTGCCTTCTCTCTTCAAGTACTATAAACTTCTCCTTTTAACTCGATACATGACTATTCTCTGCATTTATTTCTTCCATTTTTACTCATAGATTACGAACAGTTTGCCCTGAAGTAAGTCAAGCTTTTAGTCATTTTGCTCTTTGTTTTTCCTCTGCCGTCACTTGAATCCGATCGGTTTGCTGCTCAAGGTGTACACGATGAACTGCGCCAAACGTGTATTACATGTCCAAATGATGGCACAACCACAACCTGAAGATGGAAGAGAAGTATGTTAGCTGACATGTCCTCTCCACAGAAAGGGATTTGCATCTGTATAAAAACGGGAGACGATAACATATATCTATATCTCAATTCCAAATTTGGCAACTTTCAGAAATCCTTCCAAGAACCTCAGGGCTGTAATCCAGTATCAAGCATCTTTTGGATCTCGAAAGCCAACCACCAAGTTGCCTGCTCCATAGACATCGAAAGAGGAACGGAGGGCTCCCCGACCCGCACAGCCCACCAGACTCGCTCTCTGCATTATCACGCCACACGTCGATACGAAGAAGCAAAAGACAAAACAACGAAAAAAAAAATGGTTAAGCGAAACATTACCATCGCTATTATCCTCATCCTTTTCTTCCTAATTGTCGGAGTAATCTGCTTCGTGATCTACGCCATTAAAAACAGCCTCGCCTTTTTCGGCCGTCAGAGAGCAGTCGATGAAGAGGATGGAGAGTGACTAATCGGTTCGTTCGACCTATAGCACCGGTATATATAACCCGATGCACCAATCTAAAAATTCGATGAAAGTGGTTGGAGGCAGCGGGGCAAAAAATAAAAGATATCATGGGAATTTATGTCGCCATACAGGAGACTTTTTCCACGTCGCGAGATTTCTTCTCTTAAGTTGAATTTCAAATCTTTTTGCTATTTCCTACCATGGTCTGAACGGAACGACTGCAGAAAAAAAGCCTTCTCCAAATGGACCACCTTTCATCGACTCCAGGACCACAGTTCCGAATAACGCCCTTACGTCGCCGTATATATAAACAGTGCAAATCCGGGCTCACGACGTTTGATATATGCACATGATATACCCCCTGCTTATATTATATACCCATCTTCGTTTACGCTAGTTATTGCTATTTCCCCCGAAACGTGGGAATTCGTATTTATTATCGCTATTTTTACGGCTTACAGTGATGACGGTTTTGGGTTTGGGTTTGGCTTTATGATTTTCTCACGAGCAGCATGCATGAATCGTAAAAAGACGACGACCTTATGAAAATAGGATTAGAGCTATGGGGGCGGTTTATTGGTTATATTGGGCGTCTTAATTGGGGTTTTCGGGTTTGTTGTTTTATTATTCATCTCTTTTACAATGATTTTGGAATACATATATATATGTACTGTACGTATTCTATAAATATTTTTGTTGTCTCATTGAATGTATTTACGAACACGATCCATGTTACGGTGCATGAGTAATATAATATATATAATATTGATAACTACCTGTCCATTGTTTCCTCGAAGTTCCTTGATGTCCACGCTGCGGCGGAAACCCGCTAGCTGTTACCGATGAAGACCAGGGCAAACCGAGGTTAATACAAGTCGTCGAAGGTATGTCTTGAACATCATACCAGAAACACTGAGTTGGATACATCACACTGACAAATTATGGAGATTCATTCCTTACTCATGTCGAAGAATGCAAATGCAGTTTCAATCTCCACATCAAAATTTGTACAGTACATGTAGTAGTGCAAAGAACATGGATGAAAAACAATAAGAGTAGAATATAAATATCATACATAACTGGAGCCTTGTTGATTGATTGGGAAGATGTGAGCATGATGAAATAATATGCAGCTTCTAGAGAGCTCAGCCTCTGGGGTCTCTGCTTGGCCTACTCCTCGCGCTGCAAGCCATGCCCACCTTCATGTCCATGAACAGATGGGAAAGAATAACTCTTGCATCCAGGATTCACTCGAATGGTTTGAAGATGTTATACATATGATGAAAGGGGAAGGCTTTGAAAAAAAAAACAATAAGCAAACCATGCAAAGATACAAGTAAAATATGTGAAACAAGATATAAAATGAAGCCACAAATGAATGCAACTGCATGTAACTCAGTGTGGGTAATAGAAAAATGAAATACATATATATCAAAAATTAAATGACCATGTAACAATCAATAAATGCTCGCTTGCATTCCTCCTTTGTTTTGCTTGATTCAAGTCCTCTTTGAGCAAATCCATGATGGTGAAATAATCAAACACAAGAGAAGAAAACTGTAGTGAAATATGGAATGCACCACTGGTGTGTTTTTCTTAAAAATAAAAAAAGGACAAAAAAAGAAAGAAATTAAAAAAAAAAAATTTAAAAAAAAAGCAATATCTAGAATGCTGGAAAAATCATAATGGAGCGAAAAACTTCTATCATGATAGCCAGTAAATATATGCTTTAAAAATAGAATGCTACATTGAAGGAAGTGGTTTTCGGGGTAGCTTAGCTATGCTGCTACTACCGATTTTGCTGTGGACGGGCCACCATGAACAACTCCAGCCCATTACTATGGCCGTTGCGAGTATTCGTTGCATCATTATTCAAATTATTGTTGCCCGGTGTCTCGTTAGAATGGTTTGTATTGTTGCTGTGATGATTAATACGTAATTGTTTCTGTTCTTCTGGGCTACCACCTATTCGGGATATTGGTTTCGTAGTAGCGGCGTCGATGGACTCAATTTTGCTACTTTGACGAAGAGAAGGATGATAGGGTTTCTCCTTGATCGGTCCAATGGGGCTGTATTTCGACTTTAGGGCTGGAGATGTAGTGTCTGTTTCTGTTGAAGGGGTTGTTGGATATGTAGAGGAGGGCGGGTGGGTCTGTTGAGAGATAAATTCCGTCGAGAATGGTTGTGGTAGTGGTGGGATCATGGTGCAGTTACCAGTGTCTGCCCTTTCATCTATTTGTTGTGTGGGGTGCTGCGAGCTATTGTTGTGACTTGTGCGTAGTCGTTTGGGCGGTCGGAATGGCTCGTCAGTCCTGTTTGGGTCGCGCGTTTGATAGGGAATATGCTGTGTGCTGGTTGGAGCAAAGCGTTGGCTGGTGGAAGCTTCGCAAGCGGTTGGTATATTTCGTTGCGGGGAGAGAGCTCTTGTACCATAGTGGTGTTTGGAGTAGTGGCTGGTTTCGCCGTTTGATCCTCTGTTATGGTGACCGATGTTGTTGTTGGCGCTACTGCTGCGAGGAGAGTTACTCAAATCCGGAAATACGTTTGAGGCTGCCCCTGAGCCAGCCCTGCCCATGCTCTTATCATGCATAACTACCCGTTTCCACTTCGCGACTAAATTGTCATAGTCCCATCGTGAAGAATCAATGCTATTCACTTTGCTCTTCTCGGCTAACTCTCTTGACACCGACCGTGGAATGGGTAACATCTCTGGAGGAAAAATGGCGAATTCTCGGGGCCACTGGCAGTTTTCCAGCCTGTCAATCTGCGCCTGTAGGCGATTCACCTCCTGTTGCGTCCGGGCCAGCTGGTTTCCGATTTCCTTGCGCCTCTCCTTTTCTCGCGCATATGCACGGGTAATCTCCATTCGCCAAATATCATTTCGAGCACCCAGCGGCAAAGATATCCAATGATTGAACGAAAGCTCGAGGTGTCTGATGGCCATTTCTTCATGTTGTTGGGCGGATCTCTCGATCATTTCAGTGTCCCAATTTCGTGGGCTTCCTTCGTTCGAGCATCCGGCTCCCTGGCGTGAAATAACCCCTGCCAACTGATTAGATTTCCACTGCTGTATCTGGACCAGCATCGTCTGTTTTATGATGTCCTGCTTATCCATGCCTGGAGGCTCGAGTGGAAAGGACGTTGGAGTTGAAAATGGGTGGGTCGAAAAGAGGCTGGGAGGAGGGGGCAGTACATGGAGACAAAGGGCCGGAAACGTCTGACGTTGAAGATCGAAGTCAAAGGGATTCATTCGTGATTCGGTCCTCGTGCTTTAATAATATGTAACCAATTGTACATGTAGTGTAAGCTACATATAGCTACATATACGCCAGAGCGAAGGATGAATGTAGTAGCAGAGAGCAAGGCGCAAGGGTTGAAGGACTAAAAAAAGAACTCACACTGCGGCTCTCACATTGTCCAATACTTCCCTCAGCGCCAGCTCCAAAGCTCTCGTCGTCTCCGGGCCAATTTTGTTTGACGATCGTGCCGAATAGTCAGTACCCACAGTAGACACTCGCGGTTGTGAGACCTGCGAGGTATTCGGGATATCATTGATGACTCCCGTGGTGTGCCAGGTGGGTTGATTGAGCAGCACCTGGAATCCAGTTTTGCCCGGCTTGCCATTCAGTCGCAGGCTACTCTCGCACTTGAGTTCAGTGCCAGAAACCTTGGGAGATGTCGACGGAGAGGAAGTATCGGGAATCTCCCGCTTCGCAGTTGAGTTACGCGCCGTTCGCCGGGTGATGCTGCCGCGCAGACGCCGGATCTCCTCGACATCATGCACGCCGTCTGGCTTCTTTTTGAACAGGTACTGGTCAAGATGGCGGCCGAGGGAGGAAGAGGTGAAGGGTTGATGACAGTACTGGCACTGCTTGTCCTTGAGGGCGGGGAGTTTTGAGCCTGCTTGGCTGTTACCTTCCTCGCCGACGCGGGACCCCTCGGGAGTATCTGTCGGAGCGGAAACGGGCTCATTCATAGCCGGTTGTGCGATGCTTCCGCACTGCGACGCACAAAGGGCAAGTCTCAGGGGTCAATCAATGGGGTGCTCCTTTTGTTGGCTGGGATGAATAGAGGCGCATATTGTAATAGAATGGGAGACAAAGAAAGCATTTCAAGGTTATCGACAAACACGAGGCACTATCATGTCACGTGCATCGCATCCTCTTCTTGTTGGATTGGATTGGGTGATTCGTCCCCCTCTACGACCATCATAGGGGCGCTGGTGGTGGTGGATTGATTCAGTAGATGTTTAAGTTGCAGTAGATACAGTATGAAATGAAGATATCTAGACTGTCATAGTGTTGAATGATGATAAACTGAACACTCTTGTGAGCGAGCTCATGTGGGATATTCTAGTTATCCGCAATCATAGCTGGTCTTCCTGTTAGAATTTGAACAGATCAATAGACTCGGATTTACTATTCTTTTAACAAGTCCATGCATGGGACCAGAACTATATACATGTTTAAAAAGTTCCGTTATTGGAAATTGTATGGAGGAGTTCTGAGGATGGATTGAGCTGTTGCGCTAGTCCACAATAGGAAGCTCAAGAACAAGTGCCGGATCAAGTGAATGAGCCGACCTCCTTCCTCTTTCTTAATACAGGCCTATGCCCTTTCTATTTTAGAGTCTAATTTGTTTATTTATTTTCTTCTATAAAAAGGGGGGAATCCGCTCTTCTGTTTCTTCTTCTTCTTTTTCTTTTCAAAAAAGACAACCGTTGATTCAACTAGATTAGCAAAAAAAAGAATAAGAATATCAACTAACTAGTTAACTACTTTTCTTTGCCTAGCCAATCCTTACGCAGCCAACTAACTAATTATATGCTCGTTTCTCTATCAACCGGCCTCCAACACTTTCTCCTCCTTGCATCCCCGCGTCTCGTTCAGCCTGTCCAAACTTGCTCGTGTACGTTGCAAGAACCATGGACCTGTTCTCCGACGACAACGAGGTCGAGAGGGCTGAGCGCAAGGATATCCTCAGTCAGCTCGATACCATTGTGCAAGGTGCACAATTCTCACAATCACTCTGGGCATGCCTCCAAGTGGCCGATCTTAGCCAGCTACGGACGATCTTGACCGAGGTTAGAGAAGCGTATTATCCACTAGCAACTCTAACGGGCTTTGGTGCTTTGATAGACGAAAGCCAATTAATTCCTCACTGTAAGTCCACACTATTGATATCTACCAGTCCTTTGCATAATAGTTCTAACAACAATAATCATTAGGGAAACAACTCGTGCGTGACGCCAGCAGAACCAGTTCAACAGCCGCAACTCCCTCCAAACCCGGTACTCCAGTCCAATTAGTGTCTGGGCCCCAAGGTGTGTCCGGGTCTCCTTCTACTCAAACGTCAGGCGATCGCAAGAGACGCCGGATTTTGTTCCAAACGAGAGATAAACGACAACGTGATCTTGTTAGTTCATCCCTTCCGCAGGTCACATGTGAAAACAGTCCGGTGTACTGACCGAGAACAGTGCCTACAACGAGACCAGAGAAAATGCGTCATCACGGGATCTGGCGAGCCTGTTGAGGTTGCTCATATTTTCCCTTTTGCTATGCGGGACTTACAAACCCCAGAACAAAGATCAGAATCTTCCAACTTCTGGAATATCTTAAAGATCTTCTGGACTGAGGAAAAGGTTGAACGATGGTTCAATGCAATTCGAGCTACTACTGAAACTCTAAGGAATCTCTTTTGTCTTTCTCCAAATGCGCATGCCTATCAGGGAAAGATTTACTTTGCTCTCAAACATATCATCAGCAACGAGAACAATAGTAGCCGTACTGTTAAGTTTATATGGCTACCTCACTTTGAAAATTATCGTTCACTTCGATTGTCCACAGAGCCTTCCGTGACACCTGTTACAACTTTTAGGCGGGATGGTGTTGGTGGACGTGTAGGTCTATTGGATTTGTCGACTGGATCAGCTATTTCCAGTGGCCATACAATTGTCTGGGAAACTGAAGATCCTGTCAACCTTCCACTCCCGGATGTTGATCTTCTGGAACTCCACTGGGTTTTACAGCGTGTTGCCGCCATGGCTGGTGCCGCGGAGCCCCAAGATGAAACGTATGAAACGGATGATGAAGATGGCTGCGGTGCCCTAGTCGATGACAATTCGGACGTATCCGATTTCCTCATTCCTCAAAAATACACCATATCTGCACCAACGTTTACGAATAAACAGGCAATGCTGTCGGATCCTAGTCCAATTGACGTCCATAATATCTCTGATAAGCGTCAGGTCCTCCTCAGCTCGTCAGACAAGTAAGAATGTGAAAATAAAGGGGATTCCTGAAGAGGCCTTCTCGTTATTGAATGGTTTCTGGTTTGTGAGACTTGCTGCAGACTGAATGCACTTCTTGTCATGTGGTCGGTTTCCTAATGTGTTGATTCGGCTTCGTATCGGTCATAACAATATGGTTTTACTGTCATTTTACTGTGGTTTTACGGGCCATTGCACCCAAACACGTCACTCCTTTGTGTCTTTGTTTTTAATGAGTGCACTTATCTGCTGATTTTTCAGTGGAGAATTACCACGTTGAATTATCTTACTCATGTATAATATAGGTGTAGAATTCGGGGTAAATTCCTTGCTTTATTAAGCCAAAGGAATCCTCCGACCATTGCACAAAAGATCAGAGCTGCTAATAGTTATCCATTCTATTCTCAATTGTGGTAATAAAAATCTGCTGTGATCTTCACAACACCAATCTGAAGCCCAACTTCATTCTTATTTTAATAGCGTGGGTAAAAAGTTGGTAGGTGTGGTGCTTGTTAAACCATGTACTCCGCAGTTATCGATATGACATTTCCTCAACAAAGAGTGGGAGCCGAGGAGCCTAGGGGAGGGGGAAGAAGAAGAAGGGAGGAGCAAATTAAAAAAAAAAAAAAAAGATAGCAATTGAGTTGTTCGATTGTTAGGATGTACTAGGTCAACTAAAATCTATGAGCACGTATATGCATCCCACTTTCCTGGTCGCATTTGTCAAATTTCTGAATCTACACTGTTCTGACTGCATGTCCCACGTATTCCGCGAGTGCAATCAATCTCTCTTCCTGGAATCGCCTCCCAACAAGTTGAAGACCCACGTAAGCGCCATCATAAATCTCCGCGTCATCTGTGTGTGCAGCGCATATAATTTAAACTCTGAGCGGGCGAAGCCGAAGACATTTTTATGGGGGACAAAATATAATAATGATGATTTAAAAAAACAAAACTTACATTTATCATGAATCACCTTATCCATATCATTCAATGGACCATAGCCAGCGTCGACGGTATCCACCGTTTTATCAGCGATAGTTACCGGGATAACGATCGAGCCGTAATCCAGCAAATTCACAAAGACGGTATAGCCAGCATAATAAGCTTTACCCCTTTGTGCTGCGGGGAATGGAGCAACAGGGCAGAAAAAGCCATCGACAGGCCGGCCCGTTCCCGTCAACTCCGAGGTACTATTCCAGTATTCCAAGTACTCCTTTTGATATTCCCTCTTGGCGACGTTGATCGCGGCGATTTGCTGGGCGTTCAATTGTGGGCCTGGGGATTCCTTTAAAAAGATATCGAGTTCGGGCATGGGGGGTTCACCTGATAGGTTAAATTGAGAATGTGCATCGGCACCGCCGTCGAGAGTATAAATTGTGAGCTGCCGTTGTATTAAAGAAAGACAGAGTTAAGTCAAGTCCGAAAACACGGTGTCATGCGATCGTTTAGACATACCGCTAATTCCAGGGCTCTTTGGTGAGACGGTGGCTTCCACTCGATAACCTGATAAGATAAGTTAGTTACATAGCGGTGATTGGACCAAACAAGGATTGGTCAAAATGATGGCTAGCTTGCTTGCCTTATGTCCAAGTTTCAGTAGGGTAGCAGTCATCATTCGCAAAGCTCTAGAAACAGGGGGTACCGGCTGAATGTAGTCATCCGAACTCATGATGCCGAACGAAAGTAGGTTTTTCCCCGCAGCAGAACTCTTAATGAGATCTAATACTTCCTGCTCTGCATCATCCCGCCATGGCAACTCAATCGCCAATGGATCATGAAGCCACGGCTTCTGACTGAGCACAGACTTAAACAAGAGCTTCAACCCACCAATGGTAGTGGCGAGAGGACCGACAACAGAGGCGATTGAGTTTTGGCCATCCATCGAATTAGCCACGCCTTCGTAGGGAATTCTGCCAGCTGACGGCCTGATACCATAAAGACCGTTAAAGGCAGCTGGGACCCGCACGCTCCCGCCAATATCAGTGCCAAACCCGCCCGCAGATCCCCTCAGTATGATGAGGGCGCCTTCTCCCCCAGAGCTCCCCCCAGAAGATAGAAGGCGATTCTTCGGGTTCCAAGTGTAGTCAATGATATTGTTGGCCGTCTGAGGACACATTAGAGTTGCAGGGACGCTAGTCTTGCAGTGAAGCACAGCACCCGCAGAACGGAGTTCCTTGACCAGCTCGCTTTCAAAGACCAGTCGTCGAGGATCGCCTTTCTGGCCCTGGAAAGTGCCCACCCAACCAACATAGCCCATGGTGGTTTCCACCCCCTTCACATGGAACTGATCTTTTAAACTGATCGGGATGCCATGAAGCAGCCCAAGTGGCTTCCTATGGACTGCGAAGTACGCGTCAAGTCTCTTTGCTTCCTCGAGGGCCGCATCAAAGAAGATCTCATGGAGGCAATTGACCTGAGGCGTGGTTTGTTAGTAAAACCGTGGAGTTCTAGTTGACATTTGAGTGATACACACAAATTGATGCGCAAGAGCTGCTCGGTGGCAAAACGCTTCTGTCACCTCCACAGCGGTCCATTGCCCATTGGTGGTGCGCTGTGCCAGACTGACAAGATCCAATTCCGTGATTTCAATTTCTCGAGGAGAAAGGAACTTCCGAATGTATCTGGTCACATCCCGCAACTCACTGGCCGAGGGGATTGGAGTTGGGATCCGCCATTTCTCGGGAATGAGATTGAGAACGGAATCTCGTTTTGCTTTGGCAGTAACTTCCCACGGTGTTCCTGTAGCCATTTGGTGACTAGCCGAGTCTAGGGAGCAGGCAGTGGCAATTAGAAGTCAAACAAATATTCGTATTGTAGTTTTCCCGGCGTATGTGAAAACTACTAGTATCGAGGGGAAGGGGCGTTGGCCAGATTTTGTATACACACGGCTTCTTTCTGTCAGTCAACAGAGCCAGATGAGTTTGAACACAACCAGTCAATAAAAGTTCGTCACGAACGAGCAGGGCGGGGGAGAGAGGTAACACATCATTATTGTCAATAGACTATTTTCCTCTCACCAGTGCAGCCAAACAGAGGACAAGTAGCCGTCTTCCTGCTGTGTGACAGCGGTATCAGCCTGGATCATCCACGAATCTCCTAAATCCAGGCCGAGCCACCCTCCACCAGCGCAGACACGGGCATCCGTACTTGAATCTAACACCAAAGGGAGTGCGTTGTCGACTTCGAATGCGGGCTGGAGGGGACCTTCTGCACTTTTCTTCCCCAGCAATCATCCTACAGTTGGAAAGATGTAGTGGAGCCCACTTTCTCACCAATAATAGTACTGATTCAATTCACCCTTGACGAAGTGTTCCTGAACCTGGGAAGGGAACGTCCGAAGGTCACAGAGAATTGCAGTCAGCTCGCTCGTGGCTCAGCTTCAATCACAGTCCATCCGTCCTCTTTACGAGTTCTTAAAGGTTTCTGTTCAGTCAAATTTTCTTGAGATTTTTATTGCTAGGTTCAAGTTCTTTCCCAGCATCATCATATTTCGTGAATAGACATCACTGTGTGGGAGCAAGCGCTTCATACTAGTAATGTTCCATTCTCTGCTCATTGTAATTGATTCAATTGAGTTCCACCCTTCGAGAGGACAGTAGATATTCCTATGACATGGATGATCGGTATAATGTTGCATCGAGCGCAGATTTCAGCTTGTTTCAAAAATTATATAATGTCATAGTTTGATCGCAGATAAAGATTGCATACATGCTCCATCTAGCTTAAGGTTAGATATCATGCAAAGTTCCCCTTTTAGCTGGCTATTCATTGAAGAAGACCCCAAATATGCCAGCACCTCTACGTTACATTGCGCATATCTAAAAAACCTGAGGATATAAGTTGGCTGCAAAGAGGTTACTCAACGTTCACTTTGAGTGACAAGGCGGAATGAAGAACAGTACAAACCTTCCGCACCGCTTGCTTCATCAGGGATGCCGGGCAAAAAGTGGAAGTGGAAATTCGAGGCTATCTCAAGTATAGGCCAGCTTTGACAGATGAGAGTAGACTATATGCACTAAATGCATTCTTTTCTCCAGTGCAGTTTGTAAAGGCGGTCACATTTCAACTCATTGTTAATTTCAAACTGTCCTTTGACCGGGTCGTTTTGGCTGAAGGATTCCACTGTGGAATGTCGGTTCGACACAATCCACAAAGGGTCAAAGAAAATTGTGCAATGCAAAAGGCAAAGTGCTTCCGCATGGCCCCTGGCCAGGTAATACCAGATAATCGTTCCGCAGCTCTTCAGACTTCCTAGAAACATATCTTCGGTTCGTTGAAGTAGAATTTTGTGGGCCATATCCTTGATCAACTTCAAGGTTGGGCACCCCAGGTTCTCCTTAATGCTCCGATCCAAGTTACACAACGGGCTTGGGGAAAAAGTTCATCTGAACACACTCTATGATTAGCTGGACCTGGAAACGTTTTACTACTGGCTTTCGGCAGTCAACTACGCCACGAAGACGATGACGGGTAGTCGACTTGGATGGTTATGAGCTCCATGAAATTTGCACCTCATTCCATCACCGACAATACAGATCTATGTCGGTCAACCTGATAACGCACACTGAAATTTTAAGAAAGGTACCTGTGGAGGGAAATATGTCACATGAGTTGAACGTATCGGAGAAAACTTGGCCTAGAATCTGTTGGGGGGATTGGATTGGGTGATTCGTACCCTCTATACCACCACGGCGCTGGTGGTGATTGAGCTCTTTTGCCCTAGTGGCCTAATAGAATCCTACCTGGGTCTGCATTGTTAGCGCCTGAAATCTTCCATGGTGAATCTCCAGGCACGCCGCGTTCCAGAACCGCTCCCGGTGGTGTTGTCAGACAACTTTCTCATCATTTCCTGCTCATGCAAGCGCTGCGCATAAATCTGAGACATAGTATTAAAAAATGACATAGTGATACGCGTTTGTGATTCATTAGGGACCATTGCCCAATTCATTTCCAGATCAGGGAATTTCCATGGGAAATAAGCCTTTGAATGAGAACCTTTTGTGTAGAACGCAATCCCATTGTCACGTAGCGCCTTTAGGAACACCCAACAACTAATACAGGAGAGCTTTGAAACTCCAATGTATTGGACGGAACGGACAGTGAGATTTTCGCCGAGAAATTTCAAGGCTAAGACACACTCGCAGTGCACTGGGGCACGAACAATGTCCATTCCACTCAACTTGAGAGAAAGTGAATGCCCCGGGAGATTCGCCTCTTTGCCGTTCTCCTCGTTCTCCTCGTCCTGCAGCGAACGGTCGGTGGCGGAATTCGCTAAAACTTGCTTCGATATTTCCATCCACTGGTTCGAAGGAGGTAGCTTGATATTCCGAGGCTGATTGCGCAAAGATTTCACTTCCAGCTCCTGTCCAAAGAGAAAACGATGATATAACCTCGGCGAATAGGCGCACTTTATGAGGGTCTCAATCGCGTTTGGAATGGAAGATATCTTTCTCAGGAATCTTTCGAGAGGAAATGCTGCCAAATGTAGATTAGCACTGTAAATCTCAATGAGGGGAGACCAGTAGCATACGAGGTGCTGAAGCGACATTCGCAAGCTTAACCTTCCAATTGCTAGTTTCCAACACCTCGCGTACGATGTCACTAATTCGATCCATTCCCTCCAAAAAAATATCCCGTTTATTTTCGGGTATTTCCCAATGGAATTGTTGGAGGATCTTTGTCAACCAGGAAAGAATGGGGTTGATGTCTTTAAGACCGCGAACAATAGGACAACACCTGTCCGGTATTTCCGTCACATAACTGTGGAACGCAGCTCCACGCGTAGTCAGACCACATTTCTTGTTTAAGCGTTGTCGGAACTTTGGCATTGAAAATTTGTAGAGATCCGCTTTGAAGGAATCCACCATCAATCGAAGGCTTTCCGGGAATTTTGTTTCGTCCATATCAGAGGAATCCGCTCGTTCACCTTCCATGTCCTTAAGAGCAGTTTGATGACAAGTATTCTTCCGCAGCTTATAAAATTCTAGCCCCAGCTGCTTGAGATGTTTCATGATTCTGCGACAGTGGGCAACTGTCGTCCGAGTTACTGACTCATTGGAAGCGAGAGTAAGAGTGTAGCATAAATTACTACCGGACCCTGTCTGCAGACCGACAGCAATCACTTCTTTCGTTGGGCGCGATACCAGGAGACTTGCGAGGGCATCTAAAACCTTCGAGAGCCGATCTTGAATGGGGTCAAGGTCCGTTTCGCAGGTTCGCGGCACAGAGGTGTCGACGCTGACCTCAGTGAGGAGTGCAACTACTCGTTCGCAATCGGTGTTAGAAATGCTCGCGGACATCATCTCGTATAGAATGATATGCCTGACAGAGAAAGCAAGTTCTTTGCTAGCTGTGAACGGCCAACGCTAGATCCTCAGACATACTGGGTTGAAGTCGCGTAGATCGCTAAGAAGTTCTAGGCCATCCGATTTCACCATATTTCGAAATCGGCTCGCCGATATGGGTTTCGATGGGTAGCCATGAGGGGAGGATAAATTTATCACTTCAAAAGTTGATGCTTTTGTTCAGCTGTGATAAGATAGCACTATGGCCACTAGGTTATCCATAGCAAAAAGCCAACGTAACCATTTGTTAAATGGTTGTGCTCATAGTGATATATATCCCTGTGGGTGTGGTGGTGTGAATATGGGCCGGAAAAACTTTCGGCGCGGTTTAACATCCGCGGTTTTGGTTTTGCCAAGGTTTTAAGCCTCAACTCCAAGCACACATTACAAATGCACACTTCACCATCCCAACACAGCGTTAGTTGCGCAACACTATTGCAGTCTAGTGTTGAAGATAAGTTCTCCACTACATAAGTAAAAGTGGAGATTTTTGATCATGAAATGATAGAAAGAAGAATAATAGATCTTCAGAAGTGAACTGAGCTTCTATCTCTCTTATCTATCTCGAAAATCATTATCATCTCTGTCAACTTTCAGACCTGTGGGAAATATCACAGCTACAGACAGCAGTTGCACAGCTGCTGAATGAAGAGGGCTGTATACTGCCAGCAAGCTTCGAGCAGGCGCACTGTGATGCCATCTGTTCCCGGGGTGCTCTGCACCCCAATTGGCTCAGATACTCTCTATTCTTACCTCTGAATTATCTGCCATCTGTCTACCTACCTACTGACCTGTGCGATATCCGATAAATTGTCCATGAAATATAGAATGCCCGCTAGATAGCTAGCTATCCATCTACATCTCTATCTATCAATCAATCTTCTGCTCAACATTCAATCATTCTCTATAAGAATAAACATCCCCATCTAGCTACCCATCTATCTGTCAATACTAGCTTACTAGCTGACTGACTATGTGCCTATCTATCTACTGACCTGATTGAATGATATCCAGCGATGATATCCAGCGATGATATCTATCTAGCAACGACACCTGCTAATGATATCTACCAATGATATTAATATGACTTCGCACTTCTGCTCCGTTCTGCCCAGCTGCATGTTCCATGAAGCTCCTCCTATAGAATGTTGTGCCTGAGCTTTTCAACCCTTTGGAGCAATTAATGGTGCCTTTCATCCCCTGGGACTCAAGAGGTTCGTTTGCCCACCCCCTGAGGGGGGTGCTAAGGGCAGCCTGCCCCTGGTATTGACGAGTCTGAATGTGATAAATGTATAGGTTTTTGAATGACAGACTGGTCTCCTCTCAGTGTGATATCAGTTCAAGTATCCCAATTTCACCGGAGCCAACAGTATCAAATATTGCCAGCATATGCTCAGGATGGTGTTGTCTTTTCCCACATCTCTCAAGGCTTGACAGATGCTTCAATCTTTGAGGATTTCATTGAACAACTTTTGCAGCATTGTGGAAAATGGCCTAACGTGCACAAGAGTACCGATCGGGTCCGCCATTCTGTTGGGAATAAATAGAGCCTAGTGTGCCACATCCCCAATGCCAAATGCAACAAGATGAAGAGTTTGTGGAGCATGTTCAACATGTACTATTTCATATTTCTTTTTGCAATGAGCACAAGTTCATTCCCAGTTTTTCTTTTGGGAGGGCAGCGGGGGCAAGGGCGCTGGCCCATATTCATGATTATAAAATGTATAAATATCTTAGCTGTGCTTGCTTCTTCTCTACTTATGTGATGGCAGACTTCCGCATTCGGACAAAGGCCTATACCCAAGGGCTCATCTAGGCAAGACTGCTCTCACAATCCTCCGCACACATCGCAGCAACAATTTCAATCAGCAAGACTGGCGGCAAAGCATCAGTCTCTCAAAGCACTTTGCATTCTCTGACACTCAGGTAGACCCCATCGCTGCATCCACTCACACCTCACCACATCGTCTATGCTAGCCCTTTCACTCGGCTTAAGGACTAACATAGATCGCATCATGTCATGAAATGATTTTTTCTCTTCAGCGTCAAAGGCCTCGAGCTTCTTGCTCTTCCGTGAGATATTTATCTCCGCAAACCGCTGGGTCCAGCTCCGGCTAGTGTTGCCGTAATACTGCCGCAGGCTCTCCTTGACGTTTTTATGACCATTTTCATCAAACCAGTTGCCGCGGGTCTCCCACTTGCTCCACCATTGATCTGGGAGTTTACCAAATGTCTCAACATGCTCGACAGTAATGTCATCCTGCGAGCCGGGGAAAGCTTCAAATGGTGGACTAGATCCAAAAAGGTCCCAGATCACACACCCAAGCGTCCAGATATCTGATGGGAAAGAAAGCGGTTCATCCGCAAATCGAGATTCCGGTGGCGATAAGGGGACTGGTGCATGTGCAGTGAATCGCTGTGTTCTTTGAGGATCAAAAGCTTCTCCAAAGTCTGTAAGTAGAATGGAAGAATCGGCCAACTTGATCTCATCACTTCCAAGCCCCAGCAACGCAGGGAAAACGACCTTCAAAGGAACCCCATTATCAAGGGGTAAGCCGTCCGCACGAACAACAGGCTCCTCGTCAGGCCTTCCAACATTCATGTACAGCTGTTCACGGGTCATGCTCCGAATATTTGGCGGTAGATGAAGGAGAATATTCCCAGCGTGAAGATCTGTGCCATCTAGTTTAGACTCCATAAGCTAGTTCAGGTATGTCATAGCACCAAAACATACCGCCGTGGACAACCCCCTGAGCATGTACAAATTGCAGTGCCAATATCAATTGGGATGCAATGGCTCTGGCGGCTTCAAGCTGGAGAAGGCGGTGATAAGCCATGTCCTTTGCAACATGAATGCTGACCCTTGCAGCATCCGTAACCAAGCACCGATGCGTCCCATTCGGCCCAGAGAAGGTAAACGAATCGAGCAATGTCTGGATTATGGCTTTTCCGGGCAACACTGATCGAGACTTGGCCAGTCGTAAAAGAATTTGTTCCTCGTGAGTGCGCTCAACTGATTCTGCAGTGGAAATTTTGAGGGCGACAAGTTTTTTCATTACTTTGTCTTCAGCCAGCCAGGTAGTGGCAGATCGTCCAAATCCAAGTTTATGGGCAATGACATAGCGGCCTTCCTGGAACTCGTCACCTATCTTTACTGGATGGTACCCGCCACGGACATAGTAGTCCAGGCGCTCGACACCTTCCTCGACATACGCATACTTGACTTTGCTTGGTTCCATAATGGTGGGCATATTTTTGGTTGGGGTGAAAAATCGAATCTGTCGGCAGCGGCACTGAAACGCATTTGCAACGCGCGCGCAACTGGCCATAGTCATCGGCAAGCGATGATGGGTAGAGGGTCCAAACAGAGTGGAAACTCGAAGAGGGTGAAACGGAAACAATGCAAATGAGTGCCAGGAATGGAAGGTGTTTTCACGCCAATGTTTTAGCAAGGCATGTCGGTTAGTAGGTGTTAAACTGGCCAATCAGAAGCCTTATATTTGGTAGAGCGGGGCAAGCGGAGTTAACTCACCAGCTCTGCAGCACGTCGGGGTCCGTGCATCCTGCCGACAGTTTGAGATGACACCTCGCAATATTCTTCCTTTTTGATCCTGAATACATCAATCCCATTGGCACAAACACACCCATGGTTGATTGTCAATTTGGCGGCATTCGCGGGGATAACGCGCATCTTCTACACCCACAAGGGTTTTATCACTTTTCATGGCGAGGCCCCCGACTGCAGGATGGAGGATGAGAGCCAATCAATACCCGGGCAGCAGCAGGGAAATGGAAGTGAAGGCTGAGCAAGCATGGTTTGGGTCATGATCGCGTTGAGAGACATCTCTGTATTTATACAGCTGCTCGCCTCGCTGCAGCAGTGGACTCAGCACAATTCTTCCATCATACTCTAGCTGGAGGCAGTATAATTTAATAATTACTATCCGCTGCAAGTTTGTTGTCTTACTATCATGTCAACCTTGAACTTGGTCAAATTTTTCTTCCTGCAACGGCCGCAGAGCGCTACAAAAGTTAGACAATACATCGCCATCGCATACCAAACTGCAAGAGACCAAAAGATATATCCAACAGCCATCCTTATTCGGTAAGTAAATTAGCACCGTGCAATTTTCGGATGGGGAGCTAATCACCATTAAACCGTCAGATCAGGTATACATGGAACGACCACGATCGGGGGCAAATACCAAAAGGACCCCAAGGGGGAGCACTTGACACTGTGCTTCAAGGATGGAGAAATGTCAGAGAAGGGTACACACGTCGCTAGTCATGGCTATGTCAACTCGAGACAGGACTGGGAGATTCGCGAAGCATCGCACTCTCTTGAGAAACCTGATGCCACAGTTTCCAGAGGAACCGGGCGTGCTATCTGGCCAGCTGAAGCGACGTTTGAGATTGAAGTGGCTTTCGGCCATGTGCCAGACGAAACGGAGATCAAACTGCCTGAGGAGTGATTCGATCAGCAAAGGGGATTGCGCGCGCTGGTATTTGCGAACAGGATACCTAGTGGAGATTTTTTGGTTATTCTAAAATATGCCTCCCCCTTTCCATAATGGATGCTTCGTTGACAACTTGACTAGTGCCAAAAACTGTCAGGTAATATGCTGTGTTGGCCAAGATGAATGGGAGAATATTTAACAAGATAACACTGAAGTCCATTCCAGAACAAAACTTATGTTAAACAATTTAGCATGTTTATCAAATGCAATTAATAACATAATGGGAAAACCATGACAATGTGAGAACCATGCAGCTTGGAGTAACGAGCCCCCTTGCAGCATTAAAAATTCATTCTGAACAGTTATATATATATGTATATCAGTGTGCCTCATCACATTGTCTGACCCAATCACTGATGTCACCGACGAACCGGCGTGCAACACCAATTTTCACACCATGTTTAACAAAAAAGTCCGGGTCCCTGTCCTCGTAGATCTGTTTAAGATCAAGACCATTTGCTAAGGCTATATGACATGCCTTTTTAATATCTTCCTTCAGCAGTTCATTGCTCACCCGTGATTGCTGCCAGCTGGTATATTGCTCCACTCCTGTATCAAGGAGTCCGGGAATAACGATAGAGCCAGCAGGGGGGCTATGTGAAGTTGGAAGTGCGGCATGAACACTTGCTGTAGACAATTGATCTGGCAGGACATTAATATTTATTGGGGACATATCGCTCTGCCTGTGGTATGGTTGCCACCCCTTTGTTGTCTTTCAAATCGCTGCTGCTCCTCCGCATACAGTTGCTCTCGGAGCATATCAGGGATATCTTCATGCGTCTCTAGGATACTGCCTTGCTCCACGTACTTGTCAAGGTTTGTCAGATGGCGAGTCCTGAGTTTGTAGTGCTTTTTCCCCACTGGGTCTTGCCAGCAGTACTGTCCTTGGTGTTGGCATGGTAGTCCGGGACAATGCATCATCCTATACACGTTTTGCCAAGCTGAAGGGCCCTCAGAAGTGTACTCAGCATCCATCTGAGCCTCTCTTTTAGTATGCATTCTCTGTGTTGCAGATGAAGCACCTCTCTTGTCTCCCTTTCTTGCTGTAGTTAGGTCACTATCCTCTATATAGTTGACAGAAATATTAATCCTTAGCCTCTTGCCGAGTCAAAACAAATTGCCCCACACGAGGAGCTGTTTCTCAATAGCTGTCCAATCAATATCAGTATTTTCAAACCGCTTTGAGACCAATCATTTACTGATACAACAATAGTGGTATCCTCCGGTTGCGAAATATTTTCCAATGGAGAATATTATCAGGCTTTTGTTTCAAGAAACATTCCCAATATGCACAAAGTCTTAGTGTATTTTGCCGCAATCTGATTATTGAGAGTAACTCTCCACTCAATCAAATAATGAATGCAGCTTGGTAGCTGCTCATCATAGGCCCTTCCCTCATCCATCCCTTTAGAATTTTGATAACGACTTGATCTTTGCTCGATTGGAAGAGGGTGGGATTTCGAATCCCCTTGAAAATAGCTTCACAATTGTACTATTTATGCTACTCGTGCAATGCCTTTGACGCGTGGCGAACCGATATTCATCATCTCGGAAGAGTCACGACTTGCTTAATGGGAAACAAGCCAATTTCATAATGATAAGTACAAATAGGGCATGGATGTTGTTTGAGCAAAAATACTTTTTTAGAAACTGAAGTGCTGATTGGAAATGAACTTGAAAAAGCTCTGTGCATTGCGGAAATGAATTGTCCTTAGGCCCCTCTCTGCTGAGTTCCTGAGTCGAAACAAAGAATACCCCAAAATTTTGGGATAAGAATACTGGGTGAATGTCGGCTAGTTTAGAATGCGCTGAATATATTCAGTAATATGTTGTAGATACTTAGCTGGAGGAGTCCGGTAAATCCTAGAGCAACCCACAGAAGACCGTGAATCTAGGTGAGAGCCTGATAAGTAGATGCCCTTCCTCCGAATTTTGAAGGAACACTCTGTGTTGGTTACTAGAACGAAGACTAGCCGTGAAGGAGCTTTTGCTATGAGTGGTTGAGAGGAGGTGATTACTAGAATTACATGTATGCAAATGTTTTGATTTTTGACTTGCCAAATGCGATATCGTAGCAGCCGATGGTCACAAGCAATCACTATTTTCATCTAATAAAATTCTGAATAGATGGGTTGATGGAAAAGCTATAGCGCTCATCACTGTCCCTATGTCAGAATCCTCAGGTTAGGTCAGTGCGAGTGCAGTAGTCTCGCAGTAATTCCTCTCACAGCAACCGTCTCTAAGTGTTAACCAAAATCAATGCACTATCATATCATGTCCAAATTCTTCGCTGTCCAGCTAGAATTTCAACTCACCACATCAGACGCAGAAGGAGGAGTACACTCTAACGCTGGATTGGAATATCTAGTAGGCCGTTTTGAAGACCTTTTGGGAGGAAAGCTTGGTGAGCGGCCTTCGGCGCTTGCTTGACGTGCGAGGAACTAGGTTTGAGGGCTGACCTGGGGAGATGAAGCGACCGATCCGGAAGATGGAGTAGTGTTAATCGTTTTGTATACACTATGGCCAATTTGAAAACGATAAAACTTGGCTGGGTGTATATATCAATATTTGGTCGTACAGCACAACAACGAGCAATCTTGCTGAGCAATACAGGATATGAGTCAGCCCACAGCATCCTTCATCTGTCTCACGTTAATATTGATTCTTTTGTTCGACATCCAACCTCGCCATTGCTCGAACTGAGCAGCATTGCCGGGCCAGTCTGCCAGCCATTCCGGACAAGTTGACGGAATGATTTTGGGTACTGCATGCCAAGCAAACCTTGCCTGACCAGACATATAGACAGCATCGCCCGAGCGCAGTCGGATAATTTCACAACCAGTACCATCCAAGTGGCCCACCATAAAAAGACCATCACATCCAAAACTAATACTTATTAAGCCGGTGTCGCACTCTTCGCTTACATCCCTATGGACGCTCAGGGTATCGCCAGGAGAATAAAGATTTACTATGGCAGCCTCCGGTTTTGTTTCGGGGAAGATGTTGCGCAGCAGGCTGGCTATATCTGCTGGGAATTGAGGGGGTATTTCAACAGGATACACTTTGTCCGTCCAATTGTATTGCCCTCCAAGTGTTATCCAGCGCAGCTTTTTCTCCAGAAATGATGCTATTGACAACGGCGGATGAACTGAGGGGTCCTTTGGGACTAGTTCTCGAGCCGGGTTATCTTGGAAAAATGAAGCCCTCTTCTGCGAGGAAGAATTACAACCGTCCTGGAATGTTGCAGTGTCGGTGAAGGGAGTTTTAGGTACACTAGGATATGACATGTGGTAATGGAGATGGATATTGGTCTTGTGGTTTTCGTTTGATAGATCACGGTGGAAGATGCGAGACAATAATTCAATCTGCACAGCAGGAGGCAAAAGGGATGGGATAATACGTAGGCCTGGGAAAGTGTTGCCAATGAGCAATATCAGTAGCTGCATCCTATTGACACGGAGTTGAGAGTGTCTCACCTGGAATTGCCTGATGTGTGTAGACAGGAATGTCTTTCAATTCGTCCTTGTATATCTGACATTGTAGCGACTGGTCCAACGCTGACGAAATGGACTGGCAAGGCACATGTCCCTCACTCTGAAATCCATTGTCAAAGCTATTGTTAGACTGTCGCTGGGGGTCTAGAATCAGAGGGTGCGAGTCAATCTCTGAGAGTTTGAGTCCGCGGTATTGCTTATACAACTGACGGAGAACAGCGGGTGGTTTTTCATGGGCATTAAGCCGTGTGATTTCCACCATTGCGACGTGTTGAACAAGTCAGTTTAAGCCCGGATTCTTTCAAAAAGGGTTTGTCGTTGAAGGTAGAAAAAATCTGCCCCACTGTCCAGGCGTATTCTGCCGTCCGATGTCGCACCGTGAGTGGCTGCTGCTGTCTGGGCGGTGAGGCGCGTGCTGATCAAACCTTGGAACCAGTCGCGGTGTTTGTTTGGGGGAAATGTAAACTCCAGAAACCAGAGAAACCGCAAAAAATTTACTGCTGTTTCCCCTCCGCTGACCGCACCACCAACCACGCCAACATTGCGGGGAAAGATATTCTGACAACACCAATTCCTCGACAATGACATAGAACCCAGGATACTTCTGGCGTTTTCCTAAGTGTGTTTGTACATGTACTAGCCACTCCAGCACGACGTACTCAGCCCGTCGTTACTTATCATATAGAGCCTCTTACTCTCGCTTTGCTGCTCCACGCAACCCTCGCGCAGCTCTATCTAGCCTTTCTTGACTGAAAGGAGTATACTAATAGCGCTTGTGTGAGACATACCATAGGATATAAATCTTCAATCATGGAGAATTATCAGAAAATTGAGAAGATTGGAGAGGGTAAGCTTGAGGCTCGTACCATCTCTAGTCTGCCCAAGACCCTTCGGCAGCAGTGGTGGTGAATGGTTTTACTGATGGGTAACATCATATATCCAGGGACGTACGGTGTGGTCTATAAAGCTCGAGATCTCACGCATCCCAATCGAATTGTTGCGCTGAAGAAGATTCGACTTGAGGCTGAGGATGAGGGCGTCCCCAGCACCGCCATTCGCGAAATCTCTCTCCTGAAGGAAATGCACGATCCCAATATTGTTAGACTCCTCAACATTGTTCACGCTGACGGCCACAAGCTGTATCTGGTCTTCGAATTCCTGGACCTCGACTTAAAGAAGTATATGGAGGCACTTCCCGTCAGCGAGGGTGGTCGTGGCAAAGCGCTGCCCGACGGGTCGACACTCGATATGAATCGACTGGGCCTGGGAGAGGCGATGGTCAAAAAGTTCATGGCTCAACTCGTCGAAGGTATACGGTATTGCCACAGCCATCGAGTCCTCCATCGCGATCTGAAGCCTCAAAATCTCTTAATTGATCGTGAGGGTAATCTCAAGTTGGCGGATTTCGGCTTGGCTCGAGCTTTCGGTGTCCCGTTGCGCACATACACCCACGAGGTAAGTGTTTCTTGTACTCGGATGCAAAACCCATTGCTAAGTGTTTTTCGAGGTTGTCACGCTCTGGTATCGTGCACCGGAAATCCTATTAGGCGGCCGTCAATATTCCACTGGTGTCGACATGTGGTCCGTCGGCGCTATTTTTGCAGAAATGTGCACCCGCAAGCCGTTATTCCCCGGAGATTCTGAGATTGATGAAATTTTCAAGATCTTCAAGTAAGTCTATTTCAGCTTTGCTACCTAGTTGTTTTACTCCCTTTCAGCCTTCCCCAGTTCAACCTGACACGCACGAAAAATCTAGACTCCTCGGAACCCCGGATGAGAATACCTGGCCCGGTGTCACTTCATTCCCCGACTTCAAAGCCTCATTTCCTAAATGGAAGCGTGAAGACACTCGAAAGCTGGTTCCCGGCCTGGAACGTAACGGTCTTGATCTTCTAGATGCTATGCTCGAATATGACCCTGCACGACGTATATCGGCGAAGCAAGCCTGCATGCACCCATACTTCCAAGCTGGTAGCTCTGCCTATTCGGGCCGAGAAAGATTGCAGCCATATCCATGAATAATGATGTCATTAGCAACGTTTTTCTTTTTGTCCTTTCCCTTGTTTTTCTCCCCACACTATTTTCCCCCCCTCTCTCATTCACAAACATCACAGCCTCATCTTCCCCTTACGTGTTCTTGTTTCTTCATTTAATTTTCTGTTATGTTTAACTCGGCCGCTCCCCGACCTATGGAGACATTTTCTTTTTTTCCTTTTTACATTGTGTAGCTCTGTTCAGAATTCCGAGGCGCGTATTCATCTACTTTTCTTCCCCCCGTTTCATTTTACGACGAGAGTCAGACTGAGATGTTTTTTGTCTAGAAAATAATCGTTCTTGCTTAGATAAATTTCCTTAATTGTAATAAATCCCCGTTTCTTTCCTCCTTCCTCCTTCCTTCCCTTCCCTTTCTCCCTGCATGATACCTTCAACCTTATAAGAACTATTTTTCTGTGATAAGAAATATTTCAACTTACCCTTGTTCCCGAATCTCCAATATTAAAGCCTGATACATACATATGAAGATCCCACGATTGGGAGTGCCTTCATTGATGAATGGGATATGAGAGGAAGGAAGAGGGACCTCAGCCAATTGGGGATAACGGGTATATTATGGTCTCCTGCATCGGACGAGCAAGGCGTTCGATTGCTCTTTACCCACTGAATGTAACTCATTGACAACTGCTACTGCACCGCAATTCTGAGATCGAATGCCATCAGGGACCTCTCGCATAAACTCGCATAACATCTCCATCACCTGGGCAACGACAGGAGTCTAATGGGATCCTATGCACGGGAACCTCATTCCGCCTGCATAAAACCGTTTTTGAACTGTGTTAAGGTTGCTTAATTTATCCCGGCTAAATCGCTGCCTCACAACGTTCTATCCGCACCAGCTTGATGGCCAGCTTTCCAGAATATGGGGAGCTGTTGTGAGAATTAGGTAGGTACCAGCATCTAACTTAATTAATGAGTCGAACGCCGTAATCCCGAAGACTAGCCAGTTTTGCAAACATCTAAGCCTTCCTAGGCAGAGGATAAGCGGATAGGATTTGCAGTCGATTTACGAATGGTTCTTCGTATCCACTATGCAGCAACTAACTAGCTGAGGTTAGACTACAAACAGTCCTTGCAGGATCAAGCTAAACGGTAATATATTGGACAAGCTCAAAGGAATCTTCCGGACTCAGGAGGAGATTCTGAGTGCTCATTCAGCCCTAAAATTTTATTTCAAACCCTGGCTGTCGAGCGTGCAAACCTGATCATATTGGCGTCCAACGAACCACTCAGAGCTACGTATGCAGCATTCTGCCAGCTCGGCTCTGGAGTCCCAGCCAGCTGTCCTGCAAGGCATGTTCTCATACCAAAATAATAAGCCACTGCGCCAGGACCAATAAAACTCAGCCGCCAAGTGTCTTTTAGCTCGACACTGGAACGGATATCAAAGCCACTGGTGGGGGCTGCGACCTCGCAATGCAAGGCTTGGGGCTGGAGGCCTGCAGTGGTCTGCTTCACAGCTCACCAGTTATTCCCTGACAAGGTACAAAAGCCCGTGGCCTCGCTCACAATGTCGTTATTTGCGAGCAAGATCAAATACGCTGGCCAACAGTCAGCATTTCCAGGGGACCCTTGAGTTTGCACGTTTCCCCGAGATAGTCGCACAGGCTGCTCACAGAGCTGTCATGGATGGAGAAAGTGAGTCGTCGAGAACCGGTTCGATAGTTTCTGCTGTTCCGAGTACGTGGAAGGATGATGTGCCACAGAAATTGGTCGATACGTTTTGGAAGTCCTTTAATTCAAAGTACCCGGGAAGGGTATTGAAGGCTTTGCCGTACCGACCGGGCAAGACTGCTTCACAGCCTATTTCGAATATTGCCCACGGTGAAGCTGCCCTTGATTCGTACGATCGTGCCAAACGCGAATGCGAACACGCGGTGGACCGTATTGTGAAACAGTGTTTGCGCATTAACCAGAAGTATACGGACCCTCATTTCGACATTGAAAGGGATCTCAAGTCTGGTCAGCGAAATTTCCTTGATGGACTCCAGGGTGTGAATTCGGAGATGAAGCCGAAAGGTGTGAAGCGGGTTACGGTAAGGATTTTTTTTAATTTTTTTTTTTTTCCATGCCCTTCGTCATCATTAACTTCTACAAAAGTGTATCTACCATTTATTTACTTCTTTTATAGGACATTTTCGAGAAACCAGAGTTCTACGTAAATAATGCCACTGCGAGTGATGTTCGTCAGGGAAATGATGGCGACTGTTGGCTTATGGCTGCGCTATGCACTCTGGGGAATATGCCAGGCCTAATCGATAGAGTCTGCGTTGCTCGGAATGAGAAAGTTGGCGTATACGGGTTTGTCTTTTACAGAGGCATGTTGTATCCGTACCAGTTTTCTGTGTGGACATATATACTTTTTATTTTGCGTAGACATCCGTGTTCTAACACCATTTATTAGACGGCGAGTGGCGACATACAATCATCGACGATAAGCTCTACCTCCGAGCCCCGGATTATGAAGATGCGGCATGGGAAAGGGAAGTCTGGGATGATATTGGTCGCGCTGACACGGAGCTGAACTACCGAAAGACCTGGCAAACTGGTTCAAGGGCATTATATTTTGCTCAATGCAGCGACGACAACGAGACATGGTTGCCATTGCTGGAAAAGGCCTACGCAAAAGCGCATGGTGATTATTCAAGTATCGAAGGCGGGTTTGTTGGGTGAGTGCGATGCATTTTATTTTACGTTAGTCAAAACTTCATTACAATTATTGAGCTCCATGGCTAGAGAAGCGGTTGAAGACCTTACCGGAGGCGTCACTTCTGAAATTATGGCTCGGGATATCCTTGACAAAGAAAGATTTTGGAACGAGGATCTCATGAACGTCAACAAGAAATTCGTCTTCGGATGTGCCACTGGTCTGTATGGTAGTTGGCTGTACCCTCAATACTATGGCTCTAAGGAGAGGTCTGGTATACATGAATGTCACGCATATTCGGTCATGGATGCGAAGGAAATCAATGGGAAAAGACTGTTGCGTCTTAGGTATGTCATAATGTCTTTCTCAGGAAACTTACCAAATGCGGAACTAAATTATCCTACAGAAATCCTTGGGGTCATAAGGAATGGTCAGGGCCCTGGAGCGATGGCTCTGAACAATGGACACCTGAATGGATGAATATTTTGCAACATAAATTTGGAAATGACGGAGTAAGTCCCATGTCCTACTTTCCAATGAGCTCCCACAGCAGGCTATTGCCTCTCGTATTCATACCAACTAATGTGTGGTAGATATTCTGGATTTCTTACGAAGACTTTCTTCTTAAATATGAACATATCGATCGGACTCGTCTTTTTGGAGAGGGTTGGACGGTAGCGCAGAAGTGGACCAGCCTCCATGTGCCCTGGGCACTTGAATATCACAAAACAAAATTCGTAATCAAAGTAGCTAAGGAGGGTCCAGTAGTAATTGTGTTATCACAGGTACGCGGTTCAATGTTTCCCCTGCAAGCTCAAATACTAAGCTAATTTGTCGAGTAGCTTGACGAACGTTATTTCAAGGGACTGGAAGGCCAGTACAAATTCCATCTGCAATTCCGTCTTGAGAAAGAAGGCGAAGAGGACTATGTCATCCGCAATCAAAATAACATTTACATGACCCGCTCTGTAAGCACCGATATCACTTTGGAGCCCGGAACATACACTGTTTTCGTACGAGTAAAGGCTACGCAATTTAGCGATCCTCCACCAGAAGATGTTATCAGAGAAAAAGCTAGCAAACAACGCGAGAAGCTTGTTCAAATCGGACACTCGTACGATTTGGCTCATGCGAAGGGAGTGGAACTGGAGTCTGAGGAAGAGGAAGCGGAAAGGAAGAGAAGAGAGAAAGAGAAGAAGGCGGCGTTAAAGAAAAAGGAGAGGGATCGTGCGGAAGCTCAGTTGAAAAAAAGATGGAAAAGGGACAAAAAAATTGCCGCCAGAGAAAACAGGAAGGCAAAAAGAGCTGCGCGGGCAACGGAGCAGAGGGAAACCAAGCTACAGGCTAAAAACGACAAGAAGCTGAAAGAGGGTGGGAAAAAAGTAGGACAAGTGGTGGAAAGTGATGCGGAACGTACTGATGGGAGCAATCGGGAGGGAGGTGAGGAGGCGGCGGAAACTCCAAAGGCTGTAAATCTGGAGAATAAAAATGAAGGCCTTACACCCCTAACGGGAGATGCAAATGGAAAACTTGAGGGAAAAGCCACGGAAAACAATGACAAAGATATGGAATCCTCAGAGGTGCCAAACCAAGGAAAGGAAGTCAGAGCAGAGGAAGACAATAAAATGAAAGGCGAGGACCTGAAGCCGTCAACAGAGGATGCGAAGGTGAAAGAAGTACAGAAGGGTGAGGACATGGAGAGAGAAGATGAGGAAAATATCGAATCCCACGCAGATTCAGAGAACGCAAGTGACAAGGAAAAAAGGGAAATCGAGATGTCCACTACCTCCAAGCTTGCGAAAGGGACGGAAAACGAAAAGCAGAGAAATGAACACCCCGGAATGCCAGAAGAAAATACTGAATCTCTTCCTCAAATATCCCAAAAGTTGGAGACAGATAGCGACACCGATTCAGGATCCGTTTTTGAATTTGATTCTGAAATTGATATGTCACCGACCGAAGAATCTGAAAGCGACAGTGAGGAACATGAGAAGGACGACGATGACAGCAATGACGGCGAGTACAGCGTTAAGCCGCCATGGAATGCTGTATGTGTAGTGGGACTTCGCGTTTGTTCCAAGGATCGCGACTTAACCGTTAGTATCGTGAAGCCGAAACCATGGCAAGAACATATCGAAGTGCGGCGTGATTGCGACGATCCTGCCGTGGAATGATTGAAATAACTGGCTTCTAACTAGCTCTGTGATATATCAAGTTATTGACCTATCTCTCTTTTTTCTGCTACATGCTTCTGGAAAGTGTGTAGTGAAGCTTACGCTCTAGCGAAGTTTAGATAGTGTACTGAGGCAGTATTGGTCGTTCAATCATAAATTATTTTGCTTAATTTCTATTCATTACGAATATTCTTCTTTTCCATGCTACTCAGTGCTGTAATGTATGTGTCTCATTGATGTTTGCCTCTTGAGAACGAGCCCTGATTGGGGTTAGGGCAAGCACCTTCTTACAGTGATGCCGTCATAACTCAGAACCGTTGTTCCAGCTCCTGTCCAGACACAACAATCATAGAGATTAATCTCAGGGTGCCATGCGCTCTCAATTCGCGCCGGTTTCAGCACTCCTAGTGTCACTACGCTCTAGCCATGGAATATACTTGACCATATGTGGTATCTCTTACCGGAAATTCTCCTCCTCCACCCGCCTTTCGCAACTTGTCTCGCTCGCCGACTTCCATGAAACCAATGTCCAAATCCCAATTGGAAGCTCTGGAAATATCTCCCTAAAGTACACTTCGTGCTCTCTGTTGCCTCTTCTTCCTGCCCTTCGTGCTGCTTCTGTAATTCGTTCCTAATCCTCCTTGGCTAATTGGCCAGTATAACAGCATTCTACAACCTATTACGCGACACGCCTTCCGGCGAACAAATGTTATCCTCTACCTGCCTCCAGGGCCTCTGTTTCCAAACGACAAACTGGACACCACAACAGGCTTCAGAAATGATACCAAGAATTCCGCGTACTCGGATCCGTCTCCGTCACCGCAGCATGCCCTGTCTTCTAGCACATTATCGACTGTTGTGACAGTGAACTATCGGCTCGGACAGGTGGAAGAAAATGGGGAGCAAAAGCGTTATTACTACCCAGGCCCCGTACACGATACACTGGCAGGGTTTGACTGGATTTTTGAGCATCTGAAACCGAAGCGGCTATGTGTATTTGGAAAGCACATTGGGGGTTCGTTGGCAGTAATGCTCGCGCTCACTGAGTCACGATCTGTTACTGCCGTAGCTGCGCACGAGCCGATATGCGATTGGACCGGCTTGGATGATTATTGCTTGAAATCCGATCTTGTACCTGAGGAAACTTTCGCAGCCGATGAGATACATAGCAATGATAATGATCATGGAGAAAAGACAACAACAGCAGTAGATCATAACCCAAAGAAGCGTGGACGGAAGAAAAAGATCCCATCATCGCCACCAGATCTCGTCCCACTTCTCGAAGCCCGGAGTGCTCTATTCCGCAATCCTGTCAATTACTTTGACTCCTTTGCTTCCCCTGCTCTGTTTCTTCGTTCTGCTGGAAAAAATACGCCGGAGACTATTCCCACCTATCACACTGGTGGAGACTATTCTATTCCCGTACTCAAAATCCCCCCGAAGGACATAATCAGTGGCCCAGACTTTACCCGATCTTTCCAAGATTTGGATCTAGATCTGATCCCCCCTCCCAAACTGGATCTGGATTCTGATTCTTCCGATTCTGAGAAGCCAACCCGGCGTAGAAAGGCCTTATCTCGATGGCCACCGTACAGCCTTGAATATAATGATAGGCCCGGCGTAAAATCTTTAGGACCCTGGGATGGCAAACCTAACTTACCACATATGCAGATATTCGTGCATAGCAATCTTCCTTTTGAGTCGGTCCCAGAGTTGGTGCGGGAACTGAGACCAAAAGGAAAAGCGCAAGGTGAAATTTCTTCTCAATCTGGGAATGGAGCTCGTAATGCTTTGAGCTCCAGAGCTGGCGATGTATTCAAGAAAGTCGGAGTGAGTGGTGAATTTGGCAGTGATCCTCTTACGGAAGAAAAAGCCTCTTGCTTTGCATCACCGACTATGCTTCCTCCTCGCCGTCCACGACCCTCCCGTAAACGCACGCTGGAAGCGGATGGAGAAACTATCCTGGCACGCCAAGGAGCGGAGATGGTCTCCTTGATGCGTAATGCGTGTTTCTGGGGTAGGGAGAAAGGGTATGCAGAAGAAAGGGTTAAGGCTGTGTCCATTCCATTGTCTTTGTCTTCAACGGCAGTCCTTGGCCGTGAAGGAGGTGGATCAGGGAGTCGCATGAAAGGCCCGAGAGGAGCTGAAGAATGTGTTAATCAATCATCTAGTGTTGAGGAACAGACTGGAAGATATTTCTATAATATCCTAGAGCGAGTGAATCGGAACGAATAGTGAGTGTGGTTCTCCACTATCAGGAAACGTCTCCATACCACTTTTTTAAATTTTCAAATTCTTTTGGTCTATTCTCCAGTTGGATTGTAACATGGTTTTGTAACACATTGCCAGAAGTGCTTATGTTCAATTCATTTCATTAACTTGTGCTAACTGGAGCCAACCCAGGCCCCAACGATCATAACCCTTACTGTACATTTTTCCAACAATTAAAAGGAAACAAATTCGCCCCAAGAGAATCGATATCATTATCAAGCACAATGAATGCATATTAGAATACAGTCGGCGCGGGGAAGGCGTCACGACATCATGAGAAGTAAAACTGCAATGCGCAACACCGGCAGATTCCAACGATAATGCCGTCATCGCATGCGATACGCGAACTGATGTTGACTTAGAGCCACGGCTCTGCGTCGCCGTACTAGCCCGGCTCAGTGTAGAACGAGCGTCATCTTCGCCGCCGTTTGCGCTCAAGTTTCTAAACTCTTGTAGCGTAGCTGTTACTACCTCGCCCCACTTAACAGGCTCATATGCGGCATCCGTATCATTCTCTGGTGGATGGCAGGCTGCGCTAATTCCAGCACTGCAATTACCGGCGAGAGGCATCCTGGAGCCGAAACGTCTCATGCTCAACGCAGATACTGCTACGAGCATAAGACTTCCAAGCGTCACGGCGATTATCATAGGAATTGGGGAGAAGCCCAACGAACTCATTATGTATTTGTCGGCCAACCGCCCGTCGAAGTAATATGGAATTTCCTGCGCAAAAAACAAAGATTGTGATGCCAACCAATGCAGGACAACAAATACAGCAATCAATGGCAGGCCGTATTTGTATGGAAGACTAATATAGAATTCTGACCTTTGCTTCCCTTGTGGCTTGGTGACCCGGAGATAGTTACGATGTAGAGCATAGCCGTTGTATTCGGCAGCGAGGAGCATGGACGTTAGAATATTGTTGTAAAGGAAATACGAAATCGAGATCACAAGCTGAGGAGTGTTTGCAAGAATCATTAATGACATGATATCTTTCGAGCGGCTGGACTTGAGCGAAAAGATCGAGATGGCTGAGCCGGCTTTGGCGGAGTCGGCCGAAAACCCAGGGAGTTTCCCTTCACCATATCCGGAGCCGAATTCGATTCGATGCAAATAGATAGCAGCGGCGAGGCTGGCAAAGTACCTAATCAATTCGGCTGGTTAATAACAAAATAATAGCCCGGCATTTCCAAGAAGGGTAGGACTTACAGTGCAACTACTATGTACCAATGGAACGAATTTACCGAATGAAACCATCTTCTGGGCCTAGACAGACGTTTTGGAATATTGACCTGAGAATAACGCGTCTCTGAAGAGGTTGTAAATGCTCTGGTATACACGTTTGATTTGGACGAAAGACATCGTCCCCGGCTATTTGGATCAGGCTGACTTAGAAATGACGATATTGCGTCTCCTATAGTCAGTAGCACATCGTCCCTGGCATCATGGGCTGTTATGAACATGCAGACGACATTGACAATATTGAGCCCAAGCACGGCGATGGCGACTGGGAAACTGAACCTGAGTTCGCAATTTTCTGGAATTTTCTCGCTGAGGCAACCTGCCGCTTTAAAAGTCTCCGTTTTGGCCGGCTCATTTTCATTTGAATATGCGCATTCAGAAATACTTTCAACGGTAACTGCATCAGCCCACGAGCTGTTGGCCCAATTCTGGGGATCGCGAAGGAAACGGCTAACAGCGCCAATATCTTGATTCTCTGAAATATAACGATAAAGCATTTCCATATCTCGGCAGAGTGTATCAGGTGCGGTCAGCGGTTTACTGTAGCACGGTGACACCTCCGCATACGTATCCTTATTGAAGGTTACTGTTCCCTTCTGAGTAGGCGCTGTTATATTCAGCCGCTTAACTTCCAAAGGCGAAGCTGTCACCTTCCAGTTTGCAGGGTCAATCTGATCGCCGTTACACTCATCCAACCCCTGCTGGCCGCGACACATCCAGTCGTAGTCTTTTTTCCCTTTTTTCATCGCCCTTCTTGGACCGCTACCAGTGCCAGAATCCCAGACAGTGACATTATCATGGCTCAAGTCGTCCGTCAGGATCACAAGAGTGCCACTACCTGGTAGGTAGTCAACAGCGAATGTGTCGATGCATTCCTTCGGTGAAAGGCGTTCAAAAGAGTCATGAGTCATGGATTGGAGAAAATCGGATTTCGTGAGGTTCAGGGCAGACCTAACACATTCGCTAGCCACAAGGCTGTAATCGCCTACGTTGGGGGCTACTAAGACTTTGTATTGATGCACGGCAGTGGAGGCGAATATGACGGAGTTATATCTGGATGATCCAGTGAGAATATGCAATCAATGGCATTGGATATTGAAGGCACTAACATAATGTGAATTGGTAGTGAAGAAAGCAGCAATACTAGCCAGAGGCCCAGTCGTTTGTACCCAACAAAACGGAAGTTGCTGACACTGGCCGTTCCGATTTCGAGCCACGTCCCTTGATTATGTGCGCGATCAGTATCCGCTCGGGATGGCGAACTTAGGCATTGCATGCAATAGCTACTGGTGGCAAGTGTCACCGCACTTAAACAGTTGATTAAGAAGTGTAGCCCCGTAGCCCAGTTTCTCGAAACCGAACATTTTCCTTGATATACTGGTACGGATATGAATTCCACGCTCCCGTATTTCCCGTACGCCCTTATGGTAGCAAGAAGGGTGATGATGATATTGACAAGCAGAACAACGCAGGCAAGGTAAGTAGATAGCAAAGCTCCCCTGATCCACGCTCTTCTATGATGGGCGTTGACAGTTCTTGCTTCAGGCTCATTGGAAATTTGCCTGCCATCATAGGCCGTTTTCACGTCGGAATATAAGGAGTTGGATTGAGAGGCGGTGGATCCTGATGAAACATCGGTTCTTCATTAAGTTATTCTTTCAATCAGTCTCTCTGCATGCCATAATATGCAATCGCGCAGTGGGTATTACCCGTTGTGGCAGACCTACCTTTCTCTGTGCATCAACTCTGTCTCCTCTGACCCTCGTCTCGGATCATCTTTGTCTTTCTTTCGGAATGGTAAGCCGGGCAACGGCCATTCTTGTGAATTTCGCTTTGACGAAGCCGACGATGCGTCATTGGCAGGATGTGATCTTGCCGCCAAAAGTTGCTGTCGGCTGTCCCCAAGGTATGTATATTTCATTCTTTTCCAGCGCCCATGTGTTGGCCCCCGAAGATGCGAGAATCAGTGGTGGCTGCTTCCAATGGCCGACATGCACTTGGGCCGGGGATTGTTCGTCCAAGTTGTCAAATACAGAGCAGATGCATCTTGCTCAGATCTGAACATGAAAGGATGGAGGAGTATCCTTTAATATATTTGGCCTTGTCAGCCTTACACTTATTCACACGGATGTGAGAAAACAGAGGCAGGGAATTTGCGGCCTCGACTGCGGGACCTTGATGCCAGGCTGTCGGAGACATCCTGATCGTCACTGATCAGCATGCTGGCCGTTCAGTAGGGCCGCCTCGGGGTCTCCCTCTTTGCGGAGATAGCTTCGCCATTGGCGAAGATATCAAGCTGGATCAGTTTTTCCTCTTTTTGCTTCAGCCTCAGGAGCCAGGAACAGACTATCCGTGGTTGGCTGCGATCATTATTGGCAGCTTGGCGGACTAATGTAGGAACTATTTCAACAAGCCCTCGTGTCGAAAGCAGATATCCCAAGGTCGGAAACGAGGTCAGCCTCCGCGACTGGCGGCGGCCCCTGCACTGACTAAACCCCTTTAACCACAGGTTGACCAAACTATGTTTTATGTTCCCTAGTTCGCGGTTACTCACATTCGTCGCGTGCTTAAAATTCAATGGTAACTATGTATTTGTGATGGCTCTCATACACACACACACACACACAAAAAAAAAAAGGGAAGAAAAAAAAAGAGGACAAAGAAAAAAGAAAGCAATATTTTCATCTCCCACCAAAAAAAAAAAAAAAAAAAAAAAAAAAAAAAAAAAAAAAAACTACAGGAAAGCTTCAAGAGGGCATTGGGAGCCTACCCTTTTCAGGCGCTAGGCTAAGATCAAGATATTTCTCAGACTCCTCACACCCTCGTAAAATTCAAACGTAGCCCTGACCCAGTGTCAGCTTTTCGGGGAACAGCAACCGTGGTCAAAACGAACCCTGAACGGCCAGTTTCTGATCGGCGCCATAAGGGCTTTTCTACACCAAGAATAGCATCTCATGCTGGCACTTTGCGGGCAAGCCCCTGGGGCGAACCCAACTCAGCAAATGATTACCAACTCAATTGTAATCCCAAGGTCGGCGCATTCCCATGGGAGATTATTTCCGAATCAATTCGGGGCTGTCAAGCTTGAGCTCCAGTATTTAGAATTTCACAATATTCCGCGCCAGTCCTAGGACTCAACCCGGATAATCTGCTGCGGGCTGCAACAAAATCCAAGCAGCGCTTCGATTCCTGGGTCTAGCGAGAGTTCTTTCGACCCTGAAGCCGCATTCCGATGAACCCCTTGGTTGCGTTTTCGTGTTCTTCTTGAAAACATTGCGAAGAACGAAGTCGAATAACTATATGTTATCTAACGTCAAAAATCTCGCTAAGAATTTGTCGGCGCAGACAGGATAAAGTCAATCAATTCCTCGAATTCTGGTGCCTAACATCCTCTCGTAAGCTCGACATAATTTTTTTTAAATTTATTTTTGCTCTAGCTTTCGTTTCAAAAAGAGAAAGATGGAAATACCTTTCCTGAAGGAAACAAATTCTGCTTCCACAGGGTCGACGTCTTGCCTCTCTTCAGTGTCATATGCATTGTATCCCAGGGCCGAACGAGACAATGCTCTTTGCGTGATCATCCATATATGGATCACTGCTAGGGAACGGCTTGGGAACTTTTTCATGAAGCAAACCAAAATGCTCACAGCGAGAAATGTCAGTGCAACGTGCCAACTTCTTAGTATATAGCGCTCTCCAGGACTCGACCCATTTTAGCTATAAACAGCGCAGTGTTCCGTGTGTAGGGCACATCGCCCTGGAACTAACTGGAAGACGGTTTATAGACGGAAGGATTATGGATTACGGTGGAGATCTCCTATTACCCAATATATGAATGGGCCGCGACCTTACATTATAAATAAGATTCTGCATTTTCGCAATCCCCCCCTGCTACATTTGGTACATGATGAGCACCTTTCAGTTGTCGATCCAGCAGGGCGCTTTGAGTCGATTCCCTACCCAAGGCGGAAGTACCGTTTGCGTGTTACAAATATATATACCTTCAAATCCATGCCATCGCGGATTTTGGTGAGATGGTTTGAGATACAGCAGAGAAGCAATCTTGATGGGCAAAGGGCGTTTATCATTTTTATTCAAGGGCACCATTCATTCCCAGATACACCCAAAATAACTCCAAGAATAGGGTATCAACATTTATCTAATCGAGTGCTGTGTTTCAAAAAGGTCAGGTTAACATCGCGAATGCCGCCATTCACGTCCTGTTTTGTTTTCAGTTCGTTGCTTCATGTGGTCTTCAAAGTCGTCAATGATACCGCCATCAGTATCCGGTTCTAGCCTGCCACAAACTTTCCAACTCGTTTCCAATTTCCCCATCAGCTCGCTCCTCGAGTTCGCGGATGGTCAGGGGTTGAGATCGCTGGCCCAAACTCATGCCCATAGCTGTCGCATTTTCACGTTCCAAGAGAACTGATGAAGTGAAATCAGAAAAGATGAGTGGTATAAGTCAGAACGGTAAAGCGAACGAGGAAAACAGAGTAGATCACACTTACGATGTATTTCAATTGCGGCTCGCTTCCCGCTAAACATTGCGTGTACAACATTGGTGCTGTCGTCGTTATTACAGTCCCCGACCGCATATACTCCCAACATGCTGGTGGCCATTCCCTTGAAATTATTGTCAATCTTCCCATTCACCATTTTCAACCCCAGTTTGTATGGTAGATCAGAGCGTTGCTTGGAGGCGAAGGCCGTGAAGAATGCAGACCGATTCACAGGTAGAGCGTCACCTTCGAAATGGACTGTGAAAATGTCAAACTCGGACTTACTCCCAGCATCGAAATGATCCGCACCGTCTTGGGCACGGGTGATGTTTTTGATCGGGGAGTAGTTGTGTTTGATGCCATAAAATCTTTCGAGCTCATCGGCCTCATTTGCTGGAAACTGGGTGCCGTTCGTGAAAGCAATCACATCATGGTTTATCGTTGCGATATGCATTACATTATCGAAGATGTTTGCCACATCGCCTAGCATACCCAGGGGCTGGTCGCGGTGCTCAAACCCGTCACACCAGGGGCACCAATAAATCCCCCGGCTCCAAGCTTCGCTTATACCAGGGGTATCTGGGAGAATGTCCTCTATGCCTGTGGCAAGGATTATTTTTCGTGCCGTTTTAGTGACCAGGGAAGGCTTCCCTTCACTGCCCAGATCGATCTCTACCTTAAAATGTGGCAGTTCGTCACTGGAATTTTGCACGGAAATAATCTCCAAAACGGTCCCATTTTTCATTTCTGGCGTTGGATATCTCTTAATGAGTTCGCGCGCTTTGTGACGAAAGAACGACGGAACAACCCCTGTAAAACCATCAACAAAAGCGGAACTGCGTTGAACACATGTATGTGAGAGTGATGGAGAAGTGCTGTGCATTAGTTAATCACCCACCATCATTTCCTATGACATCGTGTACCCGTCTCGTCAACAGGTTGCGGTATTTCCCAGAGTCAATCATCAATGCCGTTCTCCGGACACGGGATAGGCTGCTCAGCGCGCTGAGGCCAGCGGGACCCCCGCCGACGATGATGACATCGTAATCCACGAGGGGAATACTGGTCGCGGCGGCAAGTGTCAGAACGCATAAAAGAATCAATAACGATCCAAACGATCGGATGGTAGCCATGGTGGATTAAACTGCAACAACAAAACGACATCGGAAGATGAGAAACATCCTTAGACTAGCATTGCATTTTTGAAGAGCGTTCGGAATCGGAAGCCGGAAGCGTTTAGATCGCATCTCCAGGCACCAGATCCGTCCCGTTGATCCAAGAGGACAGTGCTTCCAATACAAGCTGGTGGGTCTTTCCTGGTGGGCCTTTCCTGTTGCATCCTTTTACCCGGACTACGGGCCACAGGAAGCTGCACACTCCGCAGGAGGGACTTTGAAATTCCTCGATGCTGCAAGAAGGGGCGACTGCTACCCGAAAACCAAGGACCGATAATGAGTAGACCAGTGCTTCGCGATCTACACTGATTCGGTTGGGAATAATACAAAAAGACCGGCAAATCGATGTGCTCCTTGCCCTATGTATGGGCTGACAAGATATACTTTGACTCCGTTGTGCTCATAGACAAATTAGCGCTAGTAGATCGGAAGTTTAATCGCTGGAAGAGTTCTCACGTGTGCTTGTGATGTCAGAGGAGCCGTCCAACATCATCATGTCGTAGGGACCGCTGGGGAGATTGTACTAAAACAGTGAAAAAATTGATTTCGTCAAGGTGTTACAACAGCCTTGCTGGATAATGTACAAGTGCAAATACGTGGCAGTGGATACCGAAAAAGGAAACCCAAAATACAGGTTTGAGGAGATGGGAAAATTGGTAGCTATGAGAAAACAAAACCAAAACGAGATTCTTTATGAAAGAGATACAGTTTTAACCCTTGTATTGCGATAATATGCACATCTTCGTTTCAGCATTACCAAAACAACAGAAGAAAAAAAAGAGAAGATCATCGAGATTTATTGGGTATCATTGGAGTCGAGAGAAAGTGAAGAAATTTGAGAGGCCATGCACACCCATACAGTCACTTGCCGGAAAAGCATGGCAATTGGAATAGCCTTGAAGCTCAAGAAATAGGGACAAACTCCCGCGCGAAAGGAGAGAATATATATATGAATATATATATGTATGCATAAAAGGGTTTAAAACATAGAACTTCTTTTCCTACTTATTGTGTTGTTACGACCATCCTCTTTCTTAAAAAGACCAAAAATACTTCGCCTCTCCTTCAACTGAGGGTTCGATGGCCGCTGAACTCCAAAATGTGGTGGTGCGAAAGTGTGTGACGGGGGAGGGATGTAGGAAGAATAGCGGTTGTGTGCAGCGGAATTGGGATTGGTAGATGCAGGTCGTGGTGGTGGATTAGGCCTAGGAGCTTGAGGGGTCTGTGAGAATTGTTTTCTAAGTTGGGCTTCCTCACGCCCATAAATTTTCTTGAGGCGCTCTGTCTCTTGGTCGATCGCAGCCTGTCTTCGTCTCGCTTCCCGTTGCTCCGCTTCTAGCAGCCGTTTGGTCTCTTTCTCCGCCTCTTTCTCGCGGCGGCGGCGTTCCTTGGCTTCTGCTTCTGCTTGTTTCTTCAATCTGGCAGTTTCTGCGTCGATTTCCCATTGCGTGCGGGGATCAGCTGGCGGTGGGCGGGTTTGGCGTTCAGGTATGGGAGCTTGGGGTCTTTGGGGTGCGGTAGGTGGTTGTATCTGATTTGCATATTTCTTTGGTTCCTGGGAAGAGCTGGTCATTGAACCAGGTAAGCTGTTGGGGTTGGGTGGGTCGGAGATGTGAAAAGTCTCGGCTATATGGCCAAAATATACGTCCCGAATAACAATGGCGCCTAGGAGAAGGACCACCTCCAGTCCCTTGAAGTCTTCGATTTCTACACGATAAAGATTCGGCTCGTACAATGTCACCTCTTTAAATCCACGTAATATGGCCACCGTGATATCGGGCTCTTTGCCCTTTTTATCATCTAGTTTTTTTCCCGACATATAGCAGCCAAGATCCCTCGAGAGCTTCCCATCCTTGCGCCAGATAAACTTCAGTTTCGGCGTGATATCAGAGGCGGCCGGATCACTCATTGTCCGATCGAGTTTCGAGCTTGAAGGTTGTCTGAACGTCTGCTGCGGCATTTCAAACTCCCATGAAGCGGCAGAGTTCCACGTCTTCGGCCTGTGGCGAACAAGTACCTGTTGGTCTGGGTTGTACAGCTGTATCACGAACTCATTTGGGAGTATAGGTTCTGGAGGGGGAGGAACCCCGCCATTTTGCCGAATGGCTTCTTGCGACAATGACGGTTGTGTCCATTTCGGGATCAAAAGGACCTCCGCATAAAGGACATCAGGAGAGTAGGCATCATATATGCCCGCAGCATAGCGGTTCTTGGACCCTGGGAGTGAGGGGTCGAGGTGTCGGAGTGTATAGACGGGTGTAGGTTCGGCACCATGCTGCGCGAAAAGGAAGGTAGAATTGAATTTGGGTTTGACGTTAGATGGCTTGACAAAAAACGCTGCAGACTTTGTTAGCAACTTCAGCAGTATTTATCCAAATATACTAGCAGTCATGTAGCATAGCTCGGGGAATCGTACTTGGCAGATTTTCATCCAGCATGTTTGAGTCGGCAAGCGTCCTGGCAGTTAAGATTCTACAGAAATGCGGTTCGGGGACAGAACTGGTTGCTCAGGCGCAGGAATAAAACTTGGGAGCACCGAACCATGCCCTGGAATGCCCTGGCCGTGCTATCCTGAATGTCGAGAGGCAAGAGAAAAGACAGGATTCCGCCTTGGAGATAACGAAGCTGCGATGGCGTTATGTCAGCGGGGTCCGCCAAGACCAATCTTACCTTCTATGGACTAGCGCAGCCGCAAGCCACGTCTCCGCGTGAGCCGCAAGCCACAAGCCGAAGCTTCATGACGCAGCACAAACACAGCACGAACACAGCACGCAGCACGCAGCACTCGGGAAACCGCAAGCTGCTGCGTCGAGGATTCGTACGAGTTATGGGGCACCTTGGTTGGACGCGCGGGTGGGAGGCTGCTGATGTCAAATGGGTTCTCGTTATCTCAGGTTTACATCGCTTGGACAGACCAGTGCCAGGTTGGAATGACATGTGTGTCCTATATTGCTCCTTGTGACATTCTGCTTCACGAGGGCCGAAAGTCCGCATTTGAGCCTTTGGCTGCGCTTGAAGAAGCCCCGTGCGGTTGTCTATTTCTGGCTGGGACTGCATACCCGACATTCCGCATGGATACTGCGTACGCGTCACGGATGGAGCAAGGGCTTTCAGAATTGCATCTCCCAGTTTCAGATCTCTGCACTTGTGGGGCTCAAATAACGCTGAGCGGGGTCTATTAATAACTGGGATCGACATGCTGGCGCCAAAATATCTGTGACCATTTTTAGCGATAGCTGTCCCAATCGAGGCAACAGCCTTGGAGACGAGACGGCTGCCGTCAAGTACAAGAAAGCCGATGTTATTATCCCTGGATTTCCTGGAAGCTGGAGTGTGCGATTCATTGGAACGCTTGAAATCGTCACCCAGTGATCGAGAACCAAAAACCAGGCAGAAATAAGAAAGATTCTACCATGGAACCAAGAGATCTAAATGAGAGATAAAAGAAGAAGAAAAAAACAAAATGAAAACAAAAAATGAAAACGAAAATAAAACAAAAAAACGAAGCCAAGATTACAGTTGACTTCATGTCACTCCCCTCCCTCTCTATATTAGATGCCCCCTCATCTACCATCGAATCTCATCTCTCATTTTCTATGCAATGACCCTCGCATCCTCGCCCGCTTCGACTGCAACAACCTTCTCTCCGGCCTTCCCTTCAATGCTAGTATCAACGGCGGCTACCCCTTTTTTCGCCGCCTCCTGCCTTGCAAATTCCAAAAGTTGATTCTCCCAGCCCGTCATGGCCTGCACGAAGAATTCCTTCTGCAGATCCCGGGAGGGCGCTTCGGCTGCTATCCCTCGACGCGTGCGTGACTCGCACGTTTCCACGAGGCTGGCGTTGTCGCCGTCGACGGGGCGGCCGTAAAGATCATCCCGGTCAGCAGAGCTGGTGAAGGTGAAGGTGCGATATTCGGTATTGCGCCATCCGGTGCCTGGGTAGGTGGGGGAAGGGCGGATATTAGTATAGTTATTGGGGCTAGGTTCCATTTGTGTAACTTTTGTTTCCCCCCCGCGCGAGAGAAAGGTTACGTATAAGCTTGTTGGTTTTGTGCTTTTTTTTTTTTTTTTTGGATGATGTGTATTTGTAGAGAGGAGCAGGAAGAGCGGGATGAAATAACTACCTTGGTATAGTGTGCTATCTTGCCAATCTTCCGTGAAATAATGTAGAAATCCCCCATGCGACACAACCACGATCTCCTTTTCCGGCCGGGCTTTTAACCAGTGCCGCGCCTCCCTGGCACGATTTGCAATTGCCTCGGCGCTCGGCGCCCATTTTCCTTTCTGCGCAATATCAGAAAAAAAGCCATATCAAATATTAGCCCCGCAATCCCCTGTTCAGCTGTTGCACCTCCGGATACCAATCCCGGCACACAGAACTAACTAGTAAATATCAGACGGCCGTAATTCGGAATTCCCCAACTCACCTTCGAATTCCAATCCTCCCCCACCAGCTCCAGATCCACCGGCATCCCATTCTCCTCCACCTCCTTGCGCAGCACCGCCAGGTCACTGCCGACATCACATGGCACGTCGCTCGTCTCCTGGATCTCCGGCAGCGCGACAATCTTCAATCCTTTGCTCTTGATTTGGTCCTCAAACGATAACAGCGCGGTGTAGAGCGTGCGCCGGAGAGGGGAGGCAACGACAAGGTCGATTCGGGAGTGGTGCGGGAATTCCGCGCTGAGGGCTCTGCATTGCGATTCGCCGTGCGGCGTCAGGAGGGGGTCGGAGAGGATGTGGTTGGCGTGGCTGAGGTTATGGTAGCCCTGGGGATCCCGGGGTCAGTTCAGCGGCTGTAGCCTGTGAGGATATTGTAACAATGGTAGCAAGGAGGAGGAGGAGGAGGAGGAGGCACGAACCTGGGCATGACGGACACAGTGAATGATAGGTGGCATTCTGGGAGGGAATTGATTTTATAATATATACAAAGAAAAAAAGAAAAGAGAAGAGAAGAGAAGAGAAGAGAAGAGAAGAAAGAGTTTTTAAGGAACTGTTAAAGGAAATGTCAGTTTCTGGTCCCGGCCATTTGGAGAGCGGGGCGGGGACGGCTACGAAGGGAAGAAACTTGCAGCGGATAGCGGTCTATATTTTCCTATATGTTCCTGTATCTAGAATGAAAGTATTGGGTAAATGAATAGAATGTAGTTATGCTATATAACAGAAGATGTCACAACAGAGTATTGAATTCAGGCACAGTAAAAAGTTTCTATAAAGTTGGAAATCTTTTATTCCTGCGAACAAACGAATGTTAGTCATACATAACTTTCCCCGTAGAGCAAACTTTGATGCTTTGGCCAGCCCCACATATGGAAAATGAATCTATTGGATAGAGCTATATGAATGGTATACGGAGAACCCATTGCTTGTTCGGAGTATTGGTTTCTGAGGGACGATTGAATTATTTGGTGAACTGCTCAGTCTCTGCTGAATTCGATAGTTTCTCGAATCTATAAAATTGACGTGCAGAGGTTATGTGAATAAGTTCTACCAGGAACATAAACCATCAATCCGATAACATTTCCCAAAGAAACATAAGCCAACACCAACCCGGGTCTATCAACCCTATGATCCTCCTTCCTCTTCCCCCTCTCTTGATGACCGTAGCCTGAAGAAGAAAAAAATAAATCAGATGCAAAAGCACGGGAAAGAGCAATGACTCTAATAAAACATAACGTCTTGGAAGGGAGGTATGTATTGCTCGCTTGCATGTCAAAAGGTATAAAAGTAAAAAACGAGGCAGTACACGGAATAGAAACCGAGAATCCAGTACAATTTCGGATCTTGCAATCAAGAGAACATGACAAGGATGAGAGGCAGTTCGTCTGAGATCGGATGCCTGGCAAAGGCCACCGTAAACTAGGCGACGCCAAAGCCTCTTGCGTTCTCAAGAGCCTTTTCCAACTTCTCTTCGAGGATGTCTCGGCTAGAGTAATCAGGCAGAAGGAGCCTGCCAAAGCATGTCAGGCTAGTGGGAAGGCGCTATACTATCGATTAGCTTTCGGCGAAGTCCAAGCACAGTGAAAAAAAAAAAAAAAAAAAAAAAGTGAGACAGAGCAGGTTAGTTACATACACTGTCTCCAGTACCATTCCTCTGGATCACGAACATGATACTTGAAATGCCGTTGACGGGTACTCGATCACTAGCCGTGACGAATTCCAGCAGCTGACGTTTCCTCGTCTGCGGGTAACCTTTCACAATGACCCAGAAGTCGCGGATGACACGGTGACCAGGCTCGAAGCCACCTTCATACCGGGTATGATGCTCAAGCTCTTCGATGTTGATCTCCTGGATCCCTTCGATGACCGTCTTCAATGCTTCCGGAGTAAATATTGATAGGGCCGTTCGGTCGAGGCAGGTGTAGAAACCGCGAGCGAATGCTTCATATTGTGGGCGGATGGATTTGTCTGTCAGCCAGAAGATGTAATCCTTGACAAATCGTTCTCGATTCGCGTTCGTGACCAAAGCGGCCTCCTGTGGAGGCGAAGGTGGTGTAGCTTTGTATGTTCTTGATGAAGAACCTTTCAGTATTCCAGAAAGCGTTCCATCCCTCTTCAATGTGGAACTTTCATCGGCACATTCACACAACATTGAGATATTATCATCGAGGGCCACCCTGGGGCTGTTTTTCCCTGACCAGGATTGTGGGCTATACGATCCACGCTTTTTCCTTTCCCAAGTTGCTCGTTCAGTGGCCGGCCATGGTTCAGTGCGGTCAACCTTTTCCATGTCGACAGAGACGAAGTTTCCAAACGCTTCAAAACTAAACTCGTAGGTCCTCATGAAGATATCACCAACATCGCCGTCATCCCATGATAGTAGGTCACTCAAACCCTTCGCAAGCTCCGGCCAGCCGACTTGGATATCATCAAGGGTCTTAACTTTCAACCCCAGCAATTTTTTGTACAACGCAACTGGGAAGTTAACCGGGAGTGTCAAACCATTATAAACAGCAAGAGACGTCAACAAGCCCAATAATTCGAATTTGTATAATGGCTCCATTGAACAAGGTTGAAACCAAGATATGCGAGTTCGCATATCCATCGTAAACATCCCGTATGATGGGTCCAATGCCTCTCCAAAAGCTACGCGGAAAAATTCTTGCTGAACACCACCATGATCAATACCTTCTTCCCCTTCATCCATACCCATTTGAACTTTAAGGGGTCGCATTAGCTCACGTCTTTCTCGTCGCCACAACTGATCGAGAGCATCGGTAAGAACATTATCACGTCTTACAACTAGGACCAGATATGTCGAGATAGACGTCTTCAATCTTGCAAGCAGACTAACATCATCATCTATCGGTATGATACTCGAGAATGCCGGTTGAGTAACATGTCGTGAGGTAGTCATTGCGGCTTCATATGATTTGGACATGTTAGAATAGTTGATAGCCCGGAAATATATGACCAGCGCGGAGGGAGGAAATAAGAAGGGATATGATAAGAGATGCACTGATTTGTTATTTTGAAGGATTCCAAGCCATTCGACAGGCATTTCTGTGGGGTCTAAACGCTCTGAGAGGAAAGCTGTATGGAAGTCTTCAGGCCGTAAACCAAGTCTAGAGCGATCTGTATACATTGATGCGAGGAGTTGTAAAGCGCCACCAGCGGCACCGGACTTGGCCATTTCAGGCTTTCCGTCCCATTCCTTCAAAAGAAGACTCCGCAACCATTCCACAGTTACCATATGGAGGTTGGTAGGACGCTCTTCATGTAAAAAAGGAGGTGGGACATGTGAAGGCTTTTCATTCGGCTTGGAGAGGTCACGCAGAGATTGTAAAATCAAACTTGTAAAGTCATGTTTCTCTTGTCGTTCAATATCATGGATGTTAGTTGTCCGAGTCTTCGAGATTTCATGGAAAGCTAACCGCGCAGAAACCGCCCGAACTAGGCGATTTAATAATCGGAGAGCGAGATCATGCTCAAACTTTTCTGAGATGGCCACTAGCGATCTCCTGGTAGATCCAGAATGCTTTCTCATCTCAGCGTCAGGTAAAACGGTACCCGAGGAGCGGACATGACGAACGACCTCCCATGTTCTCGGGTCAGTCAGAGGAATGGAGGTTGCTAAGGCTAGAAGCACGATAACTGCAATGTAAGCCGCATCGGCGTCAGAAATGTATTCTTCAGGAGAGTCAGTATTACTGGGTGAAGGAAGTCCACGTTTCGAAATTGTGCCGGACGAAGTGGACCATCGGACAGGGAGCATGCGCGGACGCGGTAAGGAAAATTCCTTCGGTGGAACAAAAAGCTTCTCAAGAGAAATCCACAAACTATGTAGTGTGGTTTCCCACGGACATATTCGATGCAGAATACGAAACGAGTCTTCTACTTGGTCGATATCCAGTGTGCTCACGTTTTCCCAATTGTTGACTTCCGACGGCGTTGAAGAGTCCTTTCGGAAGGATTGGAGAAGTTGCCGGGGACTGCTCAGAACGTAAAACACACTTTGTGCAACAAACGGGAACACCTCGCGCTGGCGAGGAGTCGCATACTGCCAATCCCAATGTTCAGAATACCCGCGAGACTCTAATTCTGACATTTCTTCATCCCACTTGTTTCTATTTTCATCATTTTCAAACATCAATTTCTCAAGTCCAGTCACTAACCGCGTTGACAGGTGGGATAGGGTCTGAATTTGCTGAGTTTTAAGTTGTTTTCCGGTGTGGGTATTTTTGCATACCGGAATTTCCGGGGGGTGAGTTGCAGATTGTGACTGTTGCATGCTGTAATCTATGGATACCCGGCTATTGTCCCGCTCGGAATTTTCCAACTTCCTCGGACCCCGGGACCCATCTCGCGAGACACGCATGTGCTGTCTTTGCTCGTGCTTGGAAGGGTTGCTCACATCACCATTTGCATTGCTATGTCTCTGTGGTCGGTGCTTTAAAGGAGGTGGCGATTGCAAGGCACGCGATGGTTGATTTGACGGAGTGTTCTGCGACGAAACCTTTCGAGCTGGTTTGCGTTCAGAGCGAATTCTGTCCTCGGTAAAGGACTTCGAAGGTTGTTTCCGGTGCTCCATTTCGCCGAGGGAAAGGCGCTTTACAGGCTGTCCAGGGATCTTTACTTCAACCGCCGTCGGTTGAGGATTAGAAGATGCAATGCTTTGCCGTCGGGGCTTAATACTCGGTTGTGAAGCGATCTGTTTTTGGCGACCATTTCGTTTTGGGTTATTTGGACGGTCTTGGATTCTCGGTGGTGCTTCTTTTTCAGGAGACTTGGATGGCAAGTTACCGTCCTCATTGGGGTCAGACTGGGTGGTATCAAAGGCTTCTGGAGATTTTCGTAATGGTAGCCATTCAACCATACGCAATGAAAGTGTGTCGAAAAGATTTTGAGTAAACGACTTCGGGTCCTTCAGTCTCAACGGCCCTTTGGCCCCTTCGCTCTGCGGAGAATCCGTTTTCTCGTTCTCATCACCTGATTTCGAAACAGCCCCATTATCCCCGGATTCCGTTTGGTGCATCCTTTCGGCAGTTGGCTTCTTTGGGGTTCCATTATCTTCCACGTTATCGGAACTTTGAAAGTCGGAGGCAAATCTGACATTTTGTTGGGATGCTTCACATGATCGTCTCCTATGTTGTCGGGTCGGGTCTCCTGAGAGGAAATCCGTGTTGATGGCTGGGATATTTCGGCACAGCCCTCGCTCCGGGTTGTCCTGACTGGCTAAATAGCATGCAACTGTACGCGCACTAAGTTCAGTAAACCTCCGAAGAGGCACATCTGAGGCTCTCTTGCGATAACTAAAACATGTAGGGGTGGTGCAAAACGGGTCCTGGCAACCGTAAAGGAGCTGGTTCTTATACCTATAACAAGTCAATAACGAGTCAGTAATGAGTCAATCGGTGATAGTGCTGCTGTCGAGGAACTATAAACAATTCTACCTTTTGACAAGGATATTGAAATCTCTCTGGCGCTTTTCCTTATTCCATGGTAGCACTCGTGCAGGATCCGTCACAGCGATAGTATTCTTGGTAAGCACATCTGGGGATCCAGCGGGGAGCTTGGATGGATGATGGAGTCCCTTGTCACTGACAGCAGTGGGTCGCCCTGGGTCCGGAGCGCTCCCAGAGCCTCCCCGCAGCCTGGTCATGGTGTGGCAGTGAGTACCATGTCCTAGTCAGAATGATAAGATCGCATGTGGCAGCAGAGGGCTGGCGCTGTTGCGGTTGTCAGGAGCAGACTCGAAGGTTGATTTCGAGAGATGCGAACGAACAACGAGGCTCTGCGTCACAGGGTGACAAAACGGCCAAGACCCTAGCGCCACAGTCAGCCGGCAATCGGCGTATTGTACTGTCACCCCGCCCAAGCACAACGTCATTACCCACGCAGCCGAGATTTATGTATTTTGCCTCTGCGTCGCTGGAAAACTTCAACCTTGATTTGAAATTCGATATCGATAGGAGGACAGCCCTCTCTCTGGAAACAAACCTACTTCCCTTAGCAAACAACTTGCGCAAAACAATTTTTCATAACAATATCCGTTACCAGAGCTTAACTACTAGTATTGTACGGTCGCTCACAAACATGCCACTCGCAGTCACTGAACACAGTGGAGCACTCGCCCCTGATGCGTCCCTGAACATTGCAGCTACACACCCGTTTACTTGCAATACATGCCAGGTTGCTTTCAGAAACAGTGATGCCCAGAGAACCCATATGCGGAGTGATTGGCAGTATGTATCCCATCCCCTTACATTCGATAACCCGACGAATATTCATTGATAGCTCTGGTGCAGTCGGTATAATCTAAAACGTCGAGTCGCATCTCTTCCCCCACTGTCTTCCGAGGTATTCACAGAGAAGGTCCTTGCCGCTCAGGCAGCCAATTCCGCAGCCGCTGCGAAAGCGGCCTTTGAAAAAGCATGCGTAGCTTGTCAGAAAACATTCTTCAGTGAGAATGCCTTCCTGAATCATATGGCTAGCCAGAAACATAGGTCGAGGGATGCACAACTGCGGAAAAACGGCGGCCTCCAGGATGAAACTGCGTCAGTGATGAGTGGAACATTTTCTCTGGGAGAGCCGATCAATGTAGGAGAGCCTATCACAGCTTCCCCTGCTACTTCCATCCAGGAATCTGCCGCGGAGGAAGAATTCTCGAAGATTGTGGACGCAATGAAAGACACTGCGATCAGTAGTGAGGATCCGTTATTGAAACGCCCATCCAGACCAACTCATTCTTCAGTTGTTGGGGATCGTCAACCGTCACCAAACGGTACTGACACCGAACATGATGAGGACTATGCGTTAACCCACTGCATGTTCTGCAACCACAATTCAGCAAGTGTGAAACTGAACGTCCTCCACATGAGGAAGTTCCACGGCATGTTCGTGCCTGAGCAAGCATACCTAATCGATGGGGAGGGGCTCTTGAAATATCTCTTTGACAAAATCACAAAGAATAACGAGTGTCTATACTGCCATAAGATCAAGACAAGCACCCCAGCGATCCAGACACACATGCGGGATAAGGGACATTGCATGATTGCGTTCAGCACCGAGGACGAGATGCTCGAAGTTGGGCAATTTTACGACTTTTCCAGCACCTATTCTGACGACGAGGACGTCGATGGATCAACATCGACAACAGAATCTCCAACTGGGGGTGCCAAGGGGGATGGTGACGACGACGACGAGGAGGGATGGGAATCGGACAGCTCGATATCATCTGTAGTCGGCGGAAATGCCTTCCATACCGAGTACGAGCTGCATCTGCCATCCGGACGAACCGCGGGACACCGCTCTCTGTTCAAATACTTCCGGCAGAATCTACGAAATTACCCAACTCCGGAGGAGCGTCTTTTACGCCAGCGGGAAATTACGGACGCGGCGCAGAATCCCGACGTCCATGACACCGACGCAAGTGCGAGGCGGAACCAGTCACTCGTTACGAGGGTGCGGGGTGGCATTGGCATGATTGGTGCGAGTGATAGCCAAAAGCGGTACGTCAAGGCGGCAGAGGTTAGAGAAAGGAGAAGTGAGCAGAATGCGAGGAAACAGTATGAGTGGGGCATCAATCGGAGGGGTAATTTCCAGAAACATTTCAGGGTAAGTTTATCCTAGATTTTTCTTCTTTTTTATGTTCTATCCGCATCACACCATTCTTTTTATTTTATTATTTTTTTTTTCCCGAGTTACTTTCTCACAGTTATCCGTGCATATACTAATGGTAACTCCAAATTGCAGGACCAGCTACTCCAGTAATCAATCTGACTAGGTGCGCACCGCTGATATTAACACATAGTCTCTTGCGAGCGTATTCCGTGCTATTATTATCTTGTTGATTTTGGCCTCTCCCACAGAGTAACATAGTTAGCCTATTTAAACAAGCCCACTACAATAGATTGCTGTAATTGAAAAAAGAAGAAGAAAAAATCGAATTGGCGCGAGTAGAATGTCCTTATCTCAAACCTAGCTTGCGAATACCACAAATACAAGCTAGTTAAACAAAAAAAAAGAAGAGAAAAACCTAGAAGGGCCACAAGCGGGGCGAGTTTACATTTTCACTTTTTCAGAAGAGCTAATCATTGATATAAAAGCCACTCCATGCTAGCAATTTTTCAGTCCAACTGGCATTCTTGCACTGCTCTCAGTGCAAAGATCAGATGGGATGGAGCGGGGAAGGGGAGTCGATTTGCAATTTGTATGTATAGCGCCCCAAACACAAATCACAGTATCTCATGATCCAGCCCCTGACTGCCAGACGGATAATATATATATACATATATATATATACTACCGTCCGTCCTTGTCGACGATCCATCTCCATACACCACTATAACAACTCCACAAATCATGGATAGATAGATAGCAAGTTTTACAAAAAGACAGACAGATTCGAATGGCTCCCATATCAGCTCAGTGAAGACCTATCATATAACCTGGACGGTTCTCAAAAATGAAAATGAAAATGAAAGAAAAAGAGAAAAGAAACTTTGACGAGGCTGAAATAAAAAAAGAATATAAATATAGATAGAATGTAAAATATAAAATACAAACACCGAAAAGATACGTTAATCATCACTCAAGCAGATGCTGCGTTTCATCGCGACTGCCTTGGTCGGTAGATTTAGAACCAGCTCCCCACCTGCGCTTTCGGCGACGTTTTTTCTTCTCACCATGAGTACCAGAACCACCATTGGCCGGCGGGGTTGCATTGCCGCTGGAAGAAGTGAGAGCCTGTGTTGTCTGTGCTTGGTCGGCGCTGGGGGAAGTCTCCACCCCGCCGTCCTCGTCGGTCGTGGCGTCGCTGCTCGTTTGGAGAATAACCTTGCGAATTCCGTTACTATCGACGATCTGCTCTGTGATGCTGCCGCTTCGAGCTGGGCCATGCCGGTGGTGTGGTTCTCTGGTCTTTTGGGCTCCTGAGTTGGCGCTGCTTGGTCGATTGCGGTGTGACCGGGTGCTGGGGGAACGAGATACTACTGCTGCTTCGTTTTTTGAAGTAGTCAGATTCCTAGAGCGGTCATGCCGCGGGCTCCCGCGGTGGGAGCTGATTTCTTCCGTCATCTCTGCGGTCGGCGATTGCGTTGTTCTCCCCATTGTGCCATAGGTTTGCACGGCCAGGACGGCATCGCTCGCGCTCTTGCCTGCTGAACGGACCTGAGATTGGGGTCGCGTTGGTACAGCACTGAGATGTTCGGATGGGCGGCTCTGGGAGACGGAAGACTGGCGATCTGAGCTGGTTACTTCACCGGGCTTAATTTTAACTGCCTGGTATCTTGTTTGTCGGGGCCGGCTGGCGAGATTAGAGGGCCCTAGGTGCTTCAAATGTTCGCGGATTTCGGGAGTTGGGCCACGCATGGTTATCGGAGAATCTACAGAGTCTGTGCTGTCAAAGGTATTGTGTTTTCGGAAATAGAATGTGGTCTGAGGAGGAGACCCGTAATCTGCTACAGAATGGCTGCGAGCGAGGGTCTCGCTGCGCGTAGGCTCTAGGTTTGTCATATTGTTATCGGACACATCGATAAGACTCCCATGTGTTGGCAGGGGCTCTGAAACAATCTGGCCTTTTGGAACGCGAGATTTGGGTGCAGGTGCCATACGACGTATAGCCTTATGTACATCAATAAAGACATCGGACTCATCGATGATTTCCCTGTCAAGTATTAGCTAGACATATCTTGGCGTCCGGGTTATTCATACATACTCTCCAATCAGCTCCTCGATGACATCCTCGAGGGTAACCACCCCTAATGCCCCGTGATCTTCACCCGGGTATTCTGAAACCAAAACCATGTGAGACTTCCCCTCCTGGAAAAAGTTGACAATGTCAAGACAGCTAGTTTCTGCGCGGGTTTCAGGGAGAGTTGCAAGTGCAAAATCCCTCACCAGTTTGCAGTCTTCTGGATCATAGGTGATAAGCATTTTCACCAATAGCATGCCAACAAAATTATGCGGCTCATCCGGAGAATGTATCGGAATTCGAGAATACCCCTGGGATAGGATTAAATCCATCATCTTCTCATCCAAAACCGTGTCGGCAGACATAGTGAAAACGTCCTCCATTGGAATCATAATGCTGCCCACTGACTTCTCTTTGAGGTCAAGAACGGCAGTAATAATAGTAACCTCATCAGAATTAAGCTGTTCTCCAGCCTGCCCCAGATTCTTGTGCAAGGTCACTAGCGTCTTCAAACCGGCTTTCTTGTATATAGTTCCGTGATCTTCGCCCAGGATTCTGTCGAGCAACTTCGCGATAGGCCACGCAACCGGCGACATGATATACATCAGGACAAGGACGCAAGGGGCCATCCACGCTCCAATGGGTAAGCCATAACGGACACAGATCGACTGGGGAACAACCTCGCCAAATATGACTACACCGAATATTAGTACTAAAACAAGAGAAGTATAGAAAAACCAGAATTATCACACACCGATGAGCGCTGTACTTCCCAATACCGCGGGCCAGCCGCCTCCTAAAGAGCGATCGAGGATAATTGGGAGCGTCTCGTTTGTGATAACATTACTAAGCAACAACGTAACCAAAACCCAGTGTTTACCACGCTTCAAAAGATTCAATACTTTTTCGGCGTGTTTCTTCTCCGCGCCTTCGCCGGAAGTTTTTATGACCTGGAGGTAGACTTCATCCTGTCGCATAGGAAAAAAACAGACGCATGAGTATCCGCGATGGCGCAAAGGATAGCAACATTAAACTTTAGAACGGGAGATGTGCCATTTATCATACCTGGCCCATAAGCGCAATTGTCAACCCGGCGAAAGCACCACCGCTAATCACCAGAGCCGCGGCCACCGAGAGATTTAGCCACAGGCCGGGATCGTCGGAAGAGTTGCCATGCCCCTGGTCGCGGAGCTGGAGGGAGCCAAGGATGGGGAAGGCGTAGGTGGTAGGGAAATGGGCGATTGCGAGAAACAGCAGTTTGCCGACCGCCAGCGCTAATGATCGTCCGGCCACATGCTGGTTCGGATACATCGACGAGACGGGCAAGCTCCAGACAACAAAACTGTACACGCGCACGTTTTAAGGACCGATGAACGCTGGATGGGTCGCAGAGACACCAATGCTCAAGGCAGCGACGAGTAGCTCAGTTCACACGACGGCGCGTACTTGGTCAACACGACTAACTAACGGAGATAAAGGCAGAAGTTGTCTGAGAACACCCAATAATCGAAACTGTCACGAGAACACAGCAGATCCAGTCTCGGTGAGGTTGACGGTTGGAACAAGACGGGGGGCGTTTGAGCTTTCACAAACAACAAAGCTTTGACAGGTCCGCGATGTAGTCATTGGCGTCTTGGCACCGGCCAGGGCTGCTTAGGTCAGCTGAAGCTTGGCGCATCTTGACAGCTGTGACGCCGAAAGTCGGATTGGAACCTTGGAAGTCTTGAACAATCCGAGGGGAGAAGTGGGATATTGAAATATAGATAGATACGCACCGGCCCATGTATGTGTTGCTGATTGTGGAGCCATAGGCTTCTTTGAGACGGCGGGTGGAATGTGGTGGAACATGAGCAGCAAGTTACTTAGTATGTCCTACTATTCATTCAATGAAAATGGAACAGAATCATTTGATGTCATGGCTGTTTTCTTAAAATAAAAACAAAAACAAATGAACGAATGGATGAATGAATGGAATGAAAGCGAAAACAAGACATGTGCTGCAACTGTCTTTTATAACGCATTTCTGAAAAAGAATAAAGTGCATACTTAGTTGTATGATGATGATGATGATACGATATCTATTAATATCGATCTCTCTTTGAACCATCCTTGAAACAACCAGAACGTCCCTCTTCCATTCATCGTGCATGGTTTCTATTGTGCAACAAAGAAGAACTCCAAGGAAACAGCCGTTTTCTCCACAAACAAACCAAATGTGTAAAAAAGGGAGCTTCTGGTGGATAAACAGCAAAAGGGCCAGAAGCAGCATGTACCTGATTTACCTTGTTTTATCTGTACAGCTTGTCATGAACAACAAGCCCAAGAAGGCCCAAAAGAAAGAAACAAAATGTTCCTCTGCTGCCTTTCACCCAGCAGCTTCTATGGACAGATAGAAGTTTGTTGTTCGGCATATCCCAGATAGAACCTCCTAGAGAAGACTCATTGTGGGCACTGGCCAAACCCCCTTCTTGTCAGTCTATATATATTCAGGGGAAATGAACCCCTTGAGTAGATAGGGAGAAAAGAAAAAGAAAAAGAAAAAGATAGATAAAAGGAATGAAATACTGGGGGTGCCCAGACCCTCCAGGGGTCTCCCCTCCCAGCCTATACTGTAGGAATTCAACATCTCTTCTTCCGTAACCATTCCGCTCTATCAAACCTCCCGCGAGCATTTGCTGTACGACGGAGCAAAGGGAAATTGCATTCACTACGAGCAACAACACTTCGGATCGGATAGCAGGGAAATCCTCATTGCCAGGCGAAAGTCATCGCTACGGGAGAGGGTCGTGTTGAATAACACAAGAACACAACACACAACATAAAAACACCCCTTTTCTCAACGATCTTCCTTGCTCTTCTTCTCCCCCTTCTCCCTTCTCCTTCTTTCTTCAAGTCTTGTAAAAGCACTCATCACCTTCTTATTCTCTATTTTCTACTTCTTCACAAGCAACATTTCTCTCACCTTTCACAGCCTAACGGCGATATCATTCTCACCTCCCTATCACCACTACCACTTCGACATCCTTACCTCTCCCCCTGACCAGCTCTCTTGAGCCACCAGACTGCTTCGCGATAGTACGGAGACGCGCCGTTAACTTTCACTTCCGTCTTCGTGACTATCAAGCAGTCGAGTGCCAGACCGCTGCGCCCCTCCGTTAATTTCAAGAGCTGGAAAAGCCAAAAAAGGGGTCAAAAGATTGAAAAATAAGAAAGAAAGAAAGTTGGTCTGGCTGACAACTTCTTTTCCCAATCCCCTCTTTTCTCGTGTTTTCCGCTCGAAGAATCGAAGAATCCTCGATTCAAAATCGATCAACGTTCCGCCAATTCTCGAGACGCAAAGGGGAACCCCGACAATGTTTCCCCTGATGTTGCTGTGCCTGGTGTTGCTTGTGGGTAGCCTCTTGGGTGGGCCCACCATCACCGCAGCGGCCGCTGCAATCGTCACAACGGTCTCGGAGAATCCGTTGCTCGTCGCTGAGTCGATTCTCGATCATACCATGACGTGCCCACTGGTCTTCAGTGCAGTCCTTTTCGTCGCGTTCGTCTTGCTCAGTTTCGTCCCCGCATGCGCCAGCGTGCATGAGAGGCTAAGTTCTATCAACGGCCCTGTCACTATCGCGAAGGCGGTAAGTATCGTTCGCGCCAGCCCAGCTGGCAAGCACATGGTGGCCGCGTGGTCACCTCTGCGGGCGACTCTCTCGCGTGCTTACTCGCAAGATGGTGCCCTGGGCGTCGCACGACTTGCGGCGAATTTGGCTGTATCTGCCTTCCGTCAGACCTGGGTGCACCGCCTGTACCGCTGGATTTCGCCCAGCGACGAAGTAGTACTTTTGGGAGTGCTATTTGTGAGTGTCATTTCTCTTCTATTCCTTCTTGCAGCTGGCGCACGAGGGCTTGCTAACTGTGCAACTAGATGCCGGTTACTTTGTATTGCGGATACGTCAATTTCGGTGCACCAGCCTGCGCCTATCTCTCTGGCCTTTTGGTCGGGATCGCCAACGATTCCGGGTTGCGTACTTCTAGTTGTGACTATGTCATAACTAGCATTTATACTCCCGTGGATTCACTCAGGCAGCAGGATACACAACTCCAGCGCTTGTATTGTTCTGGAGAACTGTCCGGATTCGACATGAGAGCCGAATGGAAAGAATGGATGGAGCACCAGCTCTATGTAGGTTTAACCGAGATAGTTAATTTTAAATTTCGTTAATGTTGTTATTCTTTGTTATTTGTTGGGTCAAGAAGCACCTAAACTGATGAGGTGCCTCAAAAATATAGTCATTGGAAATGTTCCATTTTGCACTCTTCGTGTCCTTGGTGGCGTTGGCGCTCCTCCCTACCTTCATCGTCTGGACGTTCATCAAGCTGAAGGATTTTGACTTCATCATTGTCCGGAAAGCAAGCCTGACAGCGACGGAGGTTGCAGGGAAACCAACCCCGAAGAAGGCCAAGAGGGCAAGCGATGTGAACCCCGCCAGAAGGAATGGGACAACTGGGAATCGAATGAGGGTCAGCCAGCGCTCTTCGATGATTGACCAACTAAACGGCCGGATTAGAGAACTTGAAGGACGCACCCTCGACTCTCGGTCCAGGATTTTGGCTCTTGAGGAAACAGTCCGGACCAAAGACCGAGTACTCGCCAAAATCATGAAGGACCGCGAGGAGCTGCAGCTCGTGAACTCAAAGGAGCGCTCACGACGCGAACACCTTACCGAGAAGCTGGCAAAGATTGTCAAAACGCAAGACACGCGCAGTTTAACTTCCTCCCTCCAGCTGGCGCGAGAGCAGCTGAGACAGGAAGAGATGCGAGCGGAGATTGCAGAAGACAGGTACCAGGCTCTCAGAACGCTTGCGGGTCACCTCAATTCAGAACCAAGCCTCCAAACGCACCTGCGCGATTTTGACAAGATCGCTGAGCAGTGCAATATGGACGGTATCAGTGCCTTGGCCCGCAAGGCAAGCCTGGAAGTCATGCACCAAACTCTCAAGGACAAGTTACGCTACCTGCTTAGTGAGGCAACGCCCAAGGTTTACGCGGTTCGGAACGCCAGATGCGACGAGAAGATTGCCGATATCAAAAGAACAGCCGCCCTTGAGAGGGAACTCGAGAGTGCGCGCCGCCAAATCAACTCGCCCGCAGCCGAACCTGCCAAACGTCCACGTATTGCCGCCGCGAAGGACAACCCGGTGACGAAAGCCAACGCTGAGCTTGACGCGATGAGACAACAACTTGCCAGGGTTGTTGCTGATCTTGAAACGCAACGCGGTGAGACTGCAGCTACGATTGGCCTCTTGGAAGGTGAACGTAGCGCGCACGCTCTTTCCGTCGCGGCACTCAATGAGACGCACAACACGGTCCTCATCACCCACTCGAGCCGAACGCAGGAGCTTGAGGTGGAGATCCAAGCAGCGAGAAGGCACGCCGAAGAAGTCAGAGCAGGAAAGGACAAGGAGATTGCGGACCTTCGCCAAGAACTCGAGGCCAAGAACCAGGAGATCGTGGCTCATACCCGCGAGATCCAGGAAAAGGGCCGGGTAATCGTCAAGATGGAGGGTGAGCTCCAAGAAGCCCGGCGCTCCTTTGGAGCCCTTGAGGTTGCCGCCAAGGCCCAAGAATTTCATGACGCCCAGACCCAAACACCAGTCACTGGCGCTGAGCTCGCCCAACTTCAGCAACAGCTGGTTAGTTCCGCTACTCGAGAGGAGGCTCTCAGTACTGAACTCGCCCAAGTCAATGGACTGTTACAGCAGCTGCGGCTCGAGCACGCCCAGTTTCAGGAGCAAGAACGGCAAGTGAAAGAGGGTCTGATCGCTCAGTATCAGGCAGCCTTGTCCGGTAAGGATGCCCAGTACAAGCAGCAGATCGACCATCTCCAGTCCGCGGGCCGAGCCCTCGATGCAGAGTATCAGAAACTGCGCACGAAGGTCCAAGGGCAGCAGGCAACTTCAACTGCGCTCGCGGACGCTAACGCAAAGGTGGTTGAACATCAAGCACAAATCAACCATCTGACGCAGAAACTGAGCCAAGTTACCCAGGCTCCGACAGACGATTTGACCAGACAACAGATGGAGAAGCTTCGCACGCGGGTGCAAGTTCTCGAGAAAGGTGACCGTGACAATATCGCAGACAAAATCCGGTTCACCCAACGGATCAAGAGTCTGGAGGAGGAGCTTCAGAAGGCCAAGATCGCAGTCAGCAACGCCAAAGCGGATGCGGTAAGCCCTCGCCCTGTGCGAGGCCCCAATCCATTGAGAGCAAAGGTCGACGACTTGAATAAGGCTCTGCAGTCAAAGGACGCTGAGCTAAGCGCGCAACAGGCCCAAATTGAGACTCAACGGGACAAGATCAAGTCTCAAGAGGACCGGCTTAGCTACCTTGTTTCCCTGGGCTGGATTCAAGAGGATAGCCCCAAGGGGCTGGAAGCTCCCATTCCGGAGAAGGGAGAGTTGATCAGGTCCGAAGTCGACGTCCAGAAACGGGGCGGTGAGCCACTCGAGCCACCACCAAAGAGACAAAGGACGGAGGAGTATGAGTCCTCTGCGATCCTGACCGTCCCGGCCATCTGGGCGAAGACGACCGACCTGTGAAAAGCGTGATTGAGGCCATTTATTTGGGTAAGTCGGATCGCGACTAAACTTCATCAAGCCAGTTGTCTCTGAAGAACACTGACTAATTGCTGAGTCAGATACATAGTTAAATTGAACATCATGGGAAGCGGGCGCTTCGGCTGCCTGCGAATTTTAAGGCAGCGATTTTTATGGCAAGCTTCGACAAAAACGAGTCAAAGAGTTCCTTTAATGACGTTGTAAGGGTGTTTTACGTTCAGGGAGTTGTTCACCCTGTTTTCTTTCTTCCTCAGGGTGAAGAGTTTCGCCCTGCTGGGCGGCGCGGACCCAGATATGTCGTCCCAACTCCCCACAGGAGCGAACCACGGAATTCAGCCAGCTAGAACAACTGTCTGCACCAAAATACTCAACCTGTCAACTTGCCAGTAACAAGATGACTGTCCCCTTGTACCACGTATGTTCAGTATTCAGAAAGGTTCGTTTGGGTCCAACCCTTCATGGGGCTGGTGCGACATTCAGGGGAACTCCTGATTTACGGCAGGTGGTGACGCAACCAACATCGACAACTTGCCAAAAGACACCTTTCAGTTCGAGATCTGGGTGTAAAGGACACACTTTTGTATATGGATGTGGCAAATAATTTCCAACCCTGAACTTTCCACAGAAAGTGAAATGGATGTGTGGCATTGATTGCTCCAACCCCAAATCCTCCTTGAGGTAATGTCGCCCAGCCTGTCAGCAGCATTTCACGTGTAATTCGATATCGAAACGACTTATACAGGCTTCGGGACTTCAGGTCAATCTGCCAACTTGATATGCCACCTCAACAAAGCCGCCATGACAATGAGGATGCCCCGTTCCTACCAAAGTCCACTTCCGTCACCGAGTTACCGGCTCGTTCAAGCGAGGACTCCCATAGGCCCAGCACCTCGCAGCGGAAAGTCCGCATGCGACTCACTATCGCTCTTTTTGCCATTGTTCTAGCCTTTGAGACTGGCGGAGCCATGCTTGGTGCACCCATAACACGCCTATTCGAGTCGATAACTTGCCTGCACTACTACAAGGAGCACGACCCCACAATTATAGGGAAGAATGGATATATTCCCGAGAAATCATGCAAAAATAAAGAGATTCAAGGCGAAGTTGCAATTGTGAAGGGTTACGGAGAGCTTTTTGACGCGATGGCTGGTAAGTTGATGTTTTGGGGGGCCTAGAGGAAATCCATGTAGAGTAACGGGGTAATATAGGGGTCATTCTTTCGATACCGTACGGCTTATTGGCAGACAAGTACGGCCGAAAACCGATATTTTGTCTTTGCATTCCTGGGTTTTTCGTGAACATGCTTGTTGTTGGCGTTGTATTGTACGTTCCGGATGTGTTTCCGTTACGTTTGGTTTGGTTGTCTACGCTTGCCTGGCTGTTTGGAGGTGGATATGCTGTCGCTAGCACAATGATATGGACGATGATGGCGGATGTTACTGCTGAATCCCAAAGGTTTGCCCTTACCGCTCTTGGACGATACTGCTGCGACATTTTCTCTCTAACATATCATCAATGCGAAGGGCTGGGCTTTTCTTCAGATTCGGGGTGGCCATAATGGTGGCCGATTTCATTTCTTCACTGGTTACCTCGTGGCTCATGAAGTACAATCCCTGGATTCCGATCACAATAGGATGGGGCCTTACGATCCTTGGCACCCTTCCCGCGCTGCTATTACCAGAAACAAAAGGGACGTTTGCATCGGGGGGAGAAGGAACTTATGAACTTTGCGAACCACCTCCCGAAGACAACAGTGCTATCCATCTCTCTCTTTCCTCTGAGCAACCACATTCCATCGACCAACCCCCTTTCCTCTCACGACTCGGGCGGACGGCCTCCCAGTTCAGCTTCATCGTCCGCGATAAACACCTCATGTTTCTCGTTTCCGCGTTCCTCGTCTACAGACTCAGCCGCGGCACAGCATGGCTGCTCATACAATACATATCCAAGCGCTACCAATGGACCCTAGCAGACGCGAATTTCTTGACGTCCTTCAAATCCATCCTGACCATATTCCTCTTCCTCGGCGTGCTCCCGCTCGCGTCGTGGTACCTAACCGCGCGACGGGGCGCACACCACCGAGAAAAGGACCTCGCCCTCGCCAAAGCCAGCGTCATCCTCCTCGTCGTCGGTACACTCATCATGGGGCTCTCGCCCTCCATAGGCCTGTTTATTGTCGGACTCGTGGTGCAGACGTTGGGGATCGGGTTCGTGTTTATCGTGCGGTCCCTCGCCACTATGATGGTTCGGAGGGACCAGACCGCTCGGCTGTACACCGCGATAGAAATCTTGCAGAGCGTCGGGGTGGCGATTGCCAGCCCAACGGTGACGCTGTTTTTCAACTGGGGTTTAGACTTGGGAGGGGGCTGGGTTGGGTTGCCGTGGGTGGTGGCGTCGGGCTTGTTTGGGGTGACGGCAGTACTGCTGTGGATGTATAGACTGCCCTCTTCTCCGAAGCAATATACGGCAGACAACCCAATTCCCCTCTGATCGTGTTTATATTTTTGGTCTTTCTCTATTTTCATTTTAGACTCCAGACTCAATCGGGTTTGTGTTCGGGTGTTCATTTTGCCATACAATTTCCTTTCTCTGTTTCTTTTTGTACGGTACATTGACTACATAGATACATACATACGTACATACGTGCGGTTACTAACGGCTTTCCTGATCCATTTTGAAGCGATTCCGTTTTGCTTCTTTTTTTTTTTTTTTTTCTAGCTTCTTCGATTCCAGAAAAAGTAAAATCAAAATCAGATCAACCCTACTCAGAAGAGACGGGATATTATATATATAAAGGGTCAAGGGCCAAGCTCCAGAGCGAAGAAAGAGCAAATAAAATTATAACGTCGTTGGTCTCATGGGCAATGCAAGTCATCTTTCTTGAAAGAAAGAAAAACAGAAATAATCGTTAGCGCCGCCATGCCTGCCGCCAGCCTTGTCGATCCGGGGGAAAGGATGGATGGGTGGGGCCCCAGATGACTATCTAGTTAATTGGTTGGTATTTGATCAATTTAACTACCTTTTGGAGGTTCGAAACAACGGTTTCAACCATTAAATACTTACAGGATGACAATCGCAGGCCCTTAACGCAGTAGGGAAGGGGGGGGAACAGCACATCCACATTATATATATAGAGATATTTTCTTCTCTCTTCAGATACCTTGACAAACAATCAACTGCGCTCCACCCAGGAATTGCCGCTTACCGCTCTCAACCCCCGTCCCTTTTAGCGAGGGGGGTAGTTATCAATAAGTCGGGGTGGGGTGTCTGTCATTAATTGCAATTTACTCTCTATAAATCCCCAACCATTGTCAGCACGAATTGTTGAGCCAATTAATAAATAAACCATGTATCCACACAGCAGTTAGTGGAGTGAACTAGTTAACTGACTGCTGTCTTCAATGGTCTGAAATCGTCGATGATATAGTTACAACAATCCACATCTTCTAAGCTATTCTCTCTCTCTCTCTTTCTCTCCTTCTCCTCGATCGGGAAATCCTTCCAGATGCTTCCAATTCCACGCCAAACCGTATGCGGCGGTGGTACCTGGATCCAACCTCAATCCGGACTAGCGTCGCCAGGGGCACGTTCCAATCGGGCAGGACCAGTTTCAAAACAGCTAGCGCGTCAGCCAGGGACACCGCTGATTGGCTGCGTCGTGGAAGATGAGATGAGGAGGCTGATGGAAGAAATGAGCCACATCCGACTTGCAGCCACTGCGCCAACTAACTGCCATCGTTAAGTTGCCGGGCTCTGGGCGCTGTTCGTCCATTGTTCTGCCATTTCTCTTGGATCAGTTGTTGTATTGTAGTGATTGTAGTGCATCCCATCTCGGATCTTCTTTATCCCATTCACTGGCCTTTGTCTCCTGTCCGTCCTCTTTCTCCGCTGTCTGTTGTTGCTGTTGTTCCAGCACTGCTTCTGTTGCACCTCATCTGTTGGCTCTGACGCTCCGAGGAACCAAGGTTGCACACATCCCCCCTGTCTTGGCGCCCAGGCCGCGACGCCCTCGAAGCCACTCGCCCACTTCAAGTGTGACATTAGACTTTCTTCCTCCTCCTCCTCCTCCTCCTCCTCCTCCTCAGATCATCCACCATCACCACCATCACCATCATCAATCACCACCATCATCACCGCTCCACTGGACGACAATCGCCCATCCATTCCTTTATCCCCCACCCCACCGCGAGCAAATCATTTTTTCTCGTTCGTCGATGCAGTCCCGCCGCTCCTTTCGGATTCTCTCCATCGATTGACACCACCACCACCACCGCCGCCGCAGCCGCCAGATGATCTCTCGCGCCCAGTGCGATGTGACTGACTCCCTTACTGCCTCAAATCATACTCTCGAGGGACAGCGCGCCGACCGTTGAGCTAGGTCTCGCATTCTTACCGGCATCGTATCTCTCTCTCAAATCTATCGCTTCACACAATCGTTCGGCTCTCTCCCTTCCAATAACTCCCGCGATAAAATCTACTTTCTCTACCTTTCATTGCCATTATTTTTTCGTTATTCTATCCTTTCTGCGACCGGCTGGGCCGAGGTATCGCGATCACTCACTCACACACACTCTCTCTCTCCTCATCCCCTTGCGGTCACCACCGTTCCGACACAAAAAAAAGTAATAAATACCTTCCCAGTACGCGTTTGTATAGGTACACATCCCTCCATTCTCATACTTGGTTGATCCAGGTCGTCGTCTGCTCGAACGTGTTTAAGCGCTCTAAAAAAAAAATAATAGGGCTATAGAAGGTGATATATCATAGCTCGGAATCTTTGTGGGCAATGGGTTGCTGTACGGGCCGGAAGGAAGAGTACTGGGGCCATATGCGAGCAGAGCAAAAATGGGAATACATTGTAAGGGGATCGTCATCCTTCTTTTTTTTTTTTTTTTTTTTTTTTTTTTTGGTTTGAAAATTTTTCATGGAGTACATTCTTAGTTGTCATCCTTTTTCTTTCTTTCTTTCAACTCATCACTGACGTGCCTCACGTAGAATCTTCAAGATTTCAAGTCGAAGACGTGTTTTGCCCAATTTTCCTATTTTATTCTTTGGATTTCCGTCTTTATATCTATTGCCGTGTATGGCGTCGACAGCTTCACCGCTGTCAACTTGATCGCGTTCAATCGATGGTCGACCGAGGCCCAACAGTTAATCCCCCGTTACATCTCAAAATGGATATTCGCCGGGTGTATCATGCTGTCCTTCGTCTTCCTCATCTACCGATGGATTCGTGCGGTCCGTGTCCTCAGACAAGGAGGCGTCGCCCAGAGCTATCTTGACCCTCTGGCCGCCAGAGTGCAGAGTATTCGCATCGGGGAGAAAGGCCAGGGCTGGCGACGTTTCCTGGTGTTTTACGAGCTTACCAAGAGCAAGAAGGGGGCTGATTATGTTGCGCTTTTCACCTACTTCAATTTTGAATCGTGGATGCGGACCGTTTTCGCCGAGGGCCCGCGCCAGTTTATCAATGGGACGATCCTGTATTCCGTCATGGAATCCGATTTGATCCTCCAAGGAAAGCACGCTGCCCCCGAAGGCACCTCCCCCATCTCTCAATTTTTCAGTAATGTTGGAGCGCTGGCCGAAAAGGATAAGCGGCAGGCGGTGATTCTGTCAGCTATGTTGTTTACCCTCTTGATTTGGGTGTTCTCCATCCTCAGTCTCTTCGTGTCGTGCATCTTATATCTTCTTTTCCTGTGGCATCATATCCCGAGCGAGGATGGCTCCCTTACCGCCTATTGTCGCCGCAAGATCAACAGGCGGTTCGAACGAATAGTCAAGGAGAAGGTCGACAAAGTACTCGCTAAGGATGTTGTGTTGCAGGATCGAGGGCCGTCTGACCCTGAACTCGGGACTGGTAGTATCAAACGACAACCCACGCTCCCTGCCTTCCACCAACCAACCTCCGACAATTTCCCAGAGATGCCGCCGCCTCTTTCCCGCCAGACAACTGTGTCAACACTCCCGCCATACTCTAACTCCTCAACAAGAGGCCCCGGCCCTCAGCGTCAACCCACGTTGCCTAGTTTGCGGCAGGACAACTCAGATGGGATTCCAGAAATGCCAGGCCTCTCGCGTCAGAACACGCAATATTCCAGCTCTATGACACCAGGGCCTACTTCTCGCCGTCAACCAAGCTTGCCAGACTTCAGCTGGTCCGCCTATGACGATATGGCTATGGATAGCAACAACCATGGTTCTCGCGTTTCAGATGACAACGTACCGTTGGTAAACAACGCCGCGGGATTTAGCTTTGCCAACCAACACGATGATCGGGGCCCTCCAGTCCTACCACCAATCGAAAGACAAGGGACACCGCCGTCGCTCATGGTAGGTCCAAGGTTGCACGATCGCCCATCACCACTGTCGGACCAAGAATTCTCCTTCCCACCACCGATGCCAGCAATCGGCGGCCGCGCTTCCCCCGTTAATCGCTCGCAAATGTCGCCCCCTCCCCCTCGAACATACTCACCACTCCTGACGCCCGCTAGCAACCGTGGCTATCAAGGATTCCCAGCACCCCCTGGTCCCCGGACTCCGGCACCTCGGACGCCTATCCCACAGCCCCCCGCCCGTGGAATGACCCCGGGCCTGCCTCCAGTCCGCAATTTTACTAGTCCCGCCATTAGTTCTCCTTCCAATGAGTATAACAACCGGTCCGCGACCCCTAATAGCAGACCCCGACCGCCGCGATCAGGCACCGCACCTCCACAACATCCGTCGCCCTACGGCGAATTCTGAGGCGTAAATGAGACTCATTCTGCATATTCTTGTGTATAAAATGGAAATATTCCTTAATTTACTGCATTGACTGCAATATATTGTATGCATGGGCGCATTAGAGCCTGATTTCCCTGCTGAAGGATTGAATCCCGCCCACGAATCTGGAATTCTATTACGTTCTTTCAAATATTTTGCGCTTCGTGGTGTTGGGTATTGATTGGGTGATGGATTTGGTCTGGGATTGGATTCTTTTTCTGGCGTCCCTGGCGCAAAAGGCAAATGGAAGTGGGAGTAAGAGGCAAAAAGCTGGTTCCAGTGTGAATATATTCAACGATTTTTCTTTCTTTCTTTCTTTCTTTCTTTCTTTCTTTCTTTCATGATTCCGATTCTTCTATTATGGCTTTTTGGTTTTCGTGAATCTACGTACTTAACCAATATACTACTTGTCGCTTCCGCCGTACGTTTCCAGATGCCGATACGCACTAAATAATCTACCACCACCTATTCTATTATCCCTCCCCTTTTTTCTTAAGAATCTTCCACCCTCCAATCTCAGTAGATATCCGGCCATCCTCACGCCTCTCCTTCCATCCCATCTCAACCGATATTCGACGCATACTCACGTCCCCCACACCAGCCCTGTGGTATCATGGATTGTTGGATGTGAACAAGCACGCGAACATGCGAGATGGATAAGGTGTAAAATGTAACAAATAATCAAATAATCAGATAATCAGATAAATACCAAACAGCACAACACCTGTACAAATAAATAACTATGTAACTAACTACCCATTCTCCTTTAGTTGGCTTTTTTTTTTTTTTTTTTTTTTTTTTTTTTTTTTTTTAATTTCTTCTCTTTTTATTTCCACTCCTTCTTCACAACCACCCGTGCATGTGCACACATCTCGCCCCCGCATGATATTATCCTCCTGTTGATGTACATAGTACAGCCGGAAACCAACTGTGATTGATATGCTCACGCCTCTCTCGCGCGCGGGCGATGTCAAGTGAAAACAACAAACAACAACAAACGTGGACATCGGCCCCACTTGCCGCTGTCAAACTGCGGGCTGCGGGGGATTGGGGGGACTGGGGGGTACACTGCCCATGTTAACTACTAACAACTTTTAATAACTAATAACTAAGTGATAACTATTGGTTAGTTAGAGGAACAATGATTTAACAACCCATTGGATGGGAGATCTGATGGTTTCACAAAATGCTTTTTTCACAAGCACAGGAGGCTACAAGACGAGCTTCAGTGTGGAAACTGAACTGCTATCTATCATTGTCAGTATGGTGTCGCGATTAATTGAAATGAGATTTGAGAATGTCTCTATCATTAATTAAATAAACCTTTCTGATTAGGTGTGTGTGTGTGTGTGTGTGTGTTGACATGTACAGTACATACTGCAAGTATTATATGGGGCTGTGCTTGTTATAACTCTGGAATTTTGTCGCATCATGGAGCATGCACGGCCGACTCTCTAGAGATGCGAATTCGATCCTGTTCTGCAAAAGTCAGAAATAACCAGTGAATATCACGGAGTAACTTGGTAGTATCATTTTATTCACATAGAAAGGTTAAATTGACACCATCCGGCTGACTAAGCTGCGCAACCAACGAACTCTCTTCCATTCATTCGATGCAGATTCCTCCGCAATCTGAAAGACGCAGCTCTCCTCAATCTCCACGCCCGCTCTCAGGGAAAACCTCCGGTAATCCACGATTAAGCCTCCCCCGACCCGTTGAAATTGTCGTCTTTCTATGCTCCGCGCTTGGCTGTCCTGCTTCGATCCACCAACCAGTCCTTTCCCCCAAGACAACTCGTACCTCTCGGAGACCCAACTGAGGTGCCAAAAACAGTCACCAACCGCAGATAATGAGAATCTGCTCAGTACAATTGTGACATTGGACCCTGTAACCGATATCACGGCGCACTTGTTGGAACAATAGTTTCTGCGAAGTGAAAACGAGAGTGAAGGGCAATGGGAGCTTGGTTAGTTAGAATGATGGGCGCGGTTTCTGTTTAGAAAAGGAGAATCCATGATGAATATAGTTGGTGATGCTGCGGTGTCTGACCGCAATAACGAAATCAGGACAACCGGAAGCATGGGCTCTGGCAGTCTTTCTGAAAATGGCTCTGTGGAAAAAACGATGAGTACTACTGCGAGCTCGAACAGGGGTGATGCTGAAAAAGACCCGGGAGTCAAGGTGCCTTTGAACGGATCAAATTATGGGGTGGCTAGTGGCCGAGATCTTTCACAGATGGAAGTGCTGGATAAGGAATATCAGGCTATCCGGAATGGCTATCATCTAGAGGAAAACACCCAGAGGGGAGACAGACCACATTCTGCGCCAATTTCAACCCAGCGTCGACTGAGTTTAGTAAATACCGTCAAGGATGTTGAATTTGCAACTGCAATGGTATCCCAACCCTATGGCGATAGGCCGGCCCTCCAGGCGGTGCAACCTGCAGATACAGGAATCCGCTCTACGAAGCGGATTGATGCAAGCCAACAGTCCCCTTCGAGCCACGATCGTGAAAAGGACAAAATCCTCAAACTGTCTCCTGCGAAAATTCATGAACTCACCTCCTCACCACAATCTATACCCCTACACTCCATCCCGCTAGAGCCAGACAAAGAACAGCGAACTTCAGGTTCTCCAATACCCTCGGGTCCATTAGCTATCGGCGCAAGCCCAGAAACGTCGACGGGTGTACGGGTTGTGAATGGTTCTTCAAAACGAATAAAATCTCCCAAGCGCAAACTGAGCGCTGGCAAAAATGTCCATTTAGAGGATGCTCCCGACTTTCTCACCTCACATCAAATCGCCCGTCCATTCTCTTCTCGTCGGAAGTGCAACTCGGCCCGAGCTGTGTCAGTCACTGACGGCTTCCAGAACCGGCGATCCTCCCCAAGGCCGGACCGTATTGACACCGCTAGAAGTCGCGTATCTTCCTCATCGGCGCCAGATCTATTCTCTTCTCCCGTACCCCAATCCATCCCACTTCCTCCCTTCTCTATCTCCACATATCTCCAGCTAGAACTGGCCTCTGATCGGCCCTCGCCATTATACATTCACCGCTCCACCAAGAACGATTTCCCTTACGAGTCCTCGAGCGCGAAACTTGAACGGCTTCAAAACTTTTTCCTTCTACCACCTGCTCTAGAGCGGGTTCTTTTCTTTGGTACTCTTGCATGTATCGATGCGTGGCTTTATTACTTTACGATCCTGCCATTGCGATTTCTCAAGTCTATTTTTCTTCTTCTTCGGTCTTGGGCTATCAATGTTGGAGCCGAGGCGCAGTTCATTTCGCGATTTATTATTACCGGACTTGGTAGGGTATGGCGGCGGAGACACCAAGGGAAGCCGGCTGTTTCTGGGAACGCACACGATCAAAAGATCAAATTGGGCTCTGCTCAGTCGCGGCCTGACCTTTCGAATAGTGTTTCTACAGATCAAGACAGCCCCTTCCTTGACGATAATGTTAAGAATCGGGCGTCTGAAAATGATCGGCGAACCCAGGTGGCTTCCAGCCGAGGCCATCGCAGGGTTAGGTCTATTCCCTCGACACTTTTGCCAAACGATAAGGCCGATATTTTGAAGGGATTCCTCATGATTTGCACGTGCCTGATTCTAATGTATTTCGATGCCAGCCGGGTGTATCACTGGATTCGCGGTCAAGCCGCTATTAAACTTTACGTTATTTATAATGTACTTGAGGTATGTTTCCATCTGGCCTGCCGCCTCATCTTGTTTCCCCCAGGCTAATAACCCTGGATATGTAGGTTGGCGACAGACTTCTATCAGCCATTGGCCAGGATGTCCTCGAATGTCTATTTTCACGCGAAGCTCTTGAGAGAAAACCCGATGGCCGCAGCAAGATTCTCCGCCCATTTTGGCTTTTTATCATCGCCCTGATATATACCGTTATACATTCTGCCGCACTTTTCTATCAGGTCATCACACTTAATGTGGCGGTGAATTCATATTCAAATGCACTGATTACTCTCCTATTGTCGAACCAATTTGTAGAAATTAAATCCACTGTCTTCAAAAAATTCGAAAAGGAGAATCTCTTCCAACTCACCTGTGCCGACGTGGTTGAGCGGTTTCAACTCTGGTTGATGCTTACAATTATTGCGTCTCGAAATATTGTTGAAACTGGTATCTTTAGCTTTGGCAGTGGTTTGAGCCTATTTGCTGGTAGCAAGCCGGCTGCGAACGCGAATGCTACATCAGTTTTCAACACCCAGCGAGCCACATCATCCATTCTTCCACAAGCCTTCACCATCCTCCCGTCATCTCTCCTCTCTTCGCTTAGCAAGGTGAACTCATTCCTCCCAACGATCGGTCACCTTCTGGGGCCTTTCCTCGTTGTCTTAGGTTCTGAGATGCTAGTCGACTGGTTGAAGCATGCCTACATCAATAAATTCAACAATACCCGTCCCGCGATGTACGGCCGATTCCTCGACATACTAGCCAAGGACTACTACACAAATGCCTTCGCAGATCAGAATCTTAACCGCCGCTTAGGCCTACCTGTCATTCCGCTCGCTTGCCTCTTCTTCCGCGTCTCCATCCAAACATACCAGATGTTCCTAACCTCCTGGTTGCCACAGACACAATCCTTCGTCGCGCCGTCAAACACCACGTCCCTGACGTCAATCCACGACCATTACTCCCCATCCCCGTCACCCTCTCCCCCGTTTATTCTCCCCCTCTACCCTCTCGATGCCAGCCTCTTCACTAAAGTCTCCTCACTATTCCAAACGATGATAGCCCACACCACCCCGTCTCCTGCATCCTTCATCCCAATTTTCACCATCATCCTCGTCCTCATCTTATACCTCACCCTCCTCTTCACAAAACTCATCCTCAGCATAATCCTTCTCAGCTACGCCCGCGCCCGCTATAAGAAAATGAAATCCCGAGAACGGGAGATATCCACGAATCCCACCTCGTCCAAACTATCAGCAAACCAATCCACCGCGACTATATCAACACCAGCACCATCACCACAGCGAGAGCCCTCCAACTCCCAAACTACAACAGCGTCGAATCCTGACTTCGTCGAGGGTGCTCGCCGCGTCGGCGGTTGGGGTGCTGTGGAGGTGGGCGAGGATCGTAGAAGGTGGATATATGCCGATGACCCAGAAGGTGCAAGGCGATTGAGAGAAAAAGAGGAGCGGGATAGAGTTGGGAAGCCTAGTAGTAGTGCTGGAGGTGATGGGATTGAAAAGGTGATGAGATATGAGATGGCGGCGAAGAGGATTTGGTGAACGCAACGCAACGCAACGCAACCAATCCTCTCTGTATTTTACATGTTTACATGTTCGTGTGTGTGTGTGTGTGTGTGTGTGTGTGTGTTTGAGAAGCGGTACTATGGATTTTTATGGTATTGTATTATTGTAGCGTTTCGCGTGAGCGTGGTTGTAGTACCTCTGTATAGATACATGGCATTGTATTATGTATTTTTGTATTTTTGTATTTTTTTTTTGTTATTGTTTGTTTTAATTGTATGCATGCATGCTGCGTTTGAATTTCCACAGGTAGTTTCTCTTTGTTAAAGGGATGTGGGAAGGATGATACGGGGTCATTATATAATATAAGGTCCTTAGTTATTTTTTTTTTTTTTTTTTTCTAGGTTCTATGTTTCATTTTTCGTGCCATGCGTGTGTCCGGGTGTGGGATTTTTGGAAGATGTGGAAAAAAATAATGCGAGTGGATAAAGAACGCGGAGAGCGAATTAAAAGGATATAGCAAAGTAAACGAGAGATGGGAGAGAATGGAACTCTCCAAGCGAAAGAAAAAAAGAAAAAAAAGGGTTTATCAATACATCATAGAGGGGGAAATAGTACTGGAAAGAATAATTGATAAGGGATCGGAAACGAGGCGGGTAGAGCAAAGGGTCTGTCTGATTGGAACAAGAGGATACCCTTATACTTGATACCAACGACCCCATGAAACACTTTTTATCATCCCTCATTCCAGCTATCAGTTTATCTGCCTTTTCTACTCCTCTGCAAGCCATCCGCCCTCTGTTTCACTACCAGCACTATCATCCTCGAGAACACCATCATTACCATTCACATTCACATCCTTTCCCAAATCTCTAAATACCCGCGCCATAATCTCTCGACTCTTATACAAATTCTCAACTCTCAGTCGCTCATTGTCCAAGTGTGCATGGTCACTTGCTTGGCCACAGGGTAAATGAGCGGCCGGCGCGTTGAATTCTTTCTCCAGATAGCGGATTGTTGGGATCGATCCGCCCTCGCGGATGTAGATGGGCTGGATCAACTGGCAAGGGCGCGCAATCGATAATGGGGCATGGGATGTTGACGTAGATTCCCGGGTGTGGGATTGTTGGGATCCATGGTCATTAGACCGCATCGTCCCAGATGCTGTTGCTGCTGCTGCTGAGATTACATCGCAAGGGGATGGAGATGCATTATGTAGGCAGGGTGCGGGTAGTCTGCTGGCAGGTTTGGTGCCTGGAAGGTCAGAACCGTGCGTGAGGGTTGAAGAGGTCGGCACCGTGGGTGCCGAAAGCCTGTGTCCTGAGCGAGTTTTTGGTACTGAGGATGATGAGGAAATTATTCTGCCGATATTCGAGGCCACACTGTCCGTTGAGTTTGTGCGGAGGGGCTCGCGACGAGATAGTTGGTTGGAAGGATTAACAGGGGGGTAGTTGTAGTGACGGTCCCCCTTGGCGGAAGACCACGCTGCGGTGACAGCACGCGAAAGCAATTTGAAGATGTCGTTCTCAGGATCTCCTAGCCACGGTTCCGCTTTCCCTGTTATTTCAACCGTCAAGATGTTCTGAGAGTCAAACTTTGCAAATTGAGCGTGTGCAAACTCCGCCAGGTCAGCGGCCACTTTGTCTACGTCTTGGTTGGGCACTATTCGGACGGATAGTGTTGCTCGCGCTCTTCGCGATATAGTTGTGGATGTATTTTGGCAGCCCGGAACTTCTATGCGATGGATTGTGAGCGATGGCTCACGCCAACGGTGCATTAGGGAATCGGTGAAAGCTTCGTAGTCCTCAATTTCTGGGTGGTGAGGAAGTAGGGCTTTGGCAATTGCATCATATCGCCTCCTTTCCGCTTCAGTTAGAGGGAGGACTGGCTCATGGAACCCTGGAATATTTATCTTCCCTTTCGCACCAACGAGAGTACCAAGAAGCATTGTCAGGTCCTTCAATGGTTCATCAAGAAGAGAACTACCGTCGATTCCACTATGCAAATCAGGGTTACTGCTTGTCACAACAAAATTAGCATGAACCACACCTCTTAGCCCGTAAGTCAGGCATGGGATGTGATCGTCCAGCCAGTAACTATTCGCCAGGAGGATCCAGTCAACTTCTCCTATCAAATCTTTGTGTTTTCGAACTGCATACGAAAATCCTTGAGAACCGGACTCTTCCTCGCCTTCAATTAAAAAGACGACATTGCAGCTTAATTTTTTCTTCTGGGCTAGCTCCGCAGCAGCATATAGAGCAGCGAGAACCGGGCCTTTATTGTCCGACACGCCTCGACCATACAAAAATCCATTAATCGAACAAAGTTGGAACGGATCCGTATTCCATTTCAGATGGTTAGTATCTGCACCGACAACATCATAGTGGCCGTAAAAGAGGACAGTTTTGTTGGCTGATGACTTCGACGCTGCGTCAAATCTGGCAAATACGATAGGATTTGTATTTGGTCCCGTCGCCAACAGTTTAGTTTTCGCACCCAAATAATTGCAGTGACGACGAAGAAACGCGGCGCCCTGGTTACATTCTCCAGCAAATTTGGGTCTCGCAGATACTGTCTTAAAAGAAACAAATTTTGCCAGGGTATTGACCATCTCATCTAAAAAAGATGTTAGTAAATGAGTATTGCAGAGGGCATTATGTCTCCATACCGTTGCCAACTGCAGGCATCTCTTGGAAATCTTGGGGGTGATCTGTTAAATCCCAAATAGCGACTGTATTATCATTGCCGCCAGTAGCATAAATACGCCTGTCTTTGAAAACACCAGCAGCTGATGCCAGCATCGTTCCTTCGTGAGCAATCCATGAGCCGACCTCTTCGAATCTGGAGTTAAATTTCTGCCATCAATGGTTAGCGAGAGACAGAAAATATAGATAGCAGCGCATAAATACCCTAATGATACCAGAGGAGTCGCCAGTAATAATAACATTTCCCACAACATCAATTGCCCAGATGTCTCCACTGTGGGCAGTGAGCTTCCTGATGATCTGACGAGAATCAAGGTTCCATATGTAAACTGCGCCTCCTGAGAGGCCACAGTAAAGGAACGCACCATCGACAGCAATGGAGAGTACCGAATCACTGCCATTTTTCAACTCGGCTAGTTCGACCGGGGAACCTTCTGGACATTTGCTGAGCTCCCAAAGCTTGACTGAGCCGTCTCCAGAGCCCGTCAGAAGTATTTCATCGCCATTGGCCCACTCCTCTAACCCTCGGACTAATAGCATGCAATATATATAGCCATTATGGGCATATAGCTTGTGCTGATCTCTTTTGAAGCTGAGGCTCTGGCCACCAAGACCCAATTTCTGAACCGCTTCTCCGGCATCAGGATTTAACGTAACAATGCCACCAGGTCCCTTGGAATCAAAAAATCGATGCCTTCTGTTTGACGGATGAACAGGAATAGGCGGACATGGAGGGGCATCCAGTTGGAGGTCACTCCACTACTGAGAATCAGCTATCAACATAAACAGGGGCAAGACGAAGGAAACCGTACTTGAATGCTTGTGTTTTGACCCCCGCAATAAACTGTTTTCAGACCGGATGAGTACACCACGGTAAACAGATCACCTACATCGTGATGAGAGTAAATCGAGTAGAGGCGTTCAAAAGTCCTCGTTGACCAAACCTAGTCAGTATTAGTCTCCGCATTCTATACTTGAAATATCATTTCACAAATTGATTGGAGTGGCGGGACAGTACGACAACATACATTAACAACAGAGTCACCGCCACTTGAGAACAGGAGGCTCCCATCATCAGAGAGGTACAAACCTAGGACACTCTCCTGATGAGCCTTTACTGATAGGATCAGTTCGTAAGTATCGAGTGACCAAGCCTGGATGAATCAGGCATAAATATCACATCGTTAGTAGCTTGATAATTTCCCTTTCGGATATGTATGTAAATTCTTAAAACTTGTGAGGTACACATACCACAATATCGCCGCCCTGCAGGCCCGCAAAGACACATTCCTCGTCAAGCACAAGAGCGAGGACAGAGCGAACCGCCTGGACGCGATGGCCCACGCCCCAGGGATTAGTTATCCGGACATCAGGAGGTGTCTCTCCATTGCAGAAGCTATGTTGGGGTTGGAATTGGGGCCGTCTGTCGAGCTCCAGTTCGATATCAGAAGGGCCATCGAAGTCTGAATCATCCATGATTCCGTCCATTAGCAGACACGTTATTATTAACTAAGCAGTCAGACACCAGAGGAGGGGAATGTTCTGTGCAACGCCAACCATTTCACCGACGCATGCCTAGTGAACGGCGGCGCGGGTTGTTTGGGATGGTGTTTTCCTTGGGAGGAGGTGAAGTTGTTTTGCGTCGCTGTTACCGCCAAAGACAATATTTAATATGGGGCAGCACAATATTTATTTCCGCCATGTTTTGCAACAAACCTCATATTCCAACAAATGCTACAACAGCAACAATAGAGGAGGTTTTTTTTTTTTTTTTTTATGCAGGGAAATATTGTGTTATGGGAAAACCCCAATTTTGCGGGCTGGTGGATAGATAGAAAGAATGCAGAGAAACAAAATGCTCAAAATCTCACCACACTTTCTTCGCTGTATCCACTCGTCGGAGCTGCACATGTTTCGTGGCCTTAACATCGACAATGGTTAACCACCACCAAAAGAATACCGTTAGCTTCAAGGTAAACGGGGAATAGTCAAAAGCTAAAATAAAAAGAAAACGAAACGCTTTTCTCCAGGCTCAAAGACTGCACCCCTTCTTCTCCGTTGGTCCCAGCTACTGTGGAACTATCATCGGATATCTGGCTTGGTTTCAAGTCAAAGGGAGCGACCACGAATAGCCGTCTGTCTTCTTCTTCTACTACTACTGAGGGGGAAAGCAAATATTGTGTCTTTATCCCTTCCTGCCCTAGTCACTACTAACCTTGGTTCTCTCTCCCAGCAAAGCCGTGCTAGGAGTGCTTTTCCTGGCCGCTTGTTGCACGCCTTCATTAGCATTTGCGGTAGTTCTCGCGAATTATCTGCGTCGGAAATGATGCAATGGGAGGTGAGAGTGGTGGCATCGACTGGGCGCAGGATATATTATGTGCAGCGGACGGCTCAGACACTCCAAGGGCACAGAGAATCGAGGCAGGGAAAATATGTGAGTGTTGATTCTCTCACCGCTTCGGAGATTTCCCTCTTTGTGACGTTTCTTTTTCTGGATTTTATTTTTATCCAATTTTCCAATTTTTAATAATCCAATTCTTGAGAGAGAGATCGAGAGAGAGCGAGAGAGAGAGAGAGAACTGCTGCTTATCTGTGATAGGGCCCCCTTCTTATCCTTCGCGAAGAAGTGCCACCTGGTCGCAATTGAAATGTACACAGGAATTTTTCGCCCATTGGGTCCTTCTATTTCAGAATACTCATTGCAGAGAACTGATTTCTGCACATCGCCATTGCATCGTGACGCATAACATCACCACTTTTTTTGGCAATGTGGTTTCAAGGGCTTTTCCAGCCCTTTTTTTGAAACCTGGGGATTTCCTGTGCGGCCAGTTTCATACAGAACGTATACGGGCGCTTTTAATTCAGCGGATCGAGAGATTTTTCCACGTGGGAATCCAGATGTTCAACGATTATTTTGCTGCTTCAGGAAGATAAGGAGGAAGGAAAGGGTTCCCTGCAGAACCATAACACTGTACCATCTCATATACAAGAACCTCTACTTTTATTCGAGACTGAAGAGGGGCAAGCCAGAATGATTTTCAACGTACAGTCCAAGAAAATATATTACTCCATGACATGACCGAATACTTGCAGGAAGCAGAATGTGATGCCTTCTCAGAGTCGTCATGCATGCCTAGAACAAAGCGTTTTGACGAGCACAAACATACTAGTACCAACAAGCGTTGACCTCCAGTTTGGATAAGAGATCGTCACAGAATTAACATGAGAACTGGTATACAGATATATACTAGTATCCAGGAACATCGCCGCGGCGCCTTAATTCTTAATTACTTTGTCAACCCGTGCTAAATTGCTGACTCGCTGAGCTCCTATGACACACCATTCTACCGCAATGAGCAGTAGTAGTGTGCCTACAAATTACAGGTGCTGATTGCTACATGTGTAGAGATGAGTACAGAATGAGATGCAGCCAGGTCTATTTTACAGTGGAGTCCAGCGAGATTAGCAGTAGTACTAGTATACCTGGAAATAAAGCGGAAGAGAACAGGAAGCTGGGAGCATCAAATGCAGATTCCGACGAATACCACGGAGTAGTGTACACTTGCGCTATGATTAACCCCAGGGCCCAGATCCTGACCAACTTCGCCTCGCGTTCTCTGAACAAGCACGCTGCTCCACATCGTCGCATTCTTTGATCTTTTTCAGCCGAGAGTGTTCCACGCTAACCGTCCCAGCCTCCAATGTTCCAGCCACTGGAGAGCGGGAAAACCCGGGGAAGTCTCTGCGGTGGCGCATGATACGAGCCACATGTGGCTATGCCATTGCATGCGCCACAAATTACCTTGACAATATATCACGTGACTATTCTGCATCGCCGAACGTCAAAAAAAACTTCGACAAGTTCAGACACTCATCGAACACTCGTATCAATGGACAGTGGACACACTATAGCCGACCGGGTCAACAACGTCGTCTTCTGGATCATTGGCTGGAAGGGGGTTCTACTCTGCGCTCACAACTATTGGGTTCATGAAAAACTCTTCCCATTTTCTGTGCTTTCCGTGTGCCCAACCAGCGGCTTTAGTCAGTGACGCCTCACCCCCCCGGATGTCACTGTCTAACCATATACGCAGTAGGCCTCGCCCCTTGACGGGGATGAGACACGACAACACCTCTGTGCTGCTCCAGGTGGTCATCATTATTGAACAACCTCGCTAGAACACTTGTCCCTGCATCCTATGACGCCACCTGCGACGCTCTCTTTTTCGTTCTTGTTTTGCAGGGCTGGTTACTAGTATTGACGTTTTATCTGTGTGATTCATGCTTGCCAACAATTAGCTTCATCTTAACGGATGCCCCACCCATAGTCCATAGTATCAGGCACCGCCCTGCAAAATTAACGCCCAACAATCACGGCCTGCCAGCAAACATCACCATATATCATATATATAGCTCCTTGATTTCTCCGGCCTAGCAGCCCTGAATTCTCTTGAAATTGTAACCAGACCCACTCTTTTTGGCCTGACCAGCCATCCAAACCCCCTGGATAGCTGTTATCAGTGCCACATATCCCAGTTATTCTCAGTTCTACTCCACCTTTCTGAAGCTCTCCCAGCAATATAAACATTATCAAGCAGTGTTTCTTTAGAGCAACCAATCCATTTTCTTGACACATTATATATTTGCGGCCATTTCGCAGTCCTGGGTCCATGCTCTGAGCTCTAATTCCGGCTGCGACCCATCCACACCGCCATTCATAAGCGCCATACTGCGTCGCCCCAGCCTCTCGAACAAAGTCAATACAATCCGTGCAATATCCATACCCTCAGAAGTTGGTGTTCTTTTGTGACATCGCTGTTGGACATACCCATCTGATTCCCGTTAAAAGCAGACATACATCAACATGGCTGCGCTCGGCCAAACCATAGCGGTGTTCGACAAGTCGGGGAAGATGGTGAGCACAGTAAGTCATGACTGTATCCGCCTCTGGATAACAACTACTTATACTCGTTAGAGCAAACACCTATTTGGGGTGTTCAAAGAAGCTAGATTAGCTTATCGAGAACGCAAAGCCGAAATCAACGCAGGCAAAGCGATTAAGAATGCGGAGCTGGAAGCTCGCCGAGCAATGGCGAATTATCACATTCACGATTCCCGATCCGTGGCCTCCTCAAGAAGATACCCTGGAAGATCGAAATCTGTGGCTCGGCACAGTGAATTAGATCGTCATCCTTCGCGCCGGTATCCTCACGGAATCGAACAAGACACGGACACCGTTTACTCCCACCCAGATCATATGCCAAAGCGGGAACTCTCACGTCGCCACACTTCCAATGCTGTCGCTGCTCAGCCCCAATATCTCCACCCCAGCAATCGGTCTCGTTCCGCTCCCAATGTTGACATGGACCTGGCATACGGTGAATACCACCCTGCCTCGCTAGAGCGGGTGACCTCGAATCCCGAGGACATGATGAGTAGCCTAGTCGCAAAAGCCAAAGGGCTTCTCATTGAGGCCGAATGTGCTCAACATTCCGCGCATGCCACGATGGCCCATTTGCAGAAGAACCCCGATGCTATGGCTGCCGTAGCGCTCACATTAGCAGAAATCAGCAATCTTGCCTCCAAGCTAGCTCCATCAGCACTGGCAGCCTTGAAATCCAGTTCACCAGCCATATTTGCGCTTTTATCAAGCCCTCAATTCATGATTGCCGCTGGGGTCGGAATTGGTGTTACAGTCGTCATGTTCGGGGGTTATAAGATTGTCAAGCGCATCCAGGCCGCGAACAGCACGCAGCCAGAAGGCAGTACGGATGAATTGATAGAGCTCAACCAGGATGTTAGTCGCGTGGAGAGCTGGAGGCGTGGCGTTGCTGATTTCGAGGCGGAAAGTGTCGCGACCTCCGTTGATGGAGAGTTCATTACTCCGCGGGCTGCTGCTGTCTCTGGAATCTTCCCTACCGACCATAGCAATCACCACCGCCTTAGATCGGAGTATGGAGGCGGGGGTCGACGAAGTGTCAGAGGCGCAGAGTCTGTCAGGGATACCGCGTCGCACTACACACATACGACCAGAAGTTCCAGACGGTCAAGACGCACCGGCGCTCCTCCGACCGAATCGGGTGATAGGGACAAGAAAGCCAAGAAAAAAGACAAGACGAAGAAGCATAGTCCTCTACGACTTCTATTCAAGCCCAAATAAACCATGAAAAAGGACCATCCTCGTCAACTTGTATTCCTTTTTCTTTTTGAATTACAAAATATCAAAATGAGGGAAAACCGCCGGACATACCTCTTCTAATTTCTCTATTTTCTCACCTTTATTTACACAGTGATGGAGGTGGATGGTTGGTTGATTGTAACTATCTAGCGGGGGAGACCAACATAATGAATTATATGTCGATATGTTACACTACGATTTCTTAGGCATTTTTTTTCTTGCTCTTTTTCTTTTTCTTTTTCTTTTCTTTCTCTTTTCTTCCTTCCTTCCTTTCTTTCTTTTTTGGAATTTGATACTACGGGGCACCGTATTGGGAATCTTTCACGCTATTGATGATTTTAATTATTTTCAATCATAATTCCCCCGCCCTTTTTGTCTGCCACCTCCCATTCTGCACAAAATTTATTATTATCTTCCGTGTTATATATTTTTTGTCATTTCGTTCTTTGACCGAGCGTACATATGTACCAAGAACGCTTTCACATATCTCCACTAGAAGTACTGATGGTTGATTTCAAAATTATAGATTCTCCTGAAGCCACTCCCAAGGTGCAAATAGATAGGGGTTTTCCTTACCTAAACAAGGTCTATTTCGTTTTCATGGCCCACTTGGTTCTGAAGTTATTATGTCTGCGATGCTGATGTCTTGTATGAAGTGACTGCATATTCTAATGAAAGAGAGGACCAAAAACAAAAACTAAGGTTAGAAGAAAAGAAACAAACTGAAATGGATATTCCGCTAAATTTTAGAACAGTCCGCTAATTACGTTTTCCATCACTCTAAATCTATTCCCAGATAATGAAAACTCAGTCTTCCAACAACCCTTAACGGTTTGTACTTTACATGTCCCCTTTTAAAAATGTTTCGACATGCTACTTCTTAGGCATGGCAGCGAAGTCATATCGCAGACACCCGACGTCGAAAGAACCACCAGTACCCCCATTATCGCCTGCGCGAAGAAAGAACACTCGAATTAGCTGAAGAGCACACAAGAGATGAATATGCGATGAGGGAATCGTGAAACTCACACTCTTTATAAGCCCTATAGAACAGTTTTTCGCACACGACACTTTTATCACCTGGAACTGGATGATACGGATCCAACTCTTTAACAGTACTCTTGCACTTGTGCTTCCATTTGATTTCATAATAATATGGGCCCCCCTTGCCTGTGGTATCATATACAATGGGGTCGTCGCCTTCACGCATGGTCTTGCCTTTGGCCGGTTTACACGCTGGGCTGATGAGCATCCGCTGCCACAGAGGGTTTACATCATCGTGCTTGCCGAACTCATTTGTTTTGTAGCAGTGGATTTTTGAGAGCTCTGGCTTTACCGGATCTGGTTCTTTTTCGGGGGGTGGTGGTACAACATCCTTTGGACCATCAAGTTTGTATCTGTAGACGCCGCACCCTACGTCAATTTCCCCATAGACTGCCATTGTGTTCATCTGGCTGCCGGTGTGTCCACCTATTTTTTTTTTGAACGACGTTAGACATGCGCGGTTGACTGAGGGATTGATAAAATATGAGACTTACAAGGAGACGCGGTGATTGTGCTAAGTGCGTTTTTGCAGCTCATCTTGCAGGGTCTGGGTCGCGGTAACCACTCGAAAATGATATGGGCATCGTCGAACGCCGCGGGGTTGGGAGGTGGTGTTCGCTTTTGGAAACCAAAGAGAGGCCACCACGGATAATTCGAAGGATCCTGGACGACTATAGCGGGGCTCGCATTGCTTCCGTCTGAATTGACCTTCAGCTCAAGAGGGAGATGATCCATGGCTTCTACTCTTTTGCAGAAATTGGCATAAGTCTTGTCGAAAACGTTGAATGGCAATTCGGATGCCCAGTCCATGTTACATGTTGGTTTCGGCTCTTTCATCTTGCAAACTTTTGGTGGTTCCAGTGCTTGGTACAAAGCCAAGATTGCGTGTGTCGCAATTATGCCTTGCCCGAGCTCATTGGGATGGAACACCTTGCCGATGCCGTCTGGTACACGCTTCTGGATAACCTCCATGTCCTTCTCGGCATGATTGGGAGTCTTAGCAGGGTCGGAGGTCTTAGCAGGATCCGGACTCTCGGCAGGGTTGGGACTCGCAGCAGCCTTCTCGGCAGGGTTGGGACTCGCAGCAGTCTTCTCGGCAGGGTTGGGACTCGCAGCAGTCTTCTCGGCAGGGTTGGGACTCTCGGCATCATCCTCGACGGCCTTTATGGGGAGCGGGTTTTTGGGCTGGAAAAATGCCTTGTTCTTACTATCTGGGTCTTCTTCACAGAACCGCCCCTTCGATTCAACCACATACTTGTCCCAAGCGACAGGCACCACTTTGACGCGTTTGTCTTTATTGGCGTTCTCAATGGCCTTGGAAATTTTGTCGTTCGCCTTCGTTACTAGCCTGTTGAATGTCCTGCGGAGATCTTTCGTTAACTTCAGGCTACCTACCCCGCCTGGAGTTACCGGTCCCAGATAATTCCAGCTCTCCTTGTCGCACTTGTCTGTTTCGGAATTGAAGAAGGTTGCATAGAGGGTATATAGGACAATGCCGTCGTCCTTCATCTTTTTGTTGACCACTTTCAGGAGACCCTCGATATTGCCTTGGAGCTTGTTGTTGATAATCTTTTCCGATTCCGCAAGGGCGTTATCACAACTTTTAATGGTTGATGGGAGAAGGATACACTTCTTCAGAATGGTTGCAAGGAGGGCATCATTTCCCCCTGCAGACAACGTTACCAGATCATGAGACTTGTCGTCCAAAGATTCGGCTTGCTTCTTGATGCCGTCCGAGGTATCTCCAGAGCAGGCAATGAACTGAGATTCAGGCTTGTTATCCTTGGATAGCGACAATAAAACGGGACCGTATGCGCCGTCGTAGCGCGAACACTTTTTATCTTCCTTGCTTCCCAGGAGCTTCCCGGCCCCTATTCCAGCAGCATAACTATCCCCAAGTATAGATACGTTTTTGAATTGCGAGAACGGAGCTGCCTCCACGAGAGCATCTGGTATTCCGGGATGGTCTGCACTGGCCCATTCGGCACACAGCACGAGGAATGTTGAAAGCGATGGAAATAGTGTCTTCATCTCCTGGATTTCTTCTGCTCCGCTCTCGGCTTGATGGGAAATAGACGGTGACGTTTCGAACAGGTGAACTTATGAATAATTATTCAACAATTGTTCAATAATTATAGAGGGAAAACCGATGAAGCAACATGGGAAATTGGTATTTTGAATATTATGAGGAAATGATGAACAACGCTATGATGGTAGAAAAAGATGATATAGAAGGAGGGTGTACAATAGAAGAGTGTTTTGGAATAGTGGATGAAGACAATGTGTCCCTTGATTGCAACGAGTTGGTGGTTTATATATCTATATCGACTCTCTTCCTATGGTAACCTCGTGCTGCGTAGCAGTCCATCTCCGTGGATTCATTGATCTATTCTGGCTTTTCGCATTCTTGAAAATAGAATGACATAAAAATAGTGCCATGGCCCCCCATCACCAACTGGATATCGAGGCGATGAATGATTCCCGGGGTGGAGAGAATAGCAACTACGGCAAGTTCTTGCTCTCCGAACTGTAACTGTGATGCAAGGCATGGTGGAGTATAGAACAAAAGAACTTATTCAGCGGGGAAAAAAAATCTATTCATATCGCCCTTGTGTGTCTCTTAGGCTTAATGTCAAATCAGTCGAAAAAAGTGAAGTCGGGTGTCTCTATATTAAGGACATACTGGGGCGGATGGGTTTATAGTTATGCTTGGTGGGGAAGGGGGGTTCAAGTGGTTTGGCGGGGTTTGATGGTGGTTTCATGTCCAATTTTTAGACCAAGCATGCCGAGGAGGCTGTGAGAGCTGTATCTCTTACACAAATAAATCTTGAATCACGTATTTGGTGGAGAAAGGCGCGGATGGTATTATTTGCTTAACGTGAAAATAAACAACATTTGATTTGTGCTAGATTTAATTGTCACTAGTAGTAGTAGTTACATTTTTATGTCCTCTCAGTAAATCCAAGATTTGGGTATAGCCTTTTTCTTCGGCAATGTCCAATGCTGTCTTTCCATCACGGTTCTTCTGACTAATGTCTGCTCCGTGCTTGAGCAGTAAATCAACAATCTCCAAGTGGCCTTTGTACACCGCAATGTTTAATGCCGGCCCAATACCAGTGAGATCTGGGATACCGTCTTCTCGCTGATCTGTTGCTGGTGTTGCCCCGTGTTCTAAAAGAAATTGCACGGCCTCGAGATAGCCTCTAGAAGCAGCCATGCACAGGGCGCCCGTGTGTTGCAGCTTGGCGCCGTTTTTCAACAGAAGCATCGCTACTTCTGTCGACCCCTTGTAGCCGAATATTGCACTGGCCACTGGGAATGGGATAATAGAAGGTGGCTGGTTCGGGTTTGCACCGCAGGATAAGAGATAAGAGATAAATTCAATAGGCCTGCCGCACATAGCTGCTAGTGCAAGGGGTGTGCCTTCTCTCTCAAACTCCATATGCACGATAGATGGATCTTTCTCATAGAGTACTTGAAACAACGGGATTGATGCAGTGTCGGTTGCCTCGCGAACAGGCAACATCAATAACGAAATGTCGGGATATCGAGATAGTAAAGATTTGGCAAGGTATATCTGCCCAGAAGCAATGGTTGCAGCCAACAGCTGATTCACCAAGTCTGGCGATGCTGGCTGGTTGTTGTCCAGGAGAGTGTGGACAGAGTCGTGATCGCCGGCTGAGCAGCGCTCGAGCAACTGCTTTTCGACCGAGGCCATTGTTGCAAGGGTAAAAAATGAGTTGCGAGGAATAATCCAGCGTTGAGTTGTGCGACGAGTTAAGGCATTCTCGATGAGATGAGGTCCTGATTGAGAAAGATTAGCTCATGGCGGATGAACCAATCACAGCCGTTTGTGCAGCCAAGCCAGTACTACCGGAGACAAGAATCGACGGGTTCTTTAGCTTCTAGCATGGAAGGACTCACTCGTTCGAAATAGTAATGCGTCCAGCAAGCAGATTCAGCAGCAGTTCCATTCCTTGACGGTCACACATCCGGAAGTCATATCCCGATTCAGTAAGTCCTTACCGTTGATCTTTGAAGCCGAGCAACTTAGTATACGTGAAGTGTGAGTGTGTTTTGGAAGGGAAGCTGGAAATAGAACCCTTTGAAATCGGACACATTCAACAATCCGAGACCCATGGTTGATCACGATGCTAACCTCCCTGCAAAGGCCGGAAACATTCAGTTTCTGGGGTTTACGGTCAATCGTGCTCCCTAAGCTTCTTATCTGTCTCCTCCCCCGGTTTTGACTTCGCTCGCAAATTGCCCTCGATTGTGAAGTGCTCAGTAACATGGGTCGGTGAGTATGTGCAGTAGCAGAAATCTGTCAGTGCATAGCAAGTTTCGCATTCTAGGTTGCCGAGACTATGCTTAGCTGTTGGGATGACGTCGGTGATAGGAATAGTAATGGTATCTTCCCGAAAATCAGTTTCAAATCCGCAACTGAAATAGATGAAACAAAAACCATTTTTCCATCCCCCCCCTCATGTTGCCGCGAGATGAGAATGCTGAGACATTTGACAGCTTTGACCTTCATCTATATTCAGCAGCTGAGGTATTGCGGACGGTGAGATACGTCAAAGTGCTGGACTTTGTCTGCCGTGCACCTACGTCGAACCGAAAAAAGATAGAGGCATTCGGTAGTGCCGGAAAATAGCAACCCTCATAAAGGGAAGTAATGAAAATAGAATGCTCGAACAGGGGAGACGGGAAAAGAAGCATTTCGAAAGCCCCGGCGATGCTGGTTCAATCCTTTTTTGATAGAATATGCTCCTCGTTGATTCACGATAAAATGGTCATGAATCCCCATTGCATTCGTGTCGAATGACCATCATAATCCACTATACATTCCAACGCGAAAACGGAATCTTTCTAATCAAACAATCACATCTCAAAAGCACAACATATATTCATCCTCATAGTGCGCAAAACGTTGATATCATGAAATTTCGTATCCTCTTCACCTTCGCTTCCTTCTTCCTGGTCGCTCTAGCCTCCGTGCTGCCCGCGCCGCTCGAAAATCAGATATGGAAACGGCAAAACAGTTGCCCTTCTCTCGAGGAGATCTCCGACTTCTTAAAAGAAAAAGGGATCGGTGAGAACACTGTCTTTTACGCCTACCCAGGAACAATAGAACAAGCTTCGAAATACGCAAAGTCGGAATGCTCAAAAGACTTCACCTATTTCATGTCGGATCCGAAATGGGCGGATTGGATGGCCAAGTGCGCCAGTGACGCAGGGTCTAGAAATGATCTTTTCAGACGCACTCCCAAAGCGATGGGGCAACTGACGAAGAAATATGCCTATTTAATCCTCCCCGACGGCAAGGACGCAAACGAAAGGTCGATTTGGTGGGAGGAGGAATACCCGGAATTGCTGAAGAACAGAGTCGCAGTTCTAGGCGTCACTCCCACGGGGGACAACCCGGACGATTGGGAGATTTATGAGTATGATCCGGCGAAAAAGGCCCCTCATTGATCTGCCCGCACGGCAGGAAGGAACCGAATCAACAAGTCAACCTAGAGCGAGCGGACTGAGCAACATGGGCGTGTTGGTACGAGTCATTTTGAAGTACTAGTAGTAAAGAGCGCCGGAGTGGTGAATGTTTCAAGTTTGTCAAGAAGAGTGAATATGGGGTGATATCGGCACACAGACTTTCAATGTGCGAAGATCCAAATTTTGTATCTGTATAGGCGTTTCCAGGGGATATGATGTGATGAAACATAATAGGGAATATTAGAGCATCTTCGCAGATCATGAAATCATCCGCTGCAAGTAACCCGGGGATCCACCTTCTCGATCGTAAGACAACTTGAATTTAACAAAGTAGAACGAGAGCAGTTCATGTTGACATGTAGGGCGAAGCTGCTTTCAAGGCGTGGATGTTTTATGCGCCAGCAGCTCAAGCTCGATATCATGTGATATTATAAACATGCACGTGACTATGCAAGCCCATTCTAGCGAAAGCGAAAGTTTTTGATCGGAGGACATTTAGTGGTAGTATTGATGCTTTCCGAGCACTCCTCTATCGCAGACGACACATTGCCCCCTCTTTCACATATATCCCCTTTCTGAGGCTTCCATTACCGCCTCTCTTGCATTACCGCCATTTAACTCTCCGCGGGAGTATTGTCGAGCCAATATTGTTAATCGTCTTTTGACGTTGGAAGCTCGGAGCGTTCGCCGCGCTGGATCGTCGCAGGCTAGACAAAGGACAGAAAAGATAGATTTTTCATATCATTTGCGTTCCACTAGCTATTTTCCGGGCTTACTTGTTTCTCCGAATCGACGACCTCGTTGGCTAATCGTCGGATATCTTGACATCGATAACTTCAAGTTTATTTCGATTCACCTCCGCTCCTCGTTAGACCTTCCTCACATATACCGTCACAATGGATCATACGAGAGATCCCTGCCCTTGGGTTGCGTTGAGTGATTTCGGCGGTGCCTTTAGTATGGGAGTAAGTTGTTTCCGTCCCTGTTTTCAAATACGTGACTGCTCCGTGTAGCTGATCATTTGTTTTCTGCTTTTGCTGCAGGCCATCGGTGGTGCAGTCTGGCACGGCGTGAAAGGTTTTCGAAACAGCCCTTACGGCGAACGGCGGATAGGTGCCATCACGGCAATCAAGGCTCGAGCCCCCGTTGTTGGTGGAAACTTCGGTGTATGGGGTGGCCTGTTCTCGACATTTGACTGTGCAGTTAAGGGGATAAGGAAGAAGGAGGATCCGTATAATGCCAGTATGTGCAGCACCCCTTGTGCCCTGAATCCACTACCCTTCGTTTGACTTCTCGTCTCCAGAGAACAGCAAATGGGTCTACTAGCATCAGTTTTGGGGGTAGTTTTATCGGGATAATACCGTCTGTTTGGAACAATATTTTTTTCTGGGTATCTGACGATATTTTGCTCTAGTTATCGCGGGCTTTTTCACAGGAGGCGCGCTTGCCATTCGCGGTGGTGTGAGAGCGGCCAGAAACTCCGCCATCATGTGCGGCTGTTTCTTGGCTGTGATTGAAGGCGTCGGAATTGGGTTCCAAAGAATGTTCGCGGAAAATACAAGATTAGATGTACGACAAGCAATCACCTTTTTTTTTTTAATCCGATAATTCCCTATGCCTAACTTATATTCCTCAATTATTAGGTTCCACCGCCTCCTCCAGCAGCAGGAGACAAATCATCGCCGACTCCAATGCTAGCTTAATCGTCGGGCTATATATTATTTTTGCCCCCCCGGGATTCCCGCGCTAAGAATCCAATTTCTATCCCCTTAATCTCTCCTCTTGTCTGCGGGAGTTCGGTCGTGGGCTTATATCATTTCTCTGAGGCATGGGCATAGATGTTTCTCTTCTGTCAATGATGTCTGTCTATCTATGGCGTGGTCCCATTTTATTTCCTCCTTAGTTTTTTTTTTTTTTTTCAAGTAAAATTTTCTTCTTTTACCTTCGTCTTTCATATTTCCTCTTATTTTTCTCTTGTCGTTTTTTCCAATTTTCTACATCATTTCCTTTCCTTTCCGAACAGGCACCGACTAAGCCAACATCCGTCTACCCCCGGCGAACTTCCCCCTATGAATGCTATCTGTGTTTATTAGTGGGGTGGTTTCTAATGAGTTTTAGCTCCTCTGACGATACTTTGGACCGGGTCAAGGATAAGCAGTAACATTGGGTACCGATTCTGTGTACATTATATTTGGCATCAACAAAAGAACCAACATATTTCTACGAACCCCATATTTTGCCGATATTCAACCCTGTCTGTTCGAATTAGTGGATGTTGACTGACCAACTTGACAGCAGATTTCCTGTGAATAGGGCACGTGACTTAAATATCACCACATCTAACTTAGGCATGAAGGCTGGGACCGCACACAATATTAACGTTGATTTTTTACAGTCGGGAGCGGTTAATGTTTCGAACAGAGACCACGAGACCACACGACACACCTTCGCCGTTATATACCTTGTCTACAGCGTGCACAACTATGTCGCCAATCTCCCAACAGCACCAAGGGGAACGCAACCAGCCCCGTTTTAAGCCTGCCGTGATCCTCCACGGCGGCGCAGGGAATATCCAACGCTCCCGTCTCCCACCAGAGTTATATAGTCAGTACCGTACATCCCTCCTCACGTACCTCCGTTCCACTGTCGCCATGCTCAATGCGGAAGTTGAGGAGACGGCTCCATCCAATATCGACATGAACGATACTGTCCATCACAACATGCGCAACTCTCCCGCCAGCTCCCTGAACGCTGCAGTGCACGCTGTATCGCTCATGGAAGATGACGAGCTCTTCAATTGTGGCCGTGGTAGTGTGTTTACGTCTGCAGGTACGATTGAGATGGAGGCATCTGTTATGGTTGCGTCGCTACTTGATGAACACAATGTCTGTGGTTTCGATGAGGGCGAGGCTAAGGGCTTGGCGTCGGAGCGAATGCCGGGTTCTATAAAGCGCGGGGCAGGCGTAATGCTCGTTCGCAATGTGAGACATCCGATTCAGTTGGCGAGAGAAGTGTTGCTGAGGACAGGGTATGGGGATCATGATAACGCTGGTGGAGGCAATATGCATTCGCAGCTTAGTGGGGAGTATGTGGAAGGCTTGGCGAGAGAGTGGGGGTTGGAATTTTGTTCTGATGATTGGTTTTGGACGAAGAAGAGATGGGACGAGCATCGGCGGGGTTTGAAAAAAGGGAAAACAAGGGGAAGAATGACAGATGGCGGGAATATGGGAGTGGGCGTGGAGGCAAGTGGCGAGAGCGAAATTGACGATGGGGATGACCTGTATTTGAGTCAGGGAACGGTTGGATGTGTCTGTCTTGATCGTTGGGGGAACATTGCTGTCGCAACTAGCACTGGTGGTTTGACGAATAAATGTCCTGGTCGGATTGGAGATACTCCAACGCTGGGAGCGGGTTTCTGGGCGGAGGCGTGGGATGTTGAAGCGGTGGAGCCGTTGACAAACATTAGCGTATGTCCCGGTGGCAGTAATGGATCGCGAAGCAGTAGCCAGCCAAATAGGCATTCAATGATTTATCAAGCCCATGATGGATATACCAATCTGCTTCCATCGCAATTCGGCCCTGCTACGACTACCATCAGTTCTACAGCTGGGGTAGGAGTGCCATGGCAGTCCGATTTCAATCCAAATACCATCCTCACATTGCTCCGCGACTGCTTCTCTTCGTCTCTCCCACGGCCATTGGGATATACCAATTTGGAACAACCTAAGTACGATATTGAAAAAATTCCACTACCAAACCCTAAATATGGCCCGTACACAGACTCCGACACTCAGCACTGCAGCATGCCACAGCGCCGACGAATTGTCGCCCTCTCTGGTACAGGAAATGGCGACTCCTTTCTCCGCACTGCAGCTACACGCACTGCAGCTGCTATGGCACGATTCTCATCTGCTCAAAAGCCTGTCTCACTGAAACAAGCAGTTACTGCCGTTGCGGGACCGGGTGGGGAGTTGCAACGTTCGGCTGGAAGACGGTGGGGGAAGACGGGTGAAGGCGCGGGGGGAATCATTGGAATCGAAGCGGAGGTGGAGATTGATGGGCAGAGACTGGGGGAGGAGAAGTTGCGGAGGGGAAAAGTCGTGTTTGATTTTAATTCCGAGGGAATGTTTCGGGCGTGGACGGAGGAGAAGAATGGGAAAGACGTGGAGAGGATGATGGTTTTCCGGGATGATTACAAGTGATTTAGGACTGGATGGATGAGGAGCGGCATGGAATATATTTGCGTTTTTTTTTTAATTACCAGTTTCATGGATTGACGAGATGAGACCACTGCATCCACGACGCCGGAGCCACTGAAGAAAGAAAAAGAAACATTAGCAGAAGGTAAAGGGTGTCGTTCCCACTTTTCCTCCATCTCGATGTCAACTATGCATCCTCTATTACGCGGAAATGAATTGTAATGGGAATGCCAAAGGGATATGGTCATGTCGCTGTAGATATGTACTGACTGAAACTCGAAGTAATATTGCCTGTGATGTGCAGAGAGTTCGATGCTCAGCTCTCCCTCTTTAATCATGAATGTAGCAGGATACAAGCAGAAGAGTACATACTGATCATTATTAGTAGCACCCCCGAGACAGGGTGAGAGGGCGAGAAGCCCCAGATGCTGGCCGATTTGGCTCATGATTCTCATAATCAGCATTAGTTTTTAAGCGGTTGTAAATTATAAATCGTAAATTGTATGTAGATATTTACCCGAAAACAAATCACAGATCCATGGATGCTTCCAACTGAACCAAAAATCACAGGACGAAAGCACAAAATATTCGTCAAAAAGCACAATGAAAAGGGTAAACCTAAAAGTCATCAGTTTTTATAACGGAATCTGAACGAATATCAAAATCGAACTCAGGGCAAAGCAGAGAGGCATCTATCCGTCACAGATTACGATGAAAAGGCCAAAAAATAAATCACGTCCGAACTGCCTGCTGGCGCACAGTGACATGGGTTTTCCACACGAACAAGGAGTCCGAAATGTAGCCCGAAAATTAAAATAGAAGAATAAACCCTAAATTGAGTTGAACATATGAACATATTCAGCCAATATCAGGTATTCAAAGTCTTAACCATCATCCATTCGTTCGTCCCAACCCCTAAATTCAACCCATTCTGCGCCCACCACCGCCGCACGCGCTGCTCTACTCCAGAAACTGCATCTTCCAGTGCCTCTTCAATATCGCACGTTTTGAACTCGACGGGTAAACCACTCCGTTTCCACCACTCAAGCACTTCGACATGACCATTCTTCGTCGCGCCAACGAGAACTTGATTATCAAAGATGAGCTTCTCGCGCTTCCGCCGGTGCCAAAAGTCCAGAACAGGAACGTGGCCATGGTTACTGGCGATCCGGGTAACAGACTCGGAATGGCTAAACGGGATGTCAGATTTGTCCCACCAGGCAAGTGAGTCGGTGCGTCCAGATTGTGCAGCCAGGAGCACGGATTTGCCTACTTTTAATGGAACGGGGTTGCCTAGAGGTGCATTCTTGGAAACGGTTTTCCACCAATCGAGGACCGCGATCTGACCTTCCGCGGAAGCGGACTCAAGAGACCTTTCAGTGTAGCGGAAGGGGAGGCCGGATTGGCGCCACCATTCGAGCACATCCACAAAACCCGCACGTGAGGCTGCATCAATCGCTTCGGGCAGGTAGTCCTTTATCGGCAGTGTAGGGAGGATGGAGGATTTATGCCACCAGGTAAGGAGAGATGTGCTGCCAAATTTTGAAGATGCCGATAAAGGTAGATTTTTGAGGTCAGGAGTTGATAAATAGAGATCCATTCGCAATCTGCAGAGAGTATCGAGGATATCTGTTCGAGAAAACTTAAGGATTAGGTCGGTGGCAATTCTAGACAGGGGCTTGCGGGGTGGAATTGTGGATAGTTGTTCTTCAATCTCTTTTATCGAACCACGAAGAACAATGTACTCGAATGTAGCTGGTGACCTGGCAGTAGGGATGTAAGGTTTCCATTGTTCGGGAACAGGAATTTTGGCATACACTCCAACTGACGTCGCTGTTTCCCAGTCGCCAAGCATCTCGAAAATCATCGTCAATAACTCCGGCGGAAGGATGGGTCTCTCTTTGCAGATGGCATTGGTGGACTGGCTTTTAGTCCCAGGCTGATTCGGTTCTTCATTCGTTTCTTGTTGTCTTTCATGTAGGTTACTTGATATGACTAGGGGTGTTGATCTTGTCCCGCTACAAACATTGTTGGCCAACTTATTATCCTCCTGCATGGGGCTAGGAAGAGATGAGCATGCATTTCGAACTTCGCTGCTAAATACTGTCCAGCCATCCCAAGGAATCTCCACGAGTCCAGCGGGATGTTCAAATTTCGATAAAGTTGGCGGTAAAACCTTTATCAATGGCCAAAACGTAGCCAAACTGCTGAGCTGTCGTTTGGTCATCGGGAATTGCCACTCTGATATAGTCATTCCCGGTACCAGGAACATCCTCTTAGAAATATCCCAACCACGTAGAATAGTTAATGTGAGGCTTGTGGTGAGGCCAGCTATCATTGCTCCGAGTGTTCCCGCACCGAGAGAACCGAGAACTAGCACATCAGCCCAATCGATCAGCTCAGCTGCTGTTACATTCATCCAAGGACGTGTACTCAATTTGGAACCTGGTTGAGCGGAAATTGGTGTATCTGGATAGCATGCACCCTGTGCAAAGTCCAAGGCGTCATCTGATATCACGCGAAGTTCCACGTCCGCCATTTTCAGAAGGAAAGGAATGGCAACTGTTGCAAACGAAGCGTTTGTCGAAAGTAGGACATGTTTTCGTGCATTCTTGTTACAGGGAGGATCTGCGGACGACATCCCATTATTGTTGTTTAATTCCACCTCGACTTCGCTGACCGTAGCCCCATTTTTGTTTTCATGCACACGCGTATCGGCCCCAATTTCTATGCCCGTGTATCCGTTGGTAAGAGCCACGCCTGGCATTGCCGTCACCTTATCTCGAGGCGCCTGGTGCTGGGAATATTGAGGAGACAGAGCATGTGGGAGCGTGAAATCGACGGCCATATGCTGATCGTAAGTTCTGCGGAATATCCTAATTGCGGCTTCTATTTTAGTCGCTTAGATTGCCTGGCCAACTCCCAACACCGTTTCACGCACTCCAACTTGCTATATCTTCGTTATAATAAATCGGTAACCTCTTCGAAGCTTTGGTTCCATGGGTTCTCCGCTATGCTCCCTGCTCTCCCTTATTCCTTTGCACTAGGATTCCAGTTTTATTCCCTTCTATGGGCGTCAAGGTGCTTGATCGGTTGATTCATACGTTCCGTGACTTCGCCGGTTAGTTTTTTACCAACGATGGTAGGAAATTAGAGAAAAGGGCAACAGGGCGCCTTTCGAAAGTAGATGGGATGTCTATGTACTAGTATTCGTCAATCTCGCCGTCAGGCTCTAGAGGCGCCGAGCACAACGTTATGCAGGTTACTATATCTCGCTTCAGTTTAGAAGACTGGATCACAGTTGAGGCAGTCGTGAAGATATACAGATCAGAAACACATACCGAGCCCAATTCTAATTTAATTCCTCCCCCCACCACCTGCGATGCTTTCGAGGCAAGGCAGAGTTAAATCAGGGAGGATTTAGATCAGATATTACAGGATGAAGAAGATGGCTTGCCAGTTCGGTGAATGAGAGAATCTGGTAACTACTGAGAAGGGAGGGCTGTCGCTTTGGAAGTTTCTAGGTTCAAAAGACTAGGCCAGGAGACATTTATCGGCGGCTGGAGGGGATTGCGCCAAGGAAGCCTATTGCCACCAACTCTGCACCGTTTTACCCACTTTGCCTGTGAGCCTCTACTTCTCTACATACTGGGATAGTTACACAAACGACAGAAATCAGCTTGAACTATCCTATTCAGATTCTCCCTCATCTCTCCTTCTTTTCTAATCTCAAGCTCATATGTGAGATTTTGGCAGTTGACGTCAAATTGCGCAGGCACTTCAGTCCAATGCTCTGTGCGTATATCCACCACCTAGTACGGGTTGTGAATGCATTTGTCTTGATCATGAACATATTGCGTCCATAGTGGAAAATTGGAATTGCATGAGAGATTATATATCATATTCCGTGTCTTATTTTCTTCTAAGTTACCGGTACTCAATGAAAAACAGATTAAATTGTGTGCTGGAATTCGTCTAGATTCATTTCCTCGCAAGGTTCATATGCAGTTTATGCTCTTTCATGAAAATGCAAACCAACATACCTAATACTGCTAGCCCCAACATTGCGCCAAATACTCCTCTTAGAGCTTCCATATATGCATCCAGCACACCTGGACGCCAGTCTGCTGGGACTTTATTGATCGCATCAAGACTGTTCCGGACTTTTTTAATTATCTTGGCTGCGTCCTCCCGGTCACCGAACCTTGACCATAGCCCGGTTCTGAGTAGATTCTGGAACACGGCTGAGGCAGAAGTGATACCTATCGAGCCCCCCGTGCTCCGGAAAGCATACGAGGCCGATGTGACAACAGCTTGGTGCTCATGCTCGACGGCGGCGATCAGTGCGACCAGCGTCACAGTAAGCATGCTGCCATATCCCAGACCAAGTATGAAGATGTGAACAAAGGGTTGCCATGGAGGTGTTGTGAGAGTGTATGTGGTCATCAGAGCCAAAGGCAAAACAATAATGCCAGTTGAAACGTAGTTGAAGTGGAGATAACGGCCAGTAACACGCATTAGGATCCCCGAGCCCAGGGATCCAATAGCTGTACCTACGGCCTGGGGTGCCAGTCGTAGTCCAGCCATTGTGGCAGAATACCCTTGGACCTGGAAGTAAAACGGTGCATAAAACAGGACAGCAAAGACTGCCATGGTGCAGAACCAATTGGTTAAACATGCTGAAAGGACAGTGCGGTCCAGAAGGAGACGAACAGGGATAACCGGTTCAGTGGCAACCTTCTCTTCCACGTAGATAAACAAAATGAAAAACACCACAGATAACGGGAGTGTAGTCCAAATCAATGGGTGGTTCCAAGGGACTTGATTCCCCCCGCAGTTCAAGCCCACGAGTAGTAGAACAAGGGTGGCAACGAGGGTCGCTGCACCGAGAAAATCAATCCGTTTCAGCCTTGATTTATCAGTCACTTTGACTGGGATGTCGACCTTCCACAAAACTAGGAGAGTAGACACCATCATACATGGCACTTGGATAAGGAACGCCCAACGCCAGCCCCAGTTGTCGTTCATCCAGCCCCCAAAGACGCCACCCAAAGCACTCCCTAGACCATAGCAGAGATTCCCAATACCCTGCCACATTCCCCGGCTTCGGAGAGGGATAAGGTCGGAATTGATAAAGGTGGCAATAGCCGTGATGCCCCCTCCGCCCATTCCAGCCACCGTGCGGCCAAAGATAATCACCCATTCATTCTTCGCAAGGCCACAGATGAGGTTGCCGATCGCGAAGAGTATGTTCGAGGCTACCAGGCCCGTGCGCCGGGAGAAAATGTCCGTTAATTTGCCGCTGAGGGGCTGGAATGCGGCGTTCGATGCGAGGTAAGCGGTTGCGAGCCACGACAGAAGTGAGAGCGAATTGAATGACGAAGATATGGGAGCCGCAATGGTGCTAACGATGGTGGCATCTACAGATTTCAGGCGTTATTAGCAAAGGTACTAGTATTTATTTCTCTATTGGGGTTTGCGGGTCATGAGATAGATTGGTAGCGCCAGAATGAAATGGTGGGGGTTGGATGGCATAAATACCCAACGCAGCGAGGAAAACCCCAACCCAGATACTGGACAAGACCAAGAGCAACTGCTTTGTCGTAAGCTCCTCTGCCAATGGGACGTCCACGTCCTCGGGTGTGCTTGAGCTTGACTCTCTAGTAATACCATTGTCATCGCCGTTCTCGATTGTCGCTTCGTTTCCGAGTAATGGTGTCCTCTCCGAATGAGGGAGTGAAGTGCCTGCAAACATGGCTCTCCCAGGTCAGAGAAGCGCCGTTACAGATATTCTGCTATGTCCCCGCAAGCGTAGCCGAGTACCAAGATAGCGAAGTGTCCTTGTAAGGTGAGGCCGTATACAAATTGGAACATATGATGGTGCCAGATCGGTATTTAGAGCTTATATGGTAACCAAGGTTTCAGGGCGAGGAGTAGTAATTAGTATTCAAGCGTTAGTTGGCAGCTACAATTAGTTATAACTTGGGGATGTGCAAAATAATCCGGCTTTAATCCCTTTTTAGGCTGCGAGGCGGTTACGCAATTAGGCCCCCGAACTACTTCGCAATGAGGGAAATTGGACACACCTCGGAGTACTCCCCTGCCATTTTGTCAACTTGAAAACCCCGCCAACAAGCTTTCAACAGTGCTGCGTACAAGCTCCTGAATGGCGATCATCTATCCCATTATAAACTCCGATGCTGGATCATTAAAGGAGGAGATGCCAATTCCTCCACAGTAGTTATGGTAAACCCAATCCATTTCCATACTACTACTACTTCAGCTGTGGAATGTCCAGGTTTGGTAGGATAAAATCTCCACCATCAAAATCAGCACTTATTTATAAGCCAGCTTTTTGTCACACTAAAGTTACTATTTTTGTTACTTGATATTTTATTTTTACCTATTGAGCAAAGGGATAGACATCTATCTATCAGATAAAAATTAGGCGTAAAATCCCCTTCTAGATAGATAGATAATCAGAGCTCTAGTTATATTTTTTTCGATATTCTATCACGTAATAAAATCGAACCTTGTTCGTTTGATATCAGCATCCTCATGCTCGATTTTTGATCCAGTGATGTACCTCAATCTGGGCTACGCCAGTAAGTAAACCTTAGAACGAAAGCTCAAGTGGTTGATTTCGTCAAAATCTGATTCTCGTCGAAAAAGGGTCGAAATTGCAAAAGTACTACTAACTACGAGTAGTATCATCAAGCGTTTAATAAGTTCTCTTGTTTTTTAATCAAGGCATGTCCAATGACGGGATGACTGTTTGGAACAATATAATGGTAATAAGTAGGTGAAATTGTCTTCGCCTTTAAATTGCAGTTGAAGAGATGCACGGTGGTAGTATCGATGAATATACGCGATGTCAATGTTGACGCAGGTTAGAGTTCAGCCCCAAAAGAAGTTCGGGAAGCCGGAATCACATGATTTGCCGAAGGTGAACCTATTTTTGACCAATCAGAATGAGAGATTGGAGAGGACATCAAATGTTGTTGAGCAATGGAAATCTCATTTCAATACAAACTTGCGATGTCCTAAGTGAGCATAGTAATACATAGTGAAAACATTCCATGATAAGCGGTGACATTTCTTGTAGTTTGTGACTTAGGTTAAAGGACGCTTGTTAATATTTCTGTTCTCAAATAACCAGCTAGTACCAGCACTGCTACTCAATACGTTCAGCTTGATTGCAGATCAAAAACTTATCTGCAAATGATATCTACGATTATTGATACATATGGCTCAACTTACTGTCATTCGATTCTGGAACAAAAAACTATCATACGAGAGCTAAAATTCACATACGCTCTTGTGTAGATTTGAGGAGGAAATAATAGAATTTATTTCATAGTAGAATAACAAAATTGTATGGTGGGGATTTGTCTCGGTTTCAAAGAATAAACAGACATGAAAGATAAAGATAAATTTTCTTTATATAACAGTTCCCTGGGGCATACTTAGGCTTATTAACTCTGAAAAGTAAACAGATACTAGGATTGATGTTAACCCACATGCGCAATATTATTGGCTACAAATGCACTTTTGCTTCCATCTTCTTTTTGATGTTGAAAGCGCAGAGAAAAGGCAATGAGGAATTTCATAAAATTCATGTCCTATTAGAAAGAGGAAAAGAGAAACAACAAAAACTAAGGTCGATCATTCTTTGAGATAATTACTGCCAGTTGAGTGGCATCACCCAATCCGCCATTTAATTTCTAAGCAACTGCCTTTTCCGCTCTTCTTTTGGGGCATGTCAGCCACTTCCAACAGCGCTGTTAAAGCCAAAGAGATCTACTTCAGCCAACCAGCCAGAATACACAACCTGCAGTAGAAACCCCACATCCAAAACTCAAAATTATGTCCTCCATACGACCTCGTCCGCATGTCCCAGCTGTCTCAGACCCCTTTTGTACTCCCTTAGATCCTCGCATATGTCTCATTGTCTTACAGCTGACATTTGCTGCCGTTTGCAGCATAAATAAAGTGAACTTATACACGTGTTTTACAACTTTTCTTTCTGCCATATGCTGATGGTAGGGAATTCCCAATATTTATCACCTCCACAAGAGCTCGTGGGATTAATCGTCTTCGTATAGAGCTGGGTAGATACTAAGGTAAGTTGGATTATAGTGCGTACTACATCTAACTACTGTAACTACTAGTGCTATTAAATAAATATAGATTTTGTCCTGTGACTGATTACTGCGGCAATTTTCATGGGCAATTGGAGTTAAGAAATGGCTGGAAACAAAAACCGGTATGCAACCCTATCTATCGAAGTTATGCATAAGCCGGCCAGCTTTTTATCCAGTTTTTGCAGGAATTATATAAATAGCTTTACCTGTTCATTGGAAGGGATTGGTGATGTTCCTAATTCGCAGGGCTGACTGGTGGCCAGGCAGCGTGCGCTTGTCAAGTGATCTGCTTCAGCTCCGTATTCAGCTAGTTTATATCCACACGCATAGCTTTAGAATTTTTTATTCTCTTCCTGGATGGTCGAGATATGGGCCGTGTGGGTACAGAGAAGCCATGCTTGGCTCATCAGGGACTGCAGCTCCGGATTAGTGCCAGCAGCTACGTCAAGCTGTCTCGGTGGAGATCGTATTCTTTAACGTCGCCTGAGGGGCAACGCAAAATGTCTTAGTTGAAGGAGTGAAAGAAGTATAATATAAATAAACACTTGCAAGAAGGGTATAAAAACTTCAAAATAACCACGCCTCTCAGTAGCTTCTTCAATTGCTCATCTTTCAAACAAGGAGCTCCTTGTCCTCTATCTTGCAGCGTTTCGATATATACATTTTCTTCTCTTTTCCTAATAATTTTCAGATTTGCAAAAGTTTTCCTTAGCCACTTCTTCTCATTAATATCCCTACGTTACTCGCATAAATCCATCGGCTCATACCCTTTGTGACTGCCATACCCGATCACTGAACTGCCATCTTCGCAAGAGAAACAAAAATCTAAAATCCAGTCCACCGGCAACAATGAAATCGTCCATCATCTCTACCATCGCCCTCTTCCTTTCTCTCTCCAACCTGACCTTCTCTCAGCAGGTCATGACCGTCGCTTATGACGAGACCTACGACAATGCAAACCTGGATTTGTTAACGACGAGCTGCTCTGATGGAGCCAATGGCTTGGTAACTAAAGGCTTCCACGTCGCGGGCGATCTTCCCATCTTCCCAAGGATCGGAGCTGCGTTCTCAGTGGCAGGCTGGAACAGCACCAACTGCGGAAAATGTTACAAATTGAAATTCGAGGAGACTGGCGTGGAAATTCCCGTGATTGCGATGGATCATGCTGGGAGCGGGTTCAACTTAGCAAAGGCAGCAATGAATGAGCTGACAGGGGGACGAGCAGTAGAGATCGGAAGGACTGATATGACTGTTACTGAGGCAGTGCCAGGGGATTGTGGGATGTGAGAATGGTGAGGGAGAAGGATGGGTATCCAAAGTGGCATAGTGCTGAAGTGAAGCTCGAAAGGAATGACATGACACCGTGGGTAGAATGATTGAACGATCATGTGGGTTTCAAAATTGTAATTACCACTAGGAACGACCATTATAGACAATGGATGTTTTTTGACCACCCGGAAAGGGTTTCATTATGGAGCTGACATGAATGCAAATCACTTCTTTAAGTGTGGAAGAGAGGTATTATAGACGAAATCCTTGAGCCTGCCAGGATATGGTAACCATTACCTATGGAGCAACGAACAGTTTGGAGATTCGAATTGACATCGATTTCACCTTCTGATTTTCGGGGAAGACAAGAAGAAATATGATTTCAATTGTAAATGTGTTGCATCACGGAATGCATACGTACACAAGAAAAGAAGTACGTGTGGAAGGCCTTGCAGTGTTGATAACGCCCGCGCTGACAGGGAAATAGAGGTATATTCACAGACCTCGCAGGTGGCACTTCCCGGCCAAATCAGTAGACGAGGGTTTCTGGGCAGAGCTCTGGTTAGGTCGTCTTTTATTCAAGCTGCCTTTCCATTATATTGATCTGCAGCGTAAATGCTGACACTGTGCACACAGAGCCAATAAAAGGAAAGCCATCCTACCAAGCCTACATGAACCCTTGAAGGAAAGGGTCCACCATGGAAGCGCCCAGTAGCTGTTTCAAGATCCTAGCAGCTGCAAATGGTTAAATCAAGTCTACTCCATTGGATTCCTCGCTCTCCAAGCGGAAACGTTTAATTAAATTTTGCGACAAGGTCTTGAAGGTTCGAGTTCCGATTTTGAGGGTGAACATGAGGTGTTTGTTTCCAACAAGGAGGGTGGAAAATTCAATTTATGCTATGAATTCACGTCATGCTGCAGCATTGTTGGCAAACGACAGGATTACGAAGCCCACAACCCCAGAGTTTCCGATGGCGCTAGTTACTCAAGTAAGTGGGCGCTAGTCGCAGAACGGAGCTGTCCAGAAATGGAGGACGACGAGGGACGTTCATCCGATGGTAGAATGAAAACCGGCAATCGAGCGAAGCATTTTGCCGTACGATATTAAGGGACAATATAGTAGATTAGCATCGTACCTTAATTGCCACCATGAATGTAAAACACCCAGATGTGAGGTTGTTTCTGGCATCGTGGCGCGTGGAAAGATGCGAAAAGGGGAATGACGAATATCAAACACCGCGCTAACTGCCTGAGCCGCTCCTGATTAGTCACGGGCCCACGAATTCCAGCGATACATGGCCCGTGCACGTCCCTGACATCGCGCCGGCAGCTCCCTTAATAAGCCAACCTCCTCGCTCCGTCCTCGACCTCAACGCTTTCTGTCCTTTTCGTATCGTCCGCCGCCCGCCGTGCTCCTCCTATCGTTCTGTTGTTCAACAAGTTTATAGCGTGGCGGGTGCGACCTATTGCGTTTGACTTGCCAGATACATAATCTTGCTCTCTCACTTCCCGTCTCCCCGTGATCCTCCCCTTGAGCCTTCTCATCATGCCTGGTGTTCGTAAGTTAGACTACTGTTTCCCAGCCGTCTTCTTGTCCGGGAAATTCCAGTTACTTCCTTTGTCTTTCGTATATCCTGGGCTTTCCAGTCTAACATTTGAATAGCTCCCGATGCGCTTGATCAGCTGAAGAAAGGTTTCAAAAGGTTCTTCAGGGGACGCAAGAAGAGGTTGTCAACAGCCCAAGCCGCTACAGCAGAGGATGCTTCTGCAGAAGCTACCGCTGCTCCCGTGGCAGATGCGAAGCCAACGGAGACTACACCAGCAGAGGCTGCTCCCGCTGCCCAACTGGCAGCCCCGGAAACAACTGCTGCAGATGCGATTGCCCCGCCAGCTCCAGCTCCTGGTGCAGCACCTGATGCGGCCCCAGCAACGGCGCCGGCGGCTGATGGAGCAGTCCCCCCCGCGATAACTGAACCACCTGCCACCGTTGAGCCTGCGGCTGCTACTCCAGCGCCTGATCCATTGAAGGAAGCAACTCCAGCGGCTGCAGATGCTGCCCCTACTCCAGCTCCATCTGCCGGTGGTAAGCTCACCAACAAGTATCAATGCAATCATAACAGAAATTAATCTACTTAATCTCCGTTTAGGTGCTACGCCTGTCCCTGCAGCCGCTCCCACTGAATCCCCAAACGCAGTCGACCCGGCGCCCCAACCAACACCTGCCCCTGAAGCCAAACCCGCTGAGATGCAGCCTGCTGAGGATAAACCCGCTGAAGTCGCGGAACCACCCACATCGGAAACTGAGCCGACACCAGATACCTCCAAGCCGGCTGATACCCCCGCGCCCGCGGCTCCTGCTTCGTGAACAAACTTTTTCTTTCCCCGTGGATACCCTTCGCAACTTCATGAACCCATTTCCGAACTTATCTCAGTGACTCATACTCTGCTGCGACAAATGCACCCATGGAACGTGACTTTGCAATTATACATGAAATTTGAACTGAAATATCAATCTGGGTTGAATATTAGTGGATTAATATCATGTTGTATCAGCTGTATATTTCCGTATTCCCATTAATTTTGTATTCCTTTTGTTTTGTATTCCGTGCATTACTTGTTTTTATTTTTGGTTGGCAACTTAGCACGTTTTCTCGTAGTGTGCTTTCGGCCTCTGTCTTTTCCGTTTGTCCACGCACAACTTGCTTGCATAATACCCGTTCCCCTATTTCCTACTGCATCCAATTGCCCTCGATGTTTTTGAGTTAACTCTGCGCATGAATAATTTGCCACAATAGCGTGTTGTCTCGTACATTCTCCATTGAAGCATTTCAATGTTCCCGGTGTTTGGAACTGCCTATCCCTACCCCACGTCGTTGCGCACTGCGTACATGATCAATCGTTGTCTCTAGGACAGGGGTAATTATATATGCGTTTCCGATCTGGAAGAAGTTGCAGGTTTTTACTCATTGAATATCCAAGGCTTGAATTGTTCATCTGACATTTTGCTGATAGACTAAACTACGGGGTACAATATTGAATTTGATATGTTGTATTTGTGCTACTGCTTCAACAAAACTCTTGGGCGTGATATGAGAAGTATTAACTATCCGTTGATAGCTATGTGATTACGGGGCCCAGTTAACTCCTATGCGTGTAGCTAGAAGGGTTGAATGTTTCTCTAGCTTCCAGCGATGTTACTGTGTTGCTGCGAGATTAGATATGTTTTATCCTACACTGCTCCACTGCATCCCCTTGGATTCCAGGTTTGTCAACTTGGGGTTTATTTATTTATTTGCTTACTTCTCGGGATGATATCCATCGAGAGGTTACCCACGAGCCCGCCTCTCCTGTTTGTTGTCTATTTCGTTTTGCCTTGGGGGAAGTTCGAATCGGGAACTGCCCAGCGAAATTCCAAAGAACCTCAAATCCTGATCCGTTTCAAATACACTCCTCGCCAAATCCCATCGCAATACACGGAGTGATATGGTTTCTCCCACAGCAAGGATAGCACAGACACGTTTTTGATTCGCTTAATTCCGGAAAATATACCGGATACTCGAGGCTCCTTCATTGCGAAAGGGTCAAAGACCATTTTTAAACACGACTGTTTGCAGAAGAAGGGACTCCGAGCTAAAAGCTCAGTTTGCGTGTCTTTAAGATCCTTGCATCGCACTCTTATTGTATGATTTTAATATTTACTGGCTGAGATTTCACGATTTAAATAGACCCGGGAGTAAGAGTGATATACTCATGTATATATATGTATATCTATCTATATATCTATTTATCGTCAGCTACTACGTGACGTTCAAATTGACCTTCCAATACCACAACCAGTCTACATTCATTTTTCGTTTTAGCCTACATTTATACCTACTCTCTATCAGTCGACCTGACGTTTTTGTGCAATATCCACCGCATGTTTTATTGTTCTCTAAATTAAATACTCGAGAAGCCATCTTCTGTTCCCTAATCATTAGTTATGGTTCCTCCACCGACCCCACTGGACTGTAAGTTTGGGAAGATGTCATTTTGCAATATTACTCGCCCAAGAAATCCTATCACACTCGGAGATACCGTTTCCTACACTGTCAAAATTGAAGCTCCCATCGACCCAGACATCATTGCCGACGTGGTTCTCAAAGGTACGACAGAAATCAAGGGAGTGAGCTATGATTTGAATTTTCCAACTGTCACAAAGGAGAGGTGTTTTGAACATACTCTGGAGTTTACGCCCACTGCATGTGGGACAGTTAGAGTTTTGATCGGTTTTATGCCCAAAGGAGGCCGATCGGAGGAGGCCGAATATGCTGATGTAGAATGGCTGGAGGTTAAGTCTGCGCTGCCTGCGCCTGCGCCAATGCAACCGCCAATGTCACGGCCAATTTTGGCGTCACCGATAACAACGCTACAGCCATCACCTCCGAATCCGTTTAGTCGAACCGGATAGGTCAAGCGACTGGAGTTCGACACCATCGGTCAGCACTCGGTTGCATTGCAAGTACACGACAATGGAAGATTGGGCTTCTGTCCTGCGCAAAAATACGTGATTAACTGCGCATTTATTGTTTGAACTATGTATTTAATTTCTTGAGTGGGATTGGTGCCAAAGCGCAGTCTTAAACTGATTAAGAAGAATATGAGATCCTCCAATATTTACTTTTGTCCCATTTCTTTCTTTCTTTTCTTCTTTTTCTTCTTCCTTTTTTTGAGAACCGAGACCTCATATGGCGTGGTTCTTTTTCTATTTGTGCTAGCCTGAGGTTCACACTCTAGGCTCGAGGAAACCTGATATCTTCAGCGACTTGGGAAAATAATGACAATCGCTATAAGCGGTGTACTATAAAGGCGTAGGTTGGGTGTAGCAGCCGTGCTATAGACACGAAAAAAAATACTGGTACTCTAGTAAGCACCAAACACTCCCAACGCAATATCAAACAAAATGTATAACAGCAGAAGGGTTGGAAAGTGAAAGAAACTACTTATAAATATTGTAGAGAATCCACGCCAAAAGTTTTTTTTTCTGTGTCGACATGAAAGAAGTTTCATTGTCATTCCAGAATTCACAAAACTTACCATCTTGATCCTTCTGTTGTGGGGATGGCCTTCAAAATTTCGGCACGCCCCACTCAACAAGCTTCGGCCTGCGGCACGTTCCGAGATGATGAGAGCCGACTCGGCGAGCCGGTGCTTTCCCGGCATGATCCCGGAACAACATCCATCGGCCAATTGTTATCTGGACCGGGAAGATCAGCGCCCCGAAGTGATATCACGACAGTCACCTCTTTGTATTCGTGTTCCACAATGCTATTCTTTTTCCACTGCAATTCGCAATTAATTAGGTGTTGGATTCTTCCCTCCTGCGACATACGGTGGGTTTGGAGAAGTTATTTTTAAACCGCTTTTTCGGCACCTGACAGATTTCACCAACCCTCGCCGGTTGGCTCGCTGGTGGGATGGGTGCATGTATATGGTTGGTTATGTTGTCAACTACACGGCGGGGCAGCAATCTCCAGAGCCCGCTCCTAGCGATTTCCAACACCGACTTCCCGTCTCGATGTCACAAACGCTGCCTTTCCCCTGGTAGAAGGAAGCTGCAATTTTTAAGTTTGTCAGGGATACGACCAGCATATGCCCGATCATTTCTCGGCCAATCATTTGAAATCACTATTCGCTGCCTCACTCCCTGCAATTTCCCCCTGCTCATCTTTACTTTCACGAAGAGTAGCCTTCCTCTCCCTTTCCTTCTGCCTCCTTTTAATCTTTTTCTCACGATTTCGCCTCGTCCGCTTTTCCCTCTCATCCGCTTCTGCAGTTTTGGCGGCGGCAAGACGCTGTCGCAGAATGATACGGCGTTTTTTGCCTGGCTTTTTCCTAGATTTAGGTGCTTTTGAGACGGCCAATGGATCTAAAAGGGTGACGGCTGTTGTATGAGGCGAGTCTGTCGGCTCATTCTGTTTATTTTGGGATGGAACCGTTTTGAGATGGATGACTCGCCACGGAAGATGGCAACCAGGCTGGTTTTCGAATCGTATTAGCTCGCAACATCAGCTGGCTTTGTATTTACCTTCCCGTTGCTTCCCGAGTAATGTCTCCCAAAGGATATCTGGAGAGCAGAAAGAGCTGACACATACCCATACACCACTATTTGCTCCCTCAAGTATTGTTTCCCCACTAACTGCAGCATCAACGAATCCCTGCTTCTGCCGTGTATCAGACTCAGCACTCAGGGCCCCTATCCCCTCCCCCGCCATTTTCCTTCTCGCCCACTCCGGGTTTGAGAAGTAATACTCCCAGCCCCGAAACGGGACCACAAACCCCCCTTCGCCATCGTTCACAGTAGGAGACTGAGATCGCAACCTGATTCTAAATTTCCGAATGCCAGCGTCCATCCCGTTCACTTGCTTTGGTGCATCGGTTTGGCCGCTGCCCACTCGGTCGTGTCCCGATGCCCCTTTCTCCGCACACACCAGCGGTTCGCGAAAGAGTCTGAACTCGAACTCCTGCTCCTCTTCTTCATCCTGGATATGTTCCAAGTCTGCCGTAGGATTTGCTGGTCGTAGATGAGGAGGAGGAGGAGGAGTATAAGTTCCTACTGACGAGAAGATGTTTCGCAGCGCGTTTGCGGCATATGTGGCTGTGGCGGTGTCTAGAGGCGATGGGGAGCGGGAGGAACGGCGGGATTGTAGATCTTCGCGACAGACGCTGTGTGAGATGGAGAATTAGGAATGTGATTTTTTTTTTTTCTTTCTAATTTTCGTGGTCGAAGATTCCGGTAGGGCATCGATCTGTGTGGACAAGAAGCTGGGCGGGAAGGCCAAAGGGATGGTGAACTTACCGTTTTGCGTCGGAAAATTCGAACATTGTGCGCGGGTGTGAAAGAGGAGTAAATTCCGCTCAGGGAAGCTGGTATTATAAGAACTGATTTAGGTACGAACTTTGACTGAGGAACGATGGAACCTCCAGCAGCGAAGAGCGCACAACGGGTGGAAAGCTAAATTGTGGATGCCAAGGCTTGGTTTAGATATTTAGTTCCACCCCCAGGTTGATCTTGCGGCCAAATCCCGAGACAGCGGAAGTGTCAGCCGAATTCACATTTGTGATGAAGGGCGAAGAATGACGAATATTGTCCTAAAACCCCTCTCTTTGTTGTCACACATATCTCACAATTTAAACTCTCAGGCTTTCTAGCTTTGAGAAAGTCCAGGGGTTTATTCTCGGTGATGAAAACGCGGTTTGCTAGCAGCGAAAAAGCATCTGCCCCCCCCTTTCCTCAGACTATCTTTCATTTTGTTTCAATGGTTTGGTCATGAGATCTACTAGTATTTCGAAAATGTCTACATTTCTGTGCCCCTCATACACACAATCCCGTCACTCATTTCATCCATGTAATTTTGTCACGAGCGATAGATAGATCTCCCAATAGATAAGGGCTGAAACGGGCCTAAGATCAAAAGTTTACTTTTGTATAGGGGAAAAGTTTTAATTTACTTCCATATAACACTTTTGAGATTCGTTTATCTTGGCTAATCACACACAAGTGCGGGAAAGGATAATATATTTTGGTTTGTTGAAAAGTCAACATTTGGATTCCACCAGCATAGATACAGAATATGAAGGAAGCTTTGTGAAATAACCGCTGGCGAATTCAATTTGCTAGCGGCAGTTGAAGAAGCTGAAGTGGCAAAGGATGCAACGAGCAGGATGACTGATGACCAGAAATTCCAAACTACAACTTCATTCGCAGGTAACACCTTCCGCGGGGAGGATCACCCACACACACAATCCTAAGTACGCAAGGGCGTCTCAATGATCACAACATTTGTAATTGTTACCGCCCGGGCACAATCCTTCAAAGACGGGTTAGCACGCCTTATGCGAGAGAGGTAATTATTGGTGGGAGAAAAAAAAATCCCGGCAGCAGGTGAAAGCGGATCCGCGAAGGAAGAACACCATTATCAAACATACCAGTTCTAAATTTCCCACTGCAATGCCGACTGGTCCATCCGCAGTAGCTGCTCGAGTCTGCACATCCAGCAATAGTGCAGCACTTGATGTTGTTCGGGTCATTGGGACAGCGGTTGTTCACGTAAGTCCCGCCATTGGCCCTGCAGGAGGATGTCGAAATGCAGATTCCATAGTATCCCGGCGTATCGCTGGTGCCGCTACACGGACCATTCACCGCTGCTAGAGCGGGGGCTCCAAGAATGGTGAGAGAGGTAAGAATTCCGAAGAGAAACTTCATTGTGGATGTTTTGCGTGTTAAAAACGTAAACAAAAGGACGGTTGATACTTTCCCCTTAAAAGGATTACGGTATATGCGGATCGAGTTGGAAATTCAGAAAAGATCGACAACTTGCAATTTAGTAGGAATAGCCATCCTTATTATATTATCATCTCCAACCCCTTGGTTGAAGAATGCGGGAGCCTGGAAAGCGGGGTACAGGTATCAAGCCATGGATATAGTGTTTTGCGATGGGAGTATCAAAATAAATGAGATAATTAGATCACACCCAGGGTATTGATTGGATTGAACTTGAAGGCGTTAGTGGACTAATGCCTTGTCCCCGCAGATTGAGCACTCCCGGAAAATGTGGGAGGTGTCCCGTAGCCAAAGGTTTGATGTATTCCGTGAGACAATCCCACTGTCACACCCATACTGGTATAAGAAAGTGTTGTCTTGGATGCAGTAGTGGATTCAAAGGAAGGAGTTGAAAGCGAATAAATGGCACATCTGAGAAAGCTATGTGATTGACAGGGACTAGGTGGAGGACCGTGGATACGAAACAAGGGTTGCTGGTTGTATGAACGGCCAGTCCGTATTATCAACCTAGGGACCTGCGTTGACTGGGGATTCACGGACCTTGATGCCAGATCAAGGCAAAGGCTTCAAGCCATTTTGGCTTCCATTGACTGTAGGAGCCAAAAACTGGGGTTGCAAAAGACTACATCCATAGCGACCCCGGCCTCAAGATATCAAAAGAAGAACAGACGTGTGGGCTGATACGAGCTCGAACACGGGCAGAGGGAGTCTGATGTGGCGCCTCAAGAAGTTTAGGTTCCTCTGCTGCATCTTGACATGGGCCGTCAGTGGATTCAATTACTTATTGAACAGGTAATATATTCAAGGATGCTATTTGAAAGGAAAATGAGGTCTCTGAAGCGAGAACCGCAAGAAGACGATTGCAGGGGCAGTTACCCGGACATAAAGTCAGAACTCCAGAATGTTGATACACATTTCCCAGTGCTGCTCTGCCTTGTTGATAGAGTAGCGCCGGGGTAATGCTTCACGAATAAGAAATAAAAACGACAAGGGAAGAGACAGCGTCAGGAGAGGAAAGGAAATTGAGTCCAGCTGAGGTTGAATTGTATACCGCAGTTGGAAACGGTGTGACTTATAAGTTTGCCACTGTGACTCCTTGGATGGTATATAATTTTGTTGACAAATGACCCCCAGCCTGCGTTCAAGCGGGATCGTGCTCGATATTGAGATTCCCTGGACCTCAAAACGGAGGAAATCAACAAAAGCCGTGGCTGGGCGTGACCCGGGCCGGTGATTGGTCAGCGCGGTCGTCTTGGCTGCATTCTGCTGTGTCGCTGCCAATTCATCAAATCTCCAACCTCCGACTTTCACCTCTGCAACCTCGTTGCAACACGCCGGACCTCCTCATTGTCCGTATACCAGATGCTGGGTACTCCGACGGCTCGATGATTTTATGTCCAGGCTTTTTGCCTGACTAGTCCCCTTGTTTTCACCGTATAACCCGCCAATTTCTCTCGCCCATCTACCCCTCGATTCCGGGGCCGAGTATCGAATATTTTTCCCCGTTATCAAGTCGCAAACTAGATACCCCCTGTCATAATACATGGGCATTTGCGCTTCTTGCCTGGGTCGGAGCGCCCGGGATAGTCATGATGTAGGTCATCCTTTAGGTTTTTATCTCGTGTTTTGATTCTGGTGGTGGCTTGCATCCCTTCCGCTGCTTGTCTTTGGCTCGTTGCCAGTCTAACACAAGTTTTTGGTAGTCTGAATCATCGCGACTTCTTGACGATGACCTGTACCAGTCAGGCTATGGATATGGGGCTGTTGGGTCAGTTCATCGCCAGGGTCCCGATCCCGAATACTTGAAACGGGAGAGGGAAGTTTTAGAGGCAATATGCCAGCGAACATCAGAGTAAGTTTGCGCCCATATATTGCCTACGCCCATCCTTTTGGCAACAGGTCAAGTCCGCTGCCAGTGCGTATACTCCGTAACTAATAACTGTTGTCAATACCCACCAGTTCTGTAATTGATATCTGGGCTATACAAAGCTCCCAGCTGCCCGGACATACCTCTTCCTCCATAAATACAACAACCGCATCTTCATCGCGAGCACCGAGCCACGAGATTGCCACATCGGCAACAACGGAAGAGCCACAGTCTCCGACACAAGAGCAGAAAACAGAGAGCCAGGTAGATAGCATTAGACGGGCCGCATCACCAGCTCCAGGAGAGTTTGGGAGATTGCGCTACGCGACACTGCCCCCTTCCAGGAACACCAATGTCTCAACCCTGCCAAAGCAATGGGGAGAAGTTGTTATGACGACGAGGAGGGGTAAAAAAACCAGGTCTGGTTTAGATACTCAGAACGGAAAACATGAATTCAAGGATATATTTGCTCCTTTAGTCGTTGATTGAACAACCTGATGAAGTGTATTTATGGACAAATACAAGGGGCCAAATGAAGCTGTTGGTCGAGCATTGTTTGCGTTTTTGCCGATTTGAATCTACTTCGTCCATCGAGCGTATTCCGCTCCAATCTCCCGAGAATTCCTCCTAAAGTCGGTCTGGTGATTGTACTCGACTCCGTTGCCGGATATCCCTCTCGAAGAACACGTGTCCCAGGAAGCTATTTCCTGCTCCTTCAAACATGAGAAAGCCTCCTCACATCCCAATCCGCTCCCAATTTCATAGGCCCTTGGCCCCAATCGTCACCTTTTATTCATTTCCTCTCACACAATTCCACGTTCCACAATAAGTCATTTGGGTGACATCACCTCGTCTTGGCTGGGGCGAATTCTATTGTCCTTTATCTTTTTTCTTTAAAACTCGTTCTCGGGATACTATCCCCCTATTTTTATTCTCTCCTTCTTTTTGTTCGCGCACATATACCCGTTCGCATGCCTCAGATATTCTACCGAATATTTTTAATATAAGCGCATCGTCATCCTTCTGTTGTATATATTTGCACAAAATCGGCCACTTGTAAGTGGAGCTCCATCAAAAAGGAACAAGGTCCGGCTCTTCTTTTTGGCATTGCCTCACTTTCTACTCCTAGCCCCCCCTCTTTTTTTTAAAAAAAAAAAAGGGAAGAAAATTACCATTTCACTATACTTTGTGCTTTCTTGTTCTCGGGGCCCTTCATTTTGGCTAGACAAAAGGAACCAAGCGGATATGGTCGGGCGGAAAATGCATATGATTGTGCTCTCCATACTCTTCCCATTCCCTGCTTTTGCCGTTCTTCCTTTTCTTTTCCCCCCTCGTTTCCATTCTTATTCTCCCTTCTAGTTCTGGGTTACTTCCAAAATAACTGTGCACGCTGTACCCCTTCATTTCCTTTACGTTCATTCCTTTCCTTTCTCTTGTCGTTTTCCTTCTCCTTCTCCTTGCATTTTCGCATCCTAATGTATAGCTAAGCTGTCGGATATTCAAAAGGCAAAAAAAAAATGAACCGATGTACTGGACATACAATGTATTCCAATCCTTTGTCCTGGTCAAGTACGCACATGCCCATTTCATAACCTCGTCATATTATGTGTACCATCACAGAATAAGTAGGCACATGAAATATCTAATTGAGTCGTGATGTTTTACAAGCCTGGGGTGTTCATCCACTTCGCTGACATCTGGCTCCTAGTGTATCTACTCGTGTCATCTTTCCTCGAGACACATGCAACTGTCGAACAGGCAAGTTGGTGTAATGCTCGCAGCAAGCAAAACACAAAAACCCTTGTCTTCAAATCTATTATTCTACATTCTCAAGACCAATCAATAAAGCTAACATTGGGCTAAGCAAGGATCAACCCTTCAACTTCTCCACGACTCTTTAGTTTCTGCATGGTCCATTCTTTCACTGAGTTACTCGAGTTGACTCTAATTTTATTGAGTCGTGAAGCAGCACAGCAGCACAACTACACCGCAATGTGAACCTGAGATGTCAGCACCACGTATGGACATGTACAGCACAAAGAAAAGCTAGCTACTTGTTCCTGCGAAGAATGGATTTGGTCGGGTGGATTTCTAATTAATAAGCTAGCCCGTGTACGATACAATTTCCTCCATGCGCGCCGCGCCGCCAATGCAATGTGATGAACATCAGGAAGAATACTAGCAATCCCTGAATCTCTTGGAGACTCCGGAGTAAAAGCCATGACCTACGTCCGGGCTGACTCCCCGCTCGGGGCTTTAGGTTATTCCATGGGGCATTACTGCGTCTGTGTATCTAGCCGATCGCCTTTCTCCGCTCAGACCCTTCGAGGTATTGCCGAGTCCAGTAAGTGGCCAGGATAGAGCTGGCTGGTTCTTGCACAGCTCATCTTCTCCGCTCCACTCTCGCCAGAACTCGATTTGAGGAACTTCTTTGTATAGCTACTGTGTAACGGCTATGTGATGTCGGACTTCCGGACGAGGGAATTCACCACCATATGTGAAAAACTCCCACAGCATTTTTCCTTTTTTCAACCCAACATATATACAACAGATGGCGTCCCGAGAACGGATGATATTTACCCACACCTCCTACCTTTACACACACACACACACACACACATATATATATATATATAACTTAACCACCCTCGCCGGCCGCCCCAACAGCATGCGCCTTTCCTTCTTGTAAGCCATCTTTCCCTCCATCCTCCACTCCCTTACAACCCTCACCACTTCCCACCGAACATTACGCATATCACCCTCCATCCCTTCAACTCTCAACGTAACCGCGATAATCGGCAAGGATGGCCTTTCCGCCCTCAAATGCTGGTCCGTAACGCCAGGCTTCGTTATCTCCCACGAACCCGGCACGTCGGGCGTGTCAAACCTTGCCCTAGTGTTGATGGGGAACGGCACATATACTGTGCTTGCGCTGTGGTTTGATAGCGGGTTTCACAGCGCGCCGGTCCCACAGCTAGTTCTTTGGTTATTCCGACACCTCTCTTTCGTTTTGCTTTGGTTATCTCTGGCCCCCTCTTTGTAACTGCGTACATCAGCAATCACAGAGAAGGAAAGGGCTGCTGAGTGCCTAGCGCAGATCTAAAGAATTGTAGTGAGAACGCCCGATGGTAACCAGGACGGATGGGTGCTCTTCTTCACGGGCCAAGCACGCATCATCACCCCCCAACCCGCTTCGACAGGCTTTTGGTGGAAGGCGGGACGAACGGATTCCTCATCGCTGTTGATACGCCAGATATGGTTGCGGGCCGGCATAGGACGGTGTGTACGAGCAGAGAGTGGATGTTGGCGCTGTAGATTCCGTTCCGGGATGGGGTGGTGCCTCCACATGATATTTTGTACGGGGGGGTGTGTGTCAAGGGGTCGAGGAGTGGAAGGAGAACGGTGTTTGATGATCATGGTGATGATGATGTATATAGATTTATACCCCCTTTTTTTTCGCCGAGTTTTGAGAGAATGAATGGAGGTTGGGTGAATTTGGCCTCCGTTTTCGTTGGGGAGAGAGATTGCTTTCTAAGGTTATTCTAGATTCAGAGGTCTGTCTGTTAGTTATTTCTGCTTGGATTGTGGAGAGAGGGCGGAACTGTTGACAGAAAGTATGTGACAATTTGATCTTGACAGCCATGCTACTAAATGCCCGATCTGTCGCTTTTCATGGCGCCATAAGCTATGAACAAGGTTTCCTGCCCTCATTCGTTATATCCAGACTGACCCTTTTTTTTGCTGGACATATCACGTCACAGATGTCGACAGCTCCTTCGCTGGTACAGCAGGGCCTGGCCACCTAACATCAATGTCGTAGACAGGGTTACGAAGAGAATCGGAGGAGGCCATTTATTATGGCCATTCAACTGGGAAGGTTTGGAATTGGAAAAAAGGGGTGAGATATTTACATGCTAAAATAAAGTATGGAAGTAAACCTAAGACATGCCACGAAACAAGGACGTGAAACCAAATCATCAGAGCAGAGACGAACGAAACATGTAAAACAAAACAGAAAAAAATACCGAGGAACATAAAAAAGGCCTTTGGGGGAAATAAACAGCTTATCGGCAAGACGGTAGAAAGCACAAAAATAAAGATAAATGTAAAACATGCTCCTTACGAGTGGCACGCTTCCTCCTGCTGAAAAATTGAAACACAGCGCCCCGGAAGTACCTGTCGAAATAAATGTTGAACATAATGTTGTCTGCGCCCTGTGCTTCATTCTCTTCGTTCATTTAACATATAATATTATTTCTGGGCCATAAAAAAAGCGGCTTAAATCAATCCCTAGTGTGTGAGTCGACTCCTGAATTAACGCCGGGTAACAGCCCCGTTGGGGCAAACTACGAAATTGAGGGATCCCTGTGTGCTTTCATGTCCAAGAGTCCCAAATACACATATGTAAAAGTTCGGTCCGGAGTTTCGAGAAAAAGAGATGTTCATCATACATCGTCCATCTCTCCGGCCGGCTCCTCGTTCCCGGACTCGTAGCTGCCAACCGAGCTCAGTTCGTCATCTGATTCGGTATCCTCGCCAGCTTCGTCGGCTGCATCTTTGCTCGCGTACTTGGCGACATATTCTATCCGGTAAAAAGTAGAAATGATTAGTGCTTGTAATCTCGATGATCCTGGAGATTAGTTTCCGATCGTACCTCGCACTCTGGCCTCGTACTTCTTTGGATCTCGCATCAATACAGCAGCAGCGTCCCCGTTGAGCGGATCTGATGGGTTGGGATATCGGAGGAGTTGTGGGAGGAAGACTTCGAAAATATTGATCATGTCGTACATGGGTGACCATGTTTGGTTGATTACGTCTAGACATACCGAGCCAGACCTAGCTGCCCAATTAGGTTTGGTTGAAATATTACTTTGGGTGAATTTTAGAGTCTCACAGCTCATCAATATTGGGGTGGTAAATTCGGTTGACGAACCCGATGCTCGGGCTCTTGTACGGGTACTGATCGGGTAGCTCGACATGGATTTTCCAGAGACCACCCTCGAACGGTGCTAGACAATCGTTAGTCTGGTAATAATGCCAAATGACCAGTCAAGTCTGTACGCACTCTCCTCTGGTCCCTTGAATCGTACGTAGAACTCTTGCCTATATTTCGTAAATGAGTCAGCCAGCAATTCTACGACGACGAGCTAGGTGATGCGAATGATATGTTACGTACACTATAGTGTAGAAGTCAAGTGTGTTAACAGCTTATTATCTCCATACACCGATAGATAAAGGCCGGCTGTACTTACTGTTGTCATTAACAAGTGTGACTTCATAGTCACTCATTAACCTGGACTATTAGTTAGCATCCTAAGCCCACCATCCCAAATCTTATCTTCGAAACCGTTCAGTCTGTAATCGTAGCTAGAGGGATGCATACATCCTGTGGGTTAAGGTTAGTCCCTGTTTCGTGAACGGACAATGGCAGGTAGGGGAACTTACTTCATGACCTGTTGGAACAAAGAAGTACATTCAGGCGGTTAGTCAATACGTCTCTAAGGAAGACGGAATTTTTCTTGGGGTATATCTCCCAAATCAGGACTCACATCTGTCTCGATCCTCCGCTTTGGACTGCTCATCTTGACGATCCGCTGGGATTGGTTACGTTAGAACCGCTTCTGGTGAACTTGGCTTCCCAGATCCACAGTGCAGTGGTAATCGTGAGGTCAATTAACGACCCTCTCTGCAGCGAGTGTACTTGAGAGCGTGGCGGGGCGTAGATAAAGCGAGGGAAAGATGTGGTGGTGGCGGTATGATCGGATATCCAGAGTGCGGGGATCTGGGCGGGCACGCACTGGAGCGGTATATAAACGAAAGGTAGCAGAAGAGTTGGGTATGCAGGAGAGAGATTATGCAGGTCAGATCAGGCCGAAAGATGCGTTGTTTGGACAAAGGCGAGCGAATTAGCATGCAAGCGGAGGAGCTGGGAAGTGTGGTCGAGCGTGATTCATGGAGATAGAAGAGAACGGGAGTCATTCGGCCAGCGTAGTCAGCCTTTAGGTAAGGCGATCATGTGCCGCAGGTGGTTCCGAAACGGGCAGCGAGTCAACGTTATTTTGGGGTTCCTTCGCGCCAGCGTCACCATCAACGATGATGCTGTGGATATGCCTGTGTTCACAGCGGGAATTGCCACCTTTTATGGAAGTAATCAGGGTTCTTTCTTAACAACATTGCACAGACCACTGGGTGTGATGATATGGAATCTTCTAATTTACTTTGTTCGAAGAATGAACTGTGCATCCCATCCCAAGTATGAACACATCTTTTTTCTTTCGCCATGAGGAATCGGCCCATCATCCAGTGCCCAGTACCACGAGAATCAAGTATTCAAGTTGTTTCAAATCAGAAATTCGCACATCCCTACAAAATGTTGCTTACGCGAGAGATACAAACACTCCAGCCATTGGATTTCCCTTATCATCCCAAGACACATGAGTATGCGTCTCTCCTGCCACTTATTATTCTATTTGAAGGAGAAAACCGCGGAGGAGAAGGTTATATACAGAGGCACCCAACGAACCAAACATCGTTATTTTAATCTCCATTCTCATCAGCTCGTCTCTTAAATTCTTTCCCGTTGTTCAGCATATCAAACCCGTCCTGGTGGAGCATGTCTTCTTCCCTCACCGACGACGCGTCTGATGCCAAACTCTCTCTTTCATTTGCCACGTTACTGTCATTGTCGATATCATGTTCGAGCTCAGAGGTACTTGAAGGTACATCTGCGTAAACGTACTGATACTCAGTGTGCATCGGAGCTGGCTGATATGGTCCTCTGGCAGCTCGTTTCTCGCGGCGCTTCAGGGGTGGGAAGCGAGTTAGTATTCTTTTTATACGGCGCAGGAGAAGAATCCCAATGAATTGAAAGCAAAGAATACAGACCTTCTCTTTAATTGTATTTAAAAGGGAGATTTTGCCCAATGGGCGCCAGAGCTTCATCATGATCTTTTTGAACCAGTATCTCTTCTTGGGACGGTCATTGTTTCTTTTTGCCTCTTGCTGAACACAAGGGTATGAGATGTCAGCATGGTCTCCCTGCCCATGCTGATGTGAGAAGTATATAAGGACTCACTCACAATGTCATTTCTAATGTTTCGTGCTCGGAACTCTGTGCGGAGACTGGCTGGATTAAGAAGCATCCTTCACTTCTGATGAGAACCGCAGAAGTGTGCTTTTGCTCAAATCTAGATGTTTGATGAATAAGGGAATATCAGAGAAGAAGAGACACAAAGATGAATGATGACAATGTATTCTGATGCCAACAAAGTTGTTTTCAGTTGTGGAGTTTGTAGTGTTGAAGAAGTTAGGTCTCACTAACAACACTTGAGAGGGATGACAATAACTGTGATTTTCCTATTCAAAATTCAATGTGTGTGCATTGCCCCTGTGCTATTCAATGAAAGTATTTCATATTAGATCACAGCACCAAACAGCCAGAATACTCAATGAAATGCAGCAGAAGCATTGTAAAAGAGCCTACAGGCAATCCTGACTTAGCAATGCAATAAATGATGCTAACAATACAACCAGAGAAATAATTCCTCTTGCCCCCTTTCCCCTGTGCCAGATACATGACGGGAACACTTAGAGATAGGGAAAAAAGGAATAAAAAAACAACACCAAACAAACCTTCTGCAACTTGCCATACAAAGGAAAACATCTACCGGTATGACGTCTTATTACCTGCCGTCCCCTTATATCCCTCCATCCCTTTCTCGACCGCCTCAAGATGACTCCAATCGTAACTATCAAGACCAAGCCCCCACGCCATCACGCCACCCAGCTTTTTCGCACATACAATCTGCTCAAACTTCCTCGCGATGAGATCGGTGGTTTCCCAAGTCCAAAAGAGCTTGGCCTGCTCGTCTACATAGTACCGTCCTCCTTGCTCCCTGTCGGTCATCCCGTTTGTCCGTGCGCGTCGGAACGAGCCGCCGGTATCTACTCCGTCGCATTTTCCGTAGTTGGGTTGACAGCCGCTGTTGCAGTGTTGGGGGGTCTCGCCGCTGTTGATTTTAATTGGATATCAATTACTGCATTGGGCAGGTGTTTTGTGAAAGGGCTATGTTTGCGCAGGGGCGTCGTGTAGTGGGGAGGATAGGGAGGAATGTGAGAAAGGGGGGAGGGGGGGATTTTATTTACCAATATCCAGCCGAACTACAGCAGAACCCATCCTCGCATCGAAACCCATTGAGAGGTCCACAAGTCGCATTTGGCGAAACTCCAACGGGAGCACGAGGCGGGGATATCTGGGCTACCTCGAACGTAACGGAGCCCGAAGTGCCAGCATCTGTGCCATTTTCGAATTCACCGTGGACTATGGGACATCCAACCGGCTTTTCTGAAGTGCAGTTTGCTTTGGGGTCTAGCGTGAAGTACTTCGCGTAGAAAGCAAAGCCCAGGTTGATTTTCTCGGGAGGCAGCTTTACATCTAGGTAGTTCTGGACTGTCTCTAGGCAGCCCTTGACGCTGGTATGGTGGGCTGTCACATTGTCACGGCGATTGATTAGGTCGTAAGTCATAATCTTAAACAAAACGGTGAGCATTCTCTCAAACGAAGTAAGGGTAGATGGCTTATTAGAAAATAGTACATTGACAAAATCTACGCTCTCCCAGATCGCCGGCCCGTTTTCGGGAGTATAGGCAATCATATCTGACTTCCTGCCAGGCACCGCAATGGAGAGTTGTTTCTCCGTGCCAATAGCGTTTCTTATTTCCTTGAGGAAAAGTGGGAAATTGTCAATTTCGCTCTTTTTTGCTGAGTTCGAAGTCTCTTTGTAGTCTAGGCCATTACCCCCAGGGTATTCCCAGTCGATATCTAGAAGAAACACACAGTTAGAACCTGAAGGCAAACTGTCATGTTTATGCGGCTACTTTCAAAAAGAGATACTGAAATGGGTAAAGAGGAGGATACCGTACCAACACCATCGAAACCATGTTTATTAACCATATCCGCTACGTTTTTCGCATACTGCTTCCTACCAGCATCCTCTTTAGAACCTGCAGAAAATCCCGCGGTATCGCCCCAGCCTCCGATTGCAATAAGCAGTTTAGTGCCATTTGCAAAGCGGCCTCGAATTTCATTGATGGGGGCGAATGGGGTATACTCGCCCGGTGGACTCTCGATGAAGAGGCTGCTATTTGCGAAAGCCATGATAGCACAGTCGACGCCAGTGGTTATTTCTTTACCTGGGAGAATGGTGCTATGCCATCTACACAGATTTTGGGGGTCATCCTGGTTAGCACATCATATACAACATATAAGCACGTCAATCAGCATCTGCAGAGATGGAGAACTATTGGGGTGGGTGCTACGTACTGATCTAAATACACGCAAAATCTGGCGGCAGCCAGCTGGATACCGAAAAGCCATATGGGCACTCTAAGCAAACGCATCTTGACCAGCAAAATTGGTTATTAGCAAAGAATACTTTGTGTGATCGTTTTCAAATCAGGAAAGAAAGTTGGCGGTGGGACTTGGAGATAGAGAGGGAAGAAATGAGGTCGACAGATAGACAAGAAGGTATGATATTCCATTATGGCATAAAATCCCTTAGCATCATCAAACAAGAGATAGTGAAGCGACGCTGTATTTATGGAATTACCCTTCACTAGTTTGTGATATATTCTAACCACCTGTTGTGTTTTGTCTGTCTCACCAGCTGGGTGAAACAGCTTCATAGAAGAGCATGACTATCCTGGGGGAATGCCATACTTTCCCTTCCCCTTTGGAAGAGATATATGGACCATGGAATCTGGCCATCTTCGCAAGAAACCTTAACACACCTTACATTGCTTCTGTGAATGCTCATTGAAAGGGCTGTTGTTTTGTTATCAAAACAGCACATAATGCCTGTGTCTGAAGTGTATACAATCCTAGATGTGAATACAACATAGTAAAACAGAAAGAGGCTGACAATGAAACAGATAAAGGCTTTGTTTGTTCCTTCTCATATAATCTTTGATGCAGCAAGATTGAGAGAGAGGATAGGTGATATCCTGAGGAACAATGAAAAGCCACCACCAGCCATCCCAAGAAAGGACTGAGGAGAAAACATTGAAATAGAGATTAACCTTAACAATGGGTCTGTCACAGCTTTTCCTGAAATCATGCACTAGCCTTTCAGAATATCCATTCCTTTTTAAAGAGAATATCGCCTCGGGAGTAGTTGGTGGTGTTTTGGTATTGAACATTGCCTGTAGAAGCCGTCCGTTGCCAGCAAGGGTCACGGTGAGTGAGTACTCCCCAACATTGGCAAACCAACTGGCCTAGTTATGTGATAGGCTGCTTTCAGCCATGTTCGTTCATCTCGTCGGCGAACTCGTAAGGATGCAACACCACCCAGCTTAATGCAATGCAACGGAGGCTGAGATATCTAATATGCTCAGCATTTCCGCTTTCCAGGTACGATATTAATAGAAAATTCCGCTTTCCTTTGTGTCAGTTTGCCGTTCCCGCGCTGCTTGAAAATGTGAACAAAATGCAGAGCGCATGCATGTCCGGCTTCGAGTGGAGATGATGCTTGGCGTGCATTTTGATGCCAAGCTCCCTGCCGCCGCCAGCCCGTGCACTCAGCTGAACTTGCCAATATCAGATGAGAAGGAGATTACGACTATATCACCTCCACTCATTCTATGCTCACATTGCTGGTGCTGACATAGATAGGTATGTGGCCCTTTCAGTCGATGGCTTTCGGTTTCAGCGGGTCACAGACAATGCAACCGGCTCCTTGAACGGGCTCAATCATTGCCCAGTATTTTTTAACCCGAATCATAGTATTGGAGATATAGCAGCTTTGTCAACTTGGAGTGCCTGGCGGGCTGGTGCAACTCTTCTTGACAGCAGTGGTCGGGAAAAAATACCACATTATGCCGCTAGATATATCAACTCAGGGCCAGTTATTGGACAGGAGGCGCCCCAGCTGCATGGCAGGGTCACGGAGTTACGTACTAGGATGTACCAAACATCTGGATGAATGCTGTTGGATTGAAGTAACAAGGGTTTGGCGAGCCATTCCCGGTGGAAAAAGAGTGCATTGTCATCACCAACAATTCTGCAGCAGCATAGACAAGAGTTGATTGGCCAGTCCCCCACTGTACAGGTCCGTGGACATGCATGTATATGTATGTACCTGTTCCAACGTCGGGTTTTGTCCCCAGTTCCTGAGAATGTACGCTGCAATTGTCTACTGCAGTGATTGCATATATAGACCAGCATCCGAAGGGCTTCACATGAAAGAGGTATAAGTGGGCAAAATCTTTAGATTTACTGTCGGAGTCTACCGTGTACCCCTTAAATTATCGCTTTGTTTTCAACCTTGCAGGAACATGGACGGCGAAGAACAGAAACGGACTCATACAAGGAAAGTGCCAGAGGAATTGGATCTCGAAAGGAGTACCGATTATGTGTGTTCCGTGAATGACTCTCCCGGGACGGCGACGAGCTCGCAACCTTTGATCGAGCATGATAAACTCGAATCACCACCCTTCACTCCGGATAGCCCGCCCGGCCGCTGTTACAAACTCACTCGATACTACACCCGAACGCTAGCTGGAATTCTGATGCCTCTTGTCGTCACTGGATTCTGGGTGTTCATTTCGTTAAACCTGTTGCGGAAGCGTGATATTGTCAATTATGGAAGCGAGAACGAGATCCTGATATATTACGCGTGGTTCATAATTGCAGTGTTTGGGCTAGGCCTTAGCAAATATGGATTGGAAGGCGTTGAGGTCGCCATGCTGCAACATCCGTTCTGGCAAGCTGGAAATGCCATGGTCATTTTAATGCATAGTAGCGGTAGTTGGGCCGGCCCCAACGGCTGGCTCGGCTCTATTTCTAGACTCCTCGCCGGAAGGCACCCAGGAACTCACAGGCTATGGAACCTCCTCGCTTTTATTAGCATTCTCGGATCGATTGCAATTCCACTATCTGGAATTTGCATGCAACTTGGTGATGGATATGTCAATAGCGATGAACATCCCATGGTTAGCGGTCGCACACGGGAGAATTTTAACAGTCGTGACACTGGTCAAACTGCCGGCCGCGGAGGCAATGCATGGAGGACTGCTGCACCTGTTACAGTTCCTGGCATGGGTATTATATATACACCTCCATTTGTAAATCGTGATGAATACCCTCAATTCGCAAGTTTACCAAACTCGCTCCCCGTTCATGGAGGGATCCCAGAATTTTTCTTGACACCACAGCCTACCAAGCCAATCAACGGAAAGGCATGGGGACTCCGCCTCAGATACAACTGTTCAGCCGTTAAATCGGCATCAGAGTTTACAGTGCTTGCCAGGCTACCACAGCAGGATACTGGGGTGAGAGAACTAGGTGGAATCGGGAAATCGCCAAGCTTCAAGGGAGACGCAACTATTTTTGCTTTGAAGCCCGCACCTTGGGAACTTAGCAAAAATATATGGGGGTATGCCCGTGTTGGTGTCGACCTCACAGACGTGAGCATTTATGACGGCTCCGAGGCGACATCTTTTGACGAAAAAGACCTCCAACATGCCAATGTCTTGGAATATGCCATGTGGCAAATGCGATTTTCCCCAGCCTATGCGGACATAATTAAACATCCTCAGTTTGATGACAACCTCAAGCCGACCATGGCAGATATTTATCAACCGTTCACACTGGCTCCTAATGACACGAGGGTGCAAATTGACAAATCTTTCTTTGGCGATGACGAAGCGGACACTCTAAATTCGATTCCATTTAAACATCCAATAAGTATTGCCGAACCCATCGGTGTTCGCTGCGTGCATATATCTGCACTTGGCACCGCCGAACTGGACGCCCGAACTTCCACATACACTGACTTTAAGCAGACTCTCAGCCCGCCTTTCAACGAATCGGAAATAGAGAGCCCTGCACCCCGCTTTGGCTTTACCGCTGCGAAGATACTCAGTGACGAGTACTTTCAAATCTTCAACGCCATCAACTCCGCTCCGCCAGAGGTTGTCTCGAACTCTGTTTATTATAGACGATACATCCAACCAAAAACGTTGATAGAAGCCATAATGCGCGCATATGCCATGGATGCTTTGCAACTTATGTATGACGGCATCTACAGCACTGAGGAAGGCTCGAGTTATATCGCGAAAAACCTCACCTCGTCACGACGAGGAAAAGTGCTTGAGCGTGGGAAATTCAACCCAAGGCTGCCAGGCACCTTGTTCGTCATATGGTCGGTTAGCAGTGCGATCATAGGGGTGACATATGGTTTCCGCCGCCGTTGGTCAGAAAGACTGGATGGGTACAGCCTGTTCCGCTTTGGAGTTGATTTGGCGCATGAAGTGCGACCGTCCGAGCTTTCCAGCACCAGTCAGTTCGAGAAATGCACTCAGCTAAAGGATCTGCCGGGCTTAATTGGAGATTCCCGCCCGGATATGGCGATTGGTCATATCACCCTCGTTGCAAAGCAAAACATCGCGAAGAAAGACAAGATGTATTGTTAGAAGTTCGAGTGCCTTCTTCATGTCGTGGCCGATTTCTCTTTATTTACCAGCTAAATATTATGCTTGATGATGACAGATGACGCAAATTGCACGAAAGGATCTGCACTAGTTAGCAACTACTATTCGTAACTAAGCTACCCTGTACAGATCTGTACAGATTAACTAGTCCATAGTTAATATGGGTAATCCTGGCTTGCTTGCATGGGCTTGAAAGCGATGGACATGACCGAGCAAGAAGGTCAACACCGCACCCATTCGCACAGCAAATGCAATGTTGATCCCTTAGAATTGAAAATATTTTGACTTCCATGCTCGAGTCGATGACGCTTCGTATGTAATGCTAAAGCAGACACTAAGGTATAATCTTATACCATCTTTGGCAACGGTACTAGTAGATCTGGCTAGGTTGGGGATATGTAACCCCATAGCAAATGTTCTTTATTGATATTAGCTCTTATATTATATAGCGTCTCTACGTTCAGTGATACCATGCTTGCTTGAAGGCTCTCAGAAGGAACGAAACGATATCAAGCGCATGAACGGAAGAGCGCAAGAAGATAGACCGGTTATCGTAATCTTGCCCAATCTATCTTTTTGTTTCGCTTCCTTGAAAATTTGATCGCAAAGGAGAAGCCTTGATCCTTTGCAAGCCTTGCTTCGTCCCGACGTCAACTATCCAAAAGAATATTTCCTACTTTCTCATCACCCCAAACAAACCCAGCTAGCACATTCTTGATTAAAGTTAACCACGCGGTCAAGCAAAGCCTTTCAGCTTGTATCTTACCACCATTGTCCTTGCAACTTCCCATCACCATGCGATTGGAACGGAGCATGAGATTCATCGGGCGATCTAAGGTTGCATATACCCTCACTGAACCACTCTACCCACGTTTTGGCGCGTCGTCAGGGGCCCATGTTTGGAGAGCGCGGAGTTCAGACAGCAACCAGGAGGTGGTTCTGAAGTTTTGCAAACCTGACACAACCCAATCTCGATTGAACTTTCAGAAGGAAATCTCGCAAAGCCAGAAGTTTGGAGGGGCACAATATATTCGGAAACTCTTAGATGTCATCGAGGATTCCGCCGGAAGAGAGATAGATCATTGTGGAATGGTACTGGAATCATTTCCTGAGACCCTGTGGGAAGCCCGTGAAAATGGGCGCCTAAGCACCTTTGGTCTTGCTGGAATTCGAAAGACCATGAAGGATGTTCTTCTCGGCATCCAGGAATTGCATGCGGAAGGAATCATTCATCTTGGTTTGTGACTAATTTATCTCACTTATGACTGTTGCAAGATCTAACAAATGACTCAGATATTAAAGCTCAAAACATCTTGCTAGATGGAATGTCCGCCAGGTTATCTGACCTTGGATCTACATGGCCAGGTATGCTTTGAAACCCCATAACTGCAGCTGATGCTAATTTCAAACTGATAAAATAGCCTCACCTCCTTCAACTGGAATTGCACAGCCAATGCCCTATCGCAGTCCTGAAATCCTCTTTGATCTTCAGTGGTCTAAAGAAGTCGACATATGGGGTTGGGGTATGGTAGTATGTGTCTCATTTGGCATATTTGCTTAGACTTAGCTGATTTGTGTGGTGAAGTATCTTCATATGATTCAGGCTTATCTTCGCCCTGATATTTGGGGTCTATATGACCGACTTCCTGAGGAATCTAGTCTCGACATGTCCCAAATGTATGAGGATAGGGTCAGATACGACATATTCCATGACTTCCAGCTGAGCTTGGCACCTTATTATCAACAATGCAAAGACCACTGGCCGAGGTTGGACCCGAAACGACAAGAAGTAACCCTACGATCGATACTGGAATACTTGGAGTTTCTAGAGGAAGACATTCTTCTCTTGGAAAGGGTCTTGATTCCTGACCCTGGGTTACGTCCTACCGCAAAGGAAATATTACACAATGGATGGCTAGACGGGAAGTGTGTTCAGGAGATGGCTTAATTAGACTAATCACTTGGTTATTTTGAGACAGCTCACGGCAAATTTTCATCCAATTTCAATAAAACTGCTCAGCCTTAGGTTTCGCCCATTGGTTACGAGCCCTAACTCTTCATGTTTGTATCGCTCTTTTGGTTGTCATGAACTGTCTGGTGCCAAAGTGTTAGGGAGTCCAATGTACCTGATCCTGTTACCCTACCTTTTCTGCGACGTGTCTAGATTTATCATTCACAAAGGAACCGTCACTTTGCTCATGGGAGACAGTTACGTGCTGAATAGGGTCATTGGGACTGGGATGAAATGGGGTTCCTGTTGAACAGTATCCTATTCTTGTGCATGATATTCATCTGGAGTGAGCTCATCGCAGACATTCACCAGGTCATGTTGATTCCCTTGAGTGGGTTTGGGGGACTTCCGCAACCGAGTCCACCGGGAAAACATCTTGTTAATATGACAGGAAAATGCAGAGGGAGTAACTAGCAGAGAGGGACTGGAAAAGAGCAGTGTAAATAAGTGTGTGTGAAGAGACAGTATCACTTGGAGTGAGCGAAGGATATGCTTCAAAGGGGCAGAAGAAATCGAATCTATACATTTTGGGGAGCAGAGCATCATCACCCTGCAACAAGGCTGAGCATCAATAGCTTGTAGATATGACATTGCTACTATCACTGGTCGCTGAGGTATGGATGTGAACAGCACTGTTACAGCAGTGTGGTGTTATTGAAATAAAAGCGGCGCAGATTTCACATCACATGGCTAGAAACGGGCTTAAAACAGCATCGAAAATGGAGTGCTCTAAAGGTATTAATACAAGTGATATCAGTGGTTGAGCAGGATCCACAATTGAATCGTAGAGCCGAGGCACCGCGCCTCGAACCTACTTGCTATCCATGGTCTCTGACGCAAAGATGGTAGTATCCGATCCCTTCAACAGAGTGCCCTCGGACGAAACATAAGTACCACCAACCTCCAGTGAGATAATCTGGAAAACTCAGCGTTTGACAAGTCGGTTGATCTCATAAGCAGCAAAATCATCTATTCTTCTGCCACACTAGCGGACCCGCCTTGAACCAAGTGAACAAGGATGGCATCCAACGCAGCAAACAGGAAGATATCGCGGCAGGAAGTTGCCAAAAATAACACGGAGGATTCGTGCTGGTGTATTATCGACCATAAAGTCTATGATTTGACCGACTTCCTCGATGCGCACCCGGGTGGAAATGTCGTCCTCAGCCAGATTGCCGGCACAGACGCTACGACCGCTTTCTACAACCTGCACAGACACGAGGTGCTGCAGAAATATGCCAACCTTTGCATCGGCACTGTCGAGAACGAAGTGCCTGAAGTGGTGGACCCGCAGCCTGGCGATCTCAGCAAGGTTCCGTATGGGGAACCAGTCTGGCTATCCCCGATCTACAAGAGTCCTTACTATAATGAGTCGCATCGCAGGTTACGAAAGGCCGTGCGGGAGTTTGTTGATATACATGTGTATCCGGAAGCGCAGGAGAAGGAGATTGATGGTACGTATATCTCACAAGCGCTTGTGGACAAGATGGCGGAGACAAATTTGCTCGCAATGCGGTTGGGACCGGGGCCTCATCTACACGGACGGAAGCTTCTTGGTGATGTGAAGGGAGAAGAGTTCGATTACTTCCATGACCTTATAGTTGCGCAGGAGCTGGCGCGGGCAAATGCTCGAGGGTTCCAGGACGGTAACATGGCTGGCATGATGATTTCTTTGTCTGCCGTACGGCAGTGGCTAAAGAATAAGGAACTCCGCGACAGGGTCACGGAAGAGTGCTTGTCTGGGAAGAAATTTATGTGCCTGGCCGTCACGGAAGCGTTTGCTGGATCCGATGTGGCGGGTATCCGCACGACAGCGGAGAAAACTCCTGATGGCAAGCACTATATAATCAATGGTACGTCATTGAGCAAATTTGTGCCTCTCAGAGAATGCCTATTCTTCTCTCTTTGTCTCTTTGAGCTAATATCTAATCCTACTCCCTTCAGGCACGAAGAAATGGATAACCAACGGCATGTGGGCGGATTACTTCGTTACAGCTTGCAGGACTGACAAGGGATACTCCGTCATCCTCATCCCCCGCGACAATAACGTTGAGACCAAGCGGATCAAAACCTCCTACTCCACCGCTGCAGCTACGGCCTTTATCCAATTCGACAACGTCAAGGTCCCCGTCGAAAATTTGCTCGGCGAAGAACACAAGGGCTTCATCGTGATCATGAGCAATTTCAATCACGAGCGCTGGGCGATGACCTGCGGCGTCACCCGCTGGTGCCGCACCGTCGTTGAAGAGTGTCTCAAGTGGGCGAACCAGAGAATCATCTTCGGCAAACCCCTTATCAACCAGCCCGTCATCCGACAGAAACTGGCCAAGATGATCTCTCTTGTCGAGGCGTCGCAGTCCTGGCTGGAAACCATCACGTATCAAATGTGCAACATGAGCTATAGAGAGCGATCGAGGCACCTTGGTGGTCCCATTGGACTTCTCAAGTCGTATTCGACGCGCTGCGCGCATGAGATTGCGGACGATGCCGTCAACATCTTTGGTGGCCGGGGCATAACGCAGACCGGAATGGGCAGAGTTGTGGAGCAGTTCCACCGTACTTACAAGTTCGATGCGATTCTTGGTGGTGCGGAGGAGGTTTTGGCAGATTTAGGCATTAGACAGGCTATGAAGCAAATGCCCAAGGCGATGCTGTAAAATTGGCTGCCCTTCCTTGGAGGGATATTGTGCGGAATATAACAGTTGAAGCATCTAGATTCGTTAGTAGATCATGTATAAGTAATCACTAAATACAGTAGTTAACACAGTTTTGGCATTTCTGTGGGTTTTACATTTTTTACGTATTCACAGATAGAGCACAGTTTATCAAGAAGAGGGTCTTCGAGTTCGATGAGAATTGTGACTACAAGGCTTCATACGGCGTAGTCATCAATAAGCGGCCTCCTGTTTCACGGGCTCAATATTTTGCTACATATACTAGTATTGATTGACCCCTGGCACACAGGATGATCTACATTGTGCTACCAGTTGTTTTTCTCAGCCTCGACTTGACCTACGGATTTCCCCCCGGAATTATTCGCTGGACCTGAATGAGGGAGTTTCTCTAACAGAATATTTATTGATATAAATTAATAAAATAATAAAAAATTTGTAGTTACAATTATGTATGCACAAAATGACAAATATGTAAACAGATGAAAGTATATAGATCCCTGGAACGGGCACTGTACCTGAATCAGGGATCAGGGGAAAAAAAGCAAGAAAGAAAGAAATAGAAAAAGAAAAGAAAAAGAAAAAAAGAAACAGAAAATCACAAATCACAATTCAAAATTTTGAGATAAATGTTCCTTCAAAACATCATCCCACCAATGAAGGCCGGAATCACAACCAAGCAAACCGCAAGTCCCAACTTCGTCGGTCCCGACTGAGCATATCCCGGCATATACAGGGAGGCGGCTGTACCTGGAGTTTGCGTCGAGGAGGGCCTAGCCATGCCTGTGCCCGTGCTCGTTTGCGTAGGAGATACACCCGTAGCCGTCGCGTTCGGCAGCATGTTGCACCACACGTCGTTATATGGCACTCCAGTGGAATACAAGCATTTTGTGAGCTCTCCTACAGATTGGCCGACTGCAAGACAGACGAGAGCACAGCCACCGTCGTAGGAAGTGACATTTGTGTGTTTGCAGCAGTCCCTCATGGAAGCTATGGTTTGGGTATTGTTGGGGACAGCGCAGGCCGCATCTAAGGTGGGGATTTCGTACATGACTGGAGTGCCGCAGAGGGTGCTCCCAGTGGGAGCAGCGGCAGAAGAGGTCATGGTGGCCATGGCGGGATTGGTGAGAAATGTCGTACAGGGAATATGAAGATCTTGTTGTCAGGGAGGTAGGTACTAGTTAGGTATGCTGCGTAGAGTTAGAAAGGGGTTTGTTTCAGATTATTTTCAAAGTTTCCCGGGCTGTCTCTTTCTCCCTCGCTTATTTTCCCTCGATTCGATTCGATTCGATTCGATGTTTGTTTCTCTCCTCATTTCTTTTCATTTTCAGGGTCAGAGATGTTGGAGTAAAGCAGCACAAGTTTTTCATCGGCGCACAATCAAGAGATAAACATTCTTGGGAATTTTCCAGCAAACCTCGGCACATCCACATTTGAATGGAAGCTGCGGGTCTTGCTTTTGCCAACACTTGCCATCCCCTTTCCTGGCCCATCAAATAGAAGGGCAGTAACAGGTCTCAGAGCAATGACCATCTTGCCACTAGTTTCACTCTCAGCACGGTCGTCCTGCCCATCATGCGATTGACCTCCGTTCCGATTTGATGGCCAAAGAGTGATGAACTCATTTTCGAGCGCTTCCCCTTTCGAATTATCTGTCTCAGACAGTTGCTACTTCGCACTCCGTATAGCACAACAACTCCTCATCGCTTTGGTCATAAAAGAAAAAGAAAAACATCCCCATGCCACTTTGCAACATCACGTCACTTTGCGTGATCCAGGAAATTGGGCGTTTCGGCAAGGGCATGCTGTCCGGGCGAGTAAAACGGACACATTCACTGCCAACAACTACCCGGGTCCGGGCCGTCAACCACTTGGCAGCCAGGTTGTGTTGTCCCTGGGCACCGTTGTTGCGTTTCAAGCTGCGACGCGGTCAGTCTGACGATAGTTTGATAGGGCTGTCTGTCAGTGTCAAATTGTCGGTCGATCGCGATGGTAAGCTGAGTGGCTATTTTTAGGGCCGCCTCGGTGCCATGAGCCGCATGACCCACCACTGGCGGTCCCGCATCCGAGGCTGAGAGACATCGGCCGCATCGACAGCGTAAGCTCCAACCAGGCTGCTTGTGAGCTGCCTGGGTGTGCCTCCAGGTGTGTCTCCAGGTGTGTCTCATGGACGAGTCATGGAGAGACGTGCGTTTTGCTATTATTATGCTTCATATACATACATCCGTAAGTTCCTCTCATGTATCTTTACAGCCAACATATTCCGTCCATTTCACGCAAGCCCGCGCTAGTTGGGTGATATTGCAGCTTCCATGCAGGATTTGTGCTTGAATTTTTCTTTCTTTTTCTTTTAAGCTTCCCGCCAGGGAACGGGATCTGCATTGTCAGGTGGATCTCGGGTATTTATCATCGTTCACTACGATGTCCCCCGTATGTTTGGATGCTCATTCACTCGCGGTGGTAATATTCGTGAGCGAAGGCCCTCCAATCAACACAAAGAGGGAATGGATTTCATATTAATGAAATGTTATGGTAATTCATGTACGGCGGCATACCATAAATTCCGACTGGTTGCTTTCCTTTGTATGTATGATGCATGTACGGGGTAGCTGCGCCCATGATACAGCTGGCTAGTGACTCCCCCCGTCAGCAAAGCTATTCTCGTTCTCTCGAGTTGTAAATACATACATATACCCTGCCCGGCGCAGCTTGACTGGCATTCAAATCTGCCTTCCCTTCTGGATGGATTTTGCGGTCGAACGCAGATAAATCTACCTGTTCGAATACCGCCCTGGCAGTTTACATCCCCACATCTCCCTCAAATACTCAGAATGCTGCTCCATTGGAGTCTCCCACGGCTGGCTGTAGCCTTCTGCCACTTCTCTCTGGTGTTGTCACAAACGTACACCAAATGCGATCCTCTGAAAAAGTGTAAGTCGCCCGATAATCCAATGGCGTGTACAGAAAGCTATCCGCGTCGGAAGAGAAGAATGCTGACTGAAGCCGTTAAGCTTGTCCCCCGAATCCCGCTCTGGGCAAATCTGTCACGTTCGACTTAACCAAAGGCCCGCCAGCGGACTGGTCCGCGTCGAAGGATATCAAATATGATTCTAACGGGGGAAGCTTCACGATAAACAAAGATGGAGTAAAGGCTGAGATCCAGTCCAATTTCTACATCATGTTTGGCAAAATAGAAGCCACTCTCAAGGTTTCACCAGGCAAAGGCATTGTGAGCAGTGTTGTCGTGCAGTCCGAATGTGGTGACGAGATCGATCTTGAGTGGATTGGCGGAGACAACATGCAACTCCAGACGAACTATTACGCAAAGAGAAACCCAGATCACACAAGAGCCGGATACCACCCTAACCCAAATAACCAGAATGAGTTTAGGACGTACACCGTGGACTGGGATAGTGATCGGATTATTTGGCAGATTGATGGGGAGACCATTCGCGTCGCTACTTCGGCGGCTGGCAACTACCCACAAACCCCATCTTACATCAAAGTAGGGAACTGGGCAGGGGGGGATCCCTCGCAGAATCCGCCGGGCACAGTTCGTAAGTGTCCCTCTTATGTACAGGTATCGCTCCCTCAATTGGTGCTCCAACATAACTGATCCTCGATCGCTAGAATGGGCTGGAGGTCCGGTTGACTATTCTCTTGCACCTTTTACCATGCAAATCAAATCCATAAAGGTCACCGATTATTCTACGGGGAAGCAGTATGAATACAAAGACAAAACTGGGAACTGGCAGTCGATCGAAGCCGTGGATGGAAAGGTGAACAGCCATAATCCAGGTGATGACACGGAGACTCCATCCACCACAACCACTTCAACTACCGCTTCGACAACTGGGACACCCACACAAACGAATTGTGGGCCGAAGGGTACGTGTTAATGGCCACAGTCCTAAACGCGGCTAGCGATGCTATTGTCTTTTTCCCCTCTGATCCTATAAGAATGTCAAACATTTCCCTCGTTGAAGGGAAATTGCCCCCGCAAACCGTACCCTGATTTGGCTCAGGGAACGAAGAACACAATCCTCGTCTGCTTCTGTTTTGCATTTTATTTTCATGCTCTTTAAATGTTGACGGAGAAACATGCACATATGCTAACTCAAACCGAAATTCTGTAGAGTCTTCCGGCGCTACATGCACCAATGAACCATCAGCGAGCCGCAAGCCTACACCAACCGGTACCGATTCGAGCAGTGGCGGCAACCAAGCGAAAGGCACGGAAAGTGCGCCAACCCCCAGCGACATCAACGTGCCCAGTGGTGCGAGTACCCAGGGCAGGATGCAGCTCGTTGCTGGGGTCGCTTGTATTTTATTCAGTGCTCTCATGGCCACCTTCTAAATCTTGAAGGTCTGGTAGCATAATCATAATGGATAATTGTCTCTCTTGGAGGAAATTTATCGGGCGTGCTCAGGGGCATAGATGTTTTATTTTTCTGTATCAAATGCAAGCTGTAGATTTAATGGAGAACCTATTTTCGAATAATTTATTGAATGGCATATGGCATTCGATTCCAAATCAGATATAAGACCTTTCTCTCCCAGCTATGTCGAGTATGCCATGCAATCCTAAGGAGAATAGTAGGTATCATAGAATAGGGGCATTTTAGTATGAAAGCTCAGAACAATCCATGCACGGGCACTTGTCGACACAAGGTTAGCGATATATCGATATCATGAATGGCACAGACTTCAGGCTCAAAAGACGACGAGCTCAAGTTTTGATTAACAGCAATCCTCTCGTTCATTATCTATCGACAGCATTAAATTCGTCCGTGATGGAAATACGATTTGAAATTCACTCTGGATGGCAGGAAAACCGGTTAATAATTACGACGTAACGACCCACGATCTGAGCTTCGCAATATCTTGCCCCAAGCAAAGAGGCTATTTTTAGCCGAAAGAACTCAATCCAGCGAAGAGACTTGCTGGATAACTAGGAGCCAGTTACTAAGATTCATCTGGCTATGTAGCGTGGAGCCGTTATCGCAAAGAGCTTATGCGATTTTTTGAGTCCCCCGCTTGTGCTTTGGATTCATAGGATGTGACATAAAAAAGAAAGGAATGTCATGGCCATCGGATGGCGTCGATATTTAAATAAAGAACATACAACTTCCACCACCACCATCACAGGCCAACAACTCAAGTCTCCACGTCTGACGCTAAGGCCAAAGTACCGACATCAACAGCTGCTATTTAACAAGCTCTACAAACCGCCTACAAATATAACAGTCAGCTATGGCGTCGACACCACCTCTCTCAGCATCACCCAACTCGTCCAAGCCCACGTCTCCACGGGCCTCAAATCGCGGCCTCGGGCTGACCAGCCGACAAGGCAGCCGATCTTCACGACCCAGCAACGACAATGGCAGCAGAGGCGTGGCAACTACGCCCATTCCAGATGAAGACCATAGCGCTGATCTCCCATTGACGATGTCGGCGTCCATCGTGCTGACTGGCCTTCCAAAGGACGCTCATCAAGCACTGGCTGATGTCGATGCCATTGATTCCGGCAAAGGTACGCATTTACTGGAGTATATTCCACTCTCTGCTTGGTGGATGACTATTTATGAAGCCATCGTTCTTGGATGGTCTTTGAGCACATTGTGTGTCGTTTTCATCAAGTTCATTACTCCTGGCCCCGCATTCACCTACATTAAATTGTATATTTGCTCTTCTACCTTCTCCTCCATCTCTTGAGTTCTACTTTAGAGTGTTATCCTATTCCTCGGTATGTCTCTGCTACTATATTGAAATAAATGTCCGCTTTCGTCAATTTTTCTTTTCTTCTCTTTTCTTTATTCAAGTCTATTTGGTGTTTGAAAAGGCGGAGTTTGAATAACTACTGCTCCAACCACTGTATATGCACATGTTGATCTCTATATATGCATGTCGTCACTAAGTCTACGTTATCAGAGAGGGGTATTAGAAGCTGACTGTTGTCGCGTATTTCTTGATGTTAGTTACCGTCCGTTTCCAGCCTCTCCCATCCGCACCAATTCTGAGAAACCGTGTATTCAAAATCAGTGCCTCCCAGAAGTTTGAGACGGTCGTCAAATTTCTGCGCAAGAAGCTTGATTGTAAAGACACCGACTCCGTGTTTTGCTATGTAAATAGCGTCTTCGCTCCTGGACTGGACGAAGGAGTCGGCGGCCTTTGGAGAGTTAGTCTTCTGTCGTTTTGATATTTTTTAATTTTAATTTTAATTTTTTTTTTTTAGCAAAATTCTAATGATAATGGGCAATTCAGTGCTTTAAGACGGACGATCAACTCATTGTGGCATATTCAATGACACCAGCCTTTGGATAGTGAAAAATAGTCTTGGCTTTGGATCATCATCGCTGGGCAATCGGAGGTCCCCAAGGTGCGGGATCCAAAGTTATATACTTGAAGGAAAATTACCGAAATATGGCTATTTCATTCCCCGGTATTTCTTGACGCGAAGTCTGGACTAATTGACAGGACGTGGTGGTCCACCTACCAATCAAACAAGCATCTCAGATCGGGGACTGGCAACACCAGTTGCGTGATTAATGCAACGAAAAATCAACATATATGTATATACATTGTAACTGCAAAGGGATCTAAGCTTTATTCGCCAATTTCTCAAATTCCTCTACGTCCTCTTTCGAGATGGGGTATGTGTATTCCAGGGAAGGATATTCACCGCTCTTGACTTCGTCTCTATATTTCTCAATCGCCCTCAAGCTTTCACCCCATACATCACCATACTTCTTCACAAATTTCGGGAGATACCGGCCACGTGGAAAGTTCCCGGTCATATCAACTTGGACCAGCACTTGTCCCGAACAGCCAGTACCGGCCCCGATTCCAATGGTTGGTATTTTCAACTTATCGGTGATGATGCGTGCAATCTCTGAAGGGACGGCTTCAAGCACAACCATAAACGCACCAGCCTCTTGAACTGCAAGAGCATCGTTTAAGATTCTCACGGCACCGGCAGTCGATTTACCCTGGACACGAAAACCTCCAAGCGCGTTCTGTCGTTGAGGTGTTAGACCAACGTGGGCCACAACTGGTATCCCGGCTTGTGTGATCGCCTTGATAGTTGTCGCCATCTCCGCGCCCCCTTCTAGTTTGACGCTTTGAACTCGCCCTTCTTTAATGAGACGAATAGCGGAAGCAACGCCCTGCGCTGGAGAAATCTCATACGAACCCATGGGTAGGTCACCAACCTAATGCACAATATCATTAACCATTGCCGTGTAGAGTAACGTGCACAGGAAGCATAACAATGCATATGAAAAATCCTACCGTGAAGGCCGCTCCAACAGCACGAGATACACTCCGGCAATGAAGTATCATCTCGTCCAAGCACACCTCACTCGTGTCGTCCATTCCCAGAGCAACCATGGCTAGGCTATCGCCTACAAGGACCATATCCATGCCGGCTGCTTCTGCGACATGTCCGCTTGGGAAGTCATGCGCCGTTAACATAGTGATAGGTTCCTTTTTTTTGTACAGCGCCCGCAATGATTTGATAGTAACTTTCTTGCGATCAATGGCCACGCCCATTGGAGAATGGGAGCTCTGACGGGCTTGGCAGTGCCATATGGTCGAGCCCGTTACGGCCGGTATGAGCGTAGGGCGAGGGAAAGACAGGGCAACAGGAGGGGCTGTTGACCTGACCAACCGAATGGGTAAGCGGAGGGCCATTTGTGGGGCTAATTCAGTCGGGGTTTCGGGGCAGCAGCAGAGCAGGAATTGGTAGATACCCCTGCAACAAAGGACTAGGAAAATTAAAAGTCATGTTTCTCCAAGGCCGACATCTGCAGCTTGTTGATATATATACGGTTTGACGACGTGCTGGTTTATGCAGCGTACACAGGAGAATCTTTGGAGAACTTCGCGAATTAGTTGATTTCTTGTTTATCCGTTCCGCCACGCGAACCGAGGCTCCCGGATGCCGAATGAGTCAGCAACCCCCCCTCGTCGCTTATGTTAGCTATTGCCGAGTCTTGGCGTTCTGTCGGTTGTTCGATCGTCTCAATGCAGAAGGACCATGCATGATGTATCCATTTGTCCCGCCAGGATATCTATCTGTAGGACAGGGCAGTGTGACTACATACTCTGCATGCCTTTCAGGTTTCTTCGCCCCTACTGAATGCCGACCATTTGAGCACGGGCCAACACTGTATTCCGTACGACAGTGGGTAGACAAGAACTTACCAGGCTTTCCTTTTGCTCCGGGACCCCTAAATTCTTGTCTATTGCGGCCCCGGGTATCAATACTTTGCATGCTGCAGCTTCTTAAATGTATATTGCTTTAATAGCCTCTCTGCTGCCCTGATACGATTTCACTCACTTTATCTACACCCTCTATCACCCGAACTTACTGGGCATTGAATGGTCAACAACCTCCAGCCTGACCCGCAATGTGCTTTCAAAAATTTGATTCCAAAATTGGTAATGAGGTTTACTCGCTCCCGCAGATTGGAGTTGTGAGGCGTGGTTCAAATACCCCTTTCGGCCTAATGACTGGTTGAGAGATGCCTGCACAGGCCGCTGCAGTATCACCAACGAGCCTTTCTCCGGATGCGACAATGCAGCTAGTCCAAACAATTGAGAGCCTTGAGGCTTGGAAGCATCAACAGCATACTTGATATCAACCACACAGCGGTGCATTGGGTATTTTGCACATAGCGCCTTGATCTCCTTGTTTTTCTCTGATGCCACATCAGTGATACCCAGACATCCACCAAATGGGTAATTGAATAGCATTTCCCCTGCATTCTATTTCCAAATCGACGGGAGGTTTTTTGCAAATGTATTTGATCCATATTTTATAGCTTCAGGAGCGTGTATGGAAAACTTTGCCCGGGGGTTCATGGAATAGAAGCCGTAAATGTTGCAATGATGTTTGTTCGCATAGCCATGAGCCGAGTGGCTGATTGAATCATATTTTCCGATTCAAACATTATGCTGCACTCCTGGGGCGGAGATTTACGATTCCTCCTACCAACTCGATATTGGTTTTTGACAACTGGCTCCTCACTTAACTATGGCTTATCTCTTTACGGCAAGACACAACAATGCAACTAACTGGTTGAGGAAACTTTTATATGTCGTACATGTACGCTGGTATCGAGCCCAGGATGAAAACCCACAACAAACAGATATAATTTCAGAAGTTTGGTAGTCCTTGGTTCTGGGATCTCTGACGACCACCGGCGGCGGTGGACAACGGATGCTCGTGCTGCACCAAGGATAGAAATTTTCTAAGATTTTAAACTGTTTATATCAACGGAGGCATTCAAGTTTGCCTATCTCGAGAATGGGGTTTGACTTGGGGCCTCGCACTGTTTGTTGTGCACAACAGGACAGCTGCCCCAGTTCTGCACTCTGCGTTCTGCGGTGCGTTCTCCTAACGAAGTAACTCTTTTGGATGTTATATGTCATAACTTTCGACGCCTACCTTTCAAGAGTATTACGTCTGTTATACGAGAATGGATAACGGCCCCCCCTACCATATGAATTTGTAGCTTATGTTTTCCCTTCTTCGCTCTTTCACAGTCCTCCTGCTTTCTCACCCCATTCTATGTTTCCAATAGTCCTCTGACGCTGTTCAGATTTGAGTGTGGGGGCCCCTCTTCACGGGGGGAAACTTGCTGGAGGGCAAATATTGTTGGGGTAGAATTAGCCTCCCGAACAGGAAAATGTATTTTCAAGATACCCCCGCAAATCATGCATGCTGATCTCGTTGCATATCGGTCCCCTAAGCATGAAGCCTCCCTGTCCAACAATTCTAATTTACTCCTAACTGATAACGCCTGTGACCACCCCCAGCTCTCGCAAAGTCAAAAAATATAAACAAGATTGCGCCAACATATTTGAAGCGAGGAAAAGCGTCCCTAGAAAGGTTTTGGTGTCCAGCCATCGATCACTTCACTTGTAACTTGTACACAGCAATACATTCGATAGTTGTGGTTCAGAATGCGCCGAGTGTCTGGTATTTTTCCTGGATATGAAAACTTATGCTCGTTGTTCGGCATGCGGTTATGCTTCTATACCACGTCTCGAAAGATGGGATGCCCAAGATTCTTCGATGATAAGCCGTTTAGAATCCACACGACTACGACGTGTGCCAGCTAGCGATCCGTTTGTATTTCATCGGCCCTCGTGAAACCAACAAAGCTAGCGAACTTAGGGGTCGTCAGGTGAGCCAGTAAACTCCGGCCCTCGTTCAAAGGTTTTGACTGAAGAGAAGCACATTTTTTAAGCATTGGCGCTGCATTGTCTCTCTTCTCTCTCGCTCTTTAAGGACATGCACGGGAAAGAAAGATAAAAAGTAAATAAAAAGGAAAAATACGTACTCGAAGTTGCAAATAGCATACCAAACTCATCTACTTCTTCAAACCACAGCTCTGCGCGTTTGTCCATCCGAACCCCAGGAGTTATTGTGAACAGTTCTCCCTGGCGATAATACGGCCCGTCCCACTGGGCTAGCCATCGGTTGTATAGTGACTCCCACTGCTCTTTGGTCGTGGCTTGCCAAAGGTACTTGGGAGCCGGTGCCGGAATGTGGTTTAGTTCGCTGCAATCAAAACCTTGCATGCCATGATATGCACTGTATGCCCAGTATATACTATATAGACCTAAAACTGCTCGTCGTTTGCAAGTAACAGATATCCAGCAGTCCCATAAGGGTCGAGTACGATTGATCTCCTCCTCGATCACCATACCCGTTGACAGGACGTAATGCATGATAGTCTTCAGATGCTTGACGAGCTTATCGTCAAGTAGTGAGACCGTCATCTGCTCATTACGCGGAAATAAAAGGATGAGCGTATAGATCGTCAGCGCTTGTACGGCTGCGATGAGCTCGCCCTCGTCGAATGATCGAAACTTCTAATCCATCAGCGCCGACCCAATGCTCAAATAAGAAGATTTTTTCCAGTAGCATACCAAGCTTGCGATCTCTTGAACCTCTCTCCTCACTGTTTGTTCAACAATGCCGGCGCCTCCCCGACACTGTCCATCCCACATTTTCGCCAGGGAAAAACAGTTAGCTAGAGGCAGAGGAATATTTCCGTTCGACAGTTGTCTGGGGTGTATAATAGGGGGCAATTGAGTGCCTTTGGCCATCATTCGAGGCCATGTTAGAGATACTCGAAGGATAAATTGGACGCTATGACGAGCTGCACCCAGCGCAGAACTCGACGGAGCTGAGTCCCAGATTTGAATGGGTTCGTCGCGGCTTGGGCCGGGCATGTTTTTTATCAATGCATAATTGTAGTCCAAAGTATCAAGGTCGTTAATACCTCCAAACGGATATGTCAATTCGTTGTCCAGAACGCCTAAATCTGGAGGTAATAGGGAATTCAAATCTAAACCCTGGTTTTCTGGCGCAGAGAATTCAGCATCCGGGCTCAAACCAGCACCCAGTGGCTCCAGCTCGAAAGTCGCATTGCCTTGTGGTAGATTGCTATATCTCTGATTGCCCTCTTGCGGCAATCCATGGTTCCCCACACCGGTTTCCAAGCCTCTAGGGCTTGTGGGATACCTGCAGATGGTGCTTCGGAGACTACACCTGGAACAGGTAGGGCGCCTTAAATCACAGCGCGTCTTTGCAGCCGAACACTCACGGCAAGCCTTTTGCCGGATACTTTGAAACTGGCCATCCACACATTTCCTGGTATGCCGAACAAGAGAGGATCCTGTGGGTCTGTCAGCATGGAATACTCAGTTGGGGAGAAGTTGCGCACTCTGAGTAAATTTGAACTTGCACTTGACACATTCTAAGCCTTCCGCGTCTTTCATTGTAGGTTCGTTTCTATTTTTCTCAAACAACGGCAATGAATCGCAACTCCGTAACATGCTGGAAGTCCATTTGCAACCGCGACGGAGGTGGATATGTAAATTCCTTATGTGGTTCGGGTTCGGGGTTCTGGGTTCGGGATTCGGGGTGCCGTGTTGTAAGGCTGACAAATCGAACTCTCAAAAGCTTCTTACACCACCGCAATCATTCTAAGTAAATCCTTCCAAGGATTAGCCTGTTGTCTACGACTGTGTATAGCCCGTATCGATGCTCAAAGTTGCTGTCAGTAGCGCCGCCATATGCAGTTCCATTTAGAATCATTCAGAAACGGCCACTGACATCCCAATATCCTGGCAAGGAACGAAGAAATGCTCTGGCAATTGCTGCTGGCGAACCACCACCGCCTTGAAATAGCTGCTGACATGCCCTTCGATACGTATGTGTCGGCGGGGAAAGGTACGCCGAAATGAATAACTCATTCAGGACAATAAGAGTAGGGTAATGCCATTAGTCAAAGTATGAATACATAAAATTGTTAACTCCATGAAAATTGCAAAACTCGCCAAATACAACCGCACCAGCCGAGAGAAGAAGGAAAAAGGGACATGGAAACAGTTATGGTGACTTGAGAAAACAATACTTTCGATCCGAAATCAAAGTTGAAATAAATATGCTAGTATATATGAGAAGGAGAGGACAAGCAGGAAGCCGGGACGAAGCCCAACGGTGAAAAGTATGATGTGATGGCACATTATTCCACAGATTCGATACCAGGTGATTCGAGATATTTATCAAGTGTCATGATGGACGGGAACAAGAGTAACAGCCGCAGATATCGCGGCGAGTAAAGAACATGAAGTATCGTGTGCTGGTGTTATATGCACATCCCAAGAAAGAAGGAAGGGGGGAGTGGATTGAGGGATTGAAAATGAAGACGTTGAATCTACCTTATCGGTGTACTGCGCTTGGTCAAGTAATAATGATTAGACGAGAGGAGGATTACGAAGCGAATGGGGAGACACAACAAACAAGCTGGATACACGCTAGATTATCTTCCTCTAATAAACACCAAAAAAATCCCCTTCAATCAACAAAGGAACAGAAGCCCGGGAATGCATGTACATTGTGTTTTAAACCAGGTGAGTTCTTGTTTTCACCAATTATCTTCATCCGGGGGTAAGTACCGCTTGCGAGGGCGCTCGAGAGAGTGAAGTAGTGCATCTAGTTCAACCCAGTTCGATGAGGTCAATGCGAACTTGCGATGCTTTCTCGTCATTATGTGCTTTGCGATTACATTAGTTAGTTGGCAACGGTAACCACACAGCGATGACATTTCACTGTAGCTTACCTCTTCAAAATCCTCGAACTTGTCACGACAATTTTCGCAGTATCCTGGCTTCGGATCACGCTTCTTCTGCCTCGATCGTACCGTGCTAGTATTCTTCCTACCGGGATCGTGGAGCTTCTGAACCATCTCATCTTCCGATTGGGTGGTGCCGTCTTCGTCGATCTGATTGACATTGCCAGTGGCCTTACTCTTCGCTGCTCTTGTCACTGGAGCCCTAGACGCTTTAAGAGCACCAGCAATGTCCGCCATTCTGTGCGAAGACGGGATCCCATTTCCATTCGTTGATAGGGTACTGTTTCCCTTCTCCAGAACTTTCCTTTTTAACCCGTGTACCTCTTTACTTGTTCCTGCCTTCGCTCCAGGGGCAGCTGCTGTAGAGGATACAATCTGAGATCTGATTGCTGAAGTGATGTTTGATGGCTGGACCCCAGAAGCTGCCGGCTCTCGGGCTAAATATGTGGCGAGAGCAGCTTTCGCGCCAGGAAATGCTTCAAATCCTTTGCTACGAGGGGAGGCCGGCTTTGCCGGCAGCATTAAAAGAGTCTCAATCCGCTTTGGAGCTGGTGTAGGTTCTTGTCGTGTAATTGTTTGGCTCACGCCTCCCTGTACATCTTGCAAAGCTCGCTTCTCCACAGAGCGTTCTGGAGGTTGCATCATCTTCATCTCCGTCGTAGTCGTAGATTTCTCCTTCGCAGCAGGCTTTTCATCTCTTGTCTGACTAGCGGCACCTTTTCGCTTCTCCGATTCTTTTTTGGCTGGCGGCTCATCGATAAATGGGCATTTACCCAACGCAGCACTCCGAAACTGTGGCCATGCTCCATCCTGCCCTCTGGCGACCTTGGGATACTCGCGAACCATGACTGGTCGTGTCTTCTCTTCGTAATCATGGACATATATAAATGGACCTTTGAAGGGAATAATTTCCTTTGATGCCAAGATAGTGTCTCGATCTACAGGTCCATTCAGACGTTCGTTTCGGAGAACCTGGGATAAATCGGTTTCTGCCCTTCCCCTTCCAGCACCGGATACCGTGCCATTGCTACGCGTGTAATGGCCGTGGGTAGAAGTACTTTCACCATCGTTCATCGTAGATATCACACGCTGTAATTTTTCCAGGGCCCATATCTTCATATTCATCTGCCTTGCCCTATATAAAATATCCTTATTATCCCGTTTTGGATCGCCCTCCTGTCCGACGCGCTTGTCGGGTGTTTTCCTGGGCCTCCCTACTCCGTGATTGAGATGGGTTGTTTCGAAATTCTTCTCCAGAAGTGACGGGTCAACAGTTTGGATGGATCCGTCCGCATTTTGTTGGTTCAATGGAGCTTCTCCGGCAGAGGGCTCTGTGTGATTGGGGGAATCGATTGCGGGCGGAATTGGACGGGCAGTGACTACATGTGTAACGACCTTGGAAAAGAATTTCTCCTCCGTCTATACAGAATGTAAGCAACCATAATATACTCATCCAGCAGAAGCCATCTTTGATATGCTTGAACCGAATCAACACACGAAAAAGAATCAGAGAGTGACTTACAGCACCAAGGGCCATGATCTGCCTTGAACACTTGTTCCTGACGTCCTCGGGGATACTTTCGAAGTAAAATACAAACTGAGGAAACGCCTTGCGATAGTGCTTCTGCCACTGACGAATACTATCCAAAGTCTCTCCCCCAGCCCTATCATATTTAGCTCCTCGAGAATTGTTGGCCCTGTCCCTATCCCTCGCTGCAACAAGTTTCCTTTCGAATGCAGAGGGTTGGGAATTGGTATTCTTGCGCGTAAACACCTTCCCTTCTCTACTGGCCACCGCCAGCTTTCGTGGAGATTTGTTATTCAGGTCGACTCCATTTTTCTCAAGCATCTGCTTCTTTGGCGGAGGCTGCATATAACACACATCTGTCTGGCAGTTACCGGGGAGTGTTCGCTTCACGGAGGTAATAGTACCTCGATGCGGAGAGTTGGTGCCATTGGGGACGTTGACCAGGGGAGTCCGGCGGTTTGACATCGCGATTGATGGCTGAGGGGATGGAGGTATAAATACAGTTGCCATGTATACATAAAATGATATCCCGTCTGTGAGTGAGAGAATGAACGTGGGAAGGAGGGGTAGCCTTTGCTCCAAGGTTGAGCACGCGAGGTACCGCACGTCGTGAATCAAAACAGGCTGTCCCTCACGACTTGGTCATGATCATAGCAGATTAACGAGATAAGTGGCAATTAACAGCAATGAAATACAGAATTGACAGAAGGGAGTTTTTCTGGGGACTTGCAGAAGAGTTGGGCGTGTTTTCCTGTCAAGTCCCCCTTTCATACAGCTGGGGTTGAAACTGATTGTTTGGAGCAGAGTCGGGCTTTGACCAAGGAGGGTTGTTTTGCTCGTCAAAATCGCGCTGGCCGCCAACCAATAGAAGCGCGCCTGCGGGTGGGGCGTGACCGCCACAACCCTAACCCTACTAGCGCCTTGTCCCACGCATTGGATATTGAATATCGAACAGTTCGGACAAGAATACAGTGATAAAGTACGTCTGGACTTGCATTAAATCTCATATGAGACTACGAGGTATGAATTGGAAAAATTTGCGAACCGCCTACCCTTCCATCACCGACACCGGCCCAGAAGCCTGAAAAATAAACCGCAATAGATCATGGAATACAACATTTACATCCATTGTATTGTACTGTACATACATTAGACGACCATAAGCTCGTAAAAAGCGAAAAAGGCACAGTCGTGCCTATTGCAGAGCTTCTATATCATCGACCTTTCACACAAGTTAGCAAATAACGCAACAGAAAAGAAAATTCCACCGTCGGCTCTTACCTCTTTCACTGCTTCCGTCGTCAGTATAAGGGGATTATCTTCACCTACACAAACACTATCCTCAATTCGAATTCCGATTCCTCGGAATTGCTTCGGCCACCGTTCGTCGTCTGGGACGTAAATACCACTACAGGTTGTTAGTTCCGCATCCGTGCGATATTACCCTTGTGAAATGCTTACGGCTCAATTGTTATACATTGCCTCTCCGCGAGTTCGTAAGTTCTTGGATATCCCACGCAGTCATGCACATCCAAACCAATATAGTGCCCCAAATGGTGAGGGAACAAAGTTGCCATAGCCTACGAAGTGGTGGCAGTTAGCAATGGTCGGAGTAGATTTGTCAGGAAGAACTCACATCTCCAGACACGTCAAACCCAAGTGCCTTGAGTTGTTCTCGCAGCCCCTTTTCGGCAATGCGGTGCAGCATGTCAAGGGAAAGGCCAGCAGATTCGCGGCATAATGATATGCAAGTACGTTGTACGCTCAGAATAGCATTATACAAATCCTTTTGTGGCTCAGAAAATTTGCCGTTAACGGGCCAGGTGCGCGTGATGTCCGCTATGTAGCCTCCATATTCCTAGATGGCAATCAGTAAATTCAGAAATCTCGTCACATAGGGGATACAGGGTGTCCGTACCCCACCACCATCAACAAGGACCATGTTTCCCTTTCTAACAAATAGATAGTAAGCATCACATTCAGTTAACTTGGCCAGATTACCACCATACCTTAGCACATCATCGTTTCTAACGTAGTGGATGCTTAGCGCATTCTGCAAATAATCATTAGCTCGTAAAAATAATAGACGAAATACAGGAAGGAATAATCTTACCTGGCCACCAGCAATCACAGGAATAAAAGCTAGGCCATCACAGCCATTCGCCTTGAATTGGTATTCCAAAAACGCATGGATATCCTTCTCCTTTGCAAATTGTCTTCTCATGGCCTCTGTAAAAGCCCGACCCGAAGCTTGTCCCACCTTCCGCATATTTCGTATCTCTCCCTCACTTTTGAAGATACGCAATTCGTTGAGAACTGGGCGCAATGCCCACAGTTTGTGTGAAGACACGTTTTTTGCTTGGAGAGAGGAAAAGAAACCGGATAATGAAGGTCGTGATGGGTCCAGAAGTTTGAGATCGGTATATATTCTGGAAGCATCCGAAAGGATTGAAGGAGGAGAGCTGCTGATATTGTCTATACTGCCGCTCTATAGGAAAATATTGAAGGTCAGCACGTTCCAATCAAAAGTATGTGCATTGTATGATTTACTATATCCGCATTAAAGACGTCAATCGCAGCCTGGACCCCTGACCGCGGCCCCTCCCATATCTCCATTTTTGGATCCTTCTCTCGAACATAGAGGTGAAAAATGTGATCATTCTCAGAACCATCATTTCCTAATAAATATTAGCAAATCTAAAGATTACTTATACAACTTGAAAACTTACCAATAATAGCTATCGCACCGGGCTCGTTAAAACCTAGATTACCCTATCAGCAAGAGTCTCAGCCAGATCATATAGTCGAAAAGTTCTCAGTACCCGTAAGGTAGAAGAAATCGGGATCTTGGTGGTATTCGTAGAAAACGCTTCCCGATCTATATTTTATGTCCGAAGCAGCGACGACAGCAATCGCGTGCTTGGGTAGCTTAGATGCAAGCGTGGACCGGCGATGGGCATATTCAAGAGCAGTGATACCTGGCGTCACTATGAAGAGAAGAATACATCAAAGTCAGCCTCACCCCTCCTTGAAATTCTCGAAATTATACAATATCTCTCACATACATTCCCCAGCCTTTAGGATATGCGGATGTGTTTCATGAAGTGGTTGTCCGAAGCGGAGCTCCCCTGCGGAAACCGAAGCGTAGAATCGTCGGCTCAGTCGTCTACTGGATGCGCTCTTCAGAAGACTCCCCCTGCCGTTGCAGTTAATCGGCGAATTGGCCGCGCACCGGACCGAATGGCGCAGGTAAGGGAGGGTCTGCGACATAGTTTTGCATCTGTTGCAATACCATCGACATCATTGATGTTGCCAAAGCATGAACAAAATGTGTTTTGGAAAGATTTCTGTATGTAATGTATTGTCACGCGGATATAATATGTTTCCAAATACAAGATTTCAATACCAAAAATGTTGCTGTCTATTAAAGATCCTCTATATAGTTCAATAGATGAGAAAATATTTATATACCTCATGTATGCAAACGGGGAATTGTAGTCGCAGGAATTTAATGCTATTCCGACACACACCATTCCCTCAAAGTGACCGGTGAGTCTCGAATCGGGAGTTACCAGCTCGCAGACTTCTAAACTGGCAATCGGAGTCTACCATCGTACAGCCACGGTCAAGTCACCAAGTCAACATATTCCATCATCAATAATTGAACCTTAAAACACATACATCCACTGCGCAGCAACTTAGAACGCGGGCCTGTCAGATGTTAAACTGAGATGCAGCAAGGAAATTCGAAGACAGCAAGCAACTTTGAACAGCACGTTGATCACAGCCAGTAAGGGGTACAAAGCAAAACCCCCTGCCACCACTCACGGAACTCTACCGCATCCCCTTCGTATAAAGTCCTCTCTTTTCGAACATTTGAGAAAAGCTTAACTTTCAAACACTGAACCCGCCAGGCGATTGGCTGTGCAGCCCTAAGCTGAATTCGCTGGAAGCAACAAGGCTGTTGAGCAACAATCAAAGATCCCATCTTTATGCTGCAGATATCTGTCTTGCAACCCCAGTGAGTTGGGACTTCGCTTGTTAATAGGCATCGCTCTGTGTGTTGATATAAATCCCACCACCCCCCACTACCGGGTGCTCTGCAGGGAATTGGAAACCCATATCTTCAAACAAGGCTCGAAGTGCTCGGCACAGGCAAGCTTAGGGGTGCAATCTGATTGTGTCACAGTGAGAGCCCTCAATGCGTCATAATGCCTTTTTTTAACATCGATGATCTGCGTCAAACACTGCCCTCAAGGCGCTTCAGGCTATAATTCAACGGCCCGTGTCACTGTAAAATGCGCATGCTACTCGTTTAAACTTCTAGTTGTCCAGGAGAGGAGCTCGTATTTCATCAAAGTCATTAGCCAATGAAACAACGTCATGAAGCAACATGAGCTCCTTCATCGTTGGCCCCAGTGTTTATAAACCGTGATGGCAGGGCTTCGGGCAATTCCTCGCAGACCTCTTTTGATAAAAAATGTCTTCATTTTCCAACATCTATGAACAACTACGGCCTGTCGCACAGCAGCAATTCTCAAGATGTATCCGGTTCGACCTACGAAAGGGCACTCGAAGAGCAATTCGCAGACCACGTCTAGCGAAGTTCCAGCTAAATCTCTCCATCTATACACTCGCCTCTGCCCTGGTCGCAAAGCTCTACTTTCCCCTTCGGATACAGAACCTGCCCGGTACTTCGTAACCAACAAATTCCCTCACAAACACGCCCACCAATGGGTCCCGGTATTTTACCGGGGGGATAACCCTAAATATACCACTGAGACGACCGCCATCGGACGAGCTAAGCGTACCGCCATGTGGACCTCCTTCAAAGTTTGGCTGGGAGACGGGGTTAGCGAAGTGCTTCAAAATGAGGAGCGACGCAAAAAAGCAAAGAGTTATGAACGCAAGGAGAAAGTACGCAAGTTCTTTTGTCGAGGATCAAAACAGCCAAAGGAGCCGCTAGAGGATGAGCAACCGGTTTCCGGTAAGGTGATACTGGTGCATATGCACCGGTCGGGACTGTCGCGGAAGGTCGAATTTGAGGTTGGAGGGACGAGGTATAGATGGTCCGGTACACGGAAATTCGCCACGGGCTTCATGCAAGGGGTAAAGTGTTGGTCGCATTGCTTGAAGGTTAGTATTCACGGGATCCGATGAGAGGGAGTGCAGTGATGTTGTGCTGCCATTTTTACCCATGGTATATTGCTGTCGTATGAGTATGGTAATTGTTTGCTATCAGCTCATCCGTACCTCCGACCATGCCCTCATTGCAACATTTGAAAAGCGTCGTTCAGCGCGTTACCACCGCTCAATCAAAACCGGACAGCCTCCTAATAAGAAGAAATCATTTATTGGGGTCCTTTGCATCTATGAAGAGGCTTATGCAATGCAAATTGCTGACGACCATGGTGCCGGCGGATCTTCAGTGGCAGCTTTTACGGCAAGGGTGGATGCGCTTGCCAGCAACCCGCGAAGTCGCGCAAAGGATGAGAAGGATCTCAACCCTGATGGGCTTCATGTGGGAAACTTCACAGAGGACATGATCGCGCTGAGTTGCTGGATTGTAGAAGAGGCCGAGCATCGATTGCGGTATAAGATTTTTGATTTGCTCGAGGAGATAGGTGAGAATGCTGAGGGATAAGCTTGAGGTATGGGTGCTCTGACAGTTTGGCCCTTGAAGTGAAACATTTTATTTGAGAGGGCTGGTATCTTATTGTGCGAAGGGCTATCACGGAGTTTTTCAATATTTGTGACAGGGAGGTGAAGTATGAGAATGGGCTTTTTCCTAGGAAATCCATATGGAGAATTGCTGTGGAAGCGTTGTTTTCCGACAACGACCGGCATTGGCTCTCCTGTATCCAAATGCACAAACATACAGAGAGACCATAAAGATCATTGAGCTTTTTTGAATCGCGCCATGGCCAACCAAATTAACAGTCTGTATGCTCATCAACACCAGTGTCCTGGGCCCTCTTGACACCCGTGTCGTGCTTGTTTTGAACAAAGAGCAGCACCCTCACATTTGAAGTTCGGGAAGACTCTCGGCAGCTACCGTCCATTGCAGTAACTATTCAGGAGATTTAGATGTTCTTCAACCAGGAGAGCACATAGGCGTAATGTGTCGGCTTTTTTCATCAGAGCCTATGCCCATCATGGAGGAAAAATGCCCTCCACTAACATGGATTGAAAGCGAAACTGAAATGCAGAAAATTAGGCGGCCTCCCAGCTTACGAGGAGTCCAGAGTACTGCGCCGCTTGGAGGGTAGGGATGTCGAGAATTTCGCTGTCAGAGCTAAAATTACTCCGCAGTCAAGTCCCGGATTTAAGAGATAACTTTTCCTCTTTCTTCAGAGATTGTAGACGTAGAGCCATGAGAAAGTTCTGTACTTAATAGATAAATTCAACCGTAATAGCTATCAGGTACGATGTCCATCCCAGTTATTCATAAACAAGACAAACCGCAGAGTTCTCTACTCCCTCTTCTCTCTACTCATCTTCCCCATTCCGGGCCCCTCTTCAGACGCATCCAGCACTCCCTCAGCTACCCCTCCAAGACAGCACAAATTCTTGCAACATTTCCCTCAACACCAGAATCCGAGGGTGTGAAGGCACCCTCGCTGTGGCTCGCGGCATATGTGGATGTCTATGTCGGCAACGATACTCAAATATGGCTATATTCAAGCGTAGAGGCTGAGGCCTCCTTGCCATCAATCCAAGAACGGTCTGCAACAGAGGAGCAGCTCTCGGGTCTGGATCAACTCAGCGAACTCGTTCTCGAACCTACTGTTGCAGCAGAACTGCTGGCTCAACTGCTTTCTCTATTTTTGTACATTCGAACCCACATTATCCCGCCGTATATCTCATATCTGGGATCGCAGAGCAACGAGGCTAACCAGCCCCCTAACCCATCTCCATATCCGGGAAAATCTTCGAAAAGGCCCCCGCCTCATCTACCAACATCATTCAAAATTGGCAGCGTGCACACAGGAATCTACGATCTATTACTAGCTGCGATTGCGGCGCCTGAGAAGATACCGCCACATTTACCAAGAATCCGCGTCCTCTCCCTTGATGCAGGGGCATGCATGAAATACCTTTTCCACCGCTCAACATACAATTCATTTCCTGAAAAGCCTGCGGGTGCGTCGGGTACTAATGGTACTAATGATGATAAGGGTCTTCCCCCAGGATACCGATTGCACGATCTCAACCGTCGCGCTGGAGTCCAGAAGGGACATTTGGACCTGGTTCTAAGTCGCCTTGACATCCCGCGGTCGAAGGAGCTCTTACTACAGATGCCTAGCGTAGCAGTCTACCACGATGGTGAGGTAGATAATGTCATATCTTCTTGTTCTGGCGCTACGGCAAACAGCTCCTCTGGCCGCGGCGTGGAAGAAATGCCCGTGGCATGGTGTTTCCTAAATGTGGATGCGAGTTTGTGTAGTCTGCATGTGGAGGAGGAACACCGCAGACGCGGATTGGCGAATGTGATTGCTAGGGAAGTGATGAAACTGGGATTGGGGGACGACGGCGGAGTGTTTACATCTGGGACTGGATCTGATATCGGTGCGATACCCAAGGGAAAGCGCGATGATGATCACCATGATCATGGTTGGGCATTTTCGGATGTTTTCCTGCAAAATACAGCGAGTAGAAGGGCGATGAGGAAGTTGGGAGGGGAGCCAGCAGGGACTGTTAAGTGGGTTGTTGTGGATGTTGTGGATGTTGTAGAGAATCATTGACATCATTCCAGGGGTTTATTTTGCAGTTCTTGAATGGCACTGGAATTCTATCACCCTTCGCTTGTGCACATCCTTCCAATAAGCATGAACATTCGTGGTAAGTATTCGTACCAAGTGAGATTATCTGTCAGGCTGCCCGGTACATTTGATGACCCTAGTTGGGTGTTGAAGATTCGTGTTTATGTTTCCATGCTGTTCGTTGGAGTTGCTGCGCCGTTTAGGAATAAAAGGCGAAAGGAATGGCGATCAGCCCGCATTTCCCTATATTCCTCACCTTGGTCCCTAGATACTTTTCAATCCACTCTTTGTTTGTATTCAAGAGTTGCATCAGTAGAGTCAGTTTCTTTATGAAGAATGGTAACCACAACATTTCTTATTAAATTTGGAACAAACTCTCCATACTCTTACCATCGCCGAAAGAGGCCGTGAAATGAGCGATGGAGCAATGATTGAACTTTTAACATGAGCACTTTCTACTAATGACAACGAAAGACACAAGGTCAATACCAGTGGGTTGGCAAGTTCCGGTCCCCGCCAGATCTGTCAACAAGAAGGTGCCATGTAGAAGTACATCTGCAGCGACCCTCTCCCGCAACAACCGTTGCCGCTGTCCAACTTAACAAGTGGTAAATGCTCTGGGCTCTGGGGCCGGGAGGGCTATAATAACCGCCAGCACTCGGTTTGTCCATCTCTGAGATTTCTATTCCCGATTCTCTCAGAACTACAGCATTGCTTCAACTGGCCTCGTAAGCCATTCGTCCAGTATGATTTCGTTCGAGGTTGCTCTCGCCTCTTGATCCCACGTCAAAATTTTTCGAATGAAGCGGAGAAATTGGTCTTTCTCTTCTCCTGGTGGGATCGTCGTGACAAAGCTCTCTAAAGAGGTCTCTGGTATTGGGAGATCGGATATCCAATTCCCTATCATCCCTTTTGGTGAGCAACAGGTTCATGTTAGGAAGGAGAACAAAGTCAGTCAGGCCTTACCATCTGCATCAAAGTAGGTTTCGAAAAGTGGACTCTGCCGGACGATATCCAGTGGGGGAGGTCCGAGATATCCAATGTATTGTGCCAAAGCCAATGGGAGTACATACTGACAATGGACATGATCTATTGGATCAAAGAGGTTTTTTCCCTCGAGGAGCTCCAGTGTCTATTCCAAGAGCCTCAGTGAACATTGCGCTTGAACCAGACTATGCGCTACTTACCATGACACCAATCGACCATATATCAACTGGGAAACCCCAGGGGAGCTGCAATAGTACTTCTGGAGCGCGATATAGATCCGGCATCCACCAATCCTGATTTACACATCCTTCAACCAATCGCATTTGACCGAAATCTGTAAGAATAGGGTGACCGGAGAGTTCTAGCATGGTAGGTCGAGACCTATAGACAATAGTAGTCACATCCCCATTATTTCTGGTAATTGGAACACTTGGGTCCTGGAACTCCTGGTCCTCAACATCTTTAAGGCTGGTGTCATCTTCAATTTGCATCAACACGTTCTGGGGTAAGATGTCTATTAATACGTCGTGAGTATGCAGCCCAACCAAAGTTCACCACGATAAGTATACGTTCCACGGCGTACCAGTATGTGCAACGCCGCAGGTTGCATGGAGCCAATTCACTGAGAAATACAGACGGTGTATTAAGGATTTCACCAGGAGTTTCGGTAACCTTCTGTTCGGAAATGTCTCCTGCAATGTGCGAACACTGTTTCCTTGAGGTTTAGACGCGATGCAGTAATGGCAACCAGACCGACTAACAAGCTGAAAGATGTCATATGAAAGGCGCGTAAAGTCCAGGCCAGGGTGATCCTTATCGGCGAATGACTGTAAGCGTTGGAGCATGCTGACTTCATTAAGTATGGGAGAGATCTGGGCATTATCTTCAAGCTGTATAGAGACCTTCAGTGAGGTATATTCTTTCGCACTGTGCTTGGTAGTCAGCGACAACCTTGAATGGATCATTGGCAGAAAGCCAAACCTCTCATCCCACGCCAGCCAAACAGTAGAGTAAGCTCCATAACCAAGTTTCGCAATTACTCGATATCGACTATTAAAAACCTGCCCGATTTTGACGGGGTAGTAATGCTTTTGATGGTAGAATGGGAGAGTCTCTTCTTCAATTGCTTGAACCTTGGCCATACTAAAAGTCCATCGGCGGAGCAGAGGCACTTGCAATCGAACCCAGCACCGCCGGACAACCAAGGAAAGCGGGAGCGGGGATAGAGAGCGCGCCTTTAAGGCAACCATCTCTTGCCGTCTTGATGACTTTGGGTTGACAGTATCATTTTAGCCCATTACTGTGTCAGTACTAGTAGGTAAATCATAAAAACAGCATCAACACAGGTGAGTTGGTGGTTCTCAATGAGCAATGCCTTCCACCTCTGAATCATGCTGCATCCTCCCGCTAACTAACTTAGTTATTTTCCGTGCTTAGAAATTGGCTCTCGACATACCGCCGAATACGACTCTGATAGGCTGTGCAGGCCGAAAACCGATCTCTCGCGCACTCGAAACTTCGTCCTTGTAGTTGTCCCATCGAGGTTGGACTGGCAATGACCACTAGTAGCGGGAGGGCGCAGCTAAGGCTTCAGGCCATCGCGTTCTACTATTCTGGCCCGGCCGAGAGGATCAACAGTTTGCAATACGGCATGCCTAGGTACTAGTAGTAAGTGGCATAGTTAATGGTGGGGATATCACCGGTGACAGTTATCGAATCGCATCCCGGACTTACATACTCACCCCTCCGACCTGAAGAATGTGTTCGGGCGAGTGAAATACATATGAGCATACACATTTAAGAAGGGATTCTCCTTGGTTTTCCTCCGTTCCTGGTTTTTCTGTGATTCATTTCCATCTTACTATGTATCCGCATGAGCTTTGATAGGTCTTTCAGCCGCCGATAACCCTTCCCCGTGAGAAGGTTTATCCTTCCAACTCTCATCTTTTCATATGCGTACTTGGACATCTTATACCACATCGCGAGCAACACTGCCGCACTAAGGAACCTGTGCGATTGATCAATCGAGACAATGGGGAAGTCACTAGTTTACCCAAAGTACCCCAGAAGCACCCTGAACCGGTACAAACACCGGGGTAGGTCTCCCTCCATATAGCTCCTAAATGTACCTATAAATACCCTTTTACGCCCCAATGGCTATTGGTTAATACGGCAAACACAGGAACCTACGAGCTGGGGAAAATTCACTCCATCGTCAATGAGTGCGCCGTCCTGCACGTCTCCTTCCCTGCAGGCCCTGATGATCCGTTCCCCGCGATTCTCCCCATGATTGGCCAGATGGGCTCATTCGAGTATCCGTCCGCGGACATAAATGAGCCCCTAGACTGCTATCTACATGGGTATGTCAGTTCACGAATCATGAACCTTGCTCGAGTTACCAACGGCGAAGGCGAAGGCGAAGCCCAGAGCCAGGGGCTGCCGGTCTCCATCTCCGCCGCCCACGTCGACGGCTTCATCCTTTCCCTCACCCCGAACTCGCACAGCTACAACTATCGTTCGGCCATACTGCATGGGTACGCGACGGTTGTGACGGACGAGGCAGAAAAGCACTGGGCCATGAAGCTAGTCACCAACGGTGTCGTGGAGGATCGCTACGATCATACCCGCGTACCACCCAATAAAGTGGAGATGACGTCAACAACGATACTGCGTGTGAGGATTGTGGATGGCAGTGGGAAGATTAGGGATGGCAGCGTGTCGGACGAGAGGTACGACCGCGAGAATAAAGAGCTTACGAGCAAGGTGTGGACGGGGGTGGTACCTGTTTGGCAGGTAATGGGAGAACCAATTCCCGCGCCGGAGAATGAGGTTAAAGAGGTACCGGAGCATATCAGGGGGTTTATTGACAGGGTCAATGAGAGGAATAAGGCGTATGCTCACGGCGCGGCGGTGGTCGGGTTGCCAAAAGAAGAGCAACATTGATGTCGGTTTCATATTCTTCATTTTTTATTTTATTTTATTCTATTGTATTTTCTTTCATTTTCTTTTCTTTTTTCATTTTTATCAATTAATCGTGATGAGAGTTTACATCAAGCTTGTGTAACTATGGAAAGGGTGGAATATAGATGAATTGGCAGGCTTGCGCCTGCTGTATCCTAGTATGTATATACTTCAACAGTAATTGATAGAAATATCTCTTCGTCCATCGTACGAAGCGTTAGAATACATAATTCTTGCAATGGCTTACATGTGAAATAGGTGTAAAAGCCCAAATTCTCAAAGGCTTCAAGCTTTCGCCGTTAGCGACCAGCTGGATAAAGGATAAGCGTATCGGGCGGGTTAATGGGACCAGATAACGTGGACCCAGAGGATCAATCCTTAAGGGTTGTTCGCCTATGTCAAGTAAATTATTTAAGCTTTAGCGCGTTCGTTCGTTAAATATCCTATTTATTCGCTGCCTTCACTAAGTCTGTTGTAGCAAAGGAAATTTATATGTCACGTCTAACTGGCGGAAGCTCTGACTGTTTAAAAGGCGCGGGGCAGGTATCCCACGCCAAACCACGCATTCCGCCCCTCGAACATCCTTTGTAAAAGTCCCAACAGGCCATGACATCATCCGCGATGCGTCCCTCGATTCTGTCAGAGCCCGAGAGACGAGCTTTTTCGGAGTACCTTCAAGGCTCTAAAAATGTGATGGCACTTCTTGGAGCCGGCCTCTCGGCGGCATCAGGGCTCCCAACATTCCGCGGCGCCGGGGGCGTATGGCGGTCGTATCCTGCGACGTCTCTCGCGACCCCAGAGGCTTTCGAGGCGAATCCAGGCTTTGTTTGGCAATTTTACAGCTATAGACGGCATATGGCTATGAAAGCGAACCCGAATAGAGCGCATTTCGCCCTCGCGGAGCTGGCAAGAAAGAACCCGCACTTCATTACCTTAACCCAGAATATAGATGGTACGACCAGTAGGGGTTATTTTTTTTCTTTCAAAGTGACATAGCATACATTGCGCACAAGATATGATCCAAGTTAGAGTGATGTGAATTTTGACGCTGGCCCCGATTTCAATTTCTCCAGGCCTTTCCTCGCGAGCCCGCCATCCGGAATCCCAGCTCCACCTTCTCCATGGCTCCCTCTTCGACGTAAAGTGTGCCTCCCCCTTCTGCACTTACGCTACGCAGGACTACAACGATCCCATCGTGCCAGCTCTTGGTATTCCCAAAGCTGGCCCCGAACCAGTTCCCTCTGCTAACGACAAGACAGGTGAAGAGGCCGCTAAGTCTCTCTCCGCTGCTATGCAATGGAAAAGTGAGCCGCACGCTTCACCTGCAGGAACAACAGCAGCAGCACAGGGGGAGGAGGGTGTAGAGCTCGATATCTCCAACGCAAACGTACCCATCCCGCACGTCGCGTCGGCGGATCTGCCCCAATGCCCTCTATGCAAGGAAAACATCCTCCGGCCGGGTGTGGTATGGTTTGGCGAGGCGCTCCCTCTTAAGACAGTAGATGCCGTTCAGAAGTGGATTGACGATGCGGATAGGATTGATCTTATCCTTGTCATCGGAACCACGGCGCAGGTTTTCCCTGCCGCAGGGTATGTGGAGGACGCACGGGATAAGGGGGCACGTGTGGCGGTTGTTAATATGGATATCGAGGACATACCTCCAGGGGGGATGTTGCCTGGGGACTGGTTTTTCCAGGGGGATGCAAGCGTAGTTGTGCCGGAGCTTTTGAGGGATGTTATTGGGGATGTTTAATGCATGAAGTTAAAATGAATGGGCAGGGGTAGGTGCTGTTATTATTGTTCATTTTATTCTCCGGGACGGATATTTAGCCTCCGAGCTTTGCATTTTGGCGAATTAGAGGGATATATACATTCGATAGGGATTGTAGTGGGTTCTTTTCTATGCGTTGGCATATGGCGAGCAGCCATCGAAGCAATGTGCTAATCATTTAGAACAAAAGGAAAGGAAAAGTAAATCTGGGGCGCTCAACAATTGGTGGCCACGAGCTGCAGTCTATTATTCTTCAACGTTCTAGAGGGAAATATCCACCCTAGCACAGAAGATTGCCAATATTTCCGCTGGGAGTTCCACCATCTACCTGCAATTTGATTGGTCCGGATTGAGTACAGCTCGAAGGGCCCCGGCTTGGCATATGACTAAGCCCCTTGGTTGCCATGCCATCCAACTTTAGCAGGAAAAACACTGACCTCATACACTAAGGGGATGCGAGACGACACACCTACGATGTCAACGTGCACCTGTTTTCCTCGATCTTCCATTATTTATTCTACTTACGGATTGAAAGTCGTTTGTCATTGGGAATTTGTGATTGTTACGGAAAACGCTTGACAAGTAGGGTTTGTTGTCAGTTCCTACTCTGCTTTTCAGGTGGGTCCTCCGGATAGACATTTTCCACTAGCGAATCGCAGACTCAAGGGAGATATGCGCTTGCTTATCTTCGATGAATATAAGAGACTAATAGACCTTTTTGTCTGGTTCCAGGAAAATATTTTCCAATACAACCCAAGCGACCGATCAAACCCGTTTGGATTCATTTTGTTGAAGGGTATTACTTTACAGCCAACATAGAATATTGGCGGGATAAGTGAGAATTGATGGGCCCTTATCGCCAGAAGATCCAAGCGCAAGTAGGATCTGGGATTTAGGAATCTGGTACAATGGTGAAGGAACGAGAGCCTCCGCAGACCTCCCAGCCTCCAACAGGGAAGAATGACAAATCCCAGAATAGACAATCCTCACAACCAGGATTTGGGCAACCAGCTTCTCTAGGCCCATTGCATCAGAGCAAGGGCAACCCGTTCATCATTCCAAAGGCCAACAAACCACGCCCAGAACATCATCAACCGCCAACCGCTGCTCTAAAGAATGGAAGCAGTGCGTCTTTCCTGGGTCAGGAATATACAGGGTTCGACCCCTTGCAACCTGTAAAGCCATCCGGCTATAACAATTTTAGACCGGGGCTATTAGACAACGACAGCGCATACAAGATAGTTAGGCCGTCAAATATCAACAGAACGACGCAGCCGGCTCCCATCCCATTATTCGCTTCTCAAACAAAGCCAAAGATGTCAAAAGCCTCAAGCAACCTGCAGAATTTCATCGACCTTACTGGCACAGCAATAAACGGCCAACATCATGAAGAAGAATTTTTGGGCACTATGGACACGTATAGCTATGTTGATGCAGCGAAGGCAACGGAGAATATCAAGGCTTTGTTGGAGGGCGCTTTTGAGGATGATGATGATAAACCTCGGACGAGACAGCGTCGAAAGAAAATAGAGGACGAGGTCAATGAGTTGGCTAGCAAGCTTCAGAAAGTTGATGTTGGTGGGGACGCTGGAGATGAGGAGGAAGAAGAGGAGGAGGAGGAAGAAGATGATGGCACCGTTGAGGGATTGAAGATCAAACTCCTTCCTCATCAACGGGAAGGCGTTGAATGGATGAGAGACAAGGAGTCTGGGGTGAAAAAGACACGAGGTGTTATTCCTAAAGGTGGAATTCTGGCTGACGATATGGGCCTGGGCAAAACTATTCAGACAATTGCACTGATGCTTACGAACCCCCGTCACACAAAAGAAAAGGAAACGGCTGCTGAGGACAAAGGAAAAAAGCAAAAGGATATACCGCCTGAAGTTGGGAAAGGGACTCTTGTGGTTGCACCTCTTGCTCTCATTAAACAATGGGAATCTGAAATCGGAAGCAAGGTTGAAGCTTCGCACCGGCTGCGTGTCTGCATATACCATGGAACACAGCGAACCAAACATGCAGATACCCTATCTCAATTCGATGTTGTGATTACTACTTATGGCACCCTTAGTTCTGAGCATGCAGCCTCCGAAAAGAAACCCACAGGATGTTTCGCCAACCATTGGTACAGAATCATTCTTGATGAAGCCCACACCATCAAAAATCGCAATGCTAAAGCAACCCAGGCTGCCTGCGCACTGAAGTCTGAATATAGGTGGTGTCTCACTGGTACGCCGATGCAGAATAATCTCGATGAGCTACAGAGCTTGATCAATTTCCTTCGCATAAAACCATACAACGATCTAGCTGCATGGCGGGAACAGATTACCAAACCACTAAACAATGGGAGGGGCGGCTTAGCTATCCGAAGATTACAAGTCTACCTTAAAGCCTTTATGAAGCGTCGAACGAAAGATGTCTTGAAGTTGGATGGTGCATTGGGTCAGGGGAACGCTGGTAACAAAGGAGAAAACAAGGAATCGTCACCCGGATTTAGAATCACCAATCGCGAGGTGCTGAAAATCGAAGCGGATTTTACCCCTGCGGAACGAGCGTTTTACAAACGTCTAGAACAGCGGACTGATAAGACCCTGGAACGAATGATTGGCGATGACAATATAAACTATGCAAGTGCCCTGGTTCTCCTGCTTCGTCTCCGCCAGGCTTGCAACCATCCCGATCTTGTGAAGAGTGACCTTGCTCAGGACAAAGATGTATTGATGAATAATTTTGGAGGCAACAGCCAGCCTAAAACACCTAAAGGGGAGGAAGATGTCGATAACATCGCTAGCCTTATGGGTGGGCTAAGCGTTGTGACTAAACTATGTGACGTTTGCCAGGCAGAGCTGAGTTCTAAGGAAGCTATTAGTGATGCTAGCAGATGCGCGGAATGCGAGGCTGACCTACAGACGCAAGTCGTTAGCCCCCGCAAGAAAGGCGATAAGAAAGCGAAGAAAAGGACGAAGGATGAAAAGCGAAAAGCGAAAAGGAAACAAGAAAAATCCACGTATCAAAATTCATCCACTGGTATTTCCGACGCCCGTCGAGCTCGATTGCAGAAACAGCGGCTTATTGTCGATAGCGACGATGAGGATGATGACGGAGAATGGCTTGTTCCAGCTCATCAACGAGTTGAAAATCTTGGGGAGGCTGGTGGGACTGATGACGAAGACGCTGAAGGTGGCGGAGATTGGCTAGGTTCTGACGATTCCGAAACTGACGAAGATGAGGGCGATGGGACCAGGAAGCGGTCAGGCAAGGCAACAGAAGTTATCAACCTCGATTCCGACGAGGATGAGGACAAGACTGATGACGATGAAGGTGATGATGATCCAGAAACTCCAGAGCATCTTGCTTCGACAAAGATTAGATATCTTATGAAGATCCTAAAAGCAGAGTCTGGCGACTACAAATTCATCGTTTTCTCTTTCTTCACCTCCATGCTAAACAAAATCGAACCTTTCTTGAAGGATTCACATATTGGTTATGTACGCTATGATGGTGCGATGAGAAACGACTTGCGAGAAATCAGTCTTGATAAACTACGCAATTCTCCGAAGACTAGGGTCCTTCTCTGCAGTTTACGTGCTGGTTCCCTCGGATTGAATCTAACCGCTGCGAGCAGAGTTGTCATTTTGGAACCATTCTGGAATCCGGTATGGCATTCCTCCGCATCCTCTCAAACTATTTTCTATTCGAAATTTCAAAGTCAAAAATCCGAGCTAACATGTAATCAAACGCCACAGTTCGTCGAAGAACAAGCCATTGACCGTGTCCATCGCCTTAACCAAACCGTCGACGTGAAGATATACAAACTGACAATAAAGAACACCGTAGAAGAGCGTATCGTCGACCTTCAAGAGCGCAAACGCGAACTCGCCAACGCTACGATTGAGGGCAAAGCCTCCGCGGCCAAACTCACCATGAAGGACATGATGGCACTCTTCAGTCATGAAGCTAGCATGATATACAATGGCGATGAGGATAAGCTGGATCTTACGGGAAGGACGAGATTGCTGGATTCGAGAGATGACGACGACCGGCAGGATTATGGTATGTCCACATCTCAGCAAGGTCGAAGAGCGACGCCACCGGTTATGCAGAGTAAGATTGGGAGTCGGCGGCCCACGCCTGAGAGCTCTGTTTATGGACGGAGGTGGTGAGGGTAGTTAGATACCAAAATCTCCGTGAGTTTGCATCTTGGAGGAGCCGGTAATATTTCGGGAGATCTCTTTCCTCTCCATTACTCATGTTCGTGACAACCAGTGCGATTTGCATTGGTTATGGTTTTTTAGATATGGCTTGTTGAGTAGGGGAGCGAAGCCCAATAGAGACTTCAAACAGCGGTAATTTTTTTTCTTTTTATTTTTCTTATTTTGAGCTTCGAATTTTTCTAGAATTTAGACTATTCCCCCACTTTTTTTGTCCAACTCTGCAGTTTCCCATCCCTTGCCTGCATATAACCAACAATTTCCGCTCATGTCGCACAGGTGTGCGGCCCACATGGCGGCGGAGGGATAAATTTAAAAAAATATATATATTACTTGATCGAGTATGTGTCACAGAGGGGCAATGTCTAAGTGGTTATTTATTTATTATTCTTATTGTTACTTACGACGTGATGATTGAGATATGAAATTTGAATTGACAGGGCGTATATTATGATTATTTGCTTTCCGCCACACCTCTGATGATGATCATTGCACCGCAGAATATGTAACGACCCCTGAGTGAGATTTAAAGATAGCTTTATATAATCCCGCTCCCGTTTCTTTGGAGCTCTGGGCAGCTCTTCAATAATAATATAATATTTGCATAAAGAGCGTACGTGCATCTACCATTACCTACATATATCCTATTCAAAGTTCGCCGCAATACATAAATAGGGGGATAATGGTAGTCATGTCATGTTACAAACAAATGGAAAAAAAAAAAAAAAAAAAAAAAAAACTCCCGCAAACTTCCCAATCTCCGTCCTCCCTCACACATGGGTCTTGTCTGTATCCCGTACCGCTTGTTACCTTGTACCTGTGCCACTAAACTGAAACGGACTCTCTTCAGCCAACAAGGTAGGTGTCACAGCGTAGTGGCAAGGGTGCCTGTCGCGTGCACACACGCGGTGTTGGTGGTCATGTTTTTATGATTGCAAGAGGGCTAACAGTCTACCTACCTAGCATCCGCTCAAGGAATGGTAGAGAGGCCCGCTGGTTCTAGATTCTAAAAATTCCTTCTATTTCCAACTGTTTGCGTCCTTGTTCACCGTACCTTAAAGGAAAACAACTTATGTGTTCTTCATTAGAGAGAGTGCTGTCGACTACATGGAATTAGGTATCCCATGCAATATAGGCACAGGTTATCTGCCTGAGGTTCACGGTTGGTGGTGCTTGGGGATGGCACGTGTCCATGAACCCAATGGATTGAGTTACTGTATTGGTGTGGGGTATTTTGGGACTCGAGATCCAATGGTGGGTACTAGAGCTGGCTGGCTGGGTAACATAATGAAGCAATGATACAGGACCTGGTGTTACTAGGGATCAGGAACAGTCAAGACACAATTTTCTGCCCCTGCGTTCGGGCTGCTTGTATGTTACCTACACAGGCGATGTTGCGTTTAAATCGTCGGAGTGAGTTGCAGATATTTGCATGGATTCTCGCGAAAGAGATGTCTGCCTTTCGAACGTCTCTATGGAAATCCCACAGGAATAATAATAGCTAGGATCCTTCCATGACGTTCACGGGCCGGTTCGAGTTGTCTTGCTGACAAATGTGAACTTGGACAATGGACAAACACCTCTACAACGAAAACATGTTGAAAGATTTTTGAAGGAGTCAATCATGAGCACCGTGAAATAGGAAGCCAACCCAGGAAGGAACAAGGGGAGTGACCAAAATAAAAACAGATGTCCCCTATCTCAAGCCCTGGTGTAACGGAAAGCGACAGAAACGAAAATCTTCCAAGAAGGAATTCCCACGTGGTGGCTTGGAGCTTAGGACCCTCAATCGGGTCAAGGAGCTGGCAAACCAAACTGTCAAAGGCAATTTTTGTTGAAAACCAGGCTGGAAAGATAAGCAAAAATGTAGCATGGCACTACACACACGTGTTGTGTTTCTGTCGTTTGTTCCTTTTTGGTTCGCCCTTCCCTTTCCATGGTTGAGCGTGCATGACACAGCTGAGCTTTGGGAACAAAGCCTTGCCGCTTGTGGTGGTACCTGGCTAGTTCTGGTATTCTTTTTCCCTTCCGCTTTTCGTGACGGTGACATAAAAACCCATTTTAGGTATCCGTGTTTGATCCAACGTGGACTTCTCTTGTCATGCATATCTCCTGATTATCTCAATCGGTAGTGTTTGTTTGCCTGAGAAGCTGGGTTCAAGCAAGTTTCTTAAAAATCACCGGAATAAAAATCCCTCATGGAACAGGCGTTGCCTCCACTGGCTTCAGCCATAAATGTCATTCGGCCGCTCCAAGTGACGTCCGCTCCCAGCTGCTCAGAGACGACAGACAGCAAAACTTTTTCAAGATTAACCTCCAATCCTCGACGAATTGGCCCTACCTGGAGTTTCCTTTTGGGATCATGGTTGATTCGTCGTGTTCACCGGCCAAAGGTTCCGTCCTTGAAAAACCGGTGAGTCGGCCAAACTTGGATCATGAGCCTTCGGCGCTAGTAAGTTTTGTGACAGGCTAGGTCAAGACCTCCCTTGGACTGGGATGCAAAGCTCCATCATCTGGGTCCGAGTGGAGCAGTGTTGGGCTGCTGCAGTGAGAATGTAATAAACTTGAAAACATCACTCTAGGGGTCCTATTAGATGTTGTAAATATAAGTACAGTTGGATGGAAATATTCAAGCATTTTTGCGAAGACCCTCAACCGTCTCCGAGGACACAGGTGTGCCTGATTCTTGAAACAAAATCTTCAGTTCCCCTTATGAAAATTTCCTTGGCACACACCGCCATGCCAATCATAAGAGTTTTGTTTGGGGTTGGCTGTATGCGCGGATAAAGTTAGCCTTGCCGATCAAGACAAGAAGAAACGAGGCAAAACGAAAGCTTGACATGGGGTTGGTTGAATGTGACGTATAATTTATCACTCAACAGTCAGGACTGGCTGGTTTCACTCTTAATATTAAGAGGTTTTCGAAATCGAGCTGCTTCTCGAAGTTATGGATCCTGTCGACAGTTTTGGCCGGCTACCATCAGACTCTGCACAGAATGGGGCCAGACAACCAAGTATGGAGCACATCAGGATCACTGGCGCATCAAAGAATGTTGGTATGCTAGGAGCCATCCTCGCTAACGATGGGCTCTTGTTGGATTAGCGGGTGCTTTCTTAGTGTATTTTGAGGAATCTTGGGCTGAATGTGAAAATGCCGAACAAATAGAGTTTTCTCCAAGGAGCCGAGATTCTCCTCAAATTTTCTTACCTTTTCGCTCTGGCTTCGATAGCCAGAATCATCAAGCCAAACCGTTGCCACAACCTTTTCTTTCTTTCTCTGGAAGGATTTTCCAATTCTTTTCTTCTATCCTCTCGATTTTTGGCTGGCGTAACCCGGAGTTCGGGAGGCCCAAGCGTGCTTTGAGTCCGATTGATAGGCGGGGGTCAGTACCTCGATACGGGCTAATTGGCCGGTTTCAGCAATTGGGGCAGTTCTAGCACGGAAGCAGAGGCGATGATTGGGCTACCCGTGGCTTGAAGCAATTCGGGCTGGGGCTGGCCTTAGCAGTTCAAAACGTGGCGCCCACGAGGAACGATGCCATGCAAGTTTGCTGCAGGCTTGATTGGGAGCGGGCGTTTTCGGTTCTGGCAGCCCAGATGCGTCAAGGTGTGCCCACGATGCATTTTCACACGAGGACGAGATATTGTAAGGAGACGCGATGGTGGTGCGATGGTAGTGGTGGTTGTGATGATGACGATGGTGACGATGATGACGGACAATGGGAGCGATAAAGCAGCAGCAGGGGCGGCTGATACAGCGGGAAACCGAAAACAGAGCGGAATGGGAGCGGAGAATGCCAGGATACGGTTCCGTACAAGTCGGTACGATAGATACCATAGATACATCCAACCCCCGCAAGCATGCAAATTTTTGGGTTTGGGAAGCCCCCCAAAAATAAAATAAAACATTTTTTAAAAAATAAAATAATCATGCATGGCGACACATGCAGGTATCCAGTCAATCCACTTTTAATGTATAATTTTAAATTTCCTTTTTCCAGATTGATGGCTACTGAGTGAAATAAAATCCGAAAAAATATGGCTGAACAAGAGGGTCTGTTTCTTACTCTGGATTACTAGCGGTGTTCTTCAGCATATCTTCACCTCCATCGCCATCCTCTTTATTAACCTTCTTCCGCTGGCTTCGAGAACACCATCCTTCTTCTGCCAGCCAACTCCTTGCTTTCTGTCGTGGTGTATCCCACATCTTTCTGGTCAGAGAGAGCTGTGTGGGCTTGTGTCCTTCATCTTCTCTTCCTTGAACCCCCATCCGCTGTTGCCAGGGTTTAGTCAAGTCAATCGAGCTCAATTGACAAGCCAAAGAACCCTGGACCGCCCCTAACCTCAGATTCTAAAGAGAGCCGGTTCCTTGGCTTCTCGTTCCTTGCCTTCGTGGCCGCAGGTCAGCACATCCCACATCTCCTTGCTCCAAGACTTTGTCGCCCTCTCTGAACCTGGACTTTTGCACTTGCATCATTCTCCCCTTCCCGCACTCCCCATATTCTGCACAGCGGAGGAGAACAACTTGAGCTATTGCCCTTTGCGATCTTTCTTTTTCTCGAGTTCCCTATTTTTGTTTTATGCCCCGTGGTTGAATAAACAGGGTCTTGCTCCTGACGGGAGTGCGCCCCTGACGTCTCCAACGGAGCGCATTCAGTTTCTCTTCTTGAGTATACCGTTTTCCGTGAATGGACACGCCCTAATCGTCCATGGATTGCCCGTTTCATTCTACTAACAGCAAGCAAATGCCCTTGTAGTAGTTTCTTGTGTTCACTTGCTCATTCTGTGATATCCTCCAGCTCTTCCTTCCCAGTTAATGGGAATTTTGCTCTTCCATTCGCCAAATCTGCGTCACCCATTCAAACGCTAGAATTTCCGTTACCCCTAGCAATGCAGGATCAACAATAAGCTTCAATTTGGATATTAAAACTTAGGCAGTTGTCGGGGACACAATGGGTAATTCACAGGGCAAGCAGGCGTCCTCTTCCGATGCAGGTTCGTTTGCCCCACCCACTGTTCATTCTCTATTCAACCACCTCGGTTTGGTGCATTTGAAGAGGAACCCACTTATTGACACCGCTATTCAGTCAACCTGAACCACTTCCGTCTGCTGCGTGTCGTGGGAAAGGGTGCGTTTGGGAAAGTACGGATTGTTGAACGCAAGGATACTGGTTTGACGTTCGCTCTGAAATACATCCGGAAAGATGAAGGTATGTTTCTTTCTCTCTGCAAATGAGCGCCTTTGAGTGTTTCCAATACCCGACCTGTTTGCAACGCTGATATGTATTCTGACATCCTCTCTCAGTTGTCCGATCCGAGAGCGTTCGAAATATCATACGAGAGAGACGAATGCTGGAGCATTTGAACCATCCCTTCCTTTGCAACTTGAGATATTCATTCCAGGATATTGAGTACATGTGGGTCGTCCAATTCTATCGACTATGCCACCGTTGCCTAGCGAAAATATATTCTAATAATTATACAGATACATTGTGGTAGACCTAATGAATGGCGGCGATTTACGATTTCATATATCTAGGAAAGCTTTCACGGAAGATGCTGTGCGATTTTGGGTCGCTGAGTTGGCGTGCGCCCTGAGGTACATACATTCTCAAGGCATAATCCACCGAGATCTCAAACCGGATAACGTTCTGCTGGATTCTGAAGGCCATGTTCATTTGGCGGATTTTGTGAGTAGTATTCGTGCGCCGCAGAAACCCGGAGTTAGATCTAATAGTCAGTTAGAATGTCGCTTCGGACTTTAAACCATCAAAACAGCTTACCAGCAAATCGGGCACGCTAGCATACCTGGCACCAGAAATTTTCGATGGGACCGGATATCTGAATGAAGTCGACTGGTGGTCTCTGGGTGTCACCTTTTACGAATGCATTTACAATAAGGTTAGATGATCGTTTGATATCTAGTACCGGGTTACGCTTGACTAACGGGTTGCCAGCGCCCATTCGACGGACGAAACCATGACGCATTATCGGAAAATATTCGGCGAGCGCAACCAAAATACTACGTTACGAATCCCGCAGTCAGCGTGCTCTGTTTACGCGCGATGGCATCTCTTATCGAAAGAGATCGGTCAAAACGAATTGGCACGGCCGGATTTGCGACTTTTGAGAACCACCCTTTCTTTGAGGACATTGATTTTGCCGCCTTGGAACGCAAAGAGATTCGCCCCATATTCGTACCCTCTAGTGACAAGACGAATTTTGATGCGACATATGACCTTGAAGAATTACTCCTAGAAGAAGCACCATTAGAAGCACGAGCTCGTCGACAGAAACCAAGAGCCGAGTTGAAGGACGATGCTACAGCGAAGGAGATACGAGAAGACGAACTGCATCGAGTTATTGAGACCATGTTTGAACCTTTCGACTACACAACCGTCTCATATCAAGGGTATGTCATTCTCACTCTTGGCGATTGGCTTAACTTATTAACAACCCCAATAGCACCGCCGCAGCTGCAATAGCCGCGTCTAGGTAAGATTTCCCACCTTTCCCCATTTCCCTATATTGCCTGGCTTGAACTCATTTTACCCTCAGTAACCCCGAGGACTGCCTTCCCACCACTACTAGCCGGTCACACACACGACATCCTTCCCAGCCCCGCTCAGTAAATGGCTCGCCTTCACTGCACACAGAAAGGTCTCTCAGTCATTCAAACGCTTCCAACACTCCTCCTTCCCTTTCCGAAACCGATCGCTACCCATACGAAACGAGTAGACATCAGAGTGGAGAACGACCTGGTTCTCCTCACCGACAGTCACAGCCTGCCCCCACAACTCTTCCACATTCCCAACCGTACCGTCCACCACCACCTCCCGGGCCTCAACGCCCGCGTGGCGCTACTCGCAACATGAGCAAAGGAGGCGGCGTACAAATGGTACTGGAGGAGACAGGAAGCTGGAGTAACCTTGCAGACCACAGCTCAGCATTGCCGGATGGATATGATGGAGAAAATAAAGCCCGGAATGCATCTGGATCCAATAGTGGAATGCTTTCGTTTCTCAGTCGCAAGAAGGGTCGTGACCGCAGCCCTAAGCCGACGGAAACTGGTGTGCTTGGTAAAGAGGGTGCGAGGCAGATCATTAGTAGTTGATGCTTAATGGAGTGACCATAACGGGAAAATCTCATAGCATGAATATCATGGGATTATGCTGTTGCGTGGGAAATGGAGTTGATCAGTTTTGGTCAGTTGTGTTTAAAAGACAGCGTTGTTTGCCCTCGGACATCTCATTGGAAGATGCGGACCGGGTGCTGCGTCGCCCATATTCTTGTTCAATTCATATCATGTTTTTCATGGCGATGCATTTAGAGGTGTGAATGGTGGTGTGTATGACCACTCAGGAGTTCAACAGGCTCGGCCGCAAAGACTTCAGATTTTGATTCTCCTCGCCAAATTCCGATCCCGAAAATGGAAACGGTGCTCTCATACTGACCCGATAATAAGGTGCTTTGAAACACATGGGCATTGGATGTTATCCTGAAGATCAACCTAGCCATGTGGCCTATTTGACGTCGAAAACACGCGCATTTCTCGTATCATGCTTTTAACGACCACGCTTAACGCAATGACGCTGAATATGAAGGCTTCGCCCTCTGCGTGGTCATGGGGCAATTATAATAATGATAAAACGAAACGGAAAGAACCATCGCAAATCAGCAGTAACCGAACATTCGTTACTGGTGATGGAAAAGGTCCCGCTTTTCCCGCTGCCTACGACCATCTCTGTTGCTATGTTTCTTTTTCTAGATGCATTTGCTGGCCCCCAACTGTTTATTTCTTAATTCATCTTCTACTTTATGCACGTTTCATATTTTACTTTTAATTTTTTTTCTATTCTGTCTAATGATGTTGGAAGCTATCTTTTTTTCTATTGACAATACCATTTCCTGTTTTTGTCACTATTATTTGTATGATGACTGTCCATTTTGGTGGTTTTCTGTCCCGAGACTCTTGTTCTCTTCCCCGTTTTACATAAACTGCATTACCTACCCGATTTCTACATCCTGCCTGTAATTGCGATCATTTTTGATTTGTTGGATGGTGTGTGCGCGCGCAGAATTTCCTTTTTTTAGTCTTCGAGTTTTGGTTGTTGTTTTGGTTTGATCCCCTCTCCTACAACTGCTTTCGCTCGATTATTAGTTCCTTGCATGTTTTATTCTTTATACGTTCAAAGAAAAACATTAAACTTTTATAGTGTGTCATTCGCGTCCCGCTTTTAATAACTGAGAGAAGGATTTCACTTGTCCTACACTCAATAGACACGATTTTCTAGGGAGGCACAGTGCCTATGCACTTGCTTCCGTTGTTTCATTCAACCATGTTCATTCCCATGGAAGACTTTTAATCTAGTTTACGCCTTGTCAGCCTACCCGATTTAAGGTTTAGATGCCTATACTCAATCATAGAATGCTAAAGGCAAGCAAGGGGGGTTTTTGTCGATTTTATACTTCCACTTCCGCAGTACCGCAGTGTTGTCGCTCAGCGAAAGCCGGCGGGTGATTAACACTCCAATTTTTGTATCGCAATGGAAGTAGGCTTCTCGTCATTTACTGTTCCTTCATAATTCAACAAAATACGGATCAATGTCCGTTTGAGTTCTCCATAGTCTGGTTCCGTTCCGGTTCCTGACCCATTGCTGGCGCACCTCTGGATATCTCAAATGCTCTGTTGCTGTGGCAACCACGCCAAGTCATTTTCAACTAACTCGCTCGATGTTTGATAGTTGAATACAGGCGCAACAAACGCAAAACTGAGGAGAGTCCAAGTGTCTTCTGTGACATGGTAGGATTATAAGGGGAAATTTTAGCTATACCCAATTTATACTACCAAACATGGATAACGTTTCGTCTGGAGTGTAACTCGGCCGAGGTGTAGTGTCGGAGCCGGCCAGACTGGCGAGATATCAACCCCATCTCGCTGGCGCCGTGCAACTTGGCATTTGAAAACCAGGATTTCTCGACGCAAGATAAATATATATTTTTGGAATTGAAGCGAAATTCATACCTTCTTCTTTTCACTCGGTTGTTTTCCTTCTATTTAAAATCTTTCATTGCAATTTTCCTCTCGAGCTTTAGATGTGTCGTGTCCCTGCTGTCCGAGTTATTTGGCCTCTCAATTCGTTATGCTAGACCCAACCGCGTAGCGGCATATCCTTTTGCTAACACCAAACAAAACCAGAGATTCGTAGATATCAATTACGTCGCGGGTTTATTCGGCTACCTATCTCCATCCGAACACTATACGTATCTGCTCCTCCGCTGGCTTCGCAGGCTTCTTGCGGAGAATCACGAATAATTGGTCCACCACCTACACGTCGCGAACTACGACAAACGCCTCTGCGAACACCCCGCTCCACTGTCGAGGATATTGAATTAGGCCAAGTTGATTGTGGTCGCTGGGTCAAATAAAAGGGCTGTGGGGTTGTGCATTGTGTTTTGGTTGGGTTGGGTTAGACCAAGTTGGAAAAACGGGGACGGACGACTGTTCATTGAAACTTTGTCTGTTGTTTACGCAGCGCAGAGGCGCATTGCCCACGTTCTTCGTGTGCGTTTGGGATGGTGGATTTTGGAACGTAAGTTGTTACTTCTGGTGGAGGATATCAAGGCTATCTTGTGTGTGTCTGTGTGCGCGTGGGTTGTTGCAATTGAAGTCTGCGAAAGGCACAGACATCCCATTTCATTTTTACGTATTCAAGCACTTACTGACCGTTGTGAAAGTCAGGCATAAAATATAGATTTAAATACGGAAGTCAGCAGCAGCAGCAGCAGCGGAAGTCGCATGCATGCCGCATCACTCGCGCGAACGAGAGCGGGGTGAATACCGCTCTCGAGACCGTGATCGGAGACAATACCACTACGAGCAAGCAAATACGCACGATCGACACGAATATACCTCTCATACCTACGATGACTACGGGAATGATATCCTAGATAGTGACGATGGCGATGACGATGCTGTCTTCAACGATCGAAGACGGAGCCGACATTCCCGTCGAAATTCCTCCTCCCACCCGCAAGCTCGGCCCTCACCAGCTCGTCGAACGCAACTGAACCCATCGCATCGTCCACAGCAGCCTCAACAACGCACGCGTCGCCAGGGCCGTAGCTACGATTCCGACGACGACGATGGTGATGATTCAGAATCAGCAGTCATAGTCGTCGACTCGCGACCGAACGTTTCGCGCCCCGCCCATGTCAGACCCAGCCCCGTCCGCGTCGAGAGGCGGCGGAGCAGAAGTCGAACGGTCGAGAATACACACAATACGGGAATCAGGGATTCGAGATATAAATCTAAAGAATCGCCTGCTACATCACCCATTAAGAAGAGAGATCGCGAGCGGGATCGCGAGGGGAGGCGGCGAAGGGATAGTATGGCTGATGAGGAAAGCCCGAGGAAGGGTCGCCTGAGGGATCGAAGGCGCAAGGGTTTAAACGATGATGACGAGGAGCATGATGTTCGCGGTGGATTTGGTACAGACCGAGAGCGAGATAAGAGGAGGAGGAAGGAAAAAGAGAAATATCTTCCAAGAGAAAGTGGCGCGTGGAATAAGCAAAGTAAGCATGCCAGTACTGATTCTGCGAATAGCGCGACACAGCTGCTCAGCGTGGATGCGTTGGCAAAGTTGAACGCGGTGCAAATGAAAGCTGAGGCTGTGGAGAAGGCCAAGGCTGCGAAGGATGAGAAAGCTTTACTGGAGAAGGAGAGGAAGAGGAGAAAGAGAGAGGAGGCTAGGGAGAAGGAGAGACGTATTCCCGTTCAAAAGGGTGCCAAGAATAAGGGATGGGCGGGGAGGAGGTTGGTTTCTGGTGCTTTTCTAGAGGAAGGGAGGAGTCCAGAGTTGAAGACAAGAGGAGGCGGCGGGTGGGGAGTTTGGAAGGATGAGAAAGGAAGAAAAGGGGCCTCAGGCGGAGGCGGAGGAGATGATGATAAGGGAGGAGGATGGTTTGCCAGTTGGAGCAAGAAGAAAAAGTTATACGTCACTGCTGGAGTGCTGGCACTACTACTAATCATTATCATCCCCGTTGCCGCTGTGCTGTCGAAGAACAAGAAAGGTGACCAAGGCGCCAGTGGTGACTCTGGGGATGGTCCGAGTGATCCAGCATCCCAAGGACCACCGCCAAGAACGGAGTTGGGGAACTTTGACCCAAATACTCTCCCGGTAAGATGCAGCTTTTTCACGCTGTTCTAATCGCATGCGGGAACATGGTGTGATGCTGATAGTTGATTATTGCAGGAGAGCGCGAAGAAAACATACTTTGACCCCCGTACTTGGTATGACACAGCGGACATGAATGTCACATACACTGATGAAACAGTTGGCGGCCTCCCTATCATGGGGCTGAACTCAACGTGGGACGACTCCGCCCAAGCAAACAAGAATGTCCCTCCACTGAACAAGAAGTTCCCGTACGGCAAACAGCCGATCAGGGGCGTCAACGTAGGCGGCTGGCTCTCTCTAGAGCCCTTCATCACCCCCTCTTTTTTCAGCAGTTATAATTTCCGAGACAACGTCGTTGACGAATACACACTCAGTAAAAAGCTTGCGCCCAATGCGGCTCAGTATATAGAAAAGCACTACGCAACCTTCATAAATGAACAGTCATTTCGGGAGATCCGAGATGCTGGACTCGATCATGTACGCATCCCCTACTCCTACTGGCTCGTCAAAACCTACGATGACGATCCTTACGTCGAAAGGATTGGCTGGCGCTACCTTCTCCGGGCTATTGAGTACTGTAGGAAGTACGGACTGCGCGTCAACCTTGATCTGCATGGTGTTCAAGGCAGTCAGAACGGGTGGAACCACAGCGGCCGTCAGGGCTCAATCGGTTGGCTCGAAGGCGATGACGGGACCAAGAACGGCGACCGTTCGCTCGAAACCCACAAACAGTTGGCTACATTCTTCGCGCAGGAACGGTATAAAAATGTGGTTACCATATATGGTCTCGCGAACGAGCCGATGATGCTAAAGCTTGATATTGAAGCTGTTATTAATTGGAATACAAAGGCTATTTCAATAATTAGGGAGAGCGGTTTGAAAGATGCGAAGATTGCGTTTGGAGATGGGTTTCTCAATCTAGAGAAGTGGAAAACGATAATGCAGGATGTAGATGATAATCTACTGCTGGATACGCATCAGTATACAGTTTTCAATACGGGTCAGGTTGGGCTACCACATCGCAAGAAGTTGGATTTTGTGTGTGAAGCTTGGGTCAATCTGATTACAAAATCGAACACAAAGGGTACCGGGTAAGCTTTTACCTATATTTCTCATTTTATCAGATTCCCATCCCCGCTCATGAAGAATTGCTAGCTAACTCTCCTCCAATTCCATAGCTGGGGGCCCACAATCTGCGGAGAATGGTCCCAAGCTGATACCGATTGCGCCAAATATCTCAACAACGTCAATGTCGGCAGTCGTTGGCTCGGTACCATGGACAATCCGCAAGCTAAAGACCAAGTCTTGCAGGCGCATTGTCCAACGCAGTGGCCGCAAGGTGATCCCGCTGCCAACGGCCCGCCCTGTTCCTGTGACCAAGCCAATGCAGACCCGTCCCATTATTCTGACTCATATAAAAAATATTTGCAGATGTATGCTGAAGCGCAGATGTATGCGTTTGAGAAGGGGTACGGGTGGTTTTATTGGACATGGCAGACGGAGTCTGCGGCTCAGTGGAGCTATAAGAAGGGACTCGACGCGGGGATTCTACCGAAAAAGGCATACGAGCCGGAGTTTAAGTGTGAGAACGACAAGCTAGGATCCTTTGGAGATCTGGAGGAGTATTATTGAAATAAAGATTTTGTCAGATTCGCTTTGGTTTTCTTAGAATTTTTTTCCCCCCTTATTGAATGATGTCATTTACATATATCCCATAGGCTAGGGATGGCTTTTTACATGTTTGGTTTTGCGTTGTCTTGTTTTATCTAATTTTCTTCATTGGTACTTGCACATGTACTGTACATTATATATGACCACATTTAGATATCCATTTTCTTTTTTTTTTCTTTTAAATCTAAATTTAAAGCCTTCTGCGATGCCGCGCGTTTATTAGCTAGGTTGGTTACGGGTTTGGGCAGTTGATGGTGGGTAAGTCAGACGCAGCTGGGGATTTGGTGTTTAGCCCTACTTGACCTTCAAGGAGCGGAATCCTTGATGATACTGAAATGATAATGCGAGGTAAACTGTTTTTTCTTCGCCCTTGTTTCCTTTATTTTTACTTGAAATTCTATATATTGAGTCATAAACGTGCCATTATATTTATCATTAATATGGTGGTTGGGGTATAGTTATAGAAATCTGCATTAGGCAATCAAGGGTTGTTTCCCAGAGCCCGAAATAACAAGACAACAAAACCGAGAACCGCGCTCGCAACCTGACGCATCAAAACCATGGGATGAAATGATATTGTCACATTTCGCCGAGAACCAAATAAGAAACCAGATATGTTGTAAAAATGGACAGGCCAGCCAGTTTAACCGAGCCAGTAAAAAGTAAAAGAGAAAAAAGAGACTAGCGAATCAATGAAACATCGAAATCGAACTTCGGTTGCGTGAAATGCGCCGATATTCCTTAACCGCGGGACTGGTCGTGGGCCCCAAGTGCTCCTCCAAAAGCGCTCGCTTCCGCATCTCCGCTTTTTCCTCCTTACTGGTGATATAATAGTGTTCGTCGTTTTCCTCCATCCCGATGATCCAGCGTTCTGACAGCTGGTTCCCAACAGGTCCTATGCCGCATGCGCCACTCAACTTCGTGCTGCCGGGACTGTTGAGCGCAAGCGCAAACATGTTCTGCGGCTCTGTAAAATCCGTCAACTGCTCACCCCTGATTTCCAGATACATGTAGCCCAAGCACACTAGATTTGTCAAGAAGACGAGAACAAGCACCACGTAGAAGATGCCTTGCCACCTTTGCACACCGCCGGAAGCATAGTCGCTGACGCGTAAGGCGACTTTAAAAGTTTGATCCTTGGGGAGTGTCGCCGGATCGGGGCGTGCGAAGTCGAAATTGGCACCCTCCGTTGACATAAGCAATGTTGAAGCAGCCATTGCGGCGAATGCTTCGGCTACAGATGGCATGGCCTCGTTGAGGGAATATGTGTTGGTTTTCGGATCCAAGCGGGGTATCAACTGGGTTAGTAGTCGAGCGTTGCTGGCTTGCCCGTCTGTAATACCCGCGCCGAGGCTGAGGGAATTGGCCCATTCGGTGCTCATATCTTCCCAGTTCTCGTCCCACTCAATAAGAGGTATATCCTTTTTGTCCTTGTTGTAGCGCATGTTGTCGTGTGGATCATCGCATGTAGCAGCTAGATTCCCGCCGCTGGCGGTTGCATGGTAAATAGTCGAGCACTGCGTCGTCAGACCAGCTTTGATGGCGCAGAGGGCGTATGGAGGATCGGTTATGTCTGGCGGAGAGGCCAGTAAAATATACAGAGAGTCTCTTATATAGAACCTCAGAGTGCCATTTACTAATGTGTTGTAGGCAATTGGAAGCTTTGGAAAGATAGGCGGGAGTTTGTGATCGCTGAACTCGAATATATCGTCGACCACAGTCTTGTTCCATTTCTCCCCCTCACCCCAAAGCCCTTCCGGGGGAGAGCTAAGCCAAGTTGAAACGTTAACTTTTCCATTAACCTCGGGCCATTCATTATAGACGAGGGGCGCTATTTCTTCCCTTGTCAAGCCCGCGCAGAGCACGTTAACAACTGGTGAAACAACCGCGGCCCTAAGGGCAAATTCTCCAAGGCCGTTGAAGTCACTTGGTTGTCGGAGTGAGTTGCGAGGATGACGAGATGCTGCAATAATTCCCGCATGCGGCATTGCTGCGGTGACATTGTTGATCATTCTGCCATGCTTTTTGGATATCTCCACCATATCTTGCTCCTGAATCCAACTCCCTCGAAGAGTGGTATTGTCATTCCAGGTGCCTGCTGGTACTATGCGTTGGTTCATGTTGGTTGAGCTTGTATTGCCTCCCATAGCTAATAAGGACCACTCCGAAATATATTCTCTGTAGTTGTGATAAGCTTGTCCAACATAAGATAGCTGAAGACAAGTGCCTGCGCCATATACTGGATCCTCATCTTTGGGAATTGGAGTTAAACAATTTTTTAATAGATACGGCACGTTTGCAAACTTCGTTTTCACTGTGCCAGTGAAATCCTTGATCTCTTCTGGACCGTAACTAAGTTTCGGTGACACTAGAAATAGCACATTAATAACCCTTTGAAATAATAGGACAGGACTAAACCATACCTAAGGCATCAGCAGCAGTCGTATATAGCAACGCCATAAATGTGGCTGTCAGGGCTATCATCCCAATAATAGTAAGACCAGAGTGTCTGACATGCTGCCAATGTGTTATCAGGCTTCCTGGCTGCATAATCCAGCCGCGCATCGACATATCCGCAATGGATATTCCTGTTGCTCGTTTTGAGAGTGCTCTTCGGCTCAGGACTTGACCTAGAAAGGCGACGAAAACAGTGACAAAAGACAGTTCTATGGTTTTGGCAAATAGCGCGCTTAAAAGAGACGCCGTATCAGGGGCAAGTCCACCCCTCCCGATCCTGCTCCCATACCGGGGTTTAATAAAGGCAACGATCATATACAACCCAGACAGAGCGGTAGAATAAAAAGCAAGCACCAAGATGGTGATTGTTAGCCATGACATGCGCTTGTGACGAACACTTCCAGCACTGGGGCAATTGAATTTCGACTGGCTGTCAGGTGGAGGATTACCATTATTAAAGGTCACGGTGCTGCTTATGCTGTGCTGTCCAGGGCTGTGACCCATTAGCGGGTTCGATGAGGGAGGTGTATCTCTTCTGATTTCTGGACTGGATTCAGGAGGGGAAGAATTGCGGCCACCTATTCCTAAGCCAAAGGCAGAGCTTGCCCGCGAATCATGTGTTGCTACATTGTCTTGGTAAGGTAATGGCGGAGATATTGTTCTGTCGAGGGGGTCTGATAAAGAAGGAAGCGGTTGGTATGAGTTTCTGTTATTACGTTGGGATAAAATGTCACTTGACGATCGTGTATGCATGGGAATGAAATGAAATTCATCATGATGACTTGAAGACATCGTCGGGGCTGGAAGATCGCATGCGGAAGGTAGTTGCGATGAACCTGCGGGCGGCAGGTCAATAAACAGGGCAGGTCGTAGCAACTCCTGGCCCGGATACGGGTGAAAGATGCTCGAAGTTCGTAGCCAGGAAAGAGGTCAGGACAAAGAACAGCGTGAATACAATTAAAGTGGAAGAGAAATTAAGATGAATCTGCCAGCAAAATGGAATGCTTTTTATTTGAACTGGGAAGGCGGGAAAACGTCCGCTAGTTATTTTAAACCGACTACCCTTGAGGTACACCCACTTAACTTTGCGCCAAACTGCGGCAAATTTCTCAGGAGTGAAATTGGGGTCCAATTAAATACTGCCTTGGAGGGCTTGCTGTTGGTTCCAATATGTATTCCGGCGGCCAAGACGCGGTACCGGATGCTAGGTAACATGGTGGACGAAAAATGTCGGTTGGGCAGCAGCTAAAATCGTTAGCCCGTTCCAGCGCGCATCCAGGATTTTTGGAATCCAACAAGTTGCTACCAGGCGACAGGCATGAGAGTCCAGAACAACAAACATTACGCCGGTGATTGCGCAAGGACAGTACTTTTCTACCCAGGCGACAAGGGTTCGGTGCCGTGTCTGCAAGTTCCGAGTTTAGTGATCCTCGATAGAGCAAAGGAATATTTGCCGGGAGGCTCTCAGCAGTATTCTTCTCGTGCTTCGCCTGCGATCAGCGCGACAAAGTGCAAGCAGAACAAGACAAGTTACATTACCCGACCTGGGTTCCTTCATAACTGGCGGCATGGCTGGCAACCCTGTTGGAATTTGGCTCCCGTTCGTGCATTCGTCCATCAAACCCCTGTTCCGCTGGACAGCTGTAATGTGAAGAGGGGGCATGGAGCCGCAGAAACAAGTGCATTTGCGCCATTTTAATGCTGCAGGTTGCACAAAGAGAGCCTTTCGGCCAGCAAAGCTAACCAGGCTGTGGGGATCGACTCCTTGGCGCAGCAGTGCATGCCATTTCGCCAGAGCGGATTGCCAGCCTCTTGGATTTGGGCTATTTGCGCTGTGGAGTTTAGTGGACCTCGGATACTAGAACAAGATCCGTCGCATGTCAATCACAGAAGCAGCCAATTCTAATCTTATCGCTGGTGCTTGAATAAGCAATTTGGACCCGCAACAGGGCGTTACATACATGATTGACTAAGTTCACGTCGATGATGTTGTTGGTCGCGGCTGAAATTACGGTTGGTTGACAGCAAACCCTAACCGGTCTTGGCTTTCTCGATCCTAAAAATAGCATACGGCTCCGCTTCCATAACATAAGCCCATGTAAGGCTGAGAAGGGGTCAAAACATGTACTTGAACAGCACAGAGGACGTGCATTTATCTCTTGTGGTTACAATTCTACAGCGTATTGCCTCTTTCTCCTCACGTTCTCCCCCTCCTTTTCTCAGCGTGTCTTGTTCGATTCTCTCGGTACTATTCGACCAACCACACCCTCATCCCCAATTCAACGCTGCATCCAAGTGCGGGGCATGAGTATATATATTGGCAACGTACAGAATCAACTGAGTTCCTTGAACCGCGAATACTACTTGTAGGAGGAGGTAGCATGGCAAATCTACAATGGAGAAGAAAACACTCGGCTATTTTGTTAGAAGACGAAGGGAGGCCAACATTACATACACGCATGCACTATGCTGTGCATTGCCTGAATTTTGATCCATTGTCGAGCGAGGCCAAAGCGCAGGACTAGAACCGCCCCTGCATTATCTGGTTTCCGATGAATAAAAAGAACACCATCAGAATAAATTCATCAACCTTCTGTACCACGGAGGTAGAGGTAGGGCAATGCAGGCTTTCCGGCTGCGATTGCTGGGAACAATAGCCGTCACTCCGTGTTGAAGGGGTATTTCACTGGTTTTGCCGTTTCTGCTATTATTAGTTACCCCTTCCCGAGTTGCGACTGCTATTTTATGTGATGAACTGTTAACGTGCATATACATGCATAATGAGATGTAGTGTACGAGCGGGGAATCTAGAAGGATAAATGAACGTGACTGCTTGACATGAGCTAGAGGTAACAGTGGAGGTATGTGGGAAAAAATGGGGTTACTCGCAATACGGGTAACAAGGAATTGGATATCGTTGATCCAGCACTCTGATTCATCTTCCAGAGCTCCGCTAAGGAGCTACTTGGACTTTGTGACGCGCATAGTTGCTCTACGTCCAGTTCCAGCAAGATTACTCTCGCTTTACTATTCTGGTGCTCAATTTGATATCCCCGGCAATATCTTTTTATATTAGCTGGCTGGAGCAAGTTCTCGCAACAACGGCGTATGAACGTGTGCGTCATACGGAGCAAGGCGAGCGGTTACATGGAAGTGAGTAGCGGTCAAGAGAAGAACATTATCCGATTTCGGTAACTTCGAGTAGCTGTAGCGGAGAGAAATGTATGGAATGAAGGAGAGAGGGCCATGTTTGCGATACGTCAACATCTATTCTAGGTAGAAATAACATCATCAAGGGTCCAGAGCCGAGGCGCCAGACATTTCGGTTTCATGAAACAAATTCATATGTAGCCGGGCTATATCGGGTTACATTTTGTGCCCGCAAGTATTCCCAAAATTGGGCATATACTGTTACCAACAAAGCCGCCTAAAGATAAGGAAATCGCTGGATGGGCTTTGAACTTCATGATTTCAGGCTTTGAGGATGTAGAATATGAAGAATGGGGGATATATGACGAAAAGTGAAACAAATGATGAGCTGAAATAGTAAAAAAGGGGATGATTTAACGTAAACTTCTGACCAAAGTAATTGAATTTCTGGTTGGAAAAACGAATACAATGCAAGGGAAACCTGTTATGACACCGCGAAATAATTTCATCTCGGGGAGTACTCTTTGAGGAGAGAGTAGGAAAAAAATATAAATAATGAGGTATATTACTGTGAAGGAAACTAAATTAAGGAACGACGCCCGCTGCATGCGGATGTTATTTTCGTCACTGGAATATCCAAAACAGGTGCTCCAAGACACAACAACAATACGGCGGACGGGGCATGTGCTTCTTTTACGGTTGCACAAAATCATAGGAAAACCATACCGAGCAAACAAAAAAGCAAACATATATGACCACGAAGGGTCAAGCTTCCCTCATCCTGAACGCCTATGACCCAAATATCAAATTTGCTACAACAATTGAATGATATGAACATTTCCCCCTTTGCTAACATATTATCGAGCACTCCCAAAGGGAATCATTTGCTTCCATCCTTTTGGCGAAAATGGCTCGAACTCGCTTTTGCCAGTGGGAGATTTGGCATCAGCTGCCTTTTCCACATCCCTATCGAATGGCGGCAGCATTTCTTCTCGTCCACCAGATTTTCTTTGCTGTAAAGCTTCTTTTGGCTTCTTTTGCTCCTCGCGGTTTCTTGGTTTGCTTGAAGTCGGAGCTGTTGAAAAGCGTCGAGGTGTCAACGGGGTCGCAAGGCGCCTTGCTGATCGACGTATCGAGGCTCGAATTTCCCATGATCGCTTTTTGGCAATATAAAACAGGACCGCGGATGTTACTTCGACCGCAAAGTCTTATTAGCTAGCAACTAGAATTAATATGCATTTGATAATGATATAACCACTCACCTCCTAGAATAACAACGATACCGACAATCACAGCTATTGCGATTATGCCACCCTGGGAGATGTTGATAGACCCCTGCCCTGATTGAGACCAATTTCTATCTGTGTCGACATCTCCGACACTGCCCGGAATAATTTCCACATCGCGCCCTACAACTCGATGCCGTGGACCATCAATTTCAGATGGGGCTTGGCGGAGAGCAAGGCTGTAGCAGCAGGACATGGGGGCAACAGCCATCCAAGCAATAGAGCGGAGAAGTTGGCGAAGATGGACAGCGTGCATATCGGATAGACGATTAGGTCAAGTTTGGCTTTGAATACTTGTGAGATATACAAGTAGTAGTCCGGAGTGAGAAGAATATATACACCTTGAAAAACCAAATATTATTAACATCGGCTGAGGTGCTGCCCCTGCAGCAGAACGGGTGAGAACTATGATCAAGGAAGAAATGTAATCAAAATATATCCCTATGGGGAGGAGGTTGTCCAGTATATATATAAAGTCCTTTAAGCGCAGGTTTAGGTGCCACAGCTGTGCGGCCAAAATTGAGATTGGCCCCTTGCCCCAGATTCCTGAAGGATTTCAATCGGATCATTTTAAACAATGACCCCATATGGGTGGGTGGATTGGTATGCCCTCCTTGGGGGGCTTTGGCAATCTCCTGAATTCCTCTGTTTCGGGCTTCCCTTGAAGAAGCTAAAGGATCATGAAGCCCCTTTGAGGTTGTTTGTATGGTCGAGTTAGCGCTTGCTCTGTTTCTCTCATCCAAAGTTAAAAGTTTCATGGCCCAATGATGGTGAAGAAGTGCTGAGATTTGACCTGGCAAGCCACACTAGGCCGATGGCCAAGAGAGCCAGGGTGATTCTCAATGCATCGCACATCAACCTCATAGGCTTTCACGTCAACCTTTCACATTCCATCACGAAAATAATGTGCAATTTCAATGTGCTTCGGTTGGAGATGTTGATCATGTCCCTCACAAATGTCAAAATACTCAGTAACTCACAAATTACCACGAAGCCCTGGCCCTGTGTTAACTGCCAGCACACAAATCACGGCTGCTTGACATGTCGATCTCAAGGTGACGACATGGTTGTGGTGGGGAATGAGGCCTTTTGTGTTTTCGTTCATGTTCAAATAACAGCCATTGTCAACTGGACCAAGATGACTTTTTCTTTTTTATCTATAAGTTCTCCGCATACACTGGCAGTCAAATGTTTGATCTGTGGATGAAACTTATCAAGACTTCTCTCTAGTTTTGGCCCTTTACTGGGCATGGGATTGCTCACCACACGCGGCGATTCTATCAGGCCAGAAGTATTAGGTTAATATCATGTTGCCAAACATACTTGGTACCCTAACACCCCCTTCCCACTCTCCAATCTCGAAGGTTGACTTGAAACCCTTCTTCAAGCATGAAGGCAATTATCAAGGGCTATTTGAATTGTGTCTCTCCAGAGGACTCCAGCGGGCTCCAAGCTGGGATGTGATTCACGATATTGACCCATCGTGGTAGAGTAATTGTTTAGATGCCGAAATGGTCACGTTTGGTGACGAGGGAGTTGGGTGCGAGGAGGCTCTACCGGCTGGATCGGGTTATGTCCCACCACCCGTGGAGAAGAGCCTCCTCAACATTGCCTCTTCAACCTCACCTCGACATCTCTGCTCTCTTCAGTTCTCTTCAACAGGACTCTATGCTGTTGCAACCATTCCCTGATCTGCTCCAAAGGCACAATCAAGAGAAACCTGCGCAGTGAGGTGGACCTGAACATCAGTTCCGCTTGTTGGTTTTATCCATTGCATTTATCGAGTTCAAGTTACGCTGCTTTCCCGGACTTACTGCTTTCTCTGGGCAATTTTTTTTTTCATGCAGTATTTGTTTCTCCTGCACCTCCATGTAATCAACACGCTGGAGCTGCTGAGGGCTCAGGCAAGCGGGTCCCGGGTCAGTTGACCTAGTCCTATCACAACCGCGCTGAGTAGGCCTATGATGAATCCCCTTTGGCAACATGACGTCCAACTCCGCTTCTCAATTATCTGGGTGCGATACAGTGGAGAAAGAACTATTTTCTGTGAATACTCCCAATGACGAACCTGGTCTCTCTCCCACGTCAAAGAAAATTCTCGAGAAATGTTCTATTCCTATTACCCCTGTTGCCCTGAATAGGAGTTCCCACATTACCCCAACTTTGATATCTCGCCCTCCAAGTTCTGATCTTGATTCTGGGGGATTTAACTTCCATTTCACCAAACCCAAGCTTCCAACTCCCAGTTTCACTTCACGTTTGAATACCAAACATGTTAGAAGCCCTTCAACTCCCTCAAATTACCCCGGAAGCAGTTTAAATGCCCCTGAAGCAAAAAGCCTGGATGTTAATTGTACTGAATCGAGTTCAAGGTAAGAAGACGTTTGCGACAGGCCGGACGTGAGCTAATTCCAATATTAGTGACACTCCCGTTCATGTGAAAAATGATGTCAATAACAGAAAAACCTCCCCGCAAAAATCCCATGCTGCTCTGAACACTACTGAAACACCCTATGGGCCGAAAACCGAGATCTCTCGTCTTTCAAATGAGACTGCCAGCCTTTTAGAAACTGAGTATGGGGCTGATGTCCAGTCTGAACTTGTTCCTCCCGGGCAAGGAGGCGATTTAACAGGTAAGCTAGCTCCCGTATTGTCCTTCGACTGATGGGAAATATTGATTTTTGTTTTTAAAGGTTGTCATAATAAGCCGGCCCAATCCGCAGTAAGTACTGCTCGATCCTCCAAAATTGCATTTACCATGAAGTTTCGCGTTTAGTTGATACTCCCTCTACTACTATACCCGGAATATTTGAATTCTTCCCATCAAAAACCTCTATTACTCTTTTACATTTGTTTACAATACACTTTTGTTACATATTGAGCCTATATACCACGTGTTGGATATTCTAACTATTTAAAGGCCCAAGGAGATCTTACGGGGCCTACACCTAATGGCCAAAATTCTAGCTCACCTGCAAGTGCCAACAGTCACATTAGGGGGTCAAATCTAACTCCCCCACGGTCGCGGACGAAAGAGGCTAAACCACGACCGAAGTTAATGTTAAATTCAAATATTACAAAACAGCCGATGTCTGCAGACACAAGGCCCAACCCCGTAACTTCGAAGCAAGTTACCCTCCGGAAAGATACTTCGTGGAAAAGACCTTCGTTTACGTCTCAGCCCTCAGAAGAGGACCTTTTTTACATGTTGATCCGTAGGCTCAAAAAGAGGGATGAGATGGAAGCAGAAGCAGTGGCCATTAAAAAGAGGATGGAAGGCAAAATGCTTGAACTTACCCGAGCAAATGATGACTTGTCCTGTAAATTGCAGGAATCGGAGATTATTTGCAAAAATCAACAGGAACAGCTTAACGCTAGAAATTCAATTATTGAACGATGGAAGGTGAAATTTAATAGGCTGCGGGCATTTGTTACCAACGTTGGGAATGATTTTGAAGTTCTCCGGAAAGAAGGACAAATCCTCAGATCGACGCAAGACTCTTTGCTCCGGGAGAAAGAGGAAATAAACGAAACCTTGAAACAAATGAGTGATAGTACAGACCTACTAAAAACACGCTGGAGCCAGCAATGCGCAACTATCACTGGAGCACGGCTGGAATTTGATAATCTAGAGAAGTCTCTACTCACGGCGACTTCTACAGTAACTGAGACTGAAAAACTTCTTTCTAGGGAGAGGAATCGGGTGGCAACACTGGAAAACTACGTGAAGAATTATTCTGACAACCATCGCAAGCAGACTGCAGAACTCGACGAAAAGCAATTCCAAACGATAACAAAACTAGACGCGATCCACAAGCAACTTGAATGTTGGAATTTCTCACAGTCTTCCATCAAGGGCGAAATGGAGTCCGGGTTTAGCTCATGTATGTCGTTGTTGAATTCTCTCAGCCAGCAGCAAAGCGTGAAGCCCCAAGATCTGGATAAGGTGGATAGTGCAATTCGGGATCTTGCTACTCAGTGAGTTTAGCTCTGCTTTTCGAGGGATATCAACGGAACATTCTAATTGTATTGTAGACTTAATTTATCCATCGAAGCTTGGAAAAAACACATGGAGACGGCTTTCGATATGCACACGAACTACGGACCACGGTTGTCAACTCAGTTAACAGGCATAGAGTCAGCTGTGAACTCAAACGCAGGAGCGGTATGTCAACTTGCAGAAGTTCGTGAATTGTACGGAGGCCTTCAGGAAAAGCTGAATGCCGCCGAGAGAAGCTTGGCTGAGGTGTCTGCGGATCGCGACAAAGTTAAATCACAAGGAGAATCCCTACAACGACATATTCGGGACCTCGAACTTGAGATATCATCGCTACAAAAGAACGAAATTGACGAAACTCATTTCAAGGATGCAGGTATGTTGTCGGATCTTCGCATCCAACTTGAGGCAACCTCAGCAGCCCTTACCGAAGTAACAAAGGAGCTCAAAACGAAAGAAAGCGAAATGCGTGATATGAAACAAAAGTTGAGGGAGACAATTGAAAAGTTGGGAACTGCAGAAATTGAGATTGTGGACCTTAAAAGCAAAAGCCTCAGGATTCGCGACGAAGCCCAGAAGACGGAGCATAAAGTGAGAGAGGAACTAACAAGGGCAAATTTGGCGGCGAAGGATCAGCACCGGGCATGGTTCGAACAGGAGCAGCATAAACTCCAGCGTGAAAAGATTGTTGCCGAAAAGAATGCCCAGAAAGCTTCTGAGGAGTTAAACTCCGTGAAATGTTCACTGGTATAATATCCCAGAGTGATACCCATTCTTGCTTGGTTACTAATAATGTTGTAGCAATCTGCGGAGAAGTACAATCTCGATTTAATTGCAAAGGTATGCTCGTGTACTCCTAACCACACATCCTTCAACTTATTGACAAAAATACAGATGAATGAACAGCAATCGGAAATTGATAGTTTGAAAATGACGGTCTCTAAGAGGGACTCGGATATCTCCACAGAAATGAATGAGATAAAAATGCTGCATACATCCACTATTCAAGAGCTACAGGACGCGCAAGGGCAACTTGATGTTGCAGCAAACGAAAAGGAAGAGCTGAAGCATAAACTATCCGAATTACGCACTAGCCTGGTGATCCTACAAGAGCACGAACCCTTGCAGGAGGCACTTGAGGCCCTACAGTACGAAATTGCAGAGAAGGATATAAACCTTCTGTCATTGAAGGAAGAATTGTCAAAATCAGAAGCGAACAATAAGAGGATCTCTCAGTTTCAACAAGAATTGGTTGATAAATCCGCTGAAATTGCTATCTTACGCGAGAGGTTAGATAATCAATTGGCTTCGAACTGTTCAATGGAGGAATCATTGAGGGAGAAGAATAACGAGCTTGTTATCCTTAAAAAGAAAATGGAGGCGTGTGGAGAATTCTCTGCTGATACTTCAACGCTAAATGGCGATGTCGAACAAAGAAACAATGAACTTGCAGACCTTCGATCTCGAATTCAAGCAGCCGAACATATTTTCGAATATGCGGAAAGCATTTTAAAGCAGCTTGGGATCATTGGGATTGAGGAGTCGCTGAGGGGATGCTCAAACGAATTACAATCACGATTAAGGATGATGGCAGGGAGCCTTGAAGAACGACAGCCAGAAGAGCTGACAGAATCACTTCATATACCTATGAGGACCTCATCAAAGCGACAAAGAACAGGCAGGAAATGCACGATGTCTTCTACTTATGCCGAACGTACTGGGCCTGGTTCTTCTACTAGAGAGTCCCAAACCACTGAGTTAGTGTATCGGACTCGGAGTACTCGGGAAACTACATCCCCAACTTTGAAAACTCCTTCTCGACGTAAAAATGTTAGCAAGAGATGTCCTACGGCCTTGACGTCTTTTATTAGGCCATTCTCTCAATTTCAAAAGGATTCAACGCCATATCTAGGACAAAGAGAGCAAACATCTCCGCTCTCAGAATTCACAGACCTGAACATATTATTCCCATCAACACCTATGAATTCCGAAAATGTCGGTTCTGATCGGACACCAAATATAGCAACACAAGGTTCCACATATAGCAACAAAGCCATGCTTCCTCACGAAGTTGGTACAACAAATGAACGAATCACTCCATCGATTTCAAATTCTGTCAATGATGTTATGTGCATGTCGGGTCTCGATAAAGACTGTAAACAGCCCGGAGACCCTATTGTGCAAAAATCTCCCTGTGAGGCTATTCGAGGCGGTCCTGCTCCAGTGGCCAGTACTCCTAACAGACGTGGGCACGTTAAAAATGCTTGCTCCAAAAATAGTCCTTGCTCTCCGCTTAAGACGCGTTCTAGCACTCTCAAAAGGAAAGAAATTCCCGAGGATGAAACGCACACAATGGTAAGCCGGCCCCAGTTTGTCATCTATATTTAAGATAAAAAATAGGAAAGGGGAGAAGTAAGCTAGATGACTAAAAATAATACCACGACAGGTTGCGAAGTCTGTGGGTAGGAAACATGCGGAGAAGCCGCCTCGCAAAGGGATTCTCAAAGGTACAACCAAGCCAAACGCATCTACGGTAGCGAGTGCAGTACAAACTCCACCGCATGCCACCAACGGGGAGGACCCGATGGGCGCAAGTCCAAAAATCACATTTAGATGCCCGTCTCGAAAATCTAAATATTTCAATCCAACAACTAGCCCAGTCGCCTCGATCACGGCGAGAAGGGGACGATGTGGGAGCACGGCCAAAATGTTGAGTGCACCCGCTGGACGGACAAGAGAAAGGCCTCGCAGGAAACAGCGAGGTAAGGCTAATATACCCACTGTCCCCAGCACTAGATGTTAATCTGAACAGGTGATCTATACCATAGCAGATTCTCCCAGAAGCCCCATGTATAAACAAGGGCCATTATAAGAAGCGTAGATGTCCCCAGTTATAATCAAAATTGCGCCTCTCTCCTTTCATGTCTGTTATTTATGAAACCAGCAGAGCGGTTGAAGCGACGAGGAGAAACCTCGGTAATCTCTACTGGTCTGTCAGGTAGTTAGCGGATACATATTTTGCAGCGCTCTGCAATCCGTTCTTTTAGGAGCTTGATAAGAGAAAAAAACAAAAATGATGCGGCAATTTCCAAGGGCGATTCGGAAAAGCGCCATGAATATGTATCGGATAGTTAAAATATTTTCAATGCATATAATCTATTATGTTAAAACGCCAGCCTTGGATGCAAATTAAAGATGTCTAATAGGGGAGGTGTCCACGTAAATTTTCACCAAATAAAGTACCCGGAACTGCCAACGGCCTTAAGCTCTTTTCACAAACGTATACTCGTACACAGGTATTGCCGTCCTGGACAAAAGGTGGTCCGCTAATATAGACCACGGTTCGCTTCCCAACTAATACAGAGTGAATGGAAAAGGAAAGGAAAGACCACATCAAATGATGCAATATGCGGCTCTTTCATCCATGCCAATATACTCCCCCTACTCCAAACACTGTCAACGCAATGGACGAGCCGTCGATTCCGGCGATGTGGACGTCCATTACCGCACACCGGAAAAACGAAAAGGACGGTCTCTTCTTACTTCCCGCGCTTCGCCTCCAAAAACAGCACTTTCTTTTTCACTACCGGGTCGTATTTCAGCATGCTGAGGGGTCTGCTGGTACGCGGTCGGACAAGGGTTTTGTAGTAGCCCGTCATCGCCATGCTGATGAGCCGGACGGCGATGGTGCGCGACTTGGCTATTCCACGGAAATCAGCATATTATCATTTGTACATCTAGATGTCTCGAAGTCGGTAGGCCTAAACTGATGGACTGCTAAGCTGGCAGAGATAGTTGGTACCTTTTTTAGCCATCCTGCAGGATGGTCAGGATTTGGCAATCGTGAAGCGGGACGCGAAGACTCCGGGTTGATAAAAGCCGGCGTGCAACGTTCAGTTGGGCGTGGATAGCAGGATGACTATTTGGTGTCTCGCAGGCAGCGTTTCTTTGAAGGATTGGTTTTGTCTGTGCTCCTTTCGCCCTTCAACGATGGATGTGAGATGATTTCAAGATCACGTGAATAAATTAAAAACTCGAACTTTATTTTCTCGCACCAACATCGAGAAACCCCAAAACACATTGATGGTTCATCCCATTGACAAAACACCTAGGTCTTCGGATTAGCCTGATTATCCAATTGACTCCCTCTAACAAGCTACGTCTGTATGTTGCTCTATACCTGCGGAGTGACTGGGTTCCACCTGACAACTACGACTGGGCTCTTCTCGAAGCCCGAATAATGAAGATTGTCAAAAACATTATCCAACCAGAGGTGTTTGAGGAATCAAAACTGGAAGAGTCCAGCACAAGATTTCGCCTTCTCGCTCGAGTTCTCATTTCGGAAATTGCAGATTCTGAGCAGGTTCCGTCGAGCGTGCGAAGTGTGGTTTCGCGATTCTGGTCGCAGAGATTCTCATTCGATTAAAATCCCCCCATAGGATTTACTCAACCAACGGGAAAACATTGGGTAAAAATGTGACTGAACGTGGAAATAGAGTCGCTACCAGTCGTCAGGCCCTGTATGCCATCAGCCCTGGCTACAGCCTGGATTGCTTCGCTAAACATCAAAAAATTTCTTTAGTTTTCATTGTCACGACTCACGAAGAATTTCGATCCATATTCCAGCATGCATATCATACTGAAACAATACTGGAAACAAGGAAGCTCTTTTCTGAATGCCACCTTGAGCTAGTTCATAAATCTCTAGCCTGGTGTGACTTCAATTTACACATTTCGACGGCTCAGTCAGATCGATATTACGTGGTGAGGATGCAACAAATCCCCCAGCCAAAAAAAAAAAAAAAAGCCCGAAGAAGCTCCAGCCACATCCCGTACAAAAAACCCCGATAATGTTCGGATTGTCATCGAAATCCTAGTGCCTGAGGATCCTTGAGAATGCTCCGTAAACTGAGCCACATCCCGTTTTACCTTCAGCCACAGCCTTTGGCCCCAATGTTTCACCCGTTTGGTACGGTACGGGAGCTATCCGTATTTTTCGTGACAATACGCCCTCATCCCTGAAAGAGCTGAGGGATGATCGTCTGCCACTTTGCACTCCCGCCCATTGCGTCACCTCATTGGAGCAGCGCACTTTCTCTTCCATTTGACTCCCGACCAAGCGACCCTGCTCGCCCTCATATCTCCGTTCATATCGTTTGTGAATTCCATTTCCCCGACGATTTCAAGCGTGTATCACTGGATTTTCCAGTTTCCACTTTACTCAAGCTGTGATGTTTCATGGGCTACTTGCTCGCGGAGAAATGAGCCTGAAAGACAGTTGCCCCCTTCTTCCCCCCCCTTTTTTTTTTTTTTTTTTTCGCTGGTGAGACATACCGCTCCATTATTTGCATAATTTTACGTTTGTCTCCAAGTTCTTCCCTTGTCACATTTGCGCCATTTTCCTGGTTATTCTTGGCCATATTCGCAGGATGCACCTTGGTGGCGATATGAGCTGGGACATTTAATTTTGGCCTGAGTATTCCTGGCAGCCTGCGTCTCCATCGCTTGTGGCTCGCGTATGGTAGTGCTTCCTAATGGATATTTTGCTCGTCCTTCACAAATATGGTTGCCTCCCCTACTTGATACTTGTCCTCAACGCAATATTAGCTTCGGGAGGTTTTCACTCACTGAAAACACGTACTGTACAGTGAACTATTATGGTGGGAAATTGATCGGCCGCGATGTATGTTAGGCAGCTTCAAAACAGTTTTCCTTCTGATCACAGCAGAAAGCCATCCAAACGCATGCGCATGCTTTTTGTGGCATTGAAGAACTTTGAAGTCTTATAGATATTGTAGTTCGCACGGTTTACACGGTGCGTTTCGAAGCATGCTTGGATGGATTTCCTTTCCTTTGCTTTCCTTTTCTTTCTTTTCCTATTTTTCAATCTATTCTTTTGCCACTGCTGGAGGCGTTGCTCGACTAAATTTAGTAAAATAACGGACTGTTTTTGGTCTTGGAATAATGTAGGCCTGAAAATCATATGCGGGGTAAGGAAGCATCCGTCAACATGTCAGTCATAATTTGGGCCCCCACATCCTGCACTGGACATTACAATTTAGGGTCCTGTGGCTTTAGAGTCATGGCAAGAATGTACGATCTATTAGCCGAAGTAAAGAAATTGCCGGATTTGGCAGCGGAGGAAAAGATCCCTGATGCTTGGGCGCGTTTGTATTCCCTCGACCACCCCGCAACCCTTCACCGCAAGAACCCATCCGTGACGAAAGGGCATGCGGGAGTGATGTTACTCGGGCGGTTTTAACAATTATCCTCGTTACACTTCGCAGCTCAACTGCCCTAGACATTATTATTGGCTGCGACCATGTCCACCATGCGGCAGCGGTTCTGGTGTGGTGGAGACGTTGGTTATCGCAAACAGAGATAAAGCTCCGCATCGGCTCCCTGCAAAAGTACCGCCGTTAAGCCCGCAATTCCTCCTAAGAGCGGAGCTTTTTAGCGTGGGAGGACTGTGTTGCCGCGCCTAATCGTAAGGCGTATTCGCAGCCTGTTACGGCTAACTTTGTCAGCTAGCCTGCTTTCTGTCTCTAGCCATGGTCTGGACATCGATGAATCATTTAGGGCCTGACTCATTCAATGAAAAGTGTGATGACATGCCACAAGATTTCTTCAAAGGACTCTTGAGATCTTAGGATTCAGATGCTTGACGGTATGTTTGTCCAAAGGCTTCCGCATCCCATTTTTCTTTCAGAGTATCGTTAGAGTCAAATATCTTCAGGAGTCCCTTCTGATGAAATAGCATAATCCTCCAAACACAGATCAGTAGCAAATAGGAGTTGCTAATAATACTAGCATCTATATTAGAATGTGTTGAACATAAAACATACTGTTGTATGTATAGTTGACCCTCGAGGCGCAGTGCTTGACGCTATTTACTCAACCAATCTACTCAAAAAGTTTGGCTGAATGCTGGTATCTATCAAAATGAAGTAGATATTTACCCAGCACAAATAAACTCCATGCCTCTCCCGCTGTTGCAGACGGAAAGTTGCATACAGGGCGGTGCGCCGATTTGTCTCCCCCTATTGATTGGAGATGAAGAGCTGCTCTCGAGAGCCGTCAACGATGGCACTCTGCTCTCCGGGATGCCACCTCGATAAGTTGGTGCTAAGTGGTGACAAATAGCGATGAACGAACGATATATATTCGGCGTCCCAATACAACAATATAGCGCCTGCATATCAGTGTGATGTTACGCCGGTTGCCCTGCGTTCTCCGTCCTGGCTTGAGCTTGACTATGGGGTTAGGGCATGAAAACCCCATCTGAATGTCGCACTGCTGTGGGGAAGAGGCTTTATATATATATCACCATGATGATTATTATCAACAAAAGATTCCGGCAGCGCCTCGAATAAAGCTTAATACCGGAAATATATATATGCTTGTTACGTATTCATTAGTTACTACTTAGCTAATTAAGTAATTAATTGATTAATTAATCGGAGGAAACCAAAAAATGCGGTCAGGCCATGTTTGAAATTAACGACACAGCCAGCTGAGCGAATGCCGGTAGCCAAAAACAAACTGGCCAGATGACTTCAACCTGACAGTCAGAAACTCAACCCGCACACCCAAAACGGAAACCGATCGCCCAATCACGCCGCTGCGCTAGGGGTGAAATTTGGCGCATGAGCCATCCTGACGGGTTGGGGAGAACAGGTTGCGTCTCCGGTGGGTGTGGACGGATTGGTGATGGTGTGCGGGTAGATTCATAGGAGCCTACAGGGGACGCGGGGTGTCCTTGGCGGGGGCTTTATGAAACCTTTTTTCCTTTTTGGTCCAAGTTGTAACTATTTTGATTTACTTCATTGCCTGGCGGGATCTGAAATTTTCTTGAGCTAAAAAAAATTAAGATGGGCGTTTGTTGAGGGGCAGTATTGAATGCTTGAGTGGGCAAGAGATTGGCTACGCGGAAAGGCTGTTTGATTAATTCGCTATCTAATATTTTTTTACCTTTTCTGTTTGTATTTTCTCCAAGGGGAGAAGTTGCTCAGGTAAGGGGAAAATGAAAGCTGGCCTGAAATAATTCAAACAAAAATGAAGGCGTCCCAAATAAAAAGTGGCGGTAATGATGCAGTCGTAGAAGTTGCGGACTAAAAGTCAAAAGTGTGGATGGAATAATTAATCCACAAAGAAAGGAAAAAGGGTGTGAAACTGCAAAAATGCAAAAAGAGCTCTATCGCCGAGATCTCCTAGGCCTGAGGTTATTATATAGCTTCTTGAAGCAGAAGGCCTTTTTAAGAGTTCAGTGAGAGCACCAAATATATTCTTCGTCCATTCCATCTGTCCGTGTCGACATTGTTCCTCATTCGAACCATTCCTCCGGCTCACCTACTCCTCAGCGTTTGATACGCCTGCTCTGGGGTTGTTGTGGGCTAGTGCAAGGGCTTGGTACAGGGGGATAATTGCATAATTCATCAGTGTCCTTCTCTTGATTTATCCTGTGATTGCGCCGTGATTATTTCGTCTAGGGTATGTGTTGGACATGTCCCTTTTGTCCGTCGCGAGATCGGGTCGCGACCTAGTTGTGACGGGAGGTGACTTTCGCGAGGCCTGCGGGAATATATATCGAGTTTCCGATGGCTAGTATTCGGGTTCAACGCATGTGCGTCATAGTGGGATTATCCAATATGAGAAAATCGGAGCGTGTATAAAAATTATTGTTCTTCAGCGCAGGTAGGTGTTTGGGATGCGAACCCTCTGGGCGGATGACGGTGAGGACTGCCGGCTCAAGTCCACGCCATAGAGCGATCCACGGCGGTAAATATATAAGCTATTGCGAGAGAGGTTCAGACTGTTGTTGGGGATAATAGTGGCAGGCGTGGTTCGTCGCTGGACTATGCGTGGCTGCTCTTGTTGGGGTTCAGTAACTGGCTTTGGGTTATGAATAACCACCGGCGCAGTCTGTCTCCGAGTGGTGAGCACAAGGCCCTTGTCGAGCGCATTGAGCAAATCATTCACCACTTGACAGTCATGGGGAATCTGAACCTGGATATAACGGCCATATTCACGGTCAACCAAGGAGTAGGGTTGTCCGCACTTCTGGTACACGTATTGCAATAGGCTAGTCGCATAGAGGTTTCCACGGCCGCAAAGAGACCTCCCACTGCAGAAGGTTTCGTACGGGCGACTGCAGGCGGGGCAGCGAAGAGCATGTTGCGAGTATCTCTCCATCACATATTTTTCGTCATCTCGCGGGGCACGAGAGAGGATGGGGCGCTCGGCACCAATTTCGCGAATGACGGAAGGCATCGTATAACGTCGACGCAGAGGGATGTAGTTGTGGGAGAAGGTAGTTGGATTGAGAGTATGGTGGGGGAGGTGATAAGCGGGAAGGGGGTACCGAGGAGAAGACACTGTGACAAGCACCCTGGCAAGGAAATGCTGCGATGTAGAAGGAAAAACAGAAGACGGTTGATATGAGGAGGAAAAGAGAAAATATCAACGGGGGAACAGGAGACTTATATGTTGTTTGGTAGATATGTCATGGATTGGTGTGTATGATTGGAGAAGAGGAGAGAGGCAGAGGATGCCGATATAGATATAACTGCCAAAACGCACTGACCAGCGACGCCTGTAATCTAGAGTAACAAGCACAGGGTCATTGACCGGGAGGGAGCTAAGTGTAACGCTAAATGGACGGGGTGTGGGCCGGGGCGGGTGCCTTGGGAAAAAAACGGCCGAATACCAATGCATGACGGCATACCGTATCTAAAACGCCATACGAGCACCAAAATCATTGTGTATCGCGACATACGCTGATAGCGTATTGTAAAAATACATAGGCAGCACTGCCTGCAGCCCCAAAGGGCGTGATCCAGATCGAAGTTTATTCTTCACGCTGGTCTGCTTCGGGAAAGTTATTCAACGCGGCGCAGGAACTGCTGTGGCTGACTCCAGTTCTCGCCTGATGAGTGGTCGTATCCTTAGCAAAGAGGGGATACGACGGCGGCATTTCCTGCCGCCGCTCCCCTTTGAAGGAGCCGGGAGCAAATGGTGGGGGACGGTCTGAGTTTCCGAAGAGCACGGCTGATGATCCCGATGGCCAAATAATAACAGGAATCTCAATTTCGACCAATCTGACCCCCCAAAACTAGCCAGCTGCGTACGCGACAGATCCCTTCCCTGTCAACAGGAGGTTATATTTTTGAATAAAGTCAGATGTGTGTAGTTTGGGAGTGAACATGACACGGGTTGCCAGACTCCTGCTGTCGGCATGCATCTGTCATCTGGACAAAATATTCACCTTGTCCAATCAACCCACGCGGTGAAAAGAAGCCAGTGTATGAGTCAACAAAGCATCTCCAACGGTTAGCCTTGGCTGCATGACCGGAAAATCGTTTCCCCCACCCTCTTACCCTCCCTTCTATGTGTGGCATGTCGAACAAGCAGGGAGACGAGGCCGTGCAATTAAGAGCACTAACACCACGCACGAAACAAACAACCACTAGCGTGACTTCACGCTTTGCTTTGGCACGATCGTCTGTGGCTTGCGCACAATCCTTCGAGCAGGGGTTGGCTCAAGTGGGTGCACCGCCTCAGTTCGTGTTCGACTGCGGCCATAATGCCACAGATCACGAACGACGAACTCCTGAATGAAAGTTGAGTAATGGAGGGAAGGCCTCTGGCAGTTTGATTAATGTCCATGCTGATGTGTGGAAAGTGGTGTTTCCTTGCCAAGTCGCCAGAGATTGTGTTCCCCGCGCTTACACGGTAAATTCTAACCCCACACAACAAATGAACAGACGTCATCTCAAAGTCAGCCATGTACAATCGCGGAATATTTTTCGCTGCGTCAAATCACTCTCAAAACACAATTCACCATTGATCACACGGGCCTTTCGTTATCTGCCCCTTGCTTCTGGCAAGCTGTTGTGTTGACATCATTGTTGGAGGTGTATGTTGGGGGTTTCCAGGGTTCAGCAGCGGCTAATGATGTCATTACCGAACCCTTATGTCAATAAAGGTAAACGCCTGACCCAAACAGGCCTAGTTCGGCAGGGCTTTTCATTGTCTGATCAGCCTCACCAGGCGCTATTCCCAATCAGTAAGCCCTTTCTCATTCAACCGCCAACGTCAGTTCTTCTTGGGCACTTTCAACCACAACATCTTCGTGCAATCCCGGTAGATATTCCAAGCTACGACGTCGTGCTGCCTCCCTGTTACACCCGCCATGGACTTCTATTTTCATACACTGAGGGAGGTTGGGCTGGTTGGAGGTCGGCCAAACCTAGCGTTTTTCTCAAGAGGACTCTTCCCTCTCTCCCATCTCCAGTCCCCCTTCAGTCCACTGACCCGGACAAGAACCTCTGGCGTCAATCATAGGTTGATGTCCTTGAATGCGATTACGTAGCATTTTTGTTTTGAAAATTCCTAAATGCTCTATTCCCCTTCATTATAATTCCCCCTCAGGGGATGTCGCGCCAATGACACCTCCGTTTTTTTCCCAACACCCTAAAATGGATGTTGGCCATTCGCTTTTCCATCTTCAATCTCCTTTCTCTCATCTTCCTCCCCGCTATTCCTCCGGGGCTGTGCGGAATGGATCTCTATTTTCTTGTCTTCTTGTCTCAATCGTCGCAGTTTGGGCATCTACATAGTTTCGCTGGACTTGGGACCCTGGCTCAACAAATCAATTTTCCCTGTATTATTATTTAGTGCCCCGTTTCACTTCCGCCACTCACGCCGTGAGCGTCTAATTGTCAGTAATTTTGAGCGTTCCCATTACTGGCCGAGGGGCTTGGCTATGTTTTGTGATTACTGGGAACGTCCATTCAGAGTTTTACCAGCCCATTACATTACCGACTGAATACTACCTTTTCCGGAGGGTGGGGGTGTTTCGAAATGCCCTGTGACGAGGAGATAGGGCAAGAGTTGGCTCCAGTTGCCCATCCACTGCCAATTTGCCACTGCTTTGACTTTGACATGGGCAACACTCGGGCCCAAAATTACGGTGCTAGATTTTGGGGTTCTTCAGCTCGCCCCAGACCACCAGACATCCAAGTCCCCTTTGTTCCCACTCGTCTATCCCTCCCCATTCCCTTAGGCAGAATCCGTATACCTCATATGGACCCGCAATAGCGTTATCAAAGAATTTTGTGTCAGCTGAGTTTGGTTTCCGGTTCAGCTCCGGCTCCCTTGCTGCCTCCCGGCGAACACCCCCTGTGGACATACTTGTTGTTATCACTAGGACCTATCTTACCGAGTGTAAGTGACGGAGTGTGTATACCTGCAAAGCGGTCACTCAGTATCAACAAGTTGTCGATCGGTTCTTCGCTGCTAGCGTCCTATTCAAAAACGATGGTAACATCTACCTGCCTTGCCCACCCCCCATGGTTCTTTCTCATCCGTAATACTACGCCAAAGCTGTTTGAAGATTCATTTTGTGACGAGCGAAGGAATACATACTTCATTGCATTCCGCAATGCGACTCCTCATGTATAGGGATATTGGGCATTTCCCCACAGTTATTACCACCACTGGTGCTTAGGGTAATTCGTGACGCATGATCTATGAGACTAGCAGAACGAATCGCCTCTTCACCACCGTTAGGCTCCCATTACAGTGAGAATACGCAGGATCATGACGGCACCCCACCTCCGATTATCTCCCTCTATCGGTTTCTCTTCGCAAGTGCCCGTGAGACCTTTTCCTTCCTTCGACTAGCACCAGATGTGAAAGCTCTTGGGTTTGTCAATGCCCGTATATCAAATCTCGCATACAAGAATTATTTGCCACCTTATCTCTATGGCTGTCTGCTCCTTAGGTAATAATGGAGATAATCACTCTTCCAATCGGGATACGGATGCCGCCATCAGGAGTGTAGGTCTCAAGACTGCCAGCTCGTCCCCTTGGATGCTTCGCTTGCATATCTTTCTTGATCTCTAATTGGGAGATCAGTTCCGTTTCTCCTCAACCCCTGTCGCCGTTTTGATCAAACAGCCCTTCCTCTTATTGTATACATCAGCATCCACCACAGCAGAACAGCGGACCGTCACATGCGGGACGCACATACATTTCACAGACAGGCGTGGCTGCTTCTTAATGTTAATGATGTGAGACGTAACCTTTTTGGCTCCGCATAACGTCTTACGGGAATATCCCGCTCCTGGATTTAAATACCCGTATTTTTCAATTTTGCATACCCACGCCTGCTATAAATAGTGGGGACCACATACTCGATACCTCTAGGGGTCCATCCATTACGCCTAGAATAAAATCTTATGACGCCGACTTATTTTATGCCATCGCCCCATGACCTTGAGCCAATCCTCCGTATATCCTTTGTTGGCAGTTACCCCTCCTCGCTAGGTGCATTTGGGCGATAGCAGTTTGTTATCACACACGGACATGGCTGTGAATTCATAACTGCCATCGACCCTATGCCAGGATAGGTTCCTATAGGACACAATACACAACACTTGTGTGTGATTCTAACCTCCACCTCACAATCACTAACCAACAATGAATAAGCCTATATTATTCGTAATCAATGATTGAGAAGGTTGAGAAGAATCTCAGCTTGCCCTTCGACAAATGGGATGTGAGGGGATACAACTTTTGACTTCGGGGTTCGCCTGACGATATCAGCAGGAGGGTGAGTGCTAACTTCTCGCGGATGTCTACCCAGGAATGCCGACGGCAAATTTAGCTGCACATGGCCCTAATGGCAATTGTCCATACATGTGTGCTGCTATCATGATGCCAAAACCTTGGGCTGTAAATTCAGCAGCATCATTGGGTGGTTTGAAGAAATTTAATGTATGACCCTCCATTTGGAATTGTTGGTTTGCTGAAGCTTTCATATAATGTACATATGTATTTAAAGCTACATAAGCATTGCAGATATAAATGAAATGTCTATACTCAAATGTCCAGGTGTAATGTAGTGCTGAATGATCATGATTGCCTCTGAAAGTTAGCGATAGTTTTCGGTGTAGCTGGAATATGGGTATCAAAATCCTTTTTATCCTATTTCAGTATCAGCTTTAAAGGGAGATAGTACTATATGAGAGGCGTTGGATGTATAGTGGTGGGCGATTGGCGGGCGAATATTTGAAACTGACAATGAACACTGGTTGTTGAGTGGTGAGTCTTGAGGCTATAGTTAACTTTGATATTCAAAGCTTGGAGCTAAAATCAATGGCCTTAACATCAACATCAGCAGATCCGCAGATAATCGCTTGGAACATGGGAGAAGTCAAAAGCTAGATACTTTGGTATACCTTTCTCTATTTCTAAATTGATTCATTTTGGTCAAGAACGCTCGGAGCATGGTTTATAATGAACTATTCAAGACTCCCAATAGTTGCTCGCTCGTCGTTTTCGAGTTGACCCTTCGTCCTTCCGCACAATGACCAGTGTTCACGTTGATACTGTGAAAAGGGATGGCACCGAAAGAAGCGCGGACATAGATCTTCGCATGCCAACATGCCGCGGTGTTGACATCGAAGGGCTTTCTATCCCTCAACTGCAACAATGTCTCGAGAGCAGAAAATTTTCTGTTTATGATCTGACAGCGTGCTACTTGGAAAGAATCAGACGCATTAACGGAGTTTTAAAGTAAGTTTTCCGTTAGAACAGAGAGGATTAGTAGCGGGTTTACACGCTATATTCAACTCATTGAGCTAACCATTGTCGAATCTAGAGCTGTGATTGAAATCAATCCTGATGCTTTAGATATTGCTGCTAGGATGGACTGTGAGCGGAACCAGGGGAAACATCACGGCCCGCTTCACGGAATCCCATTCCTTGTTAAGGATGTATGTTTCTTTTACCCATCTCCGTAATTTCCAGGAAGCAAGCGCAAATTACTCCATTCCTCTGTACCTATTTCATCCGCAAGAGACAGTGCAGACCTAATGACTTCCAGACTATGTCTACCAAGGACAAAATGCAAACGACTGCCGGTTCTTCTGGTACGTCAAACTTATATCTCATTTTGCATACCAAACCTCTTACTCCTACAATGATATATAGTGTTGCGAGGGACAGTGGTCCCAGAGGATGCACATGTCGTGTATCTCCTGAGGAGAGCTGGAGCCGTTTTACTCGGACATGCAAACTTGTCTGAGTGGGCATCGATGAGGTCGACATACTAGTGAGTAGAAACCGAGCCCCGGTTCCAACAATGCTTCTAGATACTTTACTAACGATCGTGAAGTTCTGAAGGATATTCTTCTCGAGGCGGTCAATGCCGGAACCCATATAACCTTGCCGAGCATCCAGGTGGTTCCAGTTGTGGCAGTGCGGTTGCTGTCGCATCAAACATGTGTGCCTTCAGTCTGGGCACTGAGACAGATGGGAGCGTTAGTATCCTCTATTCCCATCCGAGTAAGGTGATGATTGAAGGTATTGATGACCACTCAATTCAGATAATGATGCCCGCCGACCGCAATGGAATCGTTGGCATTAAGCCAACGGTTGGATTGACAAATGGGAAGGGCGTTATTCCAGAATCAAGGAGTCTTGATAGTGTTGGGACGTTTGGAAGGACGGTACTGGATGCTGCAATTGCTTTAGATGGCATCGTTGATTCGTCCGCTATCCCGCCTTGTACCTGTAAGTCTCCAATTATTTGGCCGCAATGGGAGTGGGAGTAATGCCCGGTAATAACCCGACGATTGTCTGGCTGCCCTTATTAAAACCACAAGTTCACAGATGACCTTCCAAATATGCATTTTGCAGCAATTGTTTCTGGGAAAGAGACCCTTCGAGGCGCTCAATTTGGGTTACCCTGGAAAGGGGTATGGGAAAAAGCCAACCAGAACGAAGCAGCTAGAAAGCATTACCAGATCTTCGAACAAGTAATAGAGCGTATAAGGGAAGCAGGAGCAAATGTAATTGAATATACCGATTTCCCTAGCGCAGAAGAAATCATACCACCTGGTGGATGGGACTGGTAATTTTTTCTCAAATCCCCTTCGCTTGCTTCCTGACTGGCTTGCCCCTATTCTAACGAATAACTCTGAGAAATAGGGACTATCCCACCAAGCAGGGCCACCCAGAGCAATCACAATTTACCGTAGTGAAAACGGAATTCTACAATGATTTGAAGGCTTACCTCGGCAACCTCGCTTCCAACCCAAACAACATCAGTTGTTTAGATGATATAGTCAAATACAATGAAAGGCACGCAGAGACAGAAGGCGGGCGCCCTGGCGTACATCCCGCATGGCCCTCTGGACAGGACAGCTTCGAAATGAGTTTGGACACCAGGGGCGTCATGGATGATACCTATCGCCATGCTCTAGTGTATATCCGTCGAAAATCCCGCGAAGAAGGTATTGATGCAGCTTTGTCAACAAAGGATAGAAACCAGCTTGATGGGTTGCTGGTTCCCCTTCAAGCTGATGGCGGTGTTGCATGTCAAGTAGCTGCCAAAGCTGGTATTCATTACTCCTCCCTACGTTCCATTGATAAATCAGATTTTGTCTCATTTGACTAATAGACTGTTGTATAGGATATCCCATGATCACGATTCCCGTTGGCATCGCAATTGGTGAGAACGGTAAGCACCACTTATCTCTTTTCTGGTTTATTGCAATAACGACGTAAACAGTCCTTTACTAACGCACATATTGTAGACATTCCATTCGGTATTGGAATGATTCAGACAGCATGGCGGGAAGATAAACTCATCAGATATGGTTCTGCCATTGAGGACCTGCTGGCTCTGAAAGCAAAACCTACCTTTAAGAACATTGATGCCGATAATTATATGTATATTGGGACTCCTGCAAAGTCATAACGTCACGGATTATGCTCAATAATATAAGGACAGTTCTAACAGCTGTATTGGGCGTGCTCGGGATGAAAGCTCCCCGTGAACGCTCCTAAGTTTATCGGGTATATGAAACAGATGAATTTGAATTTTAGTTCAAATTAGAAGCGAAAGGACTACAAGGTACAAAATACCACTTGGACATAAATTCTTCGGCGCATTCCCAAAACTGAGGAGCTATTGCTGCTCTATTTTGTTATAAAGATACAATAAGGTAAAGTATATCCTTAGAAAATAGAAATGAAAAAAGGAACAGGAAAAAAAATAACAGCGAAAAACGGAAAGAGACCGGAGAAGAAATCAATCTATCCATAAAATCTACATTGTACAGAAATTTCAGAAGATTGCCGTGACAAAAAACAGGGGGGAGGGGAGGGAGAAGTTGGCCAGTAGAGAAGCTCATGAAATAAAAATGAAGCCCGAAGACGCCATAAGTCATATCTAAAAAAAAAAATTAATCATTTCGAATTATAGGGTATAACACAGCATCTCCTGTCCCTTGATGGCTGTCATGATATGCCAGGGTAGTGGTGAGTTTCCTTGCGCATGAACGATACCCCTCACCCTCGCTAGAGTTATCAGTTCTCGATACATGCGAAGGATGTCCTTCAATAAATGGTCGATTGGTCGCCGTGAATTTGTGTAAATGATATTAACAGCCATTATCGCTTGTCCGTCTGTGTCGCTGACACCTGAACGCCGGAAAAGATACCCGCTTGCTAGAGCGGGTTGGTGCTTCGTGAGGTAATAAGAGTTGTTGAGCCTGTGTGAAAGTGTTACGCCCCAAGTCTCGTCCGATTTGTCAATGAGAATTGTATCTTGGTCTGAGTCGGGAGATGACTGTTGTGCATGTTGCGGAGGAGTATGCTGGTCCGTGTATGTAGGCGCGTTTGCTGTTGGGGGAGTGGCTGCAGGACCTGACGGATCAGGAGACGGCACGGGTCGAGGCGTAGATCCTGGTGTTGTTGATGGGCCATTCTGTGCGGCCTGCTGGCTTAACGCACTAGGTTGAAGAGGGGATGATGGAAGTTTGAGAGACAGGCCAGGTTTCGTATTAACAGAAATGATGCCTAATTCGACTTTAATGGCTTTGGTGCGATTGTACTGATCCAGAAGGGATGTCCACACTAGAGATACTTGAGTTAGCGAATAATGCATATTGGGTGGCGACGCAGACGGGATATTTACTTTCAACCTCTTCTAGATCAACTGGTTCATCTTTTACGACGATCAACCGCCAATGCGATAATGACATATCCATAATGTCCTTTGACGTTTCCCAGATCTGTGTTCGGATTTCTGATATAGGTCTGGATACCGAAGAATCACGTTCCCGAAGACAATACGAAAGAGCGCTTTGATGCCTTCCACTATTGTCTGTCCATGCTGCGGTTACCCAACGTTGGTCGACACTTTGTGAGTAAGCAACATGGAGGGATTTGGCTTCTTCTAACGGTGCCACAGATTCTGCCGCCAGCCTAAATGGCACCACTTTTGGAACTGGATCCGCCAGCACAAGAGGAGGAGAGCATCCCAACCAGTCCGAAGATCTATCCTTCGGCGGGCAGCGGGAATAAACCTCAAGCGCCAAACGGAGGTAATCCGTCTGTGTGGGTACGACTAAGGAGTCGGCGGAGGCGATAAATTCCAATGGGATTATTTGAAGAACAAGCTCACTAAGATGCCGAGTGTGTTGCCTGTCGATATCTCCAACATATTTATGAAATAGTCGTAAAAATGCTGAGCAGATATCTACGATAGCCGCATCATAGATGAAAGGATTTATAATGTATATCACCACATTTTTGTCAGTCGCTGATAGGTTTGATAAAGAGCTTCCTACTTATTGTTAGATAACTGCAGAATTATGCAACGGAGATTACACTCTTACCCAGGTTTTCACAAGAGACATTTAGTGCATGCATTAGGGAAGCGTAGTTCTGGTCACTTGCAGCATTTAGACTCCATGGAACTAGTCCGTTGGCCTTGTTTGGCCGAGAATGGCTTCCAAAATTGCCACTGGAATATACCAGGCCCAGCCTCTCGATGAATGCCTCTGCTGCCTCGATGACATTAGGGGGGTAAATACAAAAAGGTATGATATCCTTTTCTCCTTGGAGCGGCTCGAGTCCAAATGTCTCCCAAAAGCCAATGGCAGATGGTAGGATTTCCAAATAGCTGTTTCCGCGGTGGACTTTAATGTGGGGAGGGCATATCTTGCATATAGAACCGGTAAGATTTGACCTGATAGAAGGCCCATCTTTACGTGGATTTGAGCCATCTTCCAAGGTTACGTAAGTTCTCAAATCCAATTTAGACAGATGGCCCAAGCCATCAATGTTATCAAATAAACTTCGTGACAGTATATCGTCCCAATCCGCCCATTCCGGTTTGTGTAAATCATCGCGGATATGGCAGAAGCTCGATTGAGTAATTTGGTCAACAACAAGTTGTGCAGTTTGGAGGAGATCCTCTCTTCGCAAAAACACTGGAAAAATATCATTTTGCTTTCTTGAAAAGTATCCTGTTAAAGGCCAGTCGACACCTTCGGAGAGAAAAGCCCCCAATAGCGCGAATTGATGTTCACTCAAGGGGCCCTTGTCCAAATCGGAAGTTTGCGTAAGAATATCTAATGGTGACGGTGTAGAATTTCCTTCAACTTCATAATCACGGTTTCTCTTAGGGTGAAAATTCATAACATGAGATGAACTTGCGTTCGATTCATGGTCTGTGTCGCTATTGCCTTCGCTGGAACCCGAAGAGGATGTTGATGGGGATTGTAATTCTATCTCCAGGGTGTTATCAGAGATAAGTGGGTGAAGCGATGTAAGTATTGGCAGAGGTTTTGGCCTTACTTTCCGTCCTTTTTCTGGAAAGCCAATCGTTGGGATGCCAGATGGAGAGCCGCCCAAGTTAGATGTTATATACCGTTTTCCAGGAGTAAACCAAAATTTTCCATCAATTTTATACTTTTGGTCCGAGGAGCACAACCTCGGTTGGAATATGACTGGACTATACTGATTTGGCGCTACACGCAATCTGGAGATATCTGATTTAAATGGTGTCAATCTTAGATTTGTCGATACGTCCGGAGACAAAATTTTCTTGATTTGAACTGGGCTGAGAGGCGGGCTTATTGGTCGTTTCTTTTGGCTATCATCTGTTGAAATGATCTGACTGAGCTCAGTAGTTTCCTTGCATATATGATCCTCATCCCCTGTTGTAATTAAGGAGCTGAAGGCTGGTTGTTTGATTGTGTCATGCTCGGATTTGGTAAGGTGATTTTGATCATTATTTGATGGGCTAGGTTCTGTTATCGACATGGCAGTATCTGAGCTATCAGGTGCAGTGAAATTAGCTTCGGTATCATGTGGCACTGCCTCCGGCTCACCAGTTTGCATATCAAGGTCGCCGGTCAACCCAGTAAACTCAGGTTCATCGAAAAAGTTAAAATCGGCCTCCGTGATGCCCTTGGTGTCAAAGTTCGCGACATCCATATCACCAAAAAAGTCTTCGTCAGCTGCAGTATCATAAAGGCCTGATCCAATTCCGAGTTCGGATGTTGTCGGGTCTAAGCCGGTTGGTAAAAGTTCTGAAGTTCCACGAAAGTACGCTGCAGGCCCAACGGTCTCGTTATAGATTTGTTCACTTTGTGTAGGTGGGTAGTTTAATGTATCAATCGCAGATGTTCCAAGTCCCTCCGATACGATGCCTGCACCCATACCTTGGGCCAACCCACCACCTGGAGGGGTGGGATATACCGCACTCGCAAGCTGTGCTTCCGGCAAGTTAATCACCCTTGCTAAACTCTCTGGCATTTCTGGGTGATCGAGCTTTAGGGGAGATGGTTCTGAGCATTTTTGTTGTTGTTTCTCGAGCTCGCTTGGATCATCTGAAGTTTTATGCTTATCAAATGGCTGTCTGATCGGACATGGTTCTTTAACCCATCTTTCCGCAAGGTGTAATGGGCTCTCAGCTTGGCCGGAGAAGAACCCAGTGGGATTCGCAGGGGCGGTCATCTTAGACCGCGATCTGGTGAAACATAGTTTTAAAGGCCATAAAATTCGGATAAAGGGGGACGATTTTTGGTGATTCCAATTTGATTTGGAAAAAAGAATATATAATTGTCGGTCTAACGCGTTAACTTCGACTTCAACCCACAACTCCGCCTCCGGATCATTTAGCTGCAAGCCAAATATTCTGAGCCATTCAGCCACACATCTCTTCCATTCTCGTTTATCAGCTTTCGTTTTGCTAGCTAGAGGTTCAACCTCGTGGGGCGTTGTAGCAATGTGACCTGGGGAAACAGTGTTTGATTGAGTTGATTGATATTCGCCAGTCGATGTGAGTCTGCACAGTGTCCCAGAGGGCGCAATCCACACATCATCGCTCAAGCGGGCACCGATTATCTCAGATTCTGAGTCACGAAGTAACTGCTCCAAACCAGGTTGCGGGAGGGTGCACAAAGAGATCGCGAGTCTACCTTTCGATGTCACATTAATATCAAGGATGGAAAGAAATGATGTAGACTTCCGGGAAAAGGGTAAATCATCGTCTCCACTTTGGTATCCGTTCTCCTCGAGAGAGCTATAGAGAGTTCGAGTTCCGAGTGGAATCACCTTCTGCTGCTTCGTAAAATGGAGTGTAAGAGCTTTGGAAATCGCAGAAATGAAACCTTCATAAAATGCAGAATAGGTGGTAAGGCTTTTCAATTGTGCGTATTCACTACAGTTGGTTGTCAGCTTGTTCTGCGTTGCTGCACTCTCAAAAATGCTGGAATCAGGGTCAGAGAGCAGGCGGTGTTTGACCTCTGCTGCTGTGTTAACCCCAGATGCGACATCTAATTCTTAAAATCAGTCGTGTGCCATGTGTGATATGGAATAGATATGGAGGATTATACTTAAGAAGGTTGCTTTTCCAGCAACAATCAGGTCTTCGTCTGATTTGCCGTTCCCTGAATCCTGCACCAAGGCTTCAAAGTTTGGGTTGGGGGAGAATATCCACAATTCAGATCTATTAGCCAGCTGCGAAACATAACAACCGTCATTTCGCAAGGCAAGTAAGGCACTCCGAACTTCGTTTGAGTTCCTCAGACCTGAGCTCTCCAAGGGGTCAAACTGTGACCCACGCGACTTTGGTGCCACCCTGGAGTAGATTCTCCAGAATATATGGAAAAAGCCATCCTTCCCGTACCAATTAGATAATATAACAACAACAGTAATCTACGATTTTACTTACAAGAACACGGAAGTTAGTGAGCGCGCCGGCCGGGAAATCCATGGGTGGCAAGTCTCTGAAGACCTTTTGGTGGCAGCTTTCAATTGGCCAACAGCATATATAAATTTCCGTAGAATAAGACCATCAGGTCAGGAGGCATATCGAAAATATGATAATAACGTATATGCCAAGCTCAGACCTAAATATTCCGCTTTGTTGGCTAGCGATTTCTAGTACGATCTGCGCCGTCGCGGTTGATGTTGGATATTGGGGGTTGAAGATGCCAAGCCAGGCAAACAAATGATGACAGAGGCGATCTTTATATAGGACCGGCAAAAGGCATTGTGGACGCGGAAACCCTATGCAAGAGAGGAGCCGGCCCTGAACATGGTCCATTTCTTCCATAGATCCATGAGCCTTGCCCCAGTCAAACCGTTTGATATCGAAACAAATTCCCCAGAAGGTCGATGCTTGGCGTTCGGGAGAGCCTCATCCAGATTAGGCTAGTTCACGACTTAGAGTTTCATGCTTGGCGTGTTTGCATCCGAGTCAAACTTTTTGTATTCTGACGATTGAAATTGCCGAATTTTTTGACATTTGAAATGAATCGACCGAGCACTTGTTGGATTTGGGGGAGCTATTCAAAATCTCCCAGCCATGAAGCTGTCAAATTCCTCCAGTGTTCCTGTTTACACTATATCCGGTTCCTCAACAGCGCGACCACTCCCCGAATGGCTTGCTAGAAAACGGAAGAGGAGTCTCAAGAACGACCCAGAATATGCAAACAGGGTTGAGCTTCTCCAAGATTTCGAGTTCGAGGAAGCCAGTCAATGTATTCGTGTTAGTGAGGATGGCCAATGGGTCATGAGCACCGGTAGGTCAGGTCTTCTTATTTATACCAAATACCATGTCACTGATTTAATCAACAATAGGTACATATAAACCACAGATACACACGCATTACCTGCCGCATTTGTCGCTTTCCTTTGCTCGCCATACTGTTTCCTTGAATACCACATTTTTGTTATTGTCGTCAGATTATTCAAAGTCCTTGCATCTGCAGGCTGATCGATCACTTGAGTTTCATACGCCCTCAGGTTGCCACTACACAACGCGGTTGCCCAGATATGGCCGTGACTTGATATACGACCGACAATCAGCTGAAGCGCTCATACCATCTGTCGGTGTAAATCAGGATGGCATGGGTGAAGTGTATAGACTGAATTTAGAACAGGGACGGTACATGAAAGCGTATGAAGTTGAGGTTGGTGGTGATGATTTTTCTTCCGCTGGTGGGGGGGCATTGCAAGGTGGAATTAACACTGGGAGCGTAAACACCGCTGCCATTGCTGAGGAAAGCCATAACCTTCTCGCATTCGGAACATCCATTGGAACTGTGGAATTATGGGATCCCAGAGCTAGAGCCAGGGCTGGCATTTTGTTTCCACCCTCGGACTCCCAGCTCGGAGATACTAAATCAGAGATCACGGCCCTTGAATTCCATCGATCCGGATTGACGCTTGCTACTGGATCCTCTCAAGGTCTTGTACACCTATTCGATCTCCGATCCCCAGCCCCTCTCTTAAAAAAAGACCAAGGATACGGGTATCCTATTCACACCATTAATTTTCTCACTTCATCGATTGCAACCCGTGAACAAACCTTGGAACCTAAAATACTAACTTCGGATAAACGGATTATAAAGATATGGGACGCTCGGGATGGAAAACCTTGGACTTCCGTGGAGCCTGCAGTTGATATAAATAGTGTTGCTTGGTGTAAAGACAGTGGTATGCTTTTGACTGCCAACGAAGGGCGACAGCAACATGCATTCTTTATTCCTCAGCTTGGGCCAGCCCCAAAATGGTGTGCCTTCTTGGATAACATTGTGGAAGAAATGGCCGAAGATCCCAATGATCCTCAAGCCTTCGCGGGCCAAGCTGGCTCCGTTTATGACAACTTTAAGTTCTTGACAGTACCACAATTACGAAGCCTCAATCTAGATCATTTGATTGGAAGAACTACGCTCCTACGACCCTACATGCATGGATTCTTCGTCGCGCAGAGACTATACGAGGAGGCGCGATTAATTTCCAATCCATTTGTTTGGGAAGAAGAAAGAGCGAAACGGATCAAGGAGAAAATCGATCAAGAGCGCGAAAGCCGGATCCGAGGCAAAAGGAAGATCTCTGTGAATGTGAATAAGAAGCTTGCCGAGAAACTCCTTGAAAAGGAAGACAGGAATGCGCGACGACGAGTTCAACGTGTTCTGGAACATGGCGGTGATGAGGAAATGGGCGATACCGCTGAAGTTGAGCCTTCTCAATCTAGCCGCCCGGATAATCTGCTTAACGATTCTCGATTCGCTAAATTGTTCGAAGATGAAGATTTCGCGGTAGATGAGACATCGAGGGAATTCCGTGAATTGAACTCAGGCACTGCGACAACAACTCCTGCCGTCAGACCAGAGAGGGGATTAACTGCTGTCGAAGAGGAGGTTATTGATGAGGTACCCGGATCTAGCTCCGAGGAAGAATCGAGTGCAGATGAAAAGTTTTCCCACACCAAGTCCTCTGGCCGGATATCTACAGCCTCTTACAAAAAAAGCAAACGTCCTCCCCCGCGAATGCAAGTATCATCGTCATCTAAGACTACTCAGGCGCGCGATAAATCCTTTGAGTCAAGGGTCCACAAGTTGCGAACGAAAGATCGCGCGCCCAAGACTACTGCAGTTGGAGAAAAAACAGTCACATTTGCCCCGCAGCCAAAGTCTCGCCCGAGGCCTGCAATTGTCCCTGAGAACGGTAATGCCTCGAAACACTCGAAGGATCGCAGAAGTGCATCAGGAAACACGTTCCGTCGAATGTGATCGGATATCCATTCAAGGCATATTCATAATTGCAACACTATTTCCGGCCTGGGATGTAATAGGTAACATGGAGTTAGATTTTCACCTTGGGAGGCAAAACAGTCCTGCGGTGATGGACGTAGCTGATGCTCTGGAAGATACGAGCAGCTTCGCCCCATAATTCTTGCCGTAACACGGCATACACTCCCATCTTCGCCTTGGGTGCCCATTTTCGCGCAATTTCAATTGCGGCATCCAGCATATCTTCCGGTTCAGCTATTTGATCTACAATCCCATCCTCCAGAGCTCCCTTACCTGTCCATTTATGTGCTTCTAGAAGCATCTCTCGCGCAATTTCGGGACGGAGTTTCAGACGTGCTAAATATCCGATTCCAGGAAAGTGGACGCCAATGTTGACGGGTGGCATGGAAAAAAACCCACGGCGAGAGTTCATGACCCGATAATCATGTGCAAGGGCTAGTGGACACGCACCACCAAATGTATGTCCATTCAGCAGTGCTATTGTTGGAAATGGATAATCAAGGAGTGTATGTAAGAGCTAACGCCGAATCTAAGGTTAGTCTGGGGTAATTCGTTCACAGCATTTGTTCGGGAGGTGAGCGAACCGGGAAATACCCGTCTGTATTGGAGAAAGGGTTCCGCTCTGCTTCATCGAGATCCAAGCCCTGTTGCAGTGGTGTACAGCTCATTAGAATTTTTCAATTTAGTAGATGGTGTTAAAATCAAACAATCTATAGCCCATGTTTTCACGCAAAAGGCAAAACCACGAGTTTCCAGGGATTATAAGCTCAATTCCATATGAAAAGGACTAACCGTACTCCAAAACTTGTCCCCCTCCCCCCGTATAATCACCGCTGCCCCAACACCGCCTCCCTGTTCATCCTTACCCGCTGCTTCAACCATACGCTCCACATCTCGCAATGCGCGGATAATCTCTTGCGCGAATATGGTGGAAATGCGATTCTCAGGAGCCTTTCGTAGAGTAATCAGATATATTTGCGGATCGCCCTTTGCTGTCGGTGAGGTAGACGGGTTAGGGATGCGCGAGAGGGTGAGGTTTGTGTAGGGCATGGTGTGTCTCTTGCGACAGTATTTGGGACGAAGGATTCGGTGAGCGGGCTGCAAAATTAGAAAATATAAATGCTCCAAAACATACAAATTACCGCCCATCCGATGTGAATAGTAGGGGTTAGATTTGAATGTCCAAGTTCTGGTATCCTGATGTTCGCGAGGATCCATGCATGGCAACGAACCATGTTGGACCTCGGCGCGCCGATCCCCGAAATTTAAATATTTCGGCGAAGAACCACTGCATTTCTTCCATAGTTCAACCCTTCAACTTCAACCCTCAGCCTGGCTCAAACTGCAAACCTCGAGTCAAATTTGCAATTGAACATTCTGGCTGCTATCGCCAACACAAATATTTACGACGTGCTCCTGGTATGATCGAGATGCTGCTTTATCATGTACTACTAGTAACTATTCATTTCAACTAACAGCGTTAACATAGGAATCAGATTATGTGCGGATAAATGCAGAAACAGGCCAGAAAACTCATTATTCCACCATATTATGAAAACAGGTATTCATACATCACGTCCCCCGCCAAACTGTTTCTAAGCTTCAACACCAGCTTCCTGTGGAACGGCCACCACAGCATGATGGAGGGATTTCAGTTCCCCGGCCGTCCCGTTGACTTGACTGGGAGACTTATCCTCGAAAACTTCTAAAGCGTCATGTCCAGGGAATGGCTCGGAAGGAACAGACTTCCCAAGGAATTCACAGAGAGGATCCCATCCGTCTTTGATATCATATATCAACAGCTTATCTTTTGGTACAAGTTGGCAGATCTCATTGAAATGCGCCTTGAATGCCGCCTTTCCCGTCTTTATGAAATCGTCTTGAAAGAAGGCATATAAAATTTTACTCCTCAACATTTTCGCTGCTACCTTCTGCTCGTCTTCGGGTTCAAGATTCACTTCGCCTTGCTCTTGTTCTCTCGCCATCCTGGTTTTGATGAACCTGATCCAGGACCTTGGTTACGGAAGTCAGCAGTGTCGCCTCAGCGCGGAAAGCTCTCCAAGCAAATGATGATCCCAAAGTGCTAGGAAAAGAAAACCGAAGGTTAACTTACATATACCATTCGTCAACATCACGCGTGTTCAGGATCACCTTTGCCTCCGGATATGCCTTGATCAACTGTGGTGCAAAAGCACAACAGGGGCGTCCAACAACAGCCTAGTTACAGCAACTCAGCGTCAGAAGAGCAAGGCAGCAAGAGTTCTACGGTGGTCTCTGCCTCTCACCTGGCAACCTGCGAACAAGCGATCAAAGTCCCCCTTCTTAAAAGTCCCCTTTCCTTCAAATACTGCATCGAATGCGTCCAACCATGCTTGCGTATCTCGTGATCGGTCATTGATAGAGGACGGGAAGTAGTAAGTTTCATGATATCCTAGCATTCCCAGTGCGGCTTGGATGGCTGGTACAAAGAGTCTTTGTTAGCGAAACGACTACATTCGAGAACACGATGGTATCCACCCACAGCTTGCCCCTGCTCTAGGAGGACCAAGGCAGAGCACTTTGACAGGCGCGACCACCGCAGAACGACTCGGACCGCCATTGCCTGTAGCATAACCCTCACTCCCGCTCATTGTTGATGGGATTCAATCTTCAAGGGAATATGGTAAAGATGCTCTTTCTATGATGTTTATTATATATTGTCGATTTGATCCTGGTTGATATTTGAGGGACGACAACAGGTGGTTAGTTTGATCCTAGTTGTTCTAAAAAACAAATTAAGTGGGGAGATAGAAAATATTTATGCCCAGAGTAATATGGGCACCAGCCTGCGGAACAAACTGCTGCGAACGCCGTTCAGGTTGTTCCATATTGCGCGTGCTCCCCAACCTTGATGCTCATTCTAGGCATTTTAGCGGCGAGTTTATTTCGACCGTTGCAAATTGGAACGGGACAAGGATCGATGACTCCATCGGTGAGATATCTTTCAGTGTTTGTCACTTCGACTTCCACTCCATGTACCACGCTACATGGGGATATTTTTACTTCATATACGACTTGGGATCAAATTCGGCCAAAGGATGCACTGCTGCACCAATGCTGTTGTATAAGTAAATGGCGACTCCATTCGATACGCATGTGCTCGTTGTTCCACTCATGCCTCTATTTTGGCTGAACGGTCAAACTTTTTAAGTGGATTTGGGCGGAAACTTGAAATGGCCTCAAAGGCTGTGAGACTGAGGACTGGACCTATTTTGGCTGCGGCGCACATTACCAATGCCGTTAGAGAAGGCCGGGCCAAGTTGCACTCCACAGGGTTTCATTCTACCTGGGCGTCGACCAATTATTCTATCACATCTTCCAAGCCAGCCACTCTTGGTATAGCTTCTAGCCGATAAAGATTTCGTATTTGCCCCCAGTGATGATTTATGCCCAAGCGAGGAATGCATTGTGAAACCGGCAGGCTTCTTCTAGCTTATTACGACATACAGAATCCATTCCGCGAAGAAAAAAGTCCTTTTGCTTCGGGTGGCCCTGGCAAAGGTCAAAGGGGGGTTTTGAGGATGCTGCTAGCAGCGCCACGTTTCCTGTTTTGCCAAAGAATTATCACACCCCTGATAGAGTGACATTTTTAGCTGCCCTGGCGTGAACACTTGAACAGGGTTCGAATTTTTGGCCGGAAAAACTTTCTACGTGATTCAGATCAGGCCCTGGTCAAAAATTGGTGTTGAGCGCTGTTCAACCTTAGTGTCACTAAAACAACACACATCATTATTAGTCATCTTTGAGAGGGGGGTTGATTCTGGTGATGGGAGATCGTGTGGGTGGATTAATATGATGAGAGTGGGTGTGTTTTAGATGCCGAGGTTCAAAAGTTCGCCGTGGCTCGAAATTCCCCCGCCCAAATTTGAACACCGTTCAACTGCAACCCGCAACTATGGATCTGGCCAGTGCAAGGTCCATATCAGCAGCAAGGGTATCTTCACAACGTTGTGCTAATGCGGAATCCCGGACATCACGGTCGGGTCGAGGAAAGATAAAATCCGCCAACCAAGAAAAATTGCTTCGGATAATGATACTACTATGGGGAGCTCGATTTGTTAGCGCCATTCTGATGCCCTCCAAAGGAAGGCTGCCCGTAATCTTCAGTATCTCATTGATGTAGTCCTGTGTCATATTTGAACCGTGTTCTCGGTGCCAAAAGTGAAGTAACTAGCCACCCTATGGGTTGATAGGCCCCATCACGAAATCAGATATGCAATGCAGCAATCCGCGAATCTTAGGAATGGCCCGACCTTCTGTCCAATATCGCTTTGGGAACTTTTCGATAGAACCTGCGAATCGAAGTCGGACTTAAGCGTTGAACGGGGGGAAACCTGGAAAGAATTGTCATTGTTCAACTCTCCCTGTAAACTGGGATTGGCCATATGTGGCAAGCGTCTAGGTTCCGGGCCGCCGTGCTATTTTGTTCCCGACACCCGAGGAGGATCGAGCGAAATAGAAACGCCTCAACGATGGAAGTCGTACCGAAGACGCAGCCGCCAGTTGGTGGCCTGAAACACATAGTCTCGAATAAATGGGAACCCTGTCTCCCGTTGCAATGCATCCGACACTGTACAGGTTGGATCGTGATATTGACCACGAAGCATTGCGGGAAAACTAAGTGACCTGAATCGAGAAGGCCAATTTCGAACCGACAATACTCCTCCATACCTTGCGGTTTCTTTTTTTTTTTTACAATATCCACTACTTTGTTTTTGCCCACAAAGAAACCCGGCGTCTCACGCATCCAGGCTCTACCTAATCTGTTACACATTCAGAGTGCTGAATAAGTTCCAACTCAACTCCTTTTGCTGTCCTGTCTGCATAGGCGCAGGCACTGCTACATTTTTTTCAAACCAGACCACCTTTCGTGACAGTTTACGTAATTGTTTTGCATGGTAACTTAGTTAACTATGATTGCTTGTGCAAATGAGTGGATAACACTCACAATGACACCAACATGACTTTATCCAAGTTAAAAGACTTGGAGGTTCAGCTGGTATCATTGATCATTGCGCCCGATACAGCATCTCCCCAACTCTCAATGACTCGATTCTTGCTCTCAAAACCATCGTCCACTATCACTCTCATCAACAGTTTACAAGTTACAATAGTAAGAGCCGTTTCCGGGATTTAATATGGTAAGTAGCCGAAACTTTCTAGGCCCTGATTATGGAGACACCTAATCCAGGAAGTTATAACATTGTTAGGAGAGAGGGAAAGCCGGATACAGATGCGCACGAAAACGGCACATCCGCACGTTGCAGTGTCTTAGGGCTCACGCCGGAAGTGGTGATCCAAGGCCTTGTCACACAGATCATTTATTCGACGCCGTTGGTTCCAAATGGTGGGTGGCTCCTGTGATAGCACAAGCTGCGGGACACGGGTGCTCAATGGCTTTTCCAGGCTTGTCTTGGTGGAATAGTGTTTCCAAACAGCATTCTGGAGTGGTCAGATCCTGCGTCAAAATGAATAAATGGTTTATCCTTGCTGTGCAAAGCGGCGCGAGGCCCGTGTCAACGAACACGACAGATGACTCTGCGCAGTTAACCCCCCAAATCAGGTTTCGAGTGTGGCGTGTGGCAATGGTATCAGGCTCTGTCTCATTCTGCCTCTCTTGGACGCTGAGATGCGGAATGTATAGGAATGTCTAAGAAGTACAAATGAAGCGGGTGTCAGGTTCTATCAAACTATTGGTGGAAATGGTAAGATGGTGTCCCGCCCGTTTCCATGCTTAGTGTTTCGTGTACTTGTTGCCAAGTACCTTCAAGATGCTCAGTCCCATGGATGTGTCATGTATATGCACATATCCGTTCTCTATGCTTTGTACCTGGAGATCTCCCGGCCGCTTCACCAAATGCTGAGAAACGATATCGATGGGATTGATGTCCGCATTTTCGTTGCCCTTTCCAGTCGCGGCGGTTCCATGACAGTGTGTTTACCAATCTTCAACATTTCCAGGAACCGATGGTTTTTGAGCTTGCGCATTTCCGTGCCTGTGCCTTGTAGACGCAGCATAAACGAAACAATTTTTAGTGATTGCCGGCTGCAAGAGTTATATTTGTGGCCGTTTCCCATCACCCTTAGACTCGATTTTGCCATGTGGAAATATCGTACCTGCACGGAAATTCGTCGTCAACGATTTCTTCCCTGCGATATGTGCCTCACCCCCTTTGCATTCCCTGACTATCGCACAATCATCTTGAGAAGATGACCCCTTCCATGTCCTGGGTTTTTGGGGGTGTTCCTCTTCATCAACAACTCTCACCACTCACCGCCATCTACGAGAAGTTAATCCTATCGTGTAGCAACAGGAACATAATTATCCTACAGGATATCCGCATGGAGGTGCAACTATCCATTTGCGCGTTTACATACCCCGTCCATCCATCCCTTCGCTCAAAATGGTCCCAATGAACCTGCTACAACCTTCATCAACCGCTTGGCGGCTGTCCCGTGGACAGGCTCTTGGAAGCACCGGCCTGCTCAGCCATCCACAACGACATCAGCGGGCCCTCCGTGCCGTACACGGGATCTACTTTCGGCATCTCCACCGCGAATGTCTCTCTCTGCGCCGCAACTAGATCGATGGGGTCATTGCCAAGTCGTTGCGCCAGTGGGGTGCGTTCTATTATTGTAATCACGATGTTAACTCAGCGAGAGTGGGAATCGCAATGGGGGATTGGGGGGGGGGGCGGAATTCGGAGTGGTTGATTGATGTAAAATCAAATATTCAATCAAACGTTTGAAAGGAAGTGGTGTTTCGTGTCCGTTGGATCTACGCAAGGTTTAGCTAGCTGCGAATACACCAACCTTGGGATAAACGCCCACGTAGCGATAATCCTCTCCGCTGTCGGCACAGCTGTGCGTGACCCCGGCCGGGATGATGATAATGTCACCCCCGCTCACCGGGATGAGGATGCCCGAGCTGTGGCCGTCGTGCTTCCCACTGCCTATGCGCAAGGTGGATGAGCCTTCGAATATGCCTGTTTGTTTAGCTGTTCAGTAAGTAGTAGCTGAGTGACGGTTCACTTATCTAGCAGGAACAGCTAGCAGGGTTTACTCCCTGAGGGAGGAATTAGCCGTAGGGACCCCACCATAGCACTCATGCGTGTTTGGGTGGTAATGAGGAGTTGGATTGTGGCCAAAGATTCCCTGGAAACCATCATCAAAAATTGGATATCAATTAACGTGTCTCGCAGGTATGTTAGCTAGAAGTTACCCTAAGACGGGGTGTGGAGGTAAAAAGAAAGTCAATCAATGTCAAAACCTACCCCCTTCTCCCAGCCATTCCGCTCCAGAAACTCCGCAGTCGTGCTGGCGGAATGTGGGCATGGAAGCACGTCCCGATACAAAAGGACAGGTAGGGGGCTGTTGGGCGAGTACTTGGTGGGTTACAGGTAGAATCTTTCTACGGGCTGTTGCGTTCTGGGGTTGGACATGATAATCTGCCTGGCTGTGGGAAGTTCCGGATGTGATAAGCTATATGCCGAAGATGAAGCCGGAGCAGATATGAAATGTGTAACGGTGGTCTGGTCTATTGAAGAAACAATAAGTAAAATTGATCGGATCACCCGCGCCTGCAGTCGACGGTAACCCTTGATGCAACAGAGATAAGAATAAAGAGCAGCTTACCACACCCCTAAAGCTAATTCTGTCCAGTGTGGAATAGTGAGATGTCTCTGGCAAACGCGGGGACAAGATAAAAGGGAATTTCAGGAGGTGGACGAAAATGGCCATTCGGAATTAGGTATGGGTCCTGGTTAAAACAAGTTATTTGGCCCGAAAAGATATCAAAAGGAACCACTTTTTTGAACACAAGAACTAAATTTATACGCCAGAGGCTTAGCCGAAGATGGAGGGAGCTTTGTCATTGATGGTTTTAGAAGACAATGTTCGATGGACATATATACTTTCATATGCCTCCCCAGAAGTAAAAATTGAGTAAAGGTTGTGAAGGTAGATGGGATATATTTCAAAGGGGTATATCTATTATCCAAGCCCTGGATGCCAATGCTTTTTTTCAGAGGGGTGAAACAATAAGGACAAAGTGGAAAAAAATAAAAGAACATGAGGAAAAGAGAGATTCTGACCCGAAAAAATAAAAATAAAAGGCTAACTCCGAGCCCTTTGACGAGAATATATTTACATATCGTGAACATTAGGTAGAGGGTTAGATGGAGCATCACGCCATCCAACAAAAAAAAAAAAAATTCATTTCCGAAGATCACACATCAAGTCAAATACAAAGTGGGAAAAAACACCAGGCAGCAACGACGATATGTAATAAGTGAGGAACTTAAAAAAGGAAAGCTGAAAACAGACAGAAAAGACATATATATTCAAATTTTGCGCCTTGTAGGCTTGAGCTTCATCATCTTCATTTCCATCTCCCTCTCCAATATCAGAGAGTGATCTCATATATATGTATGTAAAAAATAGAGACAATACGGGACTATCGCAAAAATCAGGAAATCAAAAAAAAAACACAGTTCGAATCGAGAGAGAGGGCCAGGGGAGGCCAAATAGAAAGAGGGAGAGAGTTTTAAATGAGAAAGAAAGGAAAGAAAAATAAGTATGTGATTATTAAAACAAACACACACAATGAAGAAAATAAAAGCGCCGCTTGTTATGTAATACTGAAAAAAATAAAAGACTTCTAGGCACCTAGGTAGTCTGCAAAAGAAAACGAAGTGAAATAAAAATAAAAATAAAAAATGAAGTGAAAAATGGAAATATGAAAATGAGAATATGATGAAAGTCACCGAATAAATAAGCCAAAGGGAGGCGTCCAAATTGCACAGAATGGATGATTATATCGGAGATATAATGAAAAATGGGAATCGGGGTAGTAGTTTGATGCGAAGTGTCATGGAGCAGAGATCATGTAGCTGAATGCTCGCGTCTTGACTATATGCACGAGGGACGGCTGAAGATCCAAATTGAGTTCGGTGATAAAGGGTGTGTGGTTGGTTAGGTGGCGGAGGGTATTGAATCTTGTAAATAATAAATAACCCAGATGGTGGATGTGACTGAGGGGGTAGGCAGGTGTGTACTAACGGAGGAATCCTGGTTTAACGGAGATGTGGCAAAAACCTATTTCGTTTCCCGGTCGAGCTCATGACAGCTTTTTGAAAATGGTTCACCACAGCCATACCGGGACATCCTGTATATCCTCAAACTTTTTTTTCATTTTTATTTTCAATTATTGCCAAGGATGATACCCGCCGCTGCTAGAGGCTCCCCGCCGTCCACTTCCACGTCTCGATCCGCTCGTCCCAGTACCGGGCCCAGATGAATCGGCTCCACTTACGCTGGCTCGCGCCCCACCGTCTAGGCTACCTCGTGCAATTCCAAAATCGCTCATGGTAAAAAGTAACGGCTCATCCTCTTCAAAATTACTCGCTGATGGTGGCCCATGGTGACGGGAGAAACCGAACTTGTGCCCAGCACCGCCGCTGCCCATTCCACGGCGCGAGTCTGTATTTGTGGAGATTCCGCTGTTGCTACCGCTGCCTTGGTAGGTGTCGCGATCACGCTCGGCCCCGTGAGATGAGGAGGCATTTCCACGCCCTAGACTGCTGGATGCTGAGCTGTGCGAGTGGGAATGTCCTGTAGAGCTCTGCCGCGCTGATGAGAGATCGA